CTTTAAGCTTTTAATAATAGCTAAGAGCTTTTACTATCTTACTCTTTATTATATCTTATAGTTTATTAGCTTGCATAAGTAGTAAGCAACTAGTTGCTACTTGCTGTTTATAATCTAAAAAATAATGCTAAAGATAGTATAGCTTACCGTATTTGTTTTTACCTATATAAGCTTTATATTATTATAGTAGTTTAGAATTATTGCTATTATAAATGCTATTTTTAGTAATTTAAAAGCAACCTTTACCTCTTTAGTTAATATAAACGGTTATATAGCAACGGCTTTACGCTTACGTAGTAGGCTAAAGCTTATTTTTATTATTTTTATTAAGGCTTATATAATATAAAAGTAGTAGGAAATAAAACGTCTATAGAAGTTTGCAAATCTTAAAAAGGATTAAATGTTTTATATATACTAGATATAGCTACGCTATTACTACTAGCTACTACTACTACTTTATTACTACTAATTATAGCACTAAAAATAGTCTTAGCGTTTAGCTAAAGTTAGTAACTAGCTATAAGCTTATTACTTACTAAGCGCTACTATAAGTAATAGTTAAAGAAAGACTACTACTTAGTTAGCTTAAGCTAGTATAGCTAAGGCTTTTATAGTTCATAAAACTTATTTAAGTAGTTTTTCACTCTTATTATAAAATAAAGCATATTAGCGTAGCTAGTTTTAATAGTTATATTAAATTATTTTATGAATAATAAAATAAAATAAAGATTAGCTTAAGTAATAAGTTAGTAACAACTTAGCAATAAAGCTAAAAAGACTTATTATTACTTTTAAAGTAGTAGCAACCTAAGTTTACGCTTAAAAAAGCATGCTAACATTTAAAATAATAAGTAGTAAAAGCTAAAAGATCTTTACTAACTATTAAGTAGTTATTAAAGTTAGCTTTAGCTTTTACTAAAATTAGTAAAGAATATTAAGCTATAATATAGCTTACTAAGCTATCTTAAAGCGTTCATAATAAGATTACTAGTTAGTTGCTAGTAGTTTTAGCTTATTCTTTTATAAGGCATAACTAAGCTTTTTAGCTATTAAAGTTAGTAATAGCAACTATTAAGCAATTAATATATAATTTGCTAGTACTATTATAATACTATTAATTATCTTACTTTAAAGAAATAGCTTATTTATATTTATAAAAAAACTGCTAAATATATTAAGCTAAGCCTTTAAGCTTTTTAAAAAGCTATTAGTTAGTAGTTATTTACTAGTATATATAAGTTAATATACTTATTAAAAGGTATAAGTTAGCTATTACTTAGTAAACATTATACTATTAAGAACTTATATTATTAAAAGTTAGTATATACGCTCATACTAAACGTTTTATAAGATTTATATTTATTAAAAGTTTATAAAATTTAAAAGTAACTTTAGTTTAATCTTATTTTATAAATAATTATTAGCTAGTTATTACTTTATTATATAAACAGTTATATTAACTTACTACTTAGTAAGTTTAAAGAAAGAAAGCTAAAGAAGTAAAAGTAGTTCTATAAGATTAAATAAATTTTACTTTAAATTATAAGATTTATTTAATTTTCTTATACTTTAAAGTAATAAAAGACTATAAAACTAAACTTTTAAATATATCTTAAGTACTTAATAACCTTACTTCAATAAGGTAAAAAACGTTTAAAATTTAAAAAAAAAAACTTAATGATAAACCATTTTTATTAACTAGTTAATAATAGTCTTATAATTAGTAAGTAATAAATAGCTATTATTACTTTTATCTTCCTTTATTTTAGTTAAAAACTTTAACTTTATATAGCTATTTTTAGTTAGCATATACTACTTTATTTTAAAAATAAGTAAAAGAATATTTTAGTAATAAACTACCTTTATTAACTAGTTAAAAATAGTCTTATAATTAATAAGTAATAAATAGCTATTACTACTTTTACTTACTTTTATTATAAGCTAAAAACTTTAACCTTACTTTATTATTTTTAATTAAGCGTATACTATATTATCTAACAATTAAATAATTATCTTAATAATAAACTACCTTTATTAATTAGTTAATAATAACCTTATAATTAATAAGTAATAAACAGCTATTACTACCTTTATTCTACCCTTATTATTAGTTAAAAATCTTAACTATATAAGTATCTTATAACTAAGATTTAAGCGTTACGCCTTTTAAGAAGCGCCTTTATAAGATAGCCTTTATACCTAGCTAGATTTAGCAATTACTTTTGCTATATTCTAAGTAATATATATACGCTTCTATAATATAAGAATGCAGTTACACAGCAAGCAGTCTATAACCGTTTAGCAACAGCTAATAACTTAAAGCACTTAACTCTTTTTCTTAACTTTACTAAAAGAGGTTTTTTAATAAGTAAGCAGCCGCTACGTATACACCTTTTAGCTAATAAAAGCGTTACTTTAAAAGAGAAGAAATAGTATAAGAGTATCCTACGTACTTGCCCTACACACTAGTTCGGCAACCTACCGCTTACTAAGCGTTAGACTTAATTAACTATCTTAATATATAAACAGGGCAAAGCATAGCTACTTAGCTATACTATACCTACTTAAGGTTGCGCTATCGCGCACCTCTTATTTACGTATAAATTAGATAGTAAGCTCTTGCTTAGTAGTTTTTTATAGTTTGTTAAGTTAAAGGCTTAATATAATAGTATAAATACGTTTAAGCCTTTATAACTATACATTATATATAAACCCTTATAATATTACTAAGCTAGTATACTAACAATACTAGTACTTAAGTATTAGTACTTCTTTTTAGTACTTAAATACTAGTTTTTTAACCTTAGCTATATATAGCGTTATTTACTTTGTATTAAAAAAGAGAGTTGCTATTTGCACCGTAAAATTTGGCTATCTGCACCGTATTCCACTAATAAGAAATATGGTACATAGGGTGGGTTTAATAAAACTTAGTTGATTGGTTAATTTGTTCTGCGCTATACTAGAATAGGAATAGACTTACGTTTTTGCCGTAAAAAAAGTTGCTTACTATTATAGAGTACTTTTTACAACGTATAAATTATAATAATATTTACTTTAAGAAGAAGGATACTAGATACTAAAGGTAAGCGTGTAAAGTTAGAATTCCTACTATATATTAACTAGTAGCTTAGACTTATAATATAACTAGCTTTATTTAAAATTTTCTATAAGTTTTATTCGTAGTAGTAATTTAAAAGGGGGCAACATTTTATTATTCTTTAGTATTTTGTTTGCCTATAGAGTACAAAGTATAGAGTATAGAGTACAGAGTACTCTGTACTTAACTAGACAACGGTGCGAGAATATTATTGGCTAAAAGTAGATTTATATTATAGGTTCTTAGGGGTGAAAGCAGGGACCCACCCTATGTACCATATCTCTTATGAGTGGATTACGGTGCAGATAGCCAAATTTTACGGTGCAAATAGCAACTCTCTTAAAAAAAGCGTCTTTAAAAGCTTAAAAATATTATAAAGAACGTTTATTTATTTAGTAATTAAGATGTAGTGTTTTATGATATTTAACTGCTTTAGTTAATTACTAGCAGCCCTTTTAGCTAAAAACGTATACTAGTCAGTTTTTGCAAAATTTATAGGCTAGTATAAACTAAACAAGACTGGAATAGCAAAAACAGAGACTTATAATACAAGTTTAAAGCATTAGGCCGATTAAGGTCCTGCCCGGAATCGAACCGGGGCTACTGGAAATTAAGATTGACGAGATCAGAATCCAGTGTCCTAACCGCTAGACTACAGGACCGGTTGCTGTTGTGGCCCTCTGACACCCCTAGGAACAGAAGAGGCCTAGGCTCGTCTGCAAAACGGCTATCGTATAAAGTGCAACGCAGACTATATAGCATTTGGTCGCACCTGTTGCATGCGTACTACTATGTTACGTGTCTTTACAGCATAACGCTGCGAACTTGTTGGCCTCTCTCCTCCCTACAAATCACGCCAACAGAAAAAACCCGGCCCGGTTCTAAGCGCTTTGCCTTATCTCTGCGACCCTCACACACGGCTTGGCATCGCTGGTCTCGACGGTTTATAGTCATGGACCATGTTCTTCATGGCCGTGTACCATATCACCTTGATTTACACTTACAGCATGCCAAGTCTACGCTGCTTGCATCTCAAAGTCCTTTGTTATTCGAGCGGTTTGTGCAAACACCTCTTCTGAGGCGGCAGTGTCGACTAGACGGCAAGACATGTCCAGATCATCTATTACTCCGTACTTTGGCTATCTACTCCACAGGGTGGAGACTTTCGATCCTCGGAGCCTCTGAGAGGATATCAGGGAAATTGTTGAGCCCACCAGCTGCCTAAAGCAGTAAACTATAGCACCAGCTTGCCGGAACGCTACTCCCCAACCAAGACTAGTTTACGGGCCAGGATAAGAAGAGGCCCAAGCTTCCATCCTGCCTGTGAAATCACATTCACTTACACGGCCATCTCAATCCATCATGCCATGTCAAGCTTCCCCGCGATAAGGACGGCTACACGCCGTCTTAACCGTCGGGGCCAGAGCCAGAAGCCAGAGAAAAAGGGGAACAAAAGGAAGAGGTAGAGAGCAGGTGGTTGAGAAGAATAGAGATTTCGAGCAGCCTATAGATAAACTGATAAACTGGCCACCCGTATCTTTTGCCGCGGAGGCCACGATGCTGTGTCCCTTTACTCGGCCGTCGCCACTGTCTCGGCTCTTGGCGTCGGCGAATCGGCACACGAACATTGTCCCTCATCGTCGCGTAGCATCGCATATTCCTCCCTTCCTATCTCAGCTAGCCTAGAGGTTGTGCTCGTCGTCCTGCCTGTCTGGGATCGCTTTCTCTTTTGTGTGTATCACCAACATATCGGACTGGAGAGATATGTGGGAAGACGCTTGTAGCTTGCAGACAGTCCCCGCGGGGTATAAGAGAGCTGGGGCCCTTCTAGCCGTGCCAGCATCGCCGTCCACGTAACAATGCCAGGAGCGATAACGCCTTGTGCCACACCACAGATTCAATGACCGTGCACGAGATTGACGCCGCTGAGGCGGGTGATGCCCAATCAGCGATCTATCCCGTGGATGAGAAGCACCCTGCAGAAAAGACAGCATTCGACAGTAGTGAAGAGATTATCGATTCCGCCGACAAGATCTATGTTCCTGGCGAGGACGAGGAGTTTATCGACCCTCGTCTGAAGGACTACCCCATTCCTCTCGTGGCCAAGACCGTTGATTTACATAATGACTTCAGCGAACCCATCCTCACCTTCCGCTTCTTTCTCCTCTCCACCTTCTGGGTCCTTGTCGGCGATGCCATTTCCACCATGTACTACTTTAAGCCCTACAGCAACACTCTGACCAGCTACGCTGTGCAGCTGCTATCGTGGGGCATGGGCGACTTTCTTGGTCGTGTCCTGCCCAAGCGGTCCTTCCACATCTTGGGCCGCTCCTTCAGCCTCAACCCGGGTCCCTGGAATGCCAAGGAGCACGCCTTGATCGTCGTCGCCTACTGGGGGAGTGTGAGTGTCGCTGGTCCCTGCTGTTGTGTCTTTTCCTTGTTGACGTGGTGTCTAGTGCTATACGGCCTATGGCCTGGGGCCCCTCTCTGCCTTGGAGCTATACTATGACCGCAAGATCAATGCCGGCTGGGGCATCATGTTCCTCCTCACCTCCCAGATGATCGGCTATGGCTTTGCCGGCTTGTTCCGTGACATCTTAGTGCGCCCGCCCAAGATGTACTATCCAGGCGTGCTGCCCAACGTCGCTCTCCTCAATGCCATGCATCGGAACCCTACGGTGACCAAGAAATCGCTCAAGTTCTTCGCCTACGTGTCTTGTATCACTTTTGTCTACCAGTTCTTCCCTGGCGTGATCTTTCGTACGTTCCCGCTGTGCTCTGTTCGAACTAGACTATAGCTAACCGTTTGTATAGCTATGCTTTCTTCGCTCCCTCTACTGTGCTACATGGCACATGGCAAGTGGAAGGGCTTTGTGCTGGGGTCTGGCTATTATGGATATGGGTTGCTGGACATCTCCCTGGACTGGAACTACATCGGCTTTTTCTCGCCTCTCTACACGCCTCTCTGGGCTAACGCCTCGATGATCGGCGGCGCTCTTATGGCCTCCTGGATGATATACCCCATCATGTACTTTACAAACACCCTGAACGCTCTTACCTTCCCGCCCATGTCTTCGGGCACCTTTGACCAGGACGGCCAGCGATACAACGTCAGCCGCGTCCTGACTCCCAACTACAGGCTGAACCAGACCGCCATGGATGAGTACTCTCGGCCGCACTGGGCTCCGTCTTACGCCATGTACTTCTTCTGGGGGTTTGCTTGCTCGACTGGCGCCATCGTCTACTCTGTCCTCTGGTACGGAAAGAGCTCCTACACCGCTATTGTCGATGCCTTCAAGGGTCGGAGGACCGACTATAACGACCCATATATCCAGCTGATGTCGCGGACAAAGCGCGTACCGCACTGGTGGTATATAGTCCTGCTGGTCGTCTGCGTGGCCCTGTCGCTCGGAACTCTGTATGGCGGTGACTTTGGCCTGCCCTGGTGGGGTTTCATCGTCATCTGCATCGTGTCCGCTATCTCCACCTTCCCCAATGGCATCCTCTGGGGCATTGCCAACCAGCAGGTTGGCATGGCCTTCCTCTCCGAGCTTATGGCCGGCGCCATGTTCCCGGGCAACCCCAGTGCCGTACTGGCGAGCATGACCTTTGGCCGCCAGATCCTTGAGCAGAACCTCAACCTCATCTCGGACTACAAGTTCGGCTTCTACATGAAGATCCCCGAGAAGGAGATGTTTTGGGGCCAGGTGTACGGCACGCTGCTGGGGCCGTTTGTGAATTATGGCTTCATGCGCCTCATCATCGACCGTGTCGGCAAATCTGTTCTGACCGGCCGGCAGGAAAGCAACTCGTGGCTGGCGCTCAAGACGAAGAACTACTATTCCTTGTCCGTCTTGTGGGGTGTTCTCGGGCCCAAGGTCATCTTCGCAAACGACTCGCAGTACAACTGGATCTACTATGCCTTCCTTATTGGTCCTGCTCTTGTTGGCATGGTGTACATTGTCCATCGCTACAAGCCGCACTGGGAGATGGAGACGCGCTGCAACCCCGTTGTCATCATGTGTGGCGCCTTCACCTCGCCATTGTATGAGACTGTCAACATCTTCACATCCGGTCTGGCGGCCTTTTTCTTCATGGGCTACATGTTCCGCTACCGACCTGTCTGGTATGCTGTCTCGTCCCGACCACCCACTTGAGCATCATCGCAACTGACTGGACACAATAGGTTTCGCAAGTACAATTACCTGCTTGGTGTCGGCCTGGACTGTGGCACGCAGCTGTGCCAGACCGTCATCATGCTAGCCATCAACCTGACCAACTCCGAGTTCCCTCAGTGGTGGGGTAACGACGTAAGTACAGCTGTCCTGGCCTTTGTTTCAGGATTCAAAAGCTGACAATCTGGCTCTTGCTACGCAGGGTGCTTACTTCGACCGGTGCTATCCGCCATCCAACCTGCCAGCAAATGCTCTGAATTGAGCTGGATGGTAGATGGTAGCAGCTTGTGGTGGGGGTGAGCATAGGTGTGTACAAGCTCGGGCGCAGTCACAGAGAAGAGGTAACAGTATCAGATAAGATCGAGTAAGACGTAATAAGATACATACTCTGTACAGAGTACTTTGCCCCTATATTACGCAGCCTGCTAGTGTGTAAAGACACATTCACGTGATAACACGGTTGTTCTTGCCCGTACGGAGTACGAGGATTCCGTACCAACGACGTATTAGTAAGGAGTCTGCTGCATTTCAATCAGGGGGCTCCGCACAGATGTTGCGCCCCTTTATTCCCCGACTGTGACGCGAAAAGCGTGCCTGCCGTTTTATGGACCAGATCTGCCCATGTTTTTTGACGCAACCTGCTAATTGCATCGCCAGCGAAAGCCACCCTGTCTTGCCAATTCTTCCCATCGCCACCACTCGTCGCAGAGCAGAGCACGCACACACATACAAGTGGGCCATGGATTTCCACGAGATCCCCGGCCAGGTCACTGTGTGGCTTGATGCCGCCTCGCACACTTTCCAGCGAGTGCCTGGATCGGCTGTTTTGATTCGATATGTCCGGTCGAGCTACCAGAACGATCCTATTCGGTCGGCCATCGAGCTGATCCTCGTCCTCTTCTTTATCCGCTACCTCCTCTCGCCGTCATACTCGACCTCGAAGCAGAACTTCGTCAAGCTCACCGAGGATGTCAGTCTGCCCCTCCGCCTCTCACCGCCATGCTGTTCTTGTGTCATATTTGTGTCTCTTGTGGTCGCTGTGTGGCTAACGTGTCTGCCTTGTGTTCTCCTGTAGGAAATTGATGAGCTGGTCGAAGATTGGACTCCTGAGCCTCTTGTCGAGACTCTGACGCCCATGCAAGAAATCGAAGCCGACAGGCTCCCCGTTCTCGTCGGGTAAGGATGAGCCCCTCTGCCACGATTGTATACCGAATCTGTAGAGCTGACTGCTGATCTCATCTCTTCTCCCCAACAGTCCTACAGGCCCTAAGGTCAAGCTGTCGTCCGGGCGCACTGTTGTTAACCTGGCTTCCTACAACTTCTACAACTTCAATGCAAACGAGCTCATCAAAGAGAAGGCAATCCAGACACTCCGAACATACGGCGTAGGCCCTTGCGGACCGCCTCAGTTCTACGGTACCCAGGATGTCCACATGAAGGCCGAGGCTGACATTGCCGCCTACCTTGGCACCGGTGGCTGCATCGTCTATGCCCAGGCCTTTTCTACTATCTCCAGCGTGATCCCGGCTTTTTGCAAGCGTGGCGACGTCATTGTGGCCGACCGTGCTGCCAATTACTCTATCCGCAAAGGCCTCGATGTTTCCCGCAGCACCATCCGCTGGTACAACCACGGCGACTTGAAGGACCTCGAGCTCCAGATGAAGAAGGTCGCAGACGAGCAGGCCCGTAAGAAGAAGCTGACGCGTCGCTTTATCGTCATGGAGGCCGTGTCAGAGACTGTTGGCGATGTCACGGACCTGCCGAAGCTGGTATGTCGCCCCTCTCTCTCAGACGTCGTCGTCTCGTGTCCCAGGATATCTGGCTGACCGTATTTCACAGATCGAACTCAAGGAAAAATACAAGTTCCGCCTGATTCTGGACGAAACCTGGTCCTTCGGCGTCCTCGGACGAACGGGCCGTGGCTTGACGGAAGCTCAGAATGTAGACCCTTCGCAGATCGACATGATTGTTGGCTCTCTCGCTGGTCCGCTGTGTGCCGGTGGTGGATTCTGTGCCGGCGAGAAGGACGTGGTGGAGCACCAGCGCCTCATGGCTGCATCGTACACGTTCTCGGCAGCACTGCCGGCCATGCTGGCCACGACGGTCAGCGAGACCATCAACCTGCTGCAGACCAACCCCGAGATCCTGCAGCAGTGCCGGGACAACATCAAGACTATGAAGGCACAGCTGGACCCGCGCAGTGACTGGATCACTTGCACGAGCGCTCCGGATAATCCTATCATGCTGCTCGTACTCAAGCCGGACGTGATTCGGAGTAAGAGGCTCACTTCAGAGGACGAGGAAAAGCTGCTTCAGGAGTGTGTAGACGAGGTGAGTTTCTAATTCTTATATACACCCCCCTTGACGGCAGAGCTGCCACTTACTAACAATCAACAGGCTCTGGCCAATGGTGTGTTGATTACACGGCTAAAGACGCTTCCCATCACCAGCTCCCAGAGTCCCAAGGAGGCAGCTGAATGGACGGTGCGACCGGCTCTGAAGGTGTGCATCACCGTGGGTTTGAGCAAGAAGGACATTGAGAAGGCCGGCGTGACCATCCGCCATGCCATAACTAAGGTAATGACAAGGAAGGCCAGCAGCAAGCTGGGTCTCCCGGTTGTTGCATAGACGAGCAATTTCATGCGACGCCAGCTGTTTCGACCAGTTTCTTGGACATGCTTTGTCAGTCATACGTCGAGTTTCTGTCGAGGCCGGGAAGCGAGCCGACAAGGCAGAGGGGAGATGGGAATGGCATCCGGGGATTCTCGCATCATCTCTACCTTTTTTGCACTCCAAGTTCCATATTAGTTTTTAATAATACTCTACACAGACAGGCGCAGCCGCAGCAGTATTGCTCTCGGCTCTTCTTGTATACTATAATAAACCTGGTATCGGTATCCGAAACCAGGAAGTATGTTTACACCGTTTTAATATCGTGACATCCCCGAAACATTAGTCTTGCACAACGGCCAAAGGTCATTTATGAATCCTGGATTATACGCCCTCTCCAAGAGCAGCTTCATGCGGACTGCAAAGTTAAAAGTCTAAAAAATCCTATGTACCATGTCACAACCGCCAACACGGAAAAAAGAAAACAGAAAAAACAAAGGAAGGAACGCGTACAAGAAAAACCAGGTAACGAAGTGCAGCGATCCGGAAACTAAGGACTAGCCCACCAACACTTTCAAATTTACGAGGCCTCCATCCTTACTGTTGCAGTGTCTCCTTGGCCGCGCAACTTTCTGTCTCAATGTATACACGCCAACAACCAAACAAGATGACATTATCCTGCTCCCTTCTGCTTCTGACAAAAATCATTAGGCTTTGTGGCGTACATATCATACAATTTTCTCACCGCTGTCTAGAGGATCCTGACAGCCCTTTCCCGGGCAGCTTGAAATCACTCTAAAACAAACGGATCTTCTTGCTGTCTGCCGTAGCCGTCGCCGTCGAGGCAGATCCCGATCCCGATCCCGTCTTCCCAAACAGGTAGCCCGTGTAGTTCGCAGCGCCAGTACCGGTCTGTGTGTGGCCCTCTGTGTCGTTGTTGTTGAGGCCAGTGGGTTGCATCAGGTTGGTGCTGTTCAGCATACCCGTGATGCTGTTGGGAATCATCTTCTTCACGATAAGCGGCGCCGCAATGAGTGCGACAAAGATGATGCAAATGACAAAGTACAGGACAGCAAAGCGAATCACACGTCTCCGACGAAGCTTGGACTGCTTCATGGTGTAGATAGGAGGCCGGATTTGTTGACTGTTTTGCGCAAATTAGCTTCCGAAGACGTCGAGAAAGGATGGTGGACAGGGAAAACCAACCTGGGACGAAGCCAGAAGAGCATCATCGAGTGCAGCTTGTCGATCTGCGGGATGATGATGACAGGCAGCATCAAGAAGAGGATCGTGTGGCCGAGAACAAAGTCACCAGCGAACATGCTGAGCTCAGAGATCTTGCAGAGAAACTCGCGACCGGGCTGCGACATCGAGTGCCAGCCCATAGAATACCACTTGCCTGTCCAGAAGGCAATGTTCGACTGGTCAGTCTTGAACTCACGTGTCAGGACACAGCAGACAATAAGCTTGACGATGAATCTCTGCACAGCCATCACCACGATCATGCCCAAGACCGTCCGAGCAAAGTTGAAACCCTCTAGGAAGAAAAGCACGACCCAGAAGACCATGATCATGATGACGGCAACCGCATGAGCAATGGCAGCGAGAACACTACCAAATTTCTTGCAGCACATTGCCAGAAGGGGACCCATACAGCAGGCCATGCCGAACATAGCAGCCAGGACGCCGGCGTTGACACCGATAGGACCAAAAGCAATGATGGCGATGCGGATCAGCGACGCAGTCGCCTTTGCATCCGGGTTGTTCTTGAGCACACCAGTCTGCGCGTTGATAAACAGGTACGGGATAAGCGTGACGACGACCAGGAGAAACGGCGACAGGATCTCGCTCATGAACAGGTTCGTAAAGGCCGCGCGAGGAACATCAGACGAGCCCTTGGCAGACGGGTCACCGGCAACCTTGCGCTTGTAGCCAGTGATACGCGTGCGCGACAGACGGCTGTACGCAATCCAGGACGACGCGTGCGTGCGCGAGTTACCACGGGACAACCACCGGAGGAAGTCGCGGTAGTCGATGAAGAAGTCGTTCCACGAGAACTGGTGCGGGTTGTAGACAAAAGGCGAGACCATCAGGGCCAGCAGGGTGATCCAGAAGTAGACCAGACCCGCCTGCCAGATAGTGACGGAGGCAAACATGAGCATCATGACCAGACGGGAGCCGAAGTAGATCGACGGCCCGGCAAATCTCGAGAAGAGCACACCGAACGGTATGCGGGCAGTGGCGAAACCACGACCTGTACCGATGTAGCGAGCGCCACCAAAAGACAAATCCTGCTGCACGGAATTCGCGTAGATCTGGCAGGTGAAGACTTCGAAGAAGGGCGACAGCGAGAAGAACTGCTTGCAGAAACGCGTCGTGGCACGGAGAACACCACGCTCCATGAGCTCCTGGACCAGCAGAGGGATGTAAGACAGGAAGAACACGACCAAGATGGACAGGATACAGCGGTAGACCCAATCGTGCAGCGCGTCCGTGTTCTGACAACCGGTCGGGTACATCGGGTCGGTGATAGGAACGCTTCGGTTGTACGAGCAGCGAATCGTCTCGTGGCGAAGCGCGCCCATGCTGAGCAGGCAGATCATGAACATCTGCACCGAGAACATAATGAAGATGTTGTTCAGATGGAAACCCGGATGCGCGTAGTAGAAGGACAGGAACCGATCGATGGGGAGTTGTGTGCCAAGGTAGTAATATTCGCGTGCCAGCATTTGCTCGCCCATACCCGTGCCGATCTTGGTTGTGAAGTTCAGAATGGAGCCGAAACCCAAATCACGACCCTTGCCACACTGGTAGTACTCGCAGTGCTTGATGCGGCCACCACGCAGTAGCGCATTCATACCAGCGTAAATATCCTCGTTCAGATGCAGACCCTTCTGTGCCTTGGAAACACCGCCACGCGTTGTCATGAAAATGCCGTTGAGGAAATCAGGATGTCCGTAATGCAGCTTGCCTCCAATCTGTGCCAGAGTACGCGCGAAGAGAGTACCGAACGTCTGTTCCTTACCAGCGGCAATATCACCGAGGACACCAATGTTCTCAGAGAAAATGTACTCGCGAGCACCAAGAATAGCCACCGGCGTAAACGTCTCGTTCTTCACACCAGGCGTGTACGGGGACACGTTGTCGACCTTCATCTCCTCGAACTCAGCCAATACGCTGCGAATCTTCAAGCATTCCTCGAGGTAGTTGTCCTGGTTGGCGTCGATGAGCTGGATGTACTCGCCGCGGTAGTAGATCAAAGCGTGGTTCTGGTTGTCCGATTTGCCGTCACCCAAGATAGGGTTGCCAGAGAGTTGTACGCGGAACTTGGGACGACGCATGCCGTTCTCCAGAATCTCGGAGTGACCATCAATGAGCGCGGAGTACAGTCTAGGCTCCTCACCCTCAGCAATAGGGGGCTCTTCGTCGAGATAGGCGATCTGAAGGTCGGGGTAGGCGCGTAGCAGGAACTCGGCGTTCTCCATCTCCTCCTTCTTGAACTTGGCGTAACGCTGCATGGCGACGCAGATCTTGAACTTGCGGCGGGCCATACGCTCGAGCTCACGCTCGAGCTTGTCCGAATTGGCGCCGAACATCTGCACAACCTCCGGGTTCTCAACGCGGTAAAGCAGCTTGATCGCACGGCTGTAGTTCATGAAACCTGAGATGGTACGGTATAGAGTCTGGGCGCGAAGAGAAGCCCAAATACGCGTACGCAGAGTGTATTCCGGCGCAGAAGACTTGAAACCAATGCAGTAGAACGGCAAATCATCAATCTTGTTCTTGACAGCTTCCTTGTTGTCTTTGCCGTCCTCCTTGTCGCCGTCACCGTTGAACTGAGCCGTCTCGTCGGCGAGAATTTTCGTGTCCTTAACGAAACAATCCCACTCGTGCGGGTGCAGCTGCTTAAGATACTCAAGCTGGGTGACGCGCGAGTATGGCTCGTCCTCACGAATGATCTCGCGCAGAGACAGAAGAATCTTCTCACCGTAATGCGGAATGAAGACGGTGAAGGTAGGCATGTTGTCGACCGGCAGTGGCTCCGGAATAGGTGTCGACAGGGACTGGGCGAAGAACGAAATGCGACGCTCGGCCTCGCTGTACGAAGGGAAGAACTCTGTCTTGAAGGAGTGGTCCTCCTGCGAAACAAAGAACGTCGGTGCGCGAAGTGTTCGCTTGCCCTCCTGCTCAGACGGAACCTGGTGGTACAGAAGCTTCTGGACGTGGTCGATAGCCAGGAGATGTTCGCGGTACATGGAAATGACAATGGCGTTCCAGATCTGGGAGACAAGAACCTTTGGCTTGTACTTGATCTCCATGTCGGTGGTAGCCAGAACCTTAGAATAAATTCGCTTCGGCAGCCGAGAGTAGATGTTCCGCCACGGCGTCCAGATCGATGAACCGAGGTAGAAAGAACGCGCGATGGAGAAGACTGAGTTGTAGATGACATACCATAGGTACGTATCCAGGAAGAAGAAGAGCAGATCAGTGAACGCCATGAGACCAAGCAGGATCTGTGGCTGGTATGGGCAAAGATAACGCTTCAGAATCGTGTCGCCAAGGCAGCTCTTCACATTCATGATCGACAGGTACCGAATCGGATCACGGAAGGACAGAGCCAAAAAGACGTACGACTCGCCCATCTTGGTACCGAAGACACAAGCCCACAGAAAGTACGACATGAGAACGTCGTTGCCCTTGAGATGCGGCCAGCTGGCGGTAAAGGTCTGGCTGGCAACATAACGGCGGGAGTTCTTCGTGAGGTAGCTACCAAAGATGGCACCAAGCGGCATAATCGAGAAGACGATGTATGTGATGATAGCAATGATCAGGTGAACAATGCTGAGAGCGAGAGATATGCGGTTCTTCTGCTTCTTCACAAAGGCATCATTGTCCGTCTCTGGCATAAACACATAGACACCGGGAGCGATGTTAAGGACCAGAATGAGGATGAAGAAGAAGAGCTTCTTGGTCAAATGCTCTGCGCCAGCCCAATTCCGAGGCACGTAAGACCATTCGGCAAAAGTTGAGATAACCTGGATAAGAGCAGCGAAAGCACCACCGAAGGCGACAAAGGACAGTTGGGCAGAAGTCGGCGGTTGCTGGTTCACCTGCTGTTCGTAGCCGTGAACCAGGAGCGTCGGAGCATTGCGAGCAGTGTAGAACCACCACATGGTAACGTGAATGATCCAGATCCGGTTGAAGTTTGTGACACAATGGAACCATGACCGCTTCTCCAGGTACGTCTTGAAGAAAACCTTCTTCCAATTTACGTCCCTGAGCTTCATGTACCGCTCGGCCGGTGGCAGATCGACCAACTTGCTCTTGTCTTCGAGAACAATACGCTCAATGCCCTCTGGGTACCAGAACAGTTGGTTGCAGTCGTCGTAACCGATGATGCGATTGTGATCAAGTTCACGGCGAACATAAACACCGCCTGAGATCTCATAGCCCTGGTCGCGCAGATAGTTGTACAACGGGGTGATAATCGTGTTCAGGAAGGTCAGCTCCTCTACCGGCTCGACGAGGGCCTGGCAGGCGGGCGAGTTGTAGTAATCATCGGCGCACTTGAAGATGAAGCAGAGACATTCAGCCATGAAGCGAACCTGATTAGCCTCACCCCAGCAGAGCAGGTAAAGGGCAATCTGGCGAACACGGTCGTGCTGCGACATGCGGTTCATGCGTGTCTTCCAGCGGTACTCGGCAGCCTCAAGAGACTGGTCGCCTTCCAGATCCTGCAAGACTTGATCCTCACTGGTGTTCTCTTCCTCTCCCTTCTTCTTGTTCTTCTTCTTCTTCCGCTTGAGGACGTCGCCCTTGACGTTGGCAAATCCGACGGCGTCGTCGAGATCCAGGTGAGCAGCAAAGTACCATTTTCGGTAGTTAGCGTTGTCGCCGCCAATGTAATCGGCATGAAGCGACAGCAGAGCCTGGTTGGGCGTCATACGAGATGCACGCGAATCCAGGAGAGTCATAAAATGGTCGTACACGTTCCGCATGCTGTCACGCTGAAACCCGAATTTGGCGGTTAGATCCATGAAGATATCCTCGATTTCCTCTTTGGACAACGGAATCTGGGCGTCTGCGGTCCAGGCCGGATACGGTTCATGCGAACGCTGTCCAGCAGGCAGAACATTTCCGTAGTCTAGACCGTAGTTGGGAGTGGAGGCCCCGGAAGAGCGGTTGTTGCCAAAAGACACCTGCGAAGAAGGTGGGCGGAAGCCGCGGGCGCCAGCTGGGTTCTGACCATCGGTGTAGTCATACTGTTCATCACCACGGCCATAGTAGTCCATGTCGGCAGCACGAGCCATATCAGAGCGCATAGTGAAGTCACTGAAGGTCTCGGAGTCCTCCTCAGACGCGTGACGCTGACCGCCTTGAGCATATCCGGCCGACTGGTCGTAGCCCTGGTCGTAGTACTCATTGTTCTGGTTGCCGCCATTGTTGTAGTACTCGTCCTGGTACTGCTGGTTGGTGTTGTTCTCATAGTAGCCGCCGTCTTGATGATACGGGTTCGTGGCGTCCGCGTTGTAATATCCGCTGGCGATTGTCAGAAATATGAGCCAAAAGAAAGTTCCGATTAGAAAACTCACTGCTCATCGTAGTAGCCATCATTGGCTTGACCGCCGTGCGCAGCGTTGTTGTCATGATACTGCTGCTGATCATCCTGATAGTAAGAATCTGTATTTCCTTGCGGCGGATGCTGGCCGTAGCCGTCCGCGTATTCGTTATTCCCTTGATATCCAGACATGGCGACTGCCTGCATTACTGTTAGTGGGGACGACTAGGATGGGAGGGATAAGGTGTAGAAAAGGAAAGCGGCCATTGGCCTCGATTTAACGAAGCAATTGCATACTGCACGTATTGGAGCCAGCGTGCATTGTGCATAAAAGGCTGGACGGGGCTTAAGGGTGGAGGGTGCAACATACTATCAAGACGCTTGAAACGAACTAGCAATGTGACGGAGAGACAGACAGAGCAGATGAAAAAAAAAAATTGGAAGTGTGCTAGAAGTCGTGGTAGATGGCTGAAGTTGGGGAACTTGTGGCCGGCCACAGCATTCGGTAAAAGAAAAAGCAGGCCGCAAATGCCTTTCGAAAGCGAAAGTATAGCGTTCTGCTGTGAAGATGGAACGAACGGCAGAGCTCCGCGGAAGACGAGAGTGTCTGCGACGTAATGAGCGAGTGACTAGGAGGGTGATTGAGTGTTACACTCTGCTCACGGCGTGTCTGGATTTGATGGTCGGTGTTGCCAGCGTCGATTGGTGCAGGTGATGCGTAGCCGTATCGTAGGCAGAGATGGAGTAATTAAAAGATACGAGAAGCCGCGGAAGAAAGAGAGATCGCGAGAAGACGAAGGTCAAAATAGGAAGTTGTTGTGAAGTGGAAGCCAAGCGAAACGATCGCCGGCAGAGATACTCGTCTTGGCTCGTATCGCGCTCTCCGGTAGTGAGCAGGAACGAGACAAAAGGAGAGGCGTCCTGCAGGAGGACAATGAGAGTTCGATGTCGTGATGACAGTCAAACGAGCGAATGTCAGGGGGAGAAGACAAACAAAACGGGAGGAAAGAGCAGGAACAAGAAAAAGACGGTGCTCCGGGGGAAGAAAAGGGAAGCGTCGAAAAGGAGGGCAAGAGAAAGAAATGGCAAGGGAAGAACGACTCTGGTGGGCATGCAGGAGGTTGGCAATGTGGGCTAGACCGGCGGGAGTTGCGGAGACAGGGGGCATCAACAGTGTACGAGCGAGATACAAGCAAGTGTGGGTAGCGTGGTGCAGCAGTGCTGGCAGCGAAGAGGGTCCTGGGGCGAGGAGATTGGCGTTTCGCAGTGAGAGAAAAGGGGGTAGACGTGGCCGATGCTAGGCCGGGAAGACGCTGAGCCCGCTAAGAAGGAGGATGGCGGGCGGACACAGAGCCGGCACAGGGCGCTGAAACAGGAGACACTTGCAACATACCTTACATAGGTTGTGTGTATGCCAGCCACTGCAGCTAGCTGTATTTGCATTGTGTTGTGTTGCTATTTCGATGCATCCTACAGGGGGCTGGTCTTGGTCTCGGCGGTGGCCACATAGCTGCAGAGATTGTGGGGCTATGGGTCCAGGGGGGTACTGCGGAGGTACCTGGCCGCTAGGCCCCTGGAAAAGGCGGCGACACGTACTTGTGTTGTCTGCCGCCACGAGTGCGATGCGCGTAGAGTGCGACAGGAATGGGAGAGGACGATAATACTATGTAGGAGTACGTAGTCCTGGTAAACAGGAGGCTCACGCCCTGATACTCGTCGGATGCAATCATAAGCCCATGCCAGTACGGAGTACTCGTAAGATCGGTGGGGACGCGGTGGCAAAAACACAGCCGGACAGGTTCGTGCATATGTCGTATGTAGGTGCACTAATATTGCAGATGCCGCGTGTTTCCTCCGGCCTAATTCCTGTTCTCTTTTCCTGCCAATTTTCCCCCATTTGCTCTTCCAGTGGCCTCCCTCCTTTTCGGCTCTCTTCTTACATTTCCCCCCTAATCGCCGGCATGCAAGGTACTAGCGCCATCCGCTTTGCCACATCTCTACCGGCCAATGAAACGGCTGGATATTCCGTGCTTGTCGATGTAAACTGGACCGCCTATCCTGGCGGCCATCAGCCGCCACCCAACCAAATATTCTTATCGCGCAAGCTAGCAGCCATAGCGCATTCCGCTCAGCTTGTCCGGCTCTCTTCGTTAGGAAGTCCCTTTCCACCCCCCTTTTTTCTTCGTTTTTCTGGACCCTGTTTTTCCCAGTCCGATCTCCCAATTTTAGCGAACCTACGACCATTCCAAGCCTGATTCTAAGCCGCATGTCCGAGCACCGATCGATAGAGGGAGGCCGGACCAAACCAGACAGCCAACCGCATCATCTTCTTTGCCTCGTGAGGGAGGCAAACAAAGAGGACGACGACATGGAATACGAGCCAGACAGTCCTGTTCTGGGAAAAATGTGCCACACTTGTGCAAGCCGCATCACCCAGTTGCCCGTATTCTCTATAGTCTTCCCCGTAAACGGCCTCGCGCGAAGTGCATGATTTGCCGCTGGCTTCGTTTGGACTGTACGAGTACGAGTATCGATTGGTTTTCGATGTCTTGCTACACCCCGTCGATGCCCAACAATTTCATGTATGTGCACGACGTACGGAGTACGTCGAAGTGTTCAGTAGTCCGTGTCAGAAATTAAACACTGCGCTATTAGGACAAATTGTCTTGAAGAATTATTTGCCGTCTGCTTGGCCTTGTCTGCTATGGACCATGGGGCTGACCCATAGGCTCAGATGCTTGTCATCTTCAGTTGCTTCGGGCGTTTTCGAAAGCCGCTGACAGCGTTGCATTCAAGAAACTAAGCGCACATCTTGCCAAGTTAATCGCAGTTCTCCGCGCGTACTCCGTACTCCGTAAGATATTCTCGTATGTATGTGACATTATCTGTAATGACTTTTGCGTTAGCGTGCGGAGCTTCACCATCCAATAGTACCACGTGACCGTTGCTTTGCCAACGTAACTCCATTTGTCAGTCTTTGCATCTCCTGTGGGCTAAAGAGCATTCCTATGATGATGCATTGTGTATGAGCAGTAGTATACAATATGGGCGGCCGGCAAATAGTCAGAGATAGCGATGACGAAGACGAAGACGATTTTCCGTCACGATTCCCACCGTCATCAAGAAGAGCGTCGCAAGGACATCCCGAGGCAAAACCAAATGCACCTAAAGGTCCGAAGAGCACGGCCGTTCGCCGCAGAAAGCTTGGCGCCGTCGAGAACGACAACGCGCTGCTGCTTCCGTGGAGTGTCGACAACGACAACGTCAAGAAAGGCAAAGCCCGCGAGCCGATAAAGGCTGAGAGAAGACCAAGACAGCAAGTAGAAGTCAGGACGAGAAGAACCAGACGAGTCTCGGAGCTACCTGCAGATGACGCCGGCGAGATATCGACCGAGGAGGCTACAGTACTGGAGGATATCGCACTGGGTGGCGACGAAGCCAGCGATGCCGAAGAGGAGGGCAAGGATGATGAAGACGAAGACGAAGACGAAGACGAAGACGAAGACGAAGACGAAGACGAAGACGAAGACGAAGACGAAGACGATTCTTCCGAGTTTCATGAAATATCAGGGGACGACCTTTTAAGCGACGACTCGGTTGACGATTTCTTCCCATCCCCAGCCAAGAAAAAACCCATTCTACGTCCCCCAAGAGAGCCCAATGCCCGGAAAAAGAGCAAGGAGCCCACTCCGCCTGCTTTGGAGGAAAAGCAGGTCGCCGAGTCATTTCTAGAGGAGCCGAGCTCTGTGTTCTTCTCTGCCGACGAGCCATTCAGTGACGCCCTTGAAAGACCCATGACCGAGCTCAGCTTGTGCGTCCCTTATCGTATACACCCACATCTACGTCTATGCTTTGCCTTTCTGCTAACGAAAGCTTACTTGGCCGCATAGAGACATCCGGTCCAGACCGGCCAAGGAGTTTTCGAAGCCAGCTCGCTCTTCGCAGACCGCCCGATCGTCAACACCGCCGCCTTCACCCCCACAAACAGAGCTGTCTCGAGGCCTTGTCTCGCCGACAAAGAAGCTTCCGCGCATCCCCAAGACCCCTCACAGGCCCAGTACGGATGCTTTTTGGGACCAGCAGCTGACCAACGACTGGAACCAAGAGCACTCGCCGCGTAAGCTCCTATTCCAGCCCGCTGGCGAGAAGACGGGCACCACCAGTGTCACCACGGCCCCATCGCCGAAGAAGGCCAGCAGCACCAGCACCGCAGCCCGAGAGAGAGAGGCGAAGAAGACGTTCCAAAAGGCGAAGCACGAGACTGCAGAGAAGTTCCTGGCCGAGCTGGACAGCACCATCACCAACGGCGAGCTCGGACGGCTTGCAGCCACGACGGGGGGCGTCCGCATCGTGTGGACCAACAAGCTCAACACGACCGCAGGACGGGCAAACTGGCGACGGGAGACGCTGCGGCCGAGGCAGACAAAAACGGTCGACGGCGATGCTGGCGCCTGCACCGATGCCGCAGACTCGACCGCAGCCGTGCGGATTATGCACCACGCATCCATCGAGCTGGCCGAAAAGGTCATTGACGACGAAAACCGACTGCTCAACGTGCTCGCACACGAGTTCTGCCACCTGGCCAACTTTATGGTCAGCGGCGTGACAGGGAATCCGCACGGGCGAGAGTTCAAGGCCTGGGCAGCCCAGTGCTCGCGGCACTTTGGGGCGCGTGGCATCCAGGTGACGACCAAGCACACCTACGAGATCGACTTCCGCTACGTGTGGACGTGCGAGGAGTGCGCCACGCAGTTCAAGCGCCACTCCAAGAGTATCGACCCGACACGCCATCGCTGCGGCGCCTGTCGCGGCGAGTTGCGGCAGACGAAGCCGGTGCCACGGGGTGGTGCCAGCAGCAGTCGGGCTGGTGCCGAAATAAAGACTGGTGCCGGTGGAGGTGCCGTTCCGAAAGGCCCGCCGGCACCGTCTGCATACCAGTTGTTCATGAAGGAAAATATGGCGGTGTTGCGGCGTGAGAACCCAGGCAGCCCGCAGAAGATGATCATGAAGCTCGTCGCCGAGCGCTGGACTCGTGCAAAGGAGGAGAAGCAGTCTGCTGGCGCAAAAGGTGCCGCATCAGACAAGACGGCCACGGCCACAGTGACAGGCAAAGACGTTGACGCGGGCGTAACCCGTCTGCACAGCGCCTTTGTAGACCTGACGCTGAAGTAGAGATGGGAGAATGCACAGTGAGGCCTGCAATATAAATCACTACCTGAACGTATTTTGGCGCTTGTGCTCGCTGAATTTGTCTGGGCATATAAAAGAGCATTCGTACATCCGTCGTAGGGCTGGTTCCCGTAGATATTCCTCCAAAGCCATACACATGATCCAAATCATCTCCTGGAGTTCTGTGCACCTTTCCCACCACGACCAATCCAGTCTCGCAATTTGTTTCCATCCCGTCCAATACCTCATCCGGATTTGAACAGCTTCCAGTCATCGATGCGGAGCGTCGCCCAAATATGCGATGCATAATCGATGGCGTCGCCAATCAGCTCTCCCTGCTTGCCCAGCGCCAGGTCGATTTCTTCCTCGTCGTACTCGCCGCGCATGTGTGGCACGTTGATGGTGACCAGCAGGTCTGTGTTGTGTTTCTCGAGCCGCAGCAGAGTGAGCACGATGGCCGTGAAGTCCGGCGCGCTCGTGCTGCTGCTCTTGGGGTCGGCAACGGGCGTCTGCGTCGCGATCAGAGTGTAGGCCGGAAACTCCTCCCTGGTAGGGTTAGATGCATGCACGACCGCACATCTAGGACGAGGGCTGGCTGCTCACGTCAGCTCCGAGAACTGCGTCTCGGTTGTGTTCCACACGCGCACCGTGTCGACGTCGTCGCCCACGAGCTCCTCTAGATGCGTCGACAGCGCTTGCCCGTCAATCTCGGGGCTATTGCCCGCCGGACCGACACGCTCGCATATCTCGACAATGATGCTGGTGAAGCCATCCTTGTCAATGTAGACTTCCTGGTTGTCGGGAACCTGGCGCAGTTTGCTAGGAGCGGGCTGTTAGCAATAGATTCGTGCATGCCCGGGACACTTGTGCGCTTTTCTCATGTCTGCTTCCACATACCTGACATCGGCAAATTTCTCTGGCAGGTCGACGGCCATCGCTCCGCCGAATAAGGGCGTTTCGTGGTACTTGGTCATGATGAAGGGCGGGGCAGTGCTGGCGGGCAGTGACGCTATTGTTTCAACACGGGCTGCGGCGGCGAGGTGCAGATTGTCTGGAGAGGAAAATTACAAGATGCGCTGATTGCGACAGTGGCGGGGAAGTATTCGAGCAGAGGGACAGAGAGGCGCAGCAAGAACCCTGACAGGTCATGACGTACAAGGCAACTACGAAAATGAGGGCGTAGATGGAGGGGCTGCCAGCTTCATTCTGACATGTTAAAGTGGGGCAAATTGAATTGGGGGTATATAGGATCAAATAACAGCAAAAAATAATTGGAGTGGGACTATCCTAGCGAACTCACCTCTTGCCTTTTACCAGAGATGACCGTGGGACGGCCCAATAGACTCCGTTCAATAATCTTTGGCACCAAATCATGCGAATCCGCTGGGTTCGATTGTTCTTTTTGCCATTTTTTTTCTTGGGGGTTTTTTTCTCCCATTGGTTCTTGCAAACGGCCGTAAGAAAACGGGCCTACGTTTTCTTATCTAGTCCGTATAACTCCGAATTCGAAGACGTCGTCTCGAATTGTTGGGGAGGGGGAAACGGAGAAAACGGAACGGCTGCCATTTAGCGGGACACCGTTTTGTTCGACGGGGCTTTTACTGTGCGGGTATCTGCGAGTCACAGTGAGCAACACGGCGGAATACGGTGTCAATATGGCCCCGATACCTGAATAAATCCGAGATCCACACGCTAGGTCGTAACAGGGACCCTTGCTTCGCTCCACCAATGCCGTGGAGTGCAGTGTGATTCTTGTGATTCTTGCACTGTGTCGCCGAGTATTACTCGGAGCTTCGCACGAGCTGGCGCGGGGTGCACTTGCACCTAGCCGAGCTTACATTCAACAACCATCTTCCCTCGCGTATTTCAATCATCTCACCTCTCCATCTTTTATAAATCCTTTTTGTTTGTCCTCAATTTTACACCGACCGTCCCCATGAACAGAATGGCCAGCTGTATTTTTTGCAAGATAATCAAGGGTGTGTTTTACTCCGCCTCCCCGTATTTGCCGTGAAGCTCATCGAACTAGGAGATATCCCATGCTTTAAGCTCTATGAGACCGAGCAGACGCTCGCTTTCCTGGACATCAACCCTTTAAGCTCGGGCCATGCAGTGCGTAATAAAAACTGTTCAATTCGTCCCTCTTGCAAAATTGTCTAACATGCACTCCTAGCTGGTGATTCCTAAGTACCACGGTGCTAAGCTTCTGGACATCCCGGACGAGCACCTGGCCGATATTCTGGTGCGCATGATACATCATTCGATCTCCGCTCCCCAACATCTGTATGCTGACCACAATGATGTCGTAGCCCATCGCTAAAAAGCTTGCAAAAGCCACTGGCGCTGAAAATTACAACATTCTTCAGAACAACGGCCGATTGGCACATCAAGAGGTCGATCATGTGAGTCTTCCACTATCTCGCCATGTTATCCCCTATACACTGCAGCGCCACGAGACTGACGGCTTGACCAGGTACACTTCCACATGGTAATCAACTCGCAAAGACAGCTCTGATTGATCTGGTGCTTTTCGGTGTGCCTTTATTATTCTAACGTACAATACCTAGATTCCCAAGCCCAACGAGGCCGAGGGCCTCGGTGTCGGCTGGCCCATGCAGAAAACGGACATGGATAAGCTCAAGGCTCTCTATGAAGATATCAAGTCTCGGATTTAAAAAGTACAACAAATGAGGTACAAAAAAGAGTCAACCAGTAAAGGTGCAAAAGGATAGCAACCCCTGTATGTCGTTTCCTTCCCATTAACAATGAACCCCAAAAATCAGGCAGCTATAGTGCTTCTCCATCCAAACAAACAATGAAAACCCACATCAAACCAAAGAGAGTGACCGCCAACAGTGCAGTGTGGCAGTAGCGATACCAATTGGTGGCGATTGGACAAACCCGAATTGCGGCTGTAATCGAGAACCTCTGTGGAGGACCGTCGACATACAGTCTGGTCGGCAATGCTACAAAACAATGGCTAGCTGCATTACTCCACGTCATCGATCGAAATGCTTGCTGTCACCTCGCCATTAGTTGCGGGATTTGCAATTGCGCCAGGTGTCTGTGTTGTCTCGTCGATCCCCAAGTGAAGGCTCCGATTAACGTCACCGTTGGGCAGAAGAAGGCCAATTCGGTCATACAGAGAGCGTGCACGCAAGTAAGGATCGACCTTCCAGTAGTCGACCCGCATGCGATTGGCAATGTCGTCCCTTTCGGCCTTGAGTGCCTTGGCTTTCTCACCCTCAGGGTTCATAATCCACTCGCCTGTTGCCACTTCGTACTGCCGATAGAGTTGTTCACGCTTGGCAAGAAGCTGGTCCCGTGTGGCCGTGTCGCTGATCCTGTCGTCATCTCCTGGAGTCGGCTCGACAAATTTGTACTCCCAATCATCGCCACCATCCAGCTCCTTCAGGATTTGGTCCTTCTCGATGAATTGTTCCATGTCCTTGACATTATTTGTGAAGTGCACTTTGCTAGCCACGACCGGGTCTAGCCATCCACGTATTATCTTCCAAATGCCTGATACGACAGTCAGAAACAAGCACGACCGAGTATATAAGTCTAGAGAAAGAGCTAGCAACCCACCTTGGAAGATCCATGGCGCCTTGTGTACTAAGACTGCCCCGAGACATTCGGGATAGTTCGCCTCAAAGCACTTGATCATAAACTTGACAGGCGTGTAATCCTATGGAGCATTAGTCATGTCGGCCTTTCACCTCAGTTCCTACTAAGTCATCTCGCGGCTACCAGCAACTTACCATGTTCGCTAGAGAGAAGCTGGTCATGTCGAAAATAATAGTCTGATTCACGTCAGTCACTAACTTCCAAGGAGGCTAGGAAGCTGCAGCTGCTTACGGCCGTGTCGACAGGCGGCTGCAAAAGCATGCGAGCCGTCTCGATGATGTACACTGTGTACTGCTCCATGCTCTCTTCGCTCTGGTCTCCTTGGTGGTGCAGGCGTACACGCACGACGCAGATCGGGCGACCGGTTTTGTCAAAGCCGTGAAGGAAGCTCTTCCCCATTCGAATTTGGTCGAGAAAGTCGTGACTCAACTTGGCCTGATTGTCAGAGCCGCCTTCGCGTGCGACTGCAGCACCCTCACCGGAGCGCACAAGGTCCTCGACCTTCATGTCTTGAGACCGCCAGTGCATGGTGGATACCAGCATGACCAGTGCCTTGTCCACATCCCACTTCCTGGCGCGCAAAAAGCGTAGAAGGAGGGCATCTGGATGATCGTGCTTGACCATACTCCATATCGTGGCACGAATCAAATCCGGTGTCATGCTAGCAAGTGCGTCCTGATAAATCTTGCCTTGTCCATATTTGTCATCGTCGGTGTTGACGTTGACTGTGTGGGTCGATTTGCTTGCTGCAGATGAGCTGTCATCTGCAGTGTTGCCGTCCTTCTTGGACCGGTGGAAGAGACTGCGCTTCTTCTTTTTGTCGGGTTTCTTACCGTCCTTTCCCGATGCTTTTCCGGCGGAGTCCGTAGGCTCCATATCCGCACCCTCATCATCCTCGGCAGTGAGGTCAGTGCCACACACCCGAAACACGGCTGCCCATAGCTGACGAAGCTTCTCCTCTTGCTCCGGAGTCAAGGTACCAGGCCGACCAGGCCCCAGTTCAACCGCCATATTTTCAAATAGGCTACCGAAAGGCTTTTCGTTTTGAACTCGGTCCAAAGCGCCTTCTGTGGCGACCGACACGCTCCGACTGCGAGTGTTATAGAAGAATGATCCGGCAACTACCAGCGAGACGGCAGACAACAAGGTTAAAGTGAAGCTAGCTTCAAGAACGTGATTAGAGTGAGAGCGCGCGTAATCTTGCCGAATGGTGCTTGTGCTCGTTGACTGCCCCTGCAAATGAACGGAGCGGATAGGACGGGTAGGAATAACAAGTGTATGGCTCAGAAACGAGGTAGGAGTAGAGCAGCGTGGCACTCGAATTGCGATATTGAGGGTTGTTGAACGGAAAAGCCACGAGGACATAACATGAGAAGGAGAGCTGGCGAAACGCTCGTTAGCCGTGAATTCACATTGACGGGACGCATCAAGAGCGCCCTTCCAACCAGACAATTGGAGGGTGCATGTATAGTCAAAGCGTCCTGGAAATATTTGTATCTTGTTCACCTCAAGTTCTGTTTCAAAAGGGCTGTAGCAGCTGGCACACACGTCGCAAAGAGCCCTGACGCAGAACAGAATCACCTGCCGAAAAACCAATGGTGCTGCGCAAGAACCGCTGGCAATGACGTCGCTTGTCAAAAAAACAAATGGGGCGACGGAGTTGAGAGTGTGAAGAACACACGAGACTGAAGGACCAGAGAGGAAGGATAGCTAACCAACGGGACAACGGAGCTGGCAAAGTCCGTGTTGGCTCTGGGTGCAACCGATTTGGCGGGGTAGGACGTTGGATGCTGTCAGTTTGGCAAGTCGTCGCTTACAAACGCAGATCGACGATTGCGGCGCATAAAATACGAAGGAGAAAGAGATGGAGGAGGGGGGAGAAGGAGGAGGGAGATGTGAGAATGGCAGAATTTCTACGACATTACTGCATAGTCCAAAGCGGCAGCCACGATGGCCGGCGCAGCTGCTGACTGAAAAAAAGCAACTTGCCTGCACAAGCCTGATAGCCATACAAATTAATAAGCGCTGATCGCCGACGCAATATCCCGAGTCCTCCGGAGCCCCTATGCATAACACTACGTCGTATAATACGCTGCTGTAAGAGGCCGCCAGGCTCTGCCACGAGGGTCACGCGTCATTTTAGGGGGATCCAAACTACTCCGTACGTCGTATGGGTTAGGGCACGTGCTCGGCAACCCTCTCTCGTAAGGTGCGACGTACGAGCAATCTTAAAAGAGCGCTAGCATTAAAACGAGCACCGAGCCCGAACCTCGCCATGCATGTAAGCGTTGCAGTCGGAAAGTAAGATACAACCATCAGGACTTTGTACTCGTACGAAGTACGGAGAACTGCCAAGCGATCTGACAAACACAAACCACACTGCCCTGCACTTCAGTCCACAATGGCGACCGAACAGCACGGCTCGTCTTACCGCAATCGGTCCACGTCCCGAACGCACACTTCGCGTCCAACGACTCCGCTCCGACCGTCATCGCGGTCGTCGTTTCGCGAGTCTGCCCGCGGCAGCGTCCACGGTGACGCGTCCTTCCCACTCAACGCGTTCGAACCGGCGTTTGCAGAGCTCTCTGACGCCATGGCTGATCTAGAGGCAAATATGATGCATTACCAGCTGATGCACGAGAGCCTGTCACGGTTCAGTGAGAGCTTTGCTAGCTTCCTCTATGGGCTTAATATGAATGCCTATTGTGTGGACTTTCCCGAGGTGGGTGGCCCACAAAGAGCACTCCTGTTACGGGGGGAATTGAAGCTGATAATTGTCTTTCAGGGGCCCATATCTGAGTCTTTCCGAAGAGCGAAGCAGAGGGACGAGAGCACGACTGTAGCGAATATCCGACAGGAATCCGAAGGAGGTGAGCGGATGAGTCCTTGCTCGCACCCGTCTTTGTGAAGAATGGTTTATATTAATAAGCCTAGGAGCAACACAATTACGAGAAAGGATAATGGGCGACCTGGATGGCGAGACGACCTTCATGTAAGTTGGTGGAAAGGTCCGCGTCTGTAAGCGCTCCTTCTGACCTTGAACCGATTATATACAGGACTACAGACACATCGTTTATCGAAAACCCGGCGACATCCTCTAAGAACTCGTCCAGACTCCAAACGCCCAAACCAGCCACAAGGGGTTCTGCGACAGCTACGGCGCGCGGTGGACGCGGTGGACGTGGTGGGACCGGGACCCGAGGCACCGCAAGCACCCGTGGAGGCCGACCAAGCGGGCTGGGAAGACCGAGGGGCAGAGGCATACGGTGAACGTGTGGGTGGGAGGACTGGGTAATGGAAGCGCTGATGCCCGGTTAATTGCATACCCCGACAAGTGCAATCAGCAATTGCGGCTTCGTCGATTTCGCCCCATAACGCCAGCTGCTTCGTAACGGTTTTGTAAATGTGTTGATTCCAGACGCATCTAACCCGGCCACAGACATGGCCGCTGTTCTTCGTTATGTTGCCGGCACAAAGAAGTCGCCCAAGGGAACGCTGTACCTCCAGTGTCATATCAAACCCGGCGCCAGCAAGATTCGTCAGGGCGTGACGGCTGTGACGGATGATGCCATCGAGATCTGCGTGTCAGCCCAGCCGCGTGATGGAGAGTCGAACAAGGCCGTACTCGGTGTCCTCTGCAAGGCGAGCGCCTCTCGGCTTCCTGCCCCCAGCACAACGATGTGGTGGCTGTCTTGCTGACCTGGTTGCAGGTTCTCGATGTGCCCAAGTCTAGCCTGCAGATCACGCGCGGCCTCAAGTCGCGAGACAAGACCGTGGCCGTTGCAGGTTTGTCTGAGACAGACGACAAGGCGCAAGAGTTGTTGGACCGCGTAAAGATACTCTTGTCCAACGCAGCAGGCGGTAGCAGTTCTTCTGCCCCCTAGATTGGCAATGTCCTTCATCTGCTAAAAGGGTGCTGGATCGGATGAATGCGCAGCGACGATTGCTACTCACCCCTGATATGATGGGTGCACTACCGGGAAGCACGAGAAAGAAGTTGAGCGCATATTGTCGCGAGAGAACTATCTGATTCTGCATGGCATCCTGAATGGGTTTGGTCTTCGCTGGACACCATCCCGCTCGTAGGTGAAGACAATATCGAAGTTCAGGCATATTTAAATGACCTGCACAAGGATTAGGCAAGCCGAGTTCTGATGCATACTCCGTATGTTCGTAGAATACGGAGTATAAGATATCTTACTCCGTACATTTGCTGTGCTGTAGCAAGGCAGGGCCACTCTTGATTGGCTGTCACACCATTAATGTCCCCCGCAACCCACATCAACGTCACTGGAGCAGAAACAAGCTTCCCCATTTTGCGCCTTTCCCGCAACTCCCCAGATTTGTTGCAACCTCCCATTGTAACAATTAAACATGGCCTCCCGACTCTTCCGACCTACCGCCTCCATCGGCCGTTCAGCCGTGGCCTCGCGTGTGGCTGCCGCCAGACAGTTCCATGCGACTCGTCCGGCCTTTGTCCACGTTGGTCAGAAGGTTCCCAGCATTGAGGTCTTGGTCGAAAACAGCCCCGGAAACAAGGTCAACCTGGCCGAGGAGTTCCAGAAAGGTGACGGCCTCATCATTGGTGTACCGGGCGCTTTTTCGGGTGCTTGCTCGGAGAAGCACGTTCCCTCGTACATCCTGCACCCCAAGCTCAAGGAGGCTGGCCAGGTTTTTGTCGTCTCCGTTAACGATGCCTTTGTGTAGGGTTTTATTTTACGTTGTCTTGACTATTTTCTTCCAACTGGCTAATTCACCACCTCTCTCCGATTACAGCATGAAGGCATGGGGCGCCTCGCTTGACCCAACCGAGCAAACCGGGGTATGTCAGGACAGATACCAGGTGGAGAAGCCGTCGTTACAGCGGAGCAGAGCTAACTTCCGCTGCGCCTACAGATCCGGTTCCTCGGCGACCCGGCCGGGGAGTTTACCAAAGCGCTGGATCTCGATTTTGACGCCACGCCGATTTTTGGAAATCCGCGGTCGAAGCGCTATGCTCTCGTCATCCGTGACGGCAAGGTCGAGAGTGCCCACGTCGAACCAGACAACACCGGAACAAACGGTGCGTCCTGCGCGTCTTCCACTCCTAACAAGGTATTCGCTAACTTATTTGTTTTTTCAGTGTCGCTGGCGGACAACGTCCTCGGGGCCAAGGTAAGAGCGTCCTACTGCCCAATCACATCCGTCTATGGCATTCCATGTGACTAATACAGCCATATTTGAAGGATTGGTGAAGGACTTCCAAGACTACGAATACACCCAGGCGATCCAACGGGAGCATAGTCGACAATCTGTGTACGAGTACATCGACAAAGTTTTCAGTCGTAGACATTAGTCAGTCTTGCCACCGCGAGTTCCGTGGGAGTTTGCGTACTCCGTGCGCACTCGTACACGTGATGCAAATGCCTGTCTCAACACTGTGCAAATTCACGCTCTTTCAGGCAGCCGTAGTGGCCATACGTGCTAAAACCATCTAAATCCGCCCCCTCTTAGACGCCCTCCCAGCCTCGAAACAGTGGGCCCGGCCCCTTAGATAGGTAATCAATGACACTGTAGAGGGGCTGCCGCCTTGCCGTCGCGAGTCAGCCGTCGACGAAGTTACTTCCCCTTCCTTCTACTACTCGAACTCTGTCTTCGCCATCGATCTTGACATCGCAACAATAAAACGAGGCATCCGCCCTTTTCCAGGACTCACCACTTCTATCGATCATCACTCTTGCTTGTGTCTGTCTTTTCCACAAAGCAGCAGCGGCTACTTTCTCCATCGTTTATGACGAAAGTCGACCCGTTCTGCATGTCAAAGCATCATCTTTCTCGGCGACCGACCTTCTATTTCCCCTGCCCTCCCTAAAAAGAACAATATTGTGTGGCTCGTCGACTTGTTTTGACGAGCCTGAGAAACCCTCACCATTGCTCCACGACCCCCAAAGCGGAAAGCCGCTGAGGCGACGACAGCCGTCGAGGGCCGTTCTCTTCGCCAGAGGAGACTCCCCCCAGAAGGCAGGAAGGACGCAGCGACTATATCCGTTGCCTCCCAGAGAAAGAACGCGGCAACGGAGAAAGCGACAGCGGCGGAGGCGGTGGTGACAGTAGCAGCAGCAGCAGCAGTATCACCGCCCTTGTCCGCCTTTTCAAAAGGACCACCCACGCCCCAGACTACAACCTCCAACGCCATGGATTCCGACGACGATATGATGTCGAACCTGTCTAGTGATGACGATGTTCTGCAAGACGATAGCGATATCGACGACCTATCAGGAGGCGAAGGTAAGCTGGCGTCAAAGCATGGGACTTTCCGCTCTCGCTGTTGTATTGTGCTTGTGGTTGAGCAGTCTGCTAACTGTGGCCGGGAATCGGTAGATTTCGATGACTTTGGCATGGAGCCTGAGGACGCGGATATGGGCCTCGATAAGGACGGCTTGGACGACAAGCAGAGAAAACCGTACGATGTTAAATACACGGTCTATGAGCCTAAAGACATTCGGAAGCAGCAGGACGAACTCATCAACGACGTTGACCTCATCCTAGAGATGCGTCCAGAAGATGCAGCGATCCTCCTTCGATACTTTCGCTGGAACAGAGAACGTTTGATCGAGGAGTATATGGAGCGCCCGACCAAGGTGCTGGAGTCGGCAGGCCTCGGGCCCAGCAGTTCGGCACTCCCCAAGCTCGAGGTCATTCCTGGGTTTGTCTGCGACATTTGCTGCGAGGACGGCCGTGGGCTGAAGTCGTTTGCGATGAAGTGCGGCCATCGCTTTTGCGTCAACTGCTACCGCCAGTATCTGACGCAGAAGATCCGAGAGGAGGGCGAGGCAGCACGAATACAGTGTCCATCAGATGGCTGCGGCCGGATTATCGATGCCAAGTCGCTGGATGTGTTGGTGACGCCCGAGCTGACGGACCGCTATCACGAGCTGCTCAACCGCACGTACGTGGAGGACAAGGACTCACTCAAGTGGTGCCCTGCGCCCGACTGCCAGAACGCGGTGGACTGCCACGCCAAGAAGAAGGACCTGGACCGGATGGTGCCGACGGTCGAGTGCCATTGCGGTTATCGGTTCTGTTTCGGCTGCAGCCTAACGGACCACCAGCCGGCACCTTGCAGGCTCGTGAAGCAGTGGCTCAAGAAGTGCGCGGACGACTCTGAAACGGCCAACTGGATTTCGGCGAATACCAAGGAATGCCCCAAGTGCAACTCAACGATCGAGAAGAACGGCGGCTGCAACCATATGACATGCCGCAAGTGCAAGCACGAGTTTTGCTGGATGTGCATGGGGCTCTGGTCAGAGCACGGCACGAGCTGGTACAACTGCAACCGATTTGAGGAGCGGAGCGGCACGGAGGCACGGGATGCGCAAGCTAAGTCTCGTGTGAGCCTGGAGCGGTACCTCCACTACTACAACCGGTACGCCAACCACGAGCAGTCGGCGCGGCTGGACAAGGACATCTACAGGCGGACGGAGAAGAAGATGGTGCAGCTGCAAACGTCGTCGGGCATGTCGTGGATCGAGGTGCAGTACCTCAACGCAGCGTCGCAGGCGCTGCAGACGTGCCGACAGACGCTCAAGTGGACGTACGCCTTTGCCTTTTACCTGGCGCGAAACAACCTGACGACAATGTTTGAGGACAACCAGAAAGATCTGGAAATGGCGGTAGAGGCGCTGTCGGAGATGTTCGAGCTGCCGGTGGGGGATTTATCTGAGGCGAAGATGAAGCAGCAAATCATCGACAAGACAGCATACTGCAACAAGCGGCGGGTGATTCTGCTGGAGTACACGGCGGACAACCTCTTTCAAGGTGAGTGGTTGGTTGACACCGGGTTTACAGAGCGCAGGACGCTGACAACGGGGCAGGCCGCTGGACGTTCAACTCGATGGAACATGCCGAGCCGACCGCTTCGGCCAAGACAACGGCGGCGGCAGGTGGCAGCCGGCCGTAGAACAAGACGGGCAGTTGATGGATGCGCCAGTGCAGACGAGCCATGTGAGGCTAGTTTGACGGGCTGGCGGTTGACAAGCAGACATTACCACATTCAGATATTAGATTGCATGTATCTCGGAGTGCTGCGGCATCTGCGAAGTGGGTGAAGAGCGCGGACCCCACAGGTGATTGATTTCCTTTGGTCTTCTTTGCTTTTGCTCTTTGCTTTACTCTTTGCTCTTTGCTCGTTGCGCCTTTTTGGAAGGAACGGTGAAGTCCATGACCCGTTTGTGGAGTATACAGGGAGCCGATGGATGGGATGTTTAGGATTAGCGTTGCGGAGGGTTTGCCAGCGTAGCAAGGCCCTCTGCATAATGAACTTTTTCTTGACTTATTGCTGAACTGTGACCGGCCATGAATGGCGTTATTTTTCCCGCAGCTGGCTCGAGGGCTGATGGGAAGAAAGCTTTGCCGAACATGGGCCGAAATCGGAAATACGGGACGTGGGGAAAGCCAGGGTCGGAAGAGGCAGGCACTAGCGGAATTGGCACAGCGGTTGTAACTGCCGTGTTGTAGGACCGAACGGCGATGGAGTAGGAGCTGTCTCCTCACCTTTTATTGGGTGCAGCTCGGCTGCTGCGTGAAGCCAGAGCTGGGATCGGCTGTGATTTCTTCCTCGCCTTGTGCCGGTTTTCTGTTACCCGGCTCCTCCTCGTGGCCGGACTGTCTTTTCTCGGGCTCTTACACATCCCTTCTCAGTTTTCATTCGTCTCTCCTTCCCCTCTCATTTCAGCTTCGCCCTGCAACCGGCAGTCGATATAGAAAGATGCGTTCTGCTACGACGTGTCTGAAAGGCCTGCGGGCCTACTCGAAATACGGCTCGAACGTGAGGCTTCTCTCCCTTCTCTCTGGCGGACGCACACAGCTAACGTGGCCAAGCACGCCGCCCTCTTTGCACGGGCTTTCTCGGCGACAGCCCGGCGTCCCCGGATCGACAAGGTGCTGCCGTCAGCGACGGAGGCCATCAAGGACATGAAGCCGAACAGCATCGTGCTTGTGGGCGGGTTTGGGCTGGCGGGCGTGCCAGACACGCTGATCAAAGCGGTGCTGGAGAAGTCGGACATCAAGGGCCTGACGGCAGTGTCGAACAACGCAGGCACAGACAACCACGGTCTCGGCAAGCTGCTGCAATCGAAGCAGGTGTCCAAGATGATTGCATCGTACATTGGCGAGAACAAGACGCTGGAGCAGATGTACCTCACGGGCGAGATAGAGCTGGAGCTGACGCCACAGGGCACGTTGGCAGAACGCTGCGCGGCCGGCGGACGGGGCATTCCGGCCTTCTTCACGCCAGCAGCTCTGGGCACGGTGGTGCAGACGGGCGAGCTGCCGCTGCGCAACAACCCAGACGGCACGCCGCTGCAGTTCTCGAAACCCAAGGACGTGCGCGTGTTCAACGGCAAGCCGTACCTGCTGGAGGAGAGCATCGCGGCAGACTACGCGTTTGTCAAGGCATACAAGGCGGATCGGCTGGGCAACTGCCAGTTCCGGCTGGCGGCACACAACTTCAACGGGGCGATGGGCCGCAATGCCAAGATGACGATCGTGGAGGCCGAGCACATTGTGGAGCCGGGCGAGATCCCGGCAGAGGCAGTGCACCTACCGGGCATCTACGTGAAGCGGGTGGTGCAGAGCACGGCGACTAAGGAGATTGAGAAGCACGTGTTCACGCTCAGCCCGGAGGAAGAGGCCGCAGAGCTGCAGAAGGCGCTGGGCACGGGGGCGACGGCAGAGAAGCGCAACCGGATCGTGCGGCGGGCAGCAAAGGAGTTCAAGAACGGCATGTACGCGAACCTGGGCATCGGGATGCCGATGCTGGCGCCCAAGTTTGTCGGGCCCGAGATCGAGGTGCAGCTGCAGAGCGAGAACGGCATCCTAGGACTGGGGCCGTACCCGCGACGCGGCGAAGAGGACGCGGACCTGATCAATGCCGGCAAGGAGACGGTGACGCTCAAGGACGGCGCCTGCGTCTTTGGCAGCGAGGAGAGCTTTGGCATGATCCGCAGCGGTCGCATCGACCTGACCATCCTGGGCGGCATGCAGGTCAGTGCCTCGGGCGACCTGGCCAACTGGATGCTGCCCGGCAAGGTCAAGGGCTTTGGCGGCGCCATGGATCTGGTCAGCAACCCGTCCAACACCAAGGTCGTCGTTACTATGGAGCATACCGATCGCAAGGGCAACCCGAAGCTGGTCAACCAGTGTGCCTTTCCGCTGACCGGCAAGGGCTGCGTGTCCATGGTCATCACAGAGCTGGTGTGTTTATTTATTTCTTCACTCTCTCTTTCTTCCTCCCTCTCTCCCCCTCTTTTTCTCTCCTCTTTCCCTCTCCCTCTTCCTTCACTAACTTTCTAGGGCGTCTTCAACATCGATGCCAAGACTGGCCTCACCCTTAGCGAGATTGCCGACGGTGTGACTGTCGAGGAGATCCGCAGCAAGACGGGCGCGCCATTCCACGTGGCCGAGGACTTGAAGCCGATGCTGTGAGCGCGATGTAGAGCTGTCCGATAATGTACATATACAATGAATTATACAATGAAAAGGGAACCCATCTGTTCCTGTACATATCTTACTAAGCAATGCGACCTGCTGTTGCCCTCTTGTGTTGTTAACCGCATCGCTCTGTCCTCATTGGGCGAGATTAGCTAACCTCCATTCAGTTCGACGAAACGGATCCTCAACAGCTCAAAAGAATACACTATTATTTGAGAGATCTTTTATTTGACAGTTGCCCAGGCCATGCGTACCAACAATGACCGTTCACTCCAGACACACAGACTTGGGCTGGGACCTACGAGGTCAAGACTGGACGCCCTTGACACGGTTCCCACGGCCGTCCCGCGGCCCCAGATCGCTGGCCGTGATGGCACTGGAACATGTGGCCCACGGCATCGGTCAGCTGGGCTCTGGACACGTGGGCGGTCTCTCTGTGCAGTCGGCTGACAGGCTGCGCATGCTGTTGTCCAGCCGGTATGTCAGTCCCTACGACTTGGACGCGTCCACAGGACTGACCTGCACATAGCGGCGAATTGTCTCTCCATGCGTGGAAATTGCTGTTGCGCCATCTGCCAGATCCGGCGTATCACGAGGATGAGCTGGATTCTGTCCGCTGGCGGTACTGTCTTGTCTGTCCTCGGCCGCAGAGCCAGCTGTGTGTCTTCACGCGTCCGCTCGGCGCGCCCGCGGTCGAGTTTATCGCCCACCTACGCATCACGACGTCGTCCGACAACGCTCTCTTTGGCACTCACGAGCTACTTGCTCTGGCCGCGCTGCCGAACCTCGGCGTGCTCGAGATTCTTGACAGCAGCAGCAGCAGCAGCAGCAGCAGCAGCAGCAGCAATATCGGCACGCACGAAGTCTCCGACCGTCTCATCAAGGGCTGGAGCCTGTGTCCGGACCCGTTCCCCGCGCTTTGTGTCCTTAGGCTCTGGGGCTGCTACGACACGCTGACGCCGGCATGCCTGTCGTCTGCGACCTGCCTGCCGGTCCTCGCTGTCCTGGACCTGTCCGTTGGCAACTACCATACGGCAGGCTGGCGCGACGGGTCAGAGCCCGCGGCTGCAGCGTTCGGCTGGAGGTGTTCTGCGCCGTCCTGCCAACGCGGGCTGCCGGGGGATGACAGCCTTGTGCGCATGCTGCACGCTACTCTAGGCACGTCGGACGACAGCCTGGACAGAGATGCTGGATCCCGAGGACGAGGCGGCGAGCGGGACGATCAACTAGCCGACATGACCTCTGCATGGGCTTTCGAGCTTTACTCGTTTTTACGGGCGCAGGGCTACTCGCTCGACCAGGCGACATTCCCGACCGTCCGGCCGTTTGCCACGCTGAGCCTCGGCCAGGACCGGACAACGAGACCGGGACCGGCTGATGAACGCCTGCTCTTCGTGCGCACACCCGCATCGATCCGGGCTCACACGGCACAGGCAGAGATGCAGCGAAAAACCGACGCCACATCGTCTAGGCAAGCTACGAGAAAACGGCCGAACAATACCCAGCAACCGCGGCTGAGAGCCAAGAAGAGCAGGGGCGCCAACGTACGCGACATGCTTGCATCCCTGAGCGGGGGGGTAGACAGCTGCAAGAACAAGTCACGAATGGATGTATCAACAATTCAAATTTCTCTAGGCGCCACTCCAGACAAAAGTCCGTAAAGACACCCAAAGGGTAAGTAGTCGACGTGTTTCTTCTCTCCTCCAATTTCCCCTCCAAGACCTGCCACTGAGGCGGCTAAAGCCAGAGTGAATATGAAGGATTTTCAGTTTTTATGAAGAGAAAGAGGAGGAAAACAGGAAAGAAAAAAAACCAGAGGCGGACAAATTATAGTGTGGGCGATTTGCGCGCTAGCGAAAAGACCCGCTTATTAAGTCAGTCAGTACTGGTTTGATGCATCTTTGGCAAAGTTGCCTCGCAGGCGTAAGATGCTTGTATGGGGCGCAGCCACGACCTGCAGGTGATCCATGGTAATAACGTCATGCTGCACCACTCAGAGAGGCTGTGCCATGCGTCGAAAGGACTACAAAGCTTACAAGCTCACGGCTGCTTGTGCATCTAGTTCACAGCCTCAGGATGGATTTGATCACGTGGGAGAAATGAGAGCAAAACGCGGATCTTATAATGCATAAGTGCATATTCGTTTCCCACCCCGCCTTCATGGTCGTGTCGACACTATAAAACCCTGCCCCTCTCTCGCCTCACCTCATACCATCACTCGTGAGCAACGCTTTTCTGGGCTACTTATTCTCCTGTTGCTCTGATTTCCTTGGATTCGCACCGCCCGGACTCTCGGCCCTTTCCTGCGACCATCTGTACAAGGAAAACCTGCTCGAAAGCCATCCTCCATCTATTTCCGCCTTCTTACTCTTCCACATCCAACATGGTCGGCAGTGTGCAGCCCGGAGCGAACTCGCGTGGTCGCGGCGGCAAGTTCCGCAAGTTTACTCGTGGAGGTAAGGTGATGTACCCTTGTTTGTCGCTTCCGGCATTTCTGACAGTCTGACAGGCGGCAAGCACTTTTCGCGTGACCTGCGACCTCTCGACGCGGACGGCAACGAGATCAGCATGTGGGCCGAGGGTGCGCAGAAGAAGGACAAGGGATCCGACGACGACTCAGAGGAGTCGGAGGAAGAGTCGGAAGAGGAGTCAGACGACGAGGGCGCCGCATCCAGCGCGGCCGCAGTAGCAGCAGCGGCGGCATCGCGCGAGGACCGCAAGAAGGAGAAGAAGGCACGCAAGGAGGCAGCGATTGCGCGATCCAAGGGCCGGGCGGTACAGGTGGGTGACCTGCCATCGGACGAGGAGGAGGAGGAGGAGGACGACGACGATCTGCCGGCCAACCCGAACCACAGCAAGGCCAGCCGCAACCAGACACAGGCCGGCGCGGCTGATCCACATTCGGCGGCCAATGCGGCCAATGCGGCGGCCGATGCCGTCAAGGAGCTCAGCCTCGGCAGCAGCAGCAGCGCGGCTGCCGGCACGCCCAGCCGCAAGGAGCGTGAGTCCATGGAGGCGCTGCAGGCCAAAGAGCGCTACCGACGCCTGCACGAGCAGGGCAAGACGGACGAGGCCAAGGCGGACCTGGCTCGGCTGGCGCTCATCCGGGAGAAGCGTGAGCTTGAGGCGGCTCGGAAGCAGGTAAGCAACGAGACGGACAGAGGAGAGAAAAGAAGAAAGAGGAAAGAAGAAAGACACGTGACATGCTGACAAATTGTACAGGCCGAGAAGGAGGCTCGAGATGCGGCCGAGGCGGCCCGGAGAGACGGGACCGAGGCCAAGAAGCGCGAGGCTGCCCTGGGCAAGTCGGCCAAGGCAAAAGGCAAGAAATAAGAGGAGTTCACGCGTGATTGTGCCGTCCAGTCTAGCTGCTATCGTACAACCTTCCATTCCATACAGAGACCCTTTGTCCTGTCAATGCCGTTCCTATGCGTCTATGTCCGATTGTGCATTGTTGTCGCTTTCCTGCGCTTTCGCTGAAGCTTTTGACTTCAACTCCGCCCACCCACCTACATTCCCGCCAGCCCGTCGGATCCGACGCTGTCGCGCCAGAGCTCGTCAAAGTCGACGCCATTCCGGCTAAAGAGCGCGCGCACTTCGGCAGCCACAACGGCCTGACGTTGCTCATCGCCCAGGCCGCCTGGTTTGGCCACCTCGCGCTGGATGATCTCGATCCAGCGGAAAAAAAGGTCCTCCTTGTCCATGGCTGAGAGCGCCTCACGGAAGGCAAGCACCTGCAGGCGCCGCTCATCGTTGGCCGCCTCGTCGCCAGCACTGGCACTGCCGGCACCCCCGACACCTCCGAGCACCTGCTTGTCCACCGTGACCCAGCCGTAGACGTCGTGGTGCAGCAGCACAAGCTTGCCAAAGGCCTCCAGCCCGACATCCTTCTTGTCGACCAGCGTGGTGGCCCACACCATCATCGCCCAATCGAGGTCCCAGCTGCCGTCCATGGTGAGGTATCCGGTCTTTTGCTCCAGCAGCGACGGCGCCGTCGCCTGGACGACGTAGCCCAGCAGCAGCCGCTGTCCCTGCTCGTCGGTCAGGAGGTCGACCTTTTTCGTCGTCATGGAGTCGATGCCGCCCGTTCGCGCCTCCGCATACCACGACCGGCTGCGCCGCACGTAGATCTCCTTGTCGCGGAAACCGACGGCCCAGCGCCACTGCACCGGGCTGCCGTGACGATTGCCGGCGACAAACTCGACGGGCCACGGCCAGACAAAGATGGCCAGACAGAGGTCAAGCATGAAGCTGAAGCCGCGGCGCAGCACCACCTCGGCCATCTTGCGCCACTCCAGGTCGACAGCCCGCAGCGTGGCCTCGTTGGCTGACCCCAGCGCCGTCTCGAGCAGCAGCCAGTAGTACGGCCCAATGTACCACACGCGCCAGACAAACAGCAGTGCCACGGCCACGTTCATGAGCACCGGCACTGCAAAGATCTTGCGCTTGAAGTCCCGCGGCCGCCCGTCCACGTGGACAATGTACACGTGGCGCGGCGAGAGCTCGTCGAAGAAGGGCCGCAGGCTGTCGGGTGCCTCCTGGAAAGGGTGCGGGAGCTCGGCCAGCGTTCGAGAAGCTGTCTTTCGGCCGGCCGACGTCCGGCTGGTCGACGATGCAGCAGCCTTGGCGTTTCGCTTGGGAGCCATGTCGATAACGGGGGAGGGGGGTTCGCGATCTGTCGATGCTCCGTCTCCTGACAAGTGGACAACACAAATCCCAAAATCGAATACTATGTACGTGTTCTGCTGACAAGGCGCTAAAGCCGCTGGAACCACTGTAATATCTTACTTTTAGTGGGCACCGGGGAGGATCCACTTTAAAGCATACAGCCTGCTAGATGCTTTTTGGTGCAGAATCTTCCCGAGACAGAGCTCTGGATGGAAACCGGCTTCACGTCTCAACGCCACCATGATACGAGGGCATCTGTGGAGGGTGAGCCAGGCGCTCTGGGGAATGCTCTCGACCGCTGTTCCGCTTTTGCTGACTCGCACAGGACCCCCAGAGGCGCTCCATCGCGATCGCAGCTAGTCTTCCGAGCTGCCGGCTTTCGACGAGGATCCCGACGACAGCAGCGACTGTGCGGTGGCAGTCGCAAGACCGACCGAAGCCGTTTCAGCCGTTTCAGCCGTTTCAGCCGATTCAGACGACGGCCTCACGCCAGAACCTGCCCGACGGCCCTCCTGCTAACCGGCCGTTTGGAGGCGGTCTTCCTCCGTCCAGGACCAATCGCCCACCGACACGAGAATGGGGCAAATTGCAGCAGCGCAGTGGTCCGCGTCGGGGCAAGACTCCCCATCAGGGCGGTGGTGCGTCGGACGGCAGCCCCCTGCAACAGCTAGCACGTGACATGACCAAGCCGTCGCGGCCAAAAGCGTCGATGCTGGGCTTTGAGCCCATCCGCAAGGCACGAGGTGGCGGGCCACCAGGCCGCGACCGGAACGAGCAGCGACGGCCAGACGACTTCTTGGCGGCCTTTGGGGCCCGTGACAGCCCCAGCAGTGTATCGCGAACAGCTCGTGCACGCACGCCCAAGGCCGACCGTCGAGACCGAGACAGCGGCGGCAGCAGCAGCAACGACATCGCAGCCAACCTGACGGCAGACGGATGGGACGACGAGAAGATAGAGTTGGAACTGCAGTCGGAGTTCTCCGATGTACCGCTGCTGTTTGGCGAGGGCCCACTCCTCACGGATGGACCGCCGACCAGTGCGTATGAGCATCACCGCAAGGGCCGCAAGGAGAAGGTGGTGGCGGCGGAAAAGACGGGCAGAACAAAGGCCAAATCACGGCGCCGGAGTTCGTATGCGCCTGACGAAGACGACGAGTATGATGAGATGACGGAACGGGCGGAAGAGCGGCGGCAGCGCAAAGAAGAAAAGCGACGACAGCGCGAGATGGGCGCAGCAGCTGCTCGACAAGGCCCGATTCCGATCCTGCTGCCCGCATTCATCAGCGTGGCCAATCTGGGCACAGCGCTGCGGGTGCGACCACACGTCTTTCTGCAGCAGCTGGCCGAGCTGGGCTTCGACGACATCACGCTCGACAACATCATGACGGGCGAGACGGCCGCGTTGGTCGCACAGGAGTACGGCTTCGAGCCGACAGTGGACCTGGGCGAGGCAGTGGACCTGCGACGCCAGCCAGCAGCAGCAGAGCCATCAAAGCTGCCGGAGAGGCCGCCCGTTGTGACCATCATGGGCCATGTGGACCACGGCAAGACGACGATGCTGGACTGGCTGCGCAAGTCATCAGTGGCGGCACAGGAACATGGCGGGATCACGCAGCACATCGGAGCCTTCTCGGTCGAGTTGTCAGGCGGCAAGCAGATCACCTTCCTGGACACGCCAGGCCACGCGGCCTTTCTGACGATGCGGCAGCGCGGCGCGCTGGTGACAGACATTGTGATCCTGGTGGTGGCGGCCGACGACAGCGTCAAGCCGCAGACGCTGGAGGCGCTCAAACACGCGCGGGCAGCCCGCGTGCCCATCATCGTGGCCATCAACAAGGTGGATAAAGACGAGGCGCGCATCGACCAGGTGAAGAGCGACCTGGCCCGCTACGGCGTCGAGCTGGAAGACTATGGCGGCGACGTGCAGGTGGTGTGTGTGAGCGGCCGCACGGGTCAGGGCATGGCCGACCTGGAGGAGAGCATCCTGACACAGGCCGAGATGCTGGACGTGCGAGCTGAGCGTGACGGCCTGGCCGAGGGTTGGGTCCTGGAGTCGAGCGTGAAGGACCGTGTAGGTCGGGCGGCATCGGTGCTGGTGCGGCGTGGAACTCTGCGGCGTGGCGACGTCATCGTGGCCGGCATCACGTGGGCACGTGTGCGCGTGCTGCGAAACGAGGCCGGCGTCGAGATCGACGAGGCGCCACCGGGAACGCCGGTCGAGGTGCTCGGCTGGAAGGAGCTGCCGGATGCCGGCGACGAGGTGCTGCAGGCGCCGACCGAGACACGAGCCAAGGAGGCCACGGCGTACCGTCTAGAGGCACGCGAGCGTGGCCAGGCGGCAGCAACGGAACAGGAACGGCAGGCGAGCGAGGTGGCTCGAGTCGAGGAGAAGGAGAGGGCCGAGAACATTAAGTCCGAAAAATCCGAAAAATCCGAAATTGCCGAGACTGAGGCCGAAACGGCCGGTCCCTCGACGGTCAATTTTGTCGTCAAGGCCGACGTCATGGGCTCGGTCGAAGCGGTCGTGGCGGCCGTGCTGGAGATTGGCAGCCACGAGGTGCGGCCGCAGGTGTTGCGAGCAGCTCCAGGCCCAGTGACCGAGTCGGATGTCGAGCACGCTGCTACCACTGGCAGTGCCATCATCAGTTTTCACGGTGGCACCGTGCAGGGCACCATCCGCCGCATGGCCAAGGATGCCGGCGTGCCACTGCTGGAGCATTCCGTCATCTATCACCTGATCGATGAGGTCAGGGACCGGCTGTCGGCCCGTCTGGCCCCGACTGTTACCACGCGCGTGCTCGGCGAGGCAGAAGTCCTGCAGGTCTTTCCCATCAACGTGCGCGGCCGGCTTTTCCGCAACGTGGCTGGCTGTCGTGTGCGCAACGGCCTGGTCACGCGGAGTGGCCGGTATCGTGTGCTGCGTGGAAAGGAGGTGATCTTTGATGGTGAGTATGGGATGAGGGTGAGGGTGAAAAGCAAGCCGCTGACTCCACAGGAAAACTCGAATCCCTCAAACAGGGCAAGAAAGATGCCAGCGAGATGCGCAAAGGCACCGAGTGCGGGATCTCGTTTGATGGCTGGGGCGATTTCGCTGCCGGCGACACGATCCAGGCGTACGAGGAGATCCGCGAGAAGAGGACGCTCTGAGCTGGCTGGTGGCTGGCTGGTGGCTGGCTGGTGGCTCATAGGATGCATGCATGGCTGTATAACGACAGGAACGAGGCGCTCCGGACTGGGTATGGATGGCTGGGCTTGGGCCTGTAAAACACACCTCTTTGTTTTGGAGTTTGTGATTGTGATGATTGTGATGAATTGATGTGGCAGCACGTTCTATGTGGTTATCACGCGGGTAGCTCCTGCCGGCCTGACTGTCGGCTCTGCTCTGCTCTGCTCTGCACTTACAATCACAAACTAGTCACATGACTGCCAGCGACACCTTCACCCTCTTCGACCTGCTGCTACATAGCCCGACGTGAATGTCCGGGTCGAGATCGCTGCCCGTTCCCGCTCCTTTTTCAGCCGCGCCACGCCCATCTGGTCCGTCACCGGCGTCGCCATGATGATCTGGTCAAAGTCATCATCGTCATCGTCGTCGTCGTCGCCGTTGTCGCTGTCAACGCTCGCATTCTCGCCGTCTCCCTCGCTATCGGATGACGACCCATACTGCTGGTCGTTGTCTGAGTCTGGTTCGGCATTGGATGGTCGCGCAATCGGTGGCTGCAGCTGTTGTTGCTGCAGCGGTTTCTTCTCGTTCTTGGCACCCGAATCGGCAAACGGCCTTGAAGCGAGCACCTTTCTGCGGATCTCCTCCATCTCGGCCTCGTCGTCGCTGTCGTCCGAGATGTCAAACGGATCTCTGTCCGGCTGCTCTTCTTCTCCGTCGTCTTCCCCGCTCCCCCCCTCGTCCTCGCTGCCCTGCAGGTGTCGCAGATTCGAGTTGCCACCCTTCCAGATGTCGGCCGCACTCGCCCGATCCTCGCGGCTCTCCGTATACTCGCGCTCCAGCTGCTCGATCCACGCTTCCTCGGTCCGCTTCACCTCGCCGTCGTCCGCGCACGCCGCGTACCGCTCCAGCAGCGTCCGGTTGATGTTCAGAAACGACTCGCCGTACGAAAAGGGCGCCAGCACCGCCTCGGCCCATGCACGCTGGCCGCAGATGTAAAAGGCCGCGGCCAGCGCCTCCACGCAGTTCAGCCGCCACGGCTTGCCGTAGTTGACCGTGTTGGCCGCCACCAGGTATGGCAGCAGACGCTCGCACTTGCCGCCCACCTTGTTCCACTGCACCTCCTTGGTGCGTGCCCACGAACATTCCACCACGGCCGCGCCAAATTGCCGCAGCAGCTCGCCGTCCGCCGGGCTGACCACCTGCCGTCCGTTGGGCGTGATCACCACACCCGCGTGTCGCTGGCCCAGCTTGAGGTCGCGCATCAGACCCAGACGCATCAGCTTCTTGCCCGAGCACCGCTTCGGATCGCAGTGGCCCAGGTCCCAGCACGCTGCCTTGAAGGCTGGCCAGGACGACGATGACGACACCTGGGCGTCTTGGCCTTCGGCCGTGCCGTCGTCTGCTGCTGCGCCCGGCCGCGGTCGCGATGGACCGTAGTGCAGCTTCTTGCCCCGGCCACCAAAGTCTTTCTTGTGTCGGACCATGTTGGGTGTGTGTGTGTGTTTGTGTATGTGCGTAAGTCGGACTTCTGTTAGTTGCCTCTTTCGATATTTTACGTCTCCCTTTTCGGAAGCTGCTTATCAAAGGTGGGATACCGTGTATGCACAGTGCGCACACTGTCTCTAGTGGATTGCCTCTCCCAAATGACAAGCTGACCCGCATCGACCTGCCACCCATCACAAACGCCCTTCCACGCCGCATCTTCCAACCGCCCACGCTGGAGAGCATTGCAACCTGCTTTGATACGGCCTGTCCGAGGCCCACACAGCCTGCCAGGAAGCGCCCGAGCCAGCTGATTGGCTTACGGGCTGATAGCTAGGAGACACCACACGGGAAAGCTACCTAGGCTCTTCCCAGCCATAGCGAAAGACGCGATCGTCATCGTCCGGCCCACGGCCATCTACCGCGATGGAAGCCGCATCGGCGCGCTATGCGGCACGGGACCGTTGGGGTGAGCTGGCCCATCCGGCGCCGTCGCAGCTGCTTCGCTTTGTGCAGAGCGCCTGCAGCCCCGAGAACTACGAGCCCAACCTGGCGCTCAACCTCGAGATTGCCGACCTGATCAACTCGAAAAAGGGCACGGCACCACGCGAGGCGGCCAACGCCATAGTCGGCTACGTCAACCACCGCAACCCGAACGTGGCCCTGTTGGCGCTCAATCTGCTGGACATCTGCGTCAAGAACTGCGGCTATCCGTTCCACCTGCAGATCAGCACCAAGGAGTTCCTCAACGAGCTCGTGCGCCGCTTTCCCGAGCGACCACCCGTGCGGCCGACCCGTGTCCAGCTTAAGATCTTGGGCGCCATTGAGGAGTGGCGTGGCACAATATGCGAGACCAGCCGGTACAAGGAGGACCTCGGCTTCGTTCGCGACATGCACCGCCTGTTGAGCTACAAGGGCTACACCTTTCCCGAGGTGCGGCGAGAAGATGCCGCCGTGCTGAACCCGAGCGATGTACGTGTTTGTGTGTTTGTGTGTTGTGTGTGCGTGTGTGCGTGTGTGCGTCTGCATCCGACTGACCGGCCAGAACCTCAAATCGGTCGAGGAGATGGAGGAGGAGGAACGCGAGGCCCAGTCGGCCAAGCTGCAGGAGCTCATCCGCCGAGGCACGCCCGAAGACCTGCAGGAGGCCAACCGGCTGATGAAGGTCATGGCCGGCTACGACACGCGGTCCAAGGTCGACTACCGTGCCAAGGCGGCCGAGGATGTCGGCAAGATCCAGAAGAAGGCGGCCCTGCTTGAAGAGCGTCTGGCGGCCTTTCAAGAAGGCGACACGATGACGGACGGCGACGTCTTTGACGAGCTGGCCTCGGCCCTCTCCAGCGCCCAGCCCAAGATCCAGAAGATGTGCGAGGAAGAGTCGGACGACCATACGGCCGTGGCCCGTCTGCTAGAGATCAACGACAGCATACATCGCACGGTCGAGCGCTACAAGCTGCTGAAGAAGGGCGACATGGCTGCCGCCCAGAAGATCGCCCAAGGTGGGCCTGTGCCGGCGCGCAACGGCAGCCGAAGGGCCGACGGCAAGAAGCCACAGCCTGCCGTCCCCGAGCTGTCGCTAATCGACTTTGACGGCGACTCCAGTGCGGACCAACAGCCGCCGTCGCAGCCGCCAACCAATGGCTCGTCATCGCGGCCGCTGGGCATCGAGAACGACCTGCTGGGGCTGTCATTTGGCGACCCTTCAGCCGGAGGCATAGCATTGGGCTTTGGCGAAAACAGCAGTAAGCTATCAGGCAGGCAAGCAAGCGGACTACGCTAACATGCTCTTCTAGACGTGCCAGGCCCAGCACTGCTGTCGTCTGTGATGCAGAGCAACAGTGCTCGTGGCCCTCTGGGCTCGCCGTCTCCGCCGCCACCGATGACTTCGTCGCCACAGCCCGTCTACCAATCGTCGGCCTTTGCGCCACCGAAAGCAGCAGCAGCAGACCCGTTTGCGGCACTGGGACTGGGACTGGGGTCTCTCTCATCGCCGTCGTCGGTGCATGTTGCCAGTCCGGCACCGGGCGGCAACGACGACGACGAATGGTCATTTTCTTCGGCGCTACCGCCCGAGACACCGGCCAAGCCGCAGGAGCACCGCATCACAGTCGGCAACGGAGCCGTCAAGATCGAGGTTGTGGCCCGGCGGTCGCCCGAGACGCCGCAGGCCATCAGCTTTATGTTTGCCTTTTCCAACAATACGGCGCAACCGATTTCGGACATGCACTTCCAGGCTGCTGTGACGAGGGTGAGTTTCTTGTTTCTAGTCTGGGCGATGCCTTGTTGTTTCTGAACCTGACTCTCCAGGGCTACGAGTTGAAAATGCAGCCGCAAACTGGCCGCAGCCTGGCACCACAGCAGAGCCGCGGCATCGCGCAGACCATGGAAGTATGGCACGCGCATGACCGGACAAGCAAGGTGGAGACGATCAAGCTCCGGTGGAGGATATCATGCAAAGTAGGAGGCGACGAGACGAAGACGGACATGGGCGAGGTGCCGGAGTTTGGCCTGGCATGACCAGGCGGGAGGGGAAGAAAAGTTCAGATAGTGTACACCGTACGGCTGCATAGCTATTTTTCTGTTCAGAGCCAGTTTGGTTGGAGGCGATTGGAAGCTGTATGTGCAACAGGACCCACTTTTTACAATGGCAAAATATCAAGTTCTTTTTTGATCGTCTACAGGTCCGAGTGCTTGTACTCCGTAATCACAACGGCTCCATGGCATCCGACGACGCAGAATCAGGCAATGGCCGGCGAGGGGGTCCAGACGGCGATGGAAGGCACAGACGACACGACGAAGCCCATCGGCATCGCACACGGGATAGAGATTGGCGGTCACGATCACCGGACGCGTCACGACGGGGAGGGAGGGAGGTAGGGAAAGAGAGAGAGAGGGAACAAAGAAGAGAAGGGGGAGAGAGAGAGCGGGAACGCGATAGGCGGTCTGTTCGCGAGCGAGAAGAGCGGCGACGGCGACGGAAGCGAAGGGCGGACTCGGACGCGGACACGGGCTCAGACTCTGGATCAGGGCGAGAGCGACAGAGGACGCGAAAGCGAGGAGACATCCCGGAGACGACAAGACGGCGCGGTCCGCTGCCGGACCAGGCAGACTCGTTTGCCCTCGTGCAGCAGGGTGGCGACGGCGACGCGGCGGCGGTGCGGCCGCCCAAGGAGAAGGCCAACTACGGCACGACGGGCGCGCTGGCGGCCGCGTCCAACGCCGTGACTGCGGCGGACGGCCAGACGGTGACGCTCAAGTACCACGAGCCGCCTGAGGCGCGCAAGCCGGCGCCGGCGGACGCGTGGCGGCTGTTCGTGTTCAAGGACGGCGCCATCGTCGACTCGATCGTGCTGGCTGCGCGCAGCTGCTGGCTCGTTGGGCGCGAGGCCGCCGTCGTCGACCTGCTGGCAGCCCACCCTAGCGTCAGCAAGCAGCACGCCGTGCTGCAGTTTCGCTTCGTCGAGCGGCGCAACGAGTTCGGCGACCGCATCGGACGCGTGCGGCCGTACGTGCTGGACCTGGCGAGCGCCAACGGGACGCGGCTGAACGGAGAGGCGGTGGCGGCACAGCGGTTTGTGGAGCTACGGGAACGGGACATGGTGCAGTTTGGGGACAGCACGCGGGAGTACGTGTTGATGAAGGAGGGATGAGAGGGTGGGGGTGGTGTTGAGGGTGTGGTGATGGTGGTGATGGTGATGATGGTGGTGTGATGATGGCGATGTTGTTGTTGACAGTAATTAATAGTTGTGGTTGTGATAATTACGAGGCTGTAAAGAAGGACAGCAAGAGAGCAGGAGAAGATACGAGGACACAGGAAGAAGACAGGAAGAAGACGGCAGAACGACAGCAAGCAACACGAGAGATCACTGCCAAAGGACAACTCGACACAGCACAGGAAAACATACTGGACACCTGGAATCTTTCACTTTGCTCACTACACTACCACTTACTCTGCACACACTCTGCTCTCTGCACCCACTCTACACACCGTCCCGAGACGGGCCGCTACCGTCAACTGTCATGTGCCCAAAAAACAGACGATGTTACCCTTCTGTCTCAGACTCCAAGCACTCGGTGGCCAACAGCTCTGCGTCATCACGGCTCCAGGCAACAAGGCTCTGTCCTATGACTGGCCATCTGCCTCGAGTCAGAAGGCCAAAGGCAATAGGCGGAAAAGTCGTGCAGACAGCTCTTTACGTCATGCAATACGCATACGAGTAGGCACGGAACTAGCACTCTTCGGGCTACCGACGATACCTTATAGATGGGCAGCACTCTTCGGGCTACCGACAATACCTCAAGACGGACAATATCCGTGCATTGTTTCACGGTCATATGGATGCCTTGAATCATTGCCCCGGCTTTGCTCGCCTTGCAGCCCTGATATTCTCCTATTACTCACTGCGTGAATCCGATCTAGATAATCAGAAAAAGCCGAACCCTACTTCGTACTTCGTACAGTGGCCTGTTAACACAAATCCCAGATAAGGCTGACCTGGTGGCTATGCCTCACAGGGGGTTGCAATTGGTGGGGGTGGGGCAACAGGACTGGTAGGAGCGACAGACGCAAGTGAGCACTAGAGCTTCATGGGAATGTTCCCTGCCTCCAATAAAATACTGCTTACGAGCTGCAGGGCAGCCGTTCCTGCTCCTTCCCTACACTTCCAGCTTTGTGCTTGCTCTTTCTCTCTCGGTCGTCTTTGCCGCCGCCCTTCTTTGCTACATCCGCTTCCCCGCTGCCATCCAGTTCTGCTCCTCTTCCCTGCGTCTCTACAGCCTCATTTGTCAGACCAGATGTGCCGTCGTTTCTGAGCCCTCCCTCTCGCCTTCGCTTTTGCCCGCTCTGTCAGGCGGGGATCCACATACGCGCGTGCAGTAGCTCTCTTTCTCTGGTAGAGGCCCCCTTACTATATGAAGAGCCTGTTCTGTCTCTGCTTTCCCTTCCCAATCTTCTCATCCTTCATCCTTCCTCCTTTCTCTTCATTCCTTTCACCAATTTTCACCAGGCAGCAGCGCCTATGGTGAGCAACCTTGGCTGTCGGCCCGCTCCGCCCAAACCAATTACTCAAGCTAACTTCATCTTACTAGGACTCCGTCAATCAGACTATCAACCGCTATGAGGTGACGGGCATCTACACTCACCCTGACGCCCGTGTCGACATAGTCCTCGTCCACGGCCTCAATGGGAACCCCCAGAAGACCTGGACGGCCAAGAACGGCGTCTTTTGGCCTGCCGACCTCCTTACCGAATCCCTCAAGGACCGCCCGGCCAACATCCTCGTGTACGGCTACAATGCTGACGTCTATTCACACGGCCATAAAGGCAGTGCTAGCGACAACTTCATCTACCAGCACGCCCAGACCCTCGTGACCCACCTAACAGCCTACCGTGCGCGCCACAGCACCACCCGGAACCCCATCATCTGGATCGCCCACAGCCTCGGCGGCATCCTCGTCAAGCGTGCCCTGCTGTACTCTAACGATGTCCAGGTGGCCGACCACGATCCTCTCCGCGCCATCTTTGTGTCCACTTATGCCATCATCTTCCTCGGCACGCCCCACAACGGCTCTGGCCTGGCTACTTGGGGCCTTGTGCTCCACGCCATGAGCGATGCCATCATTCCCAAAAAGTGGCTCCTCACCGAGCCCGTCCTGCTCAAGACACTCAAGCACGACAACGAGAGACTTCAGGAGATCAACAGCCACTTTCTCGACGTCTACCAGCGCTTCAAGATTCACATGGTGCACGAGAACCATACCACCGACCTCAAGGGAACAAGGTGAGCCGGCCTCCAGCCGTCGATTCACCCATTCGCTAATCCGCTAATCCGCCAATTTACAGGACCTTTATCGTCACTGCCACTTCTGCCAGCCCGCAGCTGCCGGGTGTCATGTACTACGGCATCGAGGCCGACCACTCGGGCATGTGCAAGTTCGACGGCCCAAGTGCGCCGGGCTACTTCACCGTCTCTTCGGCCATCTACGACTGGGTCGAAGAGGCGCCGCCTGTTATTGACGTCCGCTGGAACTTGGAAGACACCATCCGCCGCTCGTCCTATGATCCTCCCAGGCCAAGCGTACGTACAGGACACAATCCTGCTTCCGCCCAAAGTCAGCATGCTTACGAACTGACTCAGATTCCTTCAACTCCTGGTAGGTCTTATACACCGAAGCCTCCTCTTCCTCTGCCCCCGTCTGCTGCTGCAGACAACTTATCCTTGTTCTCAGACACCGCTTCCATCGCCTCTTCCAAGGCTACTCTATGGGAACGCAAACAGTATTAGCATGTGCGCTTTGCTGAACAAAGGATCACATCTGGGGGGGCTTTGAGGGGTCACGCATTCTCGGCTACGAAGTATTGAAATATATGCTGATTCTATTTCCTCGGGTGCGCTCCCTCGTCGGTAGATGACCCTCTGCCCACACCAGTTGACCCGTTCCCTGCGCCATCGCCGGGTTCTGAGCCGCCGTTTTTGCATCCCGAATCGTTTCGTCCCAACTCGTACTTTGTGGGCCGTCGGCGAGAGCTGGAAGATTTACACGCAAAGCTCACGGACGAGAAGAAACGGGCTGAGGGTACCTCGGCCGTGCTGATCCAGTGTCTCCCTGGCGGCGGAAAGACACATCTGGCTCGCCAGTATGTCTTTGAACATCGCGCTGACTATCCTGGAGGAATCTACTGGGTTCGTGCCAAGTCTATCACGGAGATGGAGCAAGTCTACTGGAGAATTGCAACCGAATTGGCTCTCGATCAGTCTAACAGGTCGTCCAACGTTGTCGAAAATGTGCGGTCCTGGTTCAACTGCTTCGACCAATGGCTGCTGATCTTTGACGGTATCCATTTTGATACTCCGGGCGTCCGCAAGTTCATCCCAGACGCAAAAAACACCAGTCTAATATACACATCCATGCAACATTCTGCCACAGGAATGTACGAGTTTGACAATCCGCAGGTCATCGAGCTCGGCCTCTTGGATGACGAAGATGCCCAGAACCTGCTGCTGGCAGAGATGGAAATGAGCCGGCCGCCGACGCAGGATGACTTATCCTACGCTCTAGAGCTGGTACAGCTGATGGGTCGCCTGCCGTTGATGATCCACGTGGCTGCGAGGCACCTCCATGCCACGCGCGAGCCGCTGTCAAAGTATCTGCGTGAATACAAAACACGACCTCGGGCCGGACGGTTGCCGGCCTACCGTGCCGTCCACAAGGAGCTGGAAAGGCGTGGTGCAAACACGGCTCTCAACCTGATGTCTATTTTGGCATTTTACGACCATCTGATTCCGGTTGGGTTGATTACTCTGGGTAAGTCGTCCTGCCTCTGTTCGGATCCCCCCCCTCGACCCTTCTGACAGGTCGTCTTTCTTTACAGGGCTCGGTGGCTTGACCAATATCACTCCGGTCGTGTCCAGAGACCTGAAGCCTGAAGCCAGACCTATTAACAAGACCCTGCGGATACTGATCGCATTCGCCCTCATCGAACGGACTGAGATCAACAATGTGACTCCGGCCAGCTCCCAGAACAGTGCCAAGCGCAGCTTCGATAGGAGCTCTGGATATGTCGATGTGCTACGCGTCCACGGCGTCGTCCAGGCCTTTTTCGTCGACCTGCTTGCTGAGAAGAGAGAGTTGAACTTCTGGCTGGAGCGGGCAGCGGCAGTGTTTTGCGCGTCCGTCTGCGAGGCTGACAGGAAGATCACGGAGGACGCCAAGCTCGGACTGCCGGATGACTACCGCCGCTTCATGATACACGGACGGAAGCTTCTGGAACATCTAAGACGTGCTGAGAAGAAGGGTGGAGCGTCATCCGAGCTGACAGATAGGCGTGCAGATGTGGAGGCGAAGCTGGGCCTCTGCCAGGCGGCCATCGACCAGTTTGAAGCTACGCAAAGCCAAGTCGTGACTATTCCTGGGCCAACAGACTCGCAGATTTCCGTGTTTGAGCGGGCTGACAGCTTTTCGGCGACAGACTCGTCCTACCACGACAGTTCGTCTGGCTCTGGGCTCCCTTCTCGAACGGGGACAGGATTTCTTGGCTGGGACCGTGAGGCGTGCGCTTCGCCCACTGACTTCATTCCCGATGATCTTAACGCTCGCTACCCGCCGTATCCTAAAGAAGGAAGCACTATCCCGGGCCCACCATCGCGAGAAGACAGCGACGAATTAGCAGAAATGGCTACACCGCGCGTGCGAGAGCTTCATGGGGGGGCTGCGTTTCCGCCGAGATCCGAGACACACAGCGGCTTTTTCGGATGGATCAGCAGTGACACAAGACAGGCGACATCTGGCCACCGGACAGTCAGAAGGCAAGAAAGTCGGCGCTACCATGATTGGGCGGGCTCGTGGAGAGATAAATCGATCAGCGACCCCAGAACTGAACTCACCCGTCAAATTGCCGAGGGAAAATCTTCCAGGCGGGAGACCATAGTGTCCGAGGAGAACGCACCGGGTGGCAGTGAAGCCGAGATCAGCTTGCACAGAATCAAAGCCCGCAGCCAGCAAGGAGTCCTGTCGCTAAGCACAGACATTCTGGATGCGCATGACCTGGACGAAGACCTCGACGGATCGCAGCCAGTCCAGGAAGGCCAGAAGCCGCTCGATAGCAGCATTGCTAGTTTGCTGGACAGGCAGCAGTCCCCGTTGTTCCGGGGCTCGAGGACAGCTCAGTCAAGTCCCAACCATGGCCACGGCCCATTCTACCCTCCTCCTCGACCTGGGCCCGACGGCAAGGCCAGCCTGCAGCACGATTCGCCAGCATCTATACGGCTGTGGGACAATCAGAGCCCCACGACAGGCCGCTCGCAATTTGACACGTCCGATCTGAGCTTTGGCATGGCAGACGACCTGACGACATCGTCACATTCCAGGCCTCTGCGAGGCAGCCATTCATACCCAGTCTCGACACAGCAGCAACAGGTGGCGATCGGCTACTGGCGCCAGCACTCGCATCTACAGCCGTCGATGGTGGTGGATGGTTACACATCGCAGCCCATGTCTCGAGGCGGTAGCGGAAGCCGCTCTTTCACGTCGGTGGCCAACGACGAGGACCCATTTAGCCGCAGCCTGCCGTCCAGTCATTTACAGGGCTGGCCTGCCTCTGCGGTCGACATACCGCCTAGGGAATTGAGGTCACCGGCATCCTATGTCGAAACAGAGCCTTCGCCAGACACAGGCAACGCCTTTGCCGAGGTCAGAACCAGCTATCAGCAGTGGGGAAAAAGACATAGCCAGGGTGCAGCCGTTGTGTCGGGATCACGTGCTGCAGCGATGAGGATGGGCGGCCGGCGGTCGTCGAGCCAGAGCCCGCTTGGCTCGCCGGCTCGGCCGGTGATGGATGCAGCGTACACCTCGGAGCCTATGGCACGATCTGGATCAGGCGGCATCAAGCTACCCGACGGACGGCTCATTCCCTTTGGACAGTCGCCGAGGTTGCTGCCAGTTGACGTGATGGAGGTAGTCGAGGCGAGCAAGTCGGGTCACGTGGACGACGAGAGCGACGTGGACGGTGAGCCGAACGTATTGGTTGGACTTGGAATTGTCCATGGAGTACGAGTGATTATGGATTAATGCTTGGTTGTTTATAAATCTCTTCTCTTGCTGCATTTCATCGTTGGGTCGATTTTCGGGGTAATTGGTGAATCATCACATATAGTTTGCAAGGTTCTGGTTTCATATAACAAAAAGAGCTGCTTAGGTAGATTGTCAACCAATAAATAGGAGTACGATATTGACAAGCCCGGAGGCACTGAGCCAAGACCTTGCTGCCGATTATTTAACGAGATCTCTTATTGAAAGCACACAACTTTTAGCTACGACTCTCCCGCTGAGTTCGTAGAAAAAAAAACACCTTCACGTCAACCCACTCGTACAGTATACAAAATATACGAAACTCGCAGAAGAAAGCAGCATACATTTCCATCCCTCACTTCATGTCGCCCAGCTCGGTGGCGACTGCATTTTCAACGTTGGATGTCTGCGCCTCGAGCTGCAGCTGCTTGTCAGAGACTTCAATCGGCTTCACGGCATAGTCAGTGGCGCGGTGGCTGTCCATCAAGTCGCGCTTGAAGATGTTGACGTATACAGGGTAGACAAACGCCAGGATGTAACCCATCATGGGGATGGCCATGGCGACATGGGGATTGCGACGGTCGATGACGGCACCAGTCATGGCTGGGAAGACCATGCCACCAGAAATGGCAGCCACCAGCAACGAGCCTCCGATTTTGGTGTGACGGCCAAGACCGCGAAGACCGAGAGTGAAGATAGTGGCGAAGCAGGCGGACTCGAAGAAGAGGACGAGGATGAGCATGGCGATGGAAGTGTTGCCGGCAGTGTTCATGGCAGCAACAATAAAAACGAAGCAGAGGGCCAGGTAAATGGCTAGGATGTAACGAGGCTTGACGGCCGGCACCATGAGCAGGAAGCCGGTGACGAAACGGTTGAAAGCATAGACGCCCTGGCCAACAGCAAGAAGATCGGCTGGTGGAGGTGTGAGCAAACGGAAAATTAGAATGAGGTTGACCCGAAATACGTACATCCAGAGGAGCTGTCACGACCGGCATCTTCGCAGAACTGGATAAAGTAGTTCTGGCCAGTTAGCATAAACATGGAGGCAAATCCACACCTCCACTCTCTCGCCTCACTTACTGCCACGGCCACCTGGGCTCCAACATAGCAGAACTGCGACCAGATGGCTAAGAAGAGGTTGTACTGCTTCTTCAGCGGACCGGGATCGACGTCGCCGATTTCGCCTTCCTGCGTGCCCATGTCGGCGTCGGTGATCTCGGGCATGGGGGCCAGGAAGAAGAGGATGATCAGCAGGCCGACAAAGCAGGCCACGCCCAGGTATACCCACTGGACGTTCTTGAGGCCCTGTTTGGTGTCGACAGTGTGGGCGAAGAAGACGCGCGAGGCGAGCAGAGGGGCGACTGGTCGGATAAGTTGGGGAGCAGAAGGAGACGACAAAATTAGGAAGAGACCTACCAAACGACCCGACGCCCTGAACGGCTTGGGCCAAGTTCAGGCGGATCTCGGAGTAGCGTGGCGGTCCGCAGATGGACAGGAAGGGATCTGCGGCGGTCTCGAGCGTTGACAGACCGGCACCGACGACAAACATGCTGCCACAGAAACCGCCAAAGGAAGCCTTGACGCCAGACGGCCAGAAGAGCAGACAGCCGACGGCCAGAACGGCCAGACCGGTCATAAAGGTCACGCGGAAGCCGTAGCGACGCAAGATCCAGCCTGACACGGTCGGCGGACACACAAAGTAGGCGCCAAAGTAGGCTGACGAGAGGCCCGACGCCATGCTGGAGCTGATGTGCAGCGTTGACTGGAAGTGCTGGTTGAGCACGTCGAGCAGGCCGTAGGCGAAGCCCCAGAGGAAAAAGAGGATGGCCACCAGCAGGTTGGGAACCATGGACTGGCGCACTGTCAGGCGCACGGCGCTGGTGACGGCGTCGTCGTCGACGACGATGGTGCGGCGGTAGAATGGCATGTCGAGAGGAGGCAGATGACGATGGAAGAAGGATGATGAATGATGGATGAGACGAATCTGGCGATATGCCCAGACAAGAAGTCACGGAGAGAAACGCACCTTCTTGGCAAACTGTGATTAAACGAGCGGGAAGGTGCGATGACACGTCGAAGAAGCGGGGGTTGTTTCCCCCAACTGAGCTCGTGTACGTGGGACAGACACTATATACTGAAGACACCGGCTTGCAACTCGATGCCTCCTACAAGTTGGTACCAGCTAATTGCCTGTCTATACGGCGAACCACACGAAACAGCTGCTCGGCCTGTCAACGTGCCGGACTGCTCGTGAGCGGGACATTGGCAGCCGAGCAGGAAGGTGGGAAATACATGCATAACCGTGCCAGAGAAAGAAAAGAAAAAGGGAAACCCAGAAAAAAGACCAAAACAGAGGACGGATGACCTCGTGCACATAGACAATGCAACCTGTTACAAACAACCCGACAGCCAACCAGACGATCTCTTCCCCGCATGACCGTCCGAAAGAGGAAAAGGGAAAGAGGAGATGGGTGCGATGTGCGGTGGGTGGGGCCGTGTCTCTGAGTGCGGGGATGGCCTGCATTTTGTGGTTTTTATTGGTATTGTTAGGTGATTGCCAACTCTCTTGCCAGCTGCCAATGCCAGTTAGGCAGCTGTAGCGCAAAGTGTAGCAAATGCCTCCAAGGCTGCTCCTTTCTTTCCAAATAGAAAATAATACAATTTAAACCGGTAATCAAAAGGACGCCGTGGACGCAGCTCACGTGACAACAGCAAGCCGTGTCTTTGCCGGCCGCCAACTCCCAAACCTCACTCCTCTCCCTCCACACACCCCTTCCCACCTATCCCTGCCTCTCCAGATCCTCCAACTCCCGCATCACCACCGACTTGGTTCCAATCTTCTTGATCTGCGTGTCCTCCAGCTTCTCGCCCCCGGCATGCCGCATCTCCAAATCCTCAATCGCCCGGATCTTCTTCTGCAGGCTCCGAATCTTCTTGGCCGTCGGGTTCTGGCTGCTGCTCGCCTCGTTGGCTGCAGCCAGGGCAGCTGCTGCCGCTGCCGCCGCTGCAGGCACTGCTGGCGTCGCCGAAATCGGTGCCAGCGACGCTCCACCGCCGTTCTGGCCGAAGCCCTCTCGGAAGCCATCCCGGTTCCGCTGCGTGTTGCTGCGCGGACGCCCGCCACTGGCCCCGTTGTTACGCGACTGGCTGCGCGATTGCGTCTGCTGCTGGTGGTTCTGGAACCCACGTCGCTCTGGACTGCGGCCCTCGTGGTGATTGCCTGACCACTGTTCCGGCGCTGACAGCCCGTTGCCGTTGCCGTTTGTCGTCGCTGCCCCGTTGCTTTTGCCGTTTGGCGTCTCAGCCTCCCGGCTGGCCTTCTTGTTGCCGCGCTTCTTCTTGTTCTTCAGCGCCGCCTTCGACAGCGTCTCGCCGTCCACTGGCTCCGATCCCGGCACAAAAACTGCCGCTGCCGCCGACAACTCCACCGGATCCGCTCCTGGAACCTGGCGCCGCGACCGTCCAAAGCCGTTCAGCCCACCCAGACCGCTGAGCCCGCCACCCAGCCCCGTCCCGTTGCTCACCATGTGTGCCGCCCCGCCCTCGTCCTCCCGCTTGAAGTGCAGCGGCGTTGATGCTCCCCGTGCGCCAGGCGGCCGATACGCTCCGGCCGGCTTCGACGGCGTCTTCCGTGCTCCCAGAAACGCTAGCGCTGACGCGTGCGGCGTCGGCACCGTGTTCAGCGGCTCCGTCGCACCCACTGCCAGCGGCGCTCCCTTCTCCAGCGGCCGCCACAACACGTTGTACAGCTCCACCATGTCTTCGTTGTACACCAGCCCGCCACCCACGTGCCACAGCTTCACACCGTTGTCTACGCGCAGCCGCGGCGACGTCGTCGCCGTCATCAGGTATCGCGAGTCCGGGCTCCACTCGCACACGCTCGGGTTGCCGCTCTCAATTGTGCACACCTTGAGGTAGTCCTTGGTCAGGTCGTACACGTCGATCTGTCCGGCCAGGTTGCCGAACCCGGCCACCAGAACAAACCGCCCGCTCGGCGAGAATGTGATCGTGTTGCGCGGTCCGATCGGAAACGAGTGCTTGGCCTCAGCCCGCTGGTTAAAGATCGTCGTCTTCGCCGGCATGAAACCGTAGATCACTCCAAACTCTTTCGAGTTGGGCGACCACGACACGTCGTGAATCGGCCCCTCCTTGTCCAGCGACACCCGCGCGTCGAACCCGCCACTGGCACTTAGGAGGTATAGCGTCGTCTCGCCGTAGTAGCTCTTGTTCGACTTGTCCACGTCCGTATGCGCCAGCACAATCAGGCTCGACCCCTGCGCATTCCACTTCAGCTGCACCTTGTCGCCCTTGAAGAACGTCTTCTGCGACGCCGGCGTGCTGAAATGCGGCACATTAAACACGCGCACCGCAGCCGGTTGACCCTGCAGTCACATCCAAAGTCAGTCAAACTGCCTGGTCACATGGCCACGTGGCCACACCACAAGTCTTGTGCAAAAATGCTTACCTTGCGCTCCGGAACGAACACGGCCACCGAATGGTTCTTGCCGGGTGCCAGGGCAAACGTCGCCACGCCCTCCACGCGAAGCTTGTCGTGGACCGTCGTCAGGTCCGAGCTCTGGTAAAAGTGCACCTCGTTGGTCACCAACCGCGCGCAGAACTGCTCGTCCTCCGTGTACTGAAGGTTCCAGCCCGTCTGCGACTTCTGCACGAAACGACCCAGCGGCTGCACCTCGGCCGTCGCACCGTCTGTCTCTGTGCGCCACACCTTCAGGTTCTTGGTAGCATCGCCATTCTCGTCCTTCGCCGGCCGCTCCCACGTGCTCAGGTACGAGCCTCCGGGAGAGAAGCTCAGTTCAAACACGTTGGAGACGACAAACGTTGAAAGCACGTGGCCCACAGACGCGTCGCAGACTGTGACCAACTCGTTGGATGCCCATGCAAAGTAGCGGCCGCATGGCGAGTAGACACAGCCCCGAAGGTTCCCCTCGGGCGGCACAAAGGCGGAGAGCGACGTGTACACAGGGTCGGCCTCGAAGACACCGATGGCCTTCTGGGTGCGGTAGGCAAACTGTAACGGACTGGCCATGACTAGTCAAAGTCACAGTAAGACCGGTCGGAGCGTGGTGGCGGTGGTTTGGAGGGTGATGATCGGTGCAGGACTGGCCTCGAAATCGAAAATCCCTGATTCTGTCTTGGGACAAACTCGAAGTCTGTTGTTCGGAGAACCGTGTTGGTCTAATATGGCCCGTCAGCAAATCCGCACATTGGCAAATCAGCAGGGAGAGAGCGGCGGTCCCACAAAGAGGACAGAATGCGCAGAAGTGGACTGTCGTTCCCGACGTCGCCAGTCTCCATCTTCGGCTCCCTTTGTGCTCTCCCCTGACGATCATCCCTGCATGGGCGGGCGTATGCTTTGGGCTAGACGGCCAGATATACTTACCAAACTGTGAGACAACCGGCTGCTGCAGCTCTCGGGTTGGCAGAACTGAACGAGACGCCCGATTACACGATGCTGGTCGGCTTTGCTGTATGGACGCAGGGAAGTTGGCGGCTGATGCAGAAGTCGGGAGAAATCCTGTTTGAACTCGGCAAAGAAATACCCTGGAATAAAGAAAAAAGACCGAGAGGCAGATATAAAAGGGCCGAGGCGAGAGGAGAGAGAATGAGGAGAATGCCGTACACACACCTGCGAGAGGGAGTGATTGACAAGGAGGTGCTGCGCTGTTGACCTGAGCGGGTGGGCTGGTGAGAGAGGGAGAAGAAAGGGACGGAAAAAAAAGAGGCGGATGACGATAGTTTTCCCACTAAGTCTGTATTTATTTTTCTGCTTGGGCAGCGATTTTCCATTTTCTCATGTTTTTTTTGCGCCTGCATACTGCAAAGAAGCATCGTGGTTGGTTGATGGGTATATAAGTGGGTCTCAATGTGCCAGCGCCGGTCTGGAACCACACACAAATCCGTGAATCATTTTTAATACGGCTGTTTGGCCTGAGCACTAGTGCCACTTACGCAGGTGCTAAGTAGTGATTAGACAGGCATGGTGGCGACAGCAAATTGACTGAAACCATTCCATACTCGTATGGAGAAAACAAGAGGAACAAATGTCAACTAACTAGTACGGACTCAGCGAAACTGTATTGTGTCACGTGGTGCTCTGCCTCGCTAATGGAAGGAGCGACTGGCGGGCATCCGTCCAAAACTTCCTAAAGCAGAAGTCATCTACGATGTAAAACAACTCGTCGATGTCTCGCTTGATGGCCCGTACACTAACTCTCCAACCTCTCTAAACAAACACCTGCATTCTCATTACACCATCAATGTTGCATCTACTATCTTGCCCTGTCCTACAGTACCGCGTATATTGTTATCCCCACAGTCATCTTAGCTAGCCGCAATGCTGCCCAATCCATTAGCCAACCGGGCTCTGCCCATTCGAGGTGACGTGGCTCCCTAGGAGAAAGACGAGGCAGACGTCGAAAGGCTAGAGAATCTAGTGCTGAAGTACCATGACACACGGCTATGCACGGCGTGCACCCCAGAGATCTACGATGCTGCAAACGAGTTGCCTGCAACTACCGCAGCCGAACAGCTAGCTCTCACGCAGAATACAATCGACGACGTCCTAGACCAGCTCACGGTTTTCAGCGAAAAACTATACCGCGGCCTTAGCATCGTAGGCTATGGAAAGCTTACTCCAACTGTCCTCGCTCGACATATTTTATATTTTCGCTATCGCATTTCCGCCAATGGCAATACCAGATCCCAATATGCCTGGAGCAGAATACTAAATACAGTCGACACTCCTAGTGACCACATAGGCCCTGCCAAGCGCATAGCTCTGATAGACTTGTTCTCTGTCGTACCCGCTCCAAAGCAGGTAGCTTTCTAGTACAACAATCTGCCTCTCTATTTTCAATGCACCGCTACTGGAACATGACACCCTTAGCTATCCAGGCCCGTGGAGCCTTGAGCAGCCTGAAATTATGGTATATTGAGATCCAGTACAGCCGGGTGGCGGCTGCCGATCTGCCCTTGGCTTTCTAGTGCGGAGCGAACGTGCATGTATTTGACGTCCTCCGCAAGTACCCCAGAGGATCGGACGGATCGACGTCGGCAACCGGCAATTTCCACACGCAATGGTTTTGCGAAACGCCAGAACAGCGCACACGACGTGAGCATTCGTCCGTCTATATTGTGCGGCTCATCGGACGTGAACGGGGAGATGACGAGCTTTTCACCAAATTCGATGGACCTGGCACAGACAAGTCGAAGTACTCGCTGCTCTGCTGTGGCGGGTGGGTGGCTCCACCGATGGACGAACGGATGGAACATACCGCCAAACACAGAGATATTGATATCGTAACATCCTTGTTGGAGAACTGCGGCCCTCCTCGTGCATTTCCTTACTCTTACGCTCTTGCATCGGATAAAATTGTCCATTCGGAATACAACCATCGTCTTGCATTAGAGGGAAAAGATCCGGACATGTGGATGTGGGCTGCTGATCCAGCCCAGGCCGATGTTTTGTCCATGGCCTGGCGTCTCCTCTCCGGCACCCGCTTTCGGGGGTTTTGGCACGGCGTGGCGAATATTTCGACCGTCCAGCCTCGCCGCGAAAACCCTTACCACTCGCCATCTATGTCTGCAATGGTCCATTCGTTGCTTCTCTTGAAAGCTAGGCGGACGGATGAGAGAAATGCGTTATGATACGGGCGAAAGTACAGTCCTTCCGAAGACGATTGAATGTTGTTATGAATGCAATTGTTATGTTGTGTATGAAATAGCGTGGCACATTCTACAGCTTTTGATAGGCAAGCGTATCTTAACCTTTGATAGCGAATAAACAGCGTCTTGCTTTCTCCGCATGTCGTAGGATAGATGGCGATCATTTTCTTGGAACAGGTATATCAGAACACGTGTCCGTGACAATAGAACACAGACTTGGTACAAATATGTCTTGCTAGAGAAATTCAATCTCCTCAGCTTGATCGACAAGTCGGGGGAAATAATATGCAAAGGAACCAATACCCTTGGCATAAATCCAGTCCATTCAAACCGTTGCCAACCAACCCAAACTTTGAAGTCTGCCCTAGTTATAAAAAAACATCCATCCAAACCCTGACCACTCCGCGGGCCCTCCAGTGTATATAGAAGATGACGACATTATAAGGAAACTGAATATCGTCTCACATCGCTTGTTCTGCCATGCGGTGCTAAAGGCAAACAGAGTAAATGAAGATATACAACCCCAACAAACATTGGATTCAAAACGATAGGCGAAACTCGTATCCTGTGTTGGGGCCGTTCGTGCCCACTTTGCCGTCGACGGCCATGTCCCATTCTCCTTTGATAGACGGACCATGCTGATGTAAAATGGATAGTGGCAATTCCACCACGTCAAGCACCATGTCTTGGCCCTCAGGCAGCTCTGCCACCGTTTCATCGTCAAGTTCCACCTCCAGCCCTTGGGGAAGCACACGGACGGTACGCGTCTCTTTGCTGGGGTCAAGTTTCCACTTGCTCACGATTCTGCTCACAAATTCGGACAACGTTCGTTGCATCAGGTAGATGGCACGATGATATTCACGTTGGCTATTGCTGCCACCCGATGGGTGCAGGTTGGTATGTCCGTTGGCGGAAGACTGTCCGTTCCGGCGCAAGACATAGAGGCAGGCTACTGGTCTTGCCCGGTCCGATGATGGAGGCGGGCGGTAGTTCGGGTCAACTCCCAATGTCTCTATCCATCCGCTCAGATTGCCGGAACTGTCCGTCTTGCTGATTCTGGCTAGTTGATCGGAGCCTTGTCGTGATAATGGTATCTGGTTGACATCCTCAGGATAGTCCGACCAGTGTCCGTTGCTAGTGACGTTTGTTCCGCCATTCATTGATAATTGCGAATGTAACGAAAGCGAACTAGGTGACGGGGAAACCATGGATGAACCGGTTGCCGAGCCGCGGCCGCTTTGTTCGCGCCACGCAAGCAGACTGTCGCGGGACTCTATTTTGGTAAGGTCTGTGGGTTCGCCGGGGAGCGATACTGGATGCAGATCGGGGTCGTCCAGCTCGTCGCCTTTCAAAAACAAAATACTGACAGGTCTTGTGCTGGTGAACATGTCCTGCAATGTCTGTAGCTTGCAGTGAAGGTCTTCCTCCACAGCCAGCCTCATACTGTTGCCACCCGAGTTGCTGTTTGTGGCACTACCGTTGCCAGAGTTTCCATTAATATCGCCACCAGAGCTGGTCGAAGACATGGACCACGTTCTCTTGTGCTTGGGAACTTTCCCGACGCGCTGCAAGTCAGGGATGGGCTTGTTCTGCTGGGCCGTTATGGCAGCGGTGGCACCACCAGGCCGCTTTCGCTTACTGAAATCCTTCATGCCGTTTTCTGCCTGGGCAATCTGCTGCTTCAGTTTGTCGATGGTCTTCTTGATATGGGCGACATCATTGGACAGCTTGCGCTCGGCGCCATGATCGCGGAAGAGCTTCACTTTGCAAAAGCAGATTTCAGCACCAGAGGGTGACGTGTCTTTGGGGCTAGCTGTTTGCGAAGTGATTGGGGGCAGCGGATACCGAGTTGTCTTGGCACACAGGCGAACGGGGATTCCCTTGACACCTTTGGAGTGACTGAAATCGGTGGATAGGAAGTTGAAGCGGACGGCAATGTTGCATTCCACGTGTCCATGGATGCCTGGTGTCCAGACGACAGAAAACCCGTCGAATGATGCACTTTCGAGCTCGACGCGGGTTCTCTTTTCGTCGCCCTCAGGCGGGAGGGCCGCTTCGACGTATTCCACAGCCTGGAGCTTGCCTCCCCGTTGATGGGCTTCATTTGTGCCGCGGCCTTCCTTCCACAAACTCCAGCACACGCCAGGCTTACGTCGCTGCTGCTCGTCTTCGAAGGAGATGCGCACAAATGTCCGAAATTTGGTTCCTGGAATGATGGGCAATTCGGGCTCAGTGTCTATGATGGACAAAGAGTATGCTTGGCCTTTGTTCAGGTAGCTGATTGGGATTTCGTCGGAGTGCTTGATCATAGCTGTCGGGGCATTGAGTGTGGTCTGAAATCTGAATTTCTCGGCAGCTGCAGGCAAACTCATCAAAGCCATGTTTCCTATAGCATTTGGATTCGGAGCAGTGTACTGTGTGGGTACTTGCGGATGCCCCTGAGGAACTGACAAGAGCCCGACATTGCCGTCGTTATAGGCGACGGCCTGACTAGCGTCCATAGTAGCATCGTGGTCCATTGGTTCATATGAATCATGATGCATGAAATTTGTTGGCGCAAAGGTGGGTTGTGTTGGCGTCTGCTGGTTGAACGGCTGCGTGAAGGTATGGAATGCTTGAGGGTGTAGGCCGTTATTAGAGTATCCCGCGGGACCAATATCCATCATGGCGGCAGACGTGGTTCCATGCGGTAGAGGGACTTCTGAGGCGGGCATAGATAGCGGAGCATTCATGCCCATGGTCAAGCCTAGGGCCGACGAGTGGAGGCCGTCGGCCTGTGGGCCGTAGACATTGCTGTGACCACCGTTCACGGGCGGGTAGAAGCTGGAAACGTTTTGTGGAAAGGAAGAAAAGGAAAAGGTGCCGTTATCAAGCAGAGGAGTGAACCTCCAAGGCTCATTCCCCGAAGCTCGCGGCGTTGGGTCTTGGTCAGAGAAGACAGGATGGTTGATATGCTGACTTATGCGATGGCTATTGGAAGAGAGATTGTTAGTGGCATGCCAAGAAATAGAACTAGGGGTAGTGCAGGCAGGACGAGCCGAGGCGAAAATTCAAGTGGCTAGAAGAGAGTAATGTATCACCTGTCCTGCTCCATGGGCGTCGATATAATCGTGTTCGCCATCGCTATTGTTGTTGGCGCAAGTGTGCTACCGACAGTGGCAGACGTTGAAACAGCAGCCTCTGGAAACTGTTGTCGAAAATTGGCTAGAAGCTCATCACCAGGCTTCTGCGAGCTTTTTCTGGGTACTGTTAGCAGACCGTTGGACTGTTAAGGCGCAGGAGCTAGCTCACCGTTGACGGAACATCATCAAGATGGATGGTGCCCTGCCGCACAAGCAGGGCTAAAGGCGACAAAGAGTGTATACGTATTGTCGCGGACGAATAGGGTTTAGGCAGATGTTTTCTGACTTAATGGTCTCTCACGTTCAGCGAGGAAGAAACTGGCGGATGTTGTCCAAGAAATGGAGTGGACGGGAGGCGGAAGCGGTACGGAAACGGGGCGGTGGAAATGGCGACGCAAACAGTAAGGCAATTCGAGGAGGGAACATAGAACGACGTTTTAGGGATGGTCGTCGCGGCAGAAGTCGAATGACTTGATGGTAACGGGTGGCTTAATGGCTATGTGGAGGAATCGATCGATGTCGCAAAAGGGCTGACGCAGAATGGCAGTCGACAACGAGGCCAGGAGTGAGCGAGAGACAGACCGGTCGAGCAAGAGAGAAGCCACAAAGAGCGGGAAATGAGAGAAAGAAAGGGATGAGTTGTAGAAACGGTCGAGAAGACTGAAATGAAGTCGAGGCCGAGTCTTGGACGGTGCTGGAGAAAGGACCCACAGACTCTAGGATTAGAGGGAGACGGCTTGTGGGCAATATTTAGCAGAGGCGAGTATGTAAGCGGACGGGGAGCGTATACATAGTAGATATGCTGGGACGAGAGGAGCAGGATGAAGGCTGTTCGGTGCTGGGGTGAGATACGAGGGAGCCGTACTCCGTACTCATGAAGTATCTTCAGAGGCGAAGTAAAAAATGGGGTGGACAGATGGAAAGAGCCGGGGCGCGTCAATCAGGAAGAGAGCGAGGGCAGGAACCATCCACGGACAGTGCGACGCCAAGGTGCAAGTGAAGCTGTACAGAGGGTGAAGGAGAGATGGGGACAGTCGATGTAATATGGAGAAGGGGAGATTTGTCCAAATCCACGTTTTCGAATCGAGCTGTCCCATCTTATTTTGGCCTTTTTCAACCGCCTTTATTTTATTTCAAAAAGGGACGGGGTGCGATGACGAGCGACGGGGGGAGAGTGGAAAGGAGGGGGGGTGGATGTAGCGGGGGTGGGCTCGGGGGAAGGCGCGAAGGGTGGGAAGATGGCGTCCCGGTGGGGCATCCACAACGGCAAAACTAGCACAACAACGACGTGCAATTCCACTGACTGACATCGTCATAGCTCTTTGGCGACGGAAGAGTGAGCTTTGTCTCCCACCTATCATGGACAGCTGCCGGCGCGATTGCATACATAGTTGTAACGATCTCGGACCGGCCGTGTGAATACGGTGCTTATACTATGCAGACGATCCTGTCATATTATCCCACCCTTTTTGGGCGGGTTTGATTTGTCAGATTTGTCGAATTGGACTGCGAGTCTGGAGACTGGCCTTTTAGCCTTTCGGCCGTCTGACGTAGACCTGCAGATACTCCTCGCCACACGCCGCGTAGCGGCAGCAACCACGAGCCTCGCCAGAGCAGAGACCTGCCCAACAGCCCATGCATGGCCATTTCGATAACGGGCACCGCATACTCGTACATTCGGCATGCAATGGCAGCTTGCCTTTAATTTTGGACCTTGACCTTGGAGCTATGCTCTTGCGGGAGGCTTCACGCGCCACTCCAAGTATATTCCTATGTTCTCATACCTAGAACGACGGACTCGTGTAGCGGCTTTTTAGCTCGGTGGAGTAGGGCTCGGTATGCGGCATACAAGTCGTTGGTGGCCGAACCTTTCACCTTTCATGGTTGGACCAAGAGATCGGTGTCGCACACGTCAGAGATCGAATGTGAGGTACGAGGCGCGAGGCGCGAAGCGTGACGCGTGAGGCACGGTACTCGAAGCCTGGCAAGGCGTTGGCCCTGTGATGGCGGCTTCCACTAGATTCTGTTATCTCAGCCCGCGGTGCAAAGGAGCAAAAACTGCATGCAAGATGACGCAGTCTGGCCCTTGGCCATTGGCCGTTTGCCCTGGCCGCAAACACCCCCTCTGCCACAAGCTGTGGCGTATCAGCGTTGTAGCACCCGCAACGGAATATTTCAGACGTTCGGCAGCCCGATGTGTCGTAGGCCGGTGGGTTGTCCCCAGCTCTCGCGAGAGAGAGAGCGAGGCAACTCGCAAATGCCACATTGTTTTGTGCGTCGCCCATGACGTCATAGTTATTCTAGCGGCGCCCCGCTTTGACAGGGGCAGCCCAAGACGCTAGTCTAGCGTTCGTGAGAAGAGCGCATTAGCGGAAGACTCTTCTCTGTCGCACATACATGGCAGAGCGCTGAATCCTTTGACGACCGGTAGCGAGGCCGATCGAAGAGCCTCTGCGACGACGCCACAAACGGCATACCGAGGTCGAGAGCTCTTTGTTGCGCCCGCCGAGCTGCTCTGCAGGCCATAAGGGCGACTTCTGCCGGCCATCCATTTCCGGCTGGCGACTGTGTTGTGATTACCTGATATGATATGCGGGCTGATTGGACGAAGTGACTGATCGGCCAGTCCACGACGCGAGAACAGCTACTGCATGGAGACTGGACATAAGATAAGATACTACTGTATGTATGCAGTCTCTGGTTTGACCTGCTCGTATCCCAGCCTCCATTCTTGTCCCCGGATTTTGCGCCAGACAGGTCGTTACGAAATATTTCTCCAGCCGATGTGCATACCAACAGCCATCGGCTCTAGGGCGACAGTATAGAAAGATGCAAGCTGATGCCTTCCGAGGCGGCCAGGAGGTCCGAGATGTCTTCTGTATGGTGGAGATGTTCTAGGTATCTTATCTTGCCAAGACACATCAATTCGCTGGCCAGACGCTAAAGACGAGGGGCTTGTGGATCCCTTTACATACTATGACGTCATGGTGCATGCCATTGCGCAAGACGGTACGAAATAAGTCGTTCACGGTTTGTTGGCGTTCCCTACATCAATTTTTTTTTGCGCATCCGGCGAGGAATGCGGTACTGCGCCGCTGCGACATGCTGACGACAGACTGACGATTCCGGCGTTTCAGCATAAGTCAAAGTTTAGCCTGTGTGGTATGGGGACGTGGAGCTTGACGGTCATCGACATCTTGTTCGCTGCGAAAATATCACCACCAGACGTCATCGGTGCCTGCCGCTCTTCTGCTCTCTAGCGCCGGCCCTGACAACAAACAGACGGCTCCCGCAGAACGGTCTTTTCGCAGCTGCAGCTAGCAGAAATTGGTTGTTGTGGTGTTGTGTGGTTATGCCTATTCGCAGCGAAGCGAAGAAAAATTCCACTAAGTAGCCGCTATGCGCCATGGTGATGTCATGGCATTCTCCGTCCCGTGGGGAATGGGCACACCTACGGAGTACGGAGTACTGCTTACGGGAGTGTCGCTACATGCTATGTACACTGAGACTATGGGGCGTGTAGGTGCGCTATCTCCACCGCTGGCGCTATTTCGCTGATCTTCGCCGAGCCCAAAGGGCGCTAAAGGCTGGCTGAAACGCCCTGTGTTAAGCCCCCCGTAGCAGAAGCAAATGCCAATCTCGGGCAGTCAGCGCGCCCTGAAACAGCGCGCATCGCAGCGTGCTGCTCGGTACAGCATGACGTCATAATATTAGGACCGGCTCCTTCCATTGGCAGACCGAATAAGTGTTCTTTTCTGGGCTTTGCCCGTCGGCCAGAGAACAAACAGCACCAATTGGGCTCATCGCAGCATGGAGCCCACACCTGCATGTTTATCGCCAATATTCGATACTACAGGCCAGACAGATACGACTGCATGGCTCTGCAACGGCGTTCCACTTTGACAGGCATCTGGCAGAAAAGGGGGAGGCTGTGCTGGACGTAGTCGCATGGAAGCCGTCTCCACGTCACAGAAAGAGTCTCAACTAAAGCGACCGACAGCCGATGCAAGAATATTCACATTCGAATGCATATGGATTGCTCGTCGTTCCTACTATGTACAGGAATCAGTCGCAAACCCGGGTTGCCGGTGCAACGCTGCAATTTTGCGGCATGCAACGTCTGCCTCCATTATTGACCGTGTAGCTATTTTTATATTTATGCCTATTTGTTCTGGAGCCTGTCCCATTCTGCTGCGACGTTGCCGGTAGAGGTTGCATAGTGCTCGGACTCGTAATTTCTTTGGCACGATGCGGCAAACAGTGCGTGAACACGAGTCTTCGGCTTGTTTTCTGGAATATTGGCCCTCGCAGTCGTAATTGCGACGTGCAGGCCGGATGGACGGCTTAGACCTGGCATCTCCGGCAACTTGCTAATACGAGAAACGGACTTCAGCCCGGATGATCGAGTTGGAGAGCCTCGCGGTCCCTGATCTTCTGCACGGCGCCAAGCCGGATTTCACGGGCCTCCCGCACCAGCCTTGCCGGGCCCCATCTGGGCCTTCGTCTTTGCTTTTCTTCGCTCACCTCTATCCCTTGTCCGCGATTCTGCTACAAAAAGAACCGTTGCCGTGCAAGCGCCAGGTGCGCCTAGGGCTTTCTTGTTATAAGATCAGAAAACAGTAGCAGATGTACAGGTACATATGTACTGCATCTACTGTTCCGCGTCACGTTGATATAAATATCAAAGCATCCACACCTCATCTCAGACCGAAATCTGCACTGCCACACCCTACTCACCTTGCTCATTCTCCACCTTCCCGGTAGAGGGTGTATACATATATCGATAGGCAAGCCCCCCCCCTCTTCTAGAACCCCTCGCCTTCTTTGCAGATCTCTTCTCTATGGAAAAACATGTCCGGTGTTACATAGTATGGGATACTGCATAGAACAAAAACATAAACAATAGCCATGCAGCGTTCTTGCGTTCCGTGCATTCCTCGTATATGTGTTCCCCTGCCTCTCTCACAGGGATTGGATCCATGGCCATTTTACTGTCATTTTTCGCTCCCAAAACGCGTAACTAAGCATGGTTCTACGGAGTACTCCTTACAAGAGACACACCACAGAGTGCTCCGTACGGAGTATGTATTCATGGTATCTTACTAGAACCCTTGCCCAACGACCGTGGTGCTGCTGGTGGATCGGCAAGTGCGAAATATACCCCGGAAACCTTAGTCTACACCGTCCGTTTCATCTTAAGAGTGCGGTGCTTCCGTCTCAGTGCTGCCCCTGATCTGAGGCGGCTGAAATGGGGAATTGCACATGGCAAAATGAGCTTTCCAAATTGGGAGACCTTATGTTGCATGTGCTCCATATGCCGGGGAGCCGACACCGTTTATGGAGATGAGATGGTCCACAGCAAACATAAATAGCAGACATTGTCCTGGATGCTTACGCGTCTTTCTTTGCCTGTCTTCGGCTGCAGCGTTTACTGTGCAAGCAGTAATGCGAAAACGCGGGATTGCCGCCCTTTGAGAATACCGAACCAAAGAGACCCACAAGAAGCCGAGAGTACGAGGGCACAGCTGGTGGGTCTTCAGCCCGATTCTGCTTCTGGAGGGCCTCTGTGCCTTCTATGGAGTCGACGGAGTCGTTCTCAGACCGACAGGAAGAAATGTCGTTCGTTCTGTGGTGTGGATCGTGCTGTTCAGTGTTGCAGAATACAGAGCCATTTTTTGTACTCCATACGGGTTTCACAATCAAGTGCTACCTTTCGACAGCCGGAACGTATTTTACGTAGCCCGACTCGTCTCGTAGACGTTGACAGTCCCACCCTTAAGAAAATCTTACATATGGTGATGTATCAGTCTCGTGGGAGTGCTGAGGATAGTCCACACCCAGAGGGGCCAGCATGCTGGCAAAACAACCGAGCAATTCTACTCGCTGTCAAGCAGCGCCTCCCACGTGGCATCACATGTTATTCCCCTGGTTTCTTGCCACGGTCTTGTGGCTGACAGCGCAGCTTAGATCTTTGTCAGAAGAGTTTGTTCTCGAGGTTTGCGGATGCCTATCCACAGTACAAATAATCACTGTACACGGACTGCTAGTACTCGTAGCCTCTAGATCTGCCGTCCTAAGAGAGCTTTAGGAAACAGTCTGGTTTGCTGAGAGGCGTCAGCACCGGCCCGTGGCCGAATGATTGGTCCGCACGACGACGAGGCTTCGGCGAAAACGAGAGACTGGTCGCAGCCGTATGGACGAGATAAGGCGGGATGCAGGCGAGGAACACAGATGGAACCGGGGCAAGGAAATGAAGGTGAAAGTGAAAACGGGACACTGTATCGTATTTCGTCCCGCTGAAATCTGGAGCCGCGGGGCATAGTATCTTAAGATATGTGTTCAGCTGCCCTCTGGCCATGCCCGCGCAGTCCTTTACTTTCCCGTCCCCGTCCTGCGCTCTGACTTTCTCCATATTCGGCCTTCTCGTCTAGTGCTCGAGATTTTCTTCTCCCTGCCTTCTGCGAGATACGGCTTTGTCCTGACCTGTCGCCCTTATCAGCATATCATCGCTCTGGCCCACTAGCGGCCCAGATAAAGAGGGGTTTAGGAAAGAGCAGACCAGCCTGACAGGCCGGTGCTCTTGCCAACTTCTTTGGATAGCCAGCCAGGACGACGAAGCTTCAAGGCCGTTGTCAACAAATCGCCATCTTGCTCCTTTTCTCTTTTTCATTTCCCCCTGATTCTGCCTCATTGTTGCTGTGTGGCGCCTCGGCTATTTTGCCCACTTTTCGTCCATCCTGCTGGCGACGATCCGCGACACCGCCTCTTCCACTTTATCCCAGCGGCTGCGGAATCGCCACGACACTTTTTCCTTTTTTCCCTTTTTTCCCCTTTTCTCCCCGTCTCTGCAGCCTCTTTCCGACCAATTTTCCACCCAAACAGCCGGCTGCACATTCTGCATCAGACGGCTCTGACGCGAGAGCCCCTAGGGATCAACATGGCTGAAGCGGCAGCTCCAGTAGAGGAGGCGCACAACGACAGTTCCAAGCTCCGGACCTTTCTGACCATCCTGCGAAAGTACGCGTCACCACGATGGCCCAGCCTCGCGTGTGCAAGACGTCGTGTGCACGCCCATAGCTGACTGTGCCCAGGTTCATTGGCGTTGCCGACCTCGCGTCCGTGCGGTTTTCGCTGCCGTCGCAGCTGCTCGAGCCGACGCCCAACTTGGAGTACTGGAACTATCTCGATGCTCCCAACACGTTCATCGCCATCGGGACGTCGGACGAGCCGGTGGACCGGATGCTGGAGGTGCTCCGGTTCTGGTTCACCAAGGACCTGAAGTACGCCCGAGGTCGCCCGTGCAAACCGTACAACTCGTGTCTGGGCGAGTTCTTCCGCTGCAACTGGGACGCCGAGGACAACGCGCCGGCAATCCTGCATCAAGAGCTCGCGACCGGCGGTGGCAGCATCAGGACAAACGGCAACGGCGGCGGCAACAGTTCGGCCTCGAGCGTGCGGTCGACCGGCTCCAACACGGGCTCCAATGGCGGCGGGTCCGCCAGCACGCCTCGAGAGGCGTCGAACGTGTCCGTGCTGCAGACGGGAACAAACCCGGCCAATGGGACGGTGCGGGTGTCGTATCTGACGGAGCAGACGTCGCACCACCCGCCAGTCAGCGCGTTCTTCATCAGCTGCCCTGAGCGTGGCCTGCACGCCCGCGGCTTCGACCAGATCACGGCCAAGTTCACGGGCACCAGCATCAAGGTGTCGCCGGGCGAGCACAACCTGGGTATCTTTGTCACGCTGGAGAAGCGCGACAACGAGACGTACCAGCTGCAGCACCCGCCCGCACATCTGGGCGGCCTCCTGCGCGGCGCGCTCAGCGTCAGCGTCGGCGATGTGGCTTACATTACCTGCCCCAAGACCAAACTCAAGGCCATCCTGCAGTATTACGACGAGGGCTGGCTCGGCCGGACGACGAACAAGGTGGACGGAATCATCTTTCGATACGATCCGGACAACGACGACAAGCTGCGCATCCGTGATGTACCAGAGGAGGACATTCTGGTGCGGCTGAACGGGCCGTGGAAGGAGAAGATTCTCTTTACGATTGGGCCCAAGCCGGTGGTATGTTTCTGTTTCGCTTTTGCTCTTTGCTCTTTTCTGTTATTCGTCTAGTCCTTCTCCTGACAATCACGAACACAGGCCTCGCATCCCGTCGCTGAGCAGACAACCATCATCGACCTAATACCGCTGTCTGTGGCGCCCAAGATACTGCCACCCGACGAGAAGCAGCTGCCAAACGAGTCTCTGCAGTTGTGGGGCGGCGTGACGAAAGCGATCCGCTCGAAGCAGTTCTCCCTGGCGACAACGCTCAAGCAGGAGCTGGAGGAGGGTCAGCGCGAGAAGGCGCGGGAGCGTGAGCATAAGAAGGAGGACTGGAAGCCGGTGTTCTTTGAGCAGCCGACAGGCAACGGCGGAAAGCCAGAGCTGTCGGCTAAGGGCTGGAAAGTGCTGGAACGCGCACAGAAGGGCGACTGGAGCATGGATGGCATCCTGGAGGAGGCGGCAACGCCTTCCGAAGTCTAGGGGAAATGAATGGGCCATTGTTCGCTGCAGAAAGCCGGACGAATGGGACGATACGTTTTCTGCTGTTAGTATATTATAAAATGTATGCATGAAAGGGCCCGAAGAGAGACCGGGCACCTGGGAGGGGGATGTTTTAGTTTTGAAGATAGCAACGCTTTTATAGATGTTGGATCGGTAGGTAGCCAGACAGATCGAGACCAAGACGCACACCGCGAAGGATGGACGGAAGGCCGAGGAGGGCCGAGGAGGCTGTTTCTTCTTCTGCTGCTGTTCTTTTGCATAGTATCTTACATAATGGTAAGACAGGCTTTTTGCTGCTGATCCGCTGTATGCGAGGAGTGGCCTGGAGAGTAGCGGATGATTTAGTCTAATATTATACGGTTGAGTGCAAGCTTCTTGTGTGATCCTCGACTGCTGCTAGCTATCGTTGCTTTTTGTTTAAGAGATACTGCGTGCTTCTGCCGTCGTCGCAACCTTGGTCCATTTCATCCTCGCTATCGATATCAATACACTCATACATGCTTACGTCAGCCAAATAGCACCACTCCCAATGTTTTCAGGCCTCTTTCGTTTGCCATTTTTTTCTTTTTTAGAGAGAAGAGAATCGTGAGCCGTCGCGACAAAGAGGCACGTGTCTATATACCCAACCCCGAAGTACCCGTTTTCAGTCCACCCACACAGAGACGCTCGTCTAAGCGTCGACAAACGTCTTGAGGTTCTGCAGGAAGCCGAGGTACTCGCGCTGCTCCTTGGCATCGAGGTACTCGGGCGCAAACACGGCGAGGGCCTGGGTGATGCCGCGCTCCTCCAGGTAGCGGTCCAGCAGCACCTGCAGGTCCTCGTCGAGGCTGCCGAAAGCCGGACCAGGGTAGACCTCCTGAGCCGCGTGGGCAGCCTCGGGCGTGGCCTCGTGGGCCAGCGCCGCGTCCTTGTAGTAGTACAGGTTGTCAACCAACAGAGCGCCGTCCTGGGCCGTGGCCTCAACGTTGATGGCGCCGTGGCCCGGCTTCTCGATCACAATGGCCAGCCGCACCGGCACAGCGGCCGACTCCGACTCGGCCTCGAGGTCCTCCTCACCCTCCTCGCCCTCGGCAGCCGCTTCGTTCTTGTGGCTACCGCTGACGCCCTCGTCCTCATCCGCGAGCGCGCCGTCCTCATCGTACAGCTCGGGGTCGTAGTTGGCCAAGTCGGCGACCGAAAACGTGACCGAGATCCTGGGCTGTCAGCGTCTGTTCTTCTTCCATTTTTCCCTTCTTACACACAATTCCCAACCCACTCACTTCTCATCGCCATAGGTCCGCCGCAGGACCACATCCTCACGGCCTGGAACGTCTTCAATCTCAAACAGGCCGCTCTCCAAAAAGTCCTTGACGCTCGTCGCTTCTGGCTCGTTCTCGCGGATCTCCGTCTCAAACTTGATCTCGCTGTCCAGCTTCGACGACAGTTCCTTGTCCATCTCCGTCTTGGCCGGCGCGCGGAACGTGCGGGCTGTCGAGAAGGCCGCCGCCATCTGCTGCTGCTGTGGCCGCAGACGAGCGGCTGTCGACACCAGCGGCTGGCAACGCCGGACTGACGGAATGACGCTGAGCCGTGTGGCTGCCGCAGTGCGCGGCGCAGAGCGCGCAAGTGTTCGCAGGGACATCATCTTTGCTGGCTGGTGGGAAGGGCTGGGAAAACAGAGAATTGGCCGTTTTGTCGGGGCGTTTTGGACATCAGCTTTCTGCGAACGGCTTAGAAAAAAAAAAGCGCTATAGAATTTTTGGGGCATCGAACGCACGGACCACATAAACGGCCCAGATCGGTTCTTCCCTCTTCGTGCGATGAGTAAGCAAACATGATGCTAGGAAACTTTCTGCCTGGCTTCACACTGCTGCAAGCGCAAGTATATAATGCCTCTACCACAGCCCAGAGTAGTGCCCATCTCCGTTAATAGGTTGTATTTATAAGATCCAACGCCTGTTCCTTTCCTTGTCCGATCTCCTAGAATTCTTGGTGCCTCAAGTTCCCTTCCCCATGCAATGACGAGCCGTCCGATCCACGGAAGCTGTCGCGTATAGTCCCGCCTGTCGTCTAGCGACTTGGCCGTCTGCGTGCACATCCTCGCGGCCTTGGCCTCATTTCAGGCTGATCTGCCGCGGCGTCAAGGCAGGCGCTGTTCCAGACATGCGCACGTCGATCGCCTCGCGACATCCCCAGCACTGGTATCTCGTCGGATTGCGCCGTGTGCCTGGGCCAGTGCCACAGCTGGCAAATATGCCGTTGCGCGCGGCATCCTGGCAAAGCCGCTCCGAGATGAGCACGGTGTCTTCCAGGCTGCAGTGAGCGCAGACACGGACGTGGGCGACGTAGAGACACATGACCAGCAGGCGAAAAGGGTGCTGTGAGAGACAGTCAGAACTAGGGCTTGGCGGAGATTGAAGGAAGCAGCACCCACACGTCTTGGGGTATATATTGATGAATGAACGAGCAAGACAGAGTGCAAAAGGAGGGTGAGAATCAGCCAATCGCCAACCAGGGCGTGGTTGTAAGTGCGATGTGTTGCTTTGTACTTTCCCGGGAACGGTTCTGTGTCTTCGTAGTCGGACCTCTTGCCACCTCTGTCTTGTTCCATCGCGACGAGCAGACAAGGCGCTTTTTATACAGAGACACGTCTGGTCAACGGGACCGGGACCGTGAGGCAGACATGCGAAAGCAACAAATAAGCCTGAGATGCATCTCTGGAAGCGGATGCGCGGCCTGCAGGAAATCTAGAGCTAGGGTATCGACATGTCCTGAGACCGGGGCTGGAGTTGTCTTGCCTGTTTCCTGGTGTGCTCTCACGTCTCCCTCTATGCCTTCCTCGTCGTGTCACCGCACACAACAAAGACATACTGCTGAGCGATGTAGAAATGGGCGTATTCTGGTCGGCAAGCCCTTAATTTGGCACCCTTGCTGCACTTTGTGCTTTTTTCTGGGTTGCATCGTGTCGTGTTTCCGGTCAATGCGATGACGTTGCGTCAAGTGCTCAATGAGAGACTGTGCTGTGTTGGCACTGCTGTCGGCCTACCTTTGTGCCCTGATTCACGCATATGGTTCAGTGGAGAGGCACAACCAAGGGACAGGCTGGCGCCACAGGATGCTTTGTGTGGCCTCTCTTGATGCTCGCGAGCAGCAACTCGTTTAAAATAGGCTCATAAATTGCCAGTGAGTAACATCACATCGACATCAGAAACCTCCTGGTGTTCGGCATATATGGCGACTGTGCTATCGCTCGGCTTCTGTGTACGCAAGACTGTAGAAATGGAACAGTGCAGCCGGATGAAACCAGACGTTCAGTATGGAAAGAAATGCTGCCTTACAGCCGTGCAATGTCACACGTGGCAGACAAACAATTGGAAGGCGGAATCGACCGTGCAAGGCCGATTGAAGGGCAAGGATATGATGGAGGCGAACAAAAACGATGGTGGTTTCAAGTAGACTACGACGGAGCAGATTCGGACTCCCGGGAAGGGGATCTGCTTCCCGGGAGGCAGGAGACCAACCCAGTTGTGTAGTCAATGTGTTGTGCATATATGCTTACTGCGTTTCGACTTGGTTCGGATAGCTGCCGCGCTTCGTCGTCATGGCTAGTGCTGTGTTTCCCCAAAAAGCGCCGTGTGGCGACAAGAAAGGCAACAGGCCGGAATGGATGTATAAACGCGGCTAATTATGGCTGTAGCAGATCCGGACCGACGGCTCAGCCGGGCGAGTCAACGGCACTCGGCACAAAGAGCAAGGAGGAAAAGGACAAAAGGCTAGACATTGTAGGCTCAAGGTTTTAGATCGGTAGGTATCTTATCTCAAACCCGGGACGGGTTGTGGCATTCACTACATGCATATGCATATGTGCCTTGAAGGCCCTGCATCGCAAAAGCTCTCTCCTGACGGCAGGGTTTTGCCGTTAGACGTAGCACATTCCGTGCAGCTGTTGCTGGTGCAACGATGTATAAAACAGGGGTTGAACGGCCGGCCGCAGCCGAGCCGCGTTGACGGCCGGCAGAAGAAGGTAAGGAAATGGGAAAGGAAGACGTTGCCGGACAAATCAGGGCTCTTGCAATTCTGGCGAGAGAAGGTCCGCCGGAAAGGACAGACGAGACACAGAAAAGACAGCTCGAAACGATGTGGCCCCGGACATCGCCAAATTGTCCAGCCACTGACCACCGGCTTCGCTTGCTCACCAGCCGGTCAGCCACTGGCCAACTCCCAGTCATTGGAGCCGTGGGCGGTACGAGGTTGTTCAGGCCGTTCTCTGGTGGTCGTCCTCTTTCTTCGTCCCCGACGTCCTGTCTCTGCCCGTGTTCGGTGTCTGAGACAGCTGCTGGTCCTTCCGGGTCTTCCCACCATGGAAGTCAGGCCGAGGAGTAACAAAGGAGTGGAGATCCGGGATAAGACAGGCAATGCATTTACCATTGCACAATCTTTTCAGACCGTCAGGCAGTCAGACGCTCGGATAGTCGGAGAGTACCACATACTCCTGCACTATTGGCTGCTGTTGTCGACAGGCTGTTATTTTCCCCTCCTCCGGTCGTGTTTGACAACCCCCCATTCGCTCGTCCGCCCATCTCCAGTACAGCCCGCACACGTACGCATGCCTAGTCCTTGGGAGGGAAAGAGGCCACCCGAAAGGTGCCATCGCTGGTGATGCGCACCCATTTGAGGCAGTTCAGCTGCGACCATGAGCCTTCCCAGCGGCTGAGCATCGCGACGTTATCCTCGTCGGTCAGATCGGGAATCACTGAGTGGTCAGCCTAATGCTTTTCGCCGAGGCAAGAAGATAGAAACAAGATGCTTACGGAATCCGTTCTGGAACTCCTTCTCCAGCGACGCAATCTTGACCTTGAGCACGTCCTCCCGCTTGGTCTGCGGTCTGCCTGGCCGGCGCGCCTGCTTGGCAGCTTCAATCTCTTCGTCGTGTCGACGCAGGAAACTTCACAACGAGTTGGTCGGTTCAAAATGTCTGACGAGAGAGAGGATATTCAAGTGTCACTAACCTTTTGATGCCTGCATCGATTTCGTCGCCCGCAAGGACCTTGTTGTCCCTCTCTAGCACAATCTGCTGGAAATGCCCAGCACGCTCAACTTGAAGCAGTCATTAGATTTCGTGCCAAAAATAAGAGTGGCAAGAACAAAAACATACCCAAAGGCTGCTCGTGCTTTCGTCGGAGCATCGCAAGCTTCTCCAGCCTTTCATCTCTCACGAGTGCCTTGTGCAGCCGCCGAGAGTCCCGGGATCCCTCGTGAAGGGCGCCGAGGGCGCCCCTCTTCTTCATAATCTTCTTGCGTGTTTTCTCGAGTGTTGACGGCATCGTTTGTGTTGGGCAATTGCTATCGCCAAGTCTGTCTCGGAATTGGATTTCTTCAACTTTTTTTCTGCCGTCTTTTTTTAATCAGATAACCACTAAATTTTCTAGCAGTGGGGGAGGGGCGATCCAGACCAGTTGCCCTGGAAATACTAATTGACGCTAGACCATATTGGGAAATGCCGTTAAGGTACGCGCTGTGACGCGACCTCAGCATTGTATCCGCAGTGGGAAAGCATTGGCCTGTCCCCCAAAACGCGCTGGACGAGGAGCACTTTCCCTTTTTCTCTCTCCACATTATACGGACGGTCTCCTGCCAGAATGAAGCTATAATTACCTCTCAACTGGCACCACACTTTTAGGCTCCTTTTTGGCCAATAGCTTCTCTGTTTTTCTCTCGTTTACTCACGTCTACCCACACAGCCAAGGCCTTGCATATTACTCCGTACTTTCTGCTTCTACCCTCGCGTTATTGGAACACTCCCCATATTCATATAACCCCATAGGTTCTCCGAGCTCTTCTTCGGAGCCCCTTGGGCCACCAGCCGAACCGGTTCCCGTGCAGTCACCTAGACTAGATTGGAATATCGGCCGAGAACAACTCGATCATACCCTATGAACGTTGCTTAGGCTCGCTCACAACTCGAATTCTAGCTGTTTTCAGCTGTCGGACGGCGTCCGTTGCATCGTCCCAGGATGGGTATCTCCGGTACGAGAACCAGACCTGCTTTTCAAACCGTCCCCCTGCATTCTGACGAAATATAGGATTGCTTCCTCTCCTCAAATCGATCCAGCGACCGACAGAGCTGAAGAAGTTTTCCGGCGAAACTTTTGCCGTCGACGCGTACGGATGGCTTCATCGAGGGGCCATTAGCTGCGCGATGGAGCTGGCCCAAGGCAAGCCGACTCGGAAATATGTTGACAGTTTCTTGAACCGCGTCCGGATGGTCCAACACTTCGGCGTCATTCCTTACCTCGTCTTCGACGGCGACTTTCTCCCAAGCAAAGCCGCCACTGAAGCCTCTCGCGCCAAACGCCGGGAAGAGAGTCGAAAGGCGGGCGAGGCGCTCATCAAGGCCGGAAACACAAAACAGGCCTTCCTCGAGTTCCAGAAGGCCATTGACATCACGCCGGAGATGGCTTGCCATGTTATCGAGGAGCTCAAGAAGCTGGGACTGCCCTATATCGTTGCCCCATACGAGGCGGATGCGCAAATGGTCTATCTCGAGCGCGAGGGCCTCGTCAGCGGCATCCTGTCCGAGGATTCGGATCTTCTTGTGTTTGGAGCAAAGCGGCTTCTGACAAAAATGGACATGCAGGGCCACTGTATCGAGATCAACCGCCGTGACTTCTGCGCCTGTCGCGAGATATCCCTGACAGACTGGACCGACCGCGAATTCCGCCACATGGCCATCTTGAGTGGCTGCGACTATCTGGAGGGAATTGGCAACTTGGGCCTCAAGACTGCATACCGCATGATCCGTAAGCACAAAACAGTCGAGAAGGTTGTCCGGATGCTCCAGTTCGACGGCAAGTTCAGGGTGCATGAGAACTATCTTGCCTCCTTTCGCCAGGCAGAGTTGACCTTCATCTACCAACGGGTCTTCTGTCCTGTCAAGCAGGAGCTTGCCTTTCTCACCGAGCCTACAGCGAGCATGGGCCTAGATCTTGACGGAATGCGCTTCATCGGCCAGAAGATGGACCATGATGTTGCACGAGGTGTTGCTCTTGGTCAGCTCAACCCCATGACGAAAGATCCCATAGTGTTACCCCTGTCTCCAGATAGGAAGCGGAGGGCCAGCGGCATCACCGGCTACAATCCCTTTCCTTCCACGGCAAAGACTCCGAGTTCGATCGGCAAGTCTATCGATTCCTACTTTGGGAAGCGGCGAGAGTCGGCGCCGCAGCGAATTCCCCTTGGTGCCATGGACCCTAATTGCTTCTCTGTGGATCGACAGCAGGTTGCAGCACTGACACAGAACGGACTGGTGCCTCGTGTCTTTCCTCTTCCCCGGCCGTATGTTGAGGGCGGGCGGACATCTCTGAGCCAGGAGAGTCCATCTGACCAGGCATCGACTGCGAGAACAAGTCCTCCGCTGCGACGAAGACTGACAGAACCGTTGTCCAGTCTTCTGCAATTGACCCCAGCTCCTACGCCGACCGACACTGCAAGCCGTCGCAAAACATACTCGAAACAGCCGCCACCGCCTCCGCCGCCCCCAAAAGCAGCGCGTGCCGCTTTATCCAGGCCGCCAAAGAAGGCCCGGCTGACCGAAGATGATCTCAGCGGAAACCCTCCCGCAAAGAGCTTGGAGCGTAGCAAGTACTTTTCCCGTACTGCAACAGCCACAGAAGAGCCTAAACTGAAGAGAAGAACTACTTCCGAGGCGTTCCTCATGTCTGACGACTCGGTCGAAGAGGCCATGCTGAGCTTGTCGGAGTGTGGTGGCTGGTCTACGCAGTCAACAATCAAAGTGTTCAAGGACACTCAGCCGACAAACCCCGAAATCTGCTCAGCCCAGGAAGCGCCCGAGTTGCCGTGGTGCTCAGAGGACGCGGAAACCGTAACGGATTCGTTCTCCGTCCCACAGAGTGATGGCATCGAAGTGCCAGCCGGTCCTGTTGGAAAAGCAACGCAGCCTGCTCAAAGCACAGAGCAGACAAAGGCGACACCTCTGGCTCGACCGTCCCTCAGCCGCTTTTCTTACAATTCGACAACTCGGATTGTCCATGGATTGCCGACGCCGGAGTCGAGCTTCAGTTATGGCAGAACTCAACAGCTATCTGCAGCAAGGCCGAATGTGTTGACGCCACCATCAACGGCTGGACGCAAGTCGGCGTCTCGTTCGACCAAAGTGCCGAGAAAGAGCCTTAGCGACTTCGTCGAGGCGGCCTCCACAGAACGGCCAGAACGACCGCGCAACACGAACAAGCAACGACGAAGCTTGGGGCCACAGATTCCGGTGAACCCATCATTCGTGCCACTGCCACGTGCTGACTTGGCTGAAGTGGAGGCTTTGAATAGCGCGCAGGGCAGCGAAGACCAGATAGTCCCCGATAGCGGCGCAGAGGATGAGGATGGCGACTTTGATGAGCAGCATGGCGTGACCGGAAGCAAAACGTCGTCTGGAGTCGGCCGTCTTGACTTGTCTCGTTTTTTGTGTAATTGATATCCCGTCGTGAATCTGACGACTGCATAGCACCGGCGTTTGGTATCTTATTTTCGACCGCTTTTTCATTCATCTTCAGGTAAAGTTTATGAGGGGACATTTTCAGAGAGAGGCGCAGAACATGTTTTAGCAGCAGATGCTTTTCAGTAATGCCATTTCCATTTGTCAATAGGTTCAATAGGATGTGAAGTCACGGCTCTCGGCGGCGATATACACGTGACGGAGCTAGAGAGAGGATGATTCACCGCCTAGTTGGTGCTCGCGACCAGCTGGCAGAAATTACTGCCAGACTTTGCAGTACACCGACAAAAAATTTCCCCGGTCGCTAGAGAAAAATTGCTTGGGTTTCTTCCTAACTGCCAATTGCCGCCAAGTTGAGGGTGTAATGCCAAGATTGCACAGCGACTACAGAGTCCAGACAACGACCTATTTCTTGTCGCTGTATCGCTGCCATAAGGAAAGAAAGACGTGTAAAGAAAACAAAGAGGCAAAATGAGCGGCGCACTGCAGGTTTGTTCAGCCCCCCACTTTTTCTCGAGGACTGCGCAGATTACGATGTTTTGTCATGAGAAGACGATAGCTGACGTTGGACTTACAGGACCGCCTGCGGCAGCATGCGGCAGCTTTCGATGGTCTTTTGTCGCTGATTCCGGCGAAGCTGTACTACGGAAACGGAGACGAGCCCAGCGTATGTTCTCCTGGCTTGAAGGCAGAAGGCGTTGAGGCTGGACGATATGCTGACTAAGCAACAAACAACAGGAGCAATGGAGACGAACGAAGCAGACAAAAGAAGAAAAGAAAGCAGCACGGCGGGCGAACCTTGACCCGGAGAACGAGCTGAACAAGAGCGTGAAGGAGTTGATGGAAGAACGGGCAGCGCGGAACAAGCGAAAGCTCGAGGATGAGGATGAAGACGAGGATGGCAGCGACGAGGACAGCGACGGTTCTGTCTTGGAGGGCGTGGTCAAGGAGATGCCAAGAGAAGGGCTGAAGCCGGTCAAGCAGCAGAAGAAACCAGTCAAGGGAACGACCAGCAAGAAGACCAAGCCGCCAGCAGAGAAAGCGATAGAAGAGAACAAGGGAAAGGAAGAGGAGGACAAGGAAGAGGAAGAGGAGGAAGAGGAGGAGATGGTGGAAAAGACGGAGGTCAGCCTGGAAGAAGCCAAGATTTCGAAAAAGCAGGCAGAGAAGCTGCTGAAGAAACAACAAAAGGCAGATCGCAAGGCGGAAAAGCGGAAACAGAAGAAGGCAGGGAAAAAGGAAAAGGGAGATGACGAGGAAGAAGAGGAAGAAGAGGAAGAAGAGGAAGAAGAGGAGAAAAAGCAGACAAAGGCACAGAAAGCAAAGGCGACAGTTCAAGACGAAGCAGACAGCGACGAGGAGAGCGACAAGGACGACTCGGACGAGGAGATGAAGGATGGAGAGGAGGAAGACGCAGGAGAGGACGAGCTGCAGAGCGGACTGGACTTTTCGGCACTAGGTGGCAGCGAGGAGGTGCTGGACGAGGCAGCAGGCGAGGTCAAAGAGACGGCGAGCACGACGTCGGTGTCGTCGACAGGGCCAACAGACAAGGCAGGACGGCCACACATCAAAGTGCCGAGCGACACATCGGCGCTGCGGGCACGACTGGCAGCACGGATCGAGGCGCTGCGAGCAGCACGCAAGGCAGACGGACCAGACGGGAAGCCGATCCGGACGCGACAGGAGCTGATCGAGGCGCGGCGGGTGAAGCAGGCTGAGCGGAAGCAGCACAAGAAGCAGTTGCGGCAGCAGGCGCGCGAGGAGGAAGAGCGGAAGCGGGACGAAGCAGTGGCATCAGCACGAGCATCGCCGCTGGTGCGAGCAGGAGGGTCGCCGGTGGAGGAGTCGACGAACCTGTCGTTTGGGCTGGTGGCATTTGCGGACGGGACCAAGATGTCGCGAGACCTGACGTTTGCCAAGGGTCGGAGCAGCGGCGGTGGAGACGACGCGGACGACAAGGCGACACCGAAGCGCAAGGGCCCGGCAGCATCGGATGTGCGTGGCCAGCTGGCACGATTGGAGTCGCAGAAGAAGCGGCTGGCAGGCATGGACGAGACGACACGGCGCGAGGTGGAGGAGAAGGAGCGGTGGCTGGCAGCACGGCGACGGACGGCGACGGACGAGAAGAATGGCGGTGCTGGCAGCGGGCTGACGGCCGGGGCAGCGGCCAGCGGAGCGGCAGTATCGGATCTCGGACGCACAGAAATGCTGCTGAAGAAGGCGATTAAGCGCAAGGACAAGGCCAAGAAGAAGAGCGAGCGCGAATGGTCGGAGCGGCGTGAAGGCGTGCAGAAGGGCATCCAGGAGCGGGATCGCAAGCGGGAGGACAACCTGCGGGCACGACGGGAAGACAAGCTGCTGCGGCGGTCGGGGCTGGCCAAGAAGAAGAAGGGTGGCGCAGGTGGTGGTGGTGGGAAGAGCAAGGGACGGCCGGGATTTGAAGGGTCGTTTGGAGGGAAGAGGAAGTAAGATAAAATAATTTGGAGTATGGGGGTAGGAAGAGAAGGGGAGGGGAGATGGAGAGGCGGGAGAGAAGGCGAGGAAAGACGAGGGAGAAGAGAAGAGACAAGGAGGCCATAAAGATCGTGAGATCAAGATCTTTTGGAGTCATAAAACGGAGCCATTGAACGGAATGATAAACGGATTAAACGGAACGGAGAAACAGAAACGGATAATCGGACACGGACCAAACGGACCAGTCCATTTTCTGCTGTGTCAAGCTAGTAAACATGCTGCAATGGGCAGGCGAAAAGCAGAAATAGATTGCAGTAATCCAGAGAGACAAAACGCCGTGTCCATTATGGTTTTTCCCCTCCCACCGCCGCCTTTCCAATACACAAAAGCAGGCCTGTGTGCGGACGGCCACAAGCCACGTGACCAGGCAACCGAAGCCCCCTACAAAATGGAATCGAGCCGGGTAAAGACATTGAGACAGGCGGCCACAACCTCGAGCTGCAGCTCCTTGTCCTTGGCCTTTGCAATTTCCTGTGCATGTTAGAAGTGCTCGTAGGCCTGGCCAGCTTGCACTCGCACTCGCACTCGCACTCACCTCTGTAATCACCTGCGGCAGGTTCGCGCCAATGCCGCTGGCCGTCGGCTTCCGGCCAAACGGCCACTGGCTGTACTCGGCCAGCAGCTCGTCGGTCTGGGCAAAGGCACGCTCGCGCGCCTCGTGTCCCAGCGTGCTCAGCGCGTTCTCCAGCACGTTGGCCGCATAGGCCGCGCAGACCATGCTGATGGTGCGCAGGTAGCGCAGCTCCAGGTTCTCGGGCAGAAACTGCGACGGCGGCAGGACGACGGTGCGCTGCGTCAGCACGTTGCGCACACGACGGCGGATCTCCTCCTTGGCACCGCCATCGGCCACCGGATGGGTGGCCATGTCGAACAGCAGAAAGTTGCGCTTCTCCGTCCGCAGGATGCCCTTGTCGACGAGTCCCTTGGCCAGACGCTCGCGCACCTGCTTCAGCTGGTAGCCGATCTTCATCAGGTTCCACGTCTCGCCGCTCATCAGGTCGATCCACGCGCTCACGCTCATCTTCTCGCTCGCCTTCATCATCTTGAGCGCCTCGTCCAGCAATACCTCGCCCGTCAGCGTCTCGTCCACCACCTCGATCAGCCGGTCGGCCAGCGGAAACCGCCGTCGCGACGGGTCCTTCTGCATGCTGACGCGGCCGCGCAGCGCCAGCTCCAGCACGATGCAGCCGCGCAGCGCATACGAGATGTTGTCGTTCCAGAACGAGAGGTAGCCCTGCACGGTGAGCATCACGACCAAACAACACACCAAAGCACAAACACACCCAAACACACCTGCTTGTCCTTCAATCCCAGCAGCAGAACCTCTTCCATCAGCGTCAGCTTCGGCTGCTTGCTGCGCTCCACGCTCTCGCTCAGGTCGCGCGGATCATAGGCAATCTTGTGCCCGTTGTCGCCCTGCTCGTAGCTCGTCTCCGGCGTCGCGTCCTTGAGGCTCTCCGCCCCGTCCGTGCTGCCGTTTGCATTTCCCGACGGTCCGCCCGCTGCTCCGTTACCGGCGCCGCCTCGCCGCCGCGTGAGGCCCGATGTGGTCGTGGTTGTCGACATGCTGCGCCCTGGCTCGGTATCTGTTCGCGCGATGAGGTGAAAAAGGCCAGAAGTCGGGTTCGATGAAAAAAGGGGGCGATTCGCTAGGCTCTTGGCGGAAATTGGCTGGCTCGGAATGCTGCAGCTCCTGGACGGAGACGAAAGTCGGCCTCAGCGCGCGCAGCTTGATCTCAAAAGGGAGGGTGGGCGGAAAGGAGATGAGCGTAATCTAGATGGATCATACACGACTGGGCTTTTTGCACCGCCCGTCTCCAGAGAGACTTTCCCGGCCCCAGTTCAGACCACGTGACTCTGCTAGGGAGGAGACGGTGCTGTCTGAGCGGCAGCACAGAAACGGAACGGCCAGCCTAGGGCGCGATGCTGCCCGGTTTTGGAATGGACAAGCTGGCGAGAGCTAGCGGCCAGCTCTGCTTGTAGGCAGGGTTCCTGCTGAAAGACTGCCGGACAAAGGACCGGTCTGATAAGAGCGCAGGGCTGAGATTGGGTGGAGCGGGGGATGGGCGCGGCGATAGTGGAGGGAGCGAGGCCTAGAAAGGACGGTGGAGGAGTCGAGAGAGAGGAGAGAGGAGAGCAGAGAGACGGAGAATGGATGCAGAAGAGAGGTGCACGGGAAGGGCAGTTCGGCTGGACGGCGATGATGAAAGGCCGAATCACTTTCTAGAGCACTTTGGCCACCGAATTAGGGATGAGAAGATAAGTGGGGCGATCTCTCGTTTCGTGCGTCGTTCAGAGAAGGAGCGTACTCGGAGTGTTGCCGCGCAGCGAAGAAAGAGCGCTCCTGCCGGCACGTGCTCCAGCAGATGACGAGGCCGAACCTTGTCTCACGTAACGGATGCGGGGGGGGGCTTTAGAGGGGCAGAAGCTGTCACGAGGCAAACGGACGGCCTTTTTCGTCTGAACGCATACGAGCATCTGTCAACATGGCCACGACGGCGCACTGTCTCTTCTGTTTCGAGACGCTGGCTGCGAGGCTGGAGGGGCGCGAGGCTCTGGACCTCGTGGACATCGAGCGAAGCTATGCAGTGTATGATGGGAAAAAGTCGTCATCGTCCATCCCATCACCATCATCACCATCATCACCCCTCTTCGTCACCTGGAACACCACCGAGGGCTTTGACGGTGCGGCCGATCGGCCGGCCGACGACGAGGCCTCGCACGAGCTGCGCGGCTGCATCGGCACGTTTGCAGCCGAGCCGCTGGTCACAGGACTCGCTACCTATGCTCTCACGGCCGCGCTCAAGGACCATCGGTTCCAACCGGTCAGCCGCCGCGAGCTGCCGCTGCTGCGCGTCGCCGTCACGCTGCTGACCGACTTTGAGCCGGCCGCCGACGCCGACGACTGGCAGCTCGGACGCCACGGACTGCGCATCGCCTTTGTCGACGGCGGCCGCCGCTACGGCGCCACGTACCTCCCCGACGTCGCGCCCGAGCAGGGCTGGTCCAAGGAACAGACCGTCGTCAGCCTGATGCGCAAGGCCGGCTGGTCTGGCCGCACCGACCGCTGGCGCGACGTCCCCCTACAGGTCACCCGCTACCAGGGGAAAAAGCACAGCCTCGCGTACAGGGAATACCAGAAGTGGCGTGAATGGGAGGATGGGAGAGAGTAGGGGGTGAGAGGGAGGAGGGAAGGAAAAGAGAGCACCAGAGAGAGGACAGAACGAGAGGACAGAAGACGACACAGGAAGAGAACAAATAGCTCAAGTTTGATAGACAACATACACTTCCACCTAAAGTACACTACACATACATCACTACACATACACCGTATATAACACCCACACTTACATCTTACATCGTCCACACATCCATCCACACATCTCTCCATCCCATATATCCTTCCACACACATCCCAACACACTCACACACACCAAAACGCCTTTCCGCTGCCTGGATTCCTGCCAGAATATCTTTCCTTAAAAGCAGACGTCAGCCTCGTTTCTGTTCGTTTCTCATCTGCCAGACCGCATTCTGCACAGCCAGCTGGCAGTCCATCAGCCCAAGCCGATCACCAGCAGCGCAGCTGCTTCCAGAAGCCACGGCTGCCCGGATCGCGGCCGACATGGTCACCGCTAATGCGAGGGCCACGCAGGCCCACCGGTCCGAGCTTCTCGTCCGAGGCCGAGCCGAGACGTCTTCTGTGCTCGTTCCGGCCTTCGTTCTCGCCACCACCACCGTCCATCTCGCCGCTGCTAACCGGCAGCGGGCTCAGCGGCTTCGTCATGCCGCGGCAGTCGAGCTGGTGGTCGTCGGTGAGGCCGAGCGCGGCCAGACGACGGGCCTCGATGACGCGGCGCACGACCAGCGCAAAGGTCTCCTCAATGTTGACCTCGAGGCGGGCGCTCGTCTCCATGAAGCCACAGCCACGACGACGGGACCAGTCGAGTCCACGGGCTGCCGGCACCTGACGGCTCTCCTGCAGGTCGCACTTGTTGCCAGCCACGATCTTGACGGGCGGCACCGTACGCGATCCGCTGGCAAAGGCGTCTTCGGGCAGCAGCTCGACCTCGTCGGCGGCACAGCGCAGGCGCGCTGCATTGTCCAGCCGCGTCTCGGCCTCCATGTCGATTAGATCGTTAAAGTACTGCAGCGCGTCGAGCGAGTCGAGCGAGGTGATGTCGTATACCAGCAGAAACGCGTCCGCCCCCAGGTTGGACGATGCCCACATGCCGCGGTACTCCTCCTGGCCGGCCGTGTCGGTCAGCCCGAGATGGTATGTGGCCCCGTCAATACGCCGCGTCACGCTGTAGCTGTCCTCGATCGTCGGGTCGTACTCTGACGTCCACTGCGATCGCACGAGTCGCAGCGTGATGGACGACTTGCCGCAGCCGCCGTCGCCGCAGATCGTGATCGAGATCGGGACCGGCGCCTGGTTGCCGGAGTCGTTGGGAGAGTGAGGCATGGTGCTGGTGATTGTAGAGGATGAGTCGAGGACGATATGTCGAGGACGTCGAAAAGTTGAGATCGAAACGATTCAACAGAATTTGATCGTAGACCGTACACTGAGACCGTAGACCAACGAAGAGACGCAAATCAAGCAGCCCACGCTTCTGCAGCAATCCCTTCGGCGGGATCAAGGCTGCTGAGCTGTCGGACCAATCGTCAGACAGAAATCGTCTGTCCACTTCAGGCAACTCGGAACCTCATATACTCCCAAAGCAAGGGCGCCAGAAATGGCGACTTCGCTGCGGCAACAGGCGCAAGGAGGCACCGACGGCGAAGCAACAGCGAAGAAAAAGGAACAAAGGGAAGAGGCTGAAGATGCAAAATAGGAGCAGGAAAATTCAACGCAAGGGAAATGGTAGCGGGGCTAAGACACACACACTCTCACGATCCAGAACACGCAGCCGCTCAGTCGTTTGTTCTTTCTCTTTTGGGTCGGCTGCAAGGACGGACGGACGGACAACCACTTGATGAGAAGGCACGAAACGGCAGTCTCATTTTGCTTCTGCGTATTATTTGGAGTCCCTGCCATGCCTCATCTCCTTGTCATCCACACATCTGTCCATCCAGCTCGAGCACGCCCGCTCTTCTTATCACCTACCCCTGCATCATCGCAGCCCCCCTATTCTTTTTTTTCGTTGGCGTCGCATTGACTGTCTACGCTAGGCTTGTCTGGGCCATGGCCAGCCAGTAAGGACGGTACGGTGTCGAAAGGTCTGGAAGGACAATTCCACGGCCAAGTCGTTACGAGAGCCAGGCCTGCTTGTCCGTACAGCCCCTATTTGCTTCTCTTTCTGTGCCGTCCTTCCATCGCTTTCCTTCGCCCTATTATCGTCCACCCGACACTCCAAGGAAGGAAGACAAAACAGGAAGCTGATCGGTGGAGCAGAAAGAGTGGACACAGCTGCCAAGAGCCCAGAAACCAGAGCCAGAAAGGCCAGAGCGCCGTTGACTTCAAATTAGCCAGTGCCGACTCTCGAATGAGGCACCTGGGGACTCCGAACCTATCACGCCAACACGCCACGCAGACAGCCTTGTGTCTTTGGAAGAAACAAAAACCGGCCGCAACATACATCTCCGTTGCAACACACTACAGTATCTCTCCTCGGCGATCAGCCCCAAACAAGCGTTGCGCTTCTGATCTCGGCCTAAACCCATTGCGCCATTCCGGCTACCACACCACATGGCCCAGTGGATTCCCCGCATTGAAAAGTCTCTACCCGGCTTATACAAGCCCTACCGGCTGTGAGAACATTCCATTGGCTGCCGCTGAGGTGATTTGCAGCTGGACCGATTCGAATTCGAACCACGCAATGGCCTGGTCCAATTTGGCAAGCTCGCTGGCCGCGAACAAGACGGAGAAAAATCTCTGAAAAAAAATGACGGGATTGTGGGACGACGCAAAATGACTAGCCGAACACACATTGTCGGGCCTCACCAGTCTACGGAGTACAATTGCAAAAATGCGGGCGTCTAACACGAGCAAGCATGCGCCTGCAGCAATTCCTAACCGGGCCGCCGAGGTATCAGAGGTGGGTTCCAGCTGGTGACACTGCTTCGGCGGGGCTGACACGTGCTGACTGAACCGGACCAGCTCATCGATGCTGTCAAGGCACTCATAGTGCCGTTCATCGCCGATGCCGACAACGCCTTCCCGGAGCGAGAACAGGGTGGACCGGTTGGGACATCTTCGGCAGACCTGCCAGTCCGCACCGCCCTGGTCGAGCCGTTGAAGCCACAGAGCGTGGTATCCCGGCTTGGACTGGACCTCCCAGAGGGCAACGGAGGTGGCCGGGCAGCCCTGCTCGAGACTGTGAAGCGTGTGCTCGACCTGAGCGTCAACACGTGGGACCAGGGTTTCCTGGATAAGCTATACGCCAGCACGACCCCTGTCGGTGTGGTTGCAGAGCTGGTGCTGTCCGTGCTTAACACCAACGTGCACGTTTTCCAGGTGTCGCCGGCCCTGACGGTGATCGAGAAGACCACAGCTCGGGCGCTGGCGAGACGATTCGGCTTCATGGGGCCTCGTGCTGGCGGCATCACCTGTGCTGGTGGCAGCGCGTCCAACTTCACGTCACTGATCGTGGCCCGCAACACGCTCTTTCCCGAGACCAAAGAAGACGGCAACGGAGCCGGACGGCGGTTTGCCCTGTTCACGAGCCAACACGGCCACTACTCCGTCGAGAAGGCTGCACAGGCAGCCGGACTGGGATCCAGAGCCGTCTGGACTGTCGCTGTCGATGCTGGTGGCTGCATCGTCGCGTCGGAACTGGAAGCCCGCATCGTGGCCGCCAAGACGGCCGGTTTCACGCCTCTGTACATCAATGCAACCGCCGGCACCACCGTCATGGGGTCGTACGACCCGTTCGAGGCCATCGCGGCCATTGCTAAGACACACGGCCTGTGGTTGCACATCGACGGCAGCTGGGGTGGACCGGCCATCTTCTCGGCACAACAGCGGCACAAGCTGCTGGGCTCGCATCTGGCCGACTCGTTGACCGTCAACCCGCACAAGATGATGAACGTGCCGACGACCTGCTCCTTTCTGCTGGGGCCCGACCTGAGCCTGTTCCACCGGGCCAATACGCTGCCGGCAGGATATCTGTTTCATGAGGGTGAGGATAACAAGAACGAGGCCGAAACCGAAACCAAAACCGATGAGGTCTGGGATCTAGCCGATCTCACGCTGCAGTGCGGACGGCATGCCGACAGCTTTAAACTCGCCCTGGCGTGGGTGTATGAGGGAGCTGCCGGCTTTGAGAGGCAAGTCGACCACTCCTTCGCCATGGCGGCTCTTCTGGCGCAGCAGATTGCTCAGCGACCCCATCTGTTTGTCCTGGTGTCAGCCAACCCGCCACCGTGTCTGCAGGTGTGCTTCTACTATGGCCAAGACGGCCGCCCGGACGCCGACAGCCGCGTTAACAGCCGGCGCACAAGCACGGCCGCCCGCCTGTTGGTGCGTCGCGGCTACATGGTGGACTTTGCGCCAGGGCCCTGCGGCAGCTTCTTCCGCGTCGTCCTCAACTGGCAGACGCGGCCAGGGACCATCCAGGGCCTGATCACGGCGCTCGAGGCGGTGCGGCAGGAGATCAGCTGAGCTGTGATTATAGATCTAGACTAGAAAAACAGAGAGATTAGATCAAGAGTTACCAATCCGCATGGATGAGGATCGCAATGGGAACGTAGCACTATGGTGACCACGTGATATGCAAGTAAGGCAGGCGGTGACTGTGTGAGCTCGCGATAAGATACCTGTTTTTTTTCTGCCGGAATTGTGCTTTTTTTTGAATTAGCCAATTTTGCTGCGTCCATCCCGATCTAGCTCTCCATACACCATCAGGACCTCCCCAAGTGTAGCCATGGCCAAGCAGCGCAAATCCAAGCGACAGCTCGTGCGAGACGAGCGGCGCAAGAAGAAGCGCGAGAACGAACTGCAGGATGACGAGGCACGCGAGGACACGCGGGACGCAAAGCGACAGCGGATCCACGAGGACGGCATGGACCAGGTCAACGGCGGGAACCTGTACTATGAAGACGATGGGGATGGTAAGAGTGGTCCGCGAGATGGCGGACAAGAGTATGGTGGACGAGAGTATGCTGTTCCACGACAGCGTGCTGGCCCACGAGAGTTTCCGGGCTCGCGAGAGTATCCCGAATCACGAGAATACCCCGGCCCAGAACATGCTGGCCCAGATTATGCTGGCACCGGGGATCCACGTGAGTTCTTTGGGCTGCTGAGCGAGGCTGAGCAGGAGTATTTCCGCCGGGCCGACGAGCTGTTGGAGCTCAACGAGTTCGACACACCGGCTGAACGGCGGGTCTTCCTGGCCAACGTCTTCCGCGAGGCCCGCGGCAAGGAGCTCAAGCTGGCCAGCAGTCAGTCGTGCTCGCGGCTGATGGAGCGGCTGATGCAGCTGGCGACGACACGCCAGAAGAAGCGCCTGTTTGGCGCATTTTCCACCCACTTCATGACGCTCGTGAGCCATCGATTCGCCGGTCATTGCTGCGAGCAGCTCTTCCTGCAGTCGGCCCGTGCCGTTGGCAAAGAGGGCACGGCCGACGACGACGAAGACGAGGCCGAGGCTGAGGCTGCCGACGATAACGACGATGGTAACGACAAGAACGACACGTCCATGGAGCAACACTTTTTGCTTGTGCTCGACGAGCTTGAGCCCCACGTCTCCGCCCTACTGACCGACCGTTTCGGCTCTCACGCACTGCGCGTCCTGCTTGTCGTTCTCTCCGGCCGGCCACTCGACCAGCTGGCCACTCGCACGATGATGCGCAGCCGCAAGAAGGAGGTCGTCACCGTGGCTGGCGAGGAGGCCCGGAAGCGCGCAGCCGCCAGCGACGGCGACGCATCTACCACCAATGCCATAGCAAGCAGCTCGACCACCGCATCGGCTGCAGCTGTCCGCTCAGTCCCACCGTCTTTTGTCGCTGCCGTCCGCAAGATCCTTGCCGATATTGTGGCCGCTCTCGATCCGGCTTCTCTGCGTGTCATGGCCACCCATCCGACCGGAAACCCAGTGCTGCAGCTGTTGCTCGAGCTCGAGATGGGCGAGGAAAAGAAGACAAAGAAAGGAAAGGAGGCCAAGGAGGAGGATGACACTCTACTGGGCCGACTGCTGCCCGGTGCCCCGGCCTCGCTGTCCGATCCGCAGTCACCCGCCGCCGAGCTCATCCGCACGCTCGTCTATGACCGCATCGGCTCCCGTCTGCTGGAGACGCTGGTGAACAACAGCCCCGGACGGCTGTTCAAGGCACTGTACGCAAGCACGTTTGCGGCACAGGTTGAGGCTGATGACGCCGATGAGAGCAGCAAGGAAAAGGACACCTCGACCTCCTTCGCCCGCCCCATGGCCGTTTACCTCCGCAATGACGTCGCCTGTTATCCGGCCATACGCGTGCTGGAGCGGCTGGGCCGTGACGAGCTAGTTGCCGTCATCACCCAGCAGATCCTGGCCGCGCCCACCGCCGCGTCCATGTCTGGCCGTACCGCCGCGCCTGCCGCCGTGGTGGCCCAGCTGGTCGAACGCCAACGTTTCAGCGTGCTGCGGACTCTCTTTGTCCGGTGTGCCGCGCGTTCCGTCGACCAGACTGTGGTGCGCCAGCTGGTCGAAGCCCTGCGTCAGGCCGTCGGAGCCGAGCGTCACAGCGACTCAGCCAAGCTGATCACCCGGCTGTGTCTGGGCGAATCCGATGGTGATGTCGACGAGTCGGAGAAGCTCCGTGGCGGCGACGTCAGGGATGAGAAGAAAGAAGCCGCTGCTGTGGCCCACGGCTGTCTCCTAGTGACGGCCATGCAGGCCATTCCGGGTCCACCAGCCCAGGCCGTGCAGAAGTCGCTTCTGGCACTGTCGAGTGAGCAGCTGGCACACTTGGCCACGGCCACGACGGCCTCAGCCGCTATCGTCATTACCGCCATTGCCGCCACCAACAGCGACAGCCACAGCCGCAGCCAAGCACCCGTGGTCAAGCAGCTGGTGGCCCGTCTGGTGCCTGCCTATCTGCAGCTGGCAACATCGCCGTCTGGTCATGCTGTCCTGGTGGCCATTGTGCAGAGGCCGTCACGGGTGGCTGATGCCTCGGCAGGAGCTTCGGGAGGAACACCAGCTGGAGCCTTTGTGGCCCATCTCGAGCTGCCCTTCCACCTGAAGGAGGCATTCGTGTCACAGCTCTCGACACAAGAGGACACACTGCGGGCCTGCTGGCCTGGCCGCGTCGTGTGGCGGGCTTGGCGCATCGACCTCTGGCGCAGCCGTCGTGCAGACTGGATCCGCTGGAGCAAGGCAGGCGAGCCCGAGGGGCTGCAGAAATCGACGGCACCCTTGGCGGCGGCTGCCTGGAACCGTGTCGTCAGAGACCAGAAGAATGTAGAGGAAGACGTCGAGATGGAGAAGGGTGGAGAGGAGGAGAAGGAGCTTGAGGAGCCTGAGGAGAAGAAGGACGAGGAAGACAAGGAGGACAAGGAGGAAAAGATGGAAATACGGGAGGACAAGGAGAAGAAGGAGAAAAAGGAGAAAAAAGAGAAGAAGGAAAAAAAGGAGAAAAAAGAGAAGAAGGAAAAGAAGGAGAAAAAGAAGAAAGAGGAGAAAAAGCTGACAGAAAAGTTGGACGAAGAGGACGGTGAATCAACATAGACAGCAACAAATGCTTTGAAGCGTGGATAGACTATGAAAATATACAAAACTGGGAATAGGACAGTTCAGTTTATTTTGTACAGAATACGAATTAATTATATTGAAACTGTTGTCATAAACTCCTATCCAAAGGCCCCTTCGGCTTAGGAAAGAGCGAGCGGCCTCGGGAAAGTGCGAGGGCCCAAGCAACTTTCCAAATAGAGACGAAAGGCATCAAACACAGCCGTCCGGTGACCAGACATTCAGATCACCCTCAAATATACAAAAACACAATCGGACACTCGGACACTATCAGCTGTGTAGTCGACTACGGCCATATATAGCAAATATCTCGCAAAAGGCTGCAACAGGCAGCAAAGACAGAAAAACAAAGCATAGACAAAGACAAAGGCTGATTTGGAGTTTTTTTTTTTTTTAAAAAAACGTTCTAATTTTCTGTCTGAAGTCGTACATTCCCATCGTCTGATAACCGGAAAGAACAATATTTTTCCTGCAACCCAAATTCCACAGAATTCTTACAATTTGTCACAATACTCTTACAACGTTAAACATCTCTCGCCTCATTTGTATCAAACACCCAAATACAACAAGACTTCACAATCACTGCGGACCTCAACTTACCACCGAAAACCATACATGTCGAAACCATGGGCGTCAAAATGATATCCCAAATTCCTTTTGGATCGACCTGAGACCAAGATTCAGAAACGCTTGAGCTTGCAAAAGCAAATATGGTTCCAGAGTCAGTGCCTAAAATATCCATAGCATTAACACAAGTTCGAATGCCTGCCTTGAACGGCTCGATGCAGGTCCTGAAAAACAATTTTGCTGGGCGACTCTTTAGTCTTCCAAGTTCAGAAACTCGCCAAAGGTATTGTGCTGCCACTGCGTGCCAATTCTTGGCCGGGCGCTCTTCTGGTGACCGAGTTCGGGGGCTACCGAAGGCGGTAGGGGATTTGCCTCTGGGTTTTGTAGAAAGGCTACACGCAGACGTAGCAACCGAAGCTTCTCCTTGTCCTGTTCTTGTCTTGACAACATGATACCTTGACTGGACTGTTTCGGCTCATCAAAAAAAATCTCCAGTCCCTGTGGTTCTGTCTGCTCATAATTAGCCAGTGCCAAATCCATCCCGAGGGTATCTTGTCCCTCATGCTGAGGCTGTTGGGGTTGTTCAGGAAGGATATTCTGCTCCTGTGCTGCTGGCTGCCCAATGTTCATCAAGGCCCTTCCCATCTTGGAACCATCCTGCTGTACATTTTGTGGCTGTACGGGCAGTTGCAGCCGTCCACGAGATGATGTCGGCTTTCGTGGTGGGAAGAGCAGCTCAAGTACCTGAATTGTAGCTTGATCTAGCTCGAGTTGAGCACTGGCATTTTCCTGTGTCTCCTGCTGCTGCGGTGTGATTTGTGGCAGAGACAACAGTGGTGGATGCGACTGGCTAGGCTGCTGGAGATCTAGCCGTGCTTGATGAAACCCCGGAAGTGATAGCTCAGCCAGCTGCTGGTCAGAAATTTGTGAGGCTGGAGCTTCCTGGCTAAAGACTTGAGCCACTGGTTGGAAATAGTTCTGAAGGGGAAGCTGTAAAGCTCCCTGGTCAGGAAGATTAGCCAGTGGCCTATAAGAGGACCGATGGAGACACTTGGGGATTCCCTGGCTAGGGACATTAGTCTGTGGCTGTCTGTAGGGGTAATGGCGACGCTGGAAGGTTCTCTGGTCTGGAAGCTGGAAAACTGGAGTTTCTTGGACAGAAATTTGATCCGGTGACTGGACAAAATTCTGTCCAGGAAACTGCAGGGAAAGAGGTCTCTTCTGGCTGTCTGTGTTCTCCATTGGCTGACTAAATTGCTGACCAGTGAGCCGGAAGGAAAGAGGAACCTCCTGGCTGACCGTGCTATCCATTGGCTGACTAAATTGCTGGCTAGGAAGCTGAGAGGAAAGCACATCAATTGGCTGATTGAATGGCTGACCAGAAAGCTGGAAGGAAAGAGCTCCCCCTTGGCTGACTGTGTTATCAATTGGCTGACCGTATTGTTGGTCAGGAAGCTGAAAGGAAAGAGCTCCCTCGAATGTGTTATCGATTGGCTGACTAAATTGTTGTCCATTCAGCTCAGAGGCAAGAGGTTCCTCCTGGCTGAACGTTCCCAGCGGCTGATCAGACTGCTGGCCAGGAAGAGAAAAATTCGTCTGTCCAAAATCCATGAGCTCCTCAATATCCTGATCGGAATATTGCAAGTCCAGCTCCTCCTGGCCAGCAACTTGGGCCATAAGCTGGTTTTCTTCCTGGTCGGGAAGCTGCGTGCCTGACTGGCTTATGGGTATGTGAGTCAGTGCACTTGCCTGTAGATTATCGTACTGCTGCTGCTGGGGAAGTTGCTGCTGGGGAAGTTGCTGCTGGGGAAGTTGCTGCTGGGGAAGCTGCTGCTGGGGAAGTTGCTGCTGGGGAAGCTGCTGCTGTGGAAGCTGCGGCTGGGGAAGTTGCGGCTGAGGAACCTGCTCAGGAACGGCAGGTGGCAGTGGCATCTGGACCTGGGGAGCTACTGTAGGCGGGATCGCCCATACAAATTTCTTTGCAAACCGTGCCAGTCTTGGTTGCCTCTTCAAATTGACTTGAGACCGCAGTCTGGCTTTCTGGAACTCATATTCTTCCTCTGAAAGACTGAACATCTCCTGCCCGACCCTTTCCGCGGGAAGATTCCACCTATAGTACTCAACTTCTGCCGGATCAAGACAAAGGATCATTGTTCTAAAGACTGCTTCGAACTTGATGTGTAAAGCAAGCTCGTTGTCTGGCACCATCTGAATTCCAGGGTGTGATTTCTCTGCGTAGCTATGATGGAAATAGTCGCCCCTTCTGATTTCGTCATCATCGATATGAAAGCCATAGCCGTCCATGACTCTGCTTAGTGCTGATGCTTTTAGTGCCGAATCCTTACATGCTTCGAAAGTACGGCAATTAATTCGGCGTGATATAGACTTGTAGGCATAGCACTTCTTCTTCAATACCGTGATGATCAAATCGTAAGTTGAAGGCGTCTGTTACATCATAGTTAGCATTGATGTTCGATGACGTGAAAACAGAGCAGATCTTGGATATTTGGAAGCACTTACTTCGGTCACTTCGAAGTCGTTTGTTCTGGGAGCCATGGTGCGATGTGGTGACAGTGAGTGCCGTATAAATGTGTGTGTATGTGTACGTATGGGAATGAGAGTGGATGTAGGTATGAGATGGAGTGGGCAGAGATGAAACTTTGCTCTTGTCTTTCAAGCCAGATGAATGGTAAAAAAGTGAAGATTGGATGGCAAGGAGGGATGGAGGGAAGGATGGATGAAGTGGCCAGGACCTCTGTTTATAAGGAAGAAGAAGCTTAGAACATCAGTCAATGGACGTGACTGTAAGTCGATATGGCAGTTGCAACAGTCAAGAAGAATTTTCTGTGTGTGGCGTGTACGTTGTTTGGATTACATTGCAGTCATATCGTTGGATAGTAAGTAAAGCACAAGACTTGCAAGCTGCTTGGCACATGGCTTTCTTGTGTTTATTTAGCAGGGACTCCCATTTTGAACATAGCTAGAATACTAGAATACTAAGAGGAAAGATTGAGAAGACTATCTGTCTGATCAAGCCTTCGAGGCATCAGTTTGGGGTGGACCTGAAGTAAAGATTGGGGAGAGGAGGGGGGGACGGGGGGGGGGGCAAAGGAAGGCTTGTTTGGCAAGGCCAACAGTACAATGCATTATTAATGACTCCAGAATTTTGGCCATATGGACAGCGAGGTCTGTCGATTATGCGAGCAGATTAGGTTTGCCGTGATGCAACACAGTTTTCGTGCAGGAGGTCGCCTTCGTTGTGATGCATTGCAGTATGCGAGCAAAAATCGTATAGGAAGCGCAGACTCCATCTGCAGATGAGCTATACTAAGTCAAAGGAAGAGGGGACTATGGAGACGTCGCTGCAACAGAGACGGGTTGTAACACCGTTCCAGGCAGTAAGGGCTCTTCTAACGCTGAAGCGTAAAGACCATTTTTGATGTTCGGTCGTCAAATTTTCAAAAGTCAAAGTTAACATATTGGTAGAGGTATTACACCTGATTGGTTGATTTGGCTCTCTGTCTACTCAGCCGCCACATGCAAAATAGGATCGAGCCAATAAGGATACAGATGTACCCACACAACCATGACTTATCACTCTGGAGTACAGAGTACTGGGCCGTTAACGGCCCTAATTTTCTGTCTTGTTTTAGAAACGAAGAATCAACGCCTAGGGCGTATTAAGGCGAAAGGGCCCGAATCTGAAGCAAGATTATGAATGAATGACATTGTCTAGAGGATTTCAGGCCGTACGAAAAACGGAACATGGGATTGTCCCATCTGACATTAAGCCCTGTACAAAGCGTGCTTTTTTGGCTGACTTGAAAAAGATTAGCATTAAAAGACGGCATCGTGATCAGGAGCGCTCGGACACCAACGGCGTATCTGCTTCATAATCAAAGTTCGTATAAGCTTATAAATGAGACAGATATACAGTACGAGTAAGTCAGCACATAGGCAGCGTCTGCAATTATGCCGATTCTCATTGTAGTCCAAAGCAGCACACAGACCAAGGAATGACAGAAGGAACAAGCACAGGAACGAGCTCAAGCATACGCCCGTAATCAACAAAATTTGGTTTACCGAGGTTTCCTTGACGTATCACGGCTACGTAAATGAAGGTGTTTTGAGAAATCCACGAACTGAATTTATGATGGATTCCGTGTGGGCGTCATGGACGAAGCCAAAAGCCGGAGTTCAGTCGCTGTATTTCCGCAGACATGCATTTGATCTCGCCACAAGATAGTTCCTCTGACGATCCCGCAGCTCGGTTGAGCATTGTTGGAGCCAAGACGGACATTGCTCATATCAGACCAGCCTGCACCACCAGCTGCTATCTCGGCTCGTCGAAGTTTTCAGTGTTGTCGAACTTTCCGAATTGGTCTGCTCAGAAGGACGGTATTGATGCACGATATCCTCGCAGAAGTAGTAGTACTAATCAATGTTGGAAGGGGGTCTTCTGAACCACCACTAAGCCCTAGACTCTGCCAGCTCAAGGCCAAGCGAAAGGGTGTCCCCTGTCTGCGAGAGTCATGTGGCTGCAAGAACGAATAAGCCATCCTTGATCTGTTGGAAAAAAATGTATTCTGGGGCGATGTAGTTGTTGGTGTAAAAGCCCCGGGGTGACCAAAGTCATATTGAAGATTTTCCCAAGCTCGTCGGAGCAGGACCAGCACACAACATATGGCCGGTGATCAGTCAAGGAATTAGACCCGTAGAACTGTAGTAGCATCATAAGTTTCTGTTGCCGAGTAAAGCATTGACTTGTTCCTTCTCTGTATTTCCAAAAGAAACATGACATGACGTGAGCCATATATCAAAGACTTTCACATGACACGTACCTCTTTATCACTACCATCGACATTCGATTGAGAAGTAGAAGATGTAATAAGGAGCGAGAGGCGGGCTCTCCATTATTTCGAAGCGAAACAATGGAAGTTTGGTTTCAGATGTACGCAATTTTCTGACAGAATTTCCCATCTCCGGCTCTTGATTCGCGTGCCTTCCCATTTGAACCTTTCGGACGTAGTCGGACAGACCCGATTATACGGGTGGAGAAGGGGCAACTCGGAGATACCCACAAACAAGAAAGTAAGCAGTTCGCACCTGCCGTCTACACATCTACATTGTCAACGCCAAGCACAAAAAAATATGACCTCGTCAAACGTAAGCTGAAATTTGGTTTCTATAAATGGAGTCAGCATCAGTCGTTTTGTATCTTCTCGCCTCGATTGAGCCACCGAGGGCCTAGGCTTTCTCACTGAAAGCACCTGGAACTGAGTATCTGAAGGCTCTTTTTTGTGCACTACTCCGTACGTTCCAACCTCGGCTTCAAATCTAGTATGTGTCTCCACCTCTTGAAATAGAAGCACACCGAAACTACACTCTTATTGTTTACGATCTATTGCATCCTACTTCCTGACTTTACCACTTTTCTCACCCACTACCCCAAATTGGCAGCCGAAGCAGGACCACGCCGCTATATCAACCATACTCCGCACTATGCACCTTATCGCGGCCCGCTACAAGATCCCCCTACGGTTGAGGAGAGCTGCTGTTCGTAGTATTGGCATTTGGCAGAACAAAGCGCTTGCATACGGACCAAATATCACACGGTGTAGACTGCCCGTTGTAGTTCATATGTATGTACCTCGTATCTTATCAGTGAACCTATGACACAAATAGCAACTCTCTAAGAAAAAGGAGGTTTGGGTGCAGTTTCACTGACTACGTCAGTCACTCGAAACTAAACCATGCGGTCGCCAGGACAGGTTGGATACTCATGGATCAACTCGCCACAGAAGATACAGAGTACAGCCAGCAGAAGGTGTGCAGTCTAGGTCATCCATCATAATGGACTTGGGCGCATTGGCAAGGCCATCAGCACTATGGAAAGAGACCACGTGATTGATTTGTGCATCGGCTATTCCGAGTATGGTCTACTTAGTAAAAATCTGCTCCTAGACGTGCTCGGCGCCGTGATTTGGATCACGTGCACCGACTACGACGTACACTATTTGTCAGATGCAATGGATCCCTGGACCACTTCCCGAGGTGTTATAGTTGTCCCCACTTCAACCTCGTACGGAGTATCGTACTAAGAAAAACCCCGAGACCCCGGATGGGGGCCGAAACGTGACGTGTAGGACCAAATCACATAAAAGGACAGCCGTACTTGATACAGATGGCTATAATTCTTATCGAACAGCTAGCTCTAGACGACAACTTAGACAAGCAGTCCGACATCTCGCTTTTTCTCCGACAGCCCGAAGCTTATTTCCCCCAAAAATGGCAACTTACGACCAGGAATACTGGCAGGTCATTGAACCAATGGCCAAGGCCCAAGCGGCCCAGCCCATGCCGCCACCGAAAAACTGCCTTGAGATCCGGGCGCGATCGCGCAAGTTTATGGAGGCGGTGCTGCAGCGGATGCCATTTCCCGAGAACGTGACGGAGACGCGCATCGACGTGGTGACACCAGACGGCCACACGGTTCCGGTGTACCGCTATGCCACGGCCGAACAACTCGCGCGCAAGGACCAGCCGGTGGTGTTGTATATGCATGGTGGCGGCATGGTATCGGCATCGGCCCAGCTGTACCGAACGTTGATGGCGACGCAGGTCATCGATTTTGGCGTGCAGCACTTTGCCGTCGACTACCGGCTGGCGCCCGAGGCAACGGCACCGGTGATGCTGGAAGAGTGCTACAGCGTGCTGGCGTACCTCTCGGGCCACGCAGCAGCGCTGGGCATCGATGCCGCGCGCATCGGCGTCGCCGGCGACTCGGCTGGCGGCGGCCTGGCCACGGGCGTCACGCTGATGGCACGTGATCGCAGCCTGCAGCCGCCAGTGGCCAAGCTGATCGTGCTCTATCCCATGCTAGACGACCGCACGGTGCAGCGACACCCGCCCAAGGGCGCTCGTCTGTCGGGCGCCAGCACCACCGACGACGACTGGGCCAAGCGCTCTGTGCTCGTCTGGAGCACCGAGCAGAATGCCATGGCCTGGGCGGCGTATCTAGGTCTCGGCAATCCCGGCACGGACGGCGCGCTCGAGGCGGCCACTGCGCTGACTGAGGCCACCGCCAACGACGCCGGCACGCTGCCGTCCACCATCACCCCTTACTCGGTGCCGGCCCGGGCCGAATCGCTGGTCGGCATGCCCAGCACGTACATCGATGTCGGCGCGCTCGACCTCTTCCTTGAGGAGGCTGTGCACTTCGCAGCCAAGCTGGCGCGCGATTCGGTCGAGTTCGACTTTCACGTCCTGCACGGGCTGCCTCACGCCTACAACCAGGTGGCGCCGTCCATCACGGCCGCACAGTCGGCACGTGCCCTGCAGAAAGGGGCGTACACCAGCTTTTGAGAACGTACAGTTGAGCTGCTGGTACTGGACGAGATGCCGGCTTCGGCTGGGTTCCCGTGTACTTGCGACCTCGCCTTACACGGTGTACAGAGAGGCTGTGGACGACTATCCACAAATGCCGAACTTCCTGTAAAAGAAACCAGAGTTTCAGAGTGCCATGCGACGTGCTGCTGTGGCCTTGCATTGCGTGGACAGGCTATCATGCCAGCGTCCTAAATTGTGTGAGCAGGTTGCCATTACTAAGCTTTTTGACATCTTCGGAGTGGAACAACGTGGCGCCGTGAAGGGCAGCCGACGGAAATGGAAGCAATCGTCGTCATCGTGACCGGGTTGGTCTAAGTACTTGCGAGTAGTGCAGCTGTACATAGAGCACCATGTATCTTAATATAAAACTTATCAAATACGCCCCAAAGTGCTGCAGCACATTCGATCTGGCGATGCGAGTGTTACGATCTTTCTGACAGGCAGCACGTACGCCGTACACGTAGCTTCCCCAGCCTCTGTTGAAATAGAAGCAGCTGCGCCTCGTGGAAGCGCCACCTTGCAGGCGCAGACAGTGCTACTCCGTAATTCGTAGGCCCAGCTTAGTGGGGCATAAGCGTGATGGAGCGCTGCAGCTAGGAAAGAACGAGCCAAATACAGCAAGCGGGACGGAGGAAGGAGTGAGCTAGCCGATGTGGGACGCATCCTTCGAGGCCAAGTAAGATACAAGATTACGAGTAGCAAATTGCCTTTCGGCCTTTGGCTTCACATTCTGCACCCGCGAAACAACCCCACAGACGGCGACAAGCTTTGCCAAGATGGCGCATTCTTGTGCTCGCATCCCGGCGGCCTGCTCTTCCGACGATGCAGGCACTGACGCTGTGTGCTAGCTCGAACACCTGCATTCGTCCCAAATATCAGCCACAATACCACCGTCAGACGTAATCATCGCTCGTGTTTCGTGTTTCCCTCCGCCGCTCCGCCAGGATCAGCCGCATCCTCCCAGCAGACTGCTAATCTCAATTCAGTCGACACCCGACCCACCCCCCACCGACGGTCTTGCCTTCCAACGGCACAAGCCCTGAAAGCAGTCGACAGGGTGTCGAAGACTGCTGCACCGGGATGGCGCGATCTGCTATTGGTAAGATGCAGGCTGTACTATGTTTGGACGACGCCAGGGCTTGATGGGCCGGCTGCAGGACGTTATTGCCCTCTAGCTCTCATTTCCGCCACCAAGCCTCTCGGCTGCACTGCTGACTCTGAATCTGACTCGGGCATAGTCAAAAGCTTTTTGGCGCGCCGTCATTTTTTCTCGCTCTCCCGACACTCTTCTTGCCGTACATCTTTGCCGTCTTTCCGTCCTCCTCCGACGCTGCGTCGTCCGCAGACATGCGACCGTGACCAAAACACCAGAGCACTTCTGTCCAACATCTGTTTCGAGCCTGGGCACCAACCGGCTTATCCGCTCTTCTCAGCCCACCCGACCCGCCGCAACGCCCGCATCACTCGCACCACCGCTTACCTGCACATCCACCATGGTGTCCCACCGCAACCAAACACAGTTTGAGCGCGCGCGATGGCGCAAAGCATTACTGTTCCCGCCGTGGATTCTCCAGATAGCCATGCTACTGAGTCTCATGGGCATCTTCTCGTACCGCCTCGCCGAGACGGTCGAGAACTATGAGGAGAACAACAAGAATGGCAAAATGCCCGTGGTCGAGCTTGTGTCAGTGTGCAGGCCAGTCGCTGTCGCGTGTCGACGCATCGCTGACTTTGCAGGTGGGAATGTACAAACGTCGGCCTGTCTCTCGTCTCTCTGCTCCTCACCATCCTGGAGGTATCCAGGATCTTTTCCGAAAATCTCACGCCGTTCTTCCTGCTCGCCTCTCACATTGTCAAGTTGACCTGTGCGTTTGCCATTCTCGGCCTCGACATTGTCGTGTACACCCAGCGAACGGAAGGAGAGTGGTCAATCATCGGCCTCGCCATTGACGTAGGCTTGCTGTAAGTTCGAGGCAACCGCTTGGCACGGAGACCGCGGTACTCCAGACATGCATGCTGACAGCCGTGCAGCTTGTCGCTGTTCATTCTCGGCCCCTACGCGATTCTTAAGTTCCACCGCATGCGTGACGACGATGACATGCCCTATTCTGCCAACGTCAAGCCGTTCGGATTCAACAGCGAATACACGGAGATTGAGACTGGGACTGTCTCTGGCGGTGACCCCTTTCTGCGTGCGAATCCGTACAACGACGTGACGACAGAGTATTTGTCGCGGGGCAGCATCGGCGGCGTAACAGGCCGCGACCGGTCGGTGTCAGCAACGTCGACACTGCCCGGCGATGGCGGACGACGGGGCAGCTACAACCACGAGCGGGACACGCAGTTCGACGTGTACCGATCGCGGGCACCAATGACACTCAGCCACGAGGACGTGAGCCATGCCATCAGCACAGAGCTGTGGGGCAACGCCGGCGGGCTTACTGCTATCGACCGGTCCGGCAGCATGGTTGGCTCGGGTATGGTGGCCAGCCGGCCGGTGCAGCCGCGAGTGGACGCTACGAACCGCGCGGCGAGCTGGACTGTCGAGACAGGGCGTGCGAGCGCCCCCGATAGTTTGTCTGTGCCGACGATACACGAAGAGCACGTCCCGGACGAGGAGGAAGAGCCGACCGCCAGGGCGGCCGGACATGTCCACCCTCTGGCACCTGGCCGGGCCGAGAAACAGGCTCTGCTGCCAGGACACAGCCGCGATGGTAGCCATGATGACGATGACGACGACAACCGGAGGGCCTTCCGGCGGATTCCAGGGACCGAATCAGAGAACAGCCTTTACGGAGCAAGGCCGTGAGGTCGAGAGAACATATTGAATGGCGGTATGATGCACGTGTCGGTTATGTCTATATGAAGGGCGTTTGGAATTTTGTACATGGCAATCATGGAGAAGCAGAAAGAAATGGCATTGCTTTTGGCAAGCAAATGAGCGGTGACTTTTACAGAGAAAAAGTGGTGATTGTCGACTTCGCAGTGGGATTTAGTGGGACTTGCGGCCGCTTACAGTGGGTAATACAGCGCAGACGCGGAGCAAACAGCGGGTCTAACAGGTGGCAGAGGATGTCTGTCACCATTTGGAGCACCACTTGAACAGATTCGCCATAGAAGTAAGTTACGGCTTTCCTTTCATGAGAAGCTTGCTTCTTTACACGATAGCCCCTAACTGGTTCCAGCTCTGAGCGTCCCGTTATCTCCTCCAGAAATTCCTCGGTGTTCCCGTGTCATCATCCCATGCACTTAGCCGTCGATGACACTGCCATCGTGAGCAGAATGACCTCGTTCGATTGGCCGGACTCGTCTGCTGACAGTTGGCTGTCCCATCAGCCCTATGGGGCAGGTGCGGTAGGCGCGGCCTGCCAAGATTGCAGCCAGGCCAATCACAGCCATCACACCGCCACTGCGCCGATGTACCGTTGGGCCTTTAAGAAGGCAGCAGCGACCGTGGACACGACAGCACGCATTGTCCATTTCCGCGCACAGGCCAAAGGGTTCTTTTTCGGTTGCCTCTCTTACTTGCCGTTCGTTTTGCAGCATCCTCACCACCGCACCTCATGCCCGCCGCCATGGAGTCTCAGGCTCGACACCGTCGAGAAGCGCTCCCCCGGACGGCGTCTTCCGAAGGCAAGCAGCCACCGGCGCTGACGACGCTGCCGTCGGACTGCTCGACGTCGTTTTATGCCTCCCAGATTGGTGGCCTGTCCGTGATCAACTACAGCTACACAGACCTGCCCGGCAAGCTGATGGTGCAAGACGTCTACCAGTTCTTCCGCCTCGCCTGGGCGCTGCCCTACATCGTGTGGCCAACGACGCCGACCGACTCTGGTTCCATGACCGAGCTCGCCCCGACGTCGGGCAACCTCTGGTGTATCGCCGTCCACGGCGTCCTGATCGTGCTGCAGCTGGGCTTTATTCTGGGTGTGCTGCCGGCCGTGTTCCTGATGTCGGTCTGGGCAGCTACCGCCATTGTCGGCCTCTGTCTGAGCTTGAACCATGTGCTGTGCATGCTGCTGAACGGCAGGGGCATCGAGTACCATTCAAGCCCGGAGTGCGCGCCTGTCCTTCGGGAACACGCGCAGGAGCAGTGGATCTTCATCAACGGTGTTGCCGTGGGGTAAGTGCGGCACTGACGCCCACTTTTGGCTTGGAATGCTCGCGTGCTGACGGCTGGCTGTGCAGAAAGCACTGGATGCAGAGCAATCTCGACAGGCTCGCCCTGACCTTCAAGCGGCCCATCCTGGGAGTGCACAACAAGACGTAAGAGAGAATTGTTTTCTTCTTTATTGTTTCCTCCCGGACGAACTCGTTCTGACCCACATGACAGAAGCGGGATCATTTTCGACGTGATCGAGTGTCTGATCCAGCGAAACTGTGCTTATGCCACCAAGGACGTCCGCCGTGCCTACGCCATCATCAAGGAGAAGCTGTACCGGCCCGACATTTCAAAGGTGGTGCTCATCCTACACTCACAGGGCGGCATCGAGGGCGGGCTGGTGCTGGATTGGCTGCTGCAGGAGGTGCCGCAGGATCTGCTGGTCAAGCTGGAGGTGTACACGTTTGGAAACGCGGCCAACCATTTCAACAACCCCCACCACACGATGGATGCACAGGAGCGGGAGCAGCGCATAGTGGAGCCGGCCAGCTCCATCGCGGGCCAACAGGTTTTGGGCCAAGAGCTGCTCGACAAGCAGCGAGCCGGAGTTCGTAAGGCGAAACTGGTGGTGGAAACGACGTCGAGCCAGCCAGCGGTACTCACCGAGCGGGCTATCGGCCATATTGAGCACTACGCGCATACAAGCGACTTTGTGGCGCTCTGGGGCGTGTTGCATTTTGTCAGCATGGTGCCCGAGTCCAACACCTTGCCGCGCTTTATCGGGCGTGTCTTTGCACGGACATCCCCGCGAGGCGGTCACCAGCTCGTCCAGCACTACCTCGACGGCATGTTCCCACTGGAAAAGGATGCCGAGACGGGTGTGTTTCTGGGATGTGCCGAATCGAACGAGTTTGTCGAGAGCGACGTCGAGATCGGGAAGGAGGGCGACGAGAGCGCTGACGTGCACGAGGCGTTTGAGCAGAGCTGGGCGGGCACGCTGGCGGAGGACATCCACTGCGAGATGGGCAGCGGTGACTGCAGGCGCAGCACGCAGATTGTGGCAGATGTGAAGATCCATGCTTCAAGCCCGATTCTGGCTCGCCAGGCCTCACATCCGCGTACGCTCAAGGTGAAGGACGTCAGCCGGCTGTGGCAGTATCGCAACGGAAAGAGCCCGGACGACAGGCCGAGGGGCCTGGTCCGGCTGGCGACGATGTAGGCAAGTCCATGGTAGTTTGGTAGTTTTGGATATCATGATACCACGCGGTATGCATTTTTTGGAAGCAACACCAGCTCGGCGGACACGACGGTCATTTGCAATCAAGGAGTTGAATTTAAACCCTGATTCTCTCGTTTCGTAGTCTTATATCACTGCCCATACTAGACGTAAAGCATGTGCAATAACATTCGGCGTGTCTGCCAGAATGATGCTTTTCGCTTCTGCCTGTCTCGTGAAACCACTTCGCTTCCTTCCCTTTCGGGCGCATCACGTCGCTCCTTCCACTCCCGTATTACTGCCCGTTCCTTGCGTCTCTCGACTGTTCCATCTCTCTCATCGTCTAACTGTACACCATCAATCCATCAAAATCCAGAACGAACCAACTGAGTAGGAATGACAGGTCGAACGTAGGCGGACTCATCCGATCTCATATGTCCTCGCAGCGTCGCATCTCGCACCCTGGTGCCTTCGTGTCGCTTCATGCCTTCTCGGCACCTCTTCTGTATGTACAGACACATTGTATCCTGCTGACTGATTCTTGCAAAGCAGATTCTCGGCCTCTCGACGGCCTGTTTTCGTCATTGCGCCATGTGTCGTCGTCCAAACAATCTCAACCATTCGGCTTGTCCATGTTACAGACGGCTTGTGATCATGGCAGCGTCTTACGACTCAGGCTTCCTCAGCCGAGCTGTGCTCAGAGACATGGTGCACTGTATTCTAGACATCGGCGTTCTACTGTGTCCCGACAACGATATTTTGCGCGTTCTGTCTTCCAGTTCCATCAGGACACTCGAAATGTGTTGCTCGCTTTTGACAGCAAAGAAGACCAGCCATGGTATTGTGACAACCAAACCCGCCAGCCGCAATAACCCGGCATTTTAGTTCCTGTTTTTAACACCATTCTCGTATAATATGTCTTCTTACAGATTGCGATCCATCCTCTTTTCTCGGCGGTGCTTCCCTTTGCCCTTCGCTGTTTTCCCGTCCGCTGAGTCTTTAGTCGGCGATGGATGTCGCCACATCTATGTGCATATAGACTGCAGATGACAATGATTAGTTCTCCAGATTGAATTCCGCAATCCGCTCAGAGGGTACAACCATATAACCACTCGGGTTTCTATCCTTACCGCGTGACATCTTCTCATGAGTTTTCGTCATCAAGTACTTCCCACAGGAACTTACAACCAAGCCATCGACATGTGGCCGCCAATATTCAGTTCGCGACTTGAGTCCTGGCCGCAGTTCTTCGTGTGAGATTGGCATCTTCAGCCCACGCTGCGGTGCCGTCAGCTCCAGCACCGACTACAAAGACCAGTGTAGCCACAACTACAGCAGTTATGACAACCGTTATAGACAACCAGAACTTGACGGTGACATCTGCAGTGTATTCATTTAACAAACTCGACAGGGGTACGTATAAACGAAACATCTGTGGGTCCGTCCAGCAGCCAAAGCAGCTTTTCGACGGCATCGATATCTACAACGGCAAACAGCACATCATCCACTCTTTGGGACACGACTACTTCATCGGGTTCAGTGAGTACAAACAGAAGCTGGAATATGCCATCGTCTGTGTCCGTTGGAAACGCTACCACAGCCTCTATCCATCGACTTCGTCTGCGTCAACCTCATCGGTGACTCCCACATCTTCCACGTCGATTACTACGGCCTTCAATACGGCTTCCGCCTTGTTGCCCGTGAACTCAACGATGGCTTCAACGACAAAAGCGGTCTATCCCACGATATCTACCAACTTCCTATCTTCTTCCCTTCCCACAAGTAGTACGACATCCAGTTGGTGCAACATGACTTCGGTGCCTTGCAGCACAGGGTTGACATCCGTCAATTGACAACGATAGCGTACAATACTACCACGACAGTAAACTCAGCCACCACCAGTACAATCACCAGTTTCACCTACGAGGTAAGCACTACAGTGACACCTCCTCATATTATTTGCACTTCGACAACCTCTTGTACCTCTACCGGGCTGACCAATCGTTGACAGTGCCGTCTTCCACGACGACCTCTAAGCCTGTACCTACGACTGCTCGGTGCACTGACTAAATCGAAGTGGTTGTGATTGTCGACGTGATGGAGGTCCTTCCAGGTAGGAATCGTGAGTCCAGTTCTGCCGTTCCTGTTTCTGTGCACTGACTACACGTTTACGAACAAGGACAGAAACAGTAATGATCACATGTGGTATCGAGACGGTCACACGAATCATTTGCATCTCGTCACAGTCACTGTCTACACGCAGTAGCAGTGCTGATGGAAACTCGACGGCACCATGTATAACCGGGACAGGAACAGGAGAGCAGCCACTTTAACAGCTTCAGCACCCTGTGAAGAACGGGTCATCACCACATAGTAAGCGACGACTACATGGACGCACAGTGTGGCTGCAGATTCGGATTACACAGGGTCCGCTACTTTTTCCGGGGGAGACGGTCGAAGATGAAAGCAAGACAAAGAACGACAGTAACGAGCCGGCCTCTGTTCAGGCAATACGAGTCCCACACGCACCCACGACGTCTCCGACAGGCTCTGCAATAACGACGGCCGCGTCTGGTTGCAGCAGTGGAGGCAGGGCGACTGCCGGGGCCAGCGTGGGCGAAATATGTGCGTATGTGCTGGCGGTAGCGGCGGCAACGGTGATGATGCTATGAGTGGCTGCCCACATACTCTACGGAAGGTATTGCATCTCTTGACGCTCTTCAACTCTGGCTCTGTATATTCGATGACTAAGCGGATGTATAGTTTGTCGAAACCAACAGCACCGTCTTCGGGTCTATATTTGAGCAAGTTGCGGTCTCTGATGAGTTTCATTCTTTTTAAAGCATTTCATGCTGTTCTAGCTCCTGTTCCTTGCTGCTTTGATACTTGTTCGTTGCCGCCTTTTGATGTCGGCCGTCGGCCAACAGAACACGTCCGAGATGAGAGCAACGATGCGAAACCTGATAAACGACCACATTCTGATCAGACGCCAGATCTCATCCGTCCGAGCTGGATGGCCGACCAAGAGCGATGGCCGAGCAGGAGATCGGGATGGGTTGCCGGTGGCGCAGCAATCAATCTGACGGCAGAGCGTCTTATCTCTGAGCGCCGAAGCCGGTCTTAGCATGAGCTATTATCGATGCCAAGATTGTTGGGTTACTCTCTTCTTGTGTTTCTTCTTCGGTCTCGTTATCCTCTCTGTTCTCGGCCTCCGATCTGTTCCTCCGTCTCTCGTCTCTGCTTGCATCCTCTTCTCATCTATTTGATCGGACCGGCCTCTACTTCTACCCCTCCATCACTACAACGATCACCACCTCCCTCACAATGCCTCAGCCACCACCACCGGCATACGATCCGCTGCCGTTGGACCGGGCGCTCTACGAGACCATCGCGACGAGCGAGCGCGTGCAGGCCACGGCGCTGACGGTGCCGGTGCGCAGTGGACGGGCGTGGATCGTGCGAGCTGGTCAGGTATGCCGCATCACGACGCCGATGGGACCACAGGTGGGCGACCTAAATGTCTGGAACGCACACAACCCGCGCGAGCGGTTCTGGGCTGCTCGCACGCGCCAGCTGCAGCAGAGTCACGTGCGGGTGCACGACCGCCTCTGGAGCTGCCTGCCGTATCTGCGGCCGCTCGTCCAACTGTCACGGCCGACTCGCTACAGGGCTACGGTGGCCCCGGTGCCGATGGCGTCGATGCCGTCGGTGGCCGCGTCCACGACCTTCTCGGCACGCGCTGCGACCCCTACGTCGACCAGCTCATCAGCGGGTCCGCGTCCGACGTGCACTGCCACTCCAATCTCGTCCGTGCTGTTCTCCCGTTCGGTCTACACGAGTCCGACGTCCACGACGTCCTTAATGTCTTCCAGGTCACCGGGCTCGACAGCAAGGGACGCTACTACATGTGAGCTGTCTTATTATTGCTGTCTCTCTTCTCTCACCTCCTCCTTCTCCCTCACTAACCCCCCAGGGAACCCTGTCCGGCAAAAGCGGGCGACTACTGGGAATTCTTTGCCGAGATCGACGTCCTTTGCGCCATCTCTGCCTGTCCCGGCGGTGACCTTTCCAATTGGGGCTGGGGCGAGGCCGGCGCCGACAACGGCCTCGACATGGCCGACTGCTGCCGCCCACTCGTCGTCGAGGTCTACGACATTGTCGACCGCGATACCGTCCTCAAGAATTGGAAGAGCCCCGAGCCCGCCATTGCCGCCTACAAGGGCGTCCACGGGCTGGTCGGGCCGGACACTGTGACAAAAACACAGTAGAAGGACAATCAAATCACGTGAGCATGTACAGTCATCAAGCATGCAAACAAGTACAGTAATCAAGTACAGCTACGTGAAGAAGCCATGCTAGCTCTATATGGCAGCACCACCAAATATACTCCCGACCCAATCCAATGTGCCTTCGTAGCATCGTGTTCTCATTGGTCTGGTCCTGCAAACCGTCCGTTGCTCCTTCCTGCACGCGACGCCACTCTTCATTCTGGCACGTGACCATCCACGGCACTGATCACGGCCAAATTCACCTCGTCCATGAACTCGGGCTGCTTGTCACCCGTACCGGCCAGCAGAGACACCGTCTCGATCACATCCTCGGGCTCCAGCAGATGCCAGTGAGCTACTGTAACTTTGGTGCTGGGGCCGACGGTGACGGTGAAGAGCTGGTCCGACAGCACGTCGGCCGGGCTGCCGTCATCGTGCGGCGACGAGAGCCCGTTAAGCGCCCGGAACATGTCCTCGTCTGTGGCGTCATCTCCCATGCAGAGGACAAACTCGAGCTCGCTGGCGCTAACGCTGTTGGCCGCCGCGACGTGCTGTGGCATGGCCGGAGACAGCGTCGCTGCCGGAACAGGGGTCACTGCTGACTCAGCCGTCTCCACGTCGCCTCCACAGACGCTCTGAATGTCGGCGCCATACGAAGCCACCAGCCGCTTGACAATCTCGCCCTTGTTGATAAACGTCGGCCGCACCTCCAGGTTGGCCTTGCCCGTCATCACGTCCACATTCCATGATCGAACCACCGTCGCATCCAGCTCCTTCTGGCACTCGCGCGCCATGTGTGCGCCCTGTTCCGGATCGGCCAGTCGGTAATGCCACGTGAGGGCACATCGTTTCCGTTCGATGAAGGAGCCTGTTTGTCAGCGGGAAGAGAAATGGAGAAGAACAACACAAAAAGGAAAAACCCACCTGGAACTCGGTCCGTGTACTTTTGAAACGTCGCAACGACGTCCTTCTGCCAGCCCATGTCCAGCGTCTCGGCCAGATTCTCCCACTCCATCTGCCCTGGATGCCGCATGAAGCTGCCGTGTTCTGCGCTGAAGCCCAGCTCGGGAATATGTCCCAGGTGTTTGCTCAGAAACTCCTGGTCGCGCCCGCTGATGATCCAGACCGCATTTCGATGATCGGCCGCCAGTGCCTTCAGTGCCGTGATAATCGCCCCCGACGGCACCGCTGCACTCGGCTCGCGCACAATCGGCGTCAGCGTGCCGTCGTAGTCGAACATAAACAGTCGCCGCCGTGCACTGCGGTATCGCGTCAGCAGCGTCGCCCGATCCAGCGGCGGAGTCGCCTCCACATTCTTGCGCGCGCTCAACACGTGCACCAGGCGGTCGACCAGCCCCGTCACCCAGCTTTGCACGTTGTTCGTCGTCACATGCTCATACAGGCTGTCGTGCATCCGGTCCAGATCCTGCTGCGGCAGCGTCAGGCCGCGGTGAATCGCGTCCGCCACGACGGTGTAATCCCATGGGTTGATGTGGATGGCTTCACGCAGACTGCCGGCTGTGCCGCTGAACTCGGAGATGATCAGCGGCCCGTGGTTGTCGCGCTGGCAGATGACGTACTCCAGGCTCGTCGTGTTCATACCGTCGCGTACCGACGTGATCAGACCAATGTCGCCGGCTCGCAGCAGCGCAAAGTACTCGTCCTGGCTGAGGTACTGCGGGTAGTGTTGCACGGGCGAGAAGCCCAGCGAGCCGTACGTCCCGTTGATCGACATGACCAGCTCGTTCACCCGGCTCGCAATCTTGGCCTCCTCGCTGTCGCGCTCCTCTTCCACAATCGACGTCGGGCTCGTCACCTGGATCAGCACCACCCGGTCGCGCCACTCTGGGTACTTGCCCAAAAAGCACTCAAACGCCAGCAGCTTCTTGTCCACGCCGCGGATGCTATCCAACCGGTCGCGCCCCACGATGATCTTCTTGCCTGCGTACAGCGTGCGCAGCGCCTGGTATTTGCGGTTTACCGCCTCGCCCCACGCCAGCCGCTCGACCTTGGCCACGTCAATGCCGATCGGGAACACGTCAAAGGCCACGTGTGATCCGTATGCGCTGACGCCCGTGGCCGTGGCCTCGAACCCGAGCAGCCGCGTGCAGCAGCTGGAAAAGTGCCGCGCAAACCCGTAGCTCTGGAAGCCGATCAGATTCGCGCCCAGCACACCCTCCAGCACCTCCTTGCGCCGTGGCAGGCAGCGGAAGAACTCGCTGCTGGGGAAGGGCGAGTGCAGGAAGAAGGCCACGTACACGCCGTGCAGCCGCTGGCGCAACATGCTCGGGAGCAGCATCAGGTAGTAGTCGTGCACGACCACAATGTCGCCTGGCTTGTAGATCTCTGCGATCCGGTTGGCAAACTTCTGGTTCAAGCGGTAAAAGTCTGCCCAGTGCACCCGCTCCTTGCGGCTGTCCGTTGGCGCGTGCTGCTTGTAGTGGAACAGCCCGTAGAGCTCGTGCTCGGCATACCGTCGCCACCGCGCCTGATCGATCAGCCGCACCCCGTCCTCCGTCGCATCTGGGCTGGCGTCGTCGGCCAACCACACCGGGACCGTCTTGATTCGCGTGTCGTGAAAGAGCTGCTGCTCCAGGCGCACCATGTCGTCGCGCGGAATGAACAGCCCGTCGCTGTCCGACTGCTGCGGCATCATTGGCCGGAACCCATCGATCGAGATCGGTGCCGAGAGCGGGTTGATGGCGCCCACATTGGCCGTCGTCGGCGGTGTGTCGGGCGGTGAGAGCGTCTCGACCGAGTGCTGGATCTCGCCCGTCCACGCAACGACCGTGTGGTTCCAGGGCGACTTCTCCGACGAGAGGTAGGAGAACGAGTCGAAGAGCGCCGATTGGCCGCGGCGGGCTTTGAGGTCCTGTCAATTGCACCTGTCAGCGAGCTGTCCAGTCTGTCTCAGTCTTCTGTTCCACTCACCCAATTGCCACCCGCGCGGTAGTTTAGCAGGTGGGGGATGTTAAAGGTGGCAGAAATAATGTTCCCGCTGAGAGCCAGATCCGGGTTTGCCTGCCGAAAGTCCGACAGGGATTCTCGCCGGGCGCTCATGGTTGTGACGGTGGGAAGAGGCGGTCTGGGCGGGCTAGGTGTCGGTGGTGTTTACACAAGGATGAAGAGGCCGCGGAGGGACCTTTTTGTACTTTGGAGCGACGTCGAGAAGCGGTTTCGGGAGGAGCGGGAACACGTCTGATAGTGGCTCGTCGGGCGTTGCAATGCCCTCGTACAGGGCTGACAGAGCTGTGGACGGTAAGAATTCGATTGGTCAGCCGAATGTGCAGTCGTCCTGAGCGATGATGGGTCAGGTTGAAGGATCGGGTAAGACGAACGGCACGACGGGAGAATGGAAGAATGGAGAACGGAATTCCAAGGAAGTAGGCAGACAGATAAGAAGAGAGGAAAGGAAGGGCGCAAGGCGGTAGATAAGGGAGGTGAGGGGATTGGAGGAGAGGGGAGCACAGCAGTATGTATGTAGCAATAAAAAAGATAAAAAAAGAGAGCCAAATGATGCAGACGGGCAACGAATGGCGGGAAGAGAAGAAGACGAAAAGACGGAATGGCAGCAGAGAGAGGAGTGTCGCCAGCCGATGAGCCGCCTTTCCAGCGACACGCTGACGGATCTGGCATGCATGCGGTCTCTCGCTCTATCGGTCGCTCTTTCCTGGCCACCGCAGACGAGCCGATGATGCTCGTTTTCGAGACAACGGCGGCGCTGATTGGCCACTGCCTTGGCGGCACAGGCGCGGTGGGGCCCAGCGACAGAACCGATTCGTGCGGTGGGCCGGATTGGGGCATTGTGGGGGAAGAGGGGATGCGAAGGGGTGGGAAAGGGCCGAGAAGGGCAACAGAGACCGGGAGAGAGAGGGACAGGAAGAGGCAAGAGCGTGCGGGACAGAGGGGAACGGCGGAAAGAAGTGGGCGCGCACGCGCAAGACAGGCAGTACAAACGAGGCAGGTACAGCCAACAAGATGGCAGGCGAGGCAAGCGACGCTGAGGGAGGAAATGGAAGAGACTCACTGTTTGTGCCGCACTGAAACTGGTGATGGGCTAGCAGAAGGGGAAAAACAGGACGGGAGCCGGTGGGATGATCAGCAAAAAGACCGGTGTGTGAGTCTCGCCAGTGTGTGTCAGAGGTGCGAGGACGAGAGCAGGAGAGCAGGAGAGCAGGAAAGCAGGAAAGCAGGAGAGCAGGCAGGAGCAGGCAGGAGCAGGCAGGAGCAGGCAGGAACGGGCAGAATGCAGGCAGGAAGGACACAAGGCAGCCGAAGCAGGCAGGAGACGAGATGTGGGCGGAGTCGGACTTTGGGCGACAAGGCGGGCAGCCAGACGAAAAGACCGCTAACGTAAAGGGCGTTCTGCTGACTCAGAGCGGCCTAGACCTCTGGCTGCACGCCAGTGGAGCAGTCTCTTGAGCCAAGGCCTCTACGGTGAGGACAGAAGGACGAGAGCATGCCAGATGCACGCTGCACGCGGTCGCTTGCCGGCTGCCAAACCCTTTTCCCGTCCCGTCCTTGTTTCTGGGCCTGTCCCTCGGCCTTTCTGCGCGAACCTCGCCAGCTCGTATTCCTGTCTACGTGGCCCATGACTGGCTGCAAGGCGGCTTTCGCGGCCAACGGCGAATATGCACGCCATCGTGGTGGCCTGACACTACATAAGTAGCATCAGCAGACGGAGGTCTGTAGATGGAGGTATCTTACACTGTACGAGTAGATGGAAGCACACTAACAGCTAGCGATAGCGGACGGAGTACACTAACAGAGACCGCAGACGGAGTACATGTATTATGTAAAATACACTAACGAATCACTGTACGGAAGGCACACTCGTAACAGACACAATACTCACCGACGTCACTGCTCGCTCCCCTCGTCAAGGTGGGCTGGGTGGAGCCCCAGCTGCGGGCCGTTTCTTCCTGTAGCTTCTAGGCCAAACAGGCAAAGAAAAGGCATCTCTTGCCGACACACGACGTCTATCACGGCATGATGGCATGACCGACAGGGGAGTGAACAAGAGGAAAAAGGAAGAAAAAAAAGTAGGCGGAAAAAGAAAAAAGAAAACGAAAAACGAAACGAAAAAAAAAAGAAACGAAAAAACCACAATACAATCACCCGGAGAATGTCGGGCCGCTCTGCCATATGCAGGACCCTTTCTCCGCAGACCTGCCAAAGCTGTCCTGTGCTTGACCGGTCGCTCGGCCAGACGGCCGGCTGCCAGGCTTGTCCTGATAGCCAACCGCAGAACGGCCACCCGTCTTGGCCTGCATGCCTCTCTGCAGACGCACGACGGCCTGCCCTTCCCATCCACGAATCACGGTCACGGCACGGTTGCTCGGCAAAACATGTTCATGACTAATCGTCCAGCTACATACTACCTCCAACTCAATACCTCCACTGCCGACACCATTCTGCCACCAGCTCGCCCGTCACCGGCTCCATGTTGCGCATTGTCGCGCTGCGCTCGCTAGTCTGCTCCAGCGCAAATGTTGCCTGCTTCCAGCCCGCTTCCGCTGCCGTGACCATGGCCTGCAGCCGGTCTACCAGCTTGACCGCCGGATTGGCCGCCACCGCTTCGGGTGTGCTGCTGTTGTTCCTGCGGCTGCTCTCCTCCAGCCGTGTCACCCAGTCCTTGAGGCTGACGACCTCCTTGATGCGGTCGCCGTAGAACTGCTGGATGTGCGGCACGATCGACGCCCAAGTCCGCACTGTCGGATTCACCAGGTTGTAGTAGTGGCTGCCCTGCAAGTTGTCGCCGGCCACCAGCTCGATGATCACCTCGGCCGCATCCTCTGACGGCACCCAGTCGACCGCGAGCACGCCTAGGCTGTCCGGGAGCACCCCCAGGAAAACAGAGCTGGCAATGACGCTGGGCACGAGCTCCTGTCGGTTCCACGCCGCCTCGCTGTCGCCTGCCTCTCGTGGACCTCCAACCTGGCCCAGACGCACCTGGAGCACTGGCACGTCTGTCGCTGCTGCCACCGCATCCAGGATCAGGCAGCTCACCAGCTTCGACCGGCCGTAGCCCATGCCGGCCAGACGCAGGTCCTCCAGCCGCTCTTCCGGCACCGCGCCGCTGCTCGTCCTCCCCCAGCTGTCCACCATGCCGATGCTCGACACAAACAGCAGCGGCGCCTGTCGCTTCGCGGCGGCCGCAAGGTCCGCCAGGTGCCGCACCCCCGCGATGCTCGGCTCAAATGACGCCACATTGTAGCTAAAGTTGACCGGCCAGGCACAGTGCACGATGCGGTCCACATCCGCCAGCAGCCCGTCGTAGTCCGCGTCGCTCAGACCGAGCCGTGGCTCTGACAGGGTCGCGTGCAGGAACTGCACCCGACTGGGATCCGAAAGCCCGGCCGTGTCGAGTCCTTTGCTGCGAAAGACCCGTTCTTGCCGCACCTTGCCACCATCCGCATCGCGTGTCAGTGCAATCACCTTCTGGACGGCCGCGTTCTTGTTGAGCAGCGAGTCCAGCATGTACGAGCCTAGGGAACCTGTCGTGCCGGTGACGAGAATCGTCTGGCCAGTCGTGCGTGGTGCCGGTCGTCTGCTTGCGGACGGTGCCTTGAGGTTCGCCGTGTACCGGTCGATCAGCACCTCCATCCGACCAATCTCGTCGTCGTCGTCTGCCGTCGCGCTCTCTTTGCCGCCCGAGACCATCGATAGGATGTATGCGGCCAGCTTGGTCGGCGTTGGGTTGCCGTAGATGGCGCGCTGCGTCACGCTTGCGTTTTCCGTGCTGCTCTGAGCCGCGAGGCCATCCTTGAGCAGACGGATCGCGCTCATCACCTGCAGGGAGTCAATGGCACCGACAGTAAAAAAGTCCGTGTCCACCTCCAGATGTGGCGAAGCCCCAAGGCGATCGATAAACACGGTGCGGATGGACTTGGCCAGGGCCGCCTTGCTGCTGGTGTCCAGGACCACGGGAGCAGGGCCGGCGTGATTCTCTGTAGCATTGCTATTGGAACCAACCCGTCGGTAGAGCTCGTCAATCTCGTGCTCGTACAGCTTGACGGCCTTCTGCCGCTGTATCGTACCCTTGCCTGCTCGGGGAAACGGCTTGGCCGGATCGGCCAGGATGATGAACGGTCGTGCAATACGCCCGTGAGAAACGGTCAGCTTGTTGGCCGCTTCCACGTACGGCCACACGTCCTCGATCAGCCTTTCGGCTGCGTCTGGGCCAGTCTGACCGGCAAGTGCCGCAGCCTTCGGCTCGATCAACAGAGCGGCCTGGAAGCGCCCAGCGCCCACAACGACAGCACCATGCACAGACGGGTGGCCAAGCACCGTTTTCTCAATGTCCTCGGGGTTGAGCTTCTCGCCGTTGGAGAAGACAATGATACTGTCGATACGGCCGTGGTATTTCCAGTGGTCGGGCTTTGTCGGGTGGCGCTGGTACAGATCGCGCGTAGACCACTCGTCGAGCTCCGGGAAGGTCCAAAAGGCCACATGCATGCCGGGAGTCTTCTGGCGCGGCGTCTGGCGCACCAGGACGAGCTCATAGATATTGTCGCTACCGGCAATAGGCCTCCAGTCGCTTCCCATAATCTCGTCGCGCATAATGAAATACTCCCACTCGGACATGTTGTCCTGGAACTGGAGCGCGTACGGCAGAGCCCTATAAGGAGCGTGTCAATGTGCGATCTGGCAACGAGAAAGGACCGACGTACTCTGTGCTGGAGATTATGTTGGAGATGGTAATCCCCTTCGCGACGAGATGATCACCGACCGCCTTGGACAGAGCGCCTGGTTCAAACTGGATTAGCAAACAGCATATTTCGCGCAGAAGAAGCAGGGACGACGTACCGCCACCACAGATGATGAATTTCGTCTTCTGGAGGGCAGCATCGCCACTGGCTGTCTTGGCGAGCTCCTCCAGCGTAAAGGGTGGTATGATGGCGCCGTCGGCGGCAGAGTGTGTGAGCACGTCCTCGACCAGGATGCTGCTCACAGGCCGGTCCGTGGGCGGTAAGATGACAGTGATGCCTAGGTAGATGCTCATCACGAGGGAGAAGGACATGCCGCCGGTGTGGAAGGGCGGCAAGGTGACGAACAAGTGCGTGATGTGCTTCTTCCAGGCGTACCAGATCAACGTCGGCCCGCTCTCGTCGGCGACACCCTGGAAGGTGTCAAAGTTGGCCCACATTCCATGGCGGATGACGATGGGCTTGGGCAGGCCGGTGGTGCCGCTGGTGTGCAGGATCACCAGGGCTTCGGTCGCGGCCTCGTCAAAGGTCCTGTGGAAGGGGAACGGGTCGCGGGAGAAGCCAGCACCTTGGGCGGCCGCATCGTCGTCGTCGGCCAGCAGCGCGTCCAGCTCGGGCATTGTAAAGAGCGCGAGGCCGCCGGGCGTCTGGGCCGGCCACGACTCGACCAGCGAGCGCGACGTCGCCGGTGCCCAGAGGGCCCGACAGCCCGTGCTGGCAAACAGGCTCACCTGGCCCTCGACGGTGTTGCGGGGCGAGATCAGCAGGACCTGACCGCCGGCCTTGCTGACGGCCAACAGAAAGAGATGGTACCGGAGGTCACTGGGGCCGATGTAGGCCAGAGTGGGCCCGATCAGGCCAGAGAGGTCCACTTGGGGCTTCACCCAGCCCGAGCCCACCGCGGCCGTGACGGCGTGTGCGAGGCGGTCAATGGCCCGGGCGGCTTGGGCAAAACTGACGTGCTGCCAGGACTCGGGCGAGGCCAGACGATCGGAACAGCCGGGTCGCGGAAACAAGGCGAGCTCGCGCGTGGGGTCGTTGCGGGCGACGTCATCGACGACCTGCACAAGCAGGCGACGGCCGTAGTCGGGAGCGTCGATAGAGCCCATGGCGAGGACTTGGGGGTGCAGGAAGGGCAGGTTTGTGCTGAAGAAGGGAGCAGACACCGAGTCGTATGACTGGGAAGAGAGCAGAAGTCAGGTTAGAGCACTAGGAACAACAGCAACAGCCTGTAGACAAGGCAGATGAACGGGCAGTAGTCGGCCGGCTGCTCACCTTTTATACGGTTGAGAGAGCTGGTCGAGACCAGCATTCACCGATGCCTCTCCACCCTCGTCTCTAACGGCACTCCGTGTGGCCGAGAAGTGGTCTTTCAGCCCTAAGAAACGACAAGCTTCCAGTGGATCCTGGACTGCATCGGTACTTGAGTGCTCGTTGTGCCAGACCCGTCGGGTAGCCCACACGGCACTTCGCTGCACAGCTCGGGGCGAGGCTGGCCGGTGCCGGTCGCAGCAGAGCGTTTGTCTTTCGATTCCCACTCGCCATTCTCGGACTATCCGAACTGGCGAGGTGTGGCTGGTTCACTCCGAATTATGACAGCCCCTGTGCGTTGCAGTTATCCACATGCAATTGCATGTCATAAACTGCCCGCTGAGCTCGCCGTGATAGGCTACCGGCCACACTCCACCTGAACTGGTCGCGGAACCGGATGCATTAGAAGCGGTGTTGGACGAGAATAATCAGGCAGATTCTGAGCTCGGAGGTTTGGTGTGAACCGGAGGGTACGGAGAATCTGTCGCTTAGAAATCTGTCCAGCACCATCTCTGATGGACACGTTTTCATGGATCATTGTGGTGGGGTGTGCATGGGTGGATGGTCGATCAATATGACAACCAGGAAATGTCATACGTGTCGGCATCGCGCATATCACAGAAGCGTGAGGATAGAATCCTGAAAAGAACAGACTGGAGTTCTTCTACAACAAGAAGGGGCGCTTGACATGAAACGCTTGCCCAAAATGGATGTGGGCATTTGGTGATTAGTCGGATTAGTCAGATAACCACATTCGTTACTTTTCGTAAATCCTGCTTTCATATGCTCGCTATTAAGGTCGGACACAACTAAACGCGCCGTGAATGGATGGGGGCAATAAAGAGTGCGTCAGACGCAGCCGTCTTGGCGACAGATCGCCCTGGCTAGTGGGTGTTTTCCAGAAAAGGGGGTGTGATTGCGACTGGAGGGCTTCAAATCAAGCTTTGACTACTACAATGTACCGCCCCTCCTCTTTTACCTTGTAGGAACGGTTCTATCTTTTCGCTCTGTACGATAACAACTACGACAATACAATGGACAATGCAGCCTGTGACCAGCCTGCTCATCCGTCACGATACTTCCGGATTTGGAATCTGGTGCAGATACGAGCACATCACGTGACAAGCACACCAGGCAATGAAGATCTTCTTCTCGAGATACTCTAATTTGTCCATCTGTTTAGTAACTAGCCGGAAGGACGCCGGTGCGGCCGCCGTCGACGAGCAGTACCAGTCCATTGCAAAACGAGCCGGCAGGGCTGGCCAGGTAGAGGATGGTGCCGGCCATGTCGCTGTCGCAGCCAAACCTGCGGGCTGGCTGGAAGCCGGGATGGTCGAGCGGTTCGTCTTCGGGCTGGCGGTTGACGATCATCTCGGAAGTCAGTTCCGAGGGGAAGACTGACGGTTAGCTGATGGAGGCGAAAGAAACAGGGAGAAGCCAAAAGAGAGAGACAGAGATATGGAGGAAAAAAAAAAAAAGGAAAAAAAAGTCCCTACTTACTTCCTGGTGCCAGCGCGTTTACCCGAATCGCATACGGTGCCAGCACGCCGGCTGCCTGCTTGGCCAGCTGCAGCACGGCCGCCTTGCTGCCGACATACGCCGGTGCCGACAGGCTGCTGCGCGTGTAGCCGGCGATGCTGGACGTGAACACGACCTGGCTCTGGATGCGTGGATGGGCGCGCGGGTTGGTCATGGACGGCGGGCCAGCGGGTGCGCCATATGTCCCACAGGCCACAGCGCTGCGATTGCCGGCATCGAGCAGCTCGAGGAAGGCGTACATGGTGAAGAGGGCCGCCGTCACGTTGACGTGGAAGATGGCCGTGACATCGGCCATGGCGACATCGTCAAAGAGCCGGCGACGCAGTGCCGCATTGTCGACCGGCTGGGGACCGTACAGGTGGCCAGGAGGACCCGTGACGCCAGCATTGGCCACCAGCAGAGATTCACGCGGCCACCAGCCACCGGATCGGCCGTCACGACGTTCACGGCTGCCTGCAGCGATGTCTTGTCCGTCACATCGCAGACGATGGCCACCAGCGGCCCGTCCGACACGCTCCCACTCGCCCGACATGCTTCTTCTGCTTCTGCATTCACCTCGGCCACTGCAGCGTCCAGAACTGCCCGCCGGCGGCCCAGCACAAACACCCGCTGGGCTCCGTTTAGGGCCAGAGCCCGCGCCATCGTCAGGCCCAGACCCGATCCACCGCCCGTGATGACAGCTACGAGGCCGTCCACGCGAAAGAGAGAGGCTGCCTGCAGAGACATGACGGTGAAGAATCGGACGGTGATGGCAGGTTGGAGTCGCAAACGACCAAAGACAAAGACTTGTCTCGTTTGTATATCGGAATCTCTATACAGAGATCACCGGATTTGGGGAACTCCGGCAGCTGCCCGGATCACATATCATCGATTGCTACGTCACAGCGCATAGCACAGTTCATCTTAAACACGATTGGCTATCTGGTCTAGTAACACGATTTCCATCTACTGCAGACTGCGACAGCCACAATAGGCCTCCGGCTGATTGAGACGATGACTCAGCAACGTCCTCAGTTTTTCGTTTTTTTTCTCGTTTTTCCATCATTCTCTTGCCACTCAGTGGCCGCCATTGCGGATGCGCTCGACCGCCTTGGCCTTGGCCTTGGCCTTGGCCTTTTTCTCTTTCCGAGCCTTCTCAGCCTTCTCGAACAGGGCCTTCTCGTAGGCCTTCTGCTCCTTGTTCTTGCGCCGAGCGTCCTTGCGGTCCTGCTTGCGGTCCTGCTTGGCCTGCTTGTGGGCCTCCTTGGCCATGGCCTTGGCCTCCGCCTTGGACTCGGGGTCTGGGTGGGCCGGCGGTATCCAGTTGGCGCTGTAGTCGTCCGAGCCGCCCTCCCAGTTCTTGCGGCTGTCGACCTCGATCTTGGCCGGCCGGGCTGCCTTGAGCTCCTCCTTGGGCCGGTTCAGCGCTGCAGTCGTGCTGTTGACGAGGTAGCGGTCGATGACCGGGCTGACGCCCGGCTCTGTGAAGCGCTGCCAGTCCTGGAACTCGATCGGATTGTACTGCGTGCAGCTGCTGTCAAACGGGCAGAGGCCCTGCTTTTCGAGCACGCTGCACCACGCGTTGAACGTACAGTCGTAGTTCTTGAGCACGTCTGTCGCGCTGCTCGACAGACACTTGACCGCGCGCGGGCCGTAGGGAAAACCCCAGACGTCCGTGTTGGGCACGTCGCCCATGATCGGCTGCGCCAGGTCCATGCGGTCACAGGAGCTCGACCTGTGATAGACATGTTATCAGTCCGTCTGTCGTAGCTTGTGCCGAGAGTTATGACGCTGAGTGCGTCGACTTACGAGAAAAACATGCAGGCATGGTTGCCGGCCAGAGCGACCGACTTGGCGCGGGTGATGTTGTGCTTGCTGAAAGACACTGGAACTGTTAGCTTTGTTTTCGCGATCTAAAGTCGATGGACACTTACTGCACTGGTTGGGCTCGGCCTGAATTGCCTCTCCCTTGTAGCCTGCCTCGCTGAAGAGGGTCAGGTCGTAGTCGGACGATGCCTTGACAATGGCAGCATAGGCCACGGCGAGGAAAAGGTCGGTTCTCATCGTGGACAGTTAATATGGAAATTGATGTGAATAATTGGGGAGCTTATTGGCTGGGATTTGGGGGACAGAATTCTTGCAAGTTCAAAAGAAAGAAGAGACTTCTTATACCGATAGAAAGAAAGCAATAAAGTCCAGAGACAGTGAAATCTCTGTCGTGTGGCAACTGTTGCTTATATAGCACATTGGCGAGGCCTTGCTGGGGGTCAAACGAAAATATTTAAGATCCTGCTGACTACATGACTCCCGGACTGCTTACCAGACGACTCTCTCAGAATCACTTGTGTTTTTGACTGACTCCGTCTCGTCTGTTTTTGCTAACTGCTATCGGATTCTGCTACGACTACGCCAAAAGCAATTCTTTATAAGTCAGCTCTCTTTCCTTTCAACTCTTCAAGTTGTCTGTCACACCGCACGCTTCCCTTGTCAAATTCAACTCCCATACTATCACATCTACTGCACTTTCAGCCTTCCCATTGTCAATCCCTTTTTTACTCAAGCTTCTAAAGCTTCTACACTTGCCTTTCACAAATACCCCCACACCCCAACATGCAGCTCAAGAACATCCTGTCTGCCACTGCGCTGGTCTTCCAGCTGTCTGGTGCCCTCACTCAGAGCACTGCCCCGGCTTTTGCTGGCACTTCTTCGGCCATTGAGAGCAGCAGCACTGCTGTCGCCGCCAACATAACCGACCAGATGATGTACCTCAACGAGACCCTGTTCGATCTTGAGGATGATCTCGATGACCTTGACGATGAGGTCGACTTCATCGAGGCCAGCCTGGACGAACCCACGCTCAATGAGCACGGCGAGGTGATTCACCGGCCGCTGCCTAAGAAGCCGCGTCAGGGTGCCCTCGAGCTCTGGTCGCAGCGCCGCTACCGTGGCCACCGCGTCGTCTATGGTCGTCAGCCGGCTCAGTGCGACACTGTCGAGACGTACACCTACAACCGTGCCGGCTTCGGCAAGTCTGCTCGCGTCATCGAGAATGGCACGTGCTGCCAGCTCTTCACGGCGCGCGGCTGCAACGGCCACAACATGGTCATGGCCGGCGATGTCGCTTCGTTCCAGCCGTACGGCATGGACAACAAGATCAAGAGCGTCCGGTGCATGGGCTGCAAGCGGCTCTACCCCCGAGCGGACTGAGCGGACATGGCAGCATGGGGGCGCAGAGGAGGAGATGGGGACAGACGGCGAGAGGAAGACACACTGTGGAGAGGCACTGTGGGGAGACACTAGGAGGAAATCCTGGCTTGAGTTTGTCAGAAATCATGTCAGCACACAGGCCGCGCCATCTATTATTTTACTAATGGGCGTGTGGGCCTTACGCGAAGCATTCTTGTTTGTATAGATTATTGTGTCTGTCAAAACTCTGCAAAGTAAAAGTTTAGTAATTGACAGGCCTTTTTGAAACGAGTTTCCCTTTTTTTCTTATCTTTTTGGGAGCCTTATTGATCGACTGCAAATCAGGGGTCGTAAATCCGGGGATCGTTGACCCACAACGCACTAGTGGCCTCCATCCTTTAGTCAGGACTTCTCGCGTCCATTCTGCTCTCTCGGCCTTGATACCTCAATGCTTCGACAGAGTCAGGCCTCATCGCCACTGCAAGCACTTAATAACAAAGTCGCCTTAGGAGTCGTTACATAATGAGGTCGTCTCTGCAAAGTTTTCCTTGCGGACTGCCGCACACGACCCAGTTTCTTGCTATAAATACACCTCCTGCTTTCCCTTCTCAATTCGTTTCATTTCCTCTTTCCACCCTTTCATCCTTCCATCTCTCAAGTCTCTTTGATCTCTTGTCATATTCTATCTTTTTCATTGATCCCTTCTCAACTTGCAAACAAGACCACATACCACACCACACACACATACACACACACAGGCCAAGATGCAGTTCTGCCTGTTTCTTGCGGGTTTCTTGGCCACCATGGCCATCTCTGTCTTCGGAGCTCCCATTGGTCCGGTGACAGAGGCCTTCTCCGGAACGTCAGACGTGCTCGCGCACAACCTGACCATGCTCATGGCTCGTGACATCGGCAACGACTGCTTCGACGTCGACGCTGGCATCCCCGGAAACATGCACTGGAACGACCGCGATCAGTTCGTGACGGTGGACAAGCAAAAGTGCCGTCCCCGTCTGGGCCTTCGCGATGGAACGTGCCGCCACAACCAGGACCTGAGCACCAAGTGCTCGGCCTTCTGCCAGACCAGCGCGTTCCACTTCCTGACGGAACCGATCGCACTCATGGGCGGCAAGATGTGTCGCGAGGGCGAGGGCTGCGAGATCCGCCAGGAACAGTCGTTCCACGTGGAAGTGTCCAACACGGAAGTGCTTCGGCACGTCATTGACGTCACCGCCTCCATCACGCCATCGTCCAGCTTCGGCTTCGGATTCGAGCTCAAGAACATCTCGACCGTGGCTCTGCCGGAGGGCGACATGATTGCCCGCATCATGGCCGCGATGGATGAGCAGGACGCCAACATGGAGCGCAAATACGGCAAGCCAGAGCAGCAGAGTCCCACACCAACTCGGGCCTTCGTGGCCCTCGACCAGACTGACGAGGTGGACGGTCCAGCTTCTGGCGCCTTGGACGACGACCCCGTCCTTCCGGTTGACCGTCCCGACATCACGATGCTGCAGATTCCCGTTCCCACCATCAAGAACCCGACTGCCAGCATCGCCATGTCGTTTGCCGGCCGCTGGACCCGCGACTGGACCCATACGTACCACCACTCCGAGAGCAAGGCCAGCTTCCAGGCCATCACCCATCGTCAGATCCCCGGCGAGGGATGCGGCTCCTTCTGGGCTGCTCCCGTGGCTGTCGGTTATTGTGGCTGGTCTACCAGCCCGCGTTTCCCGCCGGCCGTCCACACCGACGTCATGAAGTGGCTGCACACGACCCGGAACCCGTACGAAGGCACTGTCAAGATGGGCCGCTGGGGCGACGCCGCTGAGCAGCAGTGGAACATCACTGATGGCCGATGCCCCGTCAACTACCACGAGTTCCCCTTCTGCTACGCAGCCCCGCTGCAGAGACGTGGAACCAACGGCCAGCCGGACGAGGCCCTCCATCGCACCGTCTGGCGTCCCTACGACTGTGAGACCGGCCAGCTGCTCCAGTCGGAGCGCCAGCCGCGTGAGATCCGCGAGCAGCTCAACTTCAACGAGTTCTTCAAGTACCACATCCGCCGCGATCCCCGTCTCTTCAACCCGGAACTGTCCTGGAGCCCGGCCGCCCATCAGCCCGACGATGTCTACTACGACGCTGACCGCGTGGCCGACTACGGCGAGAAGAAGGCCCCGGCTCCGGTCATCACCCCGACGCCCGTGCCCGCAGTCGGCAATGACAAGGAGGATAAGGAGGACGGTAGTCCTCGCTACCCGGCCGCAGACAACGACGACGACGAGAACGACGAGGACGACGAGGTTGATCCTGCTCCCGAGACCGACGAGGACAGCGAGAGCGATCCTGCACCCAACACTGGCGACGACGACAACGACAGCGGTGAAGCTGAAGTCGAGGTCGAGGTCGAGGGTGAGGACCACATCGTGGACATCGACGTCGAGACCGGGGATGACCACGTCGTCAGCCACGATGAGTCTGTGGCCGGAGGCGAGGACGAGGGCGAGGGTGAGGAGGACTCCGCATAAAGACGGACAGCTATCGGAGGGTAGTCATCATTGTTTTCATTGCGGACTGACGTCTTGGAAAGTGATTTCATCTCACACATAGACAAATCTTGAGTGAATCTTCAGATCATGTGATTGGTCAGAGACACTAGGAAACATTAGACAGCATAGAAAAACCCATAGCAGAAAAAAAAAGCATGAAAAACAACTACACAAAAGCAAGCTATCTGTGACTGTAAATGAATGACTGCATTGCTATCACCAATCCTCTTCCTCCTGTGCGAACCGGCTGGCGTCGATCCACCAGCTGCGTCCACCTGCCTGTCCTCGCCCGTCCCACCAGCCGTCCAGACGTAGCTGCATGAGTCGGCCCAGGTGGCTCGTCGTCCCGTCGGTCAGTAGGTCTTCCGTGCCGGTGTCCTGAAGGATAGCGTCGATGTGAGCACCCGCACCGCTCTCGTGCAGGATGCGGGCGATGGAGTGGTGCAGTGCGAACAGGCGGACGTCGGAAGCCGACTCAAACAACTCGTCGTCCAGAACAGAATACTGGTAAAAGGCACGGGCATCGGAAGGCGACAGGGCGATGGCGTTTGTGTTCTGCTGGCTCGCGGCTTTGTCGTCGGCGCTGTGGAGCTGTCGGAGCGTCGCCACGGCTGTGCTGTCCAGCATGGACAGCAGCTGGCTGGCAGTCTGGCCTGCCAGAGACTATGGGCGTGTCAGAAAGCGTGGCGAGAATGAAGAGAGAGAGGGAAAAAAGAGAAAAAGAGAGAAAGAAAAAATTCGCCGCTTACCAATTCGCCATCTTCGTCAACAGTCATGGGTGACGGTGGGAATATGCACACTGATAGCGTCGTATCTGCATCTTTGTCAGCCGTAGTAATGCCATCAGCGTAGCGACTGCTGACAGCCTTGACTGGTGCCAGAGTCATCATGTCAGCATCGAGCTATTCGCAAACAGCGACCAAGAGGGACGCACGAGGCAGGAAGAGGCCGTCGACCAGCTCGTCTGCAAAGATGTCCACGGCTTCACACCGTGTGTCTTCCCGGAAATCGAGGCCCACACGTTCACAGAGGGCGTCGAGAAAGCGGTCGCGCGAGCCGTCGGCCGTCTGGGCATGTTCGCAGAAGAGACGCAGCAGCAGCGGCCGGTTGTACGGTTGTGGCGACCGCTGCCCATCACCAGACGTCCCGGTCACCCTCGAACATGTGTCGAGCATCCGACGGCACCGTATCTCCCTTTCTGAGCTGCATTGCTCCATTTGAACGATCGCCCGTCTTGTTTGCACAGACTCGGTTTTGACAGGCTCCAAAGTTTCAATTAGCTAGGCATATGTGAGTGCTGAGTCATTTAGTGGGTCTGAATATGGGAGAAGACGCATTGCACTCGCATTATTGGATCAAGAGTCAGCATCAAAGAGTGGATCGTAGTACAAATTCACGGAATCCGATGATGGGTTTGGGCATCATGATTTACAGATGGCAGTCACATCGCAAAGCATACGGAAAAATGCCAATTGATTATACTAAAACTCGAAACGCCAAGGCATCTGTCTCTCCTTCAGCGAGCTCAGACGATATGCATGCTGATGCTCTACTTTAACATATCAAACTGCACCTAATGTCAGCACTAACTTTGCCGATTGCCATACCGTTCTGAAAATTCCTCCGCTCTGTATTGCGTGAGCGCCCGATCTGTGTAGAACAAAATCAAAGGATTTCTCAAGCCGCTGTCGAGTAGGAAAGAACGCCCATTGTCGCTAGAAGAAAACGAATATTGAACTGTCGCTCGCCGCTTGATTCTTGTCACGCACAAATGCGTAACCTCGTCGACCGTATCCATGCTCTTGTAAACACTGTTCGGCCGGCGAGCAACGGTCCCGATGATGAGAGTAGCGGAGTTGGCCTTTTCAAGATCCGCCTCAAGAGGCTTTCCCTGCCGACTCGTCCACACAAGCTCCTTCCAGTCCCAGGATGGCCAGTATATACGCAGAATATCCGGCTCCTGCAACGCTGTCAAGGCTTCAACCGGGATACGGACACACCCGATGAGAACCGACTCGCAGGCTGCACGACGTTTGTCATAAGCGGCATGGTACTCGGCCAGCTGTACGTGAGGCGTGAAATAGTACCGTTCCTGCTGTCCACTGAAGTCGGTAGGGGCTACACTCTGAAGAGCCGCGAGATTGTACGGTGCTTCAGGATCTTCATGCAAACGCCTTGCCTGAGCATGGTTCAGTACTTTGTACAAAACAATATCGCCAGATGCAGGTATAGACGAGGCTGTATTCCAGAATCCGTAGACTTCTGCAGTGGGCCTGTGATGCAGTGCTGGTCCATCCGTTAGAGGTCTTTGCATTGTTGGTGTATTGGATCCAGTCAGTAGCCGACTGGATCTATCCTCTGATTCCAGCTGTATTTCATGGAGACCGAGATACCTCTTCAATATGGTGTCCCAAACCCAATGCAGAGACGACTGAGAAAGACGAAGGTACTTGAAACGAGGGTCCATGATGGCGTTTTGGACTGAGCGGTTGATTCCGCAGCACTGAAAGCAAAGTCTCCATTGGTAGTCATCATCTTCGCTCACGTCTGGACAACTTCTAATATGTCGGAAGATATGTTGCAAAAACGTAAGTGCCGGCCTGCCATCGTCCAAGTCCGTCTCACGCCTCAATTCCGGATCTGACCATTGTATCCACGAATTCCAAATTTGATCGCCTAGAAGTTTCCCGAATCCCAAATATGTGATGGTTGTACGAGAACAGATGTAGTCTGGGATCGTGGCGAATGCTTCATTTGCTTCTGGACGGCTCATAAGAGGGAGATGCTCGTATTCAATGTCAGAGGATTCGCTGAGGAATCGTTTGTGGATGCGAACGTATCCTGGCTCAGGACTGTACCGAATGAGCGATCGTCCGGCCAGGTCTCCGAAGTCCTCTGGTGTGAGAATACTGCTCCCCAAATTCATCTTGCATGCGACTGACTGAATGACAACTCTGAGCTTCTATGTAATTTTATGGCCAAAACAATATGAAAGTCCAAACAATCGGGGGATAGCTTGTTGTCTGGATGGACCGTAGCTATATAGCTCAAACGGTAAATTGGGCAAGAGCGACTGATAGTACAATACACGTGATGCATCACTAAGTACGACTTTCAAAAAGGGAGATGCCCGTTGTAATTGCAAAGATGGCAGTAAATCCTGCAGTTTCTGAACCGGCATCGGCGAATCAAATACGCTTATAATGCATCGTCGACTGTACTGATGCAGTAGCATCAATATACTGCTACGTCGCCACCAATAAGGGCTTAAAGACTTTCTTAGAATGTGCGTCTACCCGTATTGGCACTGTGGATTCCCCGAGGTCACATGACCTGACCTCGGCCGCCGAAATCACTAGATAAGACGAAGCCCTGATCTGCGCGCACATTGCGCACAGTCTGGTCTTCAGTCAACCACCCTACGAAATATCATCACTAGATCTTCTGAAGGCCTTAGAACTTACTACGATACGTGCAACTGGTCCGGACGTATATCCCACAAGGATTACTGTACGGGTCTTACACTGGGATTCGCGCAAACGACTGCGGGTACAGACTAGTAATGCACGGAGTAGAAGCCACAGCACCACGTCGTATCAGTGGCGAATCCGATCATCACCTATGGATTCGATTGGCTGACCCCGCTCTGATTTGCTACTGTTGAGGCTAAGTTTTTTTAGTAAGATATCTTATTAAAAAAAGGCGCCTACCTACCCAGAATGGGACGCCATTTCTCACTTGCATATTGTATATCCTTTCAACGCACGATAGACTTGTCCCTACCTTTTATTTTCCTCAAAGACTGGTTACAAAAGGACTGGTTACAAAAGGGAAGGTCCACTGTATATCTCTGTTAAGAGAGCGATCGACATGGCACCTATTCCACCCCCCTCATCATCAAGCCTAAGAGCTATGTCTAGCGACTCGTCTTCATGGGGTGCACAGACACTGATGGATCTTGCATTTGGCATCATCACATCGGTTACTGGCATCACGAGCGTGCTGGTCGCCGTGTCGGCCATGCGCAAGACGCAGGCGCCATCGGCACGAAAGTAAGACTTCAACTTCCCAGATATGAGTGAACCGTGCTTAAACGATCACACAGCCATGACAGCCCAACCCCCATTGCGTTTTTTGAAGAAACGAGAGCCGAAGAGACGGAGTCTGCTCTACCAGCGGGGAACGCTTCAAACATGACAATGGGTTCTGGTTCGGACGTGTTCGAGTTGATCGAGTTGCCTGCGTAAGCAGGATCAGGACAAACTGACGCTTTGCGAGTTCGCAAAATGTAAAAGATCTCCTAGATCCTGCTTTCTACGCAGGCAACTCGCATAGTAAGACATTCCGCCCTACTCGGCCATGTGGCCCTATAACTGGTCGGAAGGAATAGAAACGGGGCCTGATAGTGTCGAATAAACCAGATGGCGTGCACGGTGATGCAGTGTGATGAAAGAATACATGTACTGTGTGGGGCATGGGGCTATTTAGTATGTGTTTTCACGCACGTCGGCATACCTCGAAAGTACCTAACAACAACAATACTCCGTACACTAAATTACTTGCTTAGTAATATATGAGTACTCCGCACTCCGTACGGAGTACAACACACAGATTTGCTTACCCAATCCAGCCTCCTGCTCCTTACAGTGCAATATCACCTTTACTGTGTACAAAGTCTGATGTACGGAGTACGGAGTATGCTTTAACATTGTAAAAAAATGTACGGAGTATGCACCCTTTGCTCCCCTCCGTACTGGGAAGAAAGTGCTATTACCGAATTTAAATGAGGCAAAAAGAACGTAATCGACAACAGGAGGACTCGAACCTCCGCGGCCGAAACCATATGATAGTGTAGAACAGTAGTTCGAGTCATACCCATTAACCACTCTGGCATGTTGTCTATACATTAATTACTAATTTTAGGCAAAGCAAATTATATTGCTCCTCTCCCGCCCTAGCGGTCTGTTAACGTTTGAGGCTGGTGTTCTTTTTGAGAAAAAGAAAGAAAAGACGTGGAAAGACTTGATACAATCTTAATCGAAGGCTTCGGGGGGTCATTCAAGTAAAGAAACGAGTAACAAGCATCTAGTGCGACAATTTTCAAACTGGAAGAAGGCGAACATTGTGATGCGAATAGTTTGGCAACCATTCAGCACTCCTCTTCTGGCATCCACACCGTGAAGGGCTCTTGTCGATTCCGTTTGTCTGCAAGTATGCGCTGCCATAAAGAGCGACATGGTTGTACCGTAGATAGTTTTCTGAATAGGTGCCGGTTCTGTATCTGCCTCCAAGTTATGCATCTTCTTCTGCAAATCCACGTACTTTCCCAGCGCGCTGAACCAGAAATGCCTCTGGCGCCTTCCGCGGTCTTTGAGCTCACCGCTGCCCCCCGCTCAGGTCCCTCTGATGTGGAGACTCAGCCCAGAGTTTGCCCGAAATGCTTGGGAAAAGTGTGGAGCGCTACGACGTGGAGAACCAGCATCGCGAGCCAACGCGTGGCGTCCTGCGACGTGGTCAACGCGACATCTTGTAGGGTGAGCATCAGGGTGTTTACGATCCGGGAGACAGCCTATTGGAAGGATGGCTGCCGTCGTCGATCCATGTCGATCCACCTATGGCAGCGCCCAGCTCCACCGCTCGAGCACGTACTCCTTATAAGTAGAGCTGGGTCCCTGCGAGCAGATACGGGTTCGTCTTTTCATTCTCCCTCCTTTTTCCCCGAAGTGGTTTCGGCAAGCAGCACGTCCCCAGCAACCGGCCCTGCTCCCGTAAACAGCCCCTGCCAACCCGCCATGTTCCACGACAAGCCCGCCTGGATCCTCGTCAAGGGGACTGAGTACAATCCCGGCCGGTCGCTCTCGCTGGGCCAGATTCTGATTAAGCCCAATGAGCCGGACAGCCCGCTGCTGCCCGACGGCCCGTTGCCCATTCCGCCAACCCAGATCGAGTACTCTTTTGAGGTCGGCGTCGAGGACTTCACGGCCTCGGCCCTTGACGGCTCCTTTGGTATCTGGGCCGACATCGACCTGCTGCCCGTGAGGGGAGACGTTGGCGGTCATCGCAAGGTCGAGCACACGTCCGCCTGGCAGTTTGACAAGATCGAGTGCCAAATCTTTACGCCGCACGCCGACTATGTCACGCAGGCGATCCAGTCTGAGGACGTGCAGAGCCATATCCGCGGCTTCAACCTCAACCTGCGCAAACGCCTGTACATGGTCACGGGCGTGCGCATTGCTCGCGGCGCGCAAAAGGCCGAAAGTGTCTCGCACGAGACCGGCGCGCACGTCAAGGTCGGCGTCGATGCCGTCGAGTTTGGCGGGCCTCCCATCACGGCTGGCATTGAGCCCGGCCTCGAGAAGGAGGGCGCCGAGAGACACTCGTTCCAGGGCGCGTCCGACTTTGTGTATGCGTACCGCCTGGCCGAGATCTACTACGGCAAGAGAGCGGCCGTGTATGGAGGCAGCGTGAGTCCGAAACCCGACCACGGCTGCGATGTCCATGATGCTCAGGGCGCTCATGATGTTCATGACACGCATTCAACGAATGGAAAGACTGGGGCAAGTGCAGCGAATGGAAAGAATGGAACGAGTGTAAAGAACGGAACGAATGCAACGATTGCAACAAATGCGACGACTGCGACGACTGCCACCAAGACGAATGGCACACACGACACGCATCTCGCACAGAAGCCCCACGGCCATGACAGCAAGAAGGCCGACAGCTTGTTTGGATTCATATCCATCGGCAAGGACTTCGACTTGGGTGACAAGCTGCAGAAGATCTCGTCGGAATTGGAAGTGTATTATCTGCCGAAAGACTAGACTTGGGGCGAAGAGCTTATTCTGGTAACTGTTGTGGGTAATAGGACAAGGCGTCGCGCATTGGTGCTTCATAGATTATCGCAGTGCTCTCGGCTCTGTACTGGGAACGCTTGTTAGTTGGAAAACATTTGCTCTACATCGACATGGAGATATCTCACGATATAGTCGGATACTACCTGTCTGCAGCTGTCCGAATATGCGATCGATAACTGGATGTGTCTAGAAGGTAGGTATGTCCTAAGACCACTTATCCTCGGCGTATTTTGTGGTTTTCCAGCAAGCAAAGTGTTCTTCTGCGGAAACCAAAAGTATATGCAACAACATCATCCATAGCCATGCCCACATCATAGTCGCATCCGAACATATGCCCGTTCGTCAAAACTGCAATGGCATACGAATAAGGTGGAGCTGCACGTCAAACGGCGTCAAAGCCAGAAGTAGCCTTATGCAGATGCAGCTTGTCAGAACGGATGCGAAAAGTGGGTCTACCATAGTGATGTATCTCACCTGCAGGGAAACGCGCGTCTTGTACAGTGTGCAGTTGTGACAAAGCCGGTCCATCTGCCTACCATTTGTCTCTATGGCACTTCCGGCCTGTTTTCAGCCATTCGGCTTCCGATTTGGCTGGTATACTTTCTCATCATGACTACAGCCACTGCGATTCGGAAGACATCTATAATATTGAGCGACGCCCTGGACTATCAGAAGAATAATCACACGTCTTTGAATTAATTACTCACAGTAGTTGTTTTTATGAAAGCTTACATCAAAGAAGCAAATGCGAAAGCAAATACGGAATCACTCTACAGATCAAACGAACATAGCCGACGAACTCAAGAATACTATTCCACCAGGAGTCTAGAGTCTACGACAGGCACTCTACACACGAACACAATTTAACGAAATACCGTCTGAATCCAAGGACTTTGCGGATCGACCAGACAGTTGTGCTCGCACAGATCATAGACCCAAGCCGCTTTTGTTCCCGACATTTACAAAACGGGTAGCTTGAATAACATCGCGCAAGAAAATGGCTAGCAAATTCTGCTTTCTATAGTTGGGAGTAATATGACTAATTTGACGGTGACCTCTTTCAGATTCTCACAGTAGTCGATCAAAATACATACCTGCAGCATCGGCTTCTTCCTATGATGCCGACACTCTCAAGACTACGCTCAAATAATTCATACAACGTCTAAAAATCCCAGTGTTTTTGTGGCTGACTTTGTCCAAGAAGCGATGTCGATGCATACACCGTCAGATCAAGTAAGCCCTTGACGATAAATTATACTACACTGCTACTCGATTTAAAGTACCAGTTGGGGCAGAAATCGTCTAAGACCTCCTTGAATCTATCCTCGAGCTCCCGAACAACGTCACGAAGACGCTATAGAGATCGAGTATGCTGAAATAATTAGACACCAACAGAAAAGCATACGTTATTCAAAATATGCATCAATAAACGAAAATGACCCATCTATACGAAGGATGCACATGCACAGATATTCAACCTAGAAATCATATATATCCCCTGGAGCACAATGTTCTGGGAACACCCTGTGAGACGCGGAACCGTTGCCCTGTGTGATTACTGCCCCCTGTACCACAACCTCCCGCAAACCGAACTCACCTCCCGGTGAAACGATCTATCCGTCACATCTAACTTTTGCAATGCCTATATGATTCTTTACACTCTACCCACTTTTCTTTTAACTTCTATTTATCATCTGTTCTCAAGGCCTCTAGACTGCCAGCTCACCTTACCTGTTAATCTGTCCCAGTCCTTATTTTTCTCACGACTGCGCCAAGATGATATCACCTGTTCTCCTCGCCTGTCTCTCCCTTGTCCTCAGCGTTCTCTCCTCTCCGTTAAATCTTGGCGCCAACAATACTATGATTTTGTCTTCCATCTCTGACGGCACAGTCTTCCTGCCGCCAGCCGACAGCACCGGCATTAAAAACGGTAGGTCGTTTATTCTCCCACTCGCCAGCTCTCGCTCAACTCTACCAGGAATGCTCTGTGGCAACTTCGCCACGGCCAGCAAGAACGACGTGGTCTTTATGTTGCGCGAGTTCCGGCGCCAGTATCCCGACGGCTCCGACGACTTATGCGGTGCGCCAGCCAATACGTGCACTCGTCAGACCTGCCGCAACACGAGCGGACTCTACGTAAGTTTTTATTCGAGCGTATCGCGTATGGCATCTAGCTAACTCTATAGTTCTGTAATGTATGCAAACTTCCAAAGCTTTCTCCGCCTCTCTTCTCACTAATCTGTAGGACAACGCCACCGAAACCAACATTCGCTGCTCGACCATGGCTAACTGGCTGGCCGATATCTGCGACGGCTGCTGCACGACGAGCGTGATGCAGTCCAAGGGCCTCTCGGGGCAGCAGTTTAGCACGGCCGGCTGGAACGTGGTAGTGGCATTTGCGGACTGTAACGACGATCCTGATGCCGACCGACCATCTGACTTTTCGGTCTGGGGGCCCAACGGGCAGTGTCTGAACTACGGAGGGTGAGGGTAGTGGTGATGATGGGGGTAGAGAGCAGAGTGTAGAGGATGGGGATGAAGGAGAGAAATCAAAGAGTGATCGGGGTGGTCGTTGCTACGGAAAAGAAGACTAGTGTGATGGAGTAAAAAGGTTCTCGGACGCGAGGAGGAGGAGTGTGTGGGAGTATGGCGGCGTTTCCGTTTCCCGGGGAATTCTCGCTCACATAGCCATCAGCTGGTTGTCTCTCATAACAAACCTGTTGCCTTAGAGAAACCTATGGAAAGAAGACCAATACGAAATAGGCATCCACAGCAAAGCTAGGTTTCGCGTCCATCGTCTAAAATTGATACACAATCCTGCTAGCAGATGTTGTGAAGGGCCTTCTTCGGCCGTATAATCAAGCCCTTGACTCGTTGCTGTCCTCCCACACGTGACTATCTCCCGTGCAAAACCACCGACCTCCCCCCTTTTGTTGACACCCAGCTGACCGCGTTGTCCTGTTGTTGTATCGGACAGAAAAGAATCTGAGAGAAGCTTCAGATTTTGCACAACTCTTCCTTCCTTTTATCTTTTGCATCATAACCTTCCAGAGCACTGGACGGGACCCCCTCCTTCTATAGCCTGCACTTCTATATACAAAGCACAAGGCTCGCACACATCGTCGTCGTCGACAGCTTGTTGTCGTCTGCGTTTGAAGCACGTCAGCGTTTTTACGATCAGTGAGCAGTTCTTTTGTTCAGTTCAATCCACCCTTTCACCTTCCTGCATCACTAACCTGCGTTCTCTTTGTTACAGACACGCAACGCTTGGGATAAGAAGAAACATGGATCCCAAGCACAGCCGCCTCCGGGACTTTCCCGTCGCCTTTGTCGCCGAGACAAACGAGCAAGAGGCCAAGGACGGTGATCCGTTCTACAGCACTGACGGGGAGTCTGACTTCAGCACGGGTGTGAACCGTGGCTCGGACAACAGTGCCATGGTCAAGAAGTCTGTGTCGCAGCCTGCGGTTAGGGGAGCTGCCCTGACCATCCCGCCCACGTCTGAGGATGCCATGGCGGCTGCCATTGCAGCCATGGAGTCTGGGGCCGATATGTTTCCCGAGATGGCCTCGTTCCTCGCCCGCAAGAGCATCGACCGCAACGAGGCTGCGGCCAAGAAAGCGGCCGAGCTTGCTAAGATAGCCGTTGCCAAGCAGGCCGCCGAAGAGTCTACCCGGGCTGCTGCCAAGAAGGCGGCCCAAGCTTCGCTCGTGGCCAAGCCCTCCATCAATGTCTGGGGCGGAGGGAGTGACGGCATCGAGGCTTCGCCGACGGTCGTGGATGACGACGCTGACTGGGTCGTCTCGGACGAACGGGCTCGTGATGCAGGCAATGGACGCATGATTCATGAGGCCACGCTCATCCAGCGCGGCCATATCTCGCGCGAGACTGTGCGCACCATGCCGGCTGCCCTGTCGGTCGATGAGAATGCCTATGATGGTGAGAGTGGTGGAGTTCCTCTCTACGCTGGCAACAATGGCAATTCTCGCATTGCTGGAAACACTGGAAACGGTGGTCATGGGGGCACTGGTGCCAACAACGACGGCCCTGCCCATGATTGCTATGAGCAGTACCCTCAGTACTCGCTCCCGGCACGCTCTGGCATTCCGGAGCCAAAGCAGCGCCGTCAGCAGCGTCTGAAGCTTCAAGAGCTTCCTGTCACGCCGCCTCCTCGCAATAAGGGGGCTCCTCGCATTGCCCCGCAGAAGGAGCTTCCGGAACGTCCCAAGGTTCAAAAGGTCGTGCATCCCGAGACCAAGCCGGAGCAGAAGGTGTACCACAATCAGGTGCGCCCTCCGGTTCAGCACGTTCAGCTGAAGAAGGTGCCTGTGAGGCAGGTGCAGGTGCATCACGTTCAGTCCGGGCCCAAGTCGGAGATTGTTCACCACAAGCATCACAAGGTGCAGACCCATGTTGAGCCCCAGACTTTTCCTCAGATCCGTCCCCGGGTTCAGACTCCGAAGAAGTTTGCTCCCTCTGCAGAGGGTTTCCATGACCAGATGGATCTTGACCACACGCCTGTTGACAACAAGGCACGTGACCACAAGGCCATGGAACACAAAGCCATTGATGGTAAAGCTGCTGATCACATGGTCATTGATGACAAAGCCAACGACGTCACGGACCATGCTCATCAGGCTGTTGAGTCCAAGGTCAGCGAGCAAGCTGCCGACGAGAAGAAGGCTGTGCCGGCGACGACGCCGGTGATTGACTTTGCGGACGCGCGGGCTGCCCACATTGCGCGCTGGGTTCTCGGTGAGCGTCACCGCCACCTGGACATGACGGACGACGGTGGTTCTGATGGGATCGCTGTCGGAGGCAGTGGTGGCAAGACTGGCGTTGATCATGGCGTCGCCGACGGGGCGACTGAGGTCACGGCCGACCGTCTGCAGTGGCCGACGCTTCTCCGTGATCCGACGGTGAACAACGACAAGCTCCCGGCGACGGAGCCGACCGGCGCGCAGCACCAGCTCAGAATGACCATCCTGACCAACTTTGCTGAGCGCTGCCGCCAAGAACATGGCAACGGGGGCGATGAGCACCGGGACGACAACGGCTATGCTGTCCCTCTTTGCTCGCTCTGCCTTCCGGCCGACGCTTTCACCATGCGGCCGCAGCACGGCCACCTCTTCCTCGACAGCGTTCTGCTGCCGCTGGCTGAGGCTATCAGCTATGCCGAGATGGTCGTGCAGGTCAACACGGCATTGATTGAGCGCGTGTTCAAAGAGGCCGGCCTGGGCGAGTCGCATGACACGGAGCCGATGGCCGGTCCCTGGAACAGCATCCGCGCGATGCCTATCTACGAGGACTACCAGCGGGCCCTCGTGCTGGCCACGCACCGTCGTCGCCTGTTCGACGAGCTTCCGATGACCGTCGACACCTGCGGTCTGCTCATGAAGGGGTATCGCAAGTGAGAGCTGCAAGACAGCCGAGGAGCCCTGCTGACGTGGGGTATAAATTTATTTTGGAGGCCATATGATAAGTCCAGAAGAATGATGAGAGTGACAGGGGCAAAGGGATGGATGGAAATCGAGCTGGACAATGAGCCCAGAGCAGGAACAGGACGGGGTGATATATGGAGCTGGCACCAAGAAAGAAATGTCTAGTAGAGACACAGATATAGGCCAATGAAAAGACGATTTTGTCATCAATCTTCGAGTGCACTACTTTCACCTAGGTACTCAAGAAGTCCATTGTCTCGGAGGAAACCACGTATCAACAACACTATGAAGTAGATCTCTCTCTTCCGCCTGTAAGAATATTATTTTCTACAGCCCCATCATCTCTAACTGTGCAGCCAGGTGTTTGCACTTGGCTTCGGAGGTTCGGATTCAAGACCATGGAGAAATTCACTGATGCTGCAAAGGTATGGAGTTTGTGGTCGTTGCGGAGGATAAATCGACATGGCCTGGCCATGACAGAGGAGTACTGCGTCGCCGCTACGATCGTCTCGTCGGGACCTACTAAAAAAGGCAATTTGGAGAAAGATAGGAGTTTAAAATTGATATCTGGGAGAATACATACGTTCCTGGTTGCCGGGTAGTATCTTTTCTCACCAGCTCGACGCAAATTTGATCAAATCTGCAAACATTCGATGCGTCCGCAGGTATTAGTCCTAGGTAAGACGTCGCATTATGCCCAAGCCAAGTTGCACAAACGGCAATGCCTGTGATTTTGGAAAAGAAGTACAGCACTAGAGTGGAAGGTTTCTGGTCCACGTTCATGAATGTCCAATTTGTGCCACCAGTTAAATAAGGCAGAGCCCAAACAGAAAAAGCTTTGAAAATGATGCGTAACATAGCATAAATAGACATTTCCCTGAAAAGACTGGACAAGCCACATCCGTCTCGAAGGCTTCGGTCGCAGACTAAAAGCTGTATTTGGCTGTGAATTGTCATACATGGGTCTTGCCATCCTGGACGATGTATAGATGGTTAACCTAGACGCAGAGGATAACAAGCGATCACCCTCAACGACATCGAGTATCAAGGCCTCCAGCTCGTGAGATTGTTTGCTGGATGCCTTAGCAGCGACGTTGCGGCCGTTTGCACCAGCGGCCCGTCGCGAATTTCCAACAGATTTGTTGGTTGCTGGTAGAGTTTCTCGTCTACCTGAGCCAGAAGGTATTTACGTTTGTGAGAGAAGCAGCCTGAATAGATGGCCGCCGGACGACCAGCACAAAATAGACCACAAACAAGCAGCATGTGTTGAACTTTGTATTTTACTATTTTTAACGGAACATTCTATATTTTCGCTCGCTCCCCACCGCATCCAACAGCTAGCTATGCGGGCAGCTTGCCGGACTGCTGGGCCGTCCAGGTAGCGATTGCATCCATGAGGCCGGGCGAGAGGGCGTCGTACGTCTCGAGCCCGAGCTTGTGCAGGCGGTCGCGCACGTCAGCGATGCCGGCCGGTGCGAAGCCCTGCTCGATGATGGACGAGACGAAGGCGGCAAACTGCGGCTCCTGCCAGCCGGTCACGGGCGAAAGCTCGGCGTGGACAAAGTCGAGGCCGTGGAACGGGTGAGCCTTTTCGATCCGGCCGTACAGATGGACACCACAGTCCTTGCAGGCGTGGCGCAGAATGGTGGCCGACGGGTCGACGACGGCGAGCTTGTCGCCGTTGGCCGTGACGGTGACCTTGTCGCGCGCGATGACGCCGACAACGCTGAAGAGCGCACCCTTGGGCTTCCAGCACTTGGAGCAGCCGCAGGCGTGGTTGTGGGCGACGTTGGCGCCCAGCGTCACCTCGACCGGCTTGGCGGCACAGTGGCAGCGCAGCACGCCGCCAGCAAAGTCGGCCTGGCCCTTGGCCAGCGTCGGGCCGTCGAGGAGAGGGTGCAGCGAGGGGGCCATTGTGTTGGAGAGAGTGGAATTTTGAGGTTGGACTGGCGAGATGAGCGGGAGAATGAATAGGCGAGAATGCGAAGATGATGGTCGAGGTAGTTCTTTCCAGCAAGAAAATGTCCAGAATCGGCAGCAGAAGACCGTCTCTTATACTCGAACAGCCCCTCTTCTCGTCGTCTCGAGCGGGCCCTCGGCTTTGCAGGAGATCCTCTGCGGCTGGTCGCTGAGCTGCTGACTTTGTGGGTCTTCTTCGCTGCTTGCGGCTCCTCTTCGCCCCTTGGCTGCTCCCGAACGTTCCCCGAAGCCGGTGCGGAGGTGTTCGTGGAGCCCTCTGGCGCTGCTGCAGGCCTGCCCGCCACGCTGACGCCAGCACGACCGGCGGCTGAAACAGCTCTGACGCTGGTGCCGGAATTCCGACAGATTCGCTGACGCCAGCAAGGCGCAGCCCAGACCGGATCGGCTGCCACCCCTTGTTCCCGTGGCTAAAACTCGGGAATTCGCAATCAGAACAGCCAAGCCTGGGATCTGCGTCTTCGTTCCCCGCAGAGAGCCCCTCCTACCGTCGGCAGACAGGATGGCCTTGATGTCGCCATCGCTTCGCTATGTTTGCTGTGCTGTGTGGAGCCGAGATGTGCGGACGATTAATGTTCCGTGCCGAGGAGGGCGAGTACTCGTGGAGTGTCTGCAAGGTGGGGCGACAGCTGTTGAGCGGATGACCAGAAGATGACCAGAAGTGAAGGACAATGGCGCAAGCTTTCGCTACAGATCAAGGCGAAAATGCCTCTGGAAGAAGTTGCGTTCAGAAGGACAGACGCGATCTATATATACTACCAACGGGCCATTCAGGTACGCACACCTTGCTAGGCCGGGCGGCCATGTGGGTGATTAGTGTTCACCGATAATTAGTCGACAATCTCCGCTGGAATGACAGCGTTCCGAATGAGTCAAGGGAAGTGCGAATATACAAGTACTAGTAAACTGGACAGCCTTTCTGATGCATTCATGTCTTGCTCTCAGACATGTCAGAGAGGATGCGAAGTCTGCAACAGGGTCGAAGATGACTAAGCACATACCTCGGTCCAATGAGAGCTCTTTGTCAGAGTGGCGTGGTGGCATCCCAGAGCTTTAGCCGGGGATTTGCCGCTGGCCATCGACGTCTGGCGTCTCTCGTTTGTGGGTAGCAGCGATGGATCTGCTTGAGCCATCTCCGCGCGCACCACTGCCGTCGTCGCAGCGCAGTCCTGGGGGCGAAGGCGGAGCGGACGATGTGAAGCAGGGGCGATGCAGCATGGACGAGACGGAGAGCGTGAAGGCGATGACAATGACGACAACGACGGCCATGTCTTCTCCTGGTCGCAGGCATGACCGAACGACACGAATCAGCAAAGCCTGTGACATGTGTCGGGCACGGAAAGTGAAGGTAAGCCCGTGTTCTGTCGGCTATTCGTTCTACTCTGTCATTCCTAACAGAAAAAAGTGCGATGCCGCTCAGCCATGTCGATCCTGTCGTGAGCTCGGCGTTGCCTGCACGACACAGTACGTCTCGCGTCGACGAGGTCCGGCGAGCAAGTACGCTGTCCATTCGGGAGCGACTGTGTGTGTGCCATCGCCTGGATCCGACGTTGTGGCAGCATCGGCCATCCCAGCTGCCATCACGGCCACGACACCCTCAACGGACGACATCGCGCCACTGCCCGTGCTCGCCCTTCTGGTAGACGACTTCTTCACGTACATCCACCCGCTGATTCCGTTTCCGCACGAGCCGACGTTCCGGCAGCGGTTTGCCAGCGAGACCACGCGACGCGAACCCGTCTTTCTGGCGCTGCTGGCGGCCATGGTCGGCAGTCTGGCCGCATCGTTTCCGCGCAGCGTGCGGGCGCAGCGCGAGACCGGCCCCGGCAGTCTGCGCTTTCCGCGAGCCTCCAGCATGGTGGCGTGCTGTCGCGGCGTGGCGCTGGCATCGCGCGGCGCCCAGTTCTACAACACGACGCGGTCCATGACGACAGACGATGCGGCCACGAGCTATCTGTTGGGCCTCGCAGCCGGCTACACGTCGGACTGGCAGCTCTGCCGGCGGTTCATGGCCGAGGCCATGTCGTTTGTGCAGGAGGTCGGCGTGCTGGCCAGCGAGACGGACACGAACAACAGCCTGCATCCGATCGACGAGCAGATCGGCCGCCGCATCTACTGGATCCTCTTCCTGGCCGCTCGCTCGATGCAGCAGACCGGCGCATCACCCGCTGATGTCCCCATTCCGCTCGTCTTTCTGCATCCCAGCCACCGACGGCCACGGCTGCCGGCCGAGGTCGACGACGCCTTCATCACGGCAGCTGGCGTCGGCATCCAACCGCCTGGCGTCGTCTCGCTTCTGACTGGCTTCAACCGTGTCGTGCAGGTGTACGCAACCATGGATCGGGTCGGCGAGGGTTTGATTGGTACAGCACCCGACCAGGCTGCCGCTCTTATGGACGCTCTTCAGGCAGCCAAGGCTCTCGGCGATGCTCTTCCGGATGAGCTGCATCTCCCGCTTCCAGGAAGTAGTAGACATCCTCCCTCTACCCCCCCTTGTGACGACTTCTACGACAACGTAACCGGCTACCGCTACTATCCTCCGGCACCTCTCGCTACGGCCGACGATGTCCGCTTGCTGCTCGGCCAACAGCCGCGACGTCGCCGTCAGGTCCAGTACGACATCCAGAAGACCAACATCTATGCCTCGCTGCTGGCGACACGGTCGTATTATGTCGAGCGCTACGGACAGCTGCTCGGCCGCCTCGGTGACGACGACGCTGCCGCTGCTGCCATCGCGGCTGAGCGCGACCTCATCGTTCGCTCGCTCCTCCTCGTCCTCGCTGCTATCCCGCAGTGCAACATGGAGCCCAACGGGTGCGCGCTCATCAACAAGATCCGACAGGTCGCGTCTACGCTGCTCGGCAACATCGCCGACGAAGCTGCTGCCCAGCTTGGCCGCTTCCTCGAGATTCTCGTCAAGCTCGAACGGATCGGCCATGGCGGCACGGCTGCACAGACGTGTGGAGTGGATCACGTGACCACAGAGGACATCACAACCACGGCCAACGTGGGCCTGGCTGATGAGGAGGAGGAGCGGCAGAGCTGGGCGAACCTGCGGGAGGAACAGATGCGCTTTGCGGCGAGCGGGGGGTCGATGCTAGAGTAGGTAAGGTGTGTGAAGTAATACAGGTTAGGCTGATAGGCATGAATGTGAGGAGGTATGTGAGAGTAAGAGGAATGTACGTTGGAAGGCGACAGACAGAGTGCTGTTGCTTCTGAAAGACCACAAATGACTGCAAAGAGAGAGCAAAGTGAAATGAGCAGCTCCTCGGCGCTTTGTCGGACCATTCAGCCGGCCCGAGAACACAGCCCAGGCAGCCGTGTGACGTCGAGCAGGCGAGCTCGCCTATCTGTCCGACCTTTCTCTCTTGAGGGTTTGTCTTTTCTGGAGCAGGTTTGTTTACGCATTCTGCTGTTCTCCCGCTTCGTCTTGTTTCGTCTCAGCACCGTCAACAGTCTCTGTCTGCTCTAGTCTCTTGTTCATTCTACTGTTCAGTCCACTGGTGCTCCCACGCATAACGTCTTCTTCAGCCTCCTCCACCACCACCACAATGTCCGATCCTCCTTGTTATGCCGCTGCCGGCCGTCGCCTCGATCCTCGCTTCCTCCCCTGTGGCAATCCGGCCCTTGCTCTCCAGGCCTGCTGCTGGCAAGGCGACACCTGTCTTGTCCACGGCGCCTGTTTCGGTGTCCACGACGGCAGCTACATCACCTATCTGGCCGGCTGCACGGATGCCGACTATGGCGCCCTCGCCTGTCCGCCCAAGGGCTCGGATGCCCTTGCTGACGCCGACGCCTGGGTCGGTCTGGCCTACTGCAACGGTTCCTCTGACCAGTGGCAGGCCTGTCGTCAGCCGGGCCGTCCAACCGTCTTGGCTGCTGCCGGGCCTTGTGTCTGTCCGTCTGCCAAGACCGATCGCACAGTTGGTGTCGCTGCCGGGCCCACGCTGCCGGCCACGGCCAGCCTGCCGCTGCTTGGTAGCGGGACCATCTCGTGGGTGCCTCCGTACGGCCAGGGGTCGACGAGCGTGTCGGCTCTGTCTCGGTCAGGACCTATGTCTGCGTTTGTGTCAGCACCAACGGCCGGCTCCGCCAGCTCGACCTCGACCTCCAACCCCTCATCCACCACCTCCCACCCCCATACACAGCTCATCCTCGGCACCTGTGTCGGCATCGGCGGCTCCCTGCTGACCATCGCCGTCTTGCTCGCCATCCTGGCCGTCCGACAGTGGCGACGTCGGCTCCCAGCGCCCCGACAAACCCTCACTGACAAGACTCTCCCGCCACTGCACCCTTCGTATCATCCCGAGCCGGTCTCGCCCTTGACCGTGTCCGAACTCGAGCCGTGTCCGGCTCGGCCGTGGTCCCTCCGCTCCGAGCTCGAGGACAGCAGCGTCCACAGCCAGGTGCGCAGCAGCATCGGCACCGCCATGTGGACGCGCAGCACACTCGCACCCGCTTCGATGGCGCTCACGATCGCCACGACAGCCATGACACCGGCACGAGAGTGCAGGGACACCGGCAGCAGCACCGAGACGGCAGACACCACATTGGGACCACAGGCGTACCAAGGGCTGGCCGAGCTGGAATAAGGGGTTGACGAATAGTGGGAGAAAAAAGAGTACATGGGGAGAAATCATGTGAAGCACAAGGACACGATGGATCTGCTGCCGAGACAAGTTGACGCTGAATGTGACAAGACACTGTAAACGCCTTGCAACACTTCATCGCAAACGGTCACTGTACTGTAAAACCACGTCAGAGGCATGTATATACATGCCGTTTGTTTCGATACAAACGTAGTTGGGCGGAGATTCGCAAACAAACAGCCACGTTGTTACCAAATCTATAGTAATCTCTCTCCTTATCAGAAAATTTGCTCATACTTTTAAAGTCTGCATTGGTGCAATGTCCAGAATAACACCATCTAGTAACCGTATCAGAGCCGCTGTATTTTCATCTTCATTTTCACCAGGGCCGCTTGTCATAACTGATATCGTCCTTCTATAAGCGTATCAACACACCAATACCATAGACTCTATTCGCCATTCGAAAAGATACTTCAGTTGTTCATCAACCAAGACCATACCGAGAAAGCGTCTTGGGAAGCCATGGCTGCGGTCTCTTGCCTCCATTACTTTCCACTACCATCGTACAAGCTGGATGTTTCTCAAGCCGACTGAACTAGATTTCTGCTAGAAAGAGATTAAGCTCTGATAGAACAGCTGGTTAACCAGGTAACATATTGGTGTGATTATGTTGAGCAAAAATGGTATACTATAGTAGTAAAATGACAGCCCTATCCAATGTACCTTTTGCCTTTTGGTCAAACAGTCCCCTTAGCAACTCTCTATTAAAATCGCCTTGAGCTTGACGAAGGATGTTAATGTCTTCTTTATTGGTTGTGAGTAAGGTTCTTTTCTATGCACGGAGTAGCTTGCGGAATTACCTGTTCCCTGTAATCATAAACAATGATAGTTGAGGGCTTCTTGCTAACTGACACTCGTAGGTTTGTCTGAAGGGTTAGCACGAGGTACGGAATAAAAAGGAGGAAGAGGAAATAAAACAATAAAATTGACTAACCGTTCTAATACAGTTGATGCCTACCACACGGGCGTCGATGCGGGACGAGAACTGTATGCCCCGGGCTGCATCTCTGGTAAAGACGCTGGCTATGATGCCGTGATCAGAGTCATTCACTCGCTGCATGACCCCGTCTTCGCTCTCAAAGGTGACGATCTGGATGTGTGGCTGTGATTCAGCAAAATCGGCTGGTTGTATTTTGAGGCGGTCAGTAGCGGCATTTATGCGCTGCGTGTAGGCCTCGAGAAAGTCGGCTGCGATGGCCCTATGAATGTAGAGGGCAGTTCTGGTGACAACCTGGCCCTGTCCGGCAAAAATACTGTCGACAGTCCAGGCCAGTGCGTTCTCCATGTCGGCATCGCGACAAATGATGGCCGGGCATGTCCCACTTGGCGAAACTGAAGGAGACGATGAGGAATAAAAGTATCGAAAGATGCGATACTTTGCCAAAACATTCTGCAATGCTAGTAAGCGGTAGAGCTTTGACGATAATCCGACAAAATGGAGTGAGAAACTGAAAAACGAAATGCCGAAAGAGATGACAGTCAGACCAAAAGTTAAGATGGAGACTATAGGAACAACGGTAATGGCGAATGGAGGAAAGACACCAACAGCGGAAATTAAAATGAGCATAACGGCCACCGTGCGAATGATCATATTAAGAAAAGATGCCACAAACGAACAAAACGGGACAAATCCGGCATGATTGAGAACATAAAGGAAGTGATGCATCAAAGAAAACCAAAGAGAGGCCCTATCTAGCCGCAATGTCACCTGCTTCGGGCTACTCGAAACCGCCCGATTCCGGCTCTTCTTAGTAGCCCAGCTGTCAGCAAAGCTTATATGACGGACGCGCGTATGGCTTGAGAGCAGGTCCCTGGTGAAGTCATCACCGGTAAGGACCTGGACGACGCCGCGAGGGAACCCGGCCTGCTCAAAGAGCGGTGCAATAGCCAAGGACCCCAGCGGCGACTTCTCTGGCGGCTTCACGATCAGCACGTTCCCCGTGACCAGGCAGGGGACGGCCATTTCCATAAAGGAGACGATGGGCGAACTGTGGTCGTTGAGGGCGACGCAGACACTATAGGTGTTGTTAATCAGAGTTGGTGAACCGTTTTAGATGCAGCAAACCTACCCTAGCGGATCGTGTCGCACGAGCTTGACGTGGCCATCATCGGCAAGGGAGAAGCTGTCTTTCTGCTTGTCGGTTAAGCCGGCTGCGCTGTTAGTTGTGTCGATCAAGAGCACTTTGTAACTACCAACATAACAGCACTGTGCAGAAAGAAGCAGACGCAATGCAGGCATTGGACCATCCTTGCACGGCCACCTAATCGCTACGTCATCAACGTACCATAGTGTTGCAGACAGCTCCAGACCTTCTCCTTGTCATCCGTGAAGAGTAGCGACGCCCACATTCTGCTTATGGGCTGATTCTTCAACCAGCCGGCCAGCTGCAGTAGACTGCTTCGGATTGTGCCGGTCTTGTTGGTCGTAAGCCGGTCGAGAGCTAGGATGTCCGGTAGACGAGTCTTGAGCAGACCGGCCAGCCGCAGCAGACAGACGCTCCGCTCGGCTGCCGAGACCCGGCTCCAGGGACCAGCAAAGGCAGCTTCAGCGTGGTGCACGGCGGCGTCGACATCGCCCGAGCCAGCCAAGGGCACGACATCAGAAATGAGGCTGCCATTCTTAGGGCTGCGTAGCGATAGCGTCTTGTCGGATTTGGACCGTATATATTCGCCGTTTATGTACAACCGGTCGTATGTAGTTGGATCTAAAGCCATATTGGGTCGTCTTAATTGGTTCTGGTAGTGCTTTATCGATCGTCGTACTGTGATCTTAGGCCAAATGTTTAGTTGCAGGATTAGTGTACCTTAAATATACTATATCAAAGAGCGTTCTTATATAACGTAGTACGGAGTTCCGAATTTTATAGATAAGACTGGGCCCCAATCTGCGCCCACAATGCACGCTGTCCGGACTCTAGTAAATATTAGGTAGTCTAAAGGTTTTCAGCTAGCTACAAGACGTACAACTGGTGAACACGTCAATGTATAAAGATTACCGTACTTGTATTACCGCTGTCCGAAAATAACTACCTTATAGGCGGGAGGTGCACTAAGTAAATAGCTACCCAACGCTAGTAGTAGCGGTGTATATTTAAAGCTATACTCCGTATGCAGTGTGTTAATTCAAAGAGGTGGGACCCAATTAGTTATTCGTACGTATGTACGGAGTATGTACGGAGAAAACGATTCGACATGGAGCTTCCAACGAGTCTAATGCGTCGCCGCTTTTAGAATGCAACGGCAGTATACAGTATATAATATTGTAGATACTATGCTTACTTAGTTACCTAAAGGCGGTAAGATATTCCTTTGGATATGCAGTACTCTGTAAACTTGTCAAATTTCCGTGCGATGGCTATTCCAATAGCGATCTCTTAAAACCCAAAAGACTAATAGTAAATTTTGTTAAGTAAGCTACACAGTAGAGAGGTGGCTCTACCTAGTTGGCAGGTGTGAATGTTTTTTGTTGCAATTATAATTAGTCATATATATCCTTGCCTACCTTAATAGGAGGTATATGATATCCTACTTTTGCACATGGTGCAGGTCAATTCGATACCTTCCTCTAATACAAAAGATCTATCTTAGCTTAAGGCTATAAAGTAAGGGTTTATTAGAGGAGGCTTAAGGCAAGGGAGGCGTTCGGCTTGACTAAGTCATAGTTGATGTGCTATATATCACGTGATATGCCATAACGCAATGTGGACGGACAGTGACGAAATCCGCGTGTGCGAGTGCTATGTACGCCACCACGATTTGCGAGTGGATCGTTCCTAAATTCGGATTTCGCGCATCTGCAAAAGGCTTGCAGCCAGGGATGTACGCGGCCGGCCTACTCGGGACTACGACCCCGGACACCGAGCGCGGGAGCTTGCATCTAGACGGGTAGATGGGGTGAATAGGGAGCTCATCTCAGGCTTACAACTGGTGGGTTTTGATCAAGACTCCATTTGGAGCTTCCATCTTGCGTGGGGTTCTGCGCCAGCAGAAGCACAAGAGAAGCCAGGCCCTGGAAATGAGCAGCACGATAGCCGTTTCTGGTGACAAGACACGTTTTCAGCGACACCTGCCGCTTTGGGCTTCTCTCCGTGCGATGGCATCTTGGCGGGGGCATATGAGGACTGTTACAGCGCTGTGGAACAAAGGAGTGCAATGGGGTCTCTGGCAAATCAGGAGGCTTCGTGTCGGGAGCCTCCCGGCCATCGTCCGACGTGTCGACGTGTCGAGTCGATAAGACAGCCACACGATCGCCCAACAGGCCAGTAGGACGGCCAGCTCGTGACTTGCGTGATTCTTGGGATCGATGGCTAGTCTGGGCTAGCCTGTTGACGCGATTGGGAGATCAATGGCAACATCCACACTGCACCCACAGACGGCTGTCGATCACTCCGGTGAGAGCAACGTTTTTCATGCTTATCGCTCTGCTGATCGTCTGGTTGATAGGTGTATGAAAATGGACGAGTTCGCACATGAGTTTGCAATTCTGGCCAGCAGCAGAACGGTGTTGTTTCTGTCTTGTGTTCTGCGTGGATAATCGACTGCAGCCACAGCCGACCTGCAGCCTGCATCCCCCAGCACAACGATGGGCCGCCTTGGACGTTGGACGACGCAGACGCCTGCTGCCGAGGTGCAGAGCGTCGATACGGATCTCGGCCGCGGCCAGCATCACGACGGCTCGCGCGAGCACCTCGTGGTCCAGCCGCTCCGGTCGTGGAAGGGCTACATCTGGGACACGTGGGAGCTGCCGGCAGACCAGCGCCGGCTGCTCTTCAAGGTCGATGCCTTCCTGCTCACCTTTGCCTCGATCGGCTACTTTCTCAAAAACCTGGACCAGACCAACGTGACGAACGCATACCTCAGCGGCATGAAGGAGGAGCTCTCGATGCTGGGCAACCAGCTGGTGACCAGTGCGTGTCCGAGCAGCGGATCATTCTGGGTAGAGCTGTCCACTAACACGCCGAAGGCACTTCCGTCTGGACCGTCGGCTACGTCGTCGGCCAGATCCCATCCAACCTCCTGCTCACCCGCGTCTCGCCCCGATGGGTCATCCCCACGCTCGAACTCGGCTGGGGTGTCGCCACGATCGCCACATCGGCCGTCAAGTCCTACCGAGCACTCTATGCCCTTCGCTTCCTCGTCGGCATCTTTGAGTGCGTCTCGTCCCCACTGGCTGACCTCTGCGAACACGACAGATCTGCTGACCTTCCCTCCCCACAGATCCGGCTTCTATCCCGGCATCCACTACATGCTCGGCTCCTGGTACACCCCCCAGGAGATTGGCAAGCGCGCCATGATCTTCTGGCTGGCCGGATCTATGGGCCAACTCTTCAGCGGTTTCCTCCAGGCCGCTGCCTACAGCAATCTCGACGGTGTGGCCGGTCGGTCTGGCTGGCGCTGGCTGTTCATCATAGATGGGATTATAACGCTGCCACTCGCCGTCGCTGGTTACCTCTTCCTGCCAAACCTGCCACAGAGCGGAGTGAAGACCTGGTGGATCACCGAGAAGGAGAACCGCCTGTCGTCTGAGCGGATGGGCGCCATCGGCCGCGCTGGCACTACGCCCTGGACCCGTAAGAAGGTCGTCCGGATCCTTCTTAGCTGGCACACGTACCTGCTGCGTAAGTGTGCCCATGCTTGTCTGAACTCCTGTTTCTCTTTTTTCTTTCATTCTTTTCTCTGACCGACTCTTAGCATTCTTGTACGTGGTCTGGAACAACGGCATCCCCCAGGTTGGCATGGGCTACTGGCTCAAGAGCTTCAATGCCAAGCCTCATCCAGTCCCTGGCGTCACTTTTTCCGTGTCGCAGATCAACGATCGTAAGTTGGACAGACTGTATAAGGCAATATCAAAGATGCGGACTAATCATCCAGTCCCCCTCGCAACGACCGGCATTTTCATAGGCATGTCGCTCATCTGGGGCTGGCTGTCGGACGGGCCGCTGAAGGGAGCCCGGTGGCCATTCATCTACATTGGTGCTGTCATCACGGTAAGCAGATTGAGGGTGCTGAGATTTGGCGCCGGCTAACAATCCTCCGCAGCTGATCTTCTCCGTCGTCTTGCTGAGGATGCCGCTCTACTCGGACATCCACGGCCGCAAAATCGTGTACTGGCTTAGCAACATTGGCGTAAGCAGTTCTTCGGACGATCTATTGTCCGCGTTCATACTAACAAATTAAAGATGGGCGCGGGTCCTCTAATTCTCAGCTGGATCAACGAGATCTGCTCCAACGACACGGAAAAGAGAGCACTGCTCGTCGGCGCTGCAAACGATCTTGCCTATGTGGTCCAGGCCGTTGTATGTTTGCCAGGTCCTCCGTTTGCATGATGAAGTTCGCTGACAAGCTATGTAGGCGCCCAATTTTGTGTGGAAGACGACAAAGTTTCCAGCTGCCAAATCGGGATACACTTGGTCTATTGTGTTGCAGGTTCTTTTAGGTATTACATCCCGCGTCTGTCTAGATCAAAGCCGAAACTGACAGAGAAAACAGTTGTTGTCACTGCCACTATCCAGGTCTTGCTCTGGGTCGACAAGCGAAGAGCAGCTCGGGCTATTCCAGATCAGTTTATCGAGACAAGTGCTGCAAGCGAATTTAAGACAGGACATGACTTGGACGAGAAGGCAACAGACTCAGCCAAGACTACGGAAGTAACGCCGACCAGTTTAGTTTAGTTGCAAAGTAGATTGCATTTGTTGGGAGAAGAATATACGAAGCGATTGCCTGACAAATAACTGTTCCTGACCCCCATGAGACATCACGAGGCCTACGTACTAGATAGAGGCCCAAAACTGGTCGTAAGGCTTACAATAAGGACTAATCAACTTACGTTATCATTTTTGGATTATTGCCGGTACCCTTTGTGGTGGTTGCTTTGGAAATTCACAAGGTGACACCGGTGGCAGGTAGTTCCAAAGTATGATAAGACTCAGATACAGAGTTAAGAGAGTCATGGCTACAGGCCTAGGACCCTTTTTCTGCTGCCTCTGATTAGGGGCTGCACAGTCTGTATTGCTGGACCCCGCCCGTTGTCTAACAACGACACCCTTTCATCCTAGGATCTTGTAACGTTACTGCGTACGTGCCCTAGGTCTGCAGTGTCGATGGTCTTTTGTTAGTCTATCCCCAACAACATTAAACTGCGTGTTATGTTATACCCTGAATACATGCCGGTTTCCCATTATATATCGGCCTTTCCTGGCCGGAAGTGTACGTCCGCAATACGGCTATGTCTTCTGCGTAGCAATAGTGGAAGCAATAAGCAAGGCCTGTCGTAAAGCAGGAAATATGTAAGTGTAGTGACAGATTGATTAACTCTATCTATTACAATAAACGCGAATTGTTCCTTTTGTACCTAAAAGTGCGGCATAATCCTTCGTGATAGGATAGGGCGTAGCAGTGCTGTACAAGTTGATCAAAAGTTCCAAAATGATGCTGCCAGGCCGGCTACAGCTCTCGCCGCAAAGGAAAAGGTTCCGACTCCTTGCACTAACCCCATGGGGCTGTCCTGCTCCCAGGCAGGATTGTGCTTCTGCACAAGGCGGTTGGCTTCGGGGGTGTAGAATTCTGGTCGCCGCCACTCGGGCTTGCGGAGAATATCCGAGGCCGCAGGGATCAACTCGCCCGTCTCGGTGAGCAGGCCTGGTGTTATTTTTGCGCCTCTCTGGAGCAGAATCTCAATAAGGCTCGCTGGGCACCAAGGGATTGCGTACTCGAGAATGCTTTTGCCATTGCTGTCCACGGCGTTGGGATCCAGGCCGTGATCGAAGAAAGAGACGATGCACTTCGACAGTGCGTCGCCTAGATCCCGGTCGTCGAACGGATTCTTCTCATCCGGATCCTTGTAGAGCAGATAATGGACCGCGGTCCTCTCTGTGTGGTCCCTCGGTGCGCTCCAGACGTTCTGATACTTGGCTGTCGCGTCTGCTCCACATTCCACGAGTATGCGGACCATCTCCACTTTGAAAATTCGGCCCAGGACATTGTCCGCATCGTAGGTGCACGCGACCGCCAGAGCCATGTGCAGAGGCGTGATATCCACCATTATCACAGCACTCTTCCCAGAAACTCTCGTGCTGCTACTGCTATCTCTGTCGCTGCTTCTGGGCGGGTGTGGTAGTCGAAACTGGGTCATCAGGCGTCCCACATCGTTTGCAATGTTGAGGGAAACGGTTCCGCGGGGACTGCAGCCGTTCTTAGAAATCATCCGCGCAAAGTTTTTCCACTGCCGATAACTGATGCCTGGCCTTAGCTGGCTAGGGTGGCTTATTGTTGTCTGGTGATTTCCTAAAATTACAAAATACCAAAGTCTGGTGCTCTCTGCATTAGTGAGGCCCCGGCTCTGGTTCTGTGTCAACTCGCGCTCGGCGACCTGGAGCAGTCCGCTAATTACCATGAACTCGAGAAACAAAGCCGGCACCAGGCTGTTAAATATTGTTTGGAAGAAATAAATCCAATCGTGTTTAGTAGCTATACTCCAGTACGTCTCCAGCCATTTAGGCCCACAATGCTCGGCTATGGAATCGCGGAATTCGTCCATAACGGCTTGACTTGGAAGTCTAGATATGTTCTGGCACCCGAGAGCTTGGTCGACAAACTCGCTAATAAGGCTCGAATGGAGGTTACTCTTGAGCAGTTCTAGGGTTGATAAGGACCAATGGCGGAAATAAGACAACTGCGGACTGCAAGGTGAGGATCAGCAACAGCACAATCTATAAAATAATCAAATATGAGAGGGGCAGGAACGGAGACTGTTTACGTTTTGTCCGTATGACCAAGTAGCTGAACAACGAGCCTCATGATCCGCTCTGCACCGGCAAGAGCAAGATCCGAGGCCGACTTGCCGTCAAACCATGCCCTGTTTTCCGCATCGCGCACAAAGGACTGTGCAGTTTGGTGGATGAACTGAACCTGGAGCACGGATGTCATTAATGTTACATCAAGGAGGCCGCCCGAACAGGCCCTGACACGCCTCTGTACAAGGTCGCACCGCTTTCGGTCTCCGGCACTCTCCAAATCCACATCCTGCGGCAGCGTGGAAGTGGAATGTATGAGCTCGACGGCCAGCGAGAAATCGCTCAGGCTGAGTCTGTGGCTCAACGGCGACAGGACCAGCTCGAACATGCACAGTGACATTGCGTGGTCTCGCTGGGGTATGTTGGACAGAATGCGCTCGTAAAAGAGCGGGAGCTCGTCCGGCAGGTCGCCCATGAGTGCGACAAGGTCGCTAATGGGGAGGCCGTTGATCAGCGGCTCCCACAGTTCGTCGACAACTAGCTTGACCCATAGGAAGACGCCCTCGGCGCGCTCGGTGATCTCTTTTAGTAAAAGGTTCGTGTCCTCTCTTCGCGCCTCGGCGAGTCGGTCTTGGGCGAACGACTGGATATCGCCAACCGTCCAGTCCTGCAGCCTGATGTGCGGGTTGTCGCTCAGCATAAGGAACTCGTTCCAATCACGCCCCGATGCGCAGATGCGGATGGTAAGCCTCTGGCCTGATTTTGGCGCGGCTAGGGCCTTGAGAAAACGCGTGATCTTGTCTTTGCGCCCCTTGAATTCGTCAAGGGCGTCGACAAAGAGGCAAACGCAGCCCTGGACACTTTGCTGTGCAAGCACGGCCTGCAGAGAGCTCTCGAGTTCTGGCGCCGGCCAGGTGCACACACCAGATCTCTCCATCTGTTGGTAGTAGAACTTGGATATGGTGTGTGTCAGCGCCGGGATGTTGTAGACCAGCTGATAGAGGACAGAGCGCAGGAGGCCGTCAAACGACTTCTGCATGTCCTCGCCGCGGTCGTGGAAGAAGAAGGAAGGCATGGAGAGAACCTTGCGGTCGCGAGAGGACAGATACTGGAGTGTGCGAGGATCGTTCAGGATGTACTTTATGAGCGTCGACTTTCCCGACCCGGGCTTGCCCTTGATCCAAAAAATGCCGTGGTCACTCTCTGCCCAGCTCTTAAATCCTGCGTTTGGGCCGGTAAAGATCCAATCAAACGTGTCCGAGTGTGCGCTCTCGATTTGTCTATGCCGGTCTTCCATGGCGGCGGTACTAAGGCTCTGGAGTATCACTGGCGGGAGAGCGTATGGTGAGCGAACAGACATGACTCACGGAGGGGACGGGTTGAGTCTTACATTCTCGCAGTGCCTTCTGCTTTTCGTCGAGCTCTGGCTAGAATCAGATACAAATTCCACTCTGCTGTCCGGGAGGCGACATGTAGCAACCCTACGCACCTTGCTGTGTTGCCTCCGCGCCCCTCTCGATTTCCTGCACGTATTTGGCTATGACGCCGTGACACTTTATGTATCCCTCGTCCTCTCGACTGAGAAATCTGCACATCATCATGTGGTTCGCATTGATATGGTCCTTTCGCTCCATCTGGCTGTCCAAGCTAGACGATGCATCGTCGACCACCTAATTTTGATTCAGCATGTCTGTTGTCTGGTCTACCACGGCCTCATCATATGGTTTACGTACAAGCCCTGGCCCTCCTGGAAAGAATAAACCTTGAAGGCTCGGTCCTCGAGCATGGTAGAGAAATCCTCCCTCAAAATTTCGAGATGCGTGCCGTCAGGCTTAAGGTCTCTTAGGAGCTTGTCATTCGCAGCGAAGCCGACGGTTTTCACAATACGCTCGGCAACGAGGCCAATCTTGGCGTAGGAACTCCCACGATGGGGCGTTCCGAAGAAGACAATAGCATAGGTGCACTCGTACATGTCGCGAAGATCCTGGTCCTCTAGGCGAGCTGCTTTGGACCGACGGAGAGCCTGGACACACAAGGGAACGAGTTGGTAAAAACCAGTACGCTCCTAAGTTAAAGGACAGTAGACCCACCTCTTTTAACACGATGCCGCCCAAGCTGTGGACGATGAATATGACGGGCCGCTTGGGCGACTCGCGCCGGTTGCGCTCGAGAGCGTTGAGCAGCGATCGGCCATGGGCGCTGATGTTGTTCTGGTTGGGTGCCCCCCCGAAAAAGTGCGTAACGCGGGAATCGTATCCGTACGTGAGAATGCGGGCGTTTCTACAGTCGGCAGCGAGAAAATCCTTGGGCCAGAAGACTGAGTCCGCCACGACGGTGAGGCAGCCATCGGAGCCGACTTGTTTCGACCGGCGATTCAGAAGCGACAAAACGTTGCGGCCCGTGGTTTTCGACGGGTCAACAGAGGGGGTGGCCCAGGTCTTATGTGGATGGCCTTGGATGCCATGGATAAAAACCAGACTGCAATGGTAGAGTTCACATTAGCCAGGCAGGGGAGAGAAGGGGAGGCATACGAAATGTACAATAAAAAAGGGACTGGGAGGCAACAGACTCAACAATGGGCGCATCGCCCTCGGAAAGAACAGTAAAACCCTGATCTCGCACGACAGAACCAGCTGGAAGAGAGCTATTTGCTGTACTTTGATTCTCGCGGTCGCTCCCGGCGGCTGCATCCCGTGTTATCCCACTCGGCCCACTTGCCATTGTAGTACTTCTCGCAAAGTGCGGACTTGGTTCCGCAAGACCGCTGAATCGACTAAGCTGGCTCGCCGCCTGAGTTTTAAGCTAAATCGGGGACTAGATGAGGCGTCTTTGTCGTTGCATACGTCGTAGAGCACTTTGGGAAATGAGTTGACCAAGTTGATGCCCAGCGAAACAGGTTGGGCAGGCGGCAGGAAATGAGCGAGAAGGCTGAGTTCTCTCAGCCACGGCTGTGCCGTGTCATGGAAGAATACATATACGTGTGGCGCAGAGCGCCGTATAGTAAGGGATTTCATGGACGTCGGTATAGCTCGGAAGTACTCCGTACCTAAGTAACAGTACACACGCCCACTGGGCATGTAGACACGTGACCTATGTGGAGATATAAAGAGAAATGTTCTGTTGTTTAATGAGGGGTAGTTTTCTGTTTTCACAAGCCACTAAGCTACGGAGTACTCTATACTCTATATATTAGCCTCTTGTGCTTCTGAATTGTGCTCCTCGGCAAGCCATACTTTATACACCTGCTGGTATAGCCTAACTATTGTGGCAGCTTACCTTGCTACTCAACTGAAGATTATGTCAATTCTACTCGATATCACATCCTTAAAGCTGGCCGACTTACCGAGTCTCCACGACCTCCCGCCTAATGTTCTGCGTATTATACTGTCCCATATAGACACGGCCCAGAGCGTGGCTCATCTCGCGGCATCATGCAAGAAACTCCACGAGGCAGTTGCCTCGCATGGATGGCGCATCTTTGTACAGAGCCAATTTGGGACTCTGACCCTGCCTGAGCGGTTGGAGAACGACGAATGGGCTGCGCTGGCCGACAAGCTGACATGGCAATCGAGAGCGTGGGACCGTCGTGCCTTTGTCATGGCGTCTCTCCTGCCGCACACCGAAGAGCAATCGATACCATACTATCACAACCGTGGCCGTGGCAGTTGTGGATATGGTCGTGGTCGTGGACGTGGTCGTGGGGGAGCACGTGGAAACGGCCACCGGTCAAAACAGACGATGCCGCCTCATGCCATTGTCGATGCGTGCCTGGAGCGTGATGGTGGCTCAGAGGTAGAGACGCTCGCATGGGGTCTGGGAGAGGATGTTGTGATCCGATGGAGGTGCTCTCAACGCTCTGCGCTGAAAAACGAGAGGTGGAGCTTCATGGAGGGCGCACCTTTGGGATTGAAGAGCGGGCCAGACGACGTGACGGCTATTTCCATTCTCAATGACGTCTCGACAAGTCAGTCTCTCCTCGTCGGTAGAGCAAGCGGACGACTGCAGCTCCTGTCTGGCAACCAGGATGACTTTGGACACATCGTGGCCTCGTTCGTGCCCGCCTCGACAAGCTTGGCAGGCCAGGCGCTCGAGCAGAGTGAGATCCAGCACTTTGCTACGAGCGCGGCCCAAGATATTGCTGCCGTCATCACCAAGAGCAAGTTGTTTGTCTATCCGCTGTGCGGAAGGCCGGCGAACCCAAGCCACGCCAGCGGCCGTACAGACCTTGTCATCGAGTCGACAGAGGCTCTGGATATCGGCAGCATGTCGGGCTCCTCTCCGTTTTTGTCGCTGAGACAGATTTGCTTCATGGGAGACGGAAACTTGGCTTTATGCGTCAATAGAAGCACCGATCCAGTGCGCCATATTGCGCGGACTCCCGCGGGCACCACGCTGGTAAATGCAGCCAAGATGAGGCCGTCGAGACGTTGTAGGGAGGTGCTTCTCTACGGTGATGACTACTTGCACAATGCCCGCGGTCTTCTGCCGGTTGACATGGCTTCGATACCCGGCGGCTCCGGAGGCGCCGTACTCAGCTCCTATGATGACGGCACCGTCCGGCTGCAGGACGTTCGCACCCCGGCGCCCTTTGACGCCATCTTCCAAGACCATTTCGAGATGGTGGCCCCCATGGGTCCGCTGGTCGCCTACGGCAAGGACCGCTTTATTGTTGGCTCTGCTCGCGCCACCATACTCAAGGTATTCGACTTCCGCTGGACCAAGGGATACAGCTACGTAGAGGCAATGCCTTGCAGCGAGCAGCCGCTGGAGCCGCTGCCAAAGTCGCTAACGGACGTCCCGGCGCCGCTGTTCGCCGTCAGAGGCCAGTGCTGTCATGTGTCTGGCAGGCCATGCACACTGCATGCTTTGGCTCGCACCGACTTCTACCGGCCAAACTGCAATGTGTACCTGCCAGTCCTGAAGCAGACTGCGGGCCCAGTCTACTCGCTAGCCAAGCCGTCGGACCTGTCGGCCGTCGTCTATGCTGGACTGACCCGGGGGCTAGCTAAGATAAGCCTACGAGATCCAGCAACGGATGTCGCAGAGAGTGCGTATGTGTAGCAGATGGACAGCGAGAGTCGCTGCGGGTATAGCTATCGCCAAGATCTATCCAGCATGGTGGAGACAGGGGACGGTATCGGTTTAGACGATATTAGCAAGAGTAAGAGGCTTCCGTCTTTGCACAAGCAAAAGAGGGACAAGCTAAGTGCTGCTTTTTGTAAACTTTACCGGCTAGACGAATCGCTTATATGAATAAGTTGGTAATTCAACTTTATTGTCAAACGAACCAGGCCGAATTGGGTTAGAATACTCCGTAAGGACATCTGCAAAGTAAAGTCACTGTCAAATTATAGGTGCACAGTGAGCGTGTGTGTATTGTTATGGTTAGGTACTTTCGAGGTATGCCGAGGTGCATTAAAACCGTACTAAATAGCCCCATGCGCCACACAGTACATGTATTCTTCCATCACACGGCATACGAGTAATCGTGCACGCCCCTCCCATTTTGGCGTAGTCCATTCGACAACATCTGTTCCGTAAAGTGCAACAACGACAATTACGAGACGAATCCGCTACAACGTTAAAACGACAACATTAGGGAGCATATAAATACATTTACCACGTACACTTTTAATTAACTGACTGATTTCAATGTCTGTATTGTGTTCTAAGCCGTCGCCTGCACTACAGGTGTGGCCAGTGCAATGCTAATCTTGTCACTCTCGGGCAGCACTTTTGTGGACGTCTTCTTAGTCGCCTCACGTTCCTCTAGGGCCTTGTAGACGCCCGGCAAGATGTGACGGCCGTAGTTGACCGCGTCGTTGTAGTTGTCGTAGCCACGGATAGAGATCAGGTCAGCGCCAATGTCGACATAGTCGAGGATGGAGTCGACCACGGTCTGGTATGAGCCGACGAGGGCAGTCGAGGCACCACGTGCATTGGTCGCCGTGACGGTCGGATACCAAAGGGCACGGCCCTGCACCTCGCCACGGCTGGCAATCTCGAGCAGGCGCTGCGAGCCGATGTTTTCTGGCGTGGCAAACTTGGTGTCCGCCTCGTCTGTGCCGGAACCAGCAGCTGGGAACAGACGGCCACCATGAATGCCGGCCACAGCCACGGCAGCTTCGGCGCCGGTCAGGTCGCCCGAAGCACGCAGCTGCTGCAGTGTCTTCTCGGCTGCCAGCGTGGCGTCGGCGATTTGCTGTAGCTGTGCAAGAATGCGGTGCGCCTTGGCCCAGGCAAGCTCCTCCGTCTCAGCCACGATAGGCCGGAAGGTAACCCAGATGCGTGGACGGTCAGTCCGGCCAGCCGCAGCAGCTGCCGCGTTGATCTTATCGATCTGCTCGCGCGTCTCCTTTAGCGGCTCGCCCCAGAGCCCAAAGATGTCGGCCAGAGCGCCACCCACACGATAGGCTTCTTCGGACGGGCCACCGACAGAGATAGGGATGCGACCGGCCACCGGACGGACACCGGCGCGAAATTCTTTGAACGTGTAGTACTTGCCGGCCCAGTCAAACGGCTCGGACGAGGACCAAGCACGCTTCAGGATCCGGATGTACTCCTCTTCGCGTGCGTAGCGCTCCGCCTTGGACAGAAAGTCGCCCTCACGCGCCTGCTCGGCATCACTGCCGCCGGCAATTAAGTGCACCACCACACGGCCACCTCCGCTTAGACGGTCCAGCGTGGCCAGCTTCCGCGCCGCCACGGTCGGGTATGTCGTGTTTGGCCGCAGGGCTAGGATCACACTAATCTGCTTAGTCACGTTCAGGATCGTCGCCCCGATGGCAAAGTTGTCGAAGCCCGACGAGTTGTAGGGCACCAGCGTGTACTTGTAGCCGTACTCGTCCAGCGTGCGGGCATACCGGATCAGGTACTCCGGGTCCAGCTCGGCCCCAGAAATGGGGTGCAGCTCAGATGAGCGCGTCGCATTGGCTGCTGAGTTGAACTCGACTGGCATCTTGGCGGAGAAGGAATCTGTAAGAGGGAGGTCTGCTTCCAATAGTGATGAGAGCAGGGATGTAGGACTGCCAGGTAACCCCCTTTTAAGTCGGGCTCCCTGTCTATTTACAGTATCTACAACCCTCTACTAAGGCCGCTGACGACTAAATCCGCCGGGATCACGTCACCATGCAAGAAGCACGTTTTCTGTCGATCAGACCATAGATTAGCAATCCATACACGGCTCCGGGCCGGGAGAATGTTTGCTAGGGAGAATGTTTGCTGGTGGAGGATTCACAGGACTTTGTAAGCCAACCGAATTATTCGGGCGTGGCCGTTCGGCCAGTGGATAAAACCGGAAGCTGACCCCCCCCCCCCCCCCAATACGGCCTCTGCTTAATATGGTGTTATCTTAGGTTCGAATGGTCTTTAAAATGTTACTATACTTGTTGCAAATACACCAATGAAAGAAAGGGTTGAAAACCTAATGTTACCTCTTCCTCGCCGTCTCCTCTCCTCAGATTAGCTGCAACCATAAACATGCCCTATCCACTCTGTTTACACACATACTAAATTCAATCCTACGCGTCTATTCATTCATCGGCATCGTTATATGGATCATCTATCCCAGATATGCCTGTGAAGACGGCCTTAATCTCGGCGCCTGGTCCAATAGCAACCATGGGATAGACGCGGCCATGGATGTTGGTAAAGATGGGATCTAAAGATACAGTGTATAGAGTAGTCGTTAGTGGGTAGATAAACCTTGGTAGAACGAGCATGTCGCTGCCACCACACTGACCTATGAGCTCGCCATTCTTCAGGAATGACATTGTTCCTTCGAGTGTGTCGACAAAGACCGTGATGATGTCACCGGTACCGTAAGTGGCTCCTAGCTCTTTGCGGAAGACTCTTCCGCTGTTGTATAAGTTGCCATCGTCGCTATGCATACCCCATGTGTCGTCAGTCCAGCCCGGCATTATATTGAGCGGGCCGCCTCTGTGGCCAACACCAACGCCAACATAACTTTTCCCGAGTCGCACAACTTCTACCGAAAACGCAAACGTTGTTTTGTGCGGTACTGGGTGGTTCCCGAACATGACACTGAACTGGTCGCCAGTCGCCTCCGACTTCACCTGCACGGCCGTCTCGGCCTGCTCGCTCGGCCCATGGATGACAACACAATTGGGACTGCTGTTTTGCAGATCCCATTCCGATGGCAGCGCTTGGCCGTCTCCATCTGTGGATGATCTTGCGGCCATGTCCTGAGTATCTTCATCAAACGCCTCCAAAACTTCCACAGGCGTCCAGCCATGAATGTCTTTCCAGCCTGCCAGATCGTCCCCCCTCTCGTGTAAAAACAGGCGGATGAGGAAGGTATTGTTCTCGCTCATGGCGTCTTTGAGAAGCAGATCGTCGGCCCAGAACTTTTCCGGCTTATTCTCTGCAGCGGTTACGTTCGACAGCAGCTGGACCATCCTGCACGCGACGTGCTGTGACCTATCCCCGTCTGACGGTTTCAGAGCCAGCAAGGCTCGCCGAAGACAGGTTGGGTCCCAGGCATCCGGTTTCTTGTCTAGCAATGTGTCTATCACCTCCGGCTTACCGGCCTTGGCCGCGAGGTTCAAGGCAGAGTCCCCGGATGAGTCCCTGTCATTTAAATCGAACCTCCCACTATTCAACAAAAGCTGTATTGTGGGTGTCATCCCAGAACTCACTGCTGATAGAAGCACAGTATGATCCATGTTATCCCGTAGGTTCTCCATACATGCCATCTCTTCGGGGTGCATTTCTTTCGCTTTGTCGAGAATCATGGTGAAAACGTCCACGTCACAACGTTTTGCAGCTAGATGCAAAGGCGTAGAACACGACTTGTTCTTCAAAAGAGGATCTGAGCCGAGCTTTAGAAGCAGAGAAACGGACTGTGGCGCCCATTGAGTAGCGAGATGAAGAACGGTATCGCCGTCTGTATCGGGGCTACTGAGAGACATTTGTGCTCTGGTAACAAGCTGCTCAATGGCTTCTGTGTTTTGGTACGCCGCATGGAGAGGGTACCACATCCATTTTCCTTGTTTAAAGTTGCCGTGCCAGTTGGCATCGATGAGTTTGCTGACCGCGTCAGATTTCCCATACAGGGCAGCCTTAAAAATTGGCGTCACTCCTTCGCTGTCCAGAACCTCTCCTTCCACTCCATCTGCTCTGGCCAAACACTCGACGATAGCTGGTCCTGCGTGGACCACAGCAAAGTGAAGAGGTGTCGACAGTGTACCGGTTACTTTCGTGTTTGGGCAAGCTCCGGCCTGTAACAGATACTTGACGATTTCTTCATGGTTTGCTAGAACTGCAGCGTGCAAAGGTCCTTTGTTTTCTTTGTTCATAAGATCCAAATCGCGTGTGTTGTCTAACAAGAACGCAACAACGCCTAGATGCCCGTTGCTTGAAGCATAGAAAAGGGGCGTGTTCCCGCCGTTATCTGCACCTTCCATGCCAGTCGGAGTACTCTGGACGACCCGTCTGACAACTTCGAGATGGCCGCTACCTGCTGCGATTGACAAGGCCGTCCTACCACCTGCATCCTTCTCGGCAGGGTCGATCTTGAGTGTCAAGGCATAAGATACAGAAGCCTCATTGCCACTTGAAGCGGCATGGTGCAGTGCATTGCGGCCCCGTGCGTCCTTTGTAGTCAGCGACACGTTCCTGCAAGACGCGATGCGACCCATGATTGTTTTGCTGCCGCCCATCGCGGCTGCGAGCAAAGGCGTGAGGCCGTGTTGGCTCTCAAGTGTTACATCGGCTCCTTCGGCAACTAGATAGTCCACAACGGCGTCGTGTCCAGATTTGCACGCCTTCAGAAGAGGCGTTTCACCGTCCTCATCCACAACATCCAGTGTCGCCCCTCCTTTGACCAGAAGTCGGGTGATATCGTCGTAGCCGAGTGAGGCAGCGTAATGCAGACTGCATCTGGAGTACCAATCGGAAACGTCCAAGGGCACTTTTTTCTTCTCATGATGCTCCAGTAAAAGCGCAACCACGTCCTTGTGATTTGAGAGGACGGCCTTGTGAAGCGGCGTCATGTCATCATCCTCAAGACTCTCGATTTGCTTGGAGTTGTCGGCCTCTTCGAGAAGAACTTGCACCACTTCGGTATGGCCAAATTTCGATGCTAGGTGGATGGGCCAGTTACCCGCATTGTCTCCCACACTGACAATTCTGTCCTGCGATACATTGCAACGCAGTAATTTCTTGACCGCTCCAAGATGACCTCCCTTAGCAGCACAATGTAGAGCTGTGCAGCCCAAACCGTCCTGGGCGGATAGTTCCTTCGCCATATTGATTTCTCCATACGCTGGTAGAAGAAGGTCAATGATGTCAGTTCTTCCCGCAGTGGCAGCAAGAAGCAACGCGGTTTCCTTTTTCTCTTCACTGACTGCGCTGATATCTACTGCCGGGAATCTGAGCAGAGCCCGTACCGCATCCGGCTGTTGTCCTTTGCAGGCGTGGTGCAAAGGTGTCTGCCCCCACGTGTCTGTCGCATTCACGTCCACGCCGGGCCACCGTCCTAGACATCCGATCACAGCATCGTGGCCACAAAAACAGGCACAGTGCAGTGGTGTTACGTCTCGAGGACCTCCGGGGGTGTTCGTCTCCGCGCCTCTGTCGAGCAGTTCTTTGACAATCTCGAGCATGCCTCCCATGCAAGCGTGGTGCAGCGGCGAGAAGCCGTGGCGGTCTTTTGCATTGAGGTGATCTTTCTCCACAGCCGAAGCCTTGAATCGATGCAACAGCTGTTCTTTTCCATAAACGGCTACCCCATGAAGGCATGCTGAAGTATCATCTGTTGCCTCCATAATGCGATCCAGCAATTCCACGTCACCTCTGCGTATGGCGGCGAAGAGGCTGCTTGAAATATCCTCTGTGGTGAGCTCCTCTCGGAGAAGAATGTCGACGAGGTCTATGCATCCGACTTCTGACGCAATGCCAAGAGCACTTATCGGACCACATTCGACCCCGGAGTTTTCGAGGTAGCTATACAACCGTGCCCAGAATGTGATCAGCTCTCCATTGTGGAATAGACGAGCGATTCCGGGTGGCATATCATATGTCTCCTGCTCTTTGATTAAAGCCATTCTGCCGTTGGCGTAGTGCTCCGGCCAGTGCTGTGTCGCATATTTGAGCAGAGGGTGCTGATCCGCAGCGTTTGCAAGACTTGAAGGGTCTTGATCTCTGTGAAGACTCAGAAATTCCAGACACGTCTGTGCTAGTTGCATATCTCCGCCTGCACAAATGCTTGCCGACAACGTGCCACCTTCCTCCTTGTCGCTGCCGTGGCCTTGTTTTGTTGTCAAAAAGTCTCTGAATGCTCTGGGTAATGTCGGAACTTTCAACTTTGTTGTGCGGACGATACAGCCTAGGGAGCTCTCAATGTCTCCGAGCAGATTGATAGGCATATTCTCGCGCATTTCGTTCATCGACGAAGCTCCATTTTCTATAGCCAGAGCTGCAGAAATTTCAGCTATGCCAAGAGGAGCCTGAGCCAATGCCATCCATGGCAACACTTGTCGCAGCAAATCTCGGTCAGCTGATGGCGTCTGTCCCAATATGTCTCTATAAATCTCTTCTTTTTTATTGGGAATCAACGGCATCGATTTCTTCAAAGAGGCCGCCGAGATAGGCCTCGCGATACGTATTGCCAGTTCAACCCAAGCACGTATGACTTCCCCAGTCCCTTCCGGGGTCCCGGAAAATAGTATGGGCTCTTTCTCGTAGTGTCTTATTAGCCCGTCTCGCAAAATCATGCTGGGATTGTCTCGAAAGGCGAATTGCTTCCTCATCAAAGCACCCAGCTCCTCGTCCGCAATGGTGCCAAAATCAATTGTCTCCTGCTGCAAGTAGACCGTTGGACATTCGGGAAGACCAAAAGTACCGGCATTACTGACGGTGACCAATTTGAGTGTACGGTCTTCCTGAGAGGCCAGTGTGAAAAGCCGAGCTAGCGCCTCTGACGGAATTGTCGTGTCGGGCAGTGCTCTGATAATGCAAACCGTATTCCCATGTTCCGGGCAGCTCAAGAGGGACTGGAGTAGGATGAAGTGGCGGTTTTCTCGGCTCATTCCCTGGTTGAAGATATGTTCCACCAATGAATCGACGTGTTCAAAAAGCCTCGGCTTGAGGCAAAGTATTTGATAGCAGAGCGATGCCAGCATATCGGAGCCGCTGCTTTGTTTGCACCTTTGATTGTCAAAGACGTAGTCAAGAATAGCCAGGCTTTTTCTTTCACAGCCCACTGTATTCTGTGTCTCATGCAGTTTCGCAAACACCAAAGATGAGTCGTCTTCTTCGAGCATGACGATCTTGAGTGATCCGTGATTGCGTTCCTGCCAATTCCGAAAGTGGGGATTATCATCGAGAATGCTGCACACCTTCTCATCCGCGCTGCTGCCGAAACGTGGAGAGGGTGTCTCATGCTGATGCATATGGGCGGGCATCAATGTTTGGAGACATTTGATCAGTCGCGTGCCAGGATCTGCATAGACGGTCAAAATCAGAGCTATACGCGTTGCGTAACCTTGAACATACTGGATGGTGCAATCATCACCCGGAAGATGCGCTTTAGTAAGAGCTCTTCTTCACGGGAGATCATGTCGACGTTTTCATTGTTTTCATCCTGGGTGTCCACGTCTGGGCGAAAGGACATTGAGCGCAGCAACTGCATCATATTATTTAGCAGACTAACTTTATGGAACGTAAAGACAGCAAGGTGCAAACGGACCGGTCTGATACAACTTCCTAGGGTTTTGTTTTCTTCCTTCTTCTCTCTTTCCTTGGCCGTCGCATCTGGGCTGGTCTCAATTGAGCTGGGGACACAGATGGTTCTATACAGTTTCTCGCTGCTGGCGAACTTTGTACAAACGACTTCGATCATTTCTGCCGTTGTATGCAGCCACGACAGAGTAAAGAACTCGTCTCTCCCAGGGACGAGCATGAGCCGGTTGGCCAGCGCCTCCCACGACATGTCTTGCGTCGGCCAGGTCGGCGTTTCATACAGAACCTTGGAGATAGTACATCAGGGTCATAATCCTCGTTGAACACAGATCCGAACATGATAGCATTTCTTACCGTTAGGGTCGTGTTTCCAGATATATCATTATACTTTGCTGCTATCTTGGCCAAAGAAAGTGCCTGTAGCAAAAACGTGAGTTAGTCGGCCGCGATGGCATCCAGTTCTGTGTGGGGTTGGATGCCTTGCCTCTTTAATAATTAGCCCACCGATATCGTGGCCTATGAAGACGAACTCCTTTTTGAGCGAGCTGTTATCAGAATTCTCGTCGTCGTGGCATACAAGCCCGTCCAAAATTTCTGTTGCAATTTTTCCAATCTGGGCAGTGGAAATTCCACGCTCCCGTTCCTGTCCTAAAGAGTATTGACAGGAGAATACGCGTGGCCGCCGACCATGCGATGGGAGAAACTTTGCCAACTGCGCAATTGGGCTGTTAACTCCCTCTTTTCGCCATGTCCAAGCTGTGGCCGAGTTGTCTGTACTCTCAAGGCCGTGAACCACAACGATTCTGTAAGATTAGCAGACAGGATCGATACATTCTACGGGGCACCAAGATCATACTCACGTTGTGAGGAAACCAATTTCAGACACATTGGTTTTTATTCCGGTAAGCTGGACGAGACTAAGTCCTCCTTGAGAATTTGTAGACACTCTTTCGGACATTTTTCCCATGGTCAGGTCGACTGTTCTCAGCTCTGGTCTTTGAACTCGGCTTTGGTTTTTTGCAAAGTGAGTGATGTGAAGACCGTTGTGGTGTGAAATATTCAGGGAAAGATACGATCCAGGAATACCATACCGGCTGGTTTTCGTCCCTTCTAGCGAAGTCCGAAGGCCGTGTTAAGAACGGGCAAGATTACGAAAAGTGGTGTTGAACAAGGGTTCTGAACCCGGACGGCATAAATCACTTTCAGCCTCACTGGAACATCACACAGCCATCTTCTTCGATTGAGCCAATGAGAAAGGCAGAACGGAAAAAGCGCAATATTATATTGACCTGCTGACACGGGACATGGTACAATATTACGCAGGTTACCCCACCTCCCAGCGACTTGATACGCTGCCGACTACAGAGATAGAAGATCTCTTGCCTCGTCGCGGTGCATCTCCGCAAGCTGTTCGTACAAGGCAGCCATTTTTCGGTGACGCGAAACCCGAGTCATCGAGACAAGGTGGTGTGCTGAGTCTGACACACCCTGATCCGACCACGAACTTGGCGCCCTGTGCCGAAAGTCGGCTGTCAGGGTGTTTAGCCGCTGCACGATATCAGCCAATAATGCAGCAACATTTGCCTCTACGGGAGCCTCAGCCGTGTCAGTGGTAGTTGTGGAGACGTGTGTTGCAGCCGTCAAAATGGTTTCTTTGGAGGGGACAACGGAAGAATCTGCACTGTGTGTCCGCTCTTCTTCCTTTTCTGGAATGGTGCTGTTAACCGACGTTTCTTCGCTTTCTGCACTAGGCAGATGTGTGGACGAGGCCGGCAATTCTGCCAGAAGCCATGATGGCTTGTTGTCAGCCACACTCGGCTCTCCATCGATCACAAGCATGCAGGGGTGAGGGATTACCTCGGAGCAACTTCACAGGCTCGGTCTTCTCGGCAAGATGCACACCAACCTCGGTCAGGCGACGCAAGGCATTTCCCGTCGATGCTCGATGCAGGTTGTCGGCCAAAACATCGGGGGGCATTGGTGTGTTCCGCCGGTCGAGCGGAAAGATGGCCAATATCTTCGGATCCCGGCGATAGGGGGCTAGCTTGCCGAGAAACCTCCTTGTGGCTGCAGAGACGCCCCCTACCCTCCCTTCCACCTGGCCAACGAGCTGGAATTTTGCATTGCAAGGCCGCTTGACCAGAATTGCGACGGTCAAGGAGTCTCCGATGCCCTGCTCCTGGCTTGCCGCTCGAACTTGCCAGGAGACACGGTTTTTCACGTCAATGTATGGGTAGCAATCTGATCGGTCCGCGGTGCCTGTGACAGAGAGTTGGTGTGTCGTGGAATATTTGGTTGTATCCGTGGACGATAACTGAATACCGGCGGCGGCTGTCGCCATTATGGGCACCTGGCCGCTAAGCTGAGCCACACGCTGGCGCTCGTGATCTTTTGTATAGACACCAACGTATTCTGACCCCAAAGAGGCCGGCTCGAAGGACACCACATGCACTTTACTATCTTCTTCACCAGCGAAGGCCTCGACAGAAAGGCTGACAGTGAAGTTGGAGAACTGCTTATTGACATCCCGGGGCATGGGAATAATTTTGATCACGAGAAGACTTGCGTTATCTTTATCTCCTGGGTCATAGCCGCCATGCACCTCGTACAAAGTCTGAAAGTCGACTGTGAACGTAGAGCCCACAATATCACCGAGTGATGTATTGATATCGGTTTTCACAGTGCCGCCATCCGGCACAAGGGTGAGAGAAAAGGTCTTGTTATATGTTAACGCCATTGCATGGTTTTCTTTCTTCGTCCTTGATGGATTTGTTGTTACCTTTGTGGCGGAGTTCTGTGGTTTATATGTATGGCACATGAATCAGAAAACTCTGTAAAGGTACTAGTCGGAGGGAGGGATCGGGCTAACCAAGCACGTCCTGCCTTTGATTACTGCCTTTTACATTTTCCGTCTATGAATACAGTGTACAAATATTAGCATGTACTGTTCAAATGGTCATCGGGAGGTTCGCGCAACCGAAACTCGGCCGGAAATGTGACAGACAAGGCCAAGCATTGTTATCTTTGAAGTTTGCCGGAGGATGGGGTCGCCTCTCCCTCCGTATACCTAAATCCCTATTTCTGAACCCGCTTCCCTGGCAATAATCCGTCTCGTTTTGTTGCCTTTTTAAAACAGAATTGTCACTTGGACACACTGACATCGAACGCACAGGGAAACGTTCAATCCGACAATAAAGGATGATGGCGTCCCAGAAGAAATCGAAAATGGGCAACGGCTGGCCCACAGATCACTCCACAGATAAACCCAACGACGGTGACAACAAAACACAGGCAGCGATTGCAACACTGACCGAGCAACTCTTGCAGACGAAAGAGCTGGACGAGGCGTCCATGGAAAAGTTGAAGAACAGCATTAAGGCGTCGGTTTTCGGCAATAGATATAACAGATTACTTCACGTACTCATTACTGCGCCGGAAACTTCAAAGTTCGATGCACGATATGCTGTACCGAGCGGACACCCAGACGGATATCGAGACGGTCAAAGAAAGGAGGACAGGAGAGACAGCTTTTGGTCCGATGTCGTTACTGCTACGAAACCCTCGGATTCCACTACTGACAAACCAGTCTTTGACTATTATGGCCCGGGAACTAGATTGCTGCTCTTCCTTCACAAGCAAAAATGTCTAGAACGTCTCCTAACGAAGAAACCACAGAAGCCGACCACTGTCGACCGCGATCTAGACATGTTGCCGGTTCATCTGGCCATGGACAGGAAAAACGAAGATTTCATGTCTTGTTTATTAGGGCTCTTTTACATCCCAGACAAAGACAATGGCCTAAAGCAGCTCGTTCAAAAAGCCCTCGACACGGAAGGTGATAAGGGAAGAAATGTAGTGCATGCAGTCATCGATCGAAAGATGCAGTTCGCTGCCCTAATTGCAGCAATATGTTCCAAAACAGCCTTATCCAAGGTAGACGCGACAGGTCGCACGCCACTGCATCTCGCCATGTCCACAGATAGAGGTGGCCAGTCGACTAAGAAGATGCCAGCATCAGTCGTGTTAGGTGACTATACATCTCAATGGAGGACCAGATTCCTACCGCTAGATGTGCTGGTCGAGATTGAAAAAAGAAAAGACGTTGACTTGGGCGCAATCTTGACAGGAATCAACAAAGACGGCAAGTCCATGTTTCAAGATTGCCAGGGGAGCGACGTAGGTCAGAAAACTAAGATGACTACGGAGGAGATGAACGCGGAAGAAAACAGGATAGAGCTTGAAGTTCACGGATCGGAGCCCGAAGATCGGTCAGATATTCTTAAGAAACTGAAGAAGCTTATATTCGACAAGGTCGAGGGCGTGTCTCTCATCCAACGGGCACTTTATGGCTTCAACGGTAAGACCAAGGAGCTAAGCCTGGACATGTCGGATTTCAACCAGAAGACGCACAACTTCGAGTCATTTATGGAAAAGCTCAGGAAGCTGGAGAGTAACGATGACGCAGACGAGAACTACGGCGAAGGCGATGGCACGATGGAATTCGAGGAGACGCTTCTGTTTGTGACCCTACCGGATCTCAACTACGTCACACAGATGTGCTCCAATCAGACGATCCAGGAGCTCTTTGGCTGGCTTAAGGAAAAGAACGTGCGCAAAATCAGGAAACTCCGGATACCAGACAGCACGACAAGCCCTCTGAGTGATGCCTTTGTGCAGGAGCACATACTTGATGCTTTTGAAATCCAGGTATTGGATTGGCGCCGCCTGGACGTCAATCTCGACTGCATTATAAACACGGCGAGCCGCGAGCCGCGGCCAAATGCAAAGGCGTTGGAAGAGCTGCGACTCTACTCGAGCGGAAACTGGAGTGTTTTGTACCACTGGATGAGCGATGAAGGACTGTGCAAGCTTCCCCAGGCAAGACATCCCTACCCTCTCTTCTCAGGCCAGCTGCTGACAAGACCTTGCACGGTATAGCTCCGCAAGGTGACAATTGATATTGTCGTACTAAACCAGGCCAAGGTGAGCATATCGACCATATCAGGGGCTCCATGATTCATGATACTGACGTGCACACACAGGGACTCTATGATAAGGCCACGCACGACCGCCACAGCAATACTGTATTGCTGTACAAGCAGCTAATGGACGAAGCGTATGCTAAACCGAGTCCGACAGGGGTCAGCTATAAACTCGACATCCGACCCAACGCCCACTGGGACTACCCGCTGTTGGCTCACAACGAGGATGAGATTCCGCCGGTAAAGCACCGGTTCACAAATCAGCTGCTTCCGACAAACAATGCGCTGGACAGTCTCAAAGAGATTTGGATGTGGACTCGCTCGGAGCTCAACAGCGTCGAGACCAGCGACGAGGAGATTAGCGAAAATGAGGGTATAGCTGCGGACGACTGGAAGAATAAAGCTGCTGCCCGGTTCCGGAAATATGCACTGAGACCATCGCCTAGGAGCATACTTTCACCAATAGACTACCGGATTCGGGTGGCCGTGATAGATAACGGCACAGACCGGACCCAGCCGAGTATTCGAAACCGGATCGTGGCCGGCTGCTCATGGGTCAGGGCCGGCCAGCAGGAGCACCACAATCCGGAGCTGCCGTGGTGGATGGTATCAGATCCTCATGGCACCCAGATGGCCTCTTTGATTGCACAGGCGAGCTCGTACTGCCGGCTCTACGTGGCCCGTGTGGGTCGTGGCCGTAGTGACATCGATCCGCATGCCGCGGCCAATGCAGTCCATTGGGCTGTCCAGCACAACGTCGACATCATCTCCATCAGCTGGACGCTCAAAGGCCGCGAAAATGTAAAGATCCTTCAGGAGGCCGTCAACGATGCCATCAGAAGCCGCACACTCGTATTCTGCTCAACACCCGACCAGGGCATCTACGCTGAGGCTGCCGACCGTCTCAACGGTGTCATCAGTGTCAGTGCCGCAGACCGCTATGGCCACCCGACCTCCAAGTCCTCCGGCGAGACCCATGCAGACGTCTACGTCCCCGGAGAAAACGTCTTTGCCCCTACCCCTGCCTACCTTGGCAACGCCCCTACCGACGTGTCCGGCTCCAGCGTCGCCACCGCTCTAGCCGCTGGTATCGCCGCCCTCTCTCTTCTCCTGCTGTACACCTTCAATCCCCAAAAAGATCTTTTTGACGAAGATGATGAAAACTCCGTATCAAAGACCAGCCCTACCCGCGGCACCTACCACAGAAAAAAAGGTATGATGAGAGTCTTTCAGCACCTCCAGAGGGAAAATCGAGGCGTCTCCCTGTCCCGCATGTTCCCTCAAGATGCAGTGAGCAAAGAGGAGGTTTTGGAGACGCTGGCCAAGAATTGGAAGGTTAGCACCTGGGAGAAAGACAAAGCGACTGCCTAAGCCGTCTGCAGGGTACAGGCCACGAGACTGGCCTGTGTCTTATGGAAGAGGACGGTACGGACGCAACGTCGATATCGTTCTGAGGTTTAGTTGGGTCCTTGCTTTAGTTTATGCGTTGCCTTCTTAGTCTCTCTTTATCATAACTTGTTCTTTACTTCGTGGTTACATGAAACATCTATAGAGTCCGCTAAATCAGTGCATATGCCTAAACTTTGTTGCAGTTACAATCAAATTGTCGAATGGTACTCCGTATACAAACTGCAAATAAGACAAGAATGAATAACAGTGGGGTTCCACCCTCTTTTTGGACAATTTGACACAAATTGAATCTAGGAGAAAATGGGGCCTCTATGTTTTATTTCCCAACCTGTCGATTCATATCTGCCTAGTGAGTGTATTGTTATGGTTAGGTCCCTCCGAGCTATGCTGACGTGCATAAAATCCCCTACTAGAAAGGTCACGGCTTCGCCAAACAGTACATGAGACTTCACCCCGCCTTTCTTTCACATAGCCCTGCTTGATAAAACTGGTTTAGCGCCTTTCACGGACTCCCCCACATCGGCACATGCCGACAATGCCGTCTACTAGGTGTCCATAAAAGGCTTGCCCTGGGCCGTCCAAAACTCGGACTCTCTCCGACTTCTTGTGCACCTAAAACCCCGTAAACATGTCATCTTCCAATATAAACTCTTCGGCGGTGGAAAAGCCGCCGCCAGCCCTGAACATCCCCTCTGGCTCAACCGTCAGCGTGAAAATCATTGACAACACCACGTGGATGTCGTTACCGCTAAGTCTTATCCTGGGGCCACACATTCCCGGACATGACAATATAAACTGTCCTGCGTATTCTTTTCTTATCGAACACCCATCTGGCCGCAGGATCTTGTATGATCTTGGCACTCGCAAGGATCTCGAGAATCTTGCTCCTGTTACCGTGCGGCTCATGGACAAGCCTGACTGGAAATATACAATAGAGAAGGATGTTGCCGACATTCTGGTGGAGAATGGGGTCGTTCTGAATACGATCGAGGCTGTAGTTTGGTCCCACTGGCACTGTAAGTACCTAGTGCCACTTTACGAATGGATTTAACATCATTCCTCTAAATTCACCCCTGCAGTTGATCACACCGGCAACATGAAGACATTTCCACCGAGCGTCAATCTCATCGTTGGCTCCGGGTTTAAAAAGGGACTGCTACCGGGATATCCGACCAACAAGAACAGCCATGTACTCGAAGCGGACTGGGAGGTCCGCGACCTTATTGAGCTTGACTTCAACACGGATCTGAAGCTCGGCAAGTTCAAGACCATTGATTATTTCAGCGACGGCAGTTTCTACTTACTCGATACTCCTGGGCATGCTATCGGCCATACAAGTGCATTAGCTCGTGTATCTAAAGGCTTCAATGGCGAGAAAGACACTTTTGTCTTTCTAGGTGGTGACTTGTGTCATCATGGTAAGTTCAAACGACCCCTGCGTATATGTTCTGTCTGATCATGTTGTGGTAGGTGGACTCTGGAAGCCAAATGAGTACCTCCCGCTCCCCGCCCAAGTTTCTCTCCCGAAGCCTATTCGCCATCATTCCACCTGCCCTGGTAGTTGGTTTCAGTCGCTCCATCGCGAGAACACCTTGAACAAAGAATTTTATAAGATGGCTCCAAGTTTTCCACATTCATACGACGAAGCTGAGAATACTATTCACCACTTGCAAGAATTTGACGCCGCAGATAATGTTCTTGTTATTATTGCCCATGATTCCGCGCCGCTGATGCCTTCTAGCGGGTTTCAGTTCTTCCCCGACGGGACTTTGAACAACTGGAAGAAGGATAAACTTGATGAGAAGATCCGGTGGTCATTCTTGACTGACTTTTCCCACGCTGTCGAGAACGGGCTGAAACAGGAGACAACGTTGAAAGCGGGACTGGTCTTCAAACCAAATTGATATAGCATGGCTGGCGATAATGTGTGATCTCTATTTAAAGGAACTCGATACATCATGGCCTACAGATGTCATTTGGTGCCGCAGTCCCCTATCTTACCGCGGTATCCTCGGGACCATGTACTCAGTCCTGACTTCGGTAGCCTTCTCATTCTCGTCCAGATCAGCCTTATCTCCGAATAGACCACCGATGTCTTCGAGCGACTGCTGGCGAGTCTAGGAATCGGGGTTGTGTTAGAATGAAACGAATGTATCAATGAAACTATTTTTTGCGTGAAAAATCACCTCCGGGCAGCAAATCCATATAAAACAGAACACGACCGAAGAGCAGGCGATGAAAACAATGTAGTACTTCCACCCGATCGCATTGAAGGCTGTGAAAGCACATTGAAGGTAAATGATTGTTTCCACGAACAGCCCAGACACAGAGACTGCCAAGCCCTTGGCACGGAGGGCTGTCGGAAAGATTTCGGATGCATAGATGTAAGAGGTCGCGTCTGAAGTGGTGGAGAAACAGGCAATGTGCATAAAGAGAAAGAAGACGGCAAGGCTGGCCATTGCCCTTGAACCTGTACTCTGGAAGCGGCTGACGGCGATGCATTCTCCAATCAGAGCGACAATGATGCCCGAAAAGCCGATTGAAAGCAGCCGAGTGCGTCCAACTCGGTCAACTAGCAAGGAATTGATCAGATTTCCCACAGGGCAGACCGTAACCCAGCCACATTGAATGAGAAGTTGCGATACAACGGAGAAATCGAGCGCCTCGTAGAGACTAGACCCGTAGTCTAAAAGCAAGTCAGATAGTATGAAAAGTGCGAATACAAGGTAGTCTTTCTTACTGTTGATCACAGTTGTGCCTGTAGCCTGGCGGCCAAACAAGATGACGAACCCAACAAGGCAGCGTCTGCGCATAGACGGAGATTGGAAAAGATCCCGAAAACGGTGTCCCATAGACGTTTCCTGCTGGACATGTGCCCGGAGAAGTTCAAATTCGGCCAAATGGCCTCACGGTTGTGAATGATCGAGTCGTCCGACTCGGCGCGGACAGCTTCGAAAGAACTCAGTGCATCCACGTAGCGGTCTTGGTCGAGCAACCAGCGAGGAGACTCGGGGAGAAAGGAGACTCCCATGGCTAGCAACAGCGGAGCTAGACACTGGATGGCTAGAGGAAGTCGCCATTGGGCGCCGGATGCATTGACAAAATAGAAGCCGAGGCCGATCCAGCTGGCAAGGGCATACCCAACGCAGATCATAACACCATGCATGCCCACGAGAAGACCACGGATACGAGGCGGGGCAATCTCGGATTGGTACAGGGGAACGAGAACGACCAGCGATCCTGAATGTACGGTAAGACTGGGGGCAGGCACACCAGCGTAGCCATAGGAAGACGAAGACACTTACCCGCTCCAAGCCCTGTCACGAAGCGAGAGAAGAGGTACATGCCGACATCGACGCTTCCTGCTTGAAGCGCGCCTCCGACGATAGCGAAAAGGGAGGCGACTAATATGGCTCTCTTGCGCCCAGGGAGATCCGCGGACTTGATACAGGACAAGCAACCAAACAGGCTACCTGTCTGAAAGAGGCCGTTAACGGCACCTACTAGCTGTACTGCATTGGAACGAGTAGCAAGTTCGAAGTAGGTGATGAACGACGGCTGGGCAAGGGTGGTTGCGATTATACTCGAACTGTAACCATATGCCATGCTCCCAAGAGCTACAAAAATCACAATCTTGTGTTCGTCAATTTATGTTCTTATGGGGATAGACAGGCAAAACAAAAACTGGAAGAGGGTTCTTACCAATATCCTAGCAATCGGCGGCGACAACATTGCACAGGCTGTGTTGGATTCATACGGATACAATGGCGAGGCTTCTGGCAGTTTTGCTTTTGAACTTTTTCAGGCCTGGGATACAGATTTATTCAAAGTTGACCAGCCATAACAGAGTCTTCATGCTTACCAGGAAACAATATGGCATCTCCGATTTTACTTCCGTATACTTCCTGTCTGTTCTTAGTTAAGTGCCGTCTTGTCTACTCCGCATTCAAAGCCGATATTGTCGGCCCCGCTCCGGACATCCATAAAGTCCCTGAATATACCGAAGAAACGATGCAATAATATCAAGAATGGACAGTAGAATCAACAACCAAAGGTCAAAAATTATAGGCCAAAAATATTTACGAAAGCAGTGCTTATTTGTAATTCTATCATATGTTTTATTACTCCGCGCCAACTGCATGCTATCATGCGTTGTTCTACCCCAATTTACAAAGCCCAATCCACGTGCTAATAACATATACCCTTCGGCGATCGCCGAAGTTAACGTGTGAGCCATATTTAATGTGCTATTACATTGATTCGTATGCCCCTCAAATTCAAGTGTGACATGCAGCCGGTAAAAGCCGACATTTCAAGCGAATGGACTAAGTTCTTCGTACCGGCGACAAATTGTGACAACTGTGTCTTTTATAAGATGGTAGAGCCCACATCCAATAAGACATGCAAAGACGTGTAGAGTATAGAGATGCCAGTATCGAAAAAGGTTGAAATAAAGTTATGTTTACACCGATCCAAAAATTATGCACCTTTTGGCTGTAGGGGGAATCTCTAGCGCATCCCATAGATCTATCGACCAGTGTGTGCCCGGTGAGCGTGTATATAAAATATATAGTCGGGTAGGTCACAATTATGCCAATGTGCATAAGACACCCTTATGACGAATTATGTGCGCCCCGTGAGCAGAGATGTATTGTTATGGTTAGGTACTTCCGAGGTATGCCGACGTGCGTTAAAACACGTACTAAATAGCCCCTTGCGCCACACAGTACATGTATTCTTTCATCACACTGCATAATCGTGCACGCCCCTCCCATTCTGGTCTGGCTCATTCGACACCTTAACCTTACAGACAAAAGCAGCCAGGCCTAACCCTATTGGGCATTCTGCAGGTTTGCTAAATCATAAACTGTTTTTATGTATCCCATTAGGTTCTCCCTCCTTTGAGTAGGATGCAACGACGTTATTACCACCTTCGGTTAAGGGCCTTATATTCGGCCTTCGCCGGCCGGTAAAGGCCGATGATGAATGGCTCATGTACAAAGAAAGGCGTTTTTAATTTTTGGCGAATCATTCATAATTTACATCATAGCTCACTTTTAAAGTCAAGCAATTCAGCAACATTAGAGATCCACCCACTCCTGACGCCTGTCACAATTCTAATCGATTTAGGTTCTAAGAAAAGGACAATAGCTTCAAGTACCTATATTTTTTCTTGCAACACTGCAACCCAGCATGATGTCGTCTAGTCCAGTTGCACTTATTACTGGAGCCTCGGTTTGTTTTCTCAAGCCTTGATACTTGGCGCCCTGTGTGCTTACATAAACGCTGACTACCTACAGTCAGGTATGGGGGAAGGCTTCACTTTGGACCTTGTAAGCAAAGGATGGCAGGTGGCCATGCTCGATCTCCAACCCAACTCTGAGCTGCAGTCCAAAATCGGAGAGGCCGGCAGCTTTATTAAAAGCGATGTTTCCGATTACGACAGCCAAGCAAAGGCCTTTCAAGGTGCCTGGGATAGATATGGCCGCCTGGATCTGGTCGTCCTCAATGCCGGAATAACAGACAGGAGGTAAGGGCTAGCGAAAGATACACCGACTGACACAAGTATTGACTTTTACAAAGCTCTTTGTATATCTTAAACCACAGGCGTTCAGATGTGTAAGTCCACCTTTCCGGGTTTGGTGCAAATACAATACCATTGGATGATCGTCTGACCGTCAGTATTCCACCAAAACCGGATTTGTTGTGCACCGAAGTAAATGTCAAAGGTGTTTATTACGGAACGCAACTGGCCATTCACTTTTTGCGGAAGAATAAAACTCCCGGTGGCAATATTATTGTCACTGCGAGCGCGGCCAGCTTGTACCCACACGCTTGCTATCCCGAATACAGCGGAAGCAAGGCAGCGGTACATCTGTCAAGCAGACTTTTGAAGCGAATATTGCTAATAATTGAAGGTCTGGAATTTTGTTCGATCTACGGCTCGGGTTCTCAAAACCGTAAGTAGCTGTGATTTTGTTCTGCGTAAAATTCACGCAATGATTGCTGAAAACTCACCGTGTGATGAAGAAGGAGAATGTCCGCATCAACTGCATTCGACCGGGCTTCGTGCCAACGCATCTGGCACCGCCTGGAATGATCGCGGCGATCATGCCCAAAAAGTGAGCTGTTGGAACCATTTGTTGATAATATTCTAACGTAGCAGTACCACTCCTTTGGCTACAATTGTGAAGGCTCTCAACCAGATTCTTGGCGACGAAACACTTTCTGGTGCTGCTCTAGAATGTTCGGTAGACAAGATTATTCTGACCCCAGAGCCGGAGTACCTGAATGGCGAGACGTCGAAAAGAGCCTGTATTGTTTGGGAGGCTGGCTTTACGGCCTTACACGGAGAGCCGTCCGACCTGCCTGATGCGGCCTTATAGTCCGTACTTTTTATACGGTCCCAAATTTTACTAATCTATGGACAACCTGAATATGATGTACGCGATTTCTCTACCTAGTAAGATGTACATGGCGTATATCGAATACTGCATGCTTCGATACCCAAGCAGCGCCTTTAATACTGATATTTAATCAATATCCGAGATTCTATCAGCGATCAAGTCACGTCAGACGTGTGCCTAACGAGGCTTTCAAAACGCATTTTGAGCATTGAAACGTGAAACGCAATATTGTCAATGAAACGTCTCTACAGAAGCAATGAGGCCAATTTTGGCTGACTCACAGAACAAGACGCAACAACTACCAACTGTTCTCGTGCGAGTCACATCATAGCTGTCCTTTGGTTGGATGTAAGCACAAAAATGAAAATATCTTGCATAAATTCAAGGGTAATATTGGTTTGTTATATCTTCGTTCTTCCTTCTGCATCTCAATTCATCCGACTTTGGCTAGAATCGGTAGCAGTCCAAGTCCGACCGAACAACTTGCTATTAAGAAGATGATTCCATGTTTCTGATTGTACAATCACAAATTTGGAAAATGTCAGTTCTCGTGGGGTTAATTGGGAGGCTTCAACTTCAGGGGCATCTGAAAGAAGCTGGTAAAATAAGGAGACATGACGAAAGCAACGAAAAGAATGACAAAAACAATACACAGGAAAAGAGGATACTGAAGCAGCCTCAGAACATCATAGACCCGTTATTGGCAGCTCGGATCCGCAACATTAGAAATTGTCCCATTGGCCGACTGCCAAACGAGTTACTTCTCCTTATCCTCGGCTTTTTCGAAGACGACATCGTCACTATTTACTGTCTCCGGCGCGTATGTCAAAGGTTCCGCCATCTTCTGGGTACCCTAGACATCAAGAAGCACGAGGCACTTTGGTGCGGCCACAGGAGTGTCAGAGAACGGAGCTGGTTACTGTCTCGGGGAGCAAAAGACGACATCCGACAGCGGATACGGAGCGACGGTATGTGCTACAAATGCAAGCTTTGGTGCCATGTCCCTGTAGACGAACCGCTCCGACGGACCCAGAAACGGAATCTCCGGTGGATGCAGCGACGCTGGCGACACAAACGAGACCCGTTGCCGTGCAAGTTTGCGTCCTGGAGCCCGCGCCGGCTAGAGTGCGATATATGCGGTGGCTTCCAGGAACTCAGGTCATTTTCGCTTCTGAACCGGGCAGAAAACATCGACAAAGGGCGGCAACGCCAATGTCTCGGCTGCGAAGGAGCCGTGCAGCTGTGCGAGCACGTCCACCTCTCCTGGGCCACCATCCAGGACCACATCACGTCGTATTGGCAAGGGCAGCTTTTGACGGGAAGGCTGGGAACATGGCAGGCCTGCTTCGACAGCTTTGACTTTGTCTGCCACGATCCCAGCCACGATAGACGCTGCACGGCCGCAGGCGAGCCGACGTAGCCTCGAGCCCGGCTCAAGAGCGACGAGCTCGGAGACAATGTTGATCTGCGATTAGAGTGGCAGCCCCACGTCAGTCTGGACACCTTTTCCGGTACTGCGAACAAACAAATGCCTGCGTCGGGGCTCCGGGCCTTGTTTCGGAGCTATCGAAACGGGGGGAAGGGCACGGCTGAGATTATCTGTCCCTCGAACCAGTCATCAAAGTCTTTGTCCGAGATGCTGTGCTTTCCCTTCAACACGTGTCGTTGTGTCTACTACTATGGATTCGAACACACGGATTCACCGGCCGTGTGTGAGGTTCTTAATCATAGTTACGCCAGAACGAATGTGGGAGAGAACACTTACGGTATAACAATGAACTACCACTACTCAGAAGGCTTGCAAAGCCCCGCCTGTCTGGTCACTACCTACTATCGCGACATGTTTGTGTGCGAGAAGATGGACCGGTATCGAAAGAAGATCCCAAGCACGCACGAGTGGCTGCACAACATGGACCCCGATACATACTATCTGAACGTCCACGCAATACGTAGATGCCAGAAAACGAACTGCATGAACTACTATCGGGGACCAACGGCGCTGTTCTGTGGTGATTTTAAGCAACAGCTAGTATGATGTAATATTAAGCGATAGTTTGACAGCCGTTGTAGTATACAATAAGATGTTACATTGTCGTTATCCTCTGCTCTAGAATGCAAACATCGTAGTGGGAAACTGCTGTTCTGACATAAAACCAGGTGGTACTCACCACTGTAGGCAGGAGAACTGCTAAACCTTGCAAATTTATACTTGAAGGCTTACTTGTAGATAAGAACATGCAGGATTGAGTAGAGGGCGATGGTAACGGTGTATCTGGATAGAGATACTCCTGGTAGTCATCCACGTTCTGCCATCAGGTCGTCTGTCAGCAGAGAAGGAAGGGCAGAGACGACAGGATCACGAAGGTCGACCCACGCGATGTATCGCTAAGATATATTCTACCGAAGCTGTCGGCCATAGCCAGATGTGAGCACACCGTCCTAAACGACCGGCTTCTGGGCCCAGACTGCTTTCGAGACGTAGTGTGGGTGTATGTTTGGGTCGCGTAGCTCTCGGCGCATCTTCGCGGCCATGACGGTGATCTCGGCCGGGGTCCATCCTAACTCGGTCGCCATGAGGCTGACCAGGCCCTCGATATCGTCCACTGCCGCCTGGGCAAACATGCCGATTTCCTTCTGCTTCGGATCACGCGGCCACTCGGAGCCAGGCACCTGCAGCATTCGACCCCGTTAGCATTTCGGCGAGCCGCAGCGGAAACAGATTCCGAGCTGCCTACCTTGATATTCTTTTCGTGGATGTTGACAAATCCTGCTGCTTCCATGCCCTTTCGCTGCAGTTCATCCCGGACGACGTGGAAAGATGCCTTCAGGCCTATCTTCTCGGCGCCCAAGCGGAAGAACTCGCCGTACTGGAAAATGGCCGTTCCCTCTTTGACCGATCCGTCATCCGACAGGTAGTAGCCGTTGGAGTCAAACGACTCGATCCAGCCACCTGGCTTCAGACAGCGGTATGCATTCTTGCAAAGCTCGGCCCAGTCAGGCACGCAACCAACGAGCCAGCGCATGTAGACAAAGTCGAGTGAGTTTTCCTCAAAGGTCCAGTCGAGAAGAAAGTCATCGACCAGGCTCTGACGTCAGCCGTGCGCAAGAAGGCTTGCAAGACGGAGAGAGAATCACTCACAAGTGCACATTTGGGGGAACCCATACAGGCTGTATTGGCGAGAGGTCAAATCCGGTGACTGTTGCCTCGGGATGCGCATCGCCGAAATCGCTAAAGCCAGCATTAGCTTCCCTGTCGATTCGGGCTAAGAAAGAACATGCACGAGCTCTACTCACATTGCCCAAATTCCCGTTCCGGTGCCGACGTCGACAACTTTCTACACGAGCGAGTCAGTCTTGCGTCTTTGCCGTGGCAGTCCTCAGATGTTGCTAACCCCTACTGTATCCGGCAGCGGCGCCAGATGAAGCTTCCCTTCCAGGGCGAGTGTGAGAACGTGGTGTCTTGTTCTTAGAATAGAGGCCAAAAGCAGGAAGTATGACACAGCACAAGGTCAGACTCACTGGAGATCAATCGTGTTTTTCTGCTTCTCGTCGTTTGCACCGCTACGTGAGTCAGTACCAGATGCCGGCAAATGTATTAAATCAACGTGGCAAACGAACTAATAGTTTCCTGGACCGCGCAAGTTGTGGTACGTCCGCCCATTGATCTCGCGATACCGCAGGATGCTACTCGCGAGGGAGTCACTCGATAGGAAGGACTGTTCATCCCCCAGCGTGGAATCGCCGTCTTGGGGATCGCCCACATCGGGTGCCAACACTGGCGCATTTTCTTGGGCTGGGCTTGTGGCCATTTTGTCGCGAATGTGGAAAGACAAAAGTGGCATAAAGGGATACGGACTAAAGAAGGGCGGGAGCGGGCGCTCTCTTTATTCTGTTCTCTGCTCGTATCCGGCCTCGCCTGCAGGAGAAAGGGAACCGTGCCGGTTGGGCACACATGCTGCCAATTGCTACAGTGATATCACATTCTGCAGTCGACAAGATGCAGCCGACGCGGGGGTCAGTTTCTTTAGTGGGAATTGACCTGCATGTGCCCAATAAAATCATACGAACAATCCGAGAGGTACATCCGGCTTCCGCTCCGTGTTCCGTGCATATAAGCAAGGCTTTCCCCCGCTCCAACCTGATCGACCGACTTTGCACATCAGCCGCCATTGTTAATACGACGCCGGAAGGACGCTAAGCCTTCCGCCATCCGTCACGAGCACGTTGCCATTGATGTAGGCCCCAGCCCGGCTGGCGAGGAAGAGAATGGCGCCGGCCATGTCCTGCAGCTCGCCAGGCCGTTCTTCGGGAATGAGTGTCTTGGGCCAGCCGTCTTTGTAGGCGTCCAGGGCGCCGACGGTCAGCTCGCTGGGATACACTATTTTGTTAGCGTACATCACCGCCGTTTTCTTGCTCTCACTTACATCCCGGCGCGATCACGTTGGCCCGGATGCCATACGGAACCAGCGATGTCGCCAGCTGCTTCATCATGTGTACCACGGCCGCCTTGGACGCGCTGTAGGCATACCCGTGCACCGGCTGCCGGTAGAAAGCACTGATGCTGCTCACGGCCACGATTTGGCTCTTTTTGGGGGACGGGGCCCGGTTGCCATTTCGCTTATTGGCCGCGTCCAACAGGCCGAGAAAGGCAGCGGCCGTGTTGAAGACGGCCGTCGTGTTGACTGCAAACGTCTGCGTGAACGCCTCGGCCGTCCAGGTCGAAATGTGTTGGCGGAACTGGTCCAGCGTCGCGTTCGCTGGAAGCTCAACCATTCCCGGACCGCCGATACCCGCATTGGCGATGACAATGTCGACGTGGCCGTGTGCAGCTTCGACCTCGGCGGCCGCCCGCTCAAGATCGGCCTTGCTGGTGACGTCACCGACGATGGGAAAGATGTTGGCGTGTTTCTGACGATTAGCAATAGGTGGTCGGGGGAGCGAAGAAAGACAAGAAAGAGGGAAAGTATATTACTGCTGTGCTTGCTGCCTTTTCGAGCGTCTCTCGGCGACGACCAAAGATGTAAACAGTGGCCCCGTTGGCTTCTAAGGCTTGGGCCATCATCAGACCGATTCCTGCATGCCGAGATACCAGTCAGTAGCCATATGTATACAGGTTATATGGAAAAGCCTCACCAGATCCTCCGCCCGTCACGACAGCCACAAGGTCCTGGACTGTGAATAGCTGACTAATCTCAATTGACGCCATCTTAGTGGAGAATATGCACCCTGGGCATTGAGAGCAGATGCGGAAAGAGAATGTACATGGCTACTTATAGCTTCTCGCATGGATGGGCTAGCGATGTCTGACGAATCAGGAATAAGTTCATGCATGCAGTCGTATTTCTAATCAATGCCGCGGCTCTTCCAGGTCCGCTATTCTCGAGCCACTTTTACGTGCACATCCACTCGGCCTCGGCTTCTGTTTACTGTTCACATCGGCTCGTCCGGATGATTGATTCAGGTCTTCGATCGGACGCGACATACATACGGCCGCCGATGCCAAAGGTAAACTGTTAGGGTGAAGGTATACGGACTTCGGGACCGGTCAAAAATCTGGAATCCATTGGGAAAGGTTGCTGCAGTCTTAGCAGGGACTCAAGAATCGTTGAGTGTACGGCAAGTCAAACAATAGACATAACTGTCCGTACTTCATATACACAGTACCAGAAACGTACTCGTCTCGTACTTTATCTCTTACTCGTATGTACTCTGACTTGTACAAGATCTTAAGGAGTACTGTATTCCACACGGAAAACTGCACAGTGGATTCACCCGGCGCTAGTGCCTAGTCCTGTAGTTTAAGTCCACATACTCCGTGCATAGCCATCACGTGATACGATCCGTCCCCTTACCCGCAGCACTCTCCCGATTCACTCCGCCGCATAGGCTTGACGCAGAAGTGCGGATGGGACATCGGGGCCAAAAGAGTATATCTGATGGCCTCATGCTATTCTACTAGGGATGGTGAAAGCCAAGCAGGCCTAGTCTCAGACATCATCAACAAAATCCTGGATCAATTTCGCAAGACAGCTGTTCGTCGTCTCGTTTAGCAAACACCTTTGCAGAAACCCTAAGACTTGGTTACTCTTTTCTCTTATTACGTATGCTTTTACATCTTCTAGAATAAACAGAACCAAGATATGCGAAATCCATACAGAGGAGTCCGAACTTCCTGATAAGTTTGAAAACAAGTCAATCACAAGAAGGCAAATAGGAGCAACCACAAACTGCCCGTTGTCTTCATTCTCCATATCCTAAGTCTAGTTTAAAGGCTTTGCATTTCTTTGTTCACTTGTCTGTCAAAGAGGATGTGCGTATGCTCACTGCTTAGCCAAAGGTCGACATGATTTTCGCATAAGTCCTTAGCGATGCCTCTGCTCTAGTGGGGACTAATTATACGCATATCGAATTCTTGCCGAAACCTGTCGTCCCTCGTGCAGTCACACTATTCCTCAATACCCAACATATGATCATCCTTTTTCGGGGAGTAGAAAGCCGAAGCTCCTCAGTTGCCTATAATATTGTCGTATACATATACATGCAACGGTTCTTCAAGTCCTCCAGCTGGGGGAACTATTGCCTCATCTTCTAGGCCTTAACAATGGTGCACCAGTCTCTTAAATTCTATAGTTGTAGTTTGTTCTTTTCGGTAAACTTCCATGCACACTAGCTCTTATGGTGTTAAGCACATTTTCAAAGAAGCATTAGTTTACATAAAGACTCGCCGTAAACAAGAGAATCGAACTGCTTTTATAAAGTTAAGCTAAATAACAGAGATCAACCTAAAGAGTAATATTAGGCTGTCTCTTACTTAAATCCCTATAGATTCCAACTGACGGATTTTTCTCTTATAGCTTCATTCAGCCAAAGACGTCCTCCTAAAAGCACCGCTAAATGTCTACTTCAAGTTTAAGATTTAAGATGAACATCCAACCTAAACAATATATCAAATCTTACCGTAGGTCTTCTTCTCCGTTACCATATCATCATTACAAGAAATGCGTAAGACTAAAGGATACTACTTTAGTATTGACTACACTATCCGCAATCTTTCTACGTCAGCTATTGCCTCTGCATTCGTTTTTCTGCCGCTGCTATGCCTCCCGCTCCCAGAGCCGTTCGCGCTGTACAATGGTGCAGGATAAAATATACATGTACCATGTAGCGTATAGTAACAGGACCCATGTAGGAATTAATGCACGTCAGCATAGCTAAAGCAACACACAACAATACACTTATGCTTACTAGGCGCCCATAATTCGACACTGTACTCTATAGCAGTTTCCATCATCTCAATGAATATCTGGCAGACCGTTTCGGCCAAAGACCGAAGTATTCAATTAGCTATCACATACGTCGCCACAATGGACCCCTTACCACCACCATATTCCGTTGCCCGAGCTTACTCTAGTTTACGTTTTGTGCGGTTTGGGTTTGCGCCGACGACATACTCTAGAATAGTAGGGCGCAGCTCTTCGGGGAGGCTATCCTAGGACGCCATCGTTTACGTTATTGTAAACTGGGCAAATGGGGAAACGCGCAATTCACGAACATTGGAGGCATTGCATTAGGTCAATAATGGAAGCTAGAAACACAGAATTGGGACCATAAAAAGAGAGGATTAAAGTATCGCAAATGCTAGGGTTCAGATAGTGTGTGCATTATTGCAATATGGTACTTGGGTGGGTGACAAAACCGAGTAAGTAACGAGATGCCATATTCCACGGCGGCACGGAGGAATAATATTATATCTCAATAAGAAGATGCATATAGTACCACTGGTAGAAAACCATAAGCACTGCAAACCCCCTGTCCTCATTGTCCCTTCTCTCTTTCAAGCTCTAGCAGCACATTGACAAAGAGCGTGTTGCCCTGAAGAACAGCAAAGAAAGGGGCCGCTGGCGGCGCAACTGCCTGGGCGAGCTCGTCACTTCTTTCTCTAGGTTTTTCTAGAGACCAGGACTCTCTGTGGTTGACTCTAGCTTGATCGACTGAGTTTTAAGCTTACGTGCCAGTGAGGCTTTGCTTGCAAGGGCAAACAAGTAAAGCATAGCAAAGAACAGTAAGAGTAAAGCACTATAGTATACCTAGTATTACTAACTTGTACTTTACACAGGTACGACACTTATGCTTGCTTGTCATTAAATTTGAAAGGCAAAAAAAAAAGAGTACTACGGCAGACGTGGTTAAAAAATAATGATGAGAGTGGGACTTGAACCCACGCGGATTGCTCCATAGGAACCTTAATCCTACGCCATAACCAACTCGGCCATCTCACCGGATTTCTTTACATTTGAGATGTACCATTTTGAGCTTACAAACGTCAGTCCACTTCTTCTTCAACAACATTTCTGAGATTCTGGACTGCAGTCTTTTAATTGGATGTGGCCCCAGCTACGACCACACGTGCTGCAAAAAAGAGTGTTTGGTAAAGCACAGTAGTTTTGATTTCTCTACTATATCATATTTGCGGCTTTCTAGTATGTCGCTCAATGTATGCCAAATGTATGCTAAAAATCGCTTCCTGAATCTTGGTCTAAGCCTAAGTGTACATATGCAACTCTCAACTATGCTTTGGCTGCAATATATATCAGCAAAAACATCAAGATGCCTTGCAGCTGAACGCTCCACGGACAGTTCCATTCTTGTACCCATTGTTCTGACCAAGGGGTTAGCACGTGACACAGTATGATAAAAAGCGAGCACGAATACTTACAATGTCGGTAACGCTAGCATAGGTGCCTACACCCAGCACAATCATGCCGATGATGAAGATGATGCCATTGACAATACTCTTGACAATGTTCTTGCGCTCATACCAGTGGCCTTCCTTAAGCAGCTTGAACCAGAAGGCGGCGGGGAAGTAAAAGGTAAATCCAGAGATGAAAAGGCATGAGCAGATTGAGAGCAGGTCAGAGAAGAAGGGGATAGCCTCAGCGACGATCCAGGCGATGATGGTGATGACAGTGATAAGCGCCAGCCAGGTGATCCAACCCATCTTGGTGTTGATGTAACGAATGACGGACTTCTCAAACACGCGTCCGTGGATGTAGCGTGCGGCGACAGTAGTGTTGATGGCGCCAGAGATGAAGATGACAGGTAGGGCTACGCCAAAGGCGACCTTGGACACGGTTTTTCCGGCCGAGAGCAAGGCGGGCGCCTGCACGTCCTGGCCGACGAAGACGTAGATGAGGGCGCCGGTGAGGGTGTAGATGATGATCTCGATGATGCCGAGGGCCCAGATGGCCTTGGGGAAGTCCTCGGGCGTGTGCATCTCGTCCATGAAGGAGAACTGGCAGACGGCAAAGCTGTAGGCGAAGATGATGTTGCCGAGCGCGATAAAGGCGTCGGCGAGCGAAAGGTGGTCGGCCGGCCACAGCTGGTAGGGCTGCTTAGTCAGCGCCACTTGTCCCGCATTGGTGTAGTCGATGCCGGTGGCGATGATGGTGATGCCGATGGCGAGGACGATGGAGACAAAGTCGACATAGCCGAGCAGGGCCACCTCTGAGAAGGACGGCGGGATGGCCAGCACCAGCAGGATGACGGCAGAGATGAAGCCGAAGATAACGGAGCAGATGGCATCGTCGGTGATGTTGTTGAAGGCGATGGCACCTGTGAGGCAGTGCGAGCCGACGAGAAAGACGAGCTGGAGCACGAACATGGCGCCGACCAGCTCATAGCCAAATCGGCCCATCAACAGGCGGCCGGCGTCGGCATAGTGCGACACGTGCGGGTACCGCAGCTTCACCTGGCCGACAATGTAGGATGTGTAGATGGCGATGAAGCCGAGGCCGACGCAAACGATGGTGCCCGGGACCAGGCCCAGCGTAGCAAAGGCCGAGGGCACGCTGAGCGCGCCCAGCGCAATGGCCTCGACCAGCAGCACGATCGTGAGACGCTTCCAGCCCAGCCGGTGGAATCGCTCGTCGCCCTCGATCGCCCGCTGCTTCTCCAGGTCGGCCTGCTGCTTCGCCGACAGCTCCTGGATCTCGCCGACAACCTCCTCGGAGCTGCTGTGCCACGTCGGACCCGCGCCCTCACCCAGCTTCTCGTCCTTGCTGTCGTCTCCGTGGCGGACTGGCGCTGCCTCAATGCGGTCGTGCGTCATCATGGCAAGACTTATGCAGAAGGAGGGGGAACCGGGAACCGCAATGGCAGGGTTCTTCTGTTGTGCGCGGTGAAGGGACAGGTCAGGATAGGCAGACCACAGCAGTGGAAAACAAGGTATGGAGTCTGGGCTGGTTTCGGAAGAGATTTTCTGTTTTTTTGACGTGCCAGACCGATTTCCCTTATACCGTTTCCATGCCGTAACAGGAGCCCATTTTGGAGTTTTTATGTCGTAAAAACCCAGCCAATTCGACCGAGCGAGTCAGGAATATGTGAGTAGTAGAAAGACGACTCGTGTTAGTGGGCCACCAATCGCCACAAAGACTGGAGCCCATTCTTGTGGGAAGTACCCGGCTAGCCAAGCTTGGACATGATCAGCCCTTACTCTAGCCCATCTTAGCCCTAGCGGGCGATCCCTTACGTCAAAATAACTACGCTGCTGAAATCGGTGGCTCCGGCACTTGGAAGGGCTGACGCAGCCTGATTAGTTATGTCTTTTCTGAACCATATCGCTCGCAGAAGATTGGCTCTCGGCTGCGCCGAGCCCGCAGGATCTGTGTTATCTACAGCCTCCCGATGCAATCTCTGCTAAACGGTTGTATAAAATGTAAAATGCTTATCACATACATGGCAGGCAATCCGCCGCACAAGAAAACATGGCTCCCGTCTTCGTCTGTCATGGCTACAACCTGCACTCGTGCCTCGAGACCAACGTGGCGGCGTAACCGAGTTCCCGCGCAGCAACTCCCGCGGAAGTCTATGCGACTGCGCCCTGCTTCGTGGGTTGTGGCCAATTGTTGGCCTGACGATTTTACCTACCTTCTTCTTTCTCTCTTCGGTCTGCAGTGCCGTGCTCTGCATTGTAGAGGATCACGTGGGGCCCCCACACTCAGTCATGCGCAGTGCTGCCACCGCACAGACGTTCCGGTTTCGGTATTATACATTTTTATTTTATCCTAATATGTAAGAGCGTCCCTTATGCGGAATTGACTGGTTGCATGCGCATAATTCTATTTGCCGCAACGACCCACACATAAGTGGTTCCAAATTATCAAGCAAAATCAGGAATTCTTCAAAACAAAACAATCGGCTGACCCACAAATCACGTGGGGGACTAACTACAACATCCGTCTATGCGGAAGCCGCCGCGCGGGACATGCAACGATTGTTGAGATCACTTGCCTGGGCTGTGGCTCGATAGAAGGCCGTACTGGGTCACTTTCTCCTCGGATCCCTCGCCGGCTTGGTCTCAAACTGGTTGAGGAGCAAATGCTCAGATGAGCTACAGAAGAAGACGCGGCAGCTGACTTTGCCTAAATCTAGATTTTGCTAGCTGTGGCGAAGCTGCAGCGATGAGGCAGCCGACTGTGGTCAGTTTCCACGTGCTATGCAGTCGGACTCGAGTTTCTTGAGTCAGCCTGCTGACTACTGTCGGATTCACCCGTCGTACGTCTCTTCTCCAAATGACTCGCTCGTATTGCCTAATGTTGTACTCCGTAGTCATTGCTGTCTTTTTAGACATAATTCGACCTTGTCATCGTTACCCTCCCGCGGGTGATGTTCGGACAACGGCCAAACGATGCGCCGAATCGTGCGAATCTGTTATTGGTGAGCTTAATGGTTAAAAAGGTCGTAGTGCTCACAAGTCTCGCAAATGTCACGTATTCCTTTAAGAAGTTACAACTATTCACTTACTTCTCGCGCGTTTCTGGTCGTGCTTATTACCACTCTCAGTAAACTGCCACCTACATTTACCGTATGCTGGAGGATTTCTCTGCAAATTGGTTTAAATTGACTGTCTAGCTGCCATGTATGATTGCGACGCTCCACGGTGACAGCATTCTGGTCGCTATTATTGTATTTCTAGCGTTGGATTTTGTGTCTGTGCCGGCAATAAATGAAAAGAAAAGCTTCAATCACAATGGCTGCCTTTTTTATACCGCACCCTGAACGTATCTAGTCCCGTGCCTATGCTCCTACTAGAGGTATATAAAAAAGCTAACCTGCAATGTAATATACTAGCCTTTTACGAAAATCAAGCAAGACATAAATCGTTATTATGTTTGTTCAAGCACCTCAGTATAAATGTTTTTATCATTCGGGGTTTGTTAGACCTAAAAGGCCGCATGCTAAAACAAAAATTCATAGCCAAGGTTAAAATCAAAGTCTCACACCCTATTAGTCCTATAAGCTTTTCAGTAAACAACCTTCTGACCTTTCTGGTTGTACGGGGTTATAATAGTGTGATCGATGCAACTTGCTATAACTACGGCAACTGTACGGACCATCGTCGTTTTGTCTGTTCATTAACAGTGTTTGGATAGACACACGGTCTGTAGACGGCCACGATATTGTACACGAAATTTTAAACGCAACTATACTATGTCCGAATGTGGAATTTCACAACACACACAAACAAAGCCTTCAGAGTCGGTGCCTTGGGAACGTAATCTAAGGATATTAAAGTATCATCTACAAGCTTTCATTTTCACAACTGCTCGCCGATTTCGGTGATATGAAATGTAACCGCACCCGTAAAGCTGCCAGTGGAACATTGCTTATGGGACGGGAGGCACATACTGTACAGTCGGTGATAATGCATGTAAGACCGTCTCTGTACAATTTGGCTAGAACAGCACAGTGAAGGATTTCAGACAGCCGGTCAATTGCATGAATTCGGTTCTCTTCTTTGAGCTACCCTGTAGGTTGTAAGGAGCTACGGATAAGAACGCCGAAGGCTTGGTTTTCCCTCATGCTCAATCAAAAGTACCGCGCATTTTATTTTCGAAAGACCAGCATCGGACAGGAAGCCAGGGCAGCTGAGAAGTGGGTCGAGTGCTATGCAGTTCTAGATCGGAAATGGTTACACAAAGTACATTCTTTTACCCATTTCGTAATTGTGGTACTCTGTATTACTGCAAAGTTGTCTCCTCGAAGCTTTTGAATATGTGTCGTGTACTCCGTACTCGCGTGCGTACAAAAGTGGGCCCACAGGGCTAGTTCACCAAGAGGTGTGTTAGCAGCCACCCTTTTAACAATGAGATCGAACGCCCGGTTAGCTCAATCGGTAGAGCGTAAGACTCTTAATCTTAAGGTTGCGGGTTCGACCCCCGCATCGGGCTCAATTCCTGATGCGCCTCTTCAAGAGGTTTTCGACTCTTACCAATATTTTTTTTATTTACCTCCGTTGGTGGAGGAAGGCGAAACAGAATATCCAACGAGGCGTCATATTTTCCACTTTACGAAGTACGGAGTACACATTGCGGCTATGTCGACATCCCGGTGCTACAGTGCGTGGCAGTGCACGAACCGAGAACTTTGAACTGTGGGCCCTGATGCGCCGCACTCGTATCCTATTATTAGCACGTAATAGACAGTGTTCTCCTTGGCCGGTTTTGTACGTAGTAAGTAAAATGGAATATATGCTTACCACTGAATACTTTATATTGGCTGGGTGTTAGAATTGCATATGTGCTGGTGCTAGTTGGAGTTAAGGAGGATACGGACAAGTCCTCTGCGTCATGTAATATGGGAGACAGTCGCAATCGATGCCCAGGTCAATTCGTTCCTCATAGCCAAGAGCACCACTTCCGAGTGTGTGGAAGGCCATATTAAAGCGGCTACATCCACGGCCACTGCGTCATGATTCTTCTGTAAGACGAAACTACGAACATACTGACAAAGTGAATCGCATGTCCTACAGTCGCTTCCGTACAGTCAATCCAAGCGGTCAACCATAGTAAGCCCAATAGAAACGAGACGATTAGTTCGACATATTCCCCCCTTACTGCTAGGGTCTCCTTCTTTTATGCACAGATAATTTAGACGGCCCCAAGTCTCGGAATAGCCGTTTGAGGCCCCTCTGCCCCGTTCCGCCACCATCTTCATTTTCCTTTGATGCGTTTTCCTGGCCATCTTGTGACGACACTGTTATAGAAGTAGCACTAGAAGACTGCGTATCCCGTATCCCGTGATTGTCCACACCGCTGGCTGTCGATGACAGTTCCAAAAGATTCGACCCCGGTTGACTGCTTGACTCTGAGCTCAGCCCAACGTTACCAACGCTGTCACTATCGCTAGGAGAGGAAATAGTGAGTGCAGGCGGTTGTAGCAGTGACATGTCATTAACAGGGTCACCATGGTCTCTCCAGTACCAGCGCAGATTCAGGTTGTGGCCAAAAATTACAGCCCCTTGTTTTTGATCTTCTAGACAGACCCGCGGTTTCGCCTTTAGCCTCGTGTTGAAGCTCCTTGGGAACAGCACCTGCACAGGGTCATGATGATCGTGTCTTGAAGCCAGGCTGTCGCTGGAATTCGTGCAGGGACACGCCCGGAATGCGGTCTGCTTCATGTGCCAAAGGACCGAGTCGCAGATGCGCACGGGGCTGGCATCGATGTCGCCGTAGTCATCGATAATCTTCCGAATGTCTGTCACACAGACAGCAAGGTATGATCTCTGGGCAGGTAGCAGGCTCCAGCGAGGGCAGAGGACCGTCGATGCCGTCGCAGATGCTGCTGCTTGCCGGGGCTTGATCAGGTCACCGAATCCCTTGCCAAATAGGCAGACGGCGCGGATGGTCCGTGAAAAGTCCACCCAGCCCTTTCCAATCGTGTCTAGTGTAGACACTTTGGGGAAGATTGGATCGCTCTCCGTGGCCAGGTCCCAAAAATCCCAGCCCTCTAGCTGCCTTCTCGGACGGGGGTCAATTCTGAGCCCACTTTGTCCTTCGATCTGGGCTTGGTGGTCGACCAGCTTTTCCAACTTCCTGAAGATGTGCTCGATATGGTCCTCCAGTAAATGGTACTGCTTAACCTTATTTATCCCCCCTTCGACATCTAGCATGGCCCGTCCTGGAACTGTAGGCTGGCGTTTCTCCTCGTAGGTAGTCTCGTACTTGTCTACATACAGCGGACGTGTTCGTATATTTTCATCCAAAAGAATATCGAGTGCTGACTCTGAATCCATCGTGCAGTCGACATCCGTGAGGTCATCTGGATCCAAGAGAAATGCGGACCCGAATTTATCCTTGCTGTGTCTTAGTGATGCTCGAAGAAGGTGCAGCAAGGCCCTAGCACCGTTCACCAGCCATCCTCTCTTCTCTTTCTCGTCCCAGAGGATTATGTATCTGGAAGAAATCCAGTCCATTTTAAGCATGTAACCCTTTCGGGTCATATAGGCAGCGGGTTGGCGCTTGCCAATAGCAAATGCACCTGTCGCCATGATATATTGACCGCCTTGAACTTCAATGTGTTCCAAAACACAGCCAGTGTGCGGTTTGGGGAGTCCAGACTTCTTAATCGAGTAATTGGCTCTCTTTTTGCCTACCACAAAGTATTTTTAGTTTAGAAGCAAAGATTAGAGAATATGAAACTTGTTCGGCAATTCGACGGGGAAATGAAGGCACTTACCAACGTCGCAGTCTGCTTCGGAGCACCAGCCAACAATATGTCGAGCTCTGTCCATCTCGGCGAGATAAGCGTTTTTGTGCTGTAGGCCACAGTCCAAATATGAGATTCGCTCATTTGGTCGTTGATTTCGGATAAGATGCCAGACAATTGTATCGCCGAGTTTTTCAGTAGGCACCAGCATCGCCGATAACCCTTTGATAAAGACGTTTCGATTGAAGATCTCGACTGTACGAGCACCAACGAGAGCAGCTGCCATGTCGAGAGGAATTTCCAGGCCAGTATCGGCTTTTGGTCGGCGGGAAACCGGGAATCCCTCGACGAAAAGAGGTCTCTGAAACAGGCCATACCAACACTGCCCTTTGTCCTGAGTAGAAGCGTCCTTGGACTCTTTAAGTAGAAATCGAATGGAACATGATATTTTATCACGTCCACTTTCGTTTCCAAGATGTATAATCGTGTCGACAAATGGAACGCAGCGGATCAAGCTTGTGGGTACTGGCAGCTCGGGATCTGGTAACCGGAGCGCAGCACCGAGCCATGCAAGCTGCTCTCCTATCTCTGCGACGAATCCTGGAACTCCTGAAGCCGTAATACGTAATCCAGTATGGTGCTCGTAGGAAGCCGAGAGTTCTGTACCATTTGAAACTTGATCTAGACCGGAAAGGGTAAACAGCCCTCGGTTAGAGATTGCTAATTCATTACATAGGGTAAACGGAGGCTACACTTACCCTCAGACATCATGTCTAGGCCACGGTTTCTAACCACGGTCTGAATAAGGCGGAGAAAACCTGGTCCCGATGATGGCCACGTCTGAGAAAGATAATCCTGAACGCTAAGTGCCTGGGCGTCCCTGCAGTGTCCTGTCACGGTAATAACTTTGGCCACAACTTCATAATCGGGTTCTTCGTACTCCTGGGCATCGAGGAAAGCAAAGGGATCCCAATCTACCGTATATGTCACTGAGCATCCCTTTGATGATGTCCTCCGACTCATGTGATTGGGCGTCGGGATCGCCTTGAGAATGGCTTCGTGTATTGTTTGCAGGTTGTCTGGAACTGGCCGTGCAAGGAGGACACTGTTTCGTAGACATTGCAAAAGCCATTCGTAGCCCGGATCGTCAAATATCAAACTTCTATATTCGTCAGAATGCAGGTCTTCGTCTACGTCTGCAGTCAAGCCTGATTCGTCAACGACAGGCTCAGGGACGGGATCAAACTCTTCGTCAGAGGCTCGTAGGAACCTGTCAAAGATTTCTGTGGTCACTGTTTCTCTTAAGCCAGCTGTCAGATCGTCGGGCAGATCCTCGCGGGCACTGATAGTCTGTCGAAAAGAATGCGCTATCGAACTGTTGTGCAATGGCTGTTACAAAAGAGCCGCGTAGAGTCTTTGCAAAAGGGTAGGATTCTTACTTTCGGTTCTTATGAATGAAAACCATGGCATCGCGATGCATCTTCGACGGTGCTTGGAAGCCCAACTTTAGAGCTAATGTCTGTAGGAGGTCTGGGAGAGATTTCACAGCGCTGTTCAGAACCTCCTCATCGAGGGCGGATGGACCAAGTATTTCGGCCAGGTTATCCGCGAGCATAGTGCTATAAATTTCGAATCTGGCGTCAGTCCGGCTCGAGGTATCTGAGTAGATTGTGGCTTTGTCGTCAAATTCCTCTCGGATGGAGTCGAGTGCGCCGAGTCCATAAGGTAGCCGATTGGTGCAGTACGAAGCTGTACCATAGCCTGAATCAGATAAGTTGGTCTTCCGTGTCTCTACCGCCTCTCCCTCCAGCCACCTAACCTCGTCCACCTCTCTCTCGCTCTTGTGCGTTAACGCTAGATCGGCCACCCTGGCCGGTGTGTCAGGACGATCGGCCCAGAATGCCATCTTGTTATCCTCCACTACCTGCCCATCCATTGTTTCAGCCTCATCCAGCCGGCCCCGACTTTTTAGAGCTGCTGATAGGTTTGCCGTGTTGGTTGATGTATCCGGATGAGCTAGCCCTATAATGGCTTCCAAAGAGCTACTAGCGTATTTTATTTCCTCTCGTAGTCTCCTTTCTGCATTGGCTAGGCCCTCGCCATAAATGACTGGCAAAGACACTCCAAATATGCCGAAGAGACAGTATATTTTATCTTCTTCGAGAGTTGATTCACGAGACTTTGCACACCGAATTATTTCCTCAAAACTGAAGTCCAAGAGGTTTCTGCCCTCGATCGCCGTCATAGCTATTCCTGAAATTTCATATATTTGCTGTTTGAGAGTCGACTTGTCGCCAAGACGGACGCCCTCACGAGAAAAGAACTCCACTGATGACGGAGCGAGCAATTCCTGTAGTGTCCAGGCCCTGGTAAACCAGCGGCTGTTGCGAAAGCTCGTATCCCAATCGGACAGCTGACCGTCACCGGTCGCGGTAGACACATCAGACAAATAGACGTAACAACGAGCTGCCTTCTGGAACCATTGGAACATGGACACGGAGGCCTCGGAGCGCTCGGCCAGGTTCGACATGTCAATACAGCACGTATCGATCCAGAAAAACTGTAGGCCATCTCGCATCGCATACTGTCTGCAAAACTCAAGCTTCGGATTGGTCTTATCCCTGCCTTCCACGATATCTTCGTACATGACCTCATCTGCAAGCAGGCCCCAGGTGTGTGACAGGATGGCGTACGGAGGGAGGTTGTCAGACGACAGGTCGTGGGTTAGACTGAACCCTCCTGCGCGAATCTCGAGAAGTCGCATAGTGTCGAAGGCTTTTTTGACGGATGAACAGATATGATTGAAGTGGTTCACTCAGGACAGAGTTTGAACGGCGGGGAAAACGGGGAAAGGTTGTTAGGCTTACCATTTACGCAGATGCGTGGCTGTGCTTAACAGGAGGATTGCGCCCATTGATCCGTCGAGTTTTCATTCGCTGAACGGGACAAATCGGTACATTTCAAGCCCGATGATAAGAGAAGAGATACATCACGGGACTCTTTTAGAGCAAAGGCTAAGTTTATCAATCATCGACTATGATTGGTATAACTACACGGTCCACATTCTCTAGAAAGGGACTGGAAGGCCTGCAATGTCAACCACTTGTTGGAGCAAGAGCACGACTACAAGGACCTGGCCGAAAGCACACTTTAGGAAAGCCGAGTCTAGTTGCTAATACCTTATCGTTAGTTTTGGCAACTGGCGCGGTTCCTTCCGTCAATGTCGTCTGGCGTTGGTGGCTCCTGCCACGACAACTTAGCCTATCACGTGGCGTGGATTGCGCAATGGTCATCTGGCCCAGATCTTGCGTGATTGCTAGTTCTGTTGCAGCCTCCAACCAGAAGAGCGAGCAGATCGAAATAGGGCCACTGACTGGGAGAGGAGCAAATGAGAAGACGGTCGTCCCGAAAGGCGACTGTTTGTTGATACAACTGCAGCAGCGATTCGCCATGTCAGAGCCACATGCAACAGGGGCCTCTGCGAGCGAGTCCGGTCCAGCCTTTGCCGATGGGGACAAAGAAGGCGACACGCGGCCGTCTGTGTCGGGCGGCTTCGCCGACTACGATCTGGCGCGGCCGCTGGGGTCGACAGCCGGGCTGCGACAGAGCCTGACAGCGTACGGCGACGCGCACTTTGCCCTCTTCCTGCGCAAGGCGTTCATCAAGGCGCTCGGCTACGGCGAGTCAGCGCTGGCCCGGCCGATTGTCGGGATCGTGGACACGCGGTCGGGCCTCAACGCGTGCCACGCCAACAGCGCGGCACTGGTCGAGGCAGTGCAGCGCGGCGTGCAGCTGGCGGGCGCACTGGCGGTGGCGTTTCCGACCATTAGCCTGCACGAGTCGTTTGCGGCGCCGTCGAGCATGTTTCTGCTCAAACTCATGGCCATGGACACGGAGGATATGGTACGGGCGCAACCGGTCGACGCGGTGGTACTTGTGGGAGGTGGGTTCCTTGTTCTTGTTCTTGTGCTTCTCGCCCTTTTCTCTTCCGCTGACAGACAGGTTGTGATAAAACTACCCCGGCCCAGCTCATGGGCGCCATCTCGGCCAACAAGCCGGCCGTCCACCTGGTGACGGGACCGATGCTGCCGGGCAGCCATCGAGGAACGCGTGTGGGCGCCTGCACCGACTGCCGCAACAACTGGGCGCGCTACCGTGCCGGCGAGATCGACATGGAGGACATTGCCAGCCTTAACGAGGAGCTAGTGCCAACGGTGAGTCTGCCGGCCTGTCTGCCATTCACAGCTCTTCTGACAGCCCACAACGGTCTAGTCAGGCACCTGTGGCGTCATGGGCACGGCCAGCACCATGGCCTGTCTTCTGGTTGCCCTGGGCATGATGCCGATCAACGGGGCCACGGCACCGGTCGTCTCAGCTGGCCGTCTCCGTGTAGCTGAGCAGACAGGCGAACTAGCCGCTCGGCTGGCCCGTGAGAGCTCGACGACAGCTTCTCGTCCACAGGACATCCTCTCGCGCGACTCCATCCACAACGCCCTGACCGTGCTGCAGGCCATTGGCGGATCCACCAACGCGATTGTGCACCTGCTGGCCATTGCCAACCGGCATCCAGGACTCGCCGGCACCGTCACGCTGGCCGACCTGGATCGAATCGGCCGCTGTACGCCGCTGCTGCTGGACCTGAAGCCGAGCGGGGCCGGTTACATGACAGACTTCCACGCTGCTGGTGGCATGGCGGCCCTGCTGACGGAACTGCGGCCATTGCTGCAACTGGACGCCCGCACAATCACAGGCCAGACGCTCGGCGAAGCCCTGGATGCAGCGCGCTTTCGGCCCTTTGCCCAGACAGCCATCCGGCTACTGGCCTCACCGCTGTACACGTGCTCATCGCTCGCTGTGCTGCACGGCAACCTGGCACCACGCGGCGCCGTACTCAAGGCGAGCGCGTCCAAGGACCGGCGGCTGCTGCAGCACAAGGGTCCGGCCGTAGTGTTTCGCTCGGCCGCCGACATGGCTAACCGGCTCGATGACCCTAACCTCGACGTCACCCCCGATAGCGTGCTCGTTCTTCGTGGCATTGGCCCCGTCGGCCATCCCGGCATGCCCGAGGCTGGCCTCATCCCCATTCCCCGAAAGCTCGCCGTCCGGGGCGTTACCGACATGCTCCGCCTCTCGGATGGTCGTATGAGCGGCACTGCCGGCGGAACGATCCTGCTGCACGTCGCCCCCGAGGGCGCTGACCCCCGCTCCGTCCTTGGAATCGTGCGCGACGGCGACATTATCCGCTGCGACCTCGCGGCCCGGCTGCTCGCCGTTGATCTGTCTGACGAGGAGATTGCGCATCGCCAGGCTGAACGGGTCCAGGACTGGGCTCAGACGGCTGCTAACGACGACAACGACGACCACCACCACCCAGAGCCCTGGATCGCTCGCCAGACCCTCCGGGGCTACCGTGGGCTGTACATGCGGGAGGTCAACCAGGCAGACGAGGGCGCAGACTTTCGCTTTCTGACAGCAGAGGGACCGGGCAGGTCTGACAAGACAGCTGCAATCGTTGCAGGACGGTAACAAATCTATTTAATATACGATATACAGGTACACACAAAAGAGTACGCAACAAGTAAACGTCGCGACAAATGTGGAGACGGCTGCAGTCGTGAGATCATCGGCTGACTTGCGGCCCAACCATGACACCGTCCACATGGCAGTGGACCCCATTCTCAGACCAAAGGAAAGCTATACACAACCAAGATGCAGTATATACGCAGCCGATCTATACAGGTGACCATCGACGACGTCTGATTGGTCACGTCACATGTACGGAGACCCAGTCCTATTGCCGGACCTCATGCGGGAAAGGTTTGCGGCCATAGATGACGTAACTAGGACGACGACACACAGTCAGCACACAGTCAAAACACGGTATACACACACGGTAAGCACGTCAACGTACACGGGCATGTAGAAGTGGACGGCCGTATCCTTGACGTCCTTGCGGGCCTCCATGAGGAGCAGCTCGACCTCGGCGACGGACATGCCAAGGCCGCGGGTGAGCACGGTCATGGTGATGGCCGACATGCCCTCGAGGAAGTTGGTCTGCTGCCAGAGGCCGAGCGTCTTGGCTTCGCGGCCCTTGGGCCAGGTGTTGCCGGGCAGGGCGTACTTCTCCTCGACGACGTCGACGAAGCCGACCTCGCGCATCAAGCCGGCGATCTTGGGCGTCAGCATCATGTCGCGACCGAGCGCAGCGCCGGCCTTGACGTAGAGCCCGTCGAGCCGCGAGAGCGCCCGGCCCTGGAGGCTGTCGTCGACGGCGCGGAAGCGGCCCTGGAAGTCTTGCCACTCGAGATAGCCGCCGGGCGCGAGACTGTCGAGGGCTGAGCGCAATACGCGGTGCGGGTCCGAGAAGGAGTGCCAGAGCAGCCGCATGTGCACATAGTCAAAGGGCGCGCTGCTGTAGGCCCATTCGTCGTCGGCATCGTCAATCTCGAACCGGCAGTTGGGCGGCACGAAGGCCGGCTGGATCGGGCTCAGGTCGGTGCCGAGCACGTCAGAGCCGGGATGAAGTGCGGCTGGAACGTCAGCAGGGGTGAGCAGAAAGGAAGAAAGAAGAAAGGAAGAGAAGAAAAGAGAGAAGAAAAAAAGAAAGAAAAACCCACCAAACTCAATCGCCCAGATGCCCGTTCCCGTGCCCACATCCAACACCCGCTTCGGCTCATCAATGGGCGCCCGCGCCAGCTGTCCCTTGAGCAACAACAGGAAAATCGCATGCTGCAGGTCTGCAGATCTGTCAGCAGCTGGCAGACGCACACCAGAAAGACGCACACTCACCCAACCGTTCTTGCTCGCTCTGTCTGCATTAGCATAGCCCGACGTCGCACAACCCGGCACCCGCAACGGCCGACTCACCTCGTCGTTTGGCATAAGGTATTCTGCAGCCTGGTCAGCCGGTGTTTCTTCCCCACCAGAAGCCCCCTTATTACGTCGTAGCACGGCCTGACTCACTCCCTTGCTTGTATTTGTGGAACGTCCGGCCGTTCTCCTCGACAAACTCGTAGAGGCTCGCCCGCACGGACTGCGTCGACGATCTAGACGGTCAGCTCAGGTCTAGTCAGGCCTGGTCAGGGCAGGCGGGCGCAGGGCTTCCTTACGGCGCTTCAATGTCGCCCACGGCCGAATCGGCATCGTCGTCGACCTGCGTCTCCTCAGTCAGCGCAAGGCAAGAAGGCAGAGGCTGCTGCGAGGGCTGCGTGTTTTGGCTCACGCTCAGTCCTGTGCTGAAGACGGACGACACCCCGTCGCTGATGACCGGCTCCAACGACGCCGGGTGTGCGAAGCTGCCGGCATCCTTCCCCGGACACTCGGCTGCGGCTGCTTCTGCTGCTGCGGCTGCCGTGTTCGTGATTTTTCCTCTTTGCGCTGCTCCACCCACCCTGGCTGTCTCCCCTTCGTTCGCCTCGGGCAGGCTAGACATCCTGTTCGGAGTAGCTCCTCGGGACGGATCCGCCTCAGCTCTGCTGCTTTCTTCTACCGGCTCGCTCCAGACCTGTCGAAAAAGTCCCAAGGCTGGCACTAAGGAGCAGGGCAGAGGACAGATCGAAAGGCGGGTAAATCGGTTTCAGGGCAAGTTTGCAGTGCGTGGCAGAAATGCAGACGGCCAATGTACGACGTATGTAGAGAACTGAGTGACCCGACTGCAGCAGCAGCAGCGAAACAGATGACGGAAAGCCTGCGGAAGGGCCGTAAATCCGCCCCCAACGGCACCACTCTATGCCTTCCTTTCCATTCCGTGCGGCGCGATTTTCATGCCGACGGAATGCACATAAAACCCGAACAACTCGCTTAGCATTACCCCTGCGTGCGGCCCCCACCGACAACGCCGTTTGCTGCCCGTTTCGTGTTGGCGCTGCCATGGAAAAGTGGCCCTAGGATCCAGTTGGGGGCTTGGTCCGATTCACCTGCCCACTTGGTCCTTCTTCCCCGGCATAGCCTCCCTCTACTGACTAGGGGTTTTTGGCCGTCTCCGCGGAGTCTTGCCTGGACAATGGATGCCACGTGTCAACGGCAAACCCGTGGCCATGCGTTTTGAAATCGCGATCGTGAACAGCAATCTTGGCCTCCCGTCTGTGAGAGACCATCCAATCATCACGCGTAAAAGACCGGCCCAACGTCCGTGTTTGTCAGTGTTGGTGGCAGGCCAGACTTTTGCATCGTCCCGTCCCTTGTCGGTGGCGTCTGGCCGTGATATTAGCTGTCGCAGGATACTGCTGGTCTTGTTCGAAAAGCTGCAAGTTCAATTACAACCGTCCTCAGGTTGTGTCATGCTGTCATCCCAATACGCCACAAATGTCACTGTTGTCCGACCGTTGTTTTTCCCTCAAATTTCTCCAAAATAATGATATGATGCTCATGGATGTAGACGCTAACGGAAGATAGCTGTGGATAATCGTCAAAACTCTGTACAAATTGCCTTTCGTACAGCACCCCGTCAGATCATTTGGATACGATGGTGTCGAATAGCTGTCAATTTCCCAGTGCTAGACAACATGCCAGAGTGGTTAATGGGTATGATTCGAACTTTCCGAATTCCAGATTCTGGTTTCCGGGTCCTGTACCATCATATGGTTTCGGCCGCGGAGGTTCGAGTCCTCCTGTTGTCGATTTTCTTTTTCTTTTTTTCCTTAGCCGTACGGAGTACAAGTCCACTTGGTGGCTTGAATTTTTGCTGTGCCCAACATACAGACGGGCGATCGGCTGTGCAAAACACACGCTCTTCAAACAGCTTGCTCAATAAGCCTGGTGGTAATAACGAATATCTCTTCCGGCTGCACACTGCTGTGAAACTCCGGATAAATGAAGTTTATCCAACGGATTTCTCATTTCAGACCCCGCCTTCCCACTTCGGCCTAACCTAAACTTTGCTTTTCCCAGGCAAAGCACACTGATATTCCATCACGGAACTCTGTCTTGACGCGATTTGCATCAACTCTGCCCATCACCGATATCTGCTCGTCAAAACGTACCCACAGGGAGGCGCACTCATGGAATCCGCTAACCGCCGCGAGGACCAGCCCGATGCCCTGGCAGAAGGCCGGCGCATCTATCTTGGTGCGATCTGCCTTTTTTCGTTTGCGCTAATACGTCTAACCTGTACAGGAAACCTACTCTACTACGTCAAGCCGCAGGAGATTGAGGAAGCGCTTACGGAACACGGCTTCGGAGACTACACCCAGATCCATCTCTCGGTCGACCCTGTCAGCGGCCGCAATCCGGGCTACTGCTTTGTTGACTTTGAGGAGCGCGCGACGGCTGAGAATGCGATCGCGTCGCTGAGTGCTACCATCCGTGGTCGTCCGCTCAAGGTCGGCCCCTGTCGTCCCAAGGAAGAGCGCCGGACCGGCCGCTGGGGCCGTGACGGGGAGCGTGATCGTGATCGAAATGGTGACGGCGCAGAGCGACAGACTGCCTTCCAGCGATGGGGCAACTGGAAACGGTCGGATGCCGAACCCTCGGATAGGCCACAGCCTCCAAAGGACCACGGCCCTTACGCCGCGCTGGACCATTTTGAAAACGTCTTTGAGCGCCAGCAGAGCAACCGGCTGTACATTGGCGGGCTCGGCAAGATGGTCGACCAGGAGCAGAACAACGACGAGATCCGAACACTGCTCGCCGGCTACGAACCGTGCGTTGTCTGTTGCTTTTTTGTTGTCTCGGGCATCCTGCTGATCATGCTATAGTACCGCGGTCGGCAAGCGGGTCACTGCGCATCCCACGCCTACGCCGAAGCCGGGCAATCACAACTACTGCTTTGTCGACTTTGCCACCCCGGGAGAAGCCGAACAGGTGATCAATGCGTTGAATGGCAAGCCGTACAATGGAGACCGTCTCCGCGTATCGCATGCCCGTGGATCGCCGGAAGGGTGGAAACAGAAAGGCCCGGAGTTGCGATACGTCCCGCGCGTCACGACGACTGACGACCCTTCGTTCTCGAAGCTCCGTCGCAAGGATTATGGCGTCGCAACGGGACGAGCTCTTGAGTCCAGCTCGTGGCGCCGACAAGACTGATGACTAAGCAGGTTCAATACAACGGCGACAGAACCATCTGTCGGAGAGACTGGTACTACGCCGACAGGATGTAACCTGGCATTCTGATGGATCTGCAACCAGTTCCACCATTCCATGTCGGCCACGTGCCTCGTGTATTGTTGGAGTAGAGGGGTTCGCATCACGAGAGGCAATTGTGGGGCGGCCTTGCCAACAAGGCGGGGATGCTACACTGGACGAAGGGATGGTTGACATCAATACAACACAACTTAAAATTGGCGTATGTCCAGATAAATAGGCTTTATGAAGATTTCACCTCGGAGTATGTATAAGCCATGTTTTCTGTTGGGCGTTGCCACCGCATTTTTGGGAGGCCTTTTCTTGCTCTTTCTTGGGACGTGTTTCCAAGGCCAATCTTGGTGGCCAATCTTGCAGTCAAGCTTGCCGATTTCCGATGCCAATCTGCAGCACAGCATGCAGTCCATTCTGCAGCTCCTCTCGACCCTAGCAGGTGCCGTTCTGCTGCCCGTTCTGGCTGAGGCTCCCCAGTTCCACAACTCGGCCAGCTACGAAGCTGCTGACCCCTACACCTTCTACGATACCCAGAGCGGGCAGTTCTTTGCGTATTCGACTGAGGGTGCCGACAGCGGCTACAGCTTTGCCGTCTACAGCAGCCCGGACCTAGCGACGTGGCAGAAGCAGCCGGGCGGCGTGCTGAAGACGTGCTATGACGTCGACGGGAACCATCTCGACGGCGGCCAGGCCTGTTGGGCGCGCGACTGGCTCTGGGCCCCGGAGACGTACTACAACGACCGCACCGGCTGGTACTATTTCTTCTTTTCCGGTCGTCTTCTCGAGAGTCTGACGGCCGACCACTTCCGCTACTTCGCCTTTGAGGAGCCGTCGAAGCTGGGCGTCGCCGTGTCGCGCTCGCCCACGGGTCCCTTTCACGAGATCGAGCCCCGACCGATCGACTGGTATCCCTTCGACCCGACCTACCACGATGTCAACCTCATCATGGACGAGGCACAGATGCTGCCGCCGTCGAGCCTGCGCCAGGCCGAGACCGCGCCCCGGGGCACCTTCATCCCGACCATCGATCCAAATGTCTTCTTTGACGAGGACGGCCGGATCTATCTGTATGCATCGCGCAACGCCTATCGCAATTGGGTCTGGGACACGACCCTGGGCAAGCACATTGAGGAGTCCAACATCATCGTCGTCGAGCTGGAGTCGGACTGGTGGGACGACCCGACTGCGGCCACGATGCCCGAGATCGTGGCTACGCAGAAGAATGCTATGGCTGCCGACGCGTCGCCGGTGCCGGCCAACATCACGGCGTACAACGGCACCGGAACGATCGGCCGGCCGCCGCGCCAGGACGGCTGGACGACTGTGATCTCGTATGGCGCCGATCCACAGGCCTGGGAGAACTACCACGTCCACGACTACCGGACCTTTGACGGCACCAAGAAGGATCGCCGCTGGTCCGAGGGCAGCACGACCATCCGGCGGCCCGACGGCGGCGGCAGCAACACGACTGTCTACCTGCTGACATACAGCGCCAACAACTACGAGGCGGCCAGCTACGGCGTGGGCTTTGCGACGGCTGCGTCACCGCTCGGCCCGTTCAAGAAGGCGGCCAATAACCCTGTCCTGACGGAGCGGCCAGACGCTGTCCTTCCGATCTACTCGACCGGCCACGGCTCCATTGTGGCGTCGCCGTCTGGCCGCAACTCGACCCTTGACTACGTCAGCCCCCAGGAGGTCACGCACCGCACGCCCGACGGCGCTGAATTGTTCTACGTACACCACGCGCGCAACAGCACCGCCAGCGCTCGCTCCCTGTATACGACTCGACTGACAATCGACACTGCCGCTGTCCACTTTGGTTCCGACGACGCCATCAGCATGCACCTAACACCGCTGGACCAGCCGCTGCCGCTGAACACGTATCCGCTGCAGATGGAAGCCAGCCGTGTCAGCAACGGATTGGTCGTCCGCGTCACCACGACGTTTGGCGGGGCCTTTGATCTGACCGAGGGCTCAAACCGTGTCGTCGGTCTGCCAGGGGACGTGCTGGCTACGTCTACTAAACAGAGTAGCGGACAAGACGGCTCCTTCGTTCTCCAGTTTGGGAGTTTTGCTGTCACCGGCTTGGCATACCAGCGTCAGAGTGTCAATGGCACATGGTCCACCGTTGTGCCTAGGAATGTCATCGAGGCTGGCGTAGTACCATAGATTGTTGGGAGCTTCGAAATCGCAGAATTTCATAGAGTAACAGGCGGCCACTATTTGTACGTATACGTCATCTTTTAAATTCGGAAATACGATGCTTTCTCCACATGCATGTAGGCTCACAATTGCGTTACCACGCTTTTTGATTAACCTTATTTCTTATGACTTCATGGCCCCTTTTAGGCCTACACTAGCTACGTATTGTATATAAGGAGAGCATTCTCCCAGATTGACTGGATATATTCCTCTCCTCCTTTGTCTAGCCCGAATAATCTTTTGTGATAAAGATCTTTAGCTTCTTCATGCACCACTTCGTTTGTGTAGAGACTGTCAAGCTGTCAAGCATTGGAATCCGCCACACTGTGGCCCTTCCGCCCCACTTGGCCGTACGGGCCTGTGATTGGTCAGAAGGCACAAAAGCGGGACATGGCACTAGTATTAATACGGATCCCCAGAAGGGTCGCGATGTATCTATTTCTTCCCTAGTACGGAGTACACAACACACTTCTGCTCACACTACACCCAGTTCAGCCTCCTGCTCCTCACAGTGCATATCACCTTCATGAACCCTGCGCATAAGCTCTAAACCTGCACCAAGATCTTAAGTTGTTGGGTGTTAACTAGCGCCTTGATGGGTTCCAGTCAGGGAACTGTTGATCGGTGTATAACAAAGCACGTATCCGGTCTCTCTCGCGGTTTCTGGTACTCTCGTTCATGCCCGGTGGGTATGACACCGGATCCTCATCTTTCCTGTAGGAGAGACTCCCATAGAGAACCCTCTTCTCAGCACCAAGTCTGTACAAGTGTCATTAGTCGTTTGAAACTTTGTCCAGAGAGGATGTTGCCAGACAACAGCCACATAAGGCCCATCATTTATTTCCCGATGCTCTTTAAAGCCTCCCCTCATACCAAATATTGTATAGGGTTTGTTCAGTTGTTCGTCAGCATACTTGTTATATCTTTCTTCTCCTTCGCATTTGGATCTGGCAGACACGGCGCCGGTACCGGGTTTCGCAAAAGTGGCGTTGCTATTCCCGGATGCAGAAGCCACGGCGATAGATTCTATCGGCAATTGTTTATAATTTAATAAAAAAGGGAACTATTATCCCAAAAAAAGACTTAAAGAACCCAAGTTTCGGATTTATAGTAATCGACGAGTACGTACCTTGCTCTCCCCTGGTAACGAATGCTCCCCCGATGTCCGAAGGTACTTCTGCATCATTTCGAAACAAGTCATTCACTGAATTGATTGCTAGTCTTACCATATGGCTGGCGATGTGCTCGTACAAGCTATACCGGTCCTTGTACGGGTCGCCGGTCCTTTCTAAATCGGGTGGAAATGACTCGCAGAGAGGACAAACCCAATCATTACGACGTACCAATTCTCTTTTTTTGCGAAGCAAAGAGGACAGCTGCGGCCCCGTCGGCCGTTTCCGAACTTTGTGGCTTTTGGGATCATCCATGTGCTGTGCAAAACTAGCAGAGTCGTTGAAAAGTAGCTTTTCGTGCTCAATATTGCAAAACCAGGTGTTCGTGTGGATTTCCAGGTACCAATCTTCCGAGTGCGATAATTCCATGTGGCGGATCCAGTCTTCCTTATTCACAAAGAAAATAATGGGAGACATACACTTTTCTGAGAGACAGACATAGGGTTCCGAATCTTCATTCACGTGGTTTCTGCAAGACGCGTAAGCAACTGACATCTATCAACGAATCATACAGAAACGGAAGCTCGAAGCATACTGCCAGTATTGTGACCCGGTTGACAATTGCGCCACTTCAAGCGGCTTAGCACAGCATGGACATTTGCGGAATTTGTCACCAGACGAAAACAATGGTTTACGGGGGTATACCAAGGATTTCCAACTAATTTGTGGTGCATTTGTAGGCTGTTCCTTGTCTTGCCGAGCAGCTGCTGTATATCGTGAGCACGACAATGGGACACCGGGCATCGATTGAGCCACCGACTTGCAGATGTTTGACCTACCGCCCTCATTCGTCAAATCGATGTCGACGCTATGGACGGATACACGTGCGATGTCAGCTTTTGATCGATTCAAAGAATCTATCAATGATTCGTTTTTCATTTCGAGGCTTGTTTGACTGCTGTCTCAAGGTGGTACTTGCTGATCTGATAGGACCCTGACCGGCAGGATGGTGGTCTTTTTGGGCTCTGCTGCAACACGTTCGTCACGTAGCTTCTTCGCAATATGTAGCCTCTGTAGAAGCCTTTTACGTCTTATAATTAGAGATTCTTCGAGTTGGTCACGCAGAGAGCGTCTCGCCCTAGGGGCGAGCTCAATGTCGAGACACTTTGCAAGATCTAGGGCGCCACTGTTGTCATCGTGGTTTATATCCGACGAGAGGCCGTATTTATGGCCAAGGATGGAGTTTTTGTGAATAACGTTGGCCATTTGGTAAAGCTCGTCGAGACAGACTTGAATCGCTTGAAGTGCTTCGTTTTCCAAGTTAGGTGCATCGTTGATTTCGGTCTTCTGTTCTAGTTTAGACTTTTCTACTGCTTCTTATTAGTGCGTGTGGACAGTGGTGGAGACTTAGCAGGCGGTGGACATACAGTACCGAAGGTTTCTGGCAAGCATCTGGAGCAACTCGAGGATTATATCTTTGATATCCGTATGATTGTACAGACGAGAATCCAACGATTCCTGGCCAAAAGTCGATATAGCTCCGGTGTATCGGACCCAGTGATTAAAACTGTCTGCTATTCGGACAAGATCGGAATGCGATCCAAATTGTTTTTCGACATCATGTTGTATGCTATTTCGGCCAATCACAAAATTAAATAGATCCACGGACACAATGGATTTTTTTTCAATATCACCATCGTATACTCCTCCGTCACCCGATACTAACATAATCGAAGTTATGCGAATGCAATCACAGTAAAGGGAGTAAGAGGGTTTGAGTCTCTATTTAAACGCTTTTCAATAAGAGAAATAAATTCGGGAGGGGCTGCTGTCTATATATACGTCTATCAAAGCGGGGTAGTGGGGTTCGCATACGCAAGGCTGAGTTCGACGCCCCGAGAATGCCTACAGTTACCCTCCTAACAGTGCGTGGTGTCTTTTTGCTAATACCTGTGATAATCATCTAACTCGTTATTGGGTATAATGGGCAGAAACATGGGAGAAGTCCGCAACTTCTTCGAAGCTGTTTCGCAATCGTTCGTTGCTGCTTACAACGCTCCCTCAATATGAAGCTGCGGGACTCTGGGCGCGGGAACGCCCAGTGGGAATTGTTTAAGGCTGTTTACCCGATATTTAAGGCTGCAATTCCGCAGACTGCCTCCAACGACGAATATCCTTTCCTCGATAATCACATTACGTCTATCCGAGTGAGCATCAGGGCCATTCCTTTGCTGTTTCCTGATATAACTCTGGAAAGAAGATACCATGAAACTACGTGCATTGCTCTTTCAAAGGCTCTTCTATCATTGTTCGAAGTGCTTGAGTTAGTGATCTGGGAAGATCCACCCGCAGGGCCATGGGATAATGCCTTTGATGAAGAACTTGTGAGAGTATGCCATTCTCTTTTTGTAACAATTGTGCTTGTATTAGTCTCACACAAGAAGTTGCGAACCAATTACCCAAAGCTCTTTGAGTTGCACAGGTTGCTCAAAATGGGTGAATCTCCAGTCAACCTCGCAGCACACATAGATTTTATCGGCCACGACCGCAGAGAATACGATTTTGGGATGGTGGCCAAGAGGCTACGCGATATCAAAAGGGACATTAAAGACTTATTTCATGATCCAAAGGACGAATTGCGGACATATCGTGGAATTGCCGGCGCACTGAACAACGATGAGATAGATTTTATCCGGCGTACGAAAGCACAAAAGAAATTTTCAGAGTTTCTTTATGAGAATCTCAAAAGACACAACACCTGCCCCGGAACCCACAAAGCTCGGTTGCACCTCTCTGGATTCGTCGACAATGATGTAAATATCGATCTGTATGCCTGCGAGCGCCAACGGATCCCAACTGAAACAATAAAACTCAAATTGTCAGAGGCTATATATCAGGTCACTCTTCTCAACATTGGCTAACTCGTCCACTAGCATTAATGAACCTCAACCGCAGGAGAAACAGACCGCGAGCGGCGTAAGAACCCGTTCGAAAATGAAACTTGAAAGACATACATGCCTTAGCATCGGGCCTAATGCTAATGAATTGATACTCTGTGAGACCCAATCCCGACATGTGAATGATTTCGACCAGGATTCCAGACACTTGCTTCCAGATCTTTTGTCTCGAAGAGCCGACTTTAATGGCTCGGACTTGAAGATGGTTCAGCTTTTAGTAGCCTCCTCGCTTCTAAATGCAACTTTGTGGTTAAAGCACGCAGAGCTAGATATCACTTCCATCTCTTTTGACAAATCTTCCGAGTCTACGTGGCCATGGAAGCTGGGTGTGGACTGTACCCTTGAAGGAACTCTTTCCAACGACATACACTATGATGCTGCTGTGTCGTTTGGCCTCTTTCTAATAGAGACAGAAAGGGGTGAGCGTATACAGCCAACCGACGAGGAACAAGATTGGGAGTCAGGTCTGTGGGCGAAGGACAGCACTCTATTCCGTGTCCTTGGTGAATCAGGAAGCTCAGTGACGGATCCTTACAGATATATTGCTCTGGCGTGCCTGGAGATCAATGATGCCACGGCCGAAGTTTGCGACGAAAGATTGACCAAGGACATGTTGCAGATCGCAACACTCTACAGGCATATTTTCGCCCCTCTTTATAAATTCGCCAGAGAGAGCTACCACCAAATATCGTATATATTCAGAGGCTCTCCCACCCAGTCTCCGAGTCTAGGCTTGCATACCCCAGTCATTCAGAACTTGCAATTATTCGATGACGACGATAGCACACCGGACCCTATGTGAGATGCAATTTACGTGATCCGGGCATGACTTGCTATCTAACTATGCGGACTATAGGGCCGTCACACGAGCAAGACAGTTTCGAACAGAGTTCAAGACTTTCATAAATATGATTAGTAGTCTGGAACCGATCAATGTGTCGGATATCGAGCGCAGGGAAAAAATTAAGATAGCAGTGATCGACAGTGGCATAGATAAAGGCGACACTATTATCGCAGAGAACATGGACCGTATCAAGTATCGGTGCGGCTTTGTCAGCGACGCCGGAGAAGGACCGCGCTCTGGTGATTGCGAAGATGAATTAGGTCACGGCACCCATGTCACACGGCTGATTCTGGAGATGGCCCCTGAAGCAGAGCTATATGTTGCTAAGATCTCCGACAAGAAGACCATACAGAGCTCCGACCTACATCGACTCGTTCGGGTAAGTCTTTTGGTATGTCGTGGGAAGATGGCGAGCGATCTTTGCTGCATACACAAGCATCCTGACAACATGCCTTAGGCCATTGAATGGGCGTGCAAAAAAAAGGTGCACATCATTTCCCTATCTCTTGGAATAGACATGGACAACAATCGAGAGCTTGGTCGGGCCATTCAAGCTGCCAGAGATTCCAATATCACCATCTTCGCGGCCGCGTCCAACGGTGGCGGCAACAAGCCGAGGTCATACCCAGCAAGTCGTCCATTCGGCGTTATATGCGTCCATGCCAGCGACGGCCTGGGCAATAAAGGAGGTATCAACCCGACTCCGCTTAAACGTGGCGACAACTTCTTGACCCTCGGCATCGGTATTGAATCAAAGTGGAAAGGCAACGATGTTATAAAGTCTGGAACGTCGTTTGCGACGCCGGTAATGGTCGCCATAGTAGCCAACGTGCTGAAATTTGCTCTACACAAGTGCGATCTGGACAGTTACCGGTTTGACAGGCTCCGTGAGTACGATGGCGTATGTCAGATCCTGCGACTTATGGCCCGGGAGCGAGATCAATACGATTATGTCATGCCTAATTCCCTCTTCGGGCGCTATGATGATAATCGCATAAAGCATGAGCTTCTCAGAATTAGCGATCCCTAATATTATGATTGAGGTGGAAGAATCCGGAAGTGGAGATAACTGCTTATATACTCGCCATTCTCAGTTATATGACAACGACTTATTCTACATGTACTGACTACTGTGATTTATTTTTCTGTCTTGCTCGTGGGCAGCATCCAAACTTCAATTTCAGTTCCGTCGTCAGATACCACCGTCTCTGGAGAGAAGCTGGGGTTGTTGTAGTCTGCGGGCCCGACGATACGGAGGTCATCATACTGGACGATTTTCTGCTCGACGTCGTCCTCGCCCAAGAATGTGGCACCGTCGGTGTAGGTTTCATCTTCCAGTTGCATGTTACCCGTGAACATGCCTTTGTAGTAGATCTTCAGACACTGGATGCCAACCACGATATCCCATTCTTCCTGGATGTGTCTTTGAGAGAACTTTTCAGAAACGGTGCTGACACGCAACATTCCAGCACCATGGGACCCTGATGGGTGGCCCATCTCTTCTGGACTCAGGCTAGCACGAACATGGGCTTCTTCTGGAGGGGGCATGCCTCCAGGCTGCGGCTTAGTTCCGGGCAGATCACCTTTCTGACGAGTGCTTGCTCGTGCCACCTTCAACCCCGTAACGAGGAAGACGGCCTTTTTGTAATTTGTGACCCTGACGTACTCATCAACATCGGAGATGGCCATGCACTGTGAAATGTATAATCTCGACGGGTAGAAGAACTTGGTGTCGACATAGTCGAACTCGTACGAGTCTCCTTCCCTGCCCACACCATCGATGGCGATGAACTTGGTCCATGGGCCAAGTTTACCGCTCTGCATCTGCGACTGCGAGGCAAACAGTCTTGTCTTGCGATCGGAGTAGACCATATCCGCCTCGATAGGGAGAATCTTGCTTTTTCCATAGATGTCTTTGCCATGGTTTAGTGGTCGCATCTGCTCACGGCGGTCGAAGTCTCGGATGACAGTACCGAGATGAAACGGTCCTTTGGGGGGTGGGGGAGTCGAGAAGTTGGGGGGGAGATGGTACGTGGGCTGGAAGTTGTCCATCTAGGCGATATAATTCCTCAAAGGCGTATGGAAGTGAAAGAGCAGATACAGACCTGGAGAGAATAAAGCAGCGACAGTTGGGAAGCAAGGCGAGCAGAAAAGAAGGCAGACTCGAGGCAGACAGGCCGCCTTTATGGATGCCCAAATCCAAATTAGCCGCCCGTCCGGATCCTGGCAAGCCGCCCATCAATTGGCTAGAGGGCGACAACACGGGATGCCCAATGTATCAGGACTACAATAGGCTATGGGTAGTGCGGAAATCGTCAGCCAGAGAAAGCAACCACCAAGGTTAGGTAGGAGACTGTAGAAGGCGCAGCAGTTGCAGAAGCATTAGCGGCCAACAGGTAACAACCACATTTCACAAGGCGTTATTGTTTTCTAGGGCGGGACATAGATCACAAAATACATCGCCCAGAGAAAGTCTTCTTCAATTCATATCCAAGCAGTGTCGAGACGCAAACCTCGCCCGGGACGCCTGGATTTACTGCTCCACGACGACGGCCGTGCCCCACTACTTTGCGACATAAGCTGAGGCATGATGATTGCGCTGACTAATGGCCACTGTCTTTAGGGCGGACGAAAGACTGGTTTACAACGTTGATGATTGACAATGATGCAATGTATCTACTGTCTAGAATTTTCTATGCTACCTACATAGCCAATCCCTATAGAAAAGTCCGATAGAAACAACAGAAATGTCTGACCAAAGTACACATGCAAGCAAAAAAGCACGCTTTCATGAGCCGTACAGATTACCCAGGGCCGCCTATTTCTTCTCCTCGGCGATGACAGCCGCGATGGCAGCGTCCAAGTCCTCGTCCTGGAGCCCGAGCAGGTCCATGGCAAACTCGGGTTTCTGGGTCCAGTCGCCCTCGAGCAGGCCAAGGACGTAGACGAGGTCCTCGACGGCCTGGCGGTCGCCCTGGTCGGCCTTGGCTTTGTGCTCGGCCACAAATGCAGCGGTGTCGAGCCGGCGAACGGTCCAGCTAGCCTCGGTGGCGCGTTCGAGCGCAGCCAGCAGGGTGTGCTGCGACACGCAGAAGCTCTGGACGAAGAGCACCTTGTTGGCGGTGGCAGGATCGCCGGGGCCGCGACGCAGAACAGCGACGACGGCGGCGGCGAGGCGAGCCAGCGTCGAGAGCGAGCTGCGCAGCGCGTCGCCGTCGCCGAGAACGTCCATCTGGCGGCGGTCCAGGTGGGCGTGCAGGAAGCCCTCGCGCAGGCCCCAGTCGAAGAAGTGGCCGCCCACAATGGCCGTGTACGAGAAGCCGGTGGCTGAAGTGGCTGCCAGTGCTTCCAGCCGCCGCCGCACCGTCTCCTTCTTCTCGAACAGCGGAACGAGAGCCCGAGCTGTCTCACTGCGCGCGTCTACGCTGCCGAAATCTGCCGGAAAATACCGCCGCACACCTGCTGCTGCCGCTGCCTCGGCTAACCGCAGGTGGTCGTCCACGCTGCGCAGCGGAAACGCCACCACCACCGCATCTTGCCCCCGCAGCGCCGCCGTAAGCGACGTCACCGTCCACTCGTCTACCACGATCGCCGTCGTGCCCGCCACCACTGCCGACGTCGAAGCCGCCCGCCGCAGCACGCTCACCCAGAACTCACCCGCTTCCAGCAGCGCCCGCACAAGCGGCCCACCCAGGTTGCCGTTGGCGCCCACCACCGTCACTGTTTCGATGGCCATGTTTGCGGGTGTTCTCTGGTGTCGTTTTCGTAGTCGTCGTCGTCGTCGTCGTCTCGCGTGTTCAACTCAGCCGATGCCACTTTCGGGAAGCTGCCGACCTGAGATGGTGGCGGGGAATCTAAACGGACTAACTATGTTCCATCACGTGATGCTCGGCGGCCTCTGAATTCGTACGGCAGTCTGTAAGCTCCGACTGCCGAAGCTCAGGTAACATAATTCAGATTTCGATGAAGAGATGCCAAATATGTATGCAAAATTCGACAAGCTAACAGCGTACCCTGTACAGACATATCCCCGGGATAAATGACCGATAAATGACCAATTACAACACGGTGACTGCCAGATCGTCTTCGTCACAGGTGCCAACATCGCCATCGCTTCAAGGTTCCCAAAGTCTCCTGCCAGTCTGCCCAGCAATACCGCATTGTTCTTAGCAGTCTCCCGGTTGAAAAATGGCAGGCTGCGATTAAGGCTCTGCACGAGACCGTTCCCGGCATGGCCAGCGATAATTCCATCAAGGCGGCCCTGGACCACAAATTCTCTGTTCTTTAAGTTCCAGGCTTCTCCCTCGATTTCAAGACTGCCACCGGCGAGCTTGCCCAACGCCAGGATATTAACCAGACCTGTGACGTCAACACCACCGACACTGGGGTCCTCACTCACACCTGGTGCTGCTGCTCGTCCGCTCGGCCGAGCCCTGGATGCTCTTCCTGGGTACTGCAACCAGACGGCGTCAAAGTCTGTTCCATCTTACCCAAGCTGCTAGCTACCAACCCCGGCGACAGGGTTGAGAGGCTTAGGGAGGTAGGCGCCGGCAATGGGTCATCAGCGGCCACATAATACGCTCCGTCATCGAGGGCGAGCATGGTGCCGATGTCGGTAGGATTGTCACCAGCCAGGGGGTGCTGCCAATTCAATAGCGGTAGAGAAATGATATCTGTGCTAAACTGATTGCCCGCTCCTCCATTTCTTCAACCACCTTTGAGAGGCGAGCGTGTGTGGGTGGTCTGGACCAATGATCCGTTGCCTAGCTTCGATGCAGCTGTCCATCAATTCTATAGCGTCTGCGTGCCGACCAAGACTGTACCAAGTACAAGCAAGATTGTTCATAGCAGCCAACGTGTCGGGGTGCTCCTCTCCTAGTACTCTCTTTATCGTCTCTAGTACTTGTGTTTGAAGTGATTCTGCCTCTATCCACCGGCCTTGTTGTTAAAATGTGTACGCGAGATTGTTTATAGTCGTCAAAGTGTTGGGGTGCTCCTCTCCTAGTACCCTCTTTCTCATCTCTACTACTTTTTCGTATAGCTTTTCTGCCTCTATCCACCGGCCTTGACGATTATATACCATCGCAAGATTGTTTATAGCGGTCAACATTCAGAAGTCGTCCTTTTGTAACTCCCCTTTATACAATTGCAAAGCGTCTGTGATGTACTTCTCTGCTTTTGTATATTGTCCTTGGTTAAGGGAGTAATCGCACATGGCCCCGAAGAGCCTGGCTCTGGCAATTTGATGGTCTTTCCTGTTGTCGATGGTATGTTGTAGCACAGCGTGAACATGTGGGAGTAGCCGTGAACGGCTGTCACCAATCAAATATAAGCCATTTGGGAAAACTTCAGCCATCACGGACAAGGCCATCCCAGCAAATGTATTTTTCTCATTTTTAAGCCGTTCGCGCGTCACAAGCTGCACCAGTCGATGCATGGTCAACGTATCATCTGTGTTCTCTGACAAGAATGAAAAAGCTTTCAGAGTTCCCAGTGCCGTTTCAATTACTGCTTTGCCAATAGGTTTGCCTTCGGGTTGTATGTGCTTGCAATAGCCCACCACGAGCTCTCTCGGAATTGCCTGCCAATGGAAGAGGCTCAGAAAGTAGAGAATATCACCGTCGAATGGGTTTCTTTCTCTGATCCTGTCAAACGAAACGATCCATGTTTTGGCGACCGCATTTGAGGTTGATTCGTGTCTTCCGACCGTTTCGAATGCCTTACTCAGACTCTCGACGAGATCAGAGTCACTGTCTTCCAGAATTTGCAAATAACGTCTGATAGGTGTTTCGTTCTTTAGGAGATACGCTGCCGCCTGTGAAATGGCGAGGGGTAGATATTCCAGCTTCGAACAAAGAGCATGTATGTCTTCAGATGTTTTTTCATACTTGTCCAAGATTTTGCACATAAAGAGGTGAGCCTCTTCCTGGGTCATGTGGTGTATCTCGACGGGGGACTGTTGAGGGACCAGATCTACTGCAAGTTTCCTGTCTCTTGTTGTGATCAGGATCAATCCATGGTCGCATTTCGGGATATATCCAGCCAGTTTGATTTCTTCGTTGGATTGCTGTGAGGTCGTTCCTGTCGAAACTTCCATAGGTTGGTGCTGGTAGAACAGCTCCAGGTCGTCTGCGTTGTCGATCACCATCAACCACTGGGCTTGAAGCCTTGTCTCTAGCCAGGTTTTGACGAGCGATAGAATGTTTGTCTTCGGGTCGTCGTGTCCGGGAATCTTGTATTGCGTTGCAATGGCGGCGTAGTCCTTACGAAAATTGTCTGCGCTGCTGGCATGAACCCAGAAAACTGGCACATTAGGGTGCGAGTCGTGGAGCCAATATACAAAGGCCAATACAATCTGCGTTTTCCTGTTGCGGTGTTAGCTGCATATTGAGTGATACCAGGAAGACTTACCCAACACCACCGAGCCCGTAGATTGCTATTCTTTTGCGTGACCCACTGGGACCGTAGATTGCCACTCTCTTACTTGGCCTTTCTCCATCCTCTGGACAACTAAGGCCAAACTGTTGTCTGAGGCTGTCTAGAATATTGGTTCTCGGAACATAGTCTGGGTTCTTGGTATGCGGAACCAAGACTTGATTCTGTTAATGAATGTTATAAGGCTACCCTGATTCGTCGCTGTTACATACATGCAGTTTTCACTCGAATGTGCCCCTTCACTCTCAGTGCTCGCTGAGCAACACCTTGAAGTCTTTCGAGGACACTGTCATAGTCCGCATCGTTGGGCTTGAATTTGACCATGTCAGAGTGGCTGCGATTGATAGCGCAAATATGCTCTGCACTATCTTCCCATTGTCTACCATTAGTGGCAGAGGCTTTGGTGACTAAACATTGAGCCGGACCTGTCATTTCCCAGCCTCCATCAGGCGTCTGTTTTGTTAGTTAAGTAAGCCCCAGATTTAAAAGTAGGATAGCATATGAGCCTCCTACCTGCTCGGCAGTTTTTGACGTGAGTGTCTCATAGAAACAGAAAACTTCCGCACAGCCCTGTTTGCCCAGTGCTGGGTGAAAATTCCTTCGTTGCATTGTGAGAATTTGCGAGTTGTTATCGCCAATGGAATCAACCAAGGGTCGATTCGGACGATTGCCAACCATAGGAATTAGCGAGCTGATATTCATTCCGTCATGCGGCACCCCGAAAAAAATAACACCGTAGACAGCTTCCAGGAGCTTTTTGTCTTTCTCATCATCCGACTTTGACATGGTGATTACTGCCTGTAAAATATATCAATGCGACAGGTCTCACATTGGTTCGACAGCTGTGTCTTACCTCCTTCACAATAATCCCCCCCAAGCTGTGAGCGATCAAAATGATCGGCTTCATCATTGATGCACTAGTGAGCCTGTGCAGGCTTTGGCGAAACGTGGTGGCGATGTCTTATATATTCTGCATACTGTCGCTGTCTGCCACTTTGGAGTCATAACCGTAAATCATAACTTGCGCCATCGGCTGTTTGGTCTCTTCAGAAATTAGATCATATGGGAGAGAGTCGCGCGGCCACATATGGTTTTGACCTCTGTCCTTGAATGGCCCAAAGGCATGGCCTCCAAGGCCACATATTGCGACAATACTAGCACCAATTAGCAACAGCGCAAGTGCAACAGTTCACATGCCTACTTACTTGACTTTGTGGTCCTGGGATGGCGGTGAATATAAGGTAGTGATGCCGACAAAAGCTTTGTCGAGTGACAAATATTGAGTAGGGGCCGCATGGTCAGACGGCTTTGACGGTATGGCCCATTGATATTTTTGGCCTTGAGAAAGTGGCACGAGTTTCTCAAATGTCACTGTACCTATCTTTGAACGTTTGCTGATATCCGTGGAAAGGGATCTGATCGTTGGAAAGGCTTTGGTGCGATCTTCCAAGTACTTTCTCAGTTGCTCCTCGTTCCAATCGAGAGGCACACCACGAACGCGGAACGTATCGTGATCATACTCGGGCAAGGACTTGATCACGGCTTGGGCTTTAGTTATGCACGACCACGAACAACCAAAAAAGGGTGTCATGAGCCTACCTGATACACAATAAGATCCATTATGGCAGCATAGCTGTAACACCTGGAAGATTGCGAGTAGACCAGGTCGAAATAGGTGTTAGCAGTGCGCTAGTATGGTATACTTTCGCGAGGGCGACACAACTGTGCCTGGGCAGCGATGGAAAGGGTACAATTCTGGGAATGAAGAGAAGAGGTGAGACGGAAAATTGAAATGAGGGGTCCTGCGGCCTCCTTGAGCTGCCGCCTGCTTTGCAGGTTAGCTTGGGTAATGCGACAATGCTTTCAGGCGTCCAAGGCATCTAAGCCACTCAACGGGTTGCAGCGACAGGCCTTAGCCGTACCCCAAGCTTCCAATCACAAGGCTTCACGTGGCTAATATTCCTCCTATCGCCCATCTCGGGATCCGAGTAACAGTCCTGACAATGGTCGGAAGATACCGGATGAATTACAGCCACACTGGCTCCGGCGACAATCCTTTTAGCTATGCAGGAGCCAACGCTCTGCTCATCAACAAGATGGGTATAAAATGGATGGGGCATCAAACAAGGAATCGTCTATCATGCGTTTGGGCTACATGCTGGCAGGTTACGGTCTTGGGCACTTCGTAGCTCTGCAGAAATCGGACTTGAATGCATATCGTGGCGACATTGAAATAATGTTTCCGTCTTCGTTGTTTGCGAAGCTTGAACCTTGCCATTCAAGAGCATGGAGTGCAAATCTTTGTAAGTCAGAAAGTACATGTAATGGGCGAAGATCGTTGTATTAAGGGAAGACAGCTATCTGAAGCTAAAGTGAGAAGCCTGAGCGGAAAAGTCTGCCCAGACGATGGTTTGTGCACAACTGCGCAACACCATACGAGCTTTTTTTTTCTTGTATCTCTACTGTCTCCAAATAGATGTGCCAAACCAGGCAATCAAAGACATAAATGATACAGATGGCGTTCTTGAAGCCCTTAAATCGTAAAAGCGACCTTAGGCAATGCCGACGGAACTGAACCCCGTGAGGGGAACCAAAAAAAAACACCTCAAAAAAGCGAGCTCTGCCCAGACGCGGGATCGAACCGCGGACCTCCTGCTTACTAGGCAGGCGCAGCTACCACTGTGCTACCCGGGCCTTTCATATGCTCACACAGTGCTCAGAATAGTATATAGAGACTACTTCATTCGCAAAAAGGGAAATGCAAGCACTACATAGTAGAAGCGTATTATCAGAGTCCTTTATTCAACTAGTTTTGCTATCTTTTTTGCAGGCAGGTTTCAGAAGTTGTCTTCTAAAGAGTCTTTTAAGGAATTGTTGCCGTCAGGCTCAGAAAGGAAAGAGGGGTAAATTTCCCTCCATGTACTCCGTAAGACCGGGGAAATAGATAAGCTGGCAATATCGAGTGCAAGGTGTCAGGCGTACTTTTTTGTTCGCACCCTTTGATGAAGCGAAGATCGTTGTATTCAGAAGGAAGACAGCTATCTGAAGCTAGAGGAAGTCTGGGCTGAAAACTCTGCACTAGAGGTGGTCCGTGCACCGCCGCGCAACACCCTTTCCACATACTTACAAGCCGTTTCCAGTTGCTGCTTGCAAAATGACACCATATAACTATAAGGACCAAAGAAGACTTCTCATAGTCTATCTGCCTTATACGCTGCTTAGCATGCTGATAGAACTAATGAAGCTTCCGGTGTTTTGTCTTGATCCGAAGTAATCTGATACTTGTCACGATGTGATTTGCCAGCTCGTTATCTGCCCAGGTTTGGGATCTCCGACACAGCCACCATGGTCCACCAAAGCCCAGCATCCCCGCCAAAACTCTGCGATTGATTTTCTCCAGTGTCATCTCACCCTGTTTCTGTTGAGGTGTCGTGGATTTCCACGGCCCCCTTTTCGTTTAAACCTCATTATCCTCTGCACCCGTATACTCTCTCCAGCTCCTACCATGGAGAGTTCCGGGTTTCCACTGAAATCGACGGATGAGCTGATCCGACGTTTGGAACAGCTCCGATCCGAGCTGAACAGCGCAGTCCAGTCTCCTCCCGACCCTGATATAATAAACTGGTCGGTAGAAAAGCAGGATGAACAAAGACAAAGCCAGGAACACAAGAAGAGACAGATGAAGAAGGAGGAAGCTGCACTCTGTGCCTTGCTCGAGTCCATGGTACAGACCTTCGACCACACGCCCATCGTCGCAAGACTGTCCTACTACCCCGAAGCTGCTGCCATATCGCCCTATGTCAGTGGTGGGGGGTACAATCGTTTGTTCACAGCTCTTGCAGATTGTTTGAGCAGCGGTGTCAACGACGGCACTATCCCAGATGTCCAGCTCCTTGCGGCCCTCAACACTGTACTGCAATACCCGCGAGAGCTCCAAGACCTTCCTCTCGGTTACGTCATCCAACACTTGATGCAAAGACTCAAAACATCTGTTGAAAATGCCAGCGAGCCTGTCAAGTATCGGCTCATCCTGACGCTTTCCAACATTCTTGATGCTATGAACGATGTGAAAACTCGTGGTATCAGTGAGCTGAACATCGTCCAACCCTTGATGGAGATACTTGGCAGCATCTCAAAGCAAAAGGAGCTGCGCCTAGCTCAGGCAGCTCAGTATGCACAGGCAGCTCTGCGCGTCATTCCGACCGACGTCAGTCCGTGGAAGACGTTCTTGGACAAAGCATACAAATCCGTTGAAGGTTCTGCAAAAATAGCTGGCGCAGTTTCGACCTTGGACCCTTCTAAACTCCTTCAGGGGGTTGAAAGTCTCGCAGAAGTCGTGCAGCTGATTGCATCAACTTTCGAAGCCGTGGATTCTGTAGCAAGCTTAGCCGAGGACTTCTCAGGCATGATCAAGGGATCGAAGTATGCAAAAACACCGGCAAAATGGTATGTTGCCCTTCGCTACACCGACTTGTTAATTCGTGGGCGACGTCCGGAGTACCTGAAATCCGTTCTTGAAAACCCTGGGTTCCCGTGTCGGGATGATAAGCAGTTTTTGTGTGGTCTTTGTGCGCAGTTCGAGCGGGCAGTCGAATCCGAGACGCTGTCGCGAGATGGCGAGATGGCCAATATTTTGAAAACATTTTTGATGTCGCAGTGCACAAACACAAGGGACGATGTTGTCCGAGAATGGGTGCACACTGTTCTAGGGGGCGAAGTGCAAGTTCAACCGCGCAAACATCATATTCGTATTTGGAAAAATGGCAAAGCACCGGCACATACCACTAAGATCGAGTACAAGAAAGCCAACCCCAAAACACCCGGTATCGCGCTCCTGAAAGACTCTTGGAAGACCTGTCCAAAAGCTCTCTTGTTTCATGCCGACAAGATGCTCCGATCCCATTATACGGATGAAAGTCTGAAACAACTCCAGATCGAGCGTCTTGATAGCAGCATTCTGCTGATGAGCAATTGTTACATCAACCTGACGATTACGGAGCGCAATGATCGAATGATGCAAGCTGGAGACCGGCCTGAAGATGAGTCGCGCTTCTACCTACGCTCCAAGAAGGCCCCATCCACAAATGCCGTTCTACTGCCGAATATCTTTCAGAAACGGCAATCATCATCTACTTCAGGTCTGTTTCATCCATACTAATTTTACGATTTTTTCCAACCTAATGTAAAGCAGCATCTACCTGTCAACGAATTATCATCCGCGGACAGGCTGGCGTTGGCAAAAGTACGCTCTGCAAAAAGATGGTGTACGATTTCGTCAACCATGGAATGTGGGCAGACACCGTCGATCGGGTCATTTGGGTACCCCTCAGAGAGCTCAACGGGAAGAGCAAACACGTTGCGGACATGAAGGAACTATTGAGACAGAAATGCTTTACCGATCCGCAAAGCCAGCCGTTTCTTGACGCTTTGTGGGCTGCTTTCGAAGAGGACAGGACTAGGACGCTCTTCATTCTGGACGGCCTGGATGAAGTGGCTGAGCTCCTTGGGAACATCGAAGATAAGCACAGGCTGCTCTGGACGGTTCTAAACCAGCCTCGCGTCATCATTACCACACGACCACACAACATAAACAAGGACGCTGTGAAGGACATCCATTTGGAGACGGAGACGGTTGGATTCTATTCTGGCCAAGTGGAAGAGTACATCACGGCTGTCTCACCAGCCAATGCCGAACAAATCCTTGCGTTTGTGAAAAGTCACCCAGTCATTCAAGGGCTTTCAAGCATTCCAATTCAGCTCGATGCGATCTGCTACAGTTTTGGGTCGCTGACGAAAACTTTAGAAACGATGACGCAGCTGTACGAGGCAATTGAACTAGCTCTGTGGATCAAAGATATCATTCGACTAAGAAAGGAAGTTGTAGGAGCGTCGATTCCAATCACAAAGTATGCCGCTCAGAGCTCCACTCCTACTGAAGTGAAGTCCATCGTCCAGGGGGAAATAAATGTCCTTCAGGCTCTTGCCTTTGTCGGCTTCCAACAAAACATGCTCGAGTTCGATCGGGATTTCTTGAACACGTTTTTCGACAAACAAACAGGATTCGCAACACTCACAAACCACCTTCCAGCGGCAAACAGCGCATTGTCTAGTGACTTGGGAAAGCTCTCATTTCTTCGGAGTTCCGACAAGGGAGAGACCCTTGAATCACGAAGCTATCATTTCATTCATCTCACCTTCCAAGAATACTTCGCGGCACAATACTTCGTCCAGCACTGGCCAAGTAAGAATCTTCCGTACTATCAACTCAACGACGACGAGTCCAACGACATGGAGCAAATCAGCGCCGAGGAATTTCTTTTTCGGAAAAAATACGACCGGCGCTACAATGTCTTTTGGCGGTTTGTCGCCGGACTACTCAAAAACGATCAGCAGCTCTGCTACTTTTTCAAAGCGGTGGAAGATAAACCGCGCGACATGTTGGGAATAGCGCATCAACGCTTGCTTATGCGCTGCTGGAACGAGGTATTTCTACAGCAGAACTCATCACCGCGACTCACAACTTTCCAAAATAACCTGGACCACCAACTGGAACAGTGGCCGCGACTTCTAAACGGTTTTTATTGGGCATCCGACACAGAATTCCCAGACAGAGTATTGGAGACTATCCTGAAAACGCAATCTCAACACCTGGAATCAGAGTTCTTCGAACATGTTTCTAGACGACAAATAATTTCCCCCAGGCTTCTTGATGAGCTCACTAAGATGCTTTGCGACGTCTCCGGTGCGCACATGCGTAACGCGCTACAGGCTTTGCAGTCACAGTCGGAACTGCGGGAGAAAACTGTTGAATCATTGGTAGCATTGCTCGCAGCCGATGACATTGATTGCATACAAAAGGCAGCCGCAATTCTAGGCAGACAACCAAATTTACCCCAATACGCCATCGATGCGCTGTCAGATTTGTTGCGACACAAGGATGGGCCGATCACGGAGGCGATATTTGCGTTAATATCACAGTCTTTTAGAACAGGCGACGCTTTTCCCATTCTCGAACTGTTAAAGAACAAGACAAGCATGTTTGAAGAAAAATCATTCGAGAATCTTTCGCCCATCCTGGACCTTCCAATGGACTTTCTGAAAGCCTGGTTATTTCTACTACGAGCGGTGAAAGAAGAAAAACTCTATTCACGCTTTTATGCCGCCGAGAACAAAAACTTGCAGGGAAAAATCGTCAATGCTATGAAGGTTTTCCTTGCAGATGCTACGAACAACGATATGGTAAAGGTGGCGATAATGGTACTCAACACCTTCAACGAAACCCTACCCTTACACATTGTCGATACTCTAGGAAGGTTGCTTAAGGGAAGTGATAGCAGCATCCGGAAGAATGTGTGCTCTGCCTTAGGCAACCAGCCGTCGTTACCTGCAGAAATTGTCACCGCCTTAGCCGCCAGACTTCAAGATGACGATACTGCTGTAAGGTGGATGGCGTGCAATACCTTAGGCAAGCAGCCGTCGTTACCTGCAGAAATTGTCACCGCCTTAGCCGCCAGACTTCAAGATGACGATTTTAATATACGGTGGAGTACGTGCTTTGCCTTAGGCAACCAGCCGTCGTTACCTGCAGAAATTGTCACCGCCTTAGCCGCCAGACTTCAAGGTGACAATTATAATGTAAGGGGGAGTGCGTGCTTTGCCTTAGGCAAGCAGCCGTCGTTACCTGCAGAAATTGTCACCGCCTTAGCCGCCAGACTTCAAGATGACGATACTACTGTAAGGTGGAGTGCGTGCTTTGCCTTAGGCAACCGGCCGTCGTTACCTGCAGAAATTGTCACCGCCTTAGCCGCCAGACTTCAAGATGACGATACTAAAGTAAGGTGGAGTGCGTGCCACGCTCTGCAAGCTTTTCCAGACAAGACGGCGCTTCTCTTTACAACAAACATTGAAAAGCTTACGGCGTTTTATCATGTTTGCCTAAAAGACATTCAGAGGGAAGTGCTTTGGTTTCAAGAGGGCGACCAATGTCGTGTTGTGTTTCCGAGAAGCACGTTGACTTTTTCTACACCTCAAGCTACAGGAATAATTCGCGAGGTTAAGAAAAGCTTGGGCATCCCTTGGTGACGACATTTGTACATCTTTAGATTTTCACTTTACTTCGCTGGTTCATAGTTATGTAGGGGGATTTCAATTTTCATGTTTGCAATATCTAGCCGTATGGGATCATTCGACCTATTTTTTCAGGTAAAGAAGCCGGATTCGTACATCGATTCATTATCCGAATTAGATTACAACCATGCCTCTTTTAAGTTTTCTTAAGAACCGCGTTTTACACAGAGTACGATTACAGAATTTATAGCGAGCTACCTCTAGTGTAGCGACAATATGTACCTGGTGCCCCATTTTCTGCAATGTTTGGAACAATCATCGCATCCGTTGAATTGTCATATCACCTACACCGTGTGCAAAATTCCGAATTAATAGCATTTATACTTTGTGCCTTGCTTATTCCTAAAAATATACTACGAGATATAAGTTTACTTAATGCTTCTAGGAGCGCACACAAGGTTATCTCGTTGACCAGTCATCTAACCGAAGAACCTGCATTTGTCTTGAGGACAAAAAGAGAATACTCGTACTTTGTTGTTCGTCAAAGTGGTAAAGCCGGTATACCCCAACTCACTCATAGTTCTGTCAGGTGGCAGAACGTGTACCCCACTGGCATTACGATCACAATCACGATACTTCGTCAACCCCGCTTAGTTTGAAACTCCGTGTGATCTGCTAACAGCAGTATACGTATACTTACAATTGATAGCTACTCCTACAAGCAAAGTGCATCTGAGCGAAATCATCTACCCAGAGGGATTGTTCTTATGGAAATCCGCTAAGCAAGCAACACCATAATTGGCACCGGTTCGAAGACTTCCTTATGTTAGTAGGCACACAGGCACAATTTTAGCCCGTATTTTCGCACGCTTTTCGTGGAAGTTATCTTACATTGGCTAAATATGAAAGCAGGCAGTTTGAACCGCCGGGCGCACTAACCACCGAGCGCGCACACCGTTTCTGGATATGATAAACACCCAACACGGCAAAAAAGAGAAAGGTAAACAGTGTTATACCGGGACAGCACAAAGCACATTGAAACCGTCCTCTGAGACGTTCTTTTTCGTTCGAATCTTGGGCAAGCTTGTCCGACCCCGTATTGATGCTGTGTTGTACTAATATTCTACATTGCAATTCTAGCCGATGGCCAATCTATGAATTGTTGAGGCACCTCGGATGCGGCTGTCATACGTTTTGAAGAGCAAATATAGCGCCCAACTCTTCGATGTGGACACTATACCTTTTTTTTTCGAATGTTCATGGGAAACCTCTGCAAGTCTTGAAGATCGTCGCTAATGGAATAACTGAGTAGCAACGTGGAATCCGCTCAGCGAATAAGTGGTTACAAAAACCCTATTGCCACATACGGAATACTCCGCACAGTTGTCCTCTTTCGATTGAAGTCAGCAGATGACACGTGTATGGGTAGTGCCAAGAATATGGAAAACATCTAAATTGCAGCCTTTGATACAAGTACATCTTATTGCAGTCTCGCGTCGAGAGGTTGTTGCATGGTCAGCAGCCGGCCACCGTTCAATAGTATAAATCTAAGTATGTTTACGTATACAGAAACACATTGTGTTATAGGATGTAGGTCTTCAATACGTTGCAGGCTATTGTCGAAGCGTACATGCTGTTACCATCATTGTAAATCTGTCCTGGCTTTACTTACGGATAGTTTCATGTGAGCCATTATCGTTACTCTCTCTTCAATGATCCGTGTCGAGGTTCCATAAGTACAGACCGCTTCTCTTGGTCGCTTTGAAGCAGCATCCTCCGAGAATTCGTTCACCGCCATGATGCATCTCTCGTCAACGAGTCATATCGCTTCAGTGACCTCTTGTGGCAGCAAGAAGCACTCCAGAGGCGTATGTGCAAAACCGATGGGTAAAGAAGTGGCTCTAGTCTTCCCCAGGCTCCAATTAATCTGTTGGCTATCTGAAAAATGGGCTGCTCTCGGACCATCTCTGTGCGTTACATATCAGCTGATATGTATGAACACGTCTTTCGCCTGACGTCATACCTTCTGGAAGCCGCAAATGCATTCGGGTGGAATAGAGCATTGAAAGTCTATCCCAGAATTATGCTCCGTATTCCGCTTGACTTCGACGCCGTCGTAATACATAGCGCTTTTGTCTCTTGTCCAATCTTGGGCCAATGTCTGCTAATCTGTCAAGAGTTGTGTTGCGTTATCTCCGCTGACAAACCCGGTTTACTCACTAAAAAGAGTTCTTTGAAGATCATCCTTTCCTGTCCACCACCTGCTCGTATTCGTATAAGGAGGTCATTCTCCTCCTTACCGCTGTTCGTGGCAGGTATACGAATATAGAACAAGTGGGGTCCGTGATTTGAGCCCGACTTGACAGCTATCCCGGTCGTCAAAGGGATCTACATATGCCTTGTCAGGTACAAGTGGGTCTCCCCCCCTTGCAGTCTATTTCTCGACAGGTTAGACATCATCAGCGTGTGGCGGTGAGTCGCGTAAATGCCGAAAACCCACATGTCGATCCTGCCCTATCCCCATCACACTCGTATCAAGTTACCCCACAAAGCCAGCGCAATACGAGATCCAATTGTGATCGACAGACAGCAGCCGTTGAATCGAAGCTCGTGGCCCTACGTTCAACGTATAAATACGAGCAGTTCTTCCCTCTGTCAAGACAAAATATCATCACCATCAACCATCACTCCTCATCACTCAATCATCAATCAACACTTCTTACCTCAAACATTCAACCATCTTCAACTCCTTCGCCAAAATGAAGTTCGCCACTGCCGCCATTCTTTCCGCCGCCGTCGCTTCGGCTGACGTCATCTTCAACGTCTCCGACTTCAGCGCCGGCTGCGTTGCCCACGGCACCGAGTGCCTGTAAGCATCTTCTAGAGAATATCCTATCGATGCCTCATCACTGACAGCCCGCTCCTAGGTACGACTTCAAGGTGATCCAGCCCGGCACCATGGAGACCACCCCCGTCTCTTGCACGGCCTCGGCCCTGTCCAACGACGGCACGCTGCCGGCCGTCACCAGCGGCAAGTGTGTCGGCTCGTCCCGCACTTTCACCATCAAGCCCTCTGCCGCTGGCCTGGTTCTTGCTGTGTCGCAGCAGGTCACTCCCGCGAGCTTCACCATCGGCTCTCACGTTCTGGCGAAGAGCGACATCAAGAGCACCACCTCCGGCGCCAGCACGGTTGAGAACTACACTGGTGCCACAGCGTTCTCCCTGACCGACTAAGTGGAGTCGCTTACGGCATCGGAGAATCTCTGGTTAATTGGCCCAGTAAGGCTGCGGTCTGGGGGAGGGGTTTTGGCCTCGGGCAGGGTACCATTGAGTGATCAAAGGGGGGTTGGCATTGAACAGGTAGCTGTTTAGAGAAAAGTGGTGGGACCTTATAGGTCTTAAGAAAATAGAAGATATTTCTTCGCATGTCTTCATACGTGACTAAAGGGCAAAACATATTCGCAAAGATTGTCTTTTTTTTTTGCAAATTCTTTGCAAGTTTGTAGCTCTTTGAACAAAGATTACATGCGACATCAAGGCCCAATAGTAGGTCCCTCAAAACTGCGGCTGGTGCTGTAGTAGTGCCCACTTCTAGTTGGACTGTTTTCATAACATGCAAAATTCAAACAGTAAAAGTGAAGTCGCTTGAAAGCCATGGATTAGTTGTATAAGAATTCAAGTTTCAGATAGTAACACTATTTTACAGGACGTTAGCTTACAATTAATTTGCAACTTCTACAAGTAGAATCTTACCTACGCGAAAACACATAATGCTGTCTCTTACGCCGCGGAGTATGGAGTGCAGTAAGGCAGTATAGCGAAATGTAGCGGCCTTCTTATTTTTGTCCTGCGTTAAGTATCTATACTCGATATAAGAAATTGGATCTAGACACCGAAGCATAAGACTCTACGGGGCTGGGGTTACAAAGGTTTTCGGCACAACCATATTATTAACGATTTAGAGACGCTCTGATTAAGAGCTCTGTCGATTCCTGTCTCGTTTGCGGAGCCTTGTAAAAACCTGCTGGACACTCTATTGCTAGTTGATGCTTGCCCGAAATTGAGTAGTTGTAAAACGACATATTGACGGTAACAAAGTCAAGAACCATCTTTGTAACGCAAGATCGAAATTGCCAAAGCGTTCTCGGTATTCTTATGATCCACTATTGCAACATCAAGACAATGGAAGCTGGACTGTAATGTTGGATGAGTAGCTTGTATGTATGTTATTTCTTCAGGTCCTCATATGGTACTACATACAACGGCGACCCGACGTGCTTGTTCAAGCATACTATACCGGACACCCTCTTCGTGCCCGCACATACTCTGGCCAGCCCTAGTCGAACCATCTTCCACCTGGGACATAGTTTCCCCCTACCTCCTGACAACAGCCATGCTTGCAGCCCTCGCAGAGTTCTCGCATATGTGGAAGAGTTGACTCCTTTTCTGTATAGGGCGGCGTCTCCATCGGGATGGCTGCCCACTTCTTGATTCGGTATGAGACCCGTTCGATGTACGAATCCTTATCAATCGTCAAGGCGCCGAGCTGCTTGCATTCCTTGCAGCGTTGATTGAACACGACGGTGTTGTAGCCATTCTGGGGGTATCCCTTAATCAAGATCGACACCGTTCCACTGCTCCAAGCTTTGTTGGAACAGCCGTCGCTCAAGCAGGCGAACCTGCCAGTGATCCTGGTCCTGTATCCGTTGTCTGGAACTTTCGTTTTCTTCCTTGCGTCGATCCATCTCGGTTCAAGCACGCCGGAGACTGCCTTAACAATTTCCGGATGAAACCATACGCATGCGTAGAAGGTCCTGGGCTTCTTTTTCCTCTCTCGCTCTGTAGGTTCTTTGTCGGCCGTTTTCGATTTGGTAGAAAGCGAATGGAAGAAGGTGTTCTTTATTCGAAGTGGCGCGTGGACTAATTGTCGATGTACGAGACTGAGTCCTACGCTGACTTGAAGAGGGAACACACGCATTTTGTGGTTTTCTGAAACAAAAAATAGAGTCACGAACGGTTGGGAGAGGAGGGATATGCTGCCCAACATGAGAGATACGTTTCTGGCCAGCAACTGGCTGCTTTTTAAGGCCTTTCGGACTGTTTGCATTACCGTGCGAAGCTACAGTGCGAGATTTGGGTTTGCTGTTGCTTGCACTTGGGCATCCAGACAGGGTTCCCCGCCGAACAGACAGGTGCAGCTTCAGCCTGTACACAGCCGCAGGCTGGATGGGTAGCCTGGCAGTTGCCTAGCGGATGCAAGCCACCAAAGAAGGATTGGCCCAATTCAACGGAAATCCTTCCGGATTTACAGGTGGATCTAGGCCATTTGCGCGGCAGAGTAAAACGCGTGCTATACGGTACCGCCTGAAAGTATCGCACAGGTTCCCAAATGTCGTCGTGTGTGCTTGATCGATAACCTCAAGCGTCTAATATATGAGAAATGGAAACGAATCGTACAGATATACGCAAGATGAATAAAGCAAAGTCTATGGAGTATTTTAAGCTTTCGTTCACGCAATAGGCACAGACCGCTCTTTGTGGGCTCAACTTCAGTCTTCCACTTTAATCACACACAGCCTTCTTCCCCGACACCCTCCCCGCTGCTAAGGCTACCACCGCTGCCGACAATGTGGAGAAAGGTAAACGCGAGGCTAACGAGACGTCAAAAGGCATACTATGTATGGCTCAAGCCGAAGTCCAGATTAAGTAAATTCGAAGCGGTAACTCTTTGACAAGTAGTAATGTCTGTTATTTCTGGGCGTCCGCAGCGCGTCTCACGCTTGTGGCAAACTTTTGGATCCTGCTTGCCAACTGCCAACCAGCGTGTCAGAACAACCCTATCAGCTTATCTCTTCCGTGTCCGTATTTACATATCTCCGTAAAATGTTCAGTACAATTGGGAGCGGCTACATCCGTCGTATCCACGTCCATGCCAGTATTCGACGTCTCAGGTACCACTGTTCCGCTTCTGTAAAAGATACGCGTACATTTTTGCCTGGCCCAAAGGATTCTGTAATTTGGCCTGTCATGGTAGCATTGAGGCCCATTGAGGCCGGATGAGTGCTGTAATAGCTTATGCCCGCCACTCGGGGGATAAAATATCCAGAAAAGGAAGGTGCATAAGATCGCCAAGTTGCCAAGGCTGATAATACATCGTTCCCCACCTTTTGTGCCCTCTCTTCAAGGTGTCTCTTATTCTGTGCTGCAGCTCTGAAAATGCAGACTGGGAAAACCTGCATGAGACATGCGGCGCGCTCTACACCCGGAGTATAAAGAACAGTGATCTGCTGACGGTCCAACTGCACGGTTCTGTCTTGTATAATTCCAGGACTTTTTGCAATCCGCCAAGTGTATGTAATCAGCGTTCCACTGCAGCTTGTATCCACTGGTGGGATCTCACCATACAATCTCTGGGCAGCCCAGACAAGCTTGCATGTGATTTTTGTCAAATTCTTTCGGGCAAACAAACGACGAAATAGGCAGCGAAATACACAAAAGAGAACACAGCACACACTTTACCCGAAAGCGGTTGACAAGCCGCCCTGCCTCGACAATGTCTCGCGATATCAGCCCACTGGAAGCAATCAGCCTCTCGGACCCGGAAAAGTCTCTGGGCGAGAAGGAAGGGTTCCAGGTCCAGTCGTCGCCGTCTCGCCCAGACAGCATTGTCTCTGCGACCAGCCTGCGCCACGATGCGACCCATCGTCAGCTCAAGTCGCGTCACATCCAGCTCATGGGCATCGGCGGCACCATTGGCACGGCTCTCTATGTACGTCAGCTGTGCGCATCGGTGCAGACAGCAGAGACAAGGGCCTGCCCACTAACGGCTCGCAGGTGCAAATCGGAAAAGGCCTTCTCAACGGCGGCCCTGCCAGTCTCTTTCTGGCCTTTACCATCTGGTGTACCTTTATCCTGGCCGTGACCATGTGCATGGCCGAGATGGTGACCTTCAACCCGATCTCGTCGCCATTTATCCGCTTTGCCGGCCGCTACGCCGACGAGGCCCTTGGCTTTGCAGCTGGCTGGAACTTTTTCGTCTTCGAGGCCGCACTGGTCCCGTTCGAGGTCACGGCTGCCAACCTGATCTTGCACTTCTGGACCGACGCGATCCCCACGGCTGCCGTGATCGTCATCATCATCGGTCTCTACGCCCTCATCAACATGCTGGCGGTCAAGTGGTACGGCGAGGCCGAGTTCTGGTCGGCCGTCGGAAAGGTGATTCTAATCGTCGGCCTGATCGCCTTCACCTTTGTCGTCATGGTCGGCGGCAATCCGCATCACGACGTGTTCGGCTTTCGGTACTGGAAGAACCCCGGCTCATTCACGGAACTGTACTACGAGGGCAGCCTCGGCCGCTGGCTTGGCTTCCTGCAGTGTCTCATCCAGGCTTCCTTCACGATCGCAGGCCCCGACTACGTCTCCATGGCCGCCGGCGAGGCCGAGAACCCGCGCAAAGTGATGCCGCGCGCCTACAACGCCGTCTTCTACCGTCTGACCGCCTTCTTCGCCCTCGGCTCGCTCTGTGTCGGCATCTTGGTGCCCTACAACGACCCCGAGATGACGGCCGCCTTCCGGGATGGTCAGCCTGGCGCGGCCGCCTCGCCCTATGTCGTCGCCATGAACCGGCTGCATATCCCTGTTCTGCCGCACATTGTCAACGCTGTCGTCCTACTCTCGGCCTTTTCGGCCGGGAACTCGTACGTCTACTGCGCCTCGCGCTCGCTTTACGGCCTCGCTCTCGACGGCAAGGCCCCCCACTTCATGACCTGGTGCACCAGGAGCGGCGTGCCGATCTACTGCGTCATCGCGACCCTGCTCGTCGCCCTTCTGTCCTTCTTGCAGCTCTCCAATAACACGGCTGTTGTTCTCAACTGGTTTGTCTCCCTTGTCACGGCTTCGCAGCTCCTGAACTTTGCCTGCATGTGCCTCACCTACATCTTCTGGCATCGGGCACTCAAGGCGCAGGGCATCAGCCGTGAGTCTCTACCTCATAGAGCACACCTCATGCCATATGCTGCGTGGTACGGATTGATAGGCACGTTCATCATGGTCTTTGTAGGAGGCTATACAGTGTTTCTGCCTCTTGATGGCTACTGGAACGTTCCCGACTTTTTATTCTCGTGAGTCGTTCGTAATAGGTATTTTTCCGCAACATACTGATGGTGTGGAAATCCAGATACACAATGGTTGGTATCTATCCAGTTTTGTACCTTGGCTACAAGCTGTTCCGCAAAACAAAGATACAAAACCCCCTCGAGATCGACTTCCGCAAAGACCAGGCGGCTCTGGAAGAATACGAGCGCAACTATGCTCCTCAACCACCAACGTGAGCCAAGTTCTATTCGAGAACCATATGAACCAAACTAACACAGCTACACAGAACTGTATTTGAGAAATTTCTCGACATTGTATTTGGGTAGAGTGAGAAGACATACTCAAGGGAGAGGGTTGCAATATATTATGTACTAGACTCATTCTGCAATGTCAATAGAACTTTTTTGCATTTGGCCGAGGCTTTGGCAGGACACTATGGTACCGCCTCCTCTGCGCTGTAGATCTACCGAGGTAGGATCTGTCTACGGCTAAGACATGATGCTACAGGACGTTTCAATACCACACCGCGCCTCTTCCAATATACCTAAATCGGGGACAAATTGGTGGCGCCGTGTTCGTCACTGCAGTTTGTGATGGTGATGTCTGCGACAAAATGCCGATGTAGAGACTGAAAGAGGCCAGGGCAGTGAAATCAGAGGCTCTTATAGGCGTTTCATTAATGCTCTCATAACTCCCTAGGAGTACACGCAACAGTTCTCCTAAGCATACACAAAACACAGACTAAACATCTTGTCCACCACTCACAGCCCAAGGAACAGTTCCAACATCTTGGGGTAATTGGGCGTGCCAAGACCGGTGACGGGATCCCACCCCTTGGAGGCCTCGAAGCCCCAGGTGTTGCAGCCCGGGTTAGTGCCCTTGGTGATGTCGTTCAGAACCTCGGGATGGGAGTAGAGCACTGGATTAATAAATCCAAGAGGGCCAGGCTTTCCGGCCTTGATGCGCTCGTCAATAATGCGGTTAAGCAGCGCAGCAAACAAGGGAGCCGACTGCGAGGTGCCACCACTGAGGTAAAAGTAGTCAAACTTCGTGACGGGGTACCGCCATCCATTAGCAGAGACGTCGGGCATGCCGCGGCCGTTGCGGTTGTAGATACCGCCGGTCGCATTCTGCCAGTTGCCGTCAAAATAGTACGGATACGACGTGTTGCTGTTCTTGAAATAAGAAGCAACAGCCTCGGCTTGGTAAGAAGGAGTGCTAAAGATGTTGGAGAAGCCCTATAGCAGCGTTAGCGGTCGTAAACAGAGCGAGGACAACGGGACAAGACGTACTCCACCGCTGCTAAAGTTTGTCAATCGCATCACAAGAGCAGCCTCTTCCGGATCAAACACGGTCCGGTTAGCAGGCACTTCGGTCGCGCCAACGCCCGTAACCCACGGGCAGCTGCAAGACGAAGACGGGTTAAAGATGGCATCGTCGTCACCAAGGCAGCCATAAAAGTTGCCGGCGCCGTTGTTGCCGCCTCTGCTGCCGCCTACACCGCTATCGCCGCTGGCAAAGAGAATGGTGACGCCCTGCAGCGCAAGCTTCAAGTACTCGTCGCACTGGCGCTTCTGGTAGGCGGCGGGCAGGTCATGCTCGCGCTTGCCGTAGGAGATGCTGATCACGTTGGCCGGCTTATAGACGCCGCACATAAGCTGGCCTTTGTACTGCTGGTAATTCGTAACGGCAGTGTCGGGGTAGACAGGATCGATTTCGGGGTCGTTGCCGGTTTCGCCATAGGCCGAGTACGTGCAGTAGGAGCCGTCAATGGCGTCAAGGAAGGTGTTGAAGAGGCCAGTGGTGTCGTTGCCGCCTGCCGCGTAATAGTAGTCGTCCGTCTGGTACAGCGTGATGTTCTGCGGGTAGATCATCGGATAGGCCACGACAAAGTCCAGCATGCTCTCAGGCCCGTTCACCACGCCGCCTGGAAGCGGAGCCGTGCCGCCGTCAATCGAGTTTAGTATCGGGTGCGTCCCGTTGGGGATCTGCGGCGAATACTTGTTGAAGAAGACGTCCAGGTCGGCCTGGTCATAAAAGTCGTCCTCCTCGAAAATGCCTAGCGAGTTGTTGGTGCTCACTGTCGCATCAGCTGCTGGCGCTGTAAAGTTGTACAGCGCCCGGACGCAGGCCGGCGTGAGGACCTGGTCGCAGATTGTAAGATCGTCTGTCGAAACGTTCGCGGCGGCTTCGGGAAAGGTGTCGAGAGTCCTGTACGCCTTCGGCGTGCTTCTGCGGACTCTCTTCCTCTCCTGTCCCGGCTGCGTTCGCCTCCGCAGACGCTGCAGGTCGATCACGGTGCCCTTGACTCCGGGAGTCACGTAGTCTACGTGCTCCTGGATGTGTCCTGGCAGGTGGTACTTATCGCAGCTGACCAGCACTTCGCTGTCGTCGTCCTCGTCCATTCCATCATGCTCGTACTCGGTGTGCAGCAGCCGTTCGGCCTCAGCCACCGTCGCATCAAAGGCCAGCCAAGCCTTGTTGTCGCTGTGTGTGATCCGCTCCTTGGCGATGCCCGACTCCTCGACCAGCCAGCGCATCACCGAATCGACCGTCACATCCGTCGGCTGGAACGCCTTGATCACCTCGTCCGTGGTCCAGTGCTTGCCGTAGTTGGCCGAACCCGGGTGCGATACATCCATCAGCCAGGCCTCGGCTTGCGCTTCTGCCTTTGCATTCTGCCGCAGACCAATCCGCATCGGCAGTATTGTGTCCGCTTCCAGCCGCTGTCCCCGGCCCTGTCCCAGGCTTCGTACCTGTCGCCGCTCGTGCACCTGGTGGCCGACCGGCACTGACTGCGGCCGGGCCGACACATCAGCCACGCCCACCAGCACGACGAGCGCTTCGAGCAGGGATGACCAATGCATGATGGGGGGGAAGAAGTGTAAAAATGGAAAGCAAGAAATGCCTCCTTGGATGAACCGAGTGCCAAGAACATCTCTTTGCTGGAGGCGCCAGACTGCTGCTTATCAACGTTTTGGCCACGGTCCCCATCTCGTATCTTGCTCTCCGGTTTGGGTCAATCGCATGGTTCGTCGCCTGCTGGCGCTTTGGTTTGGGAAGGTGGTAATGCGGCGAGCCCTTGCACGGAACATTCGGACAGCTCGACTTTCTGTGGGGTACACACGAATACGGGGCAGAAGTGTACAGAAAAGGCGGTAAGACGCTCGTGTTCGGGAACAAGCCACTTTCGACCTTTCCCAACAGGCTAGGCGGTCGCTAAGAAAAGAAACCGATATCATACGGAATGCACGATCCTCGTACTCACGAGCACCTGATTTGGTGGAGATCTACTAGTATGTACTTGTATCTATGTATCTACGACGGACGGACGATTGCCTGGGACCTTACGGAGTACCGACACCAGGAATCCACATTAAGTGCAGGGGTATGGAAGCGAACTCACTGTGCGTTTTTTGATAGGTGGGTAGAAGCGGGCTCAGCTGACTGTCTGGAGAATACTTTACGGCCATCGTAACGGTCAGACGAGAGCGACCATACGATCGGATCGCAACAGGATCGGGAACGAGTTGACTTTACGAGTTAGGTAACGACCAGTCCGAACGAATGCAACCTCCCTCCAGTGTTGCTATGTAAGTAGCCTACCATTGGGGGCGGAAATATTTTCGAATGAGAGCCAAGTCTTCCAATCCACTCAGGGTGCATGGTCTAGGGGTATGATTTTCCCTTCGCATGGGAAAGGTCCCCGGTTCGAATCCGGGTGTATCCAAGTTTTTGACTTTCTTTTTGCCTTCATCGCCATTCAACCCGTGTGGCAGCATGAGTGTTGCCAGTCTGTATTAGGAGCGACTTTGTGGACTTGTTAAGGCAAGAAGCTGTAGCTAAGGTGCCTAAGACGATGTAGCTAAGGTGCCTAAGACGATGTTAGTTGGTAAAGCGCACGACAACAGCTGTTCGACACATTGCGTAGGACGGAGTACTCCGTACTGCGTAGGTCTAAAAGAAGAAATCCTAATGCATAATCACAAATTCACAAACAGAATAACCCTTTTTCGGCCCCTACTGACTGTTAGCTCCTTAGTATGCTACATCCGCCATCGTGGGCACTGTCTAGCAGTGCCTACAAAGACGTATGGCATTTGTCAACACAAACACATCCAACTAGCGGCAGGTTAACGGGCTGGCGACTGACGGGCAAAAATGAATGATGAGAGTGGGACTTGAACCCACGCGGATTGCTCCATAGGAACCTTAATCCTACGCCATAACCAACTCGGCCATCTCACCTTGTTCTTCGGTGAGGCATTGACCGAGATTACACATCACCTGTTGGTAATCGCGATTTGCCAGACGTAACCATTAATGAACCACGCTCCCTGTATACGATATACAGCTCCCAGAGTTGTCGCTTTGCCGGAAATCTAGCGCACGTCTGCTATAATCTAATTAATTGGTTATTTATTTTCGAAGCCATAAAGAAAAATACTCCAGCAAATTATCTGTTTACGATGCAATTACTTCACGGCACCAATCTCTTCGTTCTAGAGTTGCTTCGGTGGGTTCATAATCAATAGTATAATGTAATATTCCGAAATCGCAGGTCATGGATTCGATCTACCAGCAGAAGGATTAGGTAAGCCTGCTCACCATTCTAACTTGGTGTTGGTACACGTTATAGCTTGACATACTACACGGTTAGTTAGTCATCGAAGGAGTGAAAGGGATCCCTGTGGCATACTACTCTCGGTCTGGGTGAAAGCAGCGCTGTGACATTGCTTTACGGCCGCTGGTTGTATTTCGCGTCCTTCAATATGCTCCAAATTCTGATGCACCTTAACGATTTCAGCGAGTCGTGTATTGACACCTATACTTTTTGTCAGAAAACCACATGCATTGTGGATTGAAGAAGACAGGGAGGCTTACAAAGACTTCTGCCGTCCCTGGGCGAATTGGGAACAAAGTTGCTGAGTTCAGAGTATGTGTTCTCATAACTTTTTAGCATAAGTTGCAGGTGGTTTTCAAGATGAAATTTTGCCTCATCCTCAAAGCGCCACAAAGGATCCGTCTTCTGAGTGGTGTAGACATCGCATCGCACAGTAGTTTTCTGAGGAGATTCGGGCGAGTAGACAATTTGGTACCAGAAAGGGCTGCCCACTTTTGTGTGCACTGTCGTAAGTGGAAAGAACTGCAGCTGGCCGGTAGTTGTAGAAACCAGGCCACATGCTGCGAGGGCCTGGGCGAGGAGGCCTCTGGCCGGCACGTTAACAAATGTCGCCCGAGGACTCGCTCCGCCCACAATCTTCCAGTTGAACTGCCCCTTGCCTTCCCAGCTGTAGATGAGCCGGGCGCACCCGTTGATGTGGACCGGTCGGCCGGTGATCTCGGCGTCCTCGACCTTGCTGTCTCCTGCCTCGAGACTACCGCTCAAGTTGACATGAACAAAGCCGCGACTGTCCGTCTTTGTGTGGATGGCGAACAAACCGTTTGGCGATTTGGCAAAACCCGGCAGCTGATCAAAGTGAGGTGCATTAGTCAGCTGGCCCAGCGTGTTGTAGGTCCAGCCGTGATACTGGCAGGCGAGGACGGTCGAGGTTCCGGACGTCTTGCGGGTGATGGGAAAGGCACGGTGGCGACAGACGTTGTGGAACGCACGCACGACGCCATCCTTGCTGAGGATCAGGAAGATGCGAAAGCCAGCAAGATCGAGGGCGAGATAGTCGCCCGACTTGACAAAGCGGCCACGGTGGCCGACACAAATCCAGGTCTGCGGCCTTGAATAAGCCAGGGTGTCCTTTCATCAGTGCAGGGGTGGAGACGCCAAAATTCTTGCCTTGCTGAAGACAGCGCGTCGCTCGAGCTGGAAGACCGAGTTATCGGTCCACCAGCCGCGTGGCAGAGCGGATTCGGGGCCCACGACCTCCTTGTCCATGTCCATGCCCAGACTCTCCAGCGACGTGGACGGTAGTATCCGGCGGGACCGATGTCCCCCAAGGGTACTTCGAACAACGAGACATAGTGCAGCGATAGGCAGAGTCAAGAAGAGGAAGATGGCGGTGTGGGGGGATACGAAGTCGATTGGGGCCAACATGTCGGCGTTGGTTTGGCAAGATAAGCGGAAAACAACGCTCTTTAAGATTTGAGAATACCCGAACCCGAAGATAAGACATGACAACTTCTGTCAAGGTATAGAGTGTTATGTGTGCATGCAAATATATAACTTCCTGCAAGCAGCAGTGGATAGAACAGCCAAAAGCGTATTAGCGGTTATTAGCGGCATTTCGTGCCGAGCCAGGCGTTTAGCATTACCCGTTTAGGAAAGTCGGTCCCCTCGCGGCCGATCCGGAGCTGAGAGATAGAGCTGACGGCTCGATCGGAGCACAGAAGCTGTCGGATGGCCTCTCTAGTGTCGGCCCGTCGAAACATTACTTATTACTGGGCCACAGGGGATCGCGATTCCTAAAGGGGTGTCTGCAGTAGACTACATTGGGGTTAGCCACTATCTTTGTCTACCTGTTCGCGGATTTGAGCTCGAGAAAGAAAATAGACCGTAATCGCAGAGTCGGTAACATCGCCTGTGCTCGCCGTATATCTTGAGCAGCGTGAACGTTCCAGATAGAAGTCAGCGACGAGATTGTAATCAGCAAGTTGCAGCGTAGTCAATATGGCAACTTTTCCAACGACCCTGCCAGCATCATGGTACACGAGCAAGGCCATTGGCGACCTGGAACGACGAGCTGTATTTTTGCAGGTGAGCGAGAGTGTATGTGCCTGCCCATTATACCCGGCTGACGAGGTTCTCAGACGTGGATACTGCTGGGTGCAGTCACTAAATGGCCAAATGTGGGCGAGCGGTACGCAAACAGCTTGGCCGAGGTCGAGCTGTTTGTGCAGCGGGTCTCTGAAGACTGGCGAAGCATACAAGTATTTTCTGCAGCTGATGTAAGTTCGGTTGTGTGGCTGTTGTGCTTCATTGACTGTAGTCTAACTATTCAGGGCTCCGCGATCCGCAGCCACCTGACGGCCACGGGGCTGCTCTTTGTCACGCTGTCAGAGGCCACGGTCAGCTTCGACGACTTCTTCCCCGGCCTAGAGGAGCTGATAGGCCAGATTGACTTCCAGCAGTTTGCGCCCCGGCGCAGCCTCGAGTACGAGGGCCGGTACAACTGGAAGGCGATGATGGACGGCTACCAGGAGTGTCTGCACTGCCCGTATGCACACCCGAGCTTTGCCAAGGTGTATAGGTTCGCCACGTACCGGGTGCTGAACCGGCACAACTACTCGCAGCACATTGCAGCGACAGACCGGCCCAACGACGGTCTCTTCCTCTACTTTTTCCCCAACTCGACGCTGAACCTGTACGGCGGCGGGATGTCGTCGTTTCGGGCGTGGCCGACGGCCGATCCGCGGCGGTCCACAGTGGACTTTGATTACTACCACGTCGCGCCCGAGAGCTCGGACACGTTCGACACGTACTTTCGGTTTGCGCGCACCGTCGCGGTCGAGGACCACGATCTCTGCGAGAAGGTCCAGCAGAACTTGGACGTAGGCATCTATACGGAGGGCATCCTCAACCCGGACAAGGAGAACGGGGTGGCATGTGAGTCTGTATCGTCTACAACGGATACGTTTGCCTGCTAATTTGCTCTCTAGATTACCAGAGCCGCGTGCTGGAAATGTGTGCTGCCCAGTACGAGAAGGAAAAGGAGAGTTTGGCGGGGGATAGCGTTGCCGTGAAGCGAGAAGAAATACCGTCGGTTTTTGAGGTAGCAGCTTCGTAACTGTAAGGCATAGTGTACATGGTATATAGAGCTATCCCGACGAGAGCTGGTGGTCGATCAGTGCTGTTGATCTCTCGTGTTATAAGGCCACAGTGCAAACACGTTTCGTACAGTGCGTCTAGCACATGCCAACGCATTTCAACGCACGGGCCACTTTCCAGCCCCGCCTAATGTACGTAGTCCCGTGCAGATCAAAAAGTCTGGCCCCTCGAACCAGCGACGTATCTTCGTCCGGTTATCGGTGTCGAGGATGTGGACGGCGCCATTGGCCAACGGTGACAGTGCTAGGACGTGAATGGAAGTATTATCCGGCTCGTGGTTATCTTCATAGGCCTCAGATAGCTCCATGTCTTGACCGGTCCGTCTGGCTACCAGAGTCAGAAACACAGCAAAATGGATGTCCTTTCCCGTCAATTTCTCGCTCCTTCTGTGCCAGCCAGAGACCGCAGATAGGAATGTCACCAGTATTAGAATTACAGCTATGGAAAGTCCGTCGTCGGCCGTTGCACAGGCAAACTGGGCAGAAACGCGCAGCTTCGACGAGCCAGCGAAAAGCGCGACGACCAGAACGCCAGAGCCGGCGTACAGACATACCAAGAGCCGAAATGGTGGGTTGGATGACGTTAGGCGCTGATATGGCGGTGTGGTAGTGCTGTTGGGCTAGCTAATCGACGTCTAGGATGCGTGACCTGCAAGGCAAGACGGCGCAAGTGCGACGAGGCCAAGCCGTCGTGCAGCCAGTGTGCGCGTCGCCGAGTGACCTGTGGTGGCTACAGCAGCGGTCTGCGATGGAAGGAGTTTTCGCAGCCCGAGCCAGCGGCGGTTCTGTCGGGACGCAAGGGCGCGGCCAGGAGCTCGCGACAGCGGAGAGCAGCCGCGGCGAGTCCGGGATCCCATGGCGGCCAGACGCCTCCACGACTGCCCGACACGACTGCAAACATTCTGTTCGCCGAACCGGCCGAGACGCTGGAGCCGCTCGTCGACATGGACCTGCTGCTGGCCGACATCCACGCGACGCTTGAGGGGCCGTCCGGCCTGGAGGACAACCTGCTGGTGGACTACCGGCTGGTAAATGGCGATGAGGACGACACAGCTGGGCTTCCGTCTTTTTTCCACGGCAGCACAGACGCAGAAGCCGAGATGGTGGACCTGGATCTGGACCTGCTCGAAGCCGAGGATGACGACAGCACGGCCACGGTCACCGGCTGGCAGCTGCCTTTTGAGGCCATGGCCACGGCTGCCTCTTCGTCCTCGTCTTCGGCCGTGTCATCCTCCTCGACCACTGCTAAGCTGGCCCACACGCTGTACCAGCATCCTCGCTTCCACAGCGGCAGCCCAGAGCACATTGCCTTTCTCTTCAACCGGCGCATCTGTGAGGTGCTCTGCATTCGTGACGACGGCACGGCCGGAAACCCGTGGCGACGCATCGTCTGGCCGCTGGCCCAGGACCACGCCGCACTCTACCACGCTGTCGCTGCCATGACCTGCTTCCAGGGTGCCAACCGGCTGCCGCAATTTCGCGCCGAGGGCTTGCGCCATCTCAACACGAGCATACAGCAGATGTACGGCAGCCGAGGAGAGAGCAACAGCTCCAACAGCAGCAATATGCGCCTCGAGGTCGCCCTGGCCGTCACTCTTGTCCTCGGCTTCGCCGAGACTTGGTACTATCCCCGGTCATCGACCGGGATCCGATTCGTCCAACGGGCCAAGGGGCTCCTACAAACCGCGCTCACCGACAAGAGCAACGACAGCTCGTCCGACCTGATCTGCCTCCGCTTTCTCGCCAACACTTGGGTCTACATGGACGTCATCTCGCGCTTTACCTGTCACGGCCTCCAGACGGTCGACACCCGCTTCATGGCCGCCTGGCGCCGCCTCGACCCGCAGCCACACACGGCCACACGGCGGATGCAGGTCGACCCGCTCATGGGAACGGCCGCGACGCTGTTCCCGCTAATTGGCCGTGTGGCTGACCTCGTCAACCGCGTGCACGGCAGCACGGCGACGTCGTCATCGGAAGATCCTAACGACCTCAACCCGCCCGGCCTCGTGGCTGAAGCTGTTGAGCTCAAGATGGCCATCGAGCGCTGGCGGCCGGCCGAATTGACAGACGAGGAGGACGTCGTCGAGGACCTGAATGCTGACTCAGCAACCCCACCCTCGTCCTCTTCGGCTTCCGACCTCGTCCAGACGGCGGATGCGTACAAGTGGGCATCTCTGCTGCTGCTGCACCAGGCCGTGCCCGAGCTGCCACGGCCGCGCACCTCACTGCCTGCTCGGCTGGCCCGCCGCGTCCTCGTTATGCTGGCCACCGTGCCGCTCGGCTCGCGTGCCGTCATATTTCCTGTTTTGCCGCTGCTCATCGCCGGCTGCGAGGCCGACAACCGGGCTGACCGTGACTGGGTCCGCCAGCGCTGGCATGCCCTATCCATCGGCAACAGCTCCGGCATCGTCGACCGCTGTCTCGAGCTCACCCTCGAGGTCTGGCGCCGTCGCGATGGCGATGTCCATTGGCGTCCACGTCGTCGCCAGCATCGCCAGCATCGCCAGCAGGCCGGGTCCTTCCCAGATTGGACCCAGAACCGGCTCGTTGACAACAGAAGTAGTAGCCCCCGGCCGGACGACAACGGCGACTTCGCCAACCCCTTTACTCTGCCGCCTTGGTCCGCTGCCGCTGCACCGTTCTCCGAATCCCTTCAGCCAGCGCAGCCACGGGAATCCGACTGCTCCCCCTTCCCCACGCCTGAATACACTGTTAAGAGCAGGCAGCACTGGCTAAGCGTCATGCGCGACTGGGGCTGGGAAGGTAAGTCTGTCTGGCAGTCTGTCTCCCTCTCGGCTTGGACCGCGCGACTGACGTGGCTTAGTCATGCTAGGATGACCAATATTGGGCACGTGCACCGGTAATATCGGGATCGGTTCATTTATGTTGGCCAAACGTAGTGTGTTGTTCTCCAGACGTAGCAATATAAAGGATCCGTTCTCCCCGGAAAACTGTCGGAATGGCTGGAAAGTGGTGAATTTCAAGCTAGGAGCTCGAGTCCGGGGGATCATCCCGGACAGCAACCTGTCAAGCATTGGAATCCGCCACACTGTGGCCCTTCCGCCCCACTTGGCCGTACTGGCCTGTAATTGGTCAGAAGGCACAAAAGCGGGGCCTGACACTAGTATTAATACGGATCCCCAGAAGGGTCGCGATGTATCTATTTCTTCCTTAGTACACAACACTCTTTCGCCCACACTAGACCCTATTCAGCCTCCTGCTCCTCACAGTGCATCACGTTATATGACCGCTACGTATAGCCTCCTTTAACCTTCACACAACCCAATATTTATATGCCGAACGACTTATTTCGACAGTGCCACTCCACAGATCCACAAGAAGGAAATGACCCATCGGGGTTATTGACTAGGTTCCCCTCCATTCGAATTCTGTTGTGACCGTCTCGGATATTTCGAGAAGCCGAGAGCCCGTCGTGAGATACGAATCAGCGCTGTAGACGGTGAGACATACGACGTAGGCGGTGCTCGTAAAGTAATTACTGCTGTAGTCTACGGAGTGCGGAGTAAGAGTGCATTGACTAGGCCGTTTCGTACAGCTGACCTTTCTGTATCTTACGATCCCATCTCCCTATTCAAACAGCTAATCCCAATGCGTCAGACTTCCATCTCTTATTGGTCCCCGCACTACCACTTTCTCCACAGTAGCAGACTCCCCGCGAATTCCCCGCAAACGGGAATATCTTGGAGAGCTTATGACCACAAGTACTTTCAAAGACTGCTGATCGATGAGATGGATGACTCCTCACGGCTGGAATTTTGGGGAAAGTAGCCTTTGGAAGAGTTGGGGATGCTCTCCAAAATGAGATCAAAACCTGGGGAAGCTCTCCGTAGATGACAGAGCTTGCGGAATCTTCCCGGCAAATCCGCGCAAGTGTGAAGTACCGCTCTCTTCTTAAATAGGCTATTTCCCCACTGTCATGATTGTTCTATAGACAGCATACACATTGCCAAGATCTGCCAAGATGACAATGTTACAGCAGTGGCCCCTTTCCGTTTCGGAATCGGCCTTTATCGCCGTCATCATAGTAAGCAGTCTTTCTGTCCATCTCTTCCATCGAACATGTGCATCTAACACGCAACAGCTTGGTCTTTACTATGTTATAGAAAATACTCTTCTCAGCCCGCTGCGCTTCCCGGGACCTCTGTCAGCCAAGCTGTCCTCCTTCTGGATCGTGCTGCAGTGTCGCCGCGCTCGTCGAACGGAGGCAGTGTTGGACCTACACCGAAAGCACGGCGACTTTGTTCGCATTGCCCCGAATCATGTGTCCATTGCCGACCCGAGGGCACTGCGTGATATCTACGGCCACAACACCGGTTTCACCAAGGGTCCCTTTTACGAGGCCTTCCACCAGGTTGACCCAGTCCTCTTCAACATGCGTGGTCTCGAGGCACACCAAAAACGACGAAAGCTGATTAACCCGGCCTTTTCACCGGCAAACTTGAGGGCTTTTGAGCCAGAAGTTACTTCCAGCCTACTGAAACTGAAACAGACCCTGAAGAGCATCGCCCAGTCGGGACAGCCAGTCGACTTTAGCTTATACGGTTAGTCTTGTTGATTTACTGTATTTATTCGATTGTGCAACTCTAATTGGACAAGCAAACTTTCTTGCCTTTGACGTCATTGGCGACTACGCCTTTGGCCGTACGTTTGGCTTCTTAGACCGCGGATACGACCACTTGAATTTGATCGAATCCATCGATTTGCGCGGCGAGGTAGTCAACGCGCTCGGCCACCTGCCACCGTGGTGCCAGCCGCTGATGAAGTACAATGTCTTTGACGGCTTCTGGTACCGCGGCACCAAAGCGCTGGCTCATCTGGCCTCAATCGGCCGCGAGGCCTACTTTATGCGCAAGGCCGCCGTGTATGAGCAGCGCAAAGATCTGCTCAGCTTCCTGCTGAACTCCAAGACGGTCCAGATGACCGGCGTGCTGTCAGAAAGAACGATCATTGCAGAGTCTATCAGTTTCATTGTCGGTGGCAGCGATACAACCAGCAGCAGCATGACGCATTTTGTCGACTTTGTGTCGCGCGATCCCCGCCTGCAGCACCGCCTGCAGGAGGAGCTTGATGCAGCCTTCCCGGCGGCCGAGGCCGACGCCAACGAGGATTGGGTTGCCGACTTTGGTGTTGCCGAAAAGCTACCTGTCCTTATGGCTACGATCCGAGAGACGATGCGGCTGCGGCCAACAAGCGCAACAGGTTTGGAACGGATCACACCAGCGGGTGGACGGACCATAGCCAACGTGGTCATTCCTGCCGGAGTAAGGCTAATGTTTGGAGCTTCTTTGTTATTATCCTTTTTCCTTTTCCTTTTATTTTCCTCTTTTTTTTTTGTTATCCCTTCCCTCCTCCCTTTTTTACATTATGCTAATCTTTCAGACACTTGTCAGCGTGCCTACCAGAAGCATCATGCAAGATGCTCGCATATTCAAGGTATGTGCAACCGTACCCGGGTCTTGACCGGTAGTTCGGGTGGCTACAGAAGTGGACACTGATGGAACAGATTGCTGATCACTACCCACTTGGATAGGACCCGGCCGAGTTCAATGTAGACCGCTGGCTGCAAGCAGACTCCGCGCAGCTGCTGGAGTATTTTAACCCCTTTTCGCTTGGGCCTCGTTCGTGCATTGGCAGAAAGTAAGTGACGCGTGTATTGATTAATTTCGGGTTTGTTTGGCCCATGCTAATACGAACAGCTTCGCTTGGATGGAGGTCATCAAGACACTGGCCACACTTTTTCGTGTCTTTGAGTTTATCAGAACACGTAGCGGGCTTACCGAGCTACGCGAGGGCTTCTTTGTAAAGGCAAAAGAGTGCACAGTGCGCATTTCGCGACGGGCAGCCACGACGGCTGAATGACTCGCAAGCGGTGAATACCGGCCTAGACGCGTGGACAGAAGATAGTCAGGAATTAAGAAGATTACACAAAAAATCATGATGCCCTGCTCCGTATATCCACGGGCCAACCGTGTTGTGGCCGTTTCTGTAGCACTGTACGTCGTAAGTGCCAGGTAGGTACTCCGTAGTCCAGGCCAGAAATCGGAGCATCGGCAGTTTCCGTCCAGCCGTGGCCTCTGTTTGTGTAGTACTCGGTTCTGCAGGAATACGGAGCACCCTGTTGGCAACCAGAGCTGAAGGCCAGCCAGGTACGACGCCCTGTCATCTGCTGCACTGCCGAGCTGTAAAGCCGTGTTTCCGAATATGTGGATATGGCTGGCTGGTGGGGGATCGTCGGCTCACGGGCAGCTCAGTTCCCCGGCAGCTTTCCGGCCATTGTGTGGGGCTGGGTGCGGCAGTATTAAACAAGCTGCTGGCCGGCCTTGACCGAACGACGCAGCAACAAACCAACGATTATCTTTCCTCTACACTTCTGTTATTCTTCGATTTGCTAGCCTGCACTTCATTCTCTAATATGCCGTTAATAGAGGCTTTCTTTGACCAGATCAGCACGATCCTGGGGCCAGACAACGTCTCCCGGGATTCGTCTGCCGGGGCGCTTGTCGGTCCAAAGGGAAAGACGGCCTATGGCGACCCCTACCCGCTAGACGAGGCGGTAAAACGCTCGCCCGTCGGCGCTGTTCGGCCCAGCACGGTCGAGGAGGTTCAGGCAGTCATCCGAGCGGCCAATGTGTTTCACGTCCGGCTCTGGACCGTGTCGCGCGGCAAGAACCTTGGGTGGGATTTTCTGTCCAGCTTCAATGCAATTCGAGTTGCTGATCTCTTAGCTATGGCGGCACCTGTCCCGTGGTCAACGGCACTGTCGTTCTGGACCTGCACCGAATGACCAAGATCATCGAGATCAACGAGGAGTTTGGCTATGCCATTGTCGAGCCTGGTGTCTCCTTCTTCGACGTATATGAGGAGATTCAGAAGCGGAAGCTCAAGCTGTGGCCGTCCTGCCCAGCAATCGGCTGGGGCTCCATCCTCGGAAACACGCTGGACCGTGGCTTCGGCTACACACCCGGTGGAGAGCACTCGCAGGTCCAGTGCGGCATGGAGGTCGTCCTGCCCAGCGGCGAGCTGCTTCGCACGGGCATGGGGGCCATGCCCGACAGCAAGCTGTTCGGTCTGTACAAAGGGTATGTTTAGGTTCACGGATCCGGATCGCAAGAAGGCCGTTGCATCAGAGCACTAACTGGCTGCAGAGGGTTCGGTCCAAGCATCGACGGCCTGTTTTTTCAGTCCAACTTTGGTACGTCACCGCACTTCTTCACTCTCTGCATCCCAGACTAACATCGCAGGCGTTGCAACCAAACTCGGGTATCACGTGACACCCGCTCCAGAGGCGTACTGTCGCTTTAAGATCAACTTTGCCGAGGAGGAGGACCTGATCCCGATGATCGACACACTGACGGACCTGCTGCGGCGAAACATTATCGGCAACTCGCCGTCGGTGTCCAACATCTTCCGCGACGCGATCGTGTCGGGCGACCCGGACGCGATAGCCGCAGTGAAGCCATATCTGGGCACAGACAAGTACGTGCCGTATGATGTGATGGACAAGCTGCGACGCCAAAAGGGCTGGGGCTTCTGGACGGCACACTTTGCGCTGTACGGCTCGCGCGAGGTCGTTCCGGCTCTACGAGACACGGTCAAGCGGGCGTTTGCCAAGGTGCCCGGGGCGACGATCAAGGAATGCGAGCTCTACACAGCACCGGAAGACGAGGTGCTGAATGCGAGCATCGTCGGCGAGGAAGAGATCCCCAACACGGGCGTGCCGACGCTGTCGCCGCTCGGCCTGCTTGACTTTGGCCGCGAGCCGGGCTCGTACCACACCTGCTTCTCGCCGCTGATTCCGCCATCCGGAAAGGCGCTGTACGACTGGTACATCACGGCGAAGAAGCGGACTGTCGATGCGCGCTTCGACTTCTTTGCCGACTTCCACGTGTATGCGCGCTACGTCATCGGCATCGAGCTGGTCATGTACACGGACGCGGAGAAGGAGCGGATGAAAGGAAGCTGTTCGAGGTCCTGCTCGAGGATGCTGCAGCTCAGGGCTACACCGAGTATCGCACGCACGTAGCCTTTATGGACGACGTGGCGTCGCACTTTGACTTCAACGGCGGCGTGTTCAACAAGTTCCTGACCCGCATCAAGGACAGCCTTGACCCCAACGGCATCCTGTCGCCGGGCAAGTCGGGCGTGTGGAACTCGGCTGGACCGGGATCTCGGTTGCACGGCGCGTCCGAGGTGCCAAAGCTGTGAGGGATGAGTGTATGAGTGTAGAGCAGAGACAGTGGGGTGCATCAGAGCGAGTCCATTCTCAATTACGACAACAGAGACACATTGATTGAAGTCATAGGACAGTGTATATAAGTTGTGAAAACTCAGGACAGGCCGTCATAGCTTAATTACCGTAACTACTTTGCATTGTAGGATCCATCAGCTATTGCAACATGCTTCGCTTAATACAGACGTCGTGCGACCTCTTCCTTCAGCTAAAGGATAGCTTCATGTCAAAGCCAACTTGCTGTGGACTCTGTCGCCTACACACGACCGCTGAAGCGTGACCCGGCCGGTCAAATCCCAACAATCTCGCAAGATATAGACAATGTACAGCACGACAAATTCAACTCCAGTAACCAGGTACGCCAGATGCGTGTAGATGGAGTAATACTTCTATAGAACGTTCGATGGGGTGAAAGTCGTCCGGACCTGGCCAACTGATTTATTCCAAGAGCGCAGTGCCTGTGCGACGGCGAGAAGCGTGAAGGCGACTGCTTGCATCAGAACAGCTACGAGGCTGAGCATGCCATGCATGCGCAGGTGCAAGACGGTCGCGATCTGGTACCGGAACGGCTGTACAAAACAGACGATGTTACCGATGCTGAGTATGAAACACCACCAGCCAAGGATGATGTAATAAAATGACGATCATGTCCATGTTATCCCAGTCATTCGGGTCGAATGCGCCGCGTTCGTTGTACCGCAGGAAGGCAGAGCCACCGGAAGAACGGTGATGGTGGTGGTAGCGATAATTGTTTTGAGCTTCGTCGACGGGATATCCGGCGCAGTATACTCTTGGGAGTCTAACATTAGCAGATTCCCAGGGTCCATGGTCGTTTCGACTGGTAGGAGATCACTGCGGTAAGTTATAGATACTGCCACACTATAGAGATGTTAGTCGAGTGAAGTGAAAGAACAGGAATACCGCCAAAAGCGCCAATGACGCTATACACCACTATGCAAACAGAGCAAAAAACGGAGGCCACCTACAGAACCATGACAGCTAAAAAAGCAACAACGGCCTGGATATATCCCAGCAGTGACGAGAATGCTCTCCATCTTGTATACGGCCCACCATCGACGCAGTTAAAGGCCTTGTAGAAGCGATGTCTTTGGAGTCGCAGGGCCAGCGTAATAATTTTGAAAGACGTTTCTAGTACAGTCCATGGGAGGGACTGATAAGTTGCGCAACGCGTACATCTGGACAGGTCGCCCATCGCGCTTGCTAGTTGATCTTGGTTGTTGTGAGTGCAGACTGCAGAGTTCTCCGAGCTGCGTCAGATCTTGTGAACTTTTAAATAAAGATGGAAAAGAATAAAATAAAATTCTGTGTATAAAATAGTGCAAACCAAAGGTTGCGATAAGAGTGGGATGTTCTTATTTCACATGAGAGTAAACATATCTGGAGAGCTTCGTGTATGCATCTGCATGCACACGGCTCCTTTATCGTTAATTTACGGCTGTTTTTTGCGAGTGTTGAAGATCTAATTAGTATTAGCATCTGTGTAATATTACTTCTGTTGAAGTACACATCTTGTACGCATTTGCTGTCTCTGTTGAAATCCGATTGATTGGCGCATTCTATTTAGTATAGGACAAGTTCTCCTCTTCCACTATCAACATCAACATAAGCACCAGCATTCCCATTGCTATCACTAACAATGCGCCATCCCCTCCAACGGATAGCCACTTGGCTGCGCTTCGCTGATCAAGGCCCAAAAGGCTTGTTCGTCTTTGATTTCAACGTTGATGGTTCCTTCGGGCGTGCTAATATTGGAGTGCCCATCCATAATGCACCAACTGATTTGCTCGTGAAAGCTAGACTTTAACAACGCCTCGTATATTCCCCGAAGATGAGAGTCGTTTAAAAGACCGGAGTAAAATCTTGGATGCCTTCTTAGTACGCTTTCTGCCACGGTGCTTCGATCCATGAACCGTATCCCCGGTCCTAAAGCAAGTGCTACAGTCTGCAACACTGCTTTTGGAAGCATCGGCTGCTGATACAAAGAATCGGTAGCGATGTTTCCAGCATTCAAGTGATTGCACTCTAGGTTCGTGGCTATCTTTTGGATCAGTTTTTCTGAGGGGGATGACCGTGCTGCTAAGACCTCGGCGGCGGTGTATCGTACAGGCCACTGGTCGTCCTCTCGTAGCAATGTGATTTTTTGAAGTACCTCTTCAGAGAGGGCTGGCTGTGCTGCTAAGGCCTCGACTGCGGCAAGTCTGACAAGATAGTCATCGTCTGTAAATAGCGTAGCGAGTTTTTGATCTATTTCTTCTGGGAGGGCTGGCTGTGTTGCTAAGGCCTCGACTGCGGCAAGTCTGAAAAAACATTCATCGTCCGTAAGTAGCGTAGCGAGTTTTTGAACTATTTCTTCTGGGAGGGCTGGCTGTGCTGCTAAGGCTTCAGCTGCGGCGTGTCTAATAGAACTGTAATCGTCCGTAAGTAGCGTAGCAAGTTTTTGAACTATTTCTTCTGGGAGGACAGGCTGTGCTGCTAAGGCCTCAGCTGCGGCGTGTCTAATAGAACTGTAATCGTCTGTAAGTAGCGTAGCGAGTTTTTGAACTATTTCTTCTGGGAGGGCTGGCTGTGTTGCTAAGGCCGTGACTGCGGAGTACCTGACCAACAGGGAGTTATCCTCAAGTGACACCCTAAGCTTTTGAATTTCCGCTTCCAATAGCAATTTGCTCTTTAACTGGAACTCTTGATTAAGTATTGCCTTCTTCGTTAAGTTCGGCTGAGCTGACAATATAGAAGATGCCTTTGACGCAACAGTAGAGTCTGCATCTAGTTTCGCCTCAATCTTTGGGATAATTGTCTCTGGCAATGGCGAGTTTCTTCCAAAAATCTCGAGAGTTGACAGTACATCTCCGTTTTCTAGTCGTGGTACCAGCGCTTGTAGCGTTATGTTTGGCAACTTTATGTGAGAATTGTCCAATATTTGAAGAGCGGCCTTATCGTTGTAGTCATCAGCCAGCCATGACGTTGCTAATTTGACGATGCTTGACGGGATTGTTGGTCTACCGTTCAGCGATACTGCGATGTTGTACTTGTTGCTGCCATCTTCTAAAGCAGCCATAAGAACGTTGTCCGGAAGTTCCACTTCCCGTGCGAGGGAGGCATTCTCAAAACTGCTCTCAAACAAAAGCCACGATGTCAAATTCTTTTCTAGTGTTGGCCGAATCAACAGGTTCGGCGACACCTCACCCAAGCAATGCATGAGTAGCCGTTGGTGTGCGGGCCCCAAAAGATCGCGCGGTTTCTCATCGATGGTCTGGAAGAACCTAAGTGTGTCTTGTTCGTCCGAATGCCCATCGCCGGAGTCAAGCAAGCCGGCGACAAAACGCCAAAGTATGTCGTACCGGGCCTTGTGTTGGTGAAGAAATATAGTTGTGCCAATTCCTTTGCCGCGAACACATCGCTTGCTTCCGCTCTTATCGGTGATCGTAAACGGCTCGAGGTCCTCTCCAGACTTCCATTTCCGCACAAAGTACCGTGCCGCAAAGTACTCCTGGTAAATCAAGTGCAAAAAGTGGCAGGATTGTTGGCTTCCTGACGTCGAGTCTGGCGGGTCTGATGTTCTTAGGAATGAGAGACGGGGTAGAATCTTGTCGGGTGGGTTGCCATTTTTTGGATCATCGGTGTTGTGTAGTATTGTGCTTGAAATCCTCGTCTCGAACTCGATGGTATCGCTACACAATCCTGAAAAGGCAAGGCTCTCCAGAAACCCAATCTCTCTTTCCATCATGCGCTCCATTGTTTTCGGTGAAGCCGACTGAAGCTCATTCTCTGTCTGTATCTTCCCCAAGAGAAATGCGTCCTTTTTCCACAAGCCATTTTCGATCGCTTGGTACATGGCAGTCATGGTTTCTGGTTTGGATCCGAGATCGATGCTGCCTCCCCAATTGTAGCAAAGCGCGTCTAGCTGAACAGGAATCCGAACGAGGCCTTGAATAAGTGGGTGAGTTTGGAGAAACAAACGGACTTCTTCGGCCTTTTGTGTGCCAGAATTGCCAAATGTCGTATTGACGTATTCCTCCACCTGTTTTGGGTAGAATCCAAGTGTCTCTAGCTCGAGATCCATAGGGTTGATGCCATCCGGAAGTTTGAAATACGGACGAGATGTGACTACAACGTTCTTTTGATTTAGGAGATCTCGAAGAAAGTCGTAGCCATCGTTGTCCCTTGCCCACTCTTGGGACACTTCGTCCAATCCATCAAGAATAAACAAGATTCTGTCTTCGTCCAAGGCCCTGCGAAGGCTTCTGACGAAAAGATAGCGCAACGCCTCTTCGCAATTCTGGAACACTTCACGACGAAACAGTTCTTCGAACGTGTAGGAGGCCGAGCTCCACCTCTTCAGTCGCCGTAGAGGTACCCATAGAACCCGGTCAAACAAGGGCTGCCATTTGTGCTCATGGACAAATTCATAGACCATCTTCTTGCATAATGTAGTCTTTCCGACTCCTGCACGTCCTCGAATCAAAATTCGTCTTGGCGTTTTCGTGGTCCCGTCACGATTTTTGCGTGATTCAAAGATTGTCGACAGTACGATTTGGGTCTGTTTGTCCGGCGTGTCGACACTTAGCCGGTGGCTCAGGCTAAATGGGGAGACCTTTGCATCCCTCTCAGCTGAGTTTGCTGTTTTTGTTCCTTGCTGCTCCACCACAGCAAGATTGATATAGCACTGGTTCATCGGCAGCGAGTCGCCTGATAGCCGTAAAATTGTGAGCTTCTTTTCGCAATTCTCTTTTATATACGCATCTGCTCGGTCAAGAAAGAACGTTTTGCGACTACTGCGAAGAAAGTCCTCGATTCTGCCAGCAACTTTCTCATACTCGAGGTCCCTAGGCCCGGCGAACTTGTTCATGAGCACGTGGGTGCGATCGAGCGGAATCGGGTGTTCGACAATGTCCAGATTCGCGGAATCGCTATCGACCAACTAGAGTACGTTAGTCGTACTGTGATTGTAGTGAAGTGCTTCCTCTCTTCTGCGTACCAGTTTCATTTTCGAAAACCACAAGTACTCATGAAGAAGTTTCGTCATTTGCTGTTCGTAGAAAGTGATCAGCTGAATCTTCAGATTGGGCTCTAATTCAGACTCCTTTTCGCGGTCCTTAACAAGCTTCGTGAATTGGCGTAGCAGCTCTTCAAGGTTGGACGACTGCGTGGTGTTTTTGGTCAACTCAGTCACTGCACGGCCTGTCGCGGAAGCCCATATCGACAAAGCGGGCTCTGCCCAGGGGGCTATATCTTTGAATGAAGTGCCACGGAACGGCGTAGAAAGGAAGACAATTCCGCGCGTGGCCTGACAGACTGAAGAATATCCTGATCCGGCCATGACGAGAGCCTGAATCAAGATGATGCCCCCAAGACACGAAGCGATGAATATGATTGGACGATCTTCATGCTCGGCACGTTCACGCTGGATCCCGTCGAGAATGAGTCTGGTGTACTCCTTCACCGATTTCTGACTCATGTCTTTTGGTTGAAGCAAGTCTGCGGACCAATCGCACGTGAGGATCCGGGCCTTCCCGACTCTGCTCGGGAGCATATTCACATCGGATAGCCAGTTGACACTAACATCACCCTGCCTCCATGTCCAAGTATCAGGTGACTTCGTGTCAAGGCCGTGGATGGCAATGATGTCGGTGTCGGCCTCTGAGTCATTATGGCGAACAGCGAGTTCGACGGCTCCCGGTGGCATTGTTTGGAGGGAGAGGGGTAAATGCGAGGAGCTGAAGAAGACGAAGAGGGTACATGGAAAGAATGTTTGTAAATACAGCGATGTACGAACTCTTGGTAGGGGATCGTAACAGCTGTGAGTCTTTTGAAAACTAGCAGATGGGATGGAAATAGGCTATCCATGCAAATAAGGCTTAATAAAGCCACAGGAAACAATGAGTGAGATTTGTCGTCTTGCCGTCCTGTTAATGGTTGTTAAGAGCCCAGCTTTGTGATCTGGAAGAGCCAAACATGTGCATTCGAGAGCTGCCTAACAAGGCGGTGCTACGAAGGAGGCAGGCAAATGACTTATTGCAGAGCCCAAGGAAGAAGCAATGTTCCAAGCAAGGAAAGAAATGGCGCCCAACAGATGACAGTTTTTGACTAGCGCGCAAGGTGATGAAGCGGTTTGATCATTGATTGGTTCAGCTTTGGCAGCCATCATCAGCACCAATGCACTTCGGAATTCAGGGCTTCCGAAGTTCCAAATCAGTAGCTTAGGCATGTACACGTCAACACGGCACATCAGTAAAAAATCGAGGCCTCTGGTAGTTCCGACTTGCGGAACCAATAGCAGGGCGATAACGTATCAAGACATGGTCAGGCGGAATGCCATTCTGACACGCACCCCTGTGCGTGAAGCCGACAACACAATGCAGTATAACCGTTGACGCCCGTTAGGCAAGAGAAAAAGGTTGATTCATATAACCATAATAAGGAGAACCGTGCACATCCAAACCAAAAATCTTAAAAATGACAAGCTCTATTCAACGTTTGTCGCCTTGACTAAGCTAGCGTCTATGGAGAAGATGTCTTCATTACATGAGAGTCCCGCATCGTGGCCGGTACGCAGAACTAAACTTCGTTTCATTCCAATGGCTTGGCATTGTTAACATGATCTTGTGGCTGCCAGATCCCTGCCAGCGGGTTTGGCAAGTATGGCACGGCGGATATCCTGCCGGCTTCCTACCACTACCGTACGCCGGACAGGAAACAAGAAGTTCTCGACCCGACTACCAACATACCAAAGTTCCTTCGCACGGCGTTGTCGCTTGGTGCACTGGAACCTATGCTGAAGCATCTTTGGTTCGCCGGGGCCAAGCACCCCCCCAAACAGCTGCATTTCCAGGTTGCCATAGGACGGGAAATTGCTGTCGTGGATCGTATGGACTTGCACCTTTTTTGGGACAACAACGGGAGATTCTTCGTGAAGCCTTTGCCGAGATTCCTGCTCGATCCAGAGTTTTGCGAAGAACACCTGAAGTGCCCTGATAGGTGCGACTGCGGATCGTCACAACAAGACGAGGAAGAAGCAGGGTGTATGAAGACACCAAGAGAGATCGCTCTAGGCTTCCTTTACACGTATGCCTGTCTCATCTCGTCCGAGACTGATTTCTTCCTCGCCCGGGAGAAGAATTTATTGCCGGATATCGATTGGGTCCCATGGAAAAACGTGGTCAAGGATATTCTTCGAAACCACGATGACAGCCGAATACACCAGAGATTCCAGCGTGGCGAGCTTCGCCTATCCCGCGTCAACACGCTTCATCGCTTCACGCGACTGTCACTGTTTGACCCGTACTTTCGCGGCTGGAGCAACTACAGCAGCCTCTTCTTGGACAACTTTGCTTGGATGGCCGGTGCAACAGTCTTTGTGGCTCTGGTGCTGACGGCCATGCAAGTCGGCCTTGCGACGAAACGGCTCAATGGCAACGCCGCTTTTCAGCGGGCGTCCTACGGGTTTACCGTCTTTTCCATCTTGGGGCCGTTGGGCGCGTTCTCGCTAGTGAGCCTCTGGGCGTTATTAAATCTTGTCAGAGATCTGCCATTTTTGTTTGCAGAGAGAAAGAAGGTGGGGGGCAAGTTGTCTTCACGAGTATGAGAGTAGGTGGCGTGTGATCCGTGCTAGATGCCATATACACGGTCTATTGGCACTGTGTAGTGTAGTCCAGCAGGACCCACCTACTCGTATAAATGAGACGGGTTACATCCGAGATCATCCGGAAGTTTTCCCACTCTGTAGATAGGATTGAGGCCAGCAAAGACAACTTGCACTTACATAGCAATACCTTCGATATGCACTCACCTGGTCTTTTCTTGGCCTTTATCTTTACATGGTGTAACAGGTCTGTGACGTTCGCCATCCGCCTTGATAGGCTTGAGCCGGTCGAAGTCTGGGGATTACGTATGCAGAAGCCGCATTCCATTTTCTCGTATTTGAAAATAGAAAAATCGGTTATAGAGACCCGACATGATAACGGCTGCACAGTCTTCGACATTCCTATTGCGAACTGGACGCTATTGGCAATAAATCCCAGAAGACGGTAACAATGGCCGTGCTATTGTCCTGTATGCGAAGTGCGATTATCGGTGCCGTCGACTTGGTAATAAGGCGACATATGCAAGGGCGGTTGGGACCAATGCACGACAACAACTTCCACGTGTTTCGGAGAGCTAAATTGGCCTTGATTATATAACGGTGAGAATGGCGACAGTTCTGCTTGTCATGCAAGCTTCCGAGGCTATGACATGTTCTCCTGGCTTTGGGGTTTTGCTCCACAAGATCCGATTTAAGAAGCTGCCCCGATCAAACGTGTTTGACGTCGCAGTGCCTTTGCACACTAGTCCGAAAGGATGCACGAGGGCCTTGGCAGGAGGTCCGTGTTCTGACGAACTGCCCGTTCTGGAGTAGGATGAGCGAGCACGACTCGTATTTTTATCGTATGGCGTATAACAGCAAAGACCCACGAGACGAACGCATGGCTCCCCTGTTGTCGGTCCTGTTCACCACATATAAGTAGGATTTGATGGACGGCCGTTCCGTCCGTGGAAATGGTCTTTTGCAGGGTCAACTCGTCCACATTGGGGAGCTTCCTGTTCTACTGCCAGCACCAGCACGATGCTTCTTCTGCGCTCGCTCTTGGTTCTGTCCTCGGTGGCAGGCAGCCTGGCTGCTCGCCGGGACCCGTTTGCTCGCCAGGATCCGGTTGCGCTGCACCGCCGAGCCGACGGCGGCGACGCGGACGCATCGTCCAAGAACACGACGGACATCCAGCCGAAGCGGTTCATCGTCGAGTTCAACGGGGTATGTTCCACCTGTGCAGCTCTGCTTTTGCAAGTGTCCATCTGCTGACTTGTTTTCAAGGGCTCCGACTCCCAGACGGAGGCTGATGGCCTCGCAAGCCGTCACAACCTCACGGTGATCCGGGTCTTCAACAGCGACGTCTTCCAGGGCGCCTGTGTGGAGTCGGGCCGGGCCAACCTAGACACGCTCAAGGCCGAGGCGCCGGTGACGCAGGCCTGGCACGCCAAGCGCATCGCGCTCAGCCCCGTGACGGTCAACCAGACGTTTGGCGAGGCGGCAGCCGGCGTCAACATGTCGGTGCACCACATGACCGGCGTGGACAAGCTGCACGAGGCCGGCATCCGGGGCAAGGGCGTGACGGTCGGCGTGGTCGACACGGGCGTGCTGTACACGCATCCTGCTGTGAGTGAGATGTCCTGGGCGGTGTTGGGGGCGGTCCGCTAACATGCACGCAGCTGGGCGGAGGCTTCGGTCCTGGCTACAAGGTTGTGGGCGGATACGATCTGGTCGGCAATGGAGGTGAGAAATCCTGCGCGCGTTTTGCCCTGTAACACGCCTGACAAAGCGCAGACTGGCCGACGGACCCGGTCCGGCAGCCCGACAACGATCCGATCGACGAGCTGGGCCATGGCACCCACGTTTCCGGCATCATTGCGGGCGAGAGCAAGCTGTTCACGGGCGTTGCCCCGGACGCGAAGCTGCGGATGTACAAGGTCTTCTCGACGGTCGACTCGACGAGCGAGGACGTGCTGATCGAAGCCTTTCTGATGGCGTACAAGGATGGGGTGGACATCATCACGTCGTCCATCGGCAGCCTCGACGGCTGGGCCGACAACGCCTGGGCTCTGGTGGCCTCCCGGCTGGTCGACCAGGGCATCGTGGTGACGATCGCGGCCGGCAACGACGGCGACGCGGGCGCGTTTGCGTCCAGCAGCGGCTCCTCGGGTGCCAACGTGCTGGCGGTGGCCTCGATCGACGCGGACATCTACCCGGGCCCGTCGATGAACGCGACCTTCCACTACAACGGGACCGAGAACAACGTGAGCATCCCGTACCGGGCCACCGACCCCTGGTACCCGTCCAACATCACCGGCTGGCCGATCGTACCGCTGGGGCTCAACACAAGCATCGCCGACGAGGCCTGCCAGCCGCTCCCGAGCAACAGCACCCGCGACTTTACCAACACTGTCGTGCTCGTCCGACGGGGCGGCTGCAACTTTGCCGTCAAGCAGACGAACCTGGCCGCCTTCAACGGCACCACCATTCTGTTCTACTCTAACGAGCTGCCGCTGGACATTCCCACGACCAACTATCTGGGCGACAGCCAGATCGCCATGATCACGCGCGATGCCGGTGCTGAGATCATCCGCACAGTCAAGGCCGGTGGCCAGGTCACTGTCGACTTCAGCAGCAACCCGATCTGGACGCTGACGGGCGTGCCCAACGAGGAGTCGGGCGGCGCGCCCAGCTTCTACACCAGCCTCGGTGCCACCAACGACCTGTACGTCAAGCCGGATGTCGCTGCACCCGGCGGCTACATCCTGTCGTCATACCTGAAGAACGGCTACGCTGTGCTGAGCGGCACGTCCATGGCCTGCCCCTATGTCGCTGGCGTGGCTGCGCTGTACATTGGACAGTTCGGTGGTCGCCAGACTCAAGGAACTGGCTTTGCCAAGACCCTGGCTGCCCGCATCATGAACTCCGGGCAGCCGGTCCCTTGGAACGATGGAGTTGGCGATGTCATCAACTACGGCATCCCTGCGTCCGTCGCTCAGGTCGGCACCGGTCTTCTCAACGCCACCAAGGTCCTGCAGTATCACACCGACCTCTCGCTCTCTAAGTTTGCCCTCAACGACACCCACCACTTTAGCCGCTACCATACTGTCGAGATCACCAACAACGGCCCTCAGCCCGTCACCTATTCCTTCTCGTCTACCGAGTTCGGCGGCCTCAACACCTTCAACACCGAGGCCGATACCTGGGACACGCCGCGCGTCGCCTACAGCGAAGAGGTCATGGCTGAGCCCGTTCGTGGTGCTGTGCCTGCTATCTCTTTCCCTGCTAGCCCCTTCACCGTGCAGCCTGGCGAGACTCGCACGGCCGAGATAGACTTTGCTCCCCTCGACAACGCCGCTCTCGGACTCAACGCCAGCCAGCTGCCCCTCTACAGCGGTACCATCAACATCGATGGCTCCAACGGCGAGTCCCTCGCTGTGCCTTACATGGGCCTTGCTGCCAACCTGCACAAGGATGTCGGCACTATGTTTGATTACGTAATCGGATTCCCCACACTGTCCTCCACGGCCAAGCACATCCCCATTGCCCAGAAGGCCAACGTCACCTTTGACCTCGATTCCGACGTCCAGGACTACCTCACCTTCTACACTCGCTTCCGCTACGCCTCGCGCGAGCTCCGCTGGGACCTCTTCAATGCCAATTGGACCGAGCGCGACTGGGTCTACCCTCCCGTCGTCGGCCAGAACGGCTACATTGGTGCGGCCACCAGTTGGACCGATGCCACTGCTGGCTCCTACTTCAACGCCACCGAGGATGACCCGACAGACGTCGTCACCCTTCCGCTCATGAACCTGCCCCGCAGCATCGTCGGCTCCTATGGCGTCGAGCTGTGGTGGCTTGGTCGCCTCGCAAACGGCTCGCAGATTGCTCCCGGCAAGTACAACATGCGCATTGCTGCGCTGTCGCCCTTTGGCAACCAGACCCATTCCGACAACTGGGACGTGTACAAGACGCCGACGATTGAGGTCTTGCCGCTGGAGAAGTAGATTGGTCAAGTTGTAATGTATCGTTAGTCTGTAAGGTGGGTGAGAAATAAACATAGCATGCGTTGCATTCTGCCATCCAGGGCTCAGTTGTGGTAGATGCCCCATTCCACGTCCTGGCTGTTCACTTTCACAGTCGCTCTTTGGTGGCTTGACGTAACATGGCCAGTTGTTGCGGTCGTCGCTGAGCTTGGAGCTATCCCAGGCCGCAAAGGCAATGCCAAAGCTGCACACGGGAAGTGGCGCGCAGTTTCTATAAACTTTAACAATGCATACCTATTTCATATGATTTAAAACGACGAAAAGTCTTCCAAACCGCATTCAAGAATCAACTTGTTCTGTCTTTCGCTCTCTTGTCAGCTCACTCCAAGCATAGCACCACCGTCTGTCAAGATGCTGCAACAGAACCACTTGAAAGAAACAGTTGCTGGACAGTCATAGAAAAGATTCCATTGGTATAGTAGTAATCATAAATAAGGTAGTGACTGTATTCCGTCTGAAATATAGGCAGGCCAACATACACCCAGCACTCCCTCAGCAGTGCACACCCCTCATATAGCAGTATACGTCGGCTGATTATTACAGTGGTGCTCTCTAATACATAGTCGACATGCGTAAGACTTTCGGCGAAAATTGGTCTCCTGCCACCCGTTCACTTTTATTGCGGGTTAATTATAATCTTGCTCTCTTGCGTTCCAGTCCGCTCTGGCTACTTTTTAAAAAAATCTTAACTGGAAAACTTACTCGGTTAATAGGATGTCCCCGACAAAGGAGAACAATACATCGTATGGTCTTCATAGCTTGTCCCTTTAATGTCTTTCTTTTCCCGTGCCAGCCCGACAGTTCTCTATCTATTCTTTCAAACTCATCTTGGATACTCCCATGAGTAGCCTGTTCACCCGATCGCAGTCCCAGTAGTGGACACGATCACCAGAGAGACCGCTTGGATCACTATTGCTGGACATGCTTTCGTACCAAGACCGTCGTTCCCTTTGCTCTTTACTCGGGTTGGTGGTCCGGTAGTTCTCCTTCAACTGCTCCCAGCCTCGGAAGCTGCCCACGTCCTCGGCGACACCATGACCCGATCCGCCCAGACACACAAAGTCATCAGTTGGGTCTGCACGGCCAGTGACGGTCAGATAATGCTCCCAGTTGTCGCCAAAATCGTAGGTGTAAACAATTTCGCGGCCTGCTTCGTATTAGCGGAGACGTTGTCGAGAAGGGCCAAGCCATCCACAGTACGCACCTTGAAACTGGACATTATCGAAAAGCTGGTAGATCTTGTACTTATCCGACATCTTTTCTAGAGTATGCACATGTCGACGGTCTCCCTCATGCATACGATCTATGCCCGAAACTGTGATCTCCTTCACAGGGTCCGCTGCCCGGAAAAGATACTCACGTGGTGCCGATGCGGGAATCTGGCCGCCGGAATTTTACATCAGCATCTTCCGCTTGATGACATCCATGACGTTGTCTGGTTCACGATACGATGGGTCCTTGACAGCAAAGTCGAACGAGTGCGTTGTGGCCCAGCCGAAGGCCACCTGCAGCGCAACATGCAGATGGTATAGACTAGTGTCTGCCGGGCAGGAAAGGGTGCGAACAACCTCGGGATTGGTGATATTTCCAGGGGACAGGTGGAACTTGACAATGTAGTTTTGACGACGGCAGCTCGTCTTGTGCGTGGTCCATGCGACCGTCTGGCATTCGCGAGAGCAGTATCCCACCTTCCTGCATCTGCTGCATGCCTTCAAGGCCGCAGAAGCGGCGCCCTTGGTACAGGAAGAATTGCCACACTGCTGGGAAGCCATCGTGGTTGACTGATGCTGCGCGAAGATAGAATCGAAGTAGAAGGAGTGGCGAAAAAAGAGCGTTAGAGGCTACCAACGAATGGCGGTGTGCAATTTTTGCACAACTGAAATGAAACGAGTTTGATTGGTATGATTTTTCTCTCCAGAAACAGGACATGGATATAAGGGTCCACAAACAGCCTCGTTGCCTCACAGAAGCTGAAGAAAACGGCCGGCGCAAATGATGGGCAAAGAAGGCACCAACAAAAGCCGATCTTGGTACCTGGCTGGTTGAAACAGCAGTGCTGACTTGCCTACAGCGATCCAGTTAGCCAGCCAGCCGCACGACCTAACAGCGTCAGATTTTCACATTCATATTGTCTTCGATGGCGAAAGCTTCGGTGCAGCCTCCGGCTATCGAGGACTGCGCCTTTGGTTCCCCTTGTGCATAGCGACAGCCATAGGCTGGACGGACAGGTTGCAAAACCTTTGCGCTGTTTCTCCTTGCTATCACGAGCTAGTCCTTAGCTAAGGCCAAAACCATGCCGAGTTCGTCGTGCTCCCTCGCATCTACGAAGCCGTTCTTAGCATACAGTTTCCGTCCTGGAGGGTCGGCAAAGAGCGTGATGTACGGCTCGCCCTTGGCGGCGTGTGCTTTGATGTGTGCGAGCAGAGTCTTGAGAATGATATTGCCGAGACCTTTCCTCTGGTGATCGGGCAGCACACCCATGTCGGCAATGTGGAAGTACCACCCGCCGGGCTGCTCCCCTCAGGTAGTTTGTAGGAAATATGGCAGCCATACCAGCTGTTGGTCACGGCACCAATTGCTTGCTCTTCGGTCACGGGCGACAGACCGGCTGCAACTCGGATGCCGCGATATTCGGTAACACTTGGGAAGCCGTCGTGGAGGGTGTACCCCAGAGAGAGGGCGGGAATAGAAGCCATTAATGGTGACGATACAGGAGATCAAGAATAGATGACTCTCGTGTCAAGGTAAAAGGATTCTCACAAATAAAGACTGATTGCAACGACCAAGTTTCGGTCTACAGAGCGGCTGGTGCCTGTTGCTACGGAATCGAAGTAGCGGTTTTGCCGCTTCCGACCGCCTATTTATTCCAAGGAAAAGTATATCGTTATTTCCGTCAAAGAAGCTACTTCGGCGTGTTCCTCGATCTTTCTACCTAATGTATACAGTCGTGCGCCTTCAAAAGTGGGTGGCACGTTCTGTCACATTGTACGGAGTATAACACCAGAGATTGAGCACAGATCACAACCTGATTCTCAAGCAGACCTGAGACAGCACTACAACTCTACCACTTCAAAAGCAGACAGATGGGAAGCCATTCAACAGCAACCTACTCACATCAACCCCGGCATTGATAGCGACAAGTCCTCGGACGTACTCGATACCATGCCGCACATGTCCTCTAATCCCCCCCTTAGCCCTATACAATCATCCGCACCTGCAGCTTGCCGCCCTCGACCACTTCCTTCTCTTTCGACAGCAGTTCCTCCACGTCCCAGGTCGCCGAGACGTACCGCGCCGCCAGCCACTCGCGCCGCCGCTCCGTCAGAAACACAATCACGTCCGCGGCCAGCTTCGGTGTCTCCGTCATGGCCGGCTGCCGCTCCTTGGGCAGCCGCCGGCCCATGTCGGTCAGCACGCCGCCCGGGTGCAGTGCGTACGTCAGCACGCCGTCAGCGCCGTGGTCCTGGTCGAGAAACTCGGTAAAGCGCAGCAGTGCGAGCTTGCTGGTCTGGTAGGCCGACGCGCCGGGCGCGACTAGGTGCGCCGCGATGCTGCAGAGGTTGATGACCGTCTTGTCGCCGCCTGCCTCAAGCATGAACGGCAGAAAGGCTCGCGTCACGAGGTACGGCCCACGCACGTTGACGGTAAACGTCTTCCACCACTCGTCCGGGTCGCTGTCGGCAATCTTGGCGCGCGTCTCGAGGTAGCCGGCATTGTTAACCAGCAGGTCCAACCTCGGAAAGGCCGTCTTGATGGCCGTCGCTGCAGCCGCAACGCTCGCCGCGTCCGTCACGTCCAGCGTCACGGCCACTACCTGCGGCGGCATCTTGCCAGCCGCTTTGGCTGCCGCCGCAATCGGCTCTAGCAGGTCCGTTATGCCGGTCCGTGCCCCGATGCCGATGCCGGCGGCTCCGGCACTCGCAAACGACAGCGCGGTCTCGCGGCCAATGCCCTTGGAGGCGCCCGTGATGAAGACATAACGGCCGCTAAAGTCCCGCTTGCTCGGGTCGATGGCCGGATACGTGTCCTTGTGACGGGACTCGGTAAAGTAGAACCCTCTGCGTGTTAGTGTTTTCGTTGTCTTTCACCCTGGACCTCCACCTACCAGTATGCACTTCTTCCGACATGGTGGTTATGGTGAATCTCTTCGATGACTCGATTCCGGAGGCCGGTGATAAGGTTGGGCGTACCAGGTAGAGATATTGGCCAAGACGATGGTTGGTAAGCAATGATGCAATCTGCCGCTAGAACGCCCTCGTAGTCTATCCGATAACATCCGGAAAAGCCGTTCGAAACAGCCGTTACACTAATTTTATACTTTCCGGGCAAAAAAAATGACAGAAACTCGGAGCGTCAGCGTAAAACCTGTAATGGAATATCAAAAAAACGTACAGCAGCGGGTATTCGCTGGTCGTCACCGACCCAACTACTAATCCGCCGATTACTGGTTTAACTAGGGGAGAGCGGACGGGATCCCGTGCTTTCCAGTATCTATGGCCGTACGTGGAAGTTTATGTCACTGCCTAGTTTATGTAGCGAACGTGATTTGTGCTGTTGACTTGCTGGACTGTAATTCTAAAACGTTATTCTTACTTTTTGTAATCTGAAAATGAACTCCTTCGCAGCCATCTATACTGCTATGTACCTCCGCGTCATCTCCGTACTTGCTAACGGCCCGCCGAAAAGTCCAACCGTTCCACCGACCCCTGTCCGGCTCCTAGCGGGGTCACGGCCCAAACATCGTCGACCCCGCCTTGGCCGGCGTGCTGCAGATGCACGCCGGTTGCAAGACCACGTGCACGGTCGCGTGCAAGGTAGTTGTATGGAACAAACCGGATGGCTCTGGAGCCGGTCGTGGTTAGAGTGTTCGGCAGGTCTCCGAGGTGCAGCCCGTGATGCATGCCCAGATTGAGCCATAGGACGAGGTCGTCGCCCTGGGAGATGGACTCGCCGTTGACGAGCTGGCAAAAATCGACGAGCGATTGGCCAGGTCGAGGGCGTTGGCTGAAATAGACGAGTGCGGCTCTGAGTCTTTCTAGCGCGTCCACCCAGGCGGCAGCACGCTGCAGCACGGTGGAAGGGTGGAATTTCGAACTGTGAGGTAGATGGGCGGCATAACCGGAACGATGCGGTACGATAGTGTTTCGAAGCGAGCCTAGCCGATTTTGAGTAGACCAGATGGTCTAGAGTAGCACCAACGACATACATAGTTCCAAGCTCTCAGTTCACGGCGGCCTCGACGGGCATAAGGTTGCGATGCAGCTCCTCAGTGTTCATAGCCTCACTTAGTGCCACTCAGAGGTAGTAATGCGTCTTTTCTGTGCCCGGCACAACGCGCAGTCGAGTTAGCGTGTTGTTTGTACCCAAATGTCGAGATTAACCTTCTATCACCGGTGTGTCGAGCGCGTTCATCTTGATGGACACTCGGGCAAATCGAGGCGGTGGTGGCTGCTGATTGTCCAAAAAGGCGAGTGCGTCAGATTTATTTGGTCGCAGCGGCTGTGTTACGAGGATGACGTTGGACCTGGAAGTGTAGTTGTCGAGGGGCGTCCAGTCAAGTCCCGAGTCTATGCCCTGCAGCCATTTTACGACAGATTGGCATTCTTCCCAGGAGAGATCCTGTCAGATGTTGGTGTGGTGAGCAGTCTTTCCGGATGGCGGGGATAGAAGTGTGGTGCTGAAGTCCACTGGTAGGCCTAAGAGTCCATCTGGAAAGATTGTGCTCTGACGCAATAAGTACGACTGCAGTTGTGACGACTATGACAGAAACGAGGAAGGCAGCCAGACGAGGTCTATTCTTGCGAAAGTCCATTGCGAAGGGATGAGGAGAACGGAAGACGGCGGATAGTAAAAGAGGTGTTTGGCAGGAGCTAAACGGACAAGGAAGGAAGGAGCAGGTGGAAGGGGGCAGCGCACTCTGTGCGTGCTTGTATTACGTGAGAACTATGGGCCCAGTCATTCAGCTGTATCCCGTTGGCTGGTTTGAATTTCTTGTATGAATGCATCCATGTGTTTGACAGTTCCTACCCCAACCATCCACCAAAACGAGAGACGACAAGGACAGCTTAATAGTGAAACAGAAACCGCGCTCGGGATGGATTGACGGTTCCACCGACCTGTCGCAGAATGTCTGCACACTCCTACTGGTCATTGAATAGGGCTGTTTGCAGCGGTGTTTGTTGGGAGGGACCTGCAACCAAGTTGACGCTGGTGCCTGCAGAGAGTAGGTACTGCACAATGTCGGCATGGCCCATGTGGGCGGCCGCATGGAGCGCACTGGCGCCGAGATATCTGCTTCCAGGCGCGTCAGTATTGGCACCAGCAGTGAGCAGCAGCTCGACGAGGGGATGGCTTGTGTAGGTGATGCTGTTGCTTTTAGTATCGGCAATACACGCTGCCTGCAGTGCAGTGAAGCCCTTGTGACGGCTGACCGGCGCGTTGACGTCGGCTCCGGCCTCGAGCAGTGCCCGGACCACGGCCAGAGGAGCCAGAAGCAGATAAGCAGCCTGCAGAGCTGCGAGGCCGGCCGTCGTTGACGGAGACGCGTTGACATCTCACCTGGTCTGGCTCGTTTGCCTCGTTCTCGTCTCTCTTCTACCCCTCCACATGCTAGCTGCAGGGACGTCCGCATGCTGTTATTTCCTCCCGGCGCGGCGACGTCGGGCCTGGACATGACCGATGTCGCCGTCCTTGGCGGCAAGCTGCAGATCCGTCCAGCGGGGCTCGTCTTCCTCGTCCATGTTGCTGCACTTGCAGCTGCTTGTGCTGTGGCCATTTCCGATGACAATGTCCGGATACGAGCACTCGCCCTGGAGATAGTCAGGAAATACGGCGGTTGGTTGTACTATGTGACACAGCTAGAAGCAGCTTAACTTCGGTTCCGTCTATCAGAAGTCATATTTGTATGCTTAAATTCCCTAGCGACGTTACTTTGATGCTACATTACGGAGTATGTTGCTGTCTGTGTGCTCTTTATTGCCCATAAACAGAGTAGTTTGAATCCGTAGCTCAGGTCCAAGCATCAATACAGTCCGTAACGGGAAGAACACCACGACGAGACAAGGCAAAACAGAAAGATACAATGTATAGCCGTAGTATTATAAGTAAAACGACAAGTCTGTTGTGTCTCCGCCTTGAGCGCCTGCAGAAGCATGTGAATGCATTGGGCCGTGTAAGCGCCATGGATCTTGGACGTGAACTGCGTGGCCGAGAAGTAATGATCGCGGAAGTGGTTTTCGCGCAAAACATTGAGGCAGTCGTTCTGGTGGAAGAAATCGATCTGTGCGAGATAAGCATCAATTCCCTCGTGCCAGGCCGCCGACGGCTGAATGCGCGTGTGAAAATCCTTTCCAGACGCCACAATCTCGGCGCTCTCTGTTGAGATGCGGTCCCAGGCCATGTCGACAGCCACCGACGGAGGCTGTGGCCAGATGGAGGCGTTGTCGCGCAGTGCGCCTCTGAACGTCTGCTGCGACGGTCGCAATGGGCGCCTGGGGCCAGCAAAGGAGAGTCACAGTATAACGACACGGCCTTCAGGTCGCTGTGCTTTTCGTAGCTGCTCTCCGACGAAAAGGATCACACCACGTTTGCTGATAGCTGAGATAGAGGGCTTAAACATGCCGCACTTGCCAGCTTAAGTGTACAAAATAATACAGCTCTAACCGGCCTACGAAAAGAAGCAATGCGATCAGCCAAACATCCACAAGATCGTCGTATTGAGCTCCTTCGTGTCAGACCCACCCTGAGAAACAACCGAGCTGCCTGATGTGGAAGCGGTCCGGTTTCTTGCCCTTGGGACGATCTTCACATGCCACCAATTCAAAGATAGCCTATGTCGTATAAGAAACCGGAGTCTGACTAGACTCCCTTCTGTTATTAGCTCTTCCCGCCCTGCACAACAACCAACCAGAAGTTTGTTCCTGCCGCCAGTTATGTCTGTCCATTTCCACCACGACCTGGACCCCTCTTCGGCCGAGCCATTTCTGGTCGCCACAAGTAAGGCCCGCGACGATGACATTGGTTTCGAGGAAGCCGATCTAGGCGCCTCACGCCCTCTTTACAGAGGCATCGTCGTGCAGGACGTTTGCATCCGCATCATCTACTCGCCTTGGCTGCCATGGTTTCTTCTTGTCCTTGCCGGTGCCGCTCTGCTCCATCAGACCATTTGTCCGTGGACAGCCGAGCAGGCTGAGACACATCCGGGGCCTCCCCACCTGCTCTACAGTATGGTCCACCGTCCGATCTCCTACCATCAGCTCCACCGAGCAGCCCGACTGCTCGTCATGCTGACACTCTGCCCTCGTTTTAGGCCCTGCACAGGACGCGGTCGAGTACGAGGTGCACAAGTTCCACCTCGGTCTCGACACCGACCTAACCGAGTACCAGGGTGAGCCCTCGCCTGAGCTGGACCGAAGATGGTCTGAACTCTACAATGGTGAGAACAGATGCTCCATAATTCCCTGTGCGCCTTCGTATTCGCTGACGGTGCAGTCGGCATCAACCTCATCCCGCTAGAGAGCGCACGGCAGCTACCCAATCGAACCATCCTCTTCCCGCACGACGAGCAGCGTCGCTACCTGGTTGAGCTCGACGTGTTCCACCAGCTCCACTGTCTCAACATGATCCGCAAGGCCCTACGCCCGGACTACTACAAGCCGCATCTACCCGGTCCACAGCCTGGCGACGAGGACGAGCTGCTGGGCCCACAACACATTGATCATTGCGTCGACGCGCTGCGCCAGTCGCTCATGTGCAACGCCGACATCAGCGTACTCGTCTGGGGCTGGCACCAAGGCCGCCAGCGGCACACGGAGCGAGGCACCATTCTCCACACGTGCAAGCGTTTCGACAAGATTCATGAGTGGGCACGACAGCACGCCGTGTACGAGGCCATGGACAATGGGTTCCGCGAGATGAACGATCCGCTGGATCCATCGACTTGGGAAGGTGGATATCACGGGGAAGACTAAACAGATCCGCTAAGGCTGTCCGGAGCCAGTGAGCTAGCCCTGCTATAGATGTTCAGAACGCGACAGACAGCTTAAGGAAAGTGCTTTGTGAAGGATCGAGCTCGGAATACGGGATCTCACATCTGGTGGCAGTTTTGCACCGTATCGTACGCTGGAAGAATAATGTCACCTGCCTCTTTCGGAACTATGAAATTTGGTTGTACTACTGTAGAGACAAGTATAAGAAATAGGTCAAATATGAGCAATATAAGGTTGCAGAGACCACAGCCCCCGGAAGACGTACATCGTTGCAGTAGCATGCATAAAGGCGGAGTATTGTCTTATAGTCGGCCTTACGAGAGCTGGGCCACATCGGGTCGATCTCACATAGGAAGGCCACTAGGGACCGAACAGAGGCCGAAGCCCGAGTCGTGTCGTAGATCCTCGGCTTAAGCTGAGCTGCCTCAGAAGGACTGCATCTGTCCCCAGCCCGACCAGGCAATTATGCAGACTGAGGCCTGCACCGTCAGTATAGACAAGCGTCGGTTGGCCTTTTGCCGCCATAAACGAAAGACTGTGGGTTCAGGATATGTGGCCTCGGCAAAGGTTGAATACGTACTCTATTAGGCTTTCGCCCTCTGCTGGACTATATAAGTCTGCTCCTGCCCGCTGAGTAGATACGGACGATACGGTCAAGCCACACCTTCCACATATTTGCATCCATTACTGCTACATCCCACAACTCCATCTTGTGCCTTTCCAAGACTCAAATGAAGTTCCAGAGCCTCTATGTTGCCGTGGTCGCGGCCATTGCTGGCACCACCATTGCTGCCCCGACGCCCGGTAACGCCGCAGTTGATGGCCACGCGTTGCGCAGCAAGTTGACTGTTGAAGAGCGTGACGATTCCGGCAGCAACACTGCCGACAATTACTCTACTCGTCCAGCCTGGTCTGTCGATAGAAAACGAGACAATTCCGACAGCAACTCTGCGGACAATTACTCTACTCGTCCTGCCTGGTCAGTTGACAGAAAACGAGACGAATCCGGCAGCGACTCTGCAGACAACTACTCTACTCGCCCTGCCTGGTCTGTCGATAGAAAGCGGGACGAGTCCGGCAGCAACGGTGCCGACAATTACTCTACTCGTTCCAAGTAGACTTCTGAGGAACAGTGTGCGGCGCTCGATTCCTGCGCTCGTGTTGGAGACAATTTGGGCCGCATCTCAGCCTGCAATTAGTGGACGGCGTCTGATGCTTGAGGTTGACCGTGGAACAGATGCTGGCACATGCACCTTCTCGGTACGTATTGGACTGTCTACCATATGCTCTAAATGAAATCAATGGTTACAAGACCTTGGCTAATAGGCTGAGTTATAGTAATTAGATTAATAGTCCGGCTATTGGCACAAGCCATTGACGGGAAGGATGCATAGATGCCATGTTGTAGGTAGCCGTAGAAATCAAGCTTTTTACTCCTTACAATTTTGGTACTAAACCAACGTCACCTCTTTTGGAATGTTTGCATGCCTATCCCGTGATAGACTAATGTCCCGGTATATGCATAGACTACATTCTTGACCGTTATGGTGACTAGTTGTCCCTTACGCCGATGCGGATGGGCGGGATGTAAGGTGGCGTAGGATGTGCGTCTGAAAGCGTACTCCAGTGTAACCATGGGGATCCGTTTCAATACTCAATACTAGTGCCCGGACCCGTTTTTGCTCTCTCTAGCCAATCATAGGACCAAAATCCCTGTTCTCCAGAAGATCCACACTTTGAGTACTTCGTACTCTGTACAGAGTACATGCGTGCTTACTCGTATTGCACACATAACTTTACGACCTTCTAAATTCGGATACCTTTACGAGTATTGCGTATACGCTGTTGGACAGGACTGTCCTAAACATATGTCCAACTAGGTTGTAGGATCTAGCGGATTGTTTAGGGCCTTGAAAGCGCCTATACCAGGTGGCCTGGTAATCCCGTGTTATCTTTGGGTTGCCGTATGGTACGGAGTACAAATAGCAGTCATGTGCGAATTCGATAGACGATGGACGTTAAAGTGGCCATTTCCGTTTAGTAAAATCTCTGCAATTTATCGTCACTAATAGCTGCCGGCATCCGTTGGTTGATAAAACGTCCTACCCTCCTTTACACCAAAATAACATTCAAGGCTTGCTGTCCTCGTTTTCCGTTACTTCCCAGGTCATCAAAATCATTGGCTGGTCGAGAAGAGGACCTTGGTACCGCCATGGGCTGTCCATATCGCGACTGCTGCCTACTGCCCCTCATCTCAGCACAGTACATTATATAGGAGCCGTGTCCTTCACGTGTCTGGGGCGCCTGTAAATCGGCCCTGCTCCTTCTAACCACACATCCCACGCAAATATGGCAACATGAACCACGACGATTATGACTCTCGTCTCGACCTTGTCCATGGAGTATTGGGCAAGCACGGATTAAAGGTCAATTCCCAGGATTTCTGCAGCAGCCAGCAGTGACTAATGTCTCTCAGGCAGCCTCGGTCGATCCGCTCGACTACGACCCCGACTGTCCGTTCCCCTTCAATAACTTTCTGTACAGGGTGCAGCTGGCCTCGCCCGCGAACACGAAACACTTTACCGGCCTCGACCAGCCGTGCACCACGGCCGCGCCGGCCGAGGGTCTCTCCACGGTCGTCGTCCGGCTGAGCAACCCGCGTGCTGGCGGCCTGCAGCAGGCCAACCGCGTCCAGAATGAGGTGGCTGCCCTGTACTTGGCGCAGGCTGGCATGAAAGCAGTGCGTCCATCTGCCGTCTCGGTCATCCCCAGCGTCTATGCCTGGCAGCCGCGCACGGCCGAGACCGAGGCCAAGGCCGTCTATGGCTGGCTCATCATGGAGTACAAGACAGGCACGCCGCTCGACAAGCTATTTGACGACCTGTCGCCCAAAGCCAAGGACTCGGTGCGCCTGCAGGTCGCACAGATCGTCGCTGGCCTGCAGAGCGCGCCCCTCTCGGACGAAGCACCGCTCCTCGGCAGCGGCTACATTGGCGGGCTCACCATCACGGACAGCGGTGGACACATCGCGCCCGGTTGCATGACGACGCTCAAAGGCGGGCCGTGGAGGAGCTATGCTGACTTTGTGCAGACCCGGCTGGCCGATCAGCAGACCGAGGGCGGCGACAGCAGCGTCATCCAGGGCTGAGAGCCCAACGGCGTCCGGACGCGGCTGGAATAACTCGTGGCCGACTCGCAGAAAATCAAAGACATATTCCCCGTCAGCGGTGTCGAAGCTACACGTCGTGTGCTGGTCCATGGTGATCTTAGTAAGCTTGTCTCTTGACTTGGCGCAATTTGTCAGAATGCTGACTAATCCATCCAGCCATGAACAACATGCTTTACGACAAGGAAAGTGGCAAGATCACGGGCGTTGTCGACTTTGACTTTGCCTTTATCGGCCCTCCCGTCTATGAATATCTCATATCGCTGCAAGACATTGGGGGCAACTTGCCGAGTTTGATGCAAGAGTTGGAAGGGCATGAATCAGTCGTGAACACGTATCTGAGCAGCACTGCAACACCAGCAGACGAAGCGGACCTTTTGAGCGAGCAGCAAGTGGCGCTTCAATCGACAGTGTCCTTCTTTGGGGCATTGGCAGATGCAAAGGCCTTGCCGCCGACGGACATCTGGGGCATCGTTACATGGCTGAACCTCTATCGGTTAGAGACGCTCCTCTGTCCGATGCGACTAGTGCACCCGCATTTCCTCAAAAAGAAGACAGAGGACGAGATCGCGGAGGCACGGAAACTGACTGAGTCCAAGATTCTCGCATGTCTCCAAGGTCTGGGAACATGATACTGTATTCAGTCCGCCAATTGCCATGGGTTTTTATTTTTCCATCTGCCGACCCAGATAACCAAGTGGGGCAAGTCGGATTTCGGAGTGTTCTTAGTCAATTTCGGGGAGTCGATTTTGCGTGAATTTGGCTATTGTCCGGAATCGCCGCACGACGACCAAGTAGAAATACAGGGGAGCTTCGGATAGTTGCACGCTGGCTATCAACTGACCCATTGCTGTTACAAATGGGTAGATGCAACCGGATCGTCTTATCATGAGCAGCTACAGAAGCTTTATTATGCCGGGGTCGCCCTCCTGCTCTAAAGCGTCCGTCTCCTTCATCTCCTTGATCCACCAGACAGTCTCGCCAAGATGTGGTCAACCTGGGCAGTGCTTTTCCTGAGCGTGAGCTCGCTGAGCCCGGCGTCAGCCACGGCCGCCCACAAGGCCAAGGCCAAGCCGATCCTCTTCGACACGGACATCTTCTCGGACGTGGACGACGTCGGCGCCCTGACGATTGCCAACACGCTGCACCGCTGCGGCGCGGCCGACCTGCGCGGCATCTTTGTCAACACGCCGTCCGAGTACGGCTCGCTGACGGTCAGCGCCATCAACACGTACTTTGGCCACGGCGACATCCCTATCGCGGCCCTGCGCCCGCTGACCAACGAGACCTTTGTGGACACGTGGGAGTACATCCTGGGCGAATACACGTCCAAGATTGCGTACAACTGGCCGCACGACCTGGCCTATGCAAACGAGTCGGCCGAGCCGCTGACCCAGTACCGCGAGCTGCTCGCGGCCGCCGACGACGCCAGCCTGACGCTCGTCTCGGTCGGCTTCCTCGACAACCTGGCCGCCCTGCTGGACAGCCCGGCCGACGCGATCTCGCCGCTCAACGGCACCGCCCTCATCGAGGCCAAGGTCGCCGAGCTCGTCATCATGGGCGGCGAGTATCCCTCCGGCTGGGAGTTCAACCTCGGCAGCAGCCCGTCCGCCTCGCAGCGCGTCGTCAACCGCTGGCCACGCAGCGTTGCCCTCACCTTCTCGGGCGCCAGCCCTGGCGGCAACGTCTTCTCGGCCGCTCATCTCGCCCGTGAGGCCCCGGCCGACTCGCCCAGCTTGGCTGCCTACCAGTGGTACGTCGGCCGCTGCGCCACCCGCCGCGAGTCCTGGGATCCCATCACCACGCTGTACGCCATCCTCGGCCTCGACGCCGACGCCAGCGCCGGCCAGCGTCGGCCGCTCTTCGCCTACGGCAACACGCATGGCTACAACACCGTCGACGACGACGGCAACAACGCCTGGGTCAACGACACTGCCGTCACCAACCAGCACTGGATCACGCTTGCCGATGGCGTCACCAACAACACCGTCGCCACCGTCCTCGACCGCTACTTTGCCAGCGGACCGAGTACGCCGTGCGCGGCCGTCGCGGGTAGCCACCTGACGGGGTGGTAGTGAGGAGGAGCACGTGACATTGTTTGCGCTCGCTGTATATCACTGTTTAAATAGAGATCGCTCAAATAGAAGAGGCGCACTGGTGGAAGGACGTGGAGAATTCTGGCTTGCATTGAACAGGTTGTGCTATAAAAGTCAATTGACGGCAGTAGATGATGAATCATGTCTGTTTCGGCGTTGGGCACAAACAGAGAGTCATGTGCAGGAACTTGTATCTAACCGGCTACTCGTCAGCGCGCATTCCACTTTGACAACAAGAGAAAAAGGCGTGGAAGCTTCTCCCTACGGCCGCATCGCTCGGGCAAGCAGACACTCGCTGGAAGGTGAAGTGTAATCGTGCATCGAGTCAACAGATCTCGCAGCATCGGCCATGTTGCAATGCACATTGTCTAGACAGGAATCAAGCTCAAGACTCCGGCTTCCACGCACACACTATCCGGACGGGGGCATAGATCTTCCCGACGCCCAGTTCCTGCCGGACCTGCACCAGCAGCTCGTCCACCTGGCTCTCGCTCATGCCGATTTCTGCCAGCAGATTGGTCGACAGGCCCTGCAGACTGCACCGGAGCAGCTCTGTGTGCATCGTGCCGGCCGTCTGCATGTGTCTGTCGGCCATCCACGGCCCGATCGGCCACTTGAGCTCATGCGACTGTACGGCGACAAAGCCAGCTTCGGCCAGCAGCGCCGGCAGCTGGCTCGTGATGGCCTGGTCGATGCCGAGTCGCGCGGCAGCCTGCAAGCGGAGCCGGGTCCACGCCATCACCGACGACTGATGCTCGGGCGCGCCGGCCGGCTCGTCTGTCCGATAGGGCGGCCAGACCTCTTGCATTTCGATGCAGCCACCCGGCCGCAAATGCACATAACAGCAACGCAGAACCGAGCGCACGGCAGCAGCGTGAAAGGGCACGAGGCGCGTGTGGATCAAGTCGAAGCCGCCGTCGCCAAAATCCCAGTCTTGTTCGGCGTCCCGAATGAGAAACGAACAATTGCTCGGTGGTACCACGGTCGGCTGGGGAAACACGTCGATGCCGATGACGGTGGCAGCAGGATGCTCTTTGGCAAAGTCGGCAGCCCAGATCCCGCATCCAGTGCCGAGGTCGAGCACTCGGCCAACAGGTTCAGCTGGGACATTTTGCAGAAGGCGGCCGTCCAAGAGAGCCCGGAAGCTTTCGTGCTGTAGGATCAGACTCCGCGGAAGAGCGTCGCGAGAGGTCATTGGGGGCGTTACGTACTTATGAGAGGGGACAGATTTCCGGGGAACACGTGATTAGGGAGATGGGTCAAATTCAGACTAGAAGCATTGCGAGTGGAGCAACTTCCCCGGATCCGTTCTGTGCTGTCATTTTGGTTGCATTCTGTCCCGCTGACAGGTGGCTTCGGTCGTTCGGTGCAATGGACTCCGTGAGGCCCAGAAGATGCTTGATCTTTATCTCTGCTCATGAAATTGAATACAGACCAAGACATGCAGCTCTTCTTAGATATCTGACATCATCCATTTGCAGCCACGATGATTACTGCCGTTGCACCCAATGCCGATCTTCGCCAGCACTACGACGAGCACGGCGTCGTCCATGTGGCCGACCTGATCGACCCATCCGAGGTGGATGGCATCCGCACTTCTTTCATGGCCCAGGTGCACGAGGACCGTAGCGCCGTCGGCTTCGATGACAACGTGCCGGCCGACGACGTCCTCGCGCGCTTCCCGCGCTTTGTCCATCCGCACCGCCGCCCCGACCTCGCCGTCGGCCGGCTCGCCCGTCGCTACATGCTCGATCGTCGCATCGTCGACCGGGTCGAAGCCATGGTCGGTGCCCCCGTCCACGGCGCTCAGTCCATGTTCTACTTCAAGCCGCCCGGAGCCCGCGGTCAGGCCCTGCACCAGGACAACACCGCCCTGCACGCTCATCCCGAGACCTGCATCGCTGTCTGGATCGCCGTCGACCCTGTCGATGATTACAACGGCGGCCTCCGGCTCGTTCCCGGAAGCCATCGCTATGCTCTCGTCTGTCCTTCTGACGAGGCCGACCAGGCCACGTCCTTTAGCAAAAACACGCTCGTCCTGCCCGACGGTCTCACCACCCAGCCGTCACAGATGCGGCCGGGCGACGCCCTCTTCTTCCACGGAAACATTGTACACGGGTCCGGGCCCAATCACTCGGCCGACCGCTTCCGCCGCTCGCTCATCTTCCACTATGTGCCGCAGGCCAGCGTGGCCATTGCCCGCTTCTACCTGCCGCTGGTCGGCCCCGACGGCAAGGACGTGCTCATTGTGGGTTCGAACGAGGGCGGCGTCTGTGGAGAAGCCTGGGTGACGGACAAGGGGTCAGCCTTATTTGTTAAATGAGGCTTGATTTTACTAAGATCAAACTCTACTGTCTAGATGTGGAGGGGTGAGAAACCCTTCCATCTGACTAGCTATTACACATGTGACCCTAGGTCATGACAGACCCCCCCTTTTGTTCTTTTATTATCCAGGCATCTTTTCCATCGAAATGACATTGAGGAAGCCCTTGAGCATGGCGGAACTCAGAGCTTTGATGAAGCCATCGGCTTCCTGATCCTTCGTACCGACAATCCTGACAACAATGGTTTGCAGGCGAATTTGTTGACTTAACCAGTGGTTTTTTATGTCGACATGCCATAGCTTAGAATTTACTTGGCGTGCTTGTTGGCAAGCAATGAAAGCGTTCGAGTATTGTCGGACAAACAAAACAAAACTGAAGTTGTGGAGAACGAAATGACGTACGAGGAAAGAAGCAGTAAAGAAGCGTTCTGAGCGAATTTATCATCTGATTGCAGACATATTGGTCAATATCACAATTCTGTCCATGTTTCTTCTGCCACAAGCTTCAGGTCATCAACCGTGATAACAATATCAGCTTCGCTGGTTCCTGATACAGGCGGTCGTAGAAATAGCAGTTCGAACTCAAGAATTAAGTCAGTCTTATCGACTTCGTAGATGGCCGGGCTGCGGTTTGCTATCGGCGTGATGAGATTTGTGTGTCGCAGTGCTGGATTCGTTGGCGTGTTACCGACGGGCCAGTCTTCGGTGTATTTGTAAATCCCAATTGTCTGGTTACCTTTGTCTAGATCAACCAGAAGCACGATCTTGACTTGATGTTTGGATGCACCAAACCACCAAAGCATGTCGTCACGGAGTCGGGACAGTGACTCGGAATAGCCTGTCTCAATGACGAGTGTGGGCCAATCGTTCTCCGTCATACGAGGAGGCGGCAAAAAACAAAAGTCTGGTTCTTTGCCACCTGGTACGCTCGGATTGATGCTTCTGTACCACTTTGCGCCGTTGTTTCCAGTTCGGCCGGATACTCTCTTGGAGACTACAGTTATGGGAAATGCAATTCCTGCTGTCGCTCTTTCATGGGGGCCTGACGGAACTGTGATGTGCAGGGTTTCTAGGTCAGGCCTATAATAGAGCCTAAAAGAACGGCCGCGTGCATCTCGCTCGTGAATTATATTGGCAAAGGATTCAGGGATAACGCCTAAACATTATTAGATTTAATTGCGTATTGAGGAGGATTTGACCAACCAGAGCAAATAATAAAGTCTTGTCTTAGTGTTTGAAGTGTTTCGTCAAAAAGCTTCTGCATGCTAGTGAACACCACATGGGCTTCGTTTCGGGCTATCATAGATGGCATCGCTTTCAGTTCTCTATCGTTTCCCTTTATCCCCTGCTCTGCTGTTGTAAACTTTTGATCTGGCATTGGTTCGAACCATGTGGCTTGCTATTGCGTTTTGCGTAAGAGAATAGCAATCGGCGTTTTGAACGTTGAAATTTCATACCCACTGCACCATAGTGTAGAAAGCAAGAATCGTTACTTTACACCATGATAGGAAGTGTGATATACCTGACTTTTCAACAGAGACGAACGATGACACAATCGTCTCTACCGAAAATAGAAGATATGAGTTGGTCACGTGATAATTTTCAACATCTGCCATGACCAAGACATAAGCACGAAAACCGTTCAGTATCCCGCTCTACAAGCACACCAGACTATAATTTACGAGTAAATACATTCAGGTGCGGAAGCATAAATATAACTTGCAACCAAGGCGAGGGTAATATGATGAAACACATCTATGGCGCGATGCTTTGCAAGACGTCTTTATCGATGATGTAAGAAACTATCTATATTACCAACGAAAAGAACTCGTGGTATACATGAGGTAATCTAAACGCACAAAAGTTCCGTAAGATCGAGCGAAATATTTTGCCGTGATTACTTGAGGTCAGGCATCCCATGCCCCCGCCAATGTGACTCGTGTTGAGACTGCGCATCACCCCACGCTGCAGATACAGCTTCTTCTCTCCCCGGCGAATGGCATCCGCAGTTTGGAGAAGTGGAACGCATGCAGTTTGTTTACATGCAGACAAGCCTAGGCAGCCAACACGTGATATATGGGGCTCGTTGGCAGCCATTGGTGTCACAACACAGCCTCTATTCGTAACTCAATGCGCTCGCAGACGGCAGACAGGAGGGGTCGGGCAGAAAGGCCAAACAGAGACGATGAACCAGCAGAAAAATCCTGGTCGGAGACCAACAGACGCCTTCCGCGGCTCGCTGCTTTTGGAAGCCCGTCACTTTCTCCTACTGGTGCCAACGCATTTTCCCTTCATATCTTGCAACCACCATCACGTCATGGGTCTGTTTGTCGTGGAAATATGGGCCTTATATTCGGCTAGAGGAAGACGGGAATACTGCTGGAAACAGGTCGACCACAGGATTTGGCCCTAGGCTTGCAACCGCAAGCGCCAGAGATCCTGTGCGCAGCCGTTTGCCAAGCTTCTGCGCAACCGTTTGCCAGAAAACCTATCGGCCCGGCCAAAAAATTCACTCTCCTCGGCGCTTCCTACGCACATATCTATCCCATCTCTCCCTCTCTGTCGCGTACTTTCTCTTGCCCTTCTTCTCTCATCGCGCCTTTCTGTTACGATACACACATCGCATGTCGCAATCTATCCCACTGACTTCTTTTGGCACCTTTGAAATCGATCTGTACCTTCCATTGTACTCGTCTATAACTCGTCTTTCCGTTTCTTGAACCATTGACGCAAATATGGAGGACCTGGAGAGAGTCTTCAACCATGTTGTCCTGCCTCCCAAGCTCCCAGAGGAGCACGATCCTGACATACCCTTCCTGGAACACGCTTTGCTCCAGCGTTTGATGGATGCCGCCAAAATGCTTCACGAAACCACGAACCATAGCTTCGATGGCGGTTGGACTGTTCTCCGAAGCTGTCTTCAGTCTACTCGCATCCTGAACAGCGAGACGCTCGACAGACTGACTTTAAAAGTCTCATTCCAGGCTTTGCTTCAAGAACACAACCGTGTCTTGGTCTGTCATGTCGTCGAACAGAATGCAGCCCTTCTTTTGCATCGCCGTACAGAGTACGCAGTTCCTTATCCCTCTTTCGCACACCACACGTCACCTGGTGGTTTCTTTGCTGACGGTACAGTGCCAACAACAATGACCTTGTCGTGTTTGAGGCCTTTGAAGCATCGCCGCAGTCGCAGGACGTCCTGGCTGCTCCCAATGCCCTCCGTTGGGAGTTTCCTTCGCGTGCAGCACAGATCCCGATTGCCGACTTTGAGAACGAAGGCTTCCAATCTGCACTTGCATCTTTCCTCGACAAGGCTAGTTCCGAACAGCTTTCTCATCTTGCCGCCAAGGCCTCGAAAGATGGCGTCTCTTTCAGCGAGATTCGAAATCCGGGAAGCCCGGCGCTGATCACACATATGCTCATCACTGTCATCGAAGCCATGGGAAGCGTATCCGACGTCGAACACCTGAACAAACGCGTCCGTGATGATGTCCATCTCAAAAAGGGAAACATTCCCTGGCGCCGCCTCCCGTTTTGGCTCGTACTTCGTGTTGCTGCGCAACGCCAACTTCATCTTGCATTTGGTCCTATCACTGGACAAGCCGCTTACAAAACTCTTCTCAGTGCGCTTCTGGCGAAGTTGCTGGACGACTATGTTGAGAATAGCATGGATCCCAGCCAGATAATTCTGTTGAAGAAAAAGCTGTGCCGGAGACTGGCCAAGCTTCAACGCCCAAGTACACAAAGATTCGAAGGTGTTCATCAGCTTCTCAAGGACACCGAAGCAATGTTTCAAAGCTCCATCGAGAACGCAGATAGACACGTCAATGCTGTTTTTGCCTATTTCAAGGCATCCGCCATCCGGAAGATCCCCCTCTTGCCTGCACGTATTAAAGATGGGGCTAGCGAGCTTCGCTTGTCTTTGCCCAGCAGCCAGGCGTATCTCAGACTACTGCAGTCGTCACACCGAGCGGCAACTTGGGCTGCACCGCAGTACACTGTCAAAACCGGCGTTCGCCGCTCGCTTATGGACCAGAGTGATGACAGCGGCATACTCAAGATGCAGCGGTTTGGCCAGAAATACCGATCCGTCGAGACGGCTATGGACTTGGCCGGACGCCGTGCAGCCCAGTTCTGGACAAACCAATCTCTGACCGAAGAATACACCCAGAACACTGCCACCAAAGAGTGTCTCGCATTATCGGCAGTCCTCGAATCCTTGATGAGTGACATTTCTACGTTGAACGACACCAACCCAGAGCACTGTAGTGCCTTTCTTCTGAGCATTTTCGACTTGTGGGCAGCGATGGATGCAGCTGCTGCTCTCGCCTGCCCAATGTTGCTAGACTATTCTCCTGCTTTCCGAGCAGAACTCCTCGACGTGCTTCAGTTGCCAAGCCTCAAAGATATGCAACGCCTTCGTCGTATCCAGGTATACCTACGCGATCGACAGGAAATGAGCAAGCATCAAGATACGACCATTTTTGGGCTGCTCGGTGACCGCTGCTTTGGTGCAGACTTTACGGAAAGATCCATGGAACTGCGCGTCTTACGTGAGCGCATCAATGATCTGGAGTGGAGGAACCGTGAACAAAAGAAAAAGGACTGGGAGCAGGAGTGTGAAGAGTATGACAAATTGTCGGCAAAAATACTTTCCAACACATGCCGCTGCACCATTTTTCCCGACGGTCGCCGCGATGTTCGGGGTTGCACGCGCTGCTATTTCTGGAGGTTACGGAAGCGGATGACCATGACTGTATGCGAGGACCTCCTTCCTAACAATCAGTTCCGTGCTGCTGCGGTCGTCTTTGAACTGGCTATGCCCCGGGTCATTGCCACATACCGAAACACAACGTGGAAAGTCTTGACGAAATTCGCACATCCAACAAAACCCAATGCCACTGGAAAAGTCTGGAGCCTCCGCGAACACGAAGAGCTTTGGAAATTTTCGACTCCCTCCAGCTCCCAATCGACAATCACGCTTGCCTCCCTGGTGAAGTCTGTCAGCCAGACGCACTACCATAAGCAGCCAATGAAAGTGGACATACACAAGCTTCTTCTACCTCTGGCATCCAGATTTGATCTTTACGACAGCGAGTCGAATACTTGGGTCAGCCAGTACTCCAAACCCTTGACCTTGGCTCATTGGTGTGGAGTATATATCCCAGGAGATCTTGCCACTACTGTTCTTCCAAGGTTGTCGCACCCGCCGACCCAACCAGATGGTCCATCGTCGTACACAGCTGTTTCGAACCGCCCCAAGTGCCCAACTGGAATGTCAGTTCACGAGTTTGAGGCCTACCAGCGCCTGCTGTCTGGAAGAGAGCGTCGGTGGCTGACCATGCTGGTCGAACTGGGATCCTCCAATTTGAACTTCAGTAAAGTGGACACAATGCTGCTCATGTCCCATTTGGCGAACCAGGCGGGACCCATGATGAGCGTGTCTTGTGCAGAGGACACGAGTCATGATACCGCTCTAGGCGTATGCCATGCGGTGTTTTCTGACATGAGCTTTGTGCAAAGACTCACAGAAGAAATTGGCAAGCGGCTGAGCATAATTCGAGGCAACTGGCATGAAATCAACATGATGGAGCTTCTGATAACGTTGAGTTCGCGCTTATACTCTCTGGTACGGAATACTGCAGAACGACAAAAGGTTCTGAATCTCATTGAACTAGCTCGAGAGACGACCCTGGGCTGGATTCATATACTGCAAAATGAAGTCGCTCATGCCAATGAGGGCAGTGTTGCTCAGCAAGCTTCCATGTACGCATTCAAGGCAGCATTACTTTGCCGTCGCACAATGGTCATTTTCAGCGAAGGCGGCACGAAGTCTTTGTCTCCATCGGACATTTCCAGCTACATCCGAGCCTCCGTGGCCTTGCAGCAGAATTTTGTCGTGGATCTCGAAACTTTGAGCGAGGTTGACAAAGCAATGCTGCAGCGTGACTTTTCCATGGCCACCCTCTTGCAGGACAAGATACGCACTGCGATCAGCTCCAATCCGGACATCGTGACCATGGCAATAGCACATGGTGTTGGAATGATGGGCGAACACGAGACCGTCACAGTTGGAACTGAAGGAACGACTGCCGACCTGAAATACACGTGTTGGGAGTTTCTCCCGAGTCCAAATGGGGGATGGATATCTTCAGAATTGTCCAGAGGCCCGGCCAGCAGATTTCAACGCATAGACTTCCACTACATCGAAGGCCATATTTTGGTGGACGGAAAGACTATTGCGAAACTGCCACAAGAAATTCGTGACTCGGAAGATGTCAAAGAGCTGTTCGAAAATCAACATCTGCTCACCCTTCCTTCGAGTCTCCCCGGCATGACTCACCGCCTGACAAGAGACTATAAGGGGCACTATGTTCACTTCGGGATGAGAAACAAACGTGTGGTCATATTGACGAATAGCAAGCATGGAGAGTGGGAATTTGTGCCGCGGCGCATCTTCATTGACGAAGGGAACACTTACGACTTGCCGCGGAGTCTGGTCGACAACTGTGTGCACTGGTACAACATACAGAACAGAACAGTCGACTTTCGTCGCAAAAGCGACATCTGGTTTACGAGGAAACAATTTTGGTTTCTTGACATCACCAATCAGCAAATGTACAAACCTAACAATAGCACTCTTGTGGATCCGCACTCGCAGCTTTGCAAGAGGATTGCCTCCATTTTCAACGGTTTCGCAGATCCCCAACGTCTCACAGTGCTCCAGCCACGGAAGAGCCCACTCTCAGTAGAGTTGCGCCACCTTGATCTATCATTCTTCGTCAACGGTAGCGGCATGTTGCATTGCAAGGAGCTTTCCTCGGAGATCGACCCCAATCAGGATGCAGGAACTCTGTACGGCTATGAGAGCATGATTGTACTGCGGGATGTGTATGACCACAGGCGAAGAAGTCTGATCTTGCCGCTGGGAAGCTTGCGTTGGAAGCGCACAGGACCGCATGTTTCCGTTCAAACGGACATTGGCGAGCTACCGCGCGGCAGAGGCGTTGGTCCAAGAGCTCCGCATTCTGCGGACAGCACTTACGCACGCTTTGGTATTGACACCATCCTTGGCCGTCTGACATGTCCCCCGGAACTACTCCTGCTTTACACGAAAGCGCGGCTCCATGCGGTCACGTCTTTTCCGTTGGCTGATCCCCTGACAGGCCGGACAGGTGATGAAGAGGCAGTGCAGACGCTCACATCGGGTCGCTGCCAACCGTGGGTGCCTCTGGGCTATGGTCCGGCCGATATACTGCAACAAATCAAGATTCTGTCGCCCAAGCGTCTATTCTACCCGAAAAACATGCGGATACTGCAGCAAGTCAGCTGGGACGCCAACTTGCCGACACACGTGCAACACGATCACTATGGGCGGCTCGTTCAGGAACTGTTTTCTAAATCAAAGAATCTCAGTCATTTCAACGAGAGTGCGGCTATGGCTAGCAATGGCGACGATGAATCTAATGAGTCCACCGACAAGACAGGTGTTGAAGACGACCACTCGAGCGCGTTGGGGATGCGGAGTGAAATCCAGCGTCTGCGCTACGAGAGCCCACAGACAGGAGATTTGGTTTCTTTGGACACGGAAAACAATGACAGGCAGTACAACTCTCTTGGGCGCATGTCAGGACCTTTTCCCAACGCAGAGAAAAAGGATGCTTTCAACACCTCATCGGTCTTTCAGATCACCAAACTGCTGCGCGAGGAGGCACGCGAAATTCCCATGGCACGGCTTATGTCTAAACTCATGAGCAGCTGGACTCTGATGGGCGGGTTCGACACGGCGCTGGAGACTGACTTGGTGACTCTCAGCACGTTGATGAGCACCCTGACGATGAGCGAGCGCTGGGGTCCTCTCGTGGAGCTGTGTCGCCGTGCAACATGGTCCAATGCGGCCGAGATCATGTTCACACTTGCCATCATTGCTTTCTCGCCAGGCATAGACATGGATTACGTGCATCTTCTGGCAGCATACTCCTACTTGCCTAGACTCAAAGTTCTCACGCCACCCCAGCATGCGTCATACGACCGGTTTCGCTTCGAGGAGAAGCCGACGGCCGAGACACTGAAGGTCCTCATTTCTTCGGCTTACCGTGAGTATCAAACGAACAAGGGGGGTTCAGTGGGATGGAGCTCCGCACTCGCCGAATACAGGAAGAAGTGTGCAGATTATCAGGCCGAATGCGAAAAGGAAGGAACCGAATTGGCACACAAACTTTTGCAGCAATGGCCAATATACAGTGAGCCGTCGGCTATGGGGTTCTCGTCCAAGAAGATCGACGTGGCCCTGGCCCTGTCCACGATCACACCGGAATGGAAGCGTCTTATTCAGAACAAGGATCTTACGGACTACGTGAGAAATATCCAGATGGCACTGATGCCGCACAGGACAATCCGAAAAGAGGGTCTGCGACTGAGAAACGTCACGGAATCTGCTGTCACTTGTGGAGGTCTTGTTCCAGCTCGCCTCACCGTTGTGCCATCACTTTATCAACATCTCCTGCAAAGGAATATGCCACCACAGCAAGAGCAATACCCGGCAATGGGAGCAAATCCGCTTACAATCCTGGCACGCAGATCTGAGTTTGCTCCTATGCCTGTGAGCTCTCTCCAATCGGAATTGGTGGAACTGGGGCGAATCGTGTCTTCCTTTACGAGATGCCCATCTTTACTGCGAAAAGACTATGCGAGAGATCTGAGTGAGAGCATAGGAGCCCTGGCGCGTGTCGCTGGAAAGGATGCGGAGGGGGGCGCATCGTCGAATGAGATTCTTCCAGGAGAAGCCGAAATCGACAGCTACATTCAGTATGCAACCGCCTGGTGCGACGCAGTCTTGAGACACATTCGTGGCCACCTTTCAAGCGGTGGCAAAGCGTCCGGCTTACTCCAAAAGGCCGACCTGTGGCCGCGGCTGACACCGGTGTCGATCCTCGAGCTTCTTCGGTCGACCTCCGAGTGTCGGTATGGAGACAACGTCCGGGAAACGCTGGTCACGTATGGATGTGCTGTGGCAGCGTTGCAACGGCTTCATCGCGTTCGCCGGATATTCAAGAAGCACGATCTCCAGAGGGCTACCGAGGAGTGGCGGAACCGTGGCCACCTAAATTGGAGCCCGGCAGAGCAGACAGACTGGCTTCTTTTCGAGATCGACAGCGATCTGCTGATTCGGACTGAGCAGGTGGAGGTTGCGCGGGCCATTATCGCGCCGGCTTCGGGGAAAAACTCGGTGTTGCAGCTCAACATGGGCAAGGGCAAGACGTCGTGCATTGTCCCGATGGCCATTGCATCTCTTGCCAACGGGAAGCAGCTGGCTCGTCTGGTGGTGCCCAAGGCTCTTCTGCTGCCCACCGCGCAGATGCTGCAGGCACGGCTCGGCGGCCTTGTCGGGCGAGAGCTCCGCCACGTTCCGTTCTCACGGCGCATTGCAGCAGGCGCAAATGTCCAATCCGTGCTGGAGATCTTCCAAGAACACCACAACGACCTCATGCGCCGCCGAGGTGTCCTCTTGGCGGCACCAGAGCACATATTGGCCTTCAAGCTCAGCGGGCTGCAGTGCCTGGCAGATGGAAAGAACGCGATTGCGCGAGACATGATCGACTTTCAGCAGAAGCTCGCTGACGAGATGTGCCGCGACATTCTGGACGAGTCGGACTTCACGCTGGCTGTGCGCACGCAGCTCGTGTACCCCAGCGGATCGTTGTCGGCGGTCGATGCTGCACCACATCGCTGGAAGATGGCCCAGATGCTGCTGGCTATTGTCGAGGACAATCTCCCCAGACTATGCCAACAGTTTGGCAACAGCATCCGGGTTCTGCAGCGGCCGTTTGGCGGATTCCCGATGATTTACATTTTACGGACGGACATTGGGGAAGAGCTGTACCGGTGCATTGTGCATGATATCAGCAGTGGCCGCGTGTCCTTCTTCCGTCCGACACCCAGCAGCAGCAGGACGAGAAGGGGAAGTCGACAGCAGATGCCTGTAGCGCCAAAAGAAGTCGCACGCCTCCTCCGGCAAGCTCTCAGTCGCGACGCAGACGACAAGGACATCAACAAGGCAGCAGCGATGTTTGCAGATGTGCGTTCAGCAGCCGACGGGCTCACTCTGATCCGAGGCCTGCTGCTGAACAACATTCTTCTGACCTGCCTCGCGAAGCGTTGGAACGTGCAGTACGGGCTGCATCCACATCGCTGGCCCATTGCCGTGCCGTTTGAGGCCAAGGGCGTACCGTCGGAGCGATCGGAATTCGGGCATCCCGACGTGGCGATTCTGCTGACATGTCTGGCCTTTTATTACATTGGCCTGAACCGGAGCCAATTCTGTGAAGGGCTGAAACACGTGCTGCAACATACAGACGACCCTGCCTCGGAGTACGAGCGATGGACGGCTGGGGCCGTGGGCCTGCCAAGCGAGCTGCAGCACTGGAACATGATCAACGTGGACGACTCGGCACAGGTGCAGAAGCTGGGAGGATACCTGCGTTGGACGCGGCCAGTAATCGACCACTACCTCAACACGTTTGTGTTTCCTCTGCACTCTCGGCAGTTCTCGGTCAAGTTGCAGGGATCTGCCTGGGACCTCCCACTCTTCCGGGCCGGGACGGCAACGACGGGCTTCAGCGGGACCAACGACAACAAGATGATGCTTCCGCTGACGATCAAGCAGGAGGATCTCCCCAGCCTGCGGCAGACCAACGCGGAGGTGCTCACGTACCTCTTGAAGCCGCGCAACCGCAACTACAGGTGCATGGGTACGGGGACGCAGCGCTGGAGGGAAGAGGATCTCCTGGCCAGCCTAGTCAAGGAGAGGATTCATGTGCTCATTGACGCCGGGGCGTACATCTTGGAGAAGGACAACGAGTCTCTCGCACGAGAGTGGCTGGACAAGGATATCCACCGGAATCGACAGAGGTACGAAGACGACGACTACAATGCGGCCGTGTTCTTCAGCGCAGACAACCGGGCATGGGTCCTGTCTCGAGATGCCACAGCCGAGAAGATGCCGCTGTTGGCATCGCCGTTTGTAGACCAGCTGGACAAGTGTCTCGTGTACTTTGATGAAGCCCACACGCGCGGGGTCGATCTGTTGCTGCCACCGAAGAGTCGGGGAGCACTGACGCTGGCTCTGGGGCAGACCAAGGACCACACGGTGCAAGCAGCAATGCGGCTACGGCAGCTGGGGACGACGCAGTCGGTGATATTTTACGCGCCACCAGAGGTGGACGAGAGCATCCGCGAAGTGAGCCGAAGCCGGCTGGAGGGTCCAATGCGAGCAGCGGGATCCCGGGGACGGATAGAGTCTCCTCATGTTATCTGCTGGCTCTTGGAACAGACGTGTCTGGCCAACGAGCAGCTGCACCCGTTGTATCTGTCGCACGGTTATGACTTTTGCCGCCGAGCCAGCGCGCAGTGGAAGTATGGATCGAAGCTGGCCGAGGACAGGTCGCGGGCAGCCCTTCTGGACGTGCTGCAGCAGCCAGAGCGACAGACGGTGGCGCAACTGTACGGGAACAGCCCAGAGGTGAGCTGGACGACCAAAGCTGCGAAGACGGCACAGAAACTGGCGTTGCCCGAACTGGAGGCGTTTTCGATGACGCTGCAGTTGCAGCAACGACAGGACGGCGCGGTGTTGGGCGTGAGCGGTGGAGCATGGCGGACGCAAGCGCAGACGACAGGGGCGTTTGAAGAAGTCGAGCAGGAGCGCGAGGTCGAGGCACAAGTCGAACAGGTGCGAGCACAGCAGCGACGGGTACAGTTCGAGGCGCTGGTGTTCCCGGGCCAAGTGCACCGCAACATCCGGGCGTTTGTGCGAACGGGCATTCTGGGCGGCGACCGAGGCTACAAGCCGGCCTTTGCGAGCATGGCGCAGACGGAACTGGGCAGCCGCTACGGAGTGCAGGCGCTTTGGCCGACGCGGCTGTTTGTGTCGGACGAGTTTGACCGGACGATCGTGGAGGAGGGCGGACGAGGAGGCGACGACTTTCTGCGGCCGGTCGAGTGGACGATCTGGAGCCCGACGACGGAGACGGCGTTGGTGGTGGTGCCGGAGGAGCTGGAGCTGCTGCTGCCGCGAATTCGCAGCCGCGAGTCCAGGGTGCATCTGCTGGCGTATGCAGCGCCCATCACACGGCCAATGGCGACGACGTTTAGCGGGCTGCAGTACCTTGCGCTACCGGCGCTGCCAGCGGGCAGTCGGCTGCCGGCCTGGCTGCCGGTCGAGCTGGGCATCTTGGCTGGTCGGCTGTACATGACGCTGGACGAGGCCGTCGCAATGGCAGAGTATCTGGGGGGCTCGATGATGGAGGATGTAGCTGCTGCTGCAGACGCCAGGACGGATGCCAAGGAGACCCCGTCGCTCTTCTGTCCGGATCCGGCCAGCTTCCTGCTCGAGTGGCTGTCGTTGCGACGCGTCGGTCAGGACATTATGCACACACCGGCAGCGTATATCTGCCAGGGACGCGTCATCCGGCCAGACCACGCCTTCTTTGCGGGCGCCGGGGACGGTGGCCGCGGCAGTCGGCTGTCAACGTCGTCAGGCGAGTCTGGACGGACGAGCAGCCCGGATGTGGCGCTGTTTAGCGAAGGCGGAGAGGTGGAGAGCGACAGCAGCGAGAGCGGAGAGAGCGGAGAGAGAGAAAAGGAGTAGGGCTGAAATACGGTTTTTATGTTATGCGTATATTAGGATATGTGGGATAAATGCAACTGAATAAGGATCCGCTTATAAGAAGCTTCTTTACTCCGTATACAAGGCGAAGAGGAAACGATATACGGAGTATATACTCCGTACTCCGCACACACTCGTTACGCAGTACGGAGTAGGTGGGACGTACTCCATATCTTACTCCGTATTTCATGGGCGAAGATCGTTGCAGAGGGAAGACGGCTTCTAAGGCCAAAGAGGAAGCCTACTCCGCAAGCTGAAAAGTCTACAAAGGTCCGAGCACCACTATCAAAGCATTTAACCAATCGGAGCCCATTTACTTATCACGGGGCTGCTAACGTGTTGCACCACACAGTACAGACAACTTTCGTTACTCTATTCTTGCACTGTATTTCTGTGTTGGAGAAGACTCTGTCCTTTGCCCAGTAAGTTGCAAGACTCCAACATTAACGATTAAGGGTGACGGGAAGACGGGCACTAACAGGCCTCGATCCAACACACGTTGGAGACAACTTACATGAATAAAATAAGACTGTGACGGCTTATCACCAGAACTTGCCTTGACCATCGAGAGGCAGCCAGGGTCGTGGTTCTGCATAGTCAGTCTTCCAATAGACGCACGATATCAACCGCCCGCGTTATGCATAGATGCGGGGTCGTTGGGCTTCCCCGAACGTTTTCTGTCTTCAATCACTGGCTTGACTGGTCTTTCGTCCTGAATGAAAACTCGACCGCGTCGATATTTTCCACTCCCAGTTTAGCATACGACGGATTCCTACTCAAAAAATTCCTTTTACCGGAAATACTGTCATCGGAAACACTTCGTCGCAATCTTTTCCAATCGTCTCTTTAAATCATTCTGTCAACTACGTATCTTCCTTGCGGTGGAGTATTGTCACTCCGAAATTGAGCTCAATGTCGCAACACTTAAAGAGGGGCAAGCTCCACGCAATAAAGCTTAAAGCGAAATCAAAACTGAAGGGTCTCTTCGTGCAGCCACAGCCTGGGGACACATCTCCCAGCCCATCGGCAAACGGCGCACAGCCCAGCGTCTCGCAAGCGAATAGTACAGAAATCATTGCAACTTCCAACGAATTGCCGGGAGACAGCACGGTGAACGGCACACAACCGGACGTGCAGCAACAGGATGTCATAGCGAACGGCACACAGTCTGGCATCCTGCAAGAGAACAACACCGTGAACAGCACACAACCCGACGCGCTGCAACAAGACACCATAGTGAACAGCCCGTCAGAAGCAGCTAGTACGACACCTCAACCTCCCCAAGGCCCTTCACCCGAGCTTCAGCAACAGTTGTCAAAACTTCCCGAAGATCACTCGCCCAAGCCTTCTAGTATACAGCCGCAAGACCTTCCCAAAGCCCATTCGCCAGAGCCTCGTGTGCCTGAGGCTCAGCCACTCTGGGACCGCGCGTACACTGCCCTGACGAAGGACCAAGAGACGCTGGTGAAGGAGTATGAAGATTTGCTTTCGAGGGAGGCTCAAACGACAGGTAAGCGTGAAAGATACCCCCGTTACTTTTGTCACCTGAGACAGCCTGTTCAGACGCCAACAAACCCCTTTCTTTCCTTTCCTTTTCGCAGGTGCCGCATCGGAAAATGCCAGCAACGGTGGCCAACTTCGCCGCGCTCAGCTCGCCGCCGTCATAGAACAGGGCCTGCGTCGCATGGATGAGAACAAATTGAAATACACCATCGCCAGCCACGAGTTCAACTTGACAGAGCAGATCGACAGCGCCGCACGCTTTGTACTGTGGGCAAAAAACTTGGTCAGCGAGGGAGCCAAAGCGTCTCCAGAGGCATCTGTCGCATGGGCGGGCGTCTGCATCATCCTGCCGCTGCTCACAAACCCCACGACGGCGGCCCAGGCTAACAACGACGGTTTTGTCTATGTCACCGCCCGCTTGCGCTACTACACGGCTTTGGAGGAGCTGGTGGAGCGCCTCGGCCGCAATGAGGAGGTTAGTAAAGCGCTGTTCGAAGAGACCACCACCCACCTCGTCGACCTCTACCAGCAGATTCTCGCGTTTCAGCTTCAGAGCGTCTTGCGGTTCTACCGTGGCCGGATCAAGGCCTTTGCGAAGGACGCAATCTTGCCAAAGGACTGGAAACAGATGCGTAACGACATCAAGACACGTGAAGAAACCATCAACACAGACCTGGCCCAGATGAACGGGCTCATGGCGCGGCAAGAGCTGGAGCGTCTGAACGTGACCAGCAAGGATGTGCGTGATACCCTTTTGGACGTCTTGGATATATCTAAGAAGCGACTAAAGATGCAACAAAAAGAAGCACGGCAGCAGCTGTCAAATAAAAGTAAAGAGTGCCTTCGGCTCTTTTACCTCGCCGAAAGCGCAGATAAGGCGACTTACGATACGTTCAAGGGCCGTGTGGAAGACCGTCTCGACGGCACATGTCGGTGGTTTCTTGAAAATTCCATCTTCCAAAACTGGCTGGGGCAAGAGTCCGGTCCATTGCTGGTCTCTGCAGATCCTGGATGCGGCAAATCCGTCTTGGCCAAGTCGCTTGTCGACAATGAGCTGTCGAAGCAGGCAGCGACTGTGTGCTACTTTTTCTTTAAAGACCAGGTCCAAAACAGAGTCCACCAAGCACTGTGTGCTCTCCTGCACCAGCTTTTCTTTCAGAACCCAAACCTAATCAAGCACGCAATGGAGACATTTAAGAACAAGGGGTCCGCTCTGATCTATTCGACAGAAACGCTTTGGACAATACTCGGCAATGCGGTACGGGATCCTAGGGCGGGGCAGGTCACATTTGTCTTGGATGCGCTTGATGAATGTTCCCCGTCCGAGTTTGACAGCTTGCTGATAGAATTGGGGAATTTGTTCTCTGGCAGCACCCGTCCAAATCTCAAGGTCGTTATGACAACCCGTCCGTACGAGAATATCTTAGTCCAGTTCCGAAGCTGTTTTAGGGACCCTGAGACAGTTCACATTCCGGGCCAGGAAAGTCCAGATGTCATTCGCGACGAGATCAACCTCGTCATCGAACACCGTGTCAAGAAACTAGCACAAGACAAGAATCTTCAAGATAAAGTCGTGGACAGCTTAAAACAAAGGCTATTTGCCGTTGAGCACCGCACATACCTCTGGGTATACCTCGTCTTTGACTACTTAAAAAAGGAGGTGTTCCAAAAAACGAAACAGGGGGTCAACAAAGTCCTCGGCGTGCTTCCGAGGACTGTCAACGAAGCCTACGAGAAGATCCTAAGCAAGTCCAAGGAGCCCAGAACTGTTCGGAACATCTTGTGTATCATCCTGGCCGCGAGCCGACCGCTGACACTGCGGGAGATGAATGTGGCTGTGAATGTGGGCGAGGTCACCGACGGAAAACTGGAACCACCCAGTATCGACGACATTGATCTGGGGGACGAGAACGACTTCAAAATCTATCTTCAAGATTTGTGTGGATTGTTTGTCTCAGTGTACCAGGGCAGCATATTTTTTCTGCACCAAACTGCTCGGGAGTTTCTCCTCGCCACAGATCTGTCAACAGGATCAACAGCAATATCGTCTGAGCCGTCTTGGCAGCAGTCCATCACCATTAAGGATGCGCACGCGTGTCTCTCTAGGGTTTGCGTGCTCTATCTGCTTGTTTTCGACTCTGACACCGAACGCATATTAGACGAAGATGCCCGCTGCGCATTGTTCTCTTACTCGGCGATAAACTGGACCACCCATTTCCGCGATGCTTATACCGCCGATAATGATGCCATCGTTCCTATCGCGTTGCGCCTCCACACATCGGCACCACTTTTCTCAGAATGGATTACGCGCTATTGGAGTGCTACATATAACGATAGCCCGCCCGGAAACCTTTTAGGCATTTTATCAGCGTCGGCAATTGCCCAAGATTGCTTCGTTAAGTGCCTGCTTAGTAGCGCCGACGTCGAGACGAAGGATACAGAATACGGCCAAACGCCGTTGTCGTGGGCCGCTAAAAACGGGCACGAGGCCGTTGTTCAACGACTGCTCGAACACGGCGCCGACGTTAAGACGAAGGATAATAAAGGCCGAACGCCGTTGTCGTGGGTCGCTTTACACGGGCGCGAGGCCGTTGTTTAACAACTGCTAAAACACGGCGCCGACGTTGAGACAAAGGATACAGATTACGGCCAAACGCCGTTGTCGCGGGCCGCTGAAAACGGGCACGAGGCCGTTGTTCAACGACTGCTCGAACACGGCGCCGACGTTAAGACGAAGGATAATAAAGGCCGAACGCCGTTGTCGTGGGTCGCTTTACACGGGCGCGAGGCCGTTGTTTAACAACTGCTCGAACACGGCGCCGACGTTAAGACGAAGGATAATTACGGCCAAACGCCGTTGTTGTGGGCCGCTAAAAACGGGCACAAGGCAGTTGTGGCTCTTCTTAGGCAGAGGTTGAAAGAATAGTTGCTTTGTTTGTTTTGTTTATTCGCAATATTAGTTTAATAGAAATGGTAGTTTTTAGGGTAGACTATATCAAGACTATTCAGATGTGCGATGTAGCAGAAAGCCACAACTGGTAAGCTGGCAGCGCTCCAAACGTATTTAGTTTTTCTGTCTAACTCCTATCTACGAGGGCGCATACAATTGCCAAATGCGTATGACGCAATGCCGCGGGGCGGCCGTGCTTATCGCGGAGATGGCCGAGCTAGAGGTTGTTGGCAGATAAGAAGACGTCGGGTGCTGTCAATTATGTTGTGATTGTGTCTGCGACAGACATTCGCGATGGCGCGGTATATGGCAGTTCCGACGTTTGGGAACGACGAGATAAAAGCGGCAGATGGACGGTATACGGCAGAATATGACAACGACCTGGAAGCGACCTACGGGTCGAAGACAAAGGACACTCGAGAGAAGAGATGGAAGCTGATGCGAAGCATTGGCGGGCTTTTGGTGGCGGCGATGCTGGTGAAGATGGGGACATGGCTGTGCGGGTTTGACGTGTCGATCTCGGTGCGACGAACGGGAGGTGGAAATGAGGATAGGAGTGAGGCATGGCTTGCGAAGGCGGTGACGACGAAGGCGCCCAAGGCGAACGTGTGGGCAGCAATCTCGGCGGAAGACAATGCGGCAGTATGGAACTGGCTGCACGATGAGTTGCAGGGACTGAACCTGACGCATCCAGACGAGGCGGGGATCAACGACAACCAGGTGTACTGGATCGACACAGTAGCCGTGAACAAGACGGATGCACTGGCATTTGTGGACGGCAACGGAACACAGCCAGCGATGTATGCTCGAGTGGTGCTGTACGAAGGAGGGAAGCCAGAGCCGGTGGCCCAAGAGTACATGGTTGGGCCGTTGCCAGTGGGACCAAAGACTCAGATGACAAAGCTGGACTACATCTACAACGGCGGGATGGGCGGTTCGGTGCCGTACAACGCGCGAGGGATGGACGGGGCACGTCGACGGGCACTGGACCAGCTGTTGGTGCCAGCGATGGCGGAGATTGTCGACATCACACGCACGCTCTTCTCGGGGGCAGCGTACTTTGGTCAGGACGATGCGCGGACGACAGTGCGGATCACATCGGGCACACCTCTATCGCTAGACGGCAGCCAGGCACACATGCACGTGGTGTTCCATTTTCCGGGTGCAGCCATGTATCTGTTGCCGCTGGACTTTTACGTGCTGATCGAGTGGAGCGGGACAGACACACGGCTGTGGCGGGTGCGCGGATTCGTGACCAAGGGACGGCTGTTTGCGGATGCAACAGCATTGCGCGAGGCCTTTGCAGCGGGCGAGCTGGAGCCCGAGTTCACGCAGCGTCGAGACTATGACTGGGCGCTGGTGAAGCAGCAGCCCGCGCTGGGAGTGCGGCCGCTAGAGGAGCGCGCAGCGCCGCGCAGCCGTGAAGTTGGCGGGAAGCGATACAAGGTCGACGAGGCAGAACGTTATGTCGAGTACATGGGCTGGTCCTTTTACGTCGCCCACACGCGCACGCTCGGGGTCATGTTCTTTGACGTGCGTTTCCGCGGCGAACGCATCCTGTACGAGCTGTCCATGCAGGAGGCCGCGTCGCAGTACGGTGGTTTCCAGCCCAAGGCGGCCTCGACCGTCTATCACGACACGTCGTACAGTCTGGGCGCCGATCTCTTTCCGCTGGTCGAGGGCTTTGACTGTCCGCGCGGCAGCACGTTCTGGGACCTGACGTACCACGAGCGCAACGAGACGAAGACGCACGAGCACGCGCTGTGCATCTTTGAGCAGGACCCGGGCCATCCGCTGTCGCGCCACCGGGCAGCCGATGCCGACGAGACGGGCGCTCCAGGACTCGGCAGCGTGGGGGTGGTTCGCGATGCCGAGCTGACGGTGCGGTTTGTGGCCACGGTCGGCAACTACGACTATCTCTTTAGCTATGCCTTTGGTCTGGACGGGTCGCTGGACGTCAGCGTGCGCGCGTCCGGCTACCTCATGTCGTCGCCGCTCTACTCCGACGCCGCCGGCGGACGGCTGTTTGGGCCGCGCATCCAGGAGGCGACACAGGGGTCCATCCACGATCACGTGATCACATTCAAGGCAGATCTCGATGTATTGGGGCGGGCGAACCGACTGGAGCGAACGACCGTCCGGGCCGTCGAGCAGACACAGCCGTGGTTTGCCGACATGGGCACGTTTGAGCAGCTGCAGCTGGACGTCGCCACGGTCGCGACCGAGACGTCGCTGGCCTGGGCTGCCAACGGCGAGAGCATGTACGCGGTCGTGTCGGACGAGCGCAACGCCTGGGGTGAGCGCCGCGGCTATCGCGTCGTGCCTGGACGCTCCAACATGCGGCTCACCACCCTGCGCTCGCCCTGGTCGCGCGACAACATGGCCTACGCCAAGGCACAGCTCGCCGTCACGCGCCAGCACGACAGCGAGCCGTATGCCAACAGCGTGCACAACGCGAACCTGCCGTGGCGGCCCCAGCACGACTTTGCCCGCTTCTTCGACAACGAGTCCGTCGACGGCCAGGACCTCGTCCTCTGGCTCAACCTCGGCATGCACCACTTCACCCGCGCCGAGGACGTCCCCGTCACCCTCTTCTCCCAGGCCGTCAGCAGCGTCAGCTTCGCCCCGCAGAACTTCTTCGATCGCGCCCAGGACGGCGACCTGACCAACCGGATCTGGCTCGAGTCCGACCCGGTCGAGGGGCCATCAGCGTGGCATGGGGGTAGGAAGTGATGTGGTGATGGTATGAGTGATGGTATAGTGATGGTATGAATGATGACTAAGTTGTAGGTGAGATAAGAAGGGACACGTGATAACATACGGAGTACAAAGACCGTCGCTTACTAAGCAACATGGAACTGGCGCCAATTTGTCTATCATCATATCGTACAGCATGTGACCTGCCTGTTCTGTCAATATTCTGTCCTCCTTCCGGCCTCCCTACCCCGGACGGCGCGCTCGACCTGCCGGCGCCAGTACTGGAGCTGTTCGGCGAGGCCAGCAGAGCCGGACAGTTGGCGAGCCGCAACGGCCGCAAAGGAGCCCTCTGGGGCTCTGGGGCCCGCTCTAGGAGCAGCGGGCTCAGCGACACCAACGCCGCCGACGAGATGGAACTCCATGCTGCGGACGACGGCGAGGGTGGCTGTGTCAAAGGCGAGACCGGCGCGCTGCATCTCGGCAAGCAGGCGGAGGGCAGCGACGGCGTCGCCTCGACGGCCCCAGCGCATAGCCAGCTGAGCATTGTAGAGCGGCGTGCCGGCGCCGAGAACATAGGATGCGAGGCCGAGCGCCTTGACGCGCGGCAGCACGGCCAGCGCGAGCGGGCTGCCGCCAAACCGGCCGTCGAGCAGACGCACGCCGTGCAGCAGCAGCGCCGGATACAGCGGCGCGTAGGCTGCGAGGGCCTGCTGGGACTTGGCGCTGGCGCGGCGGCCCGTCAATCCAAACTCGCCGGCCAGCGCGAATACGTGCGCCTCCATGTAGTCCCAGAGGGCAAAATCGGTCTTTTTCGAGAGCATCAGCAGCTCCATGCGGGCCTGACGGGCCTGACGGGCCTCGTCCTGGGGCGTCAGCATGGGTGTGTCGCGGGGGTCTCGATGGCCGCTGAGAGGTGGATGGCTGTTGTCGTTGCTGAGAAGGGAGAAGCTGTCGTGTATTTCTTCGTTATTGTCGCGAGCTTCGGCAACCCCCCGCTCGGCTTCCTTGATTCCCAGCGCTGCACCAGCTGCCGCCCGCAGACTCGCCGGAAACTGGTCCAGGATGGCCTGTCTTCTTGCCCGCGGGCTGTCGTCCTGGTGTGCTTTCTCCTGCAGAAGGTCGCTCTCCAGCAATTCGTCCTCGACATCCCATCGGACCTCCTCGGCCGCGGCAGCCTGCCGACCTCCCCGCGCCCGCATCACGTCGTCGGCCGCCTCGTCGACGATGGCATTGACGCGCATCCGCAGAGACGGCATGTCCTCGTCGCCAGCCGCGCCGTCCTCCTGCCGCGCACGTGTCGTCGAGATCTCCTTGAAGATGCGTCGAAAAGCCCGGCGCTCGAGCGGCGTGACCGTGCCCTCGTCGGCGCGCTCAGCCGCGGCCACCCGCTCGCGGTCCAGCTGCTCGGCCACGTCGGCCGGGAGGTCAAACGGGATCGGGTCATGGTGGAGGGGGGGTCCTCGTGGTGGCCGCATCATCGGTCGTTCTGTGCCTTCTGTGCCTTCTGGTTGCTGGTCCCCGTACTGTTGCCGTATACTGCCGTGCAGCGACCGCAAAAACTCCCGTCTCGGAACCGTCAGCACTCCCCGGCCAGCCACACGGCCCGCCGGGTACAGGAACGGCAGCAGAGACGGTGGCATCGTGTTGGCAGCGTTGTGTGCAGGAGCCTGGTCTCGAAAAGCCTGTGAAATCCCGGCGCAAAATTCAAGCTCGCGCACGGACCACCACGCCCACTTTACACGTGCCCTCGCGCGTGTAAAGTGCCGTCGTCGTCTTGGCTGGACGCGTTAGTTCTGCCTCACTTTGGACTGACTGCCAACATTGAGCCTCCGGGCAGCGACCGACCAATCCGACCCCATCCACGCCATGCCTGACGACGGTCTGACGGCGTTTGAGCGCCGCCGCGCCGAGAACGCCAAGGCCAACAATGCCATCCTCAGCTCCATCTCCAAGACGTCGGCCAAAGTGTTTGGTGCTGCAGCCAAGCCGGCCAGGGCGCCGCGGGCCCGGTCGACCAAGAACTCTACCACTGGTTCTGCCGCGCCTGCTACAAGCACGCGTTCTCGACGCAGCCACAGCGCTGCGGCTGTCGCGCCCGTCAAGCGCGAGTCGCCCATGCCGACGCGCCGCAGTGCCCGCGTGGCCGGCATCGAGGCCGACGCGGACTCTTCGTCGTCGCAGAAGCGCAAGGGTGGAGAGCTGGACGGACTGCGATACGACCTCAATGCGGTGGCAGCGGCCGAGCGCCAGAAGCGCCAGCGCGTGCACGGCGACCTCCAGCTCAGCGACATGCAGGTCGACGGGCGGTGGCAGGGCAGCCTCGATGGACTCGGCAGCCTGGCTCGAGGAGCACAGCCGGGCGTGCGCACGTTCACGGACGCAGACGAGACCACAGACGCAGATCTCAAGGCGATCCGGCTCGAGCTCGGACGGCTCGAGCTGTACGACAAGTTTGCAGTAAAGGGTGAGTTTGTTGATCCTTTCTTTTCGTCGCCATTTGCTGACTTCCTAGACCTCAAACTCACAAAAGACCGCATCTATGCCATGGCCTTCCACCCGACCGAGGACAAGCCGCTCGTGTTTGCCGGCGACAAAGAGGGCCGGCTCGGCATCTTTGACGCGTCGCAAGAGCCCGACGTGGCCGTCAAGGAAGAAGATGTCGGCAGCGACGACGAGGCTGAGGCGGCCGAGCCAGTCATCTTGGGCTTCAAGCCGCACGCTCGTACCATCTCAGCCGTTCACGTGCTCGACAGTGACCCGGGCTCTGTCTACACGGCCTCGTATGACACCACCATCCGGCGGCTCGACCTGGCTGCCCAAAAGTCTGTCGAGGTCTACGTATCAGACGGCGCTGACGACGCGGCCATCTCGTGCATCGACTTTGCCGCCGATGACCCGCACCTGGTCTACTTCGCTACGCTGTCCGGCCTGCTGGGTCGCCACGACCTGCGTCTGGCCCCAACCACGGCCGATCGCTGGCCCCGGCTGCACGACGGCCACAAGATCGGCGGATTCTCACTGTCTCCGCGCCAGCCGCACCTCATCGCCACCGCCAGTCTCGACCGCACGCTGAGGGTGTGGGACCTGCGGAAGATGGTGACGAGCGAGGACGAGGATGGCACCACAAAGTTGCGGCCCGCCCTCCTGGCCACCGACCCTGCACGGCTGTCCGTCTCTCACGCTGCCTGGAGTCCGGGTGGTCACGTGGCCACAACGTCCTACGACGACACCGTGCGCATCTACGACGTCGCCGGCGCGGCCAGCTGGGCGCCCGGCAAGGCGCTGGACGACGACGTGCTCACGCCGGCCCACCGCATCGCACACAACAACCAGACCGGCCGCTGGGTGACGATCCTCAAGCCGCAGTGGCAGCGACGGCCGCCTGGCGGCATCGACAAGTTTGCCCTCGGAAACATGAACCGGTTCGTCGACGTGTACGCGGCCAGCGGCGAGCAGCTCGCACAGCTGGACGGCGACGGGATCACGGCCGTGCCGGCGGTGGCACAGCTGCATCCGAGCCGCAACTGGGTGGCAGGAGGGAACGGCAGCGGGAAGCTGACCTTGTGGATGTGAGGTGCACATGTACGGTGTCGGGTGTACGAATACAGAGTGGGAACATGTCGAGTGTCGACTGTGTCCGGAAGACCAGCGTGCCAGGTCACTGTCGACTGTACGCTGAATGTATATATGTCCTAGACGGAAGGCGTTGAAAATCTCTTGCAGCATAAACGTCGTGAACCAGATCTACGGAGTACTGTAATCTCGTATCCACACTGTCCAAAGTCACACTATGCACGCTAACCGAACTGGGCTACGCCCGGCCGCCTTCCCTCTGCGATTCCAGACTCGTCATTCCTTGTCCCAGGCAGTCATCACATAAGCACCCGAGATCACGGCCATTCTTTTTTTTATCATAGACATTGCCATCCTACAGCATCCTTCATCCGCCCGCACCACCTCGCATTCTCTCCGCCGCCTCATCCCCTACACCTACAGCCATGGCATGAAGCGTTCTCGCCGTCTGTCGTCCGCTTTTTTGTTTATCTCTTCCCTCTATCGCTTTCGCGTGCTCTGTCTCGCCTCTGTGCTCCACCATAGTACTAAAAGGCATCGTCATCCACCGACCTCCTCCTTCACCGCGTTTCTCCGCCCCTTCTCCTGCATTCAACACCCCTGCACACCTGCGGCCACTGTCGGTTCCACCCTGCTGCTGCTGCTGCCCCGACAAGTCGTCTCGCCCTGTTTGTTGTCCCATCCATCTACAGCGCAAGAACGCCTGCACAAGCCATCGGCCGGAAATTTTCCACCGTCTCAGCGTCTGACCTTGCCCGTCATCCCAATCCTGGCCGCCCACATCAGGGCCCCGAATCCCAGTCCCAGACGACCTGCTAGCACTTCGGCTCCCGAAGTCGCATCGACCCACATCGTCGACCGGTCCACGATCCTCGGCCAGCGTCCTCTAGGCAGCCATTCCACCCCCGTCCACCCTCCACACCTTTGACCCTGTTCAGGTCCTCCTGCACGCATCCCTGTTCTTGCGGGTCCATCTGGCACTGCGACGAATCACCCGCTGCCCGTCAGCGTTGTGACCCGGACACAGCAACGTGCAGCCTCGACACAAACACCCACATCCTCGCACTCGGCAACCCATCGAAATCATGCCTCCTCCTACTTCATCCACACCAGACCCATCGTCTCGCGCCGCTCTCTCTCCCGCCTCGCCCGCCTCGCCTGCCTCGCCTGCCTCGCCTGCCTCGCCTGCCTCGCCTCCTCCCAAACTCTCTGCCACGACTCTGACAACACCAGCAGTGGCCTCGTTCGACCGCCGCCTCCACCACCGCCGGAACGCGTCCAGCTCGACTACACCTGCCTCGTCGCCGGCTGTCGCTGCCGCTGTCTCCGTCTTCCGCTCTCGCCATTCCGAAGACGACGCTGTCCACCACGGCCTCTCCAAGATGCTCCAGAAGCGCCGCCGCGACGGCCACCAACACATGTCCACCATGGACTTCCCCGAGCGGTTAAAGGTCGCCACTGACGGGGCCGAGGACGAGGAAGTCTTGCGACCAAACGGCCAGTCAAACGGCGTCTTCATGAACCTCAATCAGAGCATCTTTGGCCTGATCGCCGCCGCCGGCTCGACCGTCAACTTTAACAACCGCTTTGAGGGCCAATCGAGCGACGAAGGCGACGATGAGGACGATGAGGACACCGACAAGAATGAGGCCGATGATAACAGCAGATCTCCTGCGTTGGACGGCACATCCGAATCGCAGAGAGCCGCCTGGCTGGCCAGAAAACGACATGATGGCGACTCGTCTGCAGATCGGACCGATAAGAAGGACAAGAGGAGAAGCAAGGACCTCTCACAGTCCAACCTATTCTCGCGCATCTCCGGCGGAAGCAGTAACGTCAGTCTCGCCGACAAGCCGGGCGATCGGCACAGTCGATTGTCTGAGAACAGGCTGCTACGGTCACTGCCGTCCCTGAAGACGAGATTGTCCGTGAGGCACAGTCGTAAGACATCCAAGGAGGCCGGCACGGTCCCGTCGACGGAGAAGCAGACAGGCAGCGACAGCAGTAGGAGAAGAAGCAGGATCGACGAGGAAGACGAAGAACAGGACGACAGGGCGCCGACGCCGACACCGGCGACAATAACGCGGACAGGCGCACCGGCACCTGCTGTGACTTACGTGGTGTCGCCGGTCGACTCGTCGGCCTCGGTCGCAGTCAACGACGATGGCCTCTCGGCCTCGGTCTTGGCGCTCCCTCGTGGCGAGCGCAGCAACAGCGTCCGCAGCATCGCTCCGGTGATGAGCCGCATGCTCGAGGCCAAGGCTGAGCTGGCAGCCCGGCCGAGCTTCGACTTTGATCGGCGCTCCAGCGACAAGAGCCGGACGGCCAACAACGACAGCAACGACACGGACGTCGACTCGGACGACGCCATTGGCTCCTCGGCCTTGGCTCGCAAGCTGATGGAGATCTTCGACTTTGAGAAGCCCGAGGAGGTCATCGAGGAGTATCCCTGCTGGCTGCTGCAGAGCGTATTGCTACAAGGATACATGTACATTACGGCCAACCACATCTGCTTCTACGCCTATCTTCCCAAGAAGGCGGTGAGTGTTTTTGTCCTTTGTCTTTGACCCTTGTCCTGCTCTGTCAGTTTCCGTCCACTGACTCTATCAGAACGAGGTCTCCAAGTCCGGCTACCTGGCCAAGTCCGGCAAGCGAAATCCAAAATACAACCGATACTGGTTTCGGCTCAAGGGCGACGTGCTCGCCTACTACCGCGACCCATCCAATCTGTACTTCCCCCACGGCCAGATCGACCTGCGCTATGGCATCTCAGCCACGGTCACAGACCGCGACAAGGACGGGGTGCACTTCCAGGTGGTCACGCACCACCGCACCTACTACTTCCGGGCCGACAGCGCCCCCAGCGCCAAGGAATGGGTCAAGAGCCTGCAGCGCGTCATCTTTCGCTCGCACAACGAGGGCGACAGCGTCAAGATCTCGCTGCCCATTGCCAACGTCATCGACGTGGAGGAGACCCAGACGATGGTGGAGTTTGCCGACACCTGCAAGATTCGCGTCATCGACAACGACGAGACCTATGCGATCGACGAGTACTTCTTCTCCTTTTTCGACTACGGCAAGGATGCCGTCCGCGTGCTGCGCATCCTCATCGAGGACGCCAACCAGCAGCAGCAGTCGCCCAAACGAGGCCGGGACCACACAGACGAATCCCTTGCGCTGCGTCTGCAGATGCGATCGACCGCGTCGCCACAGCAGTCCGCCGACGATGCAGACGAGTCTGCGAGCGCCTCTGCGCCCGAACGGGGTCCTGCTGCTCCGGGCGCAAGCGGCAGCTTCAACGGCAACATTCCCGCTGTCGCTTCGGCGTCGGACAGCCGGATCTTGAAGGCGACAAAGCTGCACAGCTCCGTGCGCGCGACTCTGAGCCCGGTGTCGCCCCCCACCAGTCCCCGGGTCAGCGGCGAGTTTCCGCGCAGCAGCTTTGATGCCCTGCGCACATCCTTCAGCGGACGTCGCAGCCTGGACACGAGCGTGGCTCAGCTGGGGGAGGCCCCGCCACGGCGCAGCTTCAGCGACTACAGCCGGCGGTCGCTCAGCACAGACCGCGACCGCCGGCCTGCGCGGTCATCACGCCAGCAACAGCAGCGGCACCCGCTCGCAGGCTCGACCGACTCGATGGTGCCGCTGTCGTCGATGGACCCGAGCGTGGCGAGCCTGTCGGGTCTCGTGGTCTCCTCGACCGAGAACGACCAATCGTCGGCCAGTCAGATCCTGCACGGCAGCGAAATCTTCAAGGGCCCCACCATTGTGCACCGGTCAGCCTCGGCGTCGCGTCGGCGGGAGGGCAAGCGCGCGTCGTGGCAGCCAGGCAGGACATCAGGGTCAGCACGGCACTTTGACAGCGGCCGTGTCGGTGACAGCGAGCACGCGTCGTCGGCCGACTCGCAGACGTTGCCGTCGGACATTGCCACTGGTGGCGGCGCGATAACGCCGGGAGGCACGGCCAGCCTGCAGCGTCTGGCCAAGATGGGATCCTATCCGCTGCAGCGAGCGGGCGCCTACGCCGGATGGCTCAACCAACAGTCACGGCGGATGAGTTCGCTGCTGGCGACCGAGTCGATGGGCTACGTCGAGAAGGTGTCGGGCATGTGGAAGGGTGGACATCGACACTACAACGAGGGACCCGGGCCCGGATCCGGGCTCATGCGCATGGGCGAAGAGCTAGACGACGACACGGCCGGCATGGGCGGTGCTGGTGGCGAAGGCGAGGCGCCGGACCTAGCCGTCATCAACGAACGGTTCCGCGCACACTTTGCACTGCCGGAAACGGAGCGTCTGCAGGCGACGTACTTTGGCTACCTGATGCGGGTGCTGCCGCTGTACGGCAAGATCTACATCAGCGACCGGTCGTTCTGCTTCCGCAGCCTGCTGCCAGGGACTCGGACCAAGCTGATCTTACCGCTGCGCGACATCGAGAATGTGACGAAGGAGAAGGGCTTTCGGTTCGGCTTCTCGGGCCTTGTGGTGGTAATTCGCGGACACGAGGAGCTCTTCTTTGAGTTTGGCCAGGCCGAGATGCGCGACGACTGCTCGGTGACGCTGTTACGCGGCTTCGAGTCGGCCCGCTACCTGCGAGAGTCAGGTCTGCTGAACGAGGACGAGAAGGCGGGCGCGCAGACGGCGCTGGCCGAGCGAGACGCCCTGCAGGAGGCCCGACAGGCTTCCCGAGAGGGAGAGGAAGGTGGTGGCGAGAACGACAACGACAGCACGCCGGCAGCAGCCAACGTGATGAGGCTGACAGAATCACCGACAACGATCCTGTTTGACGACCCGCGCGCTTCGTTCCTCAACTTCAAGCCAGCAGAGCCTCTTCGGATCACGTGCCTGACCATTGGATCGCGTGGTGATGTGCAGCCGTACATTGCGCTGGGCAAGGGCCTGCAAGCAGACGGACACCACGTGCGAATTGCGACGCATCCCGAGTTCGAGGACTGGATCCGCAGTCACGGGCTAGACTACGGCCGCGTGGAGGGCGACCCGGGCGAGCTGATGCGGATTTGCATCGAGAACGGCACGTTCACGTTGCAGTTTCTGCGCGAGGCCAATTCCAAGATGCGCACCTGGCTGGACGAGCTGCTGGCATCGGCATGGACGGCGTGCCAGGACGCGGAGCTGCTGATCGAGTCGCCGAGCGCGATGGCGGGCATCCACATTGCTGAGCGGCTGCAAATTCCCTACTTCCGAGCCTTTACGATGCCATGGACGCGCACACGAGCCTATCCGCACGCCTTCATCATGCCAGAGCACAAGATGGGCGGGGCGTACAACTACATCACGTACGTCATGTTCGACAACATCTTCTGGAAGGCAACGGCGTCACAGATCAACCGGTGGCGCAACAAGATGCTGGGACTGCCCAACACAACGCTAGAGAAGATGCAGCCGAACAAGGTGCCGTTCCTCTACAACTTTAGCTCGTCCGTGGTGCCGCCTCCGCTGGACTATAGTGATTGGATCCGCGTGACCGGGTACTGGTTCCTGGACGAGGGCAAGAAGGAGGGGAAGGATGGAAAGGATAAAAAAGACGAGACCCCCCCCTGGTCGCCGCCACAGGACCTAGTCGATTTTATCGCCAAGGCGCGACAGGACAAGAAGAAGCTGGTGTACGTGGGCTTCGGATCGATCCTGGTGCCGGACCCGGCCAAGATGACGCAGGAGGTGATTGATGCGGTGCTCAAGGCAGACGTGCGCTGCGTCCTGTCCAAGGGCTGGTCGGATCGGCTGGCGGGCGACAAGGACAAGGCCGACGACGACGACCACACGCGCGTCGAGGTGCCGCTGCCACCAGAGTTGTTCCAGATCAAGTCGGCACCGCACGACTGGCTCTTTGCCCAGATGGACGCGGCCGCGCATCACGGTGGCTCCGGCACCACGGGTGCATCGCTGCGGGCTGGCATCCCGACCATCATCCGGCCCTTTTTCGGCGACCAGTTCTTCTTTGGTGGCCGTGTCGAGGATCTCGGCGTCGGCATCTGCCTCAAGAAGTGGGGAGCGACCAGCTTTGCGCGTGCTCTCTGGGAGGCTGCCAACTCGGGCCGGATGATCAAGAAGGCAGCCGCATTGGGAGAGCAGATCCGACAGGTGAGTGTCAGCGTGCATTTCCTAGTCGGTCTATTGATACTAACACAACGGCAGGAAAACGGCGTCGATACCGCCATCCAGTGCATCTACCGCGACATGGAGTACGCCAAGTCGCTCGTGCGGGCCAAGGCCGGCAAGACGACTGGCCGTGGCAGCGAGACCGGAGCTGCCGGCCGCACCGCTGCTCCTGACGACTACGAGGAGGAGCCCGAGGAGAGCTGGACGTTTGTCGGCAACGACGACAGCAACAACGTGCACGGCGCCGACCTCATGCTGCAGTCGGTCATTCTCAGCCCCGACGGCGGGAAATCGGGCAAGGCGCTGGGCAGCCGGGTGTTGGGACAGGTGGCTGTCTGAAGTTGTTTTGGCTTGAACTAGATCTGCGTTTTCTTTATTTCTTTGTTTTTCTATCTCTTTGTCTCTCTTTCGCTCCCGCCCCCTTCCCTCGATCCTATTTCTTTTCTCCTTTGTGTTGTATACTACATTGGTCACGTGGGAAGCCGAGCCATGATATCTTGTAATTACAGTGTTATGAAGGACGAATCCCGGCAATTTTTTGTCTGGTGTGAATGATATCAATAGAAGTTTAGAAATGTTCACATGATTGATGCAAGCTGAAGGACAAAAAAATTGTGGCTAATTTGAATGAATCCTGGGACCACCGTGAATCGAACACGGGTCTCCTCGGCCACAACGAGGTATTCTAGCCACTAAACTATGGCCCCGTTTCGAGAGGACTCTGGCAGATTCCCTGCGTCCGAGCGTTAACCCATGGAGGGCACTTTTGTGGGGCGACATTTGGGTGGAATGCACAAGAGGCGGTACGACGAGATACACGTGACTTCAAGGAGTATAAATACGTCGTGTCTTCCTATGTTCGGTTCTCTCTCTCTTTGTCTGTTGCATCCAGTGGCCGACATCTTCTCCGGGACCCCGCTCCTTTTCTTTCGGAATTGAGATTGACTTTGTCCCTGAACGTATGGCTAGAAATCGGATCGATGTTATAGCCCAACTTCATCCGGTCAAATGACGCCAAGTTCGAGTCTCTTTCTGCTGGTAAATAGAGGCTCTAATGTAGAATGTACTGCGGCAGTGAAACATGCGAAGGCAGACTTGCTCATAATTGGTCGAGATATATCACCATCTGAATCCCAGCCTCTAGGCTTTAAGAGGTTGTCGAGAGTCAACATAATTGGCTAATTGGTTCGGGGAGGCGGTGACTTGGCAGTCTCTGAGATTTGGTGGTTGTGTTCAAGAACTTCGGCAAGAAGAGACGGTTAAGATCGGACAACGCTTGGTTTTGGCCTAGTCCACGGTTAACGGGTATAGAAAGCAATCTGGGATCTCGCCTTATATGCTAGAAGTTGGGTGACGAAATATAAAGCGTGTTGTACAGCTATGTTGTTGCTGTCAATCTTGGATTGTGTATTACTAATAGAAAAAGCAGTCTTGTATATTTTCGGATGGAAGGACGTATATTGTAGTCCGATATACATCGTGGTAAAAATTAGAAACATGACAGCATCGTCTAGTATCTATACCAGTAGTTCTGAAGATCGTTCGGCTAGTACACCAGGGTCGGGTTCATATTGGAATTGGTGGGGGAGCTTACAAAACGGCGATGTGTTCCTCTCTTTCTCGTCTAGTAGCAGTCCCGAGACTAAGAAAGGGTTTCTGGGGTGGCGTGACGTTTTGTCTGCATGCTGTCGCCGCAGCTTAAGGGATACGAGGGTGGGCATCGATAATTAGACGGCAGTGAACTTGTTATCTGCCGCAGCAACATGGCAGTCTTCTTGATCATCGCTTCGTTTGTTGCCACGATTGCTAAAACATTGTACACCCTCGCAAACGCCGTAGTGGGGGTATTGCAGCGTAGTTTTGTATCGCAGCGATGATGAAGCAGCATGCAGTTGGGAAGAGTGTGATTGCTAATGAGTCTTCATTTTCTTCTAATTCATTTTAAACCCGAGAGCTGGAGAAGGCATGTCTGCTTAGTACCACATCCGCTTTACACAGTATAAGCGGACTGCGCGGCAAGGATCAAGGGGGTAAAATCTTAGTGCTGTAGACTTCTGTTGATATCTAAATTAGTTAAATATAGCCCTGCCTACTACGATGGAAGGCATAAGATCCCTACTTTTGCACATAGTGCAGGTGGTATAATAATTCAATAACTTCCAAATGTTATCCAAATGTTATATGTTAAGAGACACGATTCTTCCAAAAATTAGTCGTACGAGCTAGACGACAGCAAGTCGGAAGATGAAAGTAAAGACCGGATATCGAGACACATCCTGGCTCAGCCACTTGAAAGCAATGCCGCCAATAGTATTGGTAACATTACTAGAGAGCGTGCTAGATAACAGATGATTGTAGGTTTCATTATATCCCGTGCATAAATTCTACTTTTTTACCTAAATGTGCTGATTTCTTGCAATGGCTGTCAATGCCATTATCCCTCGGTCCGGTGACAACTTCAGGCTTGCCCATTCTGGTTCAGGAACTCGTCCGTAAACAAGTCTTCTGCAGTTGGACGATCTTCTGGGAGCTAGCGCAGGATCTTTCTAGCTAATGCCACAAGAAGCTCTTTTTCCTTGACTTCCAGACGCGTCTCATGACTCTCGATGCTTCGGTCTAGGATGGGTGTGGACGCAATCCAGCAGCCTTTATGATTTTAGTTAGCAGAGCTCAAATACCCCCCCAATAGCCAACTTACCATCTACATCCCAATCGTGTCGGCACTTTTCGCTCATCTCCAGGAACTCCTTTGGCTGAAGGACCAAGAAGAAAGACCATCTCGGCAAGGTGCTATTCGTCGTCAAGACGGCCATCTTTGACAGCGCGAAAAAGGCGACCGCCTTCAAACAGGTTCCAAATCTGCAACGGTCACTATTGTCAAAAACAACTCCAGTCCAGTTGGTTAAGCACCGCGCCACATACCATAACGCCAATACACCATATGTCTACTTTAGAACCCCACTGCGCGCCAACAATGATTTCGGGTGCTCTATACACTCCCGGCATGACATCGCCAGAGCACTTCTCGCCAGGTTTCCTGAGACGAGCAGCACCGAAGTCGGAAATTACTGACGGGCCATACGTTATGGGCATAGTGTAAGAGCGCTATATGGTGCGATCAGCAAGTACCTGGCGAGGTGACGGAGTCTTGAGTTCCGCCAGCTCGGCTTTTATTTGATTTTCCAGAATCCTCGACTTCGAGGAGTATTTTGTTTGGTGATAGGTCTGGGATGGCACTTATTTAATAAGGAATCTTTCAGAATGCAATACATGCCTGTGTGCACGACACCAGCCTAATGAAGAAAGTCCAGGCCTGACAAAATGATAAGCAGGCTTTTCCGGAGAATCTCTACAGTGAGGCCATTATGCGGAAAGAGGCTGCGAAACAGTCCAAGCCTAAGGGAGTAAATAGAAAGCACTGGTGCTGCCCGGAAAGTCCTTGGGTCTGGAACCTGTGCCTAATCACCCGCAGTCTTGCCTTTCCAGGATGTTCTGCTTGAATGGACTGGATATGGTCTGGTATGGCCACTTCATTGCTACCGTCTTCTCCAGTCACACATACTTTGAGTGTTAAAAGCTCCCTCCCTAGATAGTAAGTAATCTTGAGTTGAAGCTGCTAAAATGTCGGGTCTCGTCTACGTACTAGAGGTCTCGGCAGAGCCACACTAATAATCCTGCACCAAAACCAAGCTTTGTGACTGCTTAATATCTAGATTCAAAGACCTCACCAAGGCGCACGGGGCAGTACTTATCGGCTTTATATCCCGGAATGGTTTCTTCTTCTATAGTTTCTCTCGCGGGAAGGACCTCAAAACCATAGTTTTGGGACACTTTCACAGGGAAGTATATTGTTCGCACTGTACAAGCAGAAAGGTGTAAAGCGATTCCCGTAGATAGACCGGAGTGGCTGCAATGCATGAAAATGGTTGAAGTACGGTTCGTTCTTGCTTTGACGAGTTGCAAGCATAATGAGCTTATTCCATTTATGAGTTGATTCGTAAAAGGATCATTATCGTACGCCAGTTTAATATTGACGGAAACTGCCGGGCAAATTTGATCCCGCCCGTGTTAGCAATGCCCCTACTCCGTATAAGTGCAAACGTAGTTCGTTCGACACACTAATAATGCTCCTGAGTGTCGACTATTTATGCTTTTCTAGGCCTCACTTAAATCTTTGTTCTACAGTTCCCTGTTTTTCTGTAAAGGAAGAAAAACAAACAAAGGTAACTTCGTTGGCAGACGTAGAGCGATTTATTGGTTAGCTAAGTATCTATTACTCATTATTCGAAAAAGGTTTGGCTAATAGTATAATTGCTGTATACGCTGTAATTAAAAAGGTTGAAAGCTAAACTTTCTGTTATAGAGTCGATAAAGTACTACCGTTATTAATTTGCATCGTTTCGCTGTGAATTAGGGAATTGCTAGGGACGCACGTCAAAATTCTAGAAAACACGCTACGTGACTTATTTTGGCGGTTAACACCGGCAGAATACTAAAACAGTCCCTGTGTAAGTCGTAATAGATTCGAACTCGTAAAATGACCAAAAACACTAAATAAGAACAGAAAAGACTAGTAATAAATACCATACAAAACCAGTTACGCCGCCGTGTCCTAATCCATAATATTAAAAGGCTCCCTTCTACTAAGCGTTATTAGCACCGGCTTGCCTGTACAGCGCGCCTCTGCCTTTGCCTCTGCCTTTGCTGCTGCTTACGCCGCTGCATCTTATGCGGCTTGTGTATCCCGCGCTGCTAGTGCTGCTTGCACCGCTGCTTGCATTGACGGTAAAGGCGGCGCGCGCATTCACACGGGGACGAATTCAGTATTTTGTCAGTGCTAACCGCCGAAATAAGTCACGTGGCGTGTGTTTCTAGAATTTTGACGTGTGTCCCTAGCAATTCCCGACGAGGGCCGTGTCCCGCCAAATTGAAAATTGGGTTATTTACATCTTTGAAGGTGAAGACAAACCCCTAACAACAGTCCAATGAGCAGTACGATCGCTACGGACGGCTGACTGTGAAGTAGGAAGCTCTAGCCGGATTGTCGAATTTCCCTATCATCGGTAGTCGAGACAAGATGGCGCGAATTATATCCCCCGAAGAACTAAAAAATGCGGAACGTTTTGGGCCATTTGTACCCGTCTACAAAATTGATCCAAAGACAATTGTCAAAACCGGAGAGACTGTGCGAATGGCTGAAGCCGAAACTATGAAGTTTATCCGAGAGCATACCAGCATTCCCGTCCCCGATGTACACAATGCCTACATAGACGAGCAGTCGAACCATGTGCGAATTGTGATGGAATTTATCGAAGGGGACAATCTTGATGTTGCTTGGGAGACGTACACGGAAACAGAGAAGGCTTCTATCATCTCTCAACTTCGTGAATACATGGGTGAGCTTCGCCAGATCAAGGGCACGCACATCAGCAGCATCGATGGCTCGTGGTGTAATGACCATTAGTTCGACAATGACCGAGGTCACTACGGTCCATTTCCCAGCGAAGCTGAGTTTAACAAAGGCATTTCTCGAGCTTTGCGAAAATCGAAGCCATTTGATTGGGTTGAGCTCTATTGCGATATGTTTGAGGAAGTTATGCAAGATCATGACATTATCCTGACCCACAACGACTTTGACCCGAGGAACATTTTAGTCTAAGGTTCCAAGGTAGTGGCATTGTTGGACTGGGAGCTCTCGGGCTATTACCCAGAGTACTGGGAGTACTGCAAAGCAATGAGGCGTCCGGACTGGGAGAGCGGATGGGTGAAAGACAGAGCTTTAGAGAAGATTTTAGAGCCTTACCGAAAGGAACTGTCCGTTGTTTGGTGTACCACGGAAATTGTATGGTAAACAGCTAATAAGGCAATCATTGCTTGTCAACACCTTGTCAAGGTTGAACGACCGGTAGACAGATATCTTGCTTATGAAACAAAGATGTGGATAGCTTTTGGTAAACCATTTCACTAAGATAGTTGTCCGAAGTTCGCCTCTACCTGGGTGATCCTATCCCCATTTAGCTTCTCGCAAACTCGGTTTCCGACCGAATAAACCTGACAATATCGTCGATCTCGTCTGGGATTTTGTACCAGTGCCCAAAACCCTCGTACAATTTAAGCTCCACACGGTAGCCGGCTTTCTTCATCGTCGTTGCCATCTCCTCAGCAAGAGGCAGTGGCACCTTTTCGTCTGCCGTGCCGTGGCCGAAAAAAACCGGGGTAAGCACAGCAGTTTTATCGCAGGCATGACTGCCTGCGGGCGGGAAAGACAGCAGGTCTCGCTCAAAAATGGCCGCCAAAACCGCTGGGTCCTTAGGCTCATTCTCGAGGTCACCGCCGCTAAAAAAATCGTCTTCGTCATCGTCCTTGGCAGCGTAGTCCTCCATCGTATCAATAATGTCGTTCTGAAACGGAAGATACCCACTAAGTCCAATAAAGCCACCAATGGGGTAATCAAGACTCAGAAGGACTGAGAGGGACATTGCGCACCCTTGGCTGATGCCGCCGAGAAGTATGTTGCGGGCAGAGATGTTGTATTTCTCTTGCTCTTGTCGCAGAAGTTCGATGAGCTCGTGGGCAGATTCTTCCAGCCCCTTAATCTGAAGTTCGTTGCGTTTTGAGGGGTCAGGTAGGCAGGCGATGTCGAACCACTGCCTCAACATCGACCGGCCAAAAGCAGAGGAACGTCGCCAGCGAGATGTGGGGAACACAAATTTGGCATGAGGCAAAATCTGGGCGAGTGTAGTGCCGTCCGAGGCGATACCCGTCTCTAGAAGTTCTCGGCCAAACTTCTCGCCGTTAGACCCTAGGCCATGTAGCAGGATCAAGGTGTGCGTGTGCGGCATGGTGACAGGTTCAACAACAAAGGGGGCTGGGGCCGCAGCAGCCACATTGGGTCTGGTCTGGGACATGATTGTCTTTTTTTGAAGGTATGAAAGTTTCGGTGGTAGGATCGTTATTGTGACAGAGGAGGAGAGTGTGTGTATGGAACAGAGTATATATGCTCCGTTCTAGCTCAAGTTCCCCCCGCATTTCCATTACATACTGTCCAATGACAATGCTTAGGCGCCAATATTAATACTCCAGTGTGCTGGCGCTTAACTTTCACCTCAGCTCATCTTCAAACAAAAATAGAACGTGTGGCTAGATTTATAGCCGTGCCTACATAGTAGCTTGCCCTCCATAGCCGTCGCATATGTATTTCGATTTTCTCCAAATAGACCGAAGTTCCGCAATGCTTAGCAGCCCAATACTCAGGAATAAAAATTATTATCTTTTCAAAGAAGTATATATTGCAAACAATAGCCTACAAACCACAGCACGTATCCAGCCCCGTTCCTCTCCACTTGCCTTTAACAAAATATTTATCACTACTTGCACAGAGCACAATAATAAATTTCTTATATCAGCTTCGCCCAGCCTTCCGTCGATGAGACCTTGTGTGGTCCCTTGCTCACGTACATCGGGCTTGCGACAACGTCACCCTCTCTCCCGAAGCTCGGCGAACCCGCTTTCTCCACGCCCGGGTAAGCCGGGAATTATAGTATTCCCAGAGCTGTGGGAGAAACTGAACGTCCTGGATGCAGTACCGTCTGACGTCCTCCGACAGGGGGCGCTCGTTGAAAGCATGCCGTCTTCGACCTTGGCCGGGCAGAAAAAGTCGCACGCCTTTCTCCTTCGTCGCCTTCCAGTCCGCCTTATCAGCCGGACTCAGCTGCGCATCCTTTTCGATGCACTTGGCAAGTCCTTTAACGCGTCCCTTATCGTAAGAGCGTGTTGCAAGCTCCATCAGCTGCAGATCCTGTATGCCGGCAAGCCTAATGCGGAAGCGCCCAAACAGGGCATCCGAGTCGTTGCGCACGTCGAAGATAACCTTTGGGATGGCAGCAGACTCAAGAAGATCTTGAAATGTGCGGCCACGGGTCCCGGGGGTGGAGAAAGCCTTGTCTTTAAGCGTGTGAACATCGAGGAGGTATGCCCGGCTCTTGGGTAGCACGAACACTTGAATAATCGATACGGTGCCTACTCTAGATAGATTTACTCCTTCGACGTCGATGTAGAGCGACGGTGGCGTCGTCGGCAGGGCATAGAGCATGTCCACGAAAGCGGCGACAGCTGCAGGCGTGTCGACGAGGCCGGATGCCGAAAGTTCGCTGTCAAGGCGGATACTAGCCAGAGCTCTTGGAGAGGCTCCGGCTCCTGTCTCGTGTCTCGCGTCTCCTTTAGCGCATGTCTTGTTTGCAACATTTGGGGGAGGCGAGGCGGAGAAGAGAGCCTTGGTGCCTATGTAGCGCCGAGAAGGTGTAGCGGCCAATATGGGGTGCGCGAAGCTGTTTATCAATCGCCGGTGGTAGCTTGAATCCAGCCTCAACGGTGCCTTAACCCGAGCCAACGACACGTGTGCAAATGTGATCACCCGTGAAAATGTCTGTGGCACGTCCTTGTACATGCGATTCGGGACGATGAAGAGTGCCATTTTGTAGGTTCTGCAACAAATCTTAGTTGAAGATCAATGTAATCGTCGTACTTGGGCTAATAAGACGAAAGAGACAGAAACAGCATCTCAGTAAACGCAAACGCTAGCACAAAGACGAGCAGAATTTAGGTCACGCCAAGACGAACGGAGATCTGGGAGTACGCGTAAGGCAGAACAACTTCGCTGTTATGCTATCGTTCAGGAGAAGTTTGACGAATAGGCTGGTATCTCACTGCTGTAGCTAGGTAATGGAAGCTGAAAGACTCAGGACTGACCTGACGCCAAAATGAGCTCGAGGTTTTGCCATCAAGAGAGATAGGCACTATTAAAACGAGTTTCGTTTATGGGTTCCTTCACGTGACAACCCACATTTGCTATGTCGGCATACCTCGGAAGTAAGCCCCACAAATATACACGGCAGTTGGCCCCAAAATTGACACGTCAATGCCCGACACGTACGGAGTACATAGACGCAATAATATTTCCTTGACAGGAACAGTGAGCTCCACAACCAATGTGTCGTAAAACCCTGTTCTTGTTGATTCAGCTGTCCTCTAGAGTTCCTAACCCTACAAGTCGCTAGTTTTCAACCCAAAAACGTCTACTTCGCCCCTTTGTTGTATAGGAGCACGAGCTGAGCTCCAGCAAGAAATACGCTGCCACGTACGACATCTACAAACGGTTACGGTAATGTGCATCTTCTTAGAAGGTAATTCTCCTCGCTTACGAAACATTGCATCAACTCGCCCCATCACTTGATCAAGGTGGATTGGCTTGTCTACAACAACAGGGCGCAAGCCTGCTCTAAGCCACGGCGGTAACATCCGTACCTGGCTATCACGGCTTATGTACTCTGTAAGGTGCTCAGCAAGCTAGTCGTCACTCACGGCCATTTGTTCTTAGACCAAAAATAGCCAGCTGCTCCTATGTCAATATAACGCGAATACTCCGTTCATGCTACAATATAAATGTTAAGTACTCCATACCATGCTACCATTGTTAGTACTCCATTATATAGGCAAACGAGGGCACCCATTTGCTCACGGAGTAGTGCTAGATGCAAAGTACGCCGTAAGATACACGGAAGGTGAAAATCCCTCCCATGATCGCGCAGTGGATTTGTAAGTGGACTGTAAGTGGAGTCACGAAATTGCAATACGCACTGCTTCATGATTTTGTGGGAATTCAGCCTCATGTGGTGGAAAGCTGAGGTGCAACCCCGGTAACTAATATTGACAGTGGAAGAAGGACGATGGAGGAAAGGCGCAAGGCAAAATTCATCGACCTTGGAAGAGTCTGCCTAGTCCGCCTCGTCCACAGTCAGTTTGACATATGAAAACCCAGGAAGTTCCATACCTGATCGTCAGCTGTTTTTGACCATCCTCTCCTCATCCTCCTCCGCACTCTATTACTACCGTCCACATATTTCTCTCCGTTTCTTCCCATCCGCCACCATGAAGGGAACTCTGGAGCTTCTCGCATTGGGTGTTGCCATTCCCCTTTCTCGAGCTTTGGTCGAAGTTACGCCGATAACAGGCACCTACACGATCGACATGGTTCATAAGGAGATCAAGATCCGCGACGCACACACGACTTTTGAGAGCATTTTGCGCTGCCACAAGCAGAGCGGCCAGGACCTGACGCTTGACGACAACCGAACGGTCGTGTCCTGCTGTCTGCCTAGCCAGCACCTATCCGGTGTCAATGGCGCTGCCTGGGACTGTTGCGGCGCAGGCCACGAGCTGTCTGGCTGCGAGGCAGAGGGCTACTCTTGTTGCCCTGCGGGCTATACGTACCGTGGAGGCATGTGTTACCCACCGGAGGACAGTCGTCAGCAGCCTCTGCCACCGCCCAAGAATCAAGGGCAACAGTACCCTCCACCGCCGCCACCACCGGGACCACCGCCGATCGGGCCTGGTGGGTATCCCTATCCTCCACCACCGCCACCCGGGCCAGGTGGACATCCCTATCCTCCACCACCGCCACCCGGGCCAAGTGGCCTGGTCTGGCCGCCATCTCCTTGTCCCAAGGGAAGCACACTGGTCAACGGCGTCTGTACGGGGCCGATGCCGCACAAGAAGTGCGAGTCTGGCATCCGCGAAGGTATGGCCGGATCGAGGAAATCCTGCAAGCACGTTGTGCGATACTGACACCTATTCTCTTCCAGGCAAATGCTACCGCTTCAAGAGAAACCCAGACTGGTACTTAACTTCCAAGGGCAACGACTATCAGCTTGGGACGCCTACCAGGGAGACGCCAGCCGGTAGTTTCCAATTCTGCAAAAGCTTTGGCTGCGACGGCACACACGCAATCAACCCCAGCGACAAGGTGTACATCCGCGACTTCAACAACGGCAAGGTCTGGCTGAACAATGCCAATGGCGGTACGCACATCGCTGGCACTGTCAAAACGAGCGAGGCCGGCACCTTTTCTATCACCAAATGGGCTAAAGGCGACTACTGCCTCACAGGCTTTGACGCCGGCTTGCGCAAAGCCTGTCCTGCAGCCACGCCTGGTATCACTCAGGATAAGGCAGAGCATGATGACTGCCTAGATTTCGAGATCTTAGAGGTGCCATGTGACATCCGCTCGGACAAGAACAATTGTTTGTGGGGGACGACAGGTGGAGACTGCGGACAGGCTGAAAGGACTGTCCCGTGTCATTAGGAGTGCAGCATGTTAATTCTAGGGTGGAGGTGGAAGAAGGGATCTTTTACTCCGTAGGATACGGATACGTAAAGAACGTCATGTGTCAGGGCAAGTCGAGCACAGAAGAGAGAAAGGACGATTTTTAAGCAAATGTGTATTACTTACGGAGTATTCCATAGAACAACTTCGTTCAGTCAATTGACTAATTGTTGCGCGGTGGTGCATGGACCACCTCTAGTGCAGAGTTTTCAGCCCAGACTTCCTCTAGCTTCAGATAGCTGTCTTCCTTCTGAATACAACGATCTTCGCCTCATCACTAATACTGGCTGTTGCATGCAACTGATCGATGCAGCCATAAGACAGCCGCCGCAGCTGGGAATCAGCATTCTCATGTTATGTACTATATTAATTATCCACTAGAACCTGCAGGCAATAGTGAGGCGACTCATTATATATGTCTATTGGGCGTGTGTATTGTTCTCGATACTACAGATATTGTACAGAGTACAGCCTATTTTGGTCTAGTTCGACAACATCCAAGACCCGCTTTATGTGGCACGTGCAGAGTTTCTCGAAACATTGAAGCCTTGTGACGACGGAAAAGTGACTGTCAGAGTAAATAGTAACTGGCTTAATCACCGGTCTATGGTGTGCGGTCCGCTCTTGGATGCTCATCTACAGGAGGTGCTTACACTTTAAACTTCTCTCACATTTATGCAAGGAGCTCTTTATCCCGCCTCTTAGATGCCAGTTATAGATCCTACTTTCTGCGCCTGAGCCTTGATCAGCATTTCTCGGTACTTTCTCAGGCTCTCGCCGATGACGTTGATAAACAGCCACTGGGTGTTGCTTCGAAAGAAATGGGCCCAGATTTTGAGGACGGCGAGGCCCAAGTTCGTACAGTCCTTGAAGTCGGACAGCGGCAGTCCATCTGTGCCGACGCAGCTGTCACTCTCCAGATCAATGACGCTGTAGGCTTCTTCAACAATGGTCCGGACCCAGTGCAGGATCCGATCCTCGCTGTCTAGGAATGTTAGCTATGATTACCTGAGTGAAGTAGCACTACAGCTAAAGTCGAGCCACCACAATTACAAGAAAGACAGCATACCACTTAACGGAGGAGAAACCGACTCTGCAGCTCCTCCCAGCTGCATCAGCCACTTGCTGAGCAGGATGGCGCACTCGAGTCCAGACAGACTGTGGCGCACGCTCCAGAAAAAGGCCTGGCTGCGGGCGACCCGGTCGACACCCAGGCGGACGGGTATGCTAAGCATATGTGTGGCGTAGAGCAGGGCCGCAATCACGCCGTCGTTGCGCTTCAGTTGTGGAGCCTGGTAGATGGCCTCGGCGATCACGACCGGATCGCGCGTGTCCAGCTTCCGGTAGGGGCCAAGATGGAGGTAGATGCGCACGTATGCCAGTGCGAGAAGCGAGCTAGACGTGAACGGGATCGGGCCGTTCTCATTGTTCGGATCGAGGGACGATTCGGGGGCCTGCTGCCAGCCAGACGTCCACGAACGAAGGCCACGTCTGGGGGTCAGTGGGGGATGAATAATGGAGGGAAATATGAAAAGAAAAAGAAAAAGAAAAGAGAAAAAGAAAAAAAGAAAAACAACCGAAAACTCACTCTAAAGTGTCGGCTTCCCCCTTGGGCAATGCAGCTGCATGGTCTGTTGTGGGCAGTCCGAGATCGCGCACGAGGTGTATCCGCTGAAGGATCCCGTGCAGCAGCACGTAGTTCCCCAGCGGCGTGGGAATGGGGTCGAGCGGTGTGGTGCCGTCGACGTGGCCGAAGAGCAGCGAGAGGGCGTCCTGGAAGAGCAGCTGACGCTTGGGGCGGCCGTGGAGGGCGAGCAGCCACTGGGCCGCGGTGGGCGCCTTCCACTCGCGGGTCGAGCAGGGCAGCCGCAGACCGATCTCGTTGGCGCGCAGCACCGGATAGACGTTGTAGGCGATGCTGTGGATGTGGATGAAGGAAAAGGCGATCAGCTTGGACCGTCTCGACGACTCCCGGGCAATCCAGGCCTGCCAATCCTCTCTTTCGTCTTCTCGCTCGTCCTCGGCAAGCCTGACATCCCGGAGCAGCTGTGCGAGCAAGTCCCGGAGGGCAAACGAGTCCTGCAGCAGCGCGACCTTTGGCTCCCACGTGGCGTATCCCATGAGGCAGACGAGTGCCCGCACCGACTCGATCGGATCCCAGGAGCCCCAGTCGCGCGCGGACGACGACACCATCGGCTGGAGGGCCAGAAACGAGCTTCGCCGCGGCTCCGGGCGGCTGGCGGCCTCGTGCAGCAGCCTCTCGATCAGGATGGCCTTTCCGGCACGGAACAGACTCTCGGAAACGCGGTGGTCGAAGCAGTACTGGGCCCCGATGGCGGCCATGCCGAGGATCAGCTCGGGGGCGTGGTCAGAGAAGTGCCAGGTGGGTGTGTGGATCAGCGGCAGGTGGGAGTGGAAGCCGTCAAAGAAAGACGAGGTGTATCGCGTGAGGGCATGACGGCTTGGAATGCGGACGTCTTGGCCGACAATGTCGCGGAACGTCTCCAAGGCGGCACATAGCCTTGCTCGCTGCTCGTCTGTCACCCGGAACCGCTGGTGTTCCGCGCTGGTCTCGACCGGGCCTGGCACAGCGAGCTCACTCTCGTCCGGGAGATTGTCGGAGATCCGGTTGCCTGTCGGTGCCGATGGCAGCCATGAGCTGAACGGTGTCCCTAGCCGTGTTCTCGGAGCCGGGCGAGGCGAAGCCGTGGACGCATCTGGAACGGTCCTCGCTTCTGGGTGTCCGCCTTCGTATCTGTCGGGGCCGTGGAAGTACGGACTCCATTCGGCCGGCAGCCCCACGCCGTCGAGGAAGTTGGCAAACTCCATGAAATGGGCATCGAACGTGGTGTTGCTGTCTGGCTCCTCGATGCCTTCGAAAAAGGACCCCGACAGCGCCGGCTGGTACGAAGCCATCACTTCGTGTTGTTGTGCCGCGTCGCCCGCCGCAGCATACACATCCGCCTCTGTCAACGGCTGCGTCCAGTGCACCTCCGGTCCGGCCATCTCAGACGTCTGCCTGGGCGATCCAGCCGTTGCTGACTCATCATCGTGAAGAGCAATGCGGCGATGTCGCGTCAGCAGGTCGCGGCGTGAAAATGTAGCCCCGCATCGGTTGCAGCCAAACGGCTTCTCCTTTGTATCTTTCGCCAGTCAATCAGCTTCCAAACAGACTTCACAGATCGTGGGCCACATACGAGTCCTCACGTGTCTCTCCAGATGCTCCGTGCGCTTAAAGGTGCGGCCGCAGTGTGGACACTCTCGCAGCTTATCTCTGTCTCCACGTCTGCTGGAGACATGTCGGAGTCGTCGCCTCCGAGGTCCACTGTCAGGATCACCTCCATCGGCCATGCGAGATGGTGTTGGGGATGTAAAGGTGAAGGATAGCTGATTGGATACAAAGAGGAAAGAGGGCCTGGGGTAATTTGATTTTTTGGCTGTGGGGCCTTGGGGTAATTCTGTTTGTCATCATAAAATGCACGTGACCAATTCTTCTTTGGCAACCTCCAGCAACTGCTCAACCTGCAAGTGACATCGTTATCGAAACTATATTCCATCTTATACGCTTGCAATGGCTTCTCTGGCTCGACTTCCGGGTGTTGCACTGATCAGTGGCGCAGGCGGCACAGGTAACAACGAGTCCTGTCTCGTCTGCCGTCCCCTATTGTCCCGTTCTGACTGTCTTCTTAGGCATCGGAGCAGCCGTGAGCAGGGCTTTTGCTGCCGCAGGCTGCTCCCGCTTCGCCATTACGGACCTGGATGCGGCTTCGCTGCAGGCGACGGGGGCTGTGATCCGCAAGATCAGCCCCGGCGCGGCGGTCTTCGCGGCCGATGGCGACGTGTCGGACGAGGCTTTTGTCTCGTCCTTTGTCGGGGACGTGGTGAGGCGATTTTCACGTATAGACTATTCCGTCCACTGTGCCGGCATCCTCGGCGCATCGCTGCGCTCTCACGAGACGCCGACAAGTGCGTTTGACCGTATCAACAACGTGAACTACAAGGGCACCTGGCTCTTCTCCCGAGCATCGCTCGGCCAGATGGTACAACAAAAACCCCTGGACAGCCATCCGAAGCAGTGCGGCGCCATTGTCAACATTGCCAGCCAGCTGGGCATTGTGGCCCGGCCTGGTGCAGCGCCATACTGCGCGTCCAAAGCGGCCATCATCAACATGACCAAGGCAGATGCCATCGACTACTCGCTCGACGGGATCCGCGTCAATTGTGTGTGTCCAGGCGTCATTGCCACGCCAATGACAACAGGCTCAACCGAGGTCGAGGAGCGTTTGCGGCCGGCCGTGTCCATTGCCCCCATGCAGCGAATGGGCACGCCCGAAGAGGTGGCAGATGCGGTGCTCTTCTTGTGCTCGGCGCAGGCGTCGTTTATACAGGGTCATGCCTTGGTTGTAGATGGAGGCTATACGATCAATTGATGCCTGAACTATGTATATATCTGACCTATCAAGTGCACTTTTATGGACATTCCTAAGTCCCTACCTACCCTGCTCACGCCAGTCGAGGCTCTTCTCCCAGGCGTGTCCGACGGCGAGGATCTTGTGCTCCTGCCAGAGACCACCTACGATCTGCACGCCGACGGGCAGCTGGACGGCAGCATTATCGACAGCCTCAGCCCAGCCAATGGGAATGGTCAGGGCTGGCTGGCCGGTGACATTGAAGACGGCCGTATTGGTGGTCAGGCCGATGCTGGGCTCGAAGCAGCTGAGCACAGAACGACGGTGGCCATGTCGCGGGGCCACAGCTGGTGTGGTTGGCATGACGATAACGTCGAATGAGCGCAGCTGATCTGCGTAGACATCACCGATCTGGCGGGCCACGTTCATGGTCTTGGCGTAGAGGCCGGGGAAGTTGTCGGCGAGATAGAGGCCGTTGATGAGTGTGTTCTTGGTAGAGGGAAAGAGTCGGCCGAAAGACAGATCCGTCCAGGGCAGTCGAGCCTGTTCAAACTCGGTCAGGTGGAGGCCACGACGGCCGTAGGCTCGACCGAGAAGGCCGGCCGCACCAGACATGCGCTGCTGGAGGGTCCAGACGGCGGGGCCGAGACGATGCAGAGGGACGGACACGTCCTCAACGACGGCGCCGAGGGCTGTCAGTTGGGCGGTGGCGTCCAGAAAGCGCTGTCGAACGCCCGGCTGCACGATATCGATGTCGTAGCCCTCGACAAGACGGCCGATGCGGAAGCCATCCAGACGGCCAGCAGAAGCGGCTGTTGTCCGGAGAAGGGTGTCGGCAAACCCATACGACCCGTGGACCTGTGCGCCGAGGGCGCGGTCGTCGAGACCATCGTAGCCGGCCAGAACGTCCAAACAGACAGCCGTCTCGAGGACAGTCCGGGAGATCGGGCCAGCATGGTCGTCGACCGGGTCGCCGCTCGTGATCCCGGAAAACGGCACTAGGCCGTGTGTAGGCTTCAGACCGACACAACCACACAGAGCTGCTGGCACGCGGATGCTTCCACCCTGGTCTGTCCCCAGAGCCAAGTCCATCTGGCCACCGGCCACCAGGGCAGCCCCCCCGGATGTGCTGCCGCCCGATGAGTAGCCGATTTGGTGTGGGTTCTCCACGGTGCCCTGGGCGCTTGTAAACGAGCTCGTCGAGTTGCAAAAGTGCTCGCACGTCGCCGTGCCGTGGATATCGCCTCCCGCCTCCAGCACTCGCTGCACCACGGTCGCGTCTGTCGATGGGGTCCATGGCCCAAACGCATCGGTGCCGTAGAACTGCGGCACGCCTGCCACGGCAATGCAGTCCTTCACGCACACCCGCCAGCCCGCCAGAGCTGGCTTCCTGACGCTGCTCTCGCTCGCTTCTCGTCGCCCGCGGATCAGAAAACGATGCGCCCAGGCGTGGCCGTGCTCCTGCTCGTCCGGCAACGGCACCCGCACGTTCTCGCGCGGATATCTCTCCAGATCTGGCGCTGGCTGGTAGTCGGGCAGCGCGCTGATCCGCTCGGCACAGTCGTGCACCGCCGCTAGCAGCGTGCAGTACTCGGCTGATTCGTCTTCCGGGATCATGAGTCCCAGCGGCGCCAGCAGCCTCTCTACATCGCCACTTCGCACTGGGTTGTTTCTGTGGGGCTTAGTCAGCAAGGAGCACATGACTTGGCTGTATGGCACTCACGGACTAATGTCTTTGAAAAAGACAGACATATTGGCTGGTGTAGACATGGACGACAGAGGAGAGATTTGGTCTTTGCAACAAGCTGTCGTGACATATGTCTTGAAGGCAGTTGGGGTTAGCAGGAAATGGGGTCAGCTGCTTCATTCTGTTACGTTATTACTCTACGAAGCTCTGATGGCCATCTGTTAGGCAGACCAATGGAGACCATAGAACAGACTGCTCCGTACTCATAGTCGGAAACGTAATTCTGATTTTTCAAACCCCAAATCGTATCTTGGAGCTGTTCATTTGGAGAGACGGCCCCAAAACTAACCAATTTGGCTTTCAGCCCAAAGTCCATTCCAGACACGCTAAGCTACCTTCTTGTCAGTGTCTTGTTCATTGTCGGCCTTGCTACGGAAACGTCTCTATCCGGCCCTGTCTTACTTCAGCCGACTCTACAATGGGAAAGAAGCGAGTTCTTGTAAGCTACGGCGTCGATGTCGATGCCGTCTCGGGCTGGCTAGGCTCGTATGGAGGAGAAGACTCGACCAACGACATCAGCAGAGGTATGCGCTCGTCTGCGTCGTTCGAACGGCCGACCGCAGCTGACCGAGACAGGCTACTTTGCCGGCACCATCGGCACGCAGCGCATGCTCCAGCTATTTGCCAAGTATGACATCAAGGCCACCTGGTTCATCCCGGGCCACTCGCTCGAGACCTTCCCGGACGACATGGCGGCCGTGCGGGATGCCGGCCACGAAATCGGCCTGCACGGCTACTCGCACGAGAACCCGACGGACATGACGCTGGACCAGCAGCGCCAGGTGCTCGACCGGACGTACCGCCTGCTAACCGACTTCTGCGGCGGCCGCCCGCCGCGTGGCAGCGTGGCGCCGTGGTGGGAGACCAGCGTCGAGGGCGCGCAGCTGCTGCTGGACTACGGCCTCGAGTACGACCACAGCATGAGCCACCACGACTGTCAGGCCTACTACCTGCGCACAGGCGACACCTGGACCAAGATCGACTACAGCCAGGCTGATGCGGCCACATGGATGAAGCCGCTCGTCCGGGGCAAAGAGACCGGTCTCGTTGAGATCCCTGCCAACTGGTACCTCGACGACTTGCCGCCAATGATGTTCATCAAGGCGGCACCCAACAGCCATGGGTACGTCAACGCGCGCGACGTCGAGGATCTCTGGCGCGACCACTTTGACTACTTCTACCGCGAATACGATGAATTCATCTTCCCCCTCACCGTCCACCCAGACGTCTCGGGTCGGCCGCACGCCCTGCTGATGCACGAACGACTCATCGAGCACATGAAACGCCACGAGGGCGTCGAGTTTGTCACCATGGCCGAGATCTGCGACGAGTTCAAGAAGAAGAACGACCCGGATCCGGGGGCAGCCTTGCCGGCCACTCCAGGACTGATGCTTGCAAAGAAGTGATCGTTGCGGTGGATGCTTTACATTTTACTTAGTACCCATCAACAATATTTTGCATGATCCTACATTGCATTTAGAGTATCCTTTTCCCCGGAGACGCTCATCATTTCAAGCTGTATCTAATCATTGTGATGTATAATATCTCCTAGTTACCGTCTTATCACACGTCGTATTTCATGTCAGTCGTACGTCTCTTATCTTGGGGTAAATACACGCTGACCCCGAATGACCCCAACAATATCTGCGGCCAATAGACTTGCACGAAATTCTCCGATTCCTCTTATCCAACATTGCCGTATTAGCTGCAACCCCGGATTCGACTATCCCTCTTGGGCCGTGATTGGATAAGGCAAAGAGATATGTATCATGATGGATGCTTGCCGGACAGCCTGCTATCTTTGCAACGGTGCAAAGTGACCCCAGGCTTGAAGGAGTGGGTCTGCCAAGCCATCGTACGGCTTGGGGTAATGCTAAGATACGGTTCGGACAAGGGCTAAGCAAGTCTCTCCGGCTTCCTGCATCCACGGCGATGCTATTTGAACCTCCGTAGCCGCAGCCCACTGCCCGTATCGTCTGCTCTTCACTTCACATCCTCCTGGCCGTACTCAATCCTCCAACGGAAGAGGCAGACTTGCATCATGGCAGCCACCGAGGAAAAGGGCGTCGATGCCATCGAGGCCGCGCCTGTGCGCACCAGCAGCAGCAGCATCGAGGCCGCCAAGATGGACAACGCGGACGAGGCCTTTGAGGTCTTCAAGAGGGGTGACGGCAACGTGGACTTCCGCACCGTCAGCTGGATCCACGCCTCCGTCATCTTTCTCAAGGGTAGGCAGTCTGTCGCTTCTAGACCGTGCAGGCGCTCCCACGCTGACGTCGATGACCAGTCATCTTTGCCACCGGCGTCCTGAGCATCCCCTCGACCATGTACGTGCTCGGGGCCTTTCCCGGCGCCGTCAACGTGCTCGGCTGGCAGGGCCTCAACACGTACTGTGCCATTGTGCAGGGCAACTTCCGAAATGCCCATGCTGGCTGCCACTCCATTGCCGACATGGCCCATGTTGTCGGTGGCCCGTGGCTGCGCGAGATCGTCGGCGTCCTCTTTCTCGTCACGTACGCCATCGTCGGCGCCTCAGGCATCTTTGGGGCTTCAGTCGGGCTCAACGCGCTGTCTGACCACGCGATCTGCACCAACTACTTTATGCTCGTCGCCATGGTGGCCGTCTTCATCTTGGCCAGTGTGCGCAAGTTTGAGAAGATTGCCTTTTTGACGTGGGCCGGCTTCGCGTCTGTGTATATTGCCGTCTTTATTGTAGTGTACGTTTCTCGCCGATTTTCTCTTCGCTCTTCTTCTATTTTCCCCCCTAACCCCCCCTCCTTAGTATCGGTGTCACCACTCGTGACCGGCCTGCCTCGGCTCCCCAAACTGGCGACTACGACCTTGGCTACCATGCCATTGGCAGCCCGACCTTTGTCCCGGCATCACGTCCGTGGCCACCATCTTCTGCTCGGGTGCCGGCACGTCTGCCTTCTTGCCTGTCATGTCCGAAATGCGCCGTCCCCGCGACTACAACAAGGCTGTGTACCTCTGCATGAGCATTGTCACGGCCTCGTACCTCTGCTTCTCGCTCGTCGTCTACCGCTGGTGTGGCCAGTGGGTCGCCTCACCCTCGCTCGGATCCGCTGGCACCACCATCAAGAAGGTTTCCTACGGCATCGCCATGATCGGCCTGCTCGTATCTGCCTGTCTTTACGTCCACGTCGCCGCAAAGTATCTCTTTGTGCGCATCCTGCGCAACTCCAAACATCTCCAGGACAGTGGCCCCGTTCATTGGGCCGTCTGGCTCGCCTGCACCTTCGGCATGTCCGTCATCTCCTTCCTCCTCGCCAATGGCATCCCCATCTTCAACTATCTCCTCGCCCTTGCCGGCAGCCTTACCTTTGCACCCCTGGCCCTCGGTCTTCCCGGCTACCTCTGGATCTACGATCACCCGCAGTACCGCACCGGTGGCTTCTGGCAGGCCTCTGCGTACTGGCTCAACTGGCTGTTGATTCTGCTAGCTGCCTTTTTGACCGTCGGCGGCACCTATGGCGTGGTCCAGAACATTATTGATGCCTATGCCAGCGGTCTAATTGGAGGTGCCTTTTCCTGTGCTGACAACAGCAATTCGTCGTAGTTGTGTGCCAGTATGCATTAAGGATTAGATCTACATAGGCAGCTTTGAGTCTCTCCCACAACAATATATCCCTTGTCGCTAAAAACTCAATTTCCAAGCTGTGCTATAACTTTGAAGGCCAAAAGAATGCTTATTGCGCCAGCATGAAAAGAGTGTCGAAAGAACTGGAACTATGCCAACTATCACGTTGTTCTACTTCCAATTCAAACTAATGTCTTGCAGCATTATAAAGATATCCACACAAACGAATGACTGGCTACTATTTACACTAATCAACATGAAAGCAACGGCTCAAAGCGGTGAACAAATAAACGAAAAACGAAGACGAATGATACTGCAACATATACGGGCCTGTTGTTCTCTCAGCCTTTGTTCCGTGCATACGGCCCTTAAAATCTTGGCGGTCCCTATCATCCAGAATAGCCATGATGGTTATACAAGGACTGCTGTGAAGGCAAGCCTTGATTTTGTCCCTGCTGTAGGGCCCCCGATCCCGCGGGACCGCCACCGGCAAAACTCTGTCCTCCCGCGTTGCCGTAGCTGGCCGGCAGCTGCTGCTGCTGCTGCTGGCCGGACTGAGCATAGACCGATGTTTGTGCTGGCTGTTGCTGGTATCCCGACGCCTGAAACGATGACTGCTGCTGTGGCGGCTGCTGAGTTCCAAAGGGAGAGAAGCCAGGCATGAAAGAGGCATTGTTAGCCTGCGCTGGCTGCCCACTGCCATCCTGCCTGTGGCTACCCCATATGGGCATGCTCGAAACTGGGTAGCTCGGACCGGGAGCGCCTGTAGCCTGCGGTGTGAAGTTCTGCATGGTCGCCATCGCGAGATTGTTCGCGTAGCCATCGTTTGCATAGGACGGCACTGTGTCCCGGAACGTGTCGTCGCGGTACCCCTTCTTCAGATTCAGCACGTCGTCACCACGCTGCAGCTTCGTCCGCCACAGGTAAGTATTAAACTCGTTCGACACCAGCGAAACCTGCTCGAAGTGCGACTCTGTCACCTTGATTCCCATCCCCACTTTCTGCTGGACTTCGGCGAGCGCGACGGCGGTCTGGAAGGCGTTGCGGATCTGCCGGCCATTCCACACCGGCTTGAACTCCGGTCTCCTATCCTGCTGGTTTCCACAGCTTCAACGCGAACTGTGTTATTTCCTTTTCATCAAAGCTAATATGCTGCGTCGGGTCGTCGGGCGCGGCAGCCTTGCTGTTGCTGCGGGTGTGCTGTATCTGCGTATTCCAGATGGTCAGAGTCTGATCCATAGACAGCGGTGGATAGTAAAGGGCCATGGAGATGCGCGACTTAAAGGCCTCATCGAATGAACCGACCTTGTTGGTCGTAAGAAAAAGGACTCCCTCGTAGTATTCGAGGACGCGTAGGAAGACGGACACCAGAGCATTCCTCTCGATGCTGTCGCGACTTCTTTCAGCCAGGAACACATCCGCCTCGTCCAGCAGGAGGACGCACTGCCATGCCTGGGCAAGCGCGAACGATTTTTGCAGGTTTTTCTCAACGTCCTGTGGGGTGAGCCCCAAATCGCCTGTCACCATCAGTCTCTTCACATATTGCAAGGAATGTCGGACATTTAGATAGATGGGAACGTACCGCACGTGATCGGCAGCAGAGGTTTGTTGTAATACTCTGCCACCGTTTCTATGTTTTGTATTCGCAAATTAGACACAACTCTTCAGAACGTTCTGCTCCATACGTTCATTCTAACCGGTCAATTACGTACCTGCAGTGGAGGTCTTTCCGACCCCGGGAACACCATGCAGCAGTATGATGAGGCCTTTGCCTGTAAAAGACGTCTTGTGTTATTATCTACTCCACGATCGATAAGAATCCTCAGATTGTCTGCACTTACCCTTATCCTGGATCAGGTCAAACTGACGGCGCTGCGACTTGCTCTTCTCGAAATGAGACCGCATCAGCGACTCGATGACCTTTTTGTGCGAAAGGTTGATCTGAAGATCTTCCCATGCCTCCTTCTTTGGTAGTATTTCCTTCAGCTTCTCTCGGGGGGGGGTCAGTGATCTCGATCATGTCTTCAACCATGCGAACATCCCAGACGCGGTCGTCTTCTATATTATCGTCGGCTCCGTCGCCATTCAATTCGTTCTCCGGTCCCTTGAGCAGCTCCTCGGTCGACCTTGTCGGGCTCCAGTCCGGTACGAGCTGAAGGCATCTCTCAAAGTCCACCACTACAGGACTCTCGATGAAATCGGAGAGCACCGCGATGCTCCCGAGGCTTCCTGGAAAAGGCCGTGTCAACACGTCCCCATTGGGGGCATGGCTCAGACTCCGGCCGCGGTAGTACATGTACTTGTAGGGCATAGTCGCGCATTTTATGAAAGCCTTCCCCCTCTCCATCAGGTCTCTTTCCTTGACGAGCCCCTCCTGCTCCGCGATTGAGATCGGTAGGATCTGGAGCAACTTTGCCTGCTGCGCATCAGGGAACTCCTCGATGGTGAAGGTCCGGATGACGCGCACAAAGTCGGTGCCGTCGTAATCGATATAGTAGCAGTCCAGACTGAACGGGTTGCGCTTCTCTCGGAGCCAGCGAGCGCCCAACGCCAGCGCATCAGCAGAGTCCGAATTGGTGGACAAAGGCCTGCGGCCACCAGATCCCTGCAGCACCTTCCAGATCTTCTGCGGAACGGTCCGGTCGCGGACGTAAACTAGGCTGCCAGGAATCAAGAAGTGCCAGAGTTCGCTGAAGCGTACAAGGCGTTCGGCCCTGAACAGAAGTCCCGAAGGCGCCAGCGGTGCAAGGTACTCGTCCATAAACGATACCACGACGCGCAGGTCCTTGGCAGCCTCCTGCTTTTCTTTCAGCGTGAGGGTGCTCCAGTTTGTGCCCGTAGCAAAGATCTGCGTTCCTTCGATTTCGAAGCGACCGCCAGTCTCAATCTCGGCCTCCTTCTCGTCGGCCGTCTGTTGGAGATGGTCGCTGCAGGACTTTTCAAGCTCGGACAGACGATCTCGAATTTTCTGGTCGTAATAAGTCAGCAGCTTATATGGACGCAGAAGTACAATCGGGCAGTTGCTGCTCCAAGGTATATTGTCGTCAAACATCGTGTCGATAATCCTTTTGGCCGCCAACGAACAAATGCGGATGCGCGACGGTAGCTGCTTGGCCATGGAATTGCTCGAAGGGCCTTCGGATTAGTACTGTGAAATTCGGACATTCCCATCGGTGGCGTTGCGGTTGGCCCAGACGATGAAGACGGTTCTTCAGACAAGATGTACAAGGCCGAGTGCGGCACACTGTTAGATCCCGACGACGCCTCCCATTCTTTCCATGTCAAATGCTTGGCCTCCGGGGTAGCGATAAGACGCACTGTCGGCTCGGGCTCCTCGGGCTCTTTCTTTGTGTTCAGGGCGGTGAGAGCTTCGTGAATCCACTGCACCGATCTCATGGACTTGAGAAGAAATGTGGCCTTGTCGTCGTCGTCAAAGAGGCGCGATTCGCTTATGTAATCGCCATAGCGTAACTTCCTGCGAAGGGTCGCAAAACGAGCTTCGATCTCACTTCTGGTGGGTTCCGCTACATTTGCCTCAGGCTCGTCGCGGATACCATCACTCTTGCCCGGTACTTTAGGATCCACCGGGTGCTGGCTCTCCTCGGACGAGCCGGGCAAGTGCGGTGGAGATGCATCATTGTCATCAATAGACACGGCCTGTGTAGAAAGCGAGGGCGTAATGGTCAGTAAAGTCCAATTCCAGCACAAATATCGTCAGGAGGCATATGCTCACCAAAGTCACGCTGGTTTCGAGAGACAATGCCGTGCTAGGTGCCAGAGAGGAAGCACCCGAAGTCTTGGTGGAGGATTCTTCGGTGGTGTCGCTGCTCATCTTGGCCAATAAGAAAGGTGCGATTTTGTCTTTTCAGGAAGAAGATCACCAATTGTTTGCAGGGCCTACCAGAGCTCGTTCAGGACACAAAAGGATACGTGCAGCTGTATTCAGACGACAAAGCCCTATGGGAGGCAGCCGAGAGCTTGTACGTTGGAATCCTCGAAGGTGTGGAAATCATGCTGGCCTGGATAGATGAAAAGGCCATCCATGCAGCGGGTGCGTATTCGCCAACCCATCCGTCGTTGGCAAAAGATCGAACCCACTCATCACCGCAGTGCAGCATCCGCCTGGAAAGCCCTCTTTCGTCAATGGAGGCCTTGCAAAGGCAGACATGCAGGTCGCCCTCATCGACATCGACCAGGCGTCATCCAAGCCGCTCGACTCCTCCGACATCGTCCAGCTCCTGTCACAATCGACATTTGCCAGCTGGCTGCAGGGCCCCGAGCCCCAGATCCTCTACATCAACGGCCACTTACAGCTGGAGCAAGAGCAGGAGATGGCGTCGCCGCTGACGCTCCTGACGTGTGCCCTCTATGTGTCCCTGCAGCGGCACAGAAGCGGCTACGACATCGCGGCGATGCACCTCTGTGGCCAGCACGCTGTGCCCAGCGACCTGTTCGCCAGCATCGTCGGCATAATGCGGTCGTTCGCCGCGCAGATCCTGTACCAGCTGCCGGCCGATGCGCTCGACCTCTCGTTCATTGACCTCTCGTTCATCGAAGAGCTGAGCCGCGGTGACCCCAGCGCTCTCAGCAGGCTTCTCGCCCGTCTCGTCTCCGACGCCGCCTCGGTCGGCCACAGGGTTGTGATCCTCATCGACGGCGTCTGGCGGCTGGAAGAAGGACCCGCGGCACCCGAGTTCAATACGCTCGTGGACTTTTTCAAGGACCTGGTCCAATCATTCCATGCGCGAAGATGTCCTTATCTAAAGGTCTTGTTCACGAACCCCGGTAGTAGCATCCACGCCCGACAGTGGCTTGCCGACTGCCCGTCGTCCATTCTCGACCTGGATGGTGCCGGCTTTGCTGGACAGGGAGATGAGTTTGGCTGTGGAGACGATTACTATGATGACCAGCAGATCTAGAAGGGAACCTACGCGAATAATATTGAATCACACCTTACACTCGCTGTTCAGAACGGAGGGTTCGACTTTGTATGTCATTCCCATGCACGCTAGGCCAATAATTAAAGTCTATATGTATATGTATCTCTGCCTGCTTATAGCACCGGCTTGTACTCGTCCTTGAGGGGTCCAAGGCCGATGCGGGCGCTGTAGTTGGTCGGCAGGTTGCCGCCAAAGTCGAAGACGGTGTAAAAGTGCTGGAGGAAGCTGTTGCCGAAGAGGAAGAGGCCATCGGCTTCGTTGCTGTCAAAGGGCGGCCAGCAGTACTTGGCCTCGCCGTCGGCAAAGCCAGGGTTCTTCAGCATGGAGCCGGTGATGGTCAGCTCGGTGGCCGGGACAAAGTCGCCAATGTAGACGGTGATGCCCCAGTCGTCGGTAAAGTCCTCGCACAGCGGGATGACGTCGCCGTTGAGGATGGCGGTGTAGTTCATGCCGATGCTCTCGTAGATCTGGTCGATCAGCCGATCGGGCACGGTGATGCCGCCGGCGCCGGTGTCGAACACGGCCCAGCAGTCGTTGACGTCGAGGAAGGTGGTATTGGCCGTATTGGGCCGCCGGCTGACGACCGACTGCATGGCCGTGCGCCACAGCTGGGCCTCGCTGCCGGGGTACTGCAGCTGCGTCCAGGCCAGAGAGCCGTTGACGTACTTGTCCTCGTGCGAGCCGCCGACGGTCAGCATGCCGTTGCCCGGACTGCTGCCCGTGTCGTTCGTCTCGGAGCCGCGGTACAGCGCGAAACGAGGCTCATCGAGCAGGCCATCCTGCATCATCGTCTCGACGAGTGTCGTGGTCTCGCCCTCGGCAATGGTGCTAAAGGCCAGGCCCAGGAACCCGTCGCCCGGCAGGGCCGCAAACGAGCTCTCGTTCACGGCCAGGAACGTCTGGGCCCACGTGTCCTTGGGTGCCGACGGCATGGCAAACATGTCCTTGGCACCGCTGCCGCCGGTGGTACCGCCCAGGTAGCCGATCGAGGCGGTCGTGTTCAGCGACGACGACGTCGACGACGCGCTGGCATCGTAGCCCGGACGCTTGTAGCCGCTGGAGTTCGGGCATGCGCTCGGGTCGGCAACGCAGTCGGACGAGGCCATCCATGTGCTCGAGCTGCCCGTGTCAAACTCGAGGTAGTGCGAGACGGGCGGCGTTCCGGCCTCAATCTCCACGACGGCCTGTGTGCGATCACCCGTCAGCCAAGGTCTTTCCTGTCTTCCCCTGTCCCGCGACAGCTGCAGTACATACGTAGGTGTTCCGGATCCAGACCGGCAGCTCGAACACGGCTGCAAGAGTGCCGGGAAGACACGCGAGGGGCAGAACAGACTTCATCTTTGCTTGTCGTTGTTTTGGACCTGGAGAACTCTTCTGTGCGAATAGAGATCACTGGGAAATCCTCGACAACTGTGGCCATGATGAACTCTGCCCTATATATTTATACTTCTTTCTCCGCATAAACAACGGTGTAAAAAAGACCACACCGTCCTGCGCTCGTGCCATTATACGAGCGCCACGGCGAGCTAAATGAGCTTCGCTCGTATTCGAGAACTCCGCTGAGGGCCCCCTGAGGCTGTGTGGATCTTATGCGTTAAAACGGCTCTACCTTGCTGCACAGCCTGCATAACCCGGCAATGCCGATCCCTGAACAAGTGGATATGGACACAAGGCTGCGCCTTTTTTGACGTTTGAAACGTAATGAGAACGTGCAGCACACCGTCGCCAGACTCGAATGGCTGGTCCAGCAGGCCAGGCATCCGAGTCACGTACTCCGTACAATGTAGTCTTTCTTTGCCTGCCAATCATGACTGTATACGGAGTCTGTAACGGCGTCTTCACAGGACCTCCGGCGCATCCGTCAGCGGAACATACCGCACGCCAAACAGCCTCGTCCGCCTGACCGTCCCGTCGACGTCCTTGTCGATCGTCCAGAGGTGCTGCAGCCCGCTGTCGACGTCCTCGAGCGGGATGAACAGGCGGCCAGGTGCCCGCAGTTGGTCGATGAGCGCCTGGTGAGCCTCTGTGGCGGCGGCCCCGACGTGAATGGCGTCAAACCTGCTGTCACTGGCCACGAGATCCATCTCGACCCCAGCCAGTGCCGCTGCTCCCCGTCTCCCATCGCCGACGGCCAGCACCACCCGTCCGCTGTCCAGCAGCGCCCGTCCGCCCGCGCTCTTGCGCATGTTCGTCTCGGCCAGCCGGCACAGCGCCGGGATGTGCTCAACCCCGAGCACAAAACCGCCGTCGCCCACAATTTCTCCCAGGACGTGCGTCAGATAGCCTGAGCCGGCCCCGACGTCCAGCACGCGCGGCGCCCGCTCGCCTGCCCGCGGCACCACGTACGGCCATAGGTGCTTCACCGCCAGCGCGTGCATGTGCGGCGCCGAGATGGTCACGCCATAGCCAATGCCCTGTGGCGCGTCGTCGTATGGCCGCCGTGGTGCGTAGTCCGCCCGGTCGACTGCCAGAAAGGCCGCCCGTGCACGCTCGTCCACGGCCGTGCTCGTCGTGTCGGCCGATGGCAGCATCCCGTGGCCCGCCAGGTTGGCCACCAGCTCCTCGTTCGTCGCGCCAGAGCTGCGCCAGGCCATCGTACCGGGGCGCGAGCGCGACGGCGGAAAAGACGGGAAACAAAGAGACGATGCAAACCGACTCGATACCGACGACAGGGGCGATTGCACGGTCACGGCCAGACCACAGACACATTCACAGCAGCCGGTTATCACAGCCTTGCAGGCCAACATGCAGCGGAAGATTGTCGTCTTCGTTTCGCCTGCGCGCGTTTGGATTGTAGATACAGAAAAGAAGCTCGTGGTTAAGACAAATAACGATGAGTAATGCATTTGGATGAGGTCATCAGCTCACATGACCACACCAAAGACAGCGCACTTGACCGCCCCATCCATCGGCAACTCCCAACAGAACCCAACTCTCCTCATACTCAACGACAAAAGAATCGATTTGCGCTGCACGCTAGAGGATACACGGCCAGGGGCCAGAAAGACAAAGGAAACCAAACAGGGAAAGCCAACGACTGGGCTCTGCAGAAGACTACACACCATCTATTACCTCCATCCTCCTCTTTCCTTCATCATGCTCGCTTGCCCTCCTTCCACGCACCTGGCTCGCCCTTCACTCACCACAACCACCTCTATACCGCCTGCTCTGGCTGCTCGCCCTCGGCAATCACAGCCACGCCTAGTCCCCGGTCCGGGCTCTGCAGCACCAGCTGCTCATGGCGCCGAGCCCGCAGGTAGTCGCTGACAGCCCGAATCAGAATGAACCACCCCACAATCATCAGCACGTACGCCACCCATTCCGAGCTGGCCATCTCCTGCAGGCTCGCCGCCGCCCCGTGTGCACCACCGCCCGAGCTGCTAACCGCGTTCGGGTCAAAGTTGTGTGCGTTCGGGTCTGGTGGCGCAGCGTAACCCTCGACACCAGTACCGCCAGACGCTGCTGCTGCTCCGGCCGCCGACATGCCACCACTGCCGCCGGCCCCATCGTCTCCACCGTTCGCCGTGCTCTTCATGTAAAAGCCGTACTGGATCAGGGTGACGCCCAAGCCGGCCCGTGACCCGTTCTTGGCAGCGTGTGTCGAGTGCAGCAGGTACGTCAGCAGGAAGCCGACCACCTGGAAGGACATTGAGATCATGCCGTTCCACACAAACGAAAACACGGATCCGACCGGCATGCCGTCCACATACACCTCGTCCGAGCCGCCCAGCCCTGGCGCCAGGATCGTCGTCTCCCAGTAAGGGGGAGCCGAATCTGCCGCTGCTTGTTCGTAGGTCTAAAAAAAGAAGAAGAAAAAAAGGGTCAGCCAGGAAACGAGATGCACACAAGAAGACGTCCGTCCGACGGTTGCCTACCGGTGGCTGCTCCTCCTTCTCCACGCCTGCTTCTGGCTTTGCCGTCAGGTTGGAAAACACGCCGTCCGACTGGATGCCGCCGCCATAGACGCGGTTAGAGCTGGGAACAGCCGCCGATGGCCTAGTTGCTGCTGCTGCTGCTGCTGTTGTCGTCGTGCTTCCCGGGTTGTTGCTGCTGTTTGTCGCCGATGACTGCCGCACCAGCCGCTGCCGGTCGTCGGCCTCATCCTCGTCGCTGCTGTCGTGGTCGCCGTCTGTGTCAAAGGCATCGGCCAGCGTCGGATCCGCCACAGCACTTCGCCGCGACCGTGACGATGCCCGCGATCGAAACGACGGCGGAGGCGACTGGGGGACCGCCTGCTGCAACCGCGGCAGCGTTGGCTCTTCGGCATCGTGGCCGCTGACTCGTTCGTACCGTGCAGACATTGTGTTTCGAGTGTGTTTTGAGTGAATCGTCGGGTATCGGATTTCAGTGCGATAACAAAGTGTCGTCGGGATCGGACGGATGCGCAGAATCGAGTGAACTATCGTCGCTGAATAACTGCTGACAGAGCGCACAACGCGACAGTTCGACGCCAGATGATAAAAGGGAGACAAAGGGACGACGAGACGAAGGCGAGTCTGTTGGAATGAGCGGCAAATGAACGAGTAGGACCAACAGCCGAAAAACGGGCAGGACAAGACCGAGAGAGAGACGAGAACAAGGAGAGAAGAGAAGAAAAAGGGTAATGGCAATTTCAGATGGCAAATGGCGTCGGCCTCGATCTGATTGCGAATCGCACGGCCAAGCAGATTGGTAAAGACGGCCCTTCGGTATGACCGGCTGACGACAAAGGCCGGACCTTTGGAGCCTTTGAGTGTGGCGAAGCGTCATGCAAACCCATTTACCCACTATCAAGGGGGGGAAAACCGGGGCCTGAGGCAACAGATTAAGTAAGCGGGGCTGCATGCGAAACCCGCAGAACCGAGCAGACCACGTGCAGCCAATGAGACGCCGCGCTTTCCGCCGTGTGGTCATGGCGAAAAATTGAAGACGGCTTTCGTCAGGCCAGCAGCATCACGACGTGCAGACCAGCCGATACACAGCACAGTCACCATGTCGGGCAGTCTGAAAAGTGTAGGTGCATGCGTCCACGGTCGCCGCCTCGCACACCCCCAATTCTGACCTTTCAGGCTCTCCAGAAGCAGTACAAGGCGGCCATCGGCCGCTGGCCAAAGGATGACCTGCGGCCAGACGTGCAGCTGCCGGACATTCTGTCCAAGCACCTGGCCGACCGTCTAGCCGGTCGCTCGCTCGCCCGGCCCATTCTTCGTCCCAGCGGAAGTCTCGTTGATGGCAAAGACGCGGCCGCACTGTCTGCTGTCGCGCCCGCACCGCCCTCGGATCTGCAGCAGCTGCGCCAGATCAACGCCCTTTTCTCTCTGCTAGACGACCGGTACAAGAAAGCGGTGAGTCTTCCAGCATTGCTCTTTTGCTTGACGGGTAGAAACAAGACTGACTGACCAATTCCACCATCCAGAACCGCATCACCGGAACGCTGATGACGCCCCGCAGCAACCCGACCTACTACACCGACCTCGTCACCGAGCTGCAAGAGGCACCCAAGCGCAGTCTGCTCGGACGCATCTCCAAGCGTCTCGGCGGCATGTTCCGGCTGTCGTGAGGCAGCTTACAGGCACGGAGACGATGGCATACGACATGGACAGCATGGACAGGGCGTTTGGGACAATCGACCGGACAGGGATAGACAAAAAAGGCAATGTCGGTATTGGCAAATGTACACTTGAGTTTATGATTTCTATATTGTCCGCTGGCCCCTGGCTTCTCCACTTTCAAGGTTTTCTTTTTCTTTCTTTTCTGACTTCTCCTTCTTCTGTTCCACTTCTCCCTATATGTACTTGCCGTCCGGGTCGAGCCGGCCGAAGAGATCGATGCTCTTTTCGTACATGGTGAAGACGATGCCGCCGCTGAGGACGAGCCGGACGAGGCGCGGAAGGGCGCCGCTCCAGAACGTCAGCACGCCCTCCTGGCGCAGGATCAGGGCGGCGCAGCGGGCGCTGTTGCCGTAGAGCTGGCGGGCGTCGATGCTCTGCATGCGCGTCTTAATGGTGTCGAGCGGCTGCGTGACAGCGACGGTAATGGTGCCGGCGAGCGCGCCCATGGCAAAGGTGCCGGCCGTGCCGAGCTTCTCGCCCGGCGCCGTGTAGCTCTCGGCCAGCTGCTTGAGAAAGGTGTAGGACGAGAAGCGGACGGCCGAGTTGGCCGCCTGACGTGCCGTCGTCGGCACGAAACCCTGGAAGAAGCCGCGGAGACCGCGCTCACGCGCAATGATAGGCACCGCGTGCAGGAATCCGCGCAGCCGCGGCTTGGCCGACTTGCGGTCGTCGATCAGCGTCGTCTTGATGCTCTCCGTCGGCGTCACCGCCAGCAGCGACTCCGTCACGCCCGCTCCGAAGCCCGCCAGCACCGTTCGCGGACCCGACAGCTTGCCGTCCGCGTCCGCCAGCAGCCGTTTGTACTGGTCAAAGGCCACGAAGCCTGTCTGTCAGCATTTTGTCGGTGTCTCTCTTGATACATCCCCCTGCCTCGTCTTGTTCCACTCACGAATCCCGGCCTTGGCTGAATTGCCAATGATCAGCGTCGTGCAGCCCGCGTACCACTGTCGCCCAAAGGGCGGCCACGGCAGCTTCTGGCCGTCTGGCAGCCGTCGGTTCAGCTGTGTGCGCGTCTTGGCGACTGCAGTGAGGAGTCCTTGTCAGCGTGTCGGTCGCATTGCTTCAGAGAGGAGGTCCACGTACATTCGGCCGGGTATGTGATGGCTGCCACACGTTAGCTTTATAGCCTCACAGCATGCCCTGGACTGCCACCCACAAATCTCAACTGCGCCGGCCGTTGAGCCCGCCAGAATCGACCGCAATGCGCTCGGTGCACTCTTCTTCTGCGGCTTAGCCTCGGCATCAGCCGAAGCTGCAACAGGTGCTGCTGCCGACATCGTGTGCGTGCTAGAGATGTCGGGGAGACGACAGAGGTAGAGACGGAATTCAGTGGAGCTGTCTGTCCTCGAGAATTTCCGGCTAGAGTGCCGTCGTCTCGTTGCAGACCTTGTCGTTGCTGTCTTGTTCGTCGGCTAAAAAATGGTAGTGACGCGATGCGCAAAATAGGTCCACTGTAAGTTCGCACTGTGTGCGATAGCGGCTTTGCCCCGCGGTAAGGTGGGTTTCAAGAATTACTCCTGAATATGGATATTTAGCTGACACGTGATGCAGTGGGTCCGAAAATGTGCCTCATTTGCATTATTTTCCGGCCTCTTATTTGCTACGGCTTAGCGCGAGATCGATCTTTATTCCGAGTCCAATCGGTCGGTTGTTGTCTGCTGCGTGATGAAAAATAAGTATCGAAAGGCGAAAACAATGCTCGAAACAAGAATTGTCTGATTCTTTGACTATGCACAAGGAGGTAGGTTTCATGTTTGTTCTTGGTGGTCGTTGGTCGTATGATTTTGTCTACGGAACATTTACAAGCTTATGTTTTAAGATGCGAGCATACGAATTAGCCAAAACAGACAATGCACGTATCACGAATTCTCTTTTTAAACCCAACCCGAGTGAGCATAACCGAAGATAATTGGAGATATGTGATGTTTCTGGTTTATATAGTGCTTCGATTAATGTGTTGTATTTTCTGTGCTTTGACAATCTTGATTACCATATATAAAAGCAAAACAACACCACAATATTTAAATATTAAAACACCCACACACACCAACCACCAGCACGTCAGCATATCACAAGTAAAGTAGAACAAAGCAAACAAATGAGGAACTACAAAAATGCAAAATCAAATAAGCAATTCGCTCGTTGATTCCGTTCTTATGCGGCAAGCTACCAACTAGTTTCATGGCGGGCGGCTAATTCCTGCAAGATATTGAACGGGCGCCTACGTGTACAGAGATCGTCGTAGTCACATACAATCGCCACAAATTCTCGCTCCTCCTCTGTTCACCGAGTGCAGACAAGTCCAGGGGAATCGATTTTGCCAATCAGAAACCCCTTATTAGACATGAGTTGATTATATTCACCAGAGCAAAGAGAAAATAGTTGGTAACACTTTCAGGTAAATTGGCTTTTCTATCTACACAGGGACTTCAAATATGTACAATCATGCGACCACACATGACAGGAAACGAGACCAAGCCGGGCATAAAAAAGCGCCCGATCTTGGGAAGAAGAGAAAAAAGTCCTTTCAAAGTACAGTTGGGTGGTGTTTGTCGGGCGCGCCGGAAAGCCGCCGCCTTAGACGGTGACGTAGACGGTCCGTGTGGTGGGAGCCGGGCAAGCAGACAGGGCCGTGGTGGCAGCCGCAGTCAGCACAGCCGCAGCGGAGGAGGTAGCAGCCGTGGCAACAGTGGGAGCAGCAGCAGCGACGGTGGAGGCGGACGCAGCGACGACAGCGGTCGAGAGGGTTGTGGCAGCAGCCGGGCTGGACGCCTTGGAGGTGGTGGCGGCAGCAGCAGCGGCAACGGCAGCCGAGGAGGTGGCAGCCTTGGTAGCAGCCGCGGAAGCGAGACCAGTGCCGGTGGTGGCGCTGCTGGTAGCAGTGATGGCCGAAGTGGTCTGGGTGGCGATCTCGCTGGCACCCGAGTACATGGTCGGGCCCGGGATGGCGTAGGTGCTGGTGGTGGCGTAGATGTTGACGAGGATGCCGGCGTCGGTCTCGCTGTAGAGCGCGGTGCCCTTGACACCGGCGGGCTGGTCGGTGCCGCTGCCGGTGACCTCGAGGTTGAAGCACTGGGGGTAGTTCTGGGCGCCGTCGGAGTTGCCGGCGCTGTGCAGAGCAATGATCTCGTGGCGGAGCACATAAAAGCCCGGGGCGATGGAGGTGGGGATGTGGACCATCCAGCCGTCCGAGTTATCCATCATCTGGTCGGTGGCGTAGGTGCCCGGCGCGGCGGTGCCGTCGATGAGGCCCTTCTCGTCGATCTTGAAGAACTCGAGCGAGGTCTTCTCGACGGTCTCGCAGCCGGTGTCACCGCAGGCTGCCAGGTAGCTCAGCACGGGGCCATGGTGGGACTCGGGCCAGGTGTTCCACTGCAGGAAGACGTCGTCGCCGGCAGCGACCTGGGCGTGGCCCAGCGCGTTCTCGGCGCCACGGTGGCAGATGATGTCGGAGCTGGCGTAGGCATCCGGGGCGACGTAGCCCAGATCGGTGGCCGTGGTGGACCAGCCGATGACGGTCGGCGGCGAGGACTCGTACGGGTTGACGGTCACGTCGTAACCGGCGTACTTGACACCGTTGATCACAACGTTGGACACGAAGCCGTGGGCAGACACGGTGGCCGCGCCGGCAACAATGGAGAGGATGGCGTTGTTGAACATGTTGAAGGTTGAAAGGACTGGTAGTCGGATAGTTCTTGGGTTGAGCTTTCGTGAAATGGAAGCAGACGAAATGAGTGTCAAGAGTAGGAAGCTTTGTCTGTCTAGCAGAATGAAGTTAATGGTAGGAATCCGCTTGCGGATGTTGAAGTGAATGGATAAGGAAAGAATGTCCTGTGAGAAAGAAGGAAAGTGGTGAAGATGGTGATGGTGGGAGGAGAAGAACAGGAGACAGAGAGGGCGACGGGCCGGTTATATAGGCGAGCTGGCCGACAAAGACGTCTGCGCGCTGCACTTGCTGCCGCCAACGGACAAAGCAGTCGAGCATGAGAGGTTACAAGACCGACAGGGATCCCATCGGCGAACATGGCCCTTGGCTGCGGCGGTCGTCAGCGCGCACATAGTAGGACGGAGTGGGTTCCTGCAGTAGGCGGACCCATCCCGCGGAATTGCGGGGGGGTATGTCGCTGTGTTCGGATAGTGGCGAGAGAATCAAGGGGACGACTCCCTCGCAGGCTGACGTGGCCGTTTGACCATTGGCGGAGCGCGCAGTCAAGATGCCGAGATGAGAGATGATAGATGGCAGATGGCAGATACGCTTGTTGCTCGTCATCGCTGCAGAGGCTGAAGCAGTCCGGCATCGACTGACTTTGCCATCGTTTGTCCAGAGAGCCTCGTTCGATGCCTTTCAGACGATCGCCTCCGATATCACAGAGCTGCTGCGGATCATTCGACCAGAACGTTTGATGTCCGTCTCCCGGATTGCCAGTCGATCTGTTCAGGGATGATGCACACATCCCTTGGAGTGGACATAAACGAAAAAAAGAAAAAAAGAAAAATAGAAAAAAAAATAGAACGGAGACATTAGGCGACGGTCATCTTGGCCAGGGCGCAACGACTGGGGTCCAGCAGCCATGGGATGGGACCAAACATATTTCCGTTGGTGTTTCCAGTCGATCACAGGCATTCCATCCGGTGGAGCACGGCGCAACGCCCTTTTCGTCGACCCCTTGGCTGGTGCGGCGGGACTCCACCAGGCTCAAACACACCAGGCGCCGCCTGCCGAGAGGATCGGCGTCTGTTGCAGCGTTGCGAGGGAGCGGAGAGCCAATCAAGACCATCCCCTGTCAGCCCCTTTTCGTCGTCCTCGTCGCTTCTTGCCTGCCTTTTCCTTCGATGGAATGCATGAGGGCTACCCGTACTCCGTATATCTACTCCGTATATCTACTCCGTATATCTACTCCGTATTGCCGATCAACTCGAAGCGAGGTGATGCACAGGGGGGCGATCCGGAAACAAAGCCTGCTTCTGTACATAGTACAGGGGACGCCGTGACCGTGTCACATTCGGCTGTCCCTGCGCGCGCGCAGTCGTCGTAAGAGCCATTCATGCTGGTAACTGGCCAAGTGTTTCGCCAGATCGACCGCCGCCTGATGTCAGCCGGATATGGGCTCAGTCGGCTGTCTGGCGCCGTCACGTTGGCTGCTTTCCGGCACACGCCCAGACATGCCAAGGTGTGGCCTGCCACATTACTATGCGACGTCCAATATTGCACAGGGGCCTCTTCCTGCGCCAAGGAAGTGCGACGTAGGGCAAGCGCTAAGCCGTTTCCACCGGTGTCACCTGACACGACGTCTTGGTCAGCATCGACAAAGTTCCAGTGGGTCACCGCTGGCCGGAAGAACAGAAAATACGGCCGTGGAAATCACGTTGGCTGCGATTGGCTGGAAAACCGGCTTGAGCCTGCGAATGTTCAGTGTGCAGGCTTTCCGGCATTCTCTCTCCCAACCGGCATCACCGCCAGCACGCGCACGATACAGACCCACGGCCCGTCTCTCCATTCGCTCCGGCTGCTGCCTGCATCGATTGTCCGAACTCTGTCGCCGACCGCCTCGTTTTCCAGTCATCCCCTCCCTGATAGCCCACCATGCCTCAGGATATGCCGCCGGTCGGCGGCTACGGCGCCGTGCAGTACAAGGTGAGAGGAGGAGTGAGAGAAGCGAGAGGAGACGCATTGAGCAGATGGGAGGCATATGCGGCCGGTCCTGCCAGTCGGGGCCCAAGGAGCCGAGACTGCGAACAGTGCAAATCCCTATTCAACTACTCAACTACAAAACCACACAACCTCAACCACAACACACAACACATCCACACCTCACCATACTGACTCTGCACAGAGAAACCTTCCGTCCCGCGGCTTCCGCCCGTCTGTCCTTCTGGGCATCAGCGGCGCCGTCATGGCCTTTGGCTGGTACAAGCTGGCCCAGGGAATCCGCGAGCAGCAGTAAGTGTACTCATTTGTCTTTCCGCTCTCCGGCCACCCGTCTGACAGCTTAGCGAAATGGCCCGCGAAAAAATGTGGTCGCGCATCCACTTGATCCCGCTGCTGCAGGCCGAGGAGGACCGCGACCAGGTGCGCCGCCATCTGGCCGACCAGGCCCGCGAGCGCGAGCTGCTCGGCGAGAACGTCCGGATCTACAACAGCGATCGGTTCGTGCGGCCGACCTTTGCGGCCACGCCCGGGAACGTGTCCAAGTAGGGCATGATAGGAGACAGATGTACATGAATCAGAATCGTTATTGCGCCCGCTGAATGAGATGTCCTAAATCCACATCTTTCTGTTCTTGCCTCTTTTGCCTCTTTTGCCTCTCTATCTCCTCTCCTCCTCTCCTTCTCCACCCTACCCTATCGTCACCACCCGGAAGCCTTCCGACAGGACCTTGTTGATGTCCTCGCTCTTGTGCTGCAGCAGCCCCAGCGCAAATGCCACGTCGTTCCACTGCCGCTCCGTCTCGCAGCGGCTCAGCCGTGCGGCCAGCTTCTCGGCCAGCTGTCGCGCGTGGCGGTCCTTCTCGACAAAGCCGAGCAGGAACCGGACAATCCGCCGGAATGCGTCCTCGCTCAGCGGCTGCTGCTTCTGCTGTCCGCCCACGCCGCCGCCCGACGTCGGCGCGGCTGTCAGCAGGCTGAACATGTCGACAAAGTGGTTGTACACCGCGTTGTCCTTGGTCGAAAGCTCGGTGAAGAACATGCGGGCCAGATCGGCGATCCGCTTGTCGCCATCCTCCAGACACTTGGCCATCTCGCCCAGCTGGCCCTTGACCTTGACCTGACCGGCCAGGATGAGAAAGGTGAGCGTCATGAGACAGGTCCGCTTGACTGATGCATCCGCATCGGCCAGCCGCCGGTACAAAAAGTCCGTGTTCTCGTCGATCAGATGGTTGAAGCATACTGCCATGTCACCCAGAGCAATCACCGCATTCGACCGCACTGTCGCGTCGCCCGACCGCTCCATGATCGTGATCAGCAGCGGCAGGTTCGCCTCGCAGTATTCGGCGCTCACGCACATCAGCTTCGCCATGCACAGCGTCGCTGCCGCTTGCAGTCCCCGGTCCCGGTACGACGTGTTGTTCGCGCAGATCTCCGACACCAGCGGCCCAAACATCCCCAACAGTGACGTCGGTCCGTACAGCAGCTCCCGTTCTCGGATGTGCTGCATCGCCTCCGTGAAGTCGTCCTCCGTCGTCCCGCCGATCAGGTCCAACTCGTCGCCCTCTTCCGGTGCTGCTGTCGACGCCCTGCTCTTCTTGCCGCGTCCCGGTCGTCGTGTGTTGGCTGCTGCTGCTGCTGCTGCTTCCTCCTTGGATGCGCCCTCCTTCTCCTTCTCCTGCTTGCGCCGCTTAAAGTCCTGCTCGCACAGCTCCAGATGCACAATCTGCTTAATCGCTACGTGGCCCACCACGAAGAGCAACTGCGAGAGTGCAATCGTGTTGTTCTTGCTCTGGTCCTGTTCGACTTCGCCCAGGCTTGAGTCTTCTCCAGTACCTTCCACCACCGTCGCATCGCCCGCATCACGTGATCCCGGCCGTGACGACGGCGATTCCTGTCGAGCTCCGGCCGATGAAGCCCCTCCCCCAAACACCACCCGTGTCTTCCGCCGGATGATCTCCGAGCAGAGCACGTCTGGATGCTTCGACAGCGCGTAGATCGCATTGACCGCCTGCTCTGCCACCCCGAACCACTCCTTGTCGTCCGATGGTACGTCCAGCATGGCTGCCAGCCGGAAGAGCACCGCATGCTCGTTGGGTAGCCGCACGAAGCTGACCGCTGCCGAGCCGCCTGGGTTGATCCTCTGCAGTGCCACGCACGTGTACTTGGCCAGCTGCAGGTCTGCTCGCCCGTGACGGCCCAGCCCTGTCCGCAGCATCGTCTCCATCTCGCCCACCACAATCTCCGGGCTCGCCGTCGCCAGCATTCCCAGCACGATGATCGCACCCCGACGCTGCTTCCGCGATATCTCCTTCTGCTGGATCCCATATACCTGCCACAGCTTCGCCACCACCACATCTGCGATCAGGCCCCCCTTCATCATCGTTGCCAGCAGCTGCTCCAGCGACGTCAGTTCTGCGGGCGTCGCCCCAAATGTCAGGCTGATCATGTTGCGTGCCACATAGTTGGCCGCGTCGTTGGGTCCAAACGAGTCCGGCGCCTCGAAGAAGAGCCGCCGGTAGCAGTCGATCAGGTGCATCTGCACCCCCTTGCCTTCGTCGCTGTTGCCCTTGGTCCAGATCAGCCGCAGCATCCGCCGGATCCCAACCTTGTTGTTCTCAATGTTGTACGCATCGCCAATCTCAAAGTAGTCCATCGCCTCGATCACCTCGCTCTTGTTGCGCGACCCCAGCAGCTGGCACACTGTCTCCGTCGCCTCGTGCAGAATCCGGATGAACTTGAGCGCCTCCGAGTAGTACTTGCGTGCCACCGTCAGCCGGCTGATCTTTTCCGACGTCGCCGCCTCTTCCTGCGCCTTCAGCACCGCCGCCACCTTCTCCTCATCCGTCATCTCCGCCACCGTCTTAGCCTTCTGCGGCGACGCCTCGATCTGTGTCGCATCGTCCACAAGGCCCGTCGCGTTGCCGTTCTCGCCCAGGTCTGGTGCTCCTTCTGGTGGCCGCAGCGCCTGGATCTCACGGTCCACCAGCTCCAGCCGCTCCTGGTAGTCCTTGCGCGACAGCTGTGCGCCGTGCAGCGCCATGAACGGGTGCGTCTTGATCAGACAGCCCAGCAGCTTGATCGCGTTGCGCCGCACGTTGCTGCTCTTGTCTTCGAGGCTCTGGTTGGCCAGCTCGGCCGCCCGGAACCGCCGCTTCGGGAACTTCATCTCGAGCTCGCACAGCCGTGTGTATACCTGGATCGTGCGTGACCGGCAGTACGGGTTGATGTCGAGGAACCGCTCCTCCAACACGCTGAAAAAGGCGTTTAGCTGCGACTTGTGGTCCTCGCCGCGCTCTTCCTGTTGGCTGAGGTAGGCGATCATGTTGCCGCAGATTTCGATCAGCGCGCAGCGCAGCGTGTACGACTGTCTTGTCAGCTAGCTCGTGCAGCCTCTCCGTTCCCTTTGTCCCTTACCTCGCTGTCCATCTGCTTAATAAGCGATGCCACTTGCTTGATCACCAGCCGCGGCGCCAGCTCCGACAGCTTGATGATGAAGCTCGACACCGACTTGGGTCCTCGCGTGTCGTTGCTGCTAAACTCCTTGTTACTGAGCTCGACCAGAATCTCATTGGCCAGCTGCTCGTAATCGTACTGCTCCGACAGAATGTGCAAGAACTCGGCCATGGGCTCCGACAGGTGCTCAAAGTACGTCAGGTTCTGAACGATCGAGATCTGCGCTGCATAGCCGTGGCCGTGGTGCTTGACCGCCATGCAGAGCACCTTGAAGGCGTGCATGCGGATTGCCGTCGACTTGACCCGCTGTTCGCTCTCGAGGATCAGGTACACCGGCCGCGTGAGCAGCCCGATAAACGTGTCGCGCTCCGACGTTGTCAGGAAGATCTTGGACAGCTTCAGCCGCAGCACCTTGCACATCGTCTCGAGAGCTGTCTGCAGCTGCGCCGACGAGTCCCAGCTGCCGTCGTCCGCCACCGCCGTGCTGCCCTTTTTGCCCGCACCGCCCGCCTTGGCCTTGCCGCGGCGTGCCGCCGGCGCGGCCGACGACTTCTCGGCTGCGCGCGTCTCTACCGCAGAAACCGTCCACTGCAACAGGAAGCCATAGATCTCGAGTAGCTGCTTGTGATGGGCCACCAGGTCCTGCTCGTCCGACTCGAGATCGTGGTGCACCGCATCTGCCTCGGCCGACAGGCCTGACGTGATGAGGTCAAACACCTTGCTGAGTGCATGTGTCGGCAGGAAGGACGTGTATTTGAGAAGGAACTGCAGCGAGTCAAAGTAGAGGCTGCGTGTGATCGCGTCCGGGCTCTCGGCCACGGCGTCGACAATGGGGTTCAGCACTGGGTTGACCACGGCATTCGTCAACGACTCCGGGTCGTTCTCGCAGTCGTATAGCGACGAGGCGGCCTCGGGCGTCGGGATGGCTGCCGGGTCGCTCATGTAATGCTTGAGCGCATTGTTGATATCAAAGTTGACAGCATCCATTTTTGGTGATGGGCACCGCAAAACGTGCGGCGGGGAAGCGAGGAGGGGTCAGGGCAGTTGGGTAGCGGTGAGTACGGCGATGTAGAGAGCGGTACGGCCGGTCGCTGGTGGGAGAGCAAAATTCGTGGGGGGTTAGAGCCGGCCCGTCGTGGAAGCGCAGTCGGTCTGTCGCAGAACGACGCCTCAATCGGAAAATTTGGTGATGTGTTTGTTATGGAGTGCTGCAGAAACAGGAAGGAGGGGCTACTTAGCAACGGCAGTGTTTATGTTTACTTTAGCAACTGCCTGATTGGGAAGCGACGCGTTGGCTTCCCCACCACCGCCAACATCAGAGTTTGGCGCGTCGCAGCTAGCGCCTCTCAGCCTTTGTCAGCCTTCTCAAAAGCATTTCGTCCGCCGCGCCATTCAATGGCTCTGCTCTGCTCTGCATGCCGGGGTCGAACGCCGGGATAGACCTGTTGTTACCAGCCTTGTACATCCGTTGCTGGCGTTTCTGGCCCAAGCCACCCTCTTTCTTGCTGCTCCTCTCCTGCCCCTCTCTTTTGGTCCTATCTCTTGTTTCTGTACGGAGTACTCTTTCCATCTCTTTCTTACTAAGCCTCAATGGCTGGCCTGCGAATAAAACGGGCCGAGGCTTTCACGATCCACGAAGATGCAGCGTCGGAGGAGACACAGCTGAACGAAGACCTGATACCAACAGAAGCGAGCTCGTCTCAGCAGCAGGCCTACGGCGAGATAGAGGACGAGGACGATTATGTAGGAGTGGAAGTTGCAGACATGGGCGACGACGACGTCGGGAATGACAACGGCATGAATTATGCGGATGAGGAAGACGACGACCACGACACTGGGCACGATAATGACATTGACAACGAAACGGAAGAGCAGGATCAGGACCACGACGAGGAGGAAGCGCCGGACAGCTCCGACGACGAGGCCGTTGATGAGACGGTGCAGCAGGACATGGAGAAGCTGCAGAAGACATTTCCCAGCTTCCCGCAGCAGTTCCGGTTGATCAAGCGGATCGGCGAGGGTGGGCGCTTTTCTTATCCCAAGCTTTCCCCTTGACCTTCTGTCGTCTAACATGCATGTCTAGGCACTTTTTCGACCGTCTACAAGGCTGAGGATCTGCAGTACGACCGCTTTGACAATTCGTGGGACTGGGAGAAGGAGAAGTGGGCATCACCACCGGTGAGGCGAACGGGCCGACAGCAGCACGCACAGACACAGCAAAAGCGTGGGCGGCGCAGCGCCAAGTACGTGGCGATCAAGAAGATCTACGTGACGTCGAGTCCGCTGCGGATCTTCAACGAGCTGGAGCTGCTGCACGACCTGCGCGAGTCGCCGTCGGTGTGTCCGCTGATCACGGCCTTCCGGCAGACGGACCAGGTGGTGGCAGTGCTGCCGTACTTCCGGCACCAGGACTTTCGGGCCTACTACCGCGACATGACGGTGCCGGACATGGCCATCTACCTGCGGGCGCTCTTCACGGCCTTGAGCGCGGTGCACGCGTCGCGCATTCTGCACCGGGACATCAAGCCGACCAACTTCCTGTACGACCCGGCGACACAGCGCGGCGTGCTGGTGGACTTTGGCCTGGCCGAGCGCGAGGGCAGCGACAGCAAGCCGTGTCTGTGCCATGAGCCGGACAGCGTGCGCAAGAGCCGACTGCGAGCCGCCTATGCCAACGGACCGATGGGCAGCGGTGTTGTCGGCGGTGGTGCTGCTGGTGGCGGTGGCGGTGGTGCGCTGGGCGGTGCGCACAACGGCTATCCCAAGAACGACACGCGGCCGGCGAGACGGGCCAACCGGGCAGGCACGCGCGGATTTCGGGCGCCCGAGGTGCTGTTCAAGTGCACAGAGCAGACGACCAAGATCGACATCTGGTCGGCCGGTGTGGTGCTGCTGACGCTGCTGTCACGTCGGTTTCCCTTCTTCAACAGCGCCGATGACGTCGAGGCCATGATCGAGATCGCCACCATCTTTGGCAGCAAGCGCATGAAGGTGGCCGCCCAGCTGCACGGGTGCATGTTCGAGACCACCATCCCGACCGTCGGCCGCGAGGGCTTCAGCCTCGAGAAGATCATCCTCTGGAGTACCTGCCGCATGGACAACAGCAAGACCCTGCAGCCGCTGACCGACGAGGAGCGGCTGGCCGTCCGCTTTCTTGGCCGCTGTCTGGACCTCGACCCCAGCAGCCGCATCAGCGCCGACGAGGCCCTGGAACATGAGTTTCTGCGCGAGCGCCCGCTGGGCACTGACGTCATTGCAGGCACCAACAGCGAGGACGAGGAGGAAGAGATGGATATGTTGTAAGCGGGCGGCATGGCAGTGCATGGATGGCGGAGCGGGTTACCAAAAATCATACATCATCTTACATATCAGGGCGGACGGCAGCATGTGCATTTTTGGCTCTCATTCTCGCTTAGCAATATACCTTGCGAAGGTGAAAATTCTTCATTACAATCTTTCGCTCGAAATTTGTATAAATTAGATAATTGTCGGCGAGCACTTGAAATTCAAGTGCTCTGTATGATTGAACTGAACGAGCCGCGGCGCCGTAATCATCGAGTTGTACGATTTGACCCCTTCTCCATCCGTCAATGTCTGGCGCTGCATGTGAAATAAATAGAGACAGCTAACGGTTTTGTTGATTCACATGCCGATACTGTACGTCCTTTGTTGCTTCGATACGAGCCCTCAAAACCTGCCATCCCCTTTTCCTTCTTATTCCCATACGAAACGCCCATTTTGTCTTGATGTGGAGTGTGTTCCTGTGTAGCTAACACTGACCAATACTCGCAGAAGTTCCTGAAAGGGTACATATTTTGTTGTTGTGGTTTCGGCTCAAAGATTGCCAGTTTTAGCACAAGCTTAGCCAACGCTGGGAGGCTAATATGGAGTTATCATTAGGCATGCATACAGACCAATTCATGGTCTAGATACAATAGTCAGATGAGACTGCCGCCAGTCTAGAGATGCTGGACAATGCCGCCAGCATCGTTGTCCAGGGCGGTTCGCCCTCCCCTGCCACCAATATTGCCCCGGGTGGCGACCCTGCCCTGACTCCACCTGCCGGATTCTAAGAAATGAGGCGTTCTGATCGACGTGTATATACCTGCAATCTTAAACCCATATTTCTATACTAACATCAACGGTCTTTAGCTTCTGATAATCGTGATGCTCATCATTTGTACCAGCTCTACTCGCATAATGCTAACACATGTTCTTAGTAGAAAAGGGTCAGTTTGGGGTAAGTTTCAAGTTTCCACACTGTCGTTCTCATCTTGTACTAACGACGTGTTGCAGCATATCGAAGGACAAGTAGCTGTAAGTATATTGCTGCTATCGAAAGCTTATTGTTACTGTCTTATGCTAATGAACGTATAGGTTTTGGGGGTTTAGCTTAAAGCAAGCATTTCAGTCGTTATCGGAAAAGCTCAAATTTAAGCAAACAGCATTAGATTTCTTCAGACTAAGAGGCACAATATAGAAGTGAACCAAGAATTGTTTCCGCGGTTTTACTGTTTGACTGATTGTTTCATTGGAACGGACGGACTCTTCTAGCAGTAGGCTTTGCTCACTTTGCAGAGAAGTTAAGACTGAACTTTTGTCTTTACTGAACTAACACAATCGTAGGCCTTCGAAAAGCAATACATCTTTCTTAACGAGGAGTAAATCCGACACTGTTCTACTGGCATCATCCAAATAGACAAATATATAAAGCACTCCCATCTCGTCTCCCATCAAGAGAAAGGCGTCGCTGCTTGAATCAAACAATTGCCTACTTTCTTGCGCATTGCACTTGTGCGAATATAATCATCTCATTAAAGTAGTAACATATACGCACACGCCTTCGCCGGGCAGGCTTACTAGGCTTCCCCTTGCGAGAATCTAAGGCAAGCCTGCATGGTATCTCTATCTCTTCCATTTCAGAGAAGTCATCTTCTACCTACCTTCTCGACAAAAGGAGGTGCCTCCTAGCACCTCTATGCCTGCACTGATAGGTGGATAGTTGGTAGGTTTGTGTGGTTTGATTGATTTGAGCCGAGGCTTTACCCGACCTCTGCTCCAGTTATTATTGTCTTTAATTATGAAAAAGAAAGTTTTGTTATCTGGCACTTACTATACACGAGCGATGACCGACATGCTTTTACTGCGTTGATAGTTTGGGGCACTAACCTTGGTTCTAGCATCGACCTGAGACTTGACGATATGCTACGGCTATGGCCGCAACAAATAAGCCTCCTGCGAGCGAGAGCGAGCAGCGACCTGACATAGGGAGGCTCCTTCTTGTGCCTGACTGTGTGATTCATATGTATTATCTCTATAGGTTCGCTATTACTGGGTTTTTCATCACCATTCTAGGTCTCTTCGCAGGCAACACGCCCGGTTCCATTAAGGACTACCAGGTTATTATGGTACGTGAAAACCCACCAATCACGGCAGTGCAAGACGCTGCTCTTTTTCTGCTGCAGCTAAAAAGGTCGGTGTTCGACCGCAACTACGTCCCACAGCTGTACCTCGCCACGGCTGTAGCATCACAAGCGCTACAAGAGAAGCACCATCCGGAACACGGTCCCGAGTGGCCCAGAAACGACAACAGCAGCAACAGTCCTGTTACGTATGTACAGTCCACGCATGCACACTCTGTGCTGGGTGAAATGCAGAGCGCCGCCATGCCGTCGGGCTACCTGTACAACTAGCCAGGCTTCGGATCGAATTCGACATCCGGAAGCAGATTGCAGACGCCTGTTGGGACTAGGAGACTTCTGCTATGACGCTGCTTGTCAAGGGTATCCCGACGGTGGTCATGGGAAAGCTGGAGAAGAGGTGGTGGGCTGTCTAGTGAGAGGAGGAAATGACCCGTGTTCTGATTGGCTGAATGGGACGATACTGTGATATACATGTACCTGCTAGTACGACCGACAAGAACTCTGGGGCTGCCACAGTCTGTCTAGTTGTATGAAAAGGTCGACTATAATACATACAACCCTTTAGCGAGTACAAGGAATCCATCCCAGCTACAATATTGTAACCCCAGATTTTTTTTGGTAGAGATGCTATCGGGGTGGATGGAGAATGAGGATGGGACGAGTGAGAGTTCGGCATTGCAGCGTCACGAATTGACGCTGGACTGCAAATCGACCCATTCGAGCACGAACTGGGGGTTTTCTTTCCTCTAAACCCGGTGTATTCGATACTCCATATAAGTCAATGTCGTCAAGCCACCTCTGTATTTTGCGAATGGAGAAAGAATCATCGCAACTCGCAACCGCGAGATCAAGATCTCTCAGTCGCTGGCTGGCCTCGAAGATCTTGACCTAGGCAGGCTGCAGTCGTTTCATCTCTTCTAGAAACAGTCGACGGAGCTGCATTAGCTCGTAGTTCTGCAAGTGCTCCCAAAAAAGCTCTACTACTTCTCCGTTCTCGTTGAGTCGGTATCTACTCTTTATTGGTTTCTCATCGACGGGCTTTCCTTGTAAAACCGGAGGGAACTGGTAAGCGAATCAGAGCGGTAAAGTCGATACACACTCCCAGTCAACAACGGCCGTCAGAGCTCCGTCTTCGCTTATCAGTATGTTGTGTTGAGACAAATCATCGTGAAAGAGCATCGTCGGCTCAAGCTCTGGACCATGAACGGGGAAGAACTCAGCCAAGCGATTTCTAAGCCGCGAAATAAGCTTGATTGTTTTCTCGAGATCTTCGGGGTCGTCCTCTTCGTCTCCTTCATCCTTTTTATCACCTTCAACCGCTACAGCCTCCTCAACCTCTGTTCCCTTTGTCTTCTCCGTCTCACCTATGCCGTCTTTATCTTTGACATGTTCTTGGGTGTTGATTTCTTTATTGCCATCACTACCAACCGCCTTTTGGGCGCGGCTCAAGCGCTTGCGACAATCCATTCCTGTGAGTTTTAATCGAGTCTCGAGCCAATCTTTGCTGGATGCAAACGGACCGCGAAAAATGGTTTGATGAATATGATCGCCCCAGATAAACGCTGCTGAACCGCTTCTTCGAACCCGGAAGCGATTTGAGTCTCCGGTCTGGGTTTACAGAGCTCGTGTGGATCTGGCTTCGGTTGATTCCAGAAACAGGTTTCCAATACCGCGCATTTGTGTCAGAAAGGTGCAGGAACAGAATAAGGCAAGCTGGCGGACAATTTCTTCCTTGGCAGAAAAGCCAATATCCCTCCATAGGGCATCCAGCGGTTTGCCGGGAATTTTAGTCATAGCAATCCACTCAAACCCGATGGCGCTGTCCCGGTCGGCTTGGTACGCCAAGACGTCAGGAACGGGAAGGTTTGTGTTGGCGCGCACCCACTTCAGAGTCGCCACCTCGCTCAAGGTCTTCCAGGTCGGGTCTATTGGTAGTGTTACTCGTGCCACGAGTTCCTTTTCCGCGCATTTGACGACGTAGAGCTTGTGACTCGCCCCCTGCAAGAACCTTGATATCACAGAGGCCGGCAAGCTCGAGTGCCGACTGGATTGTCAGTTTGATGGCTTCGCCGTTCAATTCAACCGTCCAGCGAGGCGAGATGCCCCAGAGGTTTCGCACCCATTCCAGGCCACTGAAGTCTGGCGCCATGGAAGCCGGCAGTTGATAAAGCTCGGTGAAAATGGCAGAGCAAAGGTTTCTGCAAATGGCAATAAAGTTTGAATTGGGGAAAAAGAGTTGAGGCAGAATCTAAAGATAGGCACTTTGTTAGCATATGGTTCGAGCTTCGGTCATCGAACCTGGACCAGTTGCGGCAGGAACGACCCACTATCCACCCTACGACGTACTTTGGCAAGCAGCACGCAAACGTAACAATGGCACCCCCCTGCAGGGATCATCGCCAGACGAGAGTGTGCCAAACGTCCCCTTTTGACCCTCTGGCCTTTGATCCTCTGGGTCAGTCCAAGTAAATATACTAGCTCTCCAGGTGGACAAGAGATTCTGCGCTCCAACAATCGCCTTTCCTAGACGATGCAATTGATAGACCTCTGAAAAGCTATGTGCAACGGAGGGGCCAATTGTTACACGAGAGAGGAACATTTGGCTAGCTCACCTGCCTCACTCACAGGACTTGATAAATACATGCACGTTTTCGATCACTCCCGGAGTACAGAGTAAATCGTTTATACTTGCTGTCGAGCTAACAAAATCGTGAATAAGAACAAGTTTCCAGGCCTAGTGGCCAAGGTGAAAGCATCCCGCCGCACCTTAGGTTGTTTGGGCCCCGTTGGACTGTCCGCTTTGCTCATGCTTCAATGGCCTGTCGTCTATAGTTTTGGCTTGCCGACCCCCAAAGTTGTGACTACTTCTTACTTTTGAGCGCAGCGCGGGCGCCAAAGCACAAATAGCATGGGAGCATAAAAGGGTGCTTTCCCGTACCTTCCTCTATAATTTTCAAATATATCAATCTCTCAACAATCCACCCCCATCAACTGCTTCATCACTGCGGTCTTCTTTTCACAATCCGCAATTTGCAAGGTCTTGCTCAAGGCTCCGATTGTCCCCTTTTTTCTTTCCTCCTTTTATCGATCGCTATGGAGCCTAGCGTTGCTACGACTTCGCACTACGGTGAGCAGCATCGAAGACTGGCCGGCTGCCATGAACCATAGCAACCGCTCCTTCGGGAAACATACGATCCGAACCCAACAAAACGTGGCGATACTGCAGTCAAGTCAGGACTAGCATATTTCTAGGCACTCGAAAATGTTCTCCTTAACATGGAGTTAGCAAAGAGAGGACAAATACGGAATACTTGTAGTTGTTGTATTAAGCGAAATAAAGAGGCCACTGTACTCATGTGTACTGTACGAAGTAAGCTATATAATCAACGTTTAGCCTTATATAGGTGAGATATTGTTGCGAATACAAACAGATTTGAAAAGCGAATTACAACTGAATAATTTGCACTTTTCTGGTAGGGGAAGTATTACGATATGGTATGCAATCTAAGTAGGTAAGTATACCTCAGACTTCTGAGTTGCCGCTCCGAGATGGAAGACCAGAGCCTGCTACTTGGTTTACTTCCAGCCGAAGAGCATGCGGTTGTGCTAGTAATTCTCCTAACATAGACCTCCATGGTACAGCCGGAGCTTGATTCCGCAAAAGGAATTGAGAGACTTGAGCATCGACCTAACAGCAGAGCCTGCTTGCTTACTACAATAAAGAGTTCCGGGAATTTATATATGGCAACACATACACTGTGTGGCGCAAGGCGCTTAGGCCCAATATCAACGTCTCTGCGCACTGTGACCAACGCGCTTTTGTCGCGTTAATGGAATTTGTGGCGCTAAACCTGTTCGACAACATCGACCACAACCATGACTACGGCAGACGAGCCTCCTGCGGGCAGGGAGACGATAGGCTCTGTGTCCCGGGCGGGCAAAGACGATGAAGCTGCCGCCATTATGGCCGCGGCCAAGTTCCACCATCCGTACACGCCCTACGACGTGCAGATGGACTTTATGCGGGCGGTGTACGACGCGTGCGCGACCGGCGGCGGCCAGGTGGCCATCCTCGAGAGTCCCACGGGCACGGGTAAGTCGCTGTCGCTGATCTGTGGCGCACTGACCTGGCTGCGGCAGTTCCGGCGGAGTCAGCAGGCGGCAGCAGTACAGGGCTCGACAGAGGCAGAAGCGGCGACGGCGACGGCTGGCGACGAGCCTGACTGGGTGGTGGAACAGATGCTGCGACGACGAGGAGATGCGCTGCGACAACGGTGGGAGAGACGCGAGGCACGGCTTGCAGCAGCGCGGCAGCGCGAGGCAAAGCAGGCGGCTGAAGAGGAGCGGCAGCAGCGGATGGGCGGCGGGGCGGCGAGAAAGCGGCGGCGGGTAGACGTGCACAATAGTGGTAGTGGAAGAATGGCGACCACGAAGAAGAGAGAAGATGAGGAGGAGGACGAGTTTCTGCTCGGAGAGTCGGGCGGCGGTGATGCTGCAGCGACGGGCTTCGACGCAGACGACCGGTTGTCGTGGCTGTCGGCGGAGACGCGGGCGATGATGGAGAAGGCGGGACTGGTGGCGGGGAAGAGAGACGAGGACGATGAGGATGACGAGGACGGGGAGGATGAAGTCAAAGTGAGTGTCTCTCTGTTTCTGCCTGATTTCTGTGGCTGTCATAATACGGTTGTGCCTTTGTGTGCTCCTTCCTTTGCTGGTGCATGCTCTTTTCGCGTTCCTTCCATTCTGATTCTCCTTCTGCCTGTATTGTATTCTCTCCCTTCTCTTTTGTCCCTTTTCCCTTTCATCCTTCTACTTTATTCTTCTCCTTCATCCTCCTCTTTTTCCCCTGCTAATCCCCAGATCTACTACGCCTCCCGCACCCATTCGCAGCTCACGCAGTTCATCGCTGAGCTGCGCCGGCCGACCTTTCCCTCATCGCTGCCCGACTTCTCGCAGCCAGACAAGGAGATAGATGGAGTGGCAGCCGCTGCTGTGGACGAACCGATCCGCCACATTCCGCTGTCTTCGCGCCAGCGCCTCTGCATCAACCCGGCCGTGGCCCGGCTGGGCTCCGTGGGCGCCATCAACGATCGGTGTGCGGAGCTGCAGAAGCCAAAGAAGAAGACAAAGACGGATGACGGCAAAAAGATCCCGGGCTGTCCATTTGCGCCATCGGCCGAAAATCGTGTGGCTGAGCGACAGTTCCGCGACGCCGCGCTGGCCACGCTGCCCGACATTGAGGACCTCTTCCGGTTGGGCACCGAGCTGCACGTCTGTCCGTACTACGGGTCGCGGCGGGCAGCCGAGGCTGGTGGTGGCGCCGAGATCGTCACACTCCCATACCCATTGCTGCTGCACAAGGCAGCGCGCGAGGCTCTGGGAATCCGGCTCGAAAACAGCGTCGTCATCGTGGACGAGGCCCACAACATCATGGATGCCGTGGCCGGCGTGCACGCGGCCGCCGTACGGCTTGCCGACCTGCGTCGTTCGCCAGCTGCTGGCCGTCTATGTGCGCCGCTTTGGACGTCGGCTGCGTGGCGATGGCCGCGTCATGGTCGGCCAGCTCGGTCGCGTCATCCAGGGGCTCAGCGCCTGGATGGAGGGCGTGCTGGCGTCCGAGAGTAGTGGCAACAGCAGTAGCAACAGCAGTAGCAACAACAAACAGCCCACCCAAGGCATCGTCGACCCGTCTGCACTGCTTCGCCACAAGGGCGCCGACCAGATCAACCTGTTTGAGCTGGTGCAGTACATCCAGACGTCCAAGCTGGCCTTCAAGGTCGAGAGCTACGGCGCATACGTGGAGGAAGAGGCCGAGAAGAACCAGAAAGTTCAGAAGACCGAAAACGACGCCCACAACGCCCACAATCCCCCTGTCCTCCACACACTTGTCTCATTTCTGCTGGCTCTGACCAATCTCAGCGGCGAGGGCCGCATCTTTTACGAACGGCTGCCGCTCGTGTCTCCTGGTGCAGCTCCCGACGTCAAGCTTTCCTACCTCCTGCTGTCGCCCACCCACGCCTTCTCTTCCATTGCTGCCTCCGCCCGTGCCGTCATCCTTGCCGGCGGCACCATGGCCCCTTTCTCTGACTACCGCTGTCACCTGTTCCCCAGCCACGCCCCGGAGCGCATCACCACCCTCAGCTGCGGCCACGTCATTCCGCCTTCCAACCTGTGCGTCTGGACGCTGGCCTTCATCTCACCGTCATCACCACCCCTCGACTTCTCCTTCCAGAAGCGCAGCCTCGCCCAAACGATTCGCGACCTCGGCGCCGCCATGCTCAACCTCTGTGCCGTCGTGCCCGACGGCGTCGTGGTATTTTTTCCCAGCTACGGCTACCTGGACGAGGTCGTTGCTGCCTGGAAGACGGCCGGCCCTGGAGCCACGTCGCTCTGGGACCGTCTCTGCGCCCGCAAGACCGTCTTCCTCGAGACCCGTGGCGCTGCCTCCAGCGACGACGTCCTGGCCGACTACAGCCGAGCGATCCTGGGCGAGGAGCCCAAATCACAGGGCGCTCTCCTCTTCAGCGTCGTCGGCGGCAAGATGAGCGAGGGCATCAACTTTGCTGACCGTTTGGGCCGCTGTGTCGTCATCGTCGGCCTTCCCTTTCCGAATCCCCACGCACCCGACTGGAAGGCTCGCATGCAGTACATTGAGGCCACGGCGAGGGACGCGAATAGCAACAGCAGTGACAGCACCTCCCTCTCGCCGGCACAACAGGCCCGCGACTTTTACGAAAACGCCTGCATGCGTGCCGTCAACCAGAGTATCGGTCGCGCCATCCGCCACCGCGCCGACTATGCCGCCATCATCCTGGCCGACCACCGCTTCGCCACCCCGCGCATCCGCAACAAGCTGCCCGCCTGGATCCGCGACGGCATGGTCGCCGCCAGCGAGGACCGTGGCCTGTCCGCCATGGTCACCACCCTTGGCGGCTTCTTCCGCGGGAAAAAGGCAGAGGATGCGGGCACGTGAGAATGCAAGGTCAAATCAGAACGAGGAGCAGCCCAAGATTGCGCAAAAGCACAGAGATCCAGCCACGCTCATGACATCGTTGTATTCGTTGCCCCGTTGAAAGATAAAACACGCTTGTCTGCCACCCCAGTATAGATAAAACTCCAGTAAAGACAGGTTTTTTCCTCCCGGTACCACCCAAGACCTTACCTCCGATCTCCCCGACGACGTCCTCCCAGCTCGTCCACACGGTCGAATTTGTAGAGCACGTACATTTCATTGTTCCGTCGCGCCTCCGTGACCAGGCTTCGGATCATGTCGCCGGCACGCATCATCCCCAAACCCGGAGGCCCTCGAGGCACCCGTCTTCGAAGGGTCAGACGGACGGCCATGCTGTCGCTGTCGTCCTTGCCGGGCCCCTCGGACCCCCCCCTGGCTTCTTGCTCCCAGCTACGTCCGTTCCCTGGAGGTTGCAGAGGCAGCAGTGGTGCCGGCTTGCACGGCGATGCTTCCCGCTTCCGCTTCTTCCGAAGCCGCTTCAGGGGCCATCGCAGCGGAAATAGGCGCGGCCGGGCCGGGCTACTGTCATCTCTGCCTCTACCCGAGACCTGCCTCCGGTCTCCATGGCCATCCAGTGGCATAGTCGGCTTTGCATCAGATGACGGCCACCGCATGGGGGCCAATGGACGCTGTAGCGAGCACGAGACGTCTTCGTCATCTTCGCTATCACTGTCCGTGCTGTCGTCGTCGTAGCTGTCATCGCCAGGCTTGCTGTCCATGTCGTAGTCGTCGGTGGCCGGGTTGTGCTTGTCAATGTGCATTTTGCTTCCACACCGGCTCTCCCGGCCCTCTTTCGGAGAGACTGCGGCATCGTCATCTCTTGCAGGCGGTGTAGTGTGCTTGTGGGTGCGAATGAGCATGGGAAATGGTAGCGGTCCCGAAGCGAACGGCAACTCGCCCCTTTCATGCTCCTTGGAGCGGGCCGGCCGTTTCCGTGCTGGTGACAGAGCCCGGTTGCTGCTCCGACTGCGGTCGCCAGTGTTGCGGTGAGTGAAATCAGGCAGAGACGGCATCCACCATGACTTCCACGATTGCTGGTGCTGGACGAGAAGACCGAGCTCGGTGAGAGAGGGCAGCGCAGCGACTGCTGGTTGGGGGCCGGGCCCAGGCTTTGGATTTGGAGAGCCATTTGAAAGGTCAAAATAGGCTGTTAAGGACGAATAGTGGCAATGGCACAGACACAGGCGGAGGCGAGCAGTTATATGTGTTGGAAAATCAGCTGTTTGTGCCTCGGGGGACCGCTTTTCAGCGTTGTTTCAAGCCAGGAATGGCAGAACGATAAACGAGATGACCACGCGCAGTGGGGGAGAGGACGGACCGACTTTTTGAGTACGGTACGGTCAAAGTGGGTTGGTTGGCTGCTCCCTTCTCCCTGCTCCGTTGGGATGCCTGGGTACTTTCACAAGCACCTGTGGAGAATCCCGGTGTATTTAGTGTTTGGAACCACCACCGGGGCGACCAGGAATGTGAGAGCCGGTATGTGCCGCAGGCTAAGAACGACGAGAAGAGGCCGATGGATCGTGTGATTTTTTGGCAATCGGGCGGGAGTTGAGGACGAGACGAGGGCGGCGGCGCGAAAATAAGTATCCAACAGGGCCGGGAGGAGGGGGACGACCAGAGGGATTGGGCAGGCCGTCTTGATTGTTCTGCATCTTGCTGGCAGCATTGCGGCCCGAAGCGGCAGCTTGGCGACGACAGACGGCCAACGAGAGGAGCGAACAGCAGCCAACAGGAGCGAGCAGAGGCCGTCGACAGCTCATATTAGCGCACGGATTCCAGCTCCAATGCCTGGCGTGCACTACTGCGTTGATTGGTGGGGAGCCTAGTAGAGATTTGTGAACCCAGAGATGCAGGGAGGCGGTGGGGAAGAAAAAGGAATAAAAAAGAAACGACAGGAAGAAGATGCGCGATGGGGCTGCATTCCCGCAGCCGTGTCACGGCCAAAAGGCATGGGCCGATAACAGGGAGACTCAGACAGGGGGTGATGCTGGAGAAAGATCCTGATCAAGAGACAGTCAAGAGACAAAACAACAGATAGAGAAGGGGGGGAGTGGATGAAAGACAAACAGAGACGGAACACGTCGACAGGACGGAAAGTCCTACGCCGTATTGCACACAGTATCGTGCACGATGCGTCGTTCCTCGTTCCTTCCCTACGGAGTACACGGCCGGCTACGAGTACGAGTACGGCCGTGCTCTTGTCTGTGTGTCGTGTTGCACCAACGTTGTGTACGAGTTCTCCGTGCTCCGTATTATCCGTTCGCCGCACCTTCCCCCTGTCGGCCTGTGCTGCCCCTCTCGTATCTCTCCCCACTGTGCGCTGCAATGCAAGTACACACGGCGCTGCCACGCAACACCGCGCTACAGGCCCAGCAGGCAGCTGCACCTGTGCTGGCTAGCAGGAGGTGGGGCCCTTACAGCCGGTGAAGGCCAGCCCAACTGCTACGACGTATGTACGACGTATCTTACCACGCGTATGCAATCCTCAGCAGCTGGATGGACAGTATTGCTGGGCGGAAGCAGCGCGCCGTGTGTACCTTCCTAGAGAGGGGGCGCCGAAAGAGGACCACCAGGACCGCCTGGGATCCTCCCCCACAAAAGGAGACTCACCGTTACGCCGCATAAATCGCCACTAAATCGTACCATCCCTTGTTAGCGGCCTGAACGTTGCTCATGCTTCCCTTCCACCGCAACTTGTGCCACGCCGATCCGGCTTAGGGTCAAAGACAGAGACAGCTTGACAATGGCTCAACGGAGGGCCTGCGGGTCCCACCATCTGCCGTGCTTGTGCAGCCATCGGACACGAGAATGCAGCTAGCTGGCGCAGATCTTTTAACAGTCATTCGGCCGCTAGCCGGCTAGAGACGCTCGTGTTCAGCATCCTCTTCCCTGGACATGGACAGCAGCATTGCTTTCTCCATCGGGGAACCCGGAGCGGGACCCCAGCTTCGGCGCCCGTCAGCACTGCTCGTGTGATCCTCTTCTCGCCCCAGTACTCGTACGGAGCACGGAACTTGCTGGCCGGCTGCCAGAGATCGCCTCACGGCCCACATGCGACGCAACTCGAGGAAATGCTTCCATCACATGGACGAGCCGCAGCTCCCGAGCCGAGCTGACAGCTTCAATATCACTAATAACTACTATCACCAAAGTCACGTGCTGTAAGTCAGCTGTCCAGTCGCCCGACCTACTCCACCGTTGCGTTCGGGTCGTCCTCTCTTTTCTCCGACCGACACGAATGGCCGTGAACAATCACATCTCGTCATTGCCCGCCATGGCCCCTTACCAGCTGTGCCCTTGTGCCAATCAGGCCTAGCTGGCTGCAGGAACCAAGGCCAACCTAATTTTAAAATACCGGGCACGGTTCTCTTGCTGGTCGGCACGCCTCGTTCGTGGATGCCAATCGAAACAAACTTGTGCTTTGAATTTCCCATTCGCGTAATGGACTGGAGACGATGAAGCCATTCGGGCCAGGCCCCTGGACCAGTCTGTAGAATTTATCAGCATATTCCTTCTTATACCCTGGTGTCCCCCCTTTCCCCCCTTTCTCCCCGGACTCTGGGCCCCGGCGATTCATCCGCCTGTCTGTCGATCTTTCCAAGACGGTTTCTTTTTGCGTCATTTCCAGCATTGTTCTTTCTTTACCGCTTCTACTCCGTACAGCCATTGGGGATCCATCAACATGGCTTCAGCCTCTTTCCTCCGCCAAGACGGCGACCTCGGCCACGATCCCGATCTCGACACGAACCGACTGCTCCCCACTTCCAACCGTCGCCGGAAGCGCCACCAGGTACGCGTCCAGGGCCGTCTTGCTCTGGTACGTAGCGTGTCGGCCGTCCATTTGCCAACATCGTCGCCATCATTGTCACCATCACCAGCGCCAGTACCGCCAATGCCGGCCCTTCCACGGCATGATCCTGCAGTCGGGAGTGTAGTAGGGCGGAGGCGGAGGCGGGGCCAATCACAGCCACAGCAGCAGAGCGTGGATGACGACGCAAGCGGTACGGATGAGGAGGACACGGTCGAGACCGCACGGCGTGACCGGCAACGGCGCGGCTACGGCATAGGTGGTGCAGGAAATATCCGTACGTGGATCCTCTGTATAAAATGTTCTACTTCCGGGCGGGTCAAGCACAGGCTGACATCCAATCGCCACAGGTCGGCCGACAGAAGTTACGTTTCCGTTATCGAAGCGCCCAGGTGGTTTAACGCCGAGACCGAGAAGCGCGCACGGCTTAGGACGAGATGGACGCGAGGAACGAGATGAACGAGACACACGAGACGAACGGGCGGACTACGGCACGCGTGAGTCGAGGCCATGGGCATGGATGCGGGGCCTGCTAGGACGTCGGGGCATACGGGCGCCGGAAACTGTGCCATGAGTGCGAATGGCAGAAGAGGGGGGAAAAGAGAGTGCTATCACAGCTCTACGCATCACTGGCCTTTGCGTTGCATTTTCCCTTTAGTCCTTTTGTTTTATTAGATTCCGTAACCGGTTTGGCGTTCCTGGAAGGACTAGCACGACCTAGACGAGAAACGAGTGAAGATCACGAACGCGAATTGATGGCAAAGCGCCTGTCTGCAATGGCTTGAAATTTCGCGCATTCGGACGTTGCCTCATGATCTAAAGTGGGAAGGCCCACCTCCAATCACAGGGGCTGTAACTCAGTGGTAGAGTGCTCGCTTTGCATGCGAGAAGCCTAGGGTTCGATCCCCTACTGCTCCAATTGGAACAACACCGGATAGTGTTAATTTTTTCGTTCTGTTCAGGTACACTTGTTTTTTTTTTTTTGCCAACAGTGCTTTATTGCCGTTTTCGTTTTCAAGATCAAAAGAACCGACATAATTAAAATAGGATTGTCCAGCACACGTCAACGACGGGACCGCTTTCTGCGGATAATGTTCAGGACAGACACGGTTCGATGCCACGTCACTACATCCGCACTACGCGTATCTTTCTTCCCACCTTCGTTGCGGTAAGGAAACGTACGAGGATTTTACCTGCTCTCATTGTAGCTCCATATGATTTAATTACAAGGTAGAGATAATATGCCTGGGAAAGCATCTGACAGACCGGCAGGCCGCGTGGTGGATGGCTGTACATTCCTTGTTCGTCGATGTTTACTCTGTGCCGCACCGCCAGAAGGCGGCCGATCGAAGTCGGATGGAAGCGTCCACACTGCAAGAACACGTATGTTGTCCCGCCTTAAACGTTATCACATCTCGATCCACGAGCAGCTTCTTGGAGGAGCCTGGAAAAGTCCACTTGAATCACATCGTGCTCATATTGCAGATACTTGTTCTACTCATCAGATGGTTTGCGGACGCGTACTCGCACTCCGTACATTCCATGGTGCCTGATCGACAAGTACAGTACGAGTACGGTGCAATGGTCCCACTCCGTCGACAAACATCATGATAGCTTCAACGGTATGGCAAAAATGACTGCTCGTACTCATTCTGCAACCGTTACTCAGGTTTCCACGACCACAAGTCAAGGCTAAGCGTTGCAACCTAAAAAGGGACTTGCGTCGTATTTGCACGCCAAGACAGTCTTGGATCACAGGAAGAAAACCTGGCGGTTGGTTGTGTAAGTGGATCACAGAAGGAGGCAACCGTGAATGAGAACCAGAGGAATTGTTGGCTGGTACGGGGGGTTACTAGGAAAGCTCCCCGGAGCGTCTGAGCGTGCCTGCTATTTTTTGGAGACTGCTTGGACAGTAGGGCGGCGCAATGCAATAGCCGCCATAATCGCTTCGCAAATCAAACAGGTCCTCGAAAATGTCAGGCCATGGTGTTCTGCAGTATGTAGCAATGATTTTGACGCGTTAGTGCCCAATGTGCATAATCTGGCAGCTACGATTTCGCCCTGTTCTCCGCTGCCATCCCACTCTTAGCGTGGGATGTCCCTGCACAAACCCCACGAGTTCCCTGCTGACCCACTAAAAAGCCTGCTGACACTTGAGCTTTTCTGGATCGTTGTTTTCCCGTCTCCCCCACAAGCAGATGCTGTCAAACAGTGCTGTATCGATCAACGACCAATATGAGGCTGAACACGACGAAGCCAATTCTCAATCTGACCAAGATTGTCTTTTTTTTCCTTTTAAAGCTTAAAGGACAGTCGTTTTCTGCATACAGAAGTCTGCCTTCTATTTCTGCGCTTCGATGATCGAATTTGATTCCAAATACAGAATGCGGACTGCATCTCTACATATCTCGCTCTAATTTATGGTGAAACTCTAGTCTCTAGTGATATCTATCATATTCCCTGGACCCTGAACGCCATGCTACCTTGATAAGTGTTCCAACACACGCATACGTTCAATGTCATGACCACGCAGATGGCCCGAATATCTGGCCTGCAGATACTTTTGCAAGCGGCGTCCCTGCATAATCGGCAGTTGTTGATTCCACCGTGTTTCCCCACCAGGTTAAGACGACGCCTGGGTATGAAAATGCAAGAAAGATGAACAAGCTCGACAGCGCCAGGCCGCCTTCAAGAGCGGCCGCAAGAAGAAAATTATAACGATGCCACCAAGCAAAGTGACGCTTACGCAGAAACCACTGGAAGAAGATGCCGATGATGCCCCAGGTCATGTAGTTGCTGGCAGTGGCAGGGGGGACATTGCCAATGCTGGAGAGAATGAGGGGAATATTGACAAAGCGGAGACGACGGAGGGGTGGCTTCGTCGGCTCAAAAATCTGCGAGGTCGATTTCGATGCCGCTGACGTTGGAATTCTCACACGGCTTGCTCCATAAAACAGCAACGGCAGAGCCGCGCCGATGGGAAAGAACCACAGCATGGGGGCGTACGTGGCACCGCGTGAGAAGAGACGCTGGGGACTGATCAGGCCCCAGAAGACCATGCTCGACTCGTATGTCGCGCTGAGAGGACAGGCAAACTGCAGTGGGTCAGCAAAGAACACACAAACACCGATTCGCCTGCTCTTACCTTGACCCCTGCTGCCGGTGTGCAGACATCCTTTACCCTGCTTACTGCCAGCACGTTCACACCGGTTTGTACCAGCCAGTTGATGATAATACCAAGGGATTGTGCACAGAATACGACTCGCGGCGGCACCTTCATGTAGTGGCCCAGTTTGCGGTTTCGTGCTAGGTAAAGGCCCGAGCCTATGGCGTTGAAGCTGAGACAGCGGAATACGACGGACGCCACCATGTTACTCGGCCATAGGTAGCCGCCAAGGAGGCTGGACACGGCGTCCGTCGACAGGTTTTGGTTGCAGGTAGCATCGAGGATGGCGATGGGTGCGAACAGGATCAAGTTAATGGACACACTCAGTAACACGCCCCACCACGACACACCGGTCTGGTAGTACTCTACGAAGAAAATAGACAGGCCTACGGCCACAGCGAGGGCTATCAAATACCACCAAAGGGGGATGCGTGGGTATTTTCTCATGAGCTGCTATTGTCAGCACAGAGAAGTGGGGGGCACAAAGCATGCAAGGCTTGCAACGTACCCTTCCGTGTATGTCGTGCCGGGCTGACGGCACCTCGTTGCGTGTGAATGTTGCCCATAAGCCGTCCCAGATCTCATCGCGGAAGTTCAGAGCCGCATGCACGATGACCGATGAAACTGCGCCAAAACCAAGGCCGTACGAGATAGCCGACGTTGTGGACAGATAGACAGGCGAGTATTCGAAATATGCCGTGGAGTTGAAGGAGTGGTCGCCTGTGGCGGGCGAGTTGACGACGCGGCTGGTGTCGTACACCTTGCCCGTGTTGTCAAAGATGGACGACGAAGAGAAGGGCAGATAATGGCCGTACCAGACATTGGAAAAGTGCAACGCTGGGCCGATAATCCACAAGAAGAGCACGGCGCCCCCGAGGACGTTGCTGACTGTACGGATCGACGTTGCCTGTGGCGGGCTCTGATAGGCCGTGACCTGGCTCCAGCTGAGGGCCAAGGGCAATAGATCCATGCCGGAGCGCGCGCCAAACAGCTGGTTGACGAGGACGTCGTTAGGACGAATCCAGGTGACCCAGGAAAAGTAAGTAATGCTTGTGAAAAAGAAGCCAGGCACGAGATGCCAGACGGAGATGGCGCCGAAGGCGACCCAGAAGAAGCGAAGAGGACTGATCGTCCAGGAAGTAAAAGCATTGTGTCGGGCGACATGCTTGATGGCAGTGCCGGGACTTCCGGTGTGTTGGGGGCGTTTGCCCATCCTCGTGGGCGGGGTTCTATGCAGACTGTGAATCAGCGCCGGCATAGGCAGGATGGCAGGCCACATGCAGTAGGGTGGGTCGACGATGAGCTTCTGGAAGATGCCGGCGAGTCCGAATCCTAGGCTCTGCGTCGTCAGAAAGAAGAGCAGCTTGAAGCCGAGCGAGAGGTTGTCGAATCCGAGATTGGTCTCCATGGCCGTCCACACGTATGTGGCCAGGGCACCGTGGTTGAAGCCGGCGCTGCCAATAGCCATGATGGCGATGATGGTGTGTTCCTTGGTGCTGAAAGGGCCGGGGTTTGACTCGAGACGGCGGCCCAGCAGCGTCCATTCCCAACGAGGTGTGTACCGTGCGAGAAAGCTGCCGATGGGGAAAGCTGCCAGGATGAGCACATACGGCGACATGGCGACTGGACGGAAGACAGGTCAGCGAGGAGCACGCAAAGAAACACCCGGAACTGACGGGAACCTACGAGGAGGGTCGTGCAGGCCGAACAGCTGTGTGAAGCCGGCGCTCACAACGGTGGAGATGATGCCGAGCATCCAGGCGCGCACGGTGTTGATGGGCACGTCTTCGTCAGAGGCGGGCACAGCAGCGCGGACTTCGGGGTAGATGCTGCGAATGTGAGTTCTCGTCAGCTCTTCTGGTGACAGGATAATACGGGCAAGCCAGATGGGAAGAGCAGATGCTGCGCTAACGAGTTGTCTTCATCTTCGCTCTCTCTCTCGCGGAACTGGCGCGACATTGGGTTCGGCTGCAACTCGACATCGCTCGAGTCGTATTCCGTGTCTATGGACGTAAGTTCCGGGAAAGAGACAGCTTGGCTGTCCCGACGCAAGCGCCGCGAGACATCGCCGTTCCGGGGCGGCAGGCCGATGGACGAAGTTTGGCCGGCCATGGGTCCAAGAGGCCGATTTGGCGGGGCTGCAGATAATACCGAGACTAAGAGCACTGTCACTGGCTGCCGAGCTATCCAGGCAGGCGGCCAACAGTTCGCAGTCGAATCGTTTGCGGTCTGGAAGCGTCCAGAATTGCTGCACTTTGAACACAGAAAACACAGACAACATTATATGCATTCTTGTGCGTTTCGCAAAGTGCAGAAACCGAGAAAAAAAGAACCAGACGTATTGTGCTTATCGCTGCCCTCGACGATCTCATTGGCTGGAGCTGTGGAAAGTGGATCACGACTGTCCGGTCGGGAATATCTCGGCGCTCGATCGATGCGTGTTTGCCGTGGGCAATCGAATATACGATGCAGACCTACAGGCATTAACACACTCATCTCTTGGCAGCAAAATTACCAATACGGCATCACACACGCCGAGCCTTGTGTTCTGCGCTTGCCGTGAGAATCAACATGTTGTTGGAACAACGTAAATGCTCACGTGATCTGTCGAATCAGGCTCGGTTTGCTCGATTACTGCTACTTACATTTGCAGCGACTAACCAGTACCTGCAGCGCTGTGTTGGAGTATCAATATACTTCGCATCAAAAACGCTGTGTAGAATCTCTCTATGGCGATGTTCTCAGCTATGCTCTAGTCCTTCACCAGAGTCTGGATGTTCTCGGCGAAATATCGGAAAGTTAGCGTCCCCAGCTTGAAATTTTTTGGCCGCTCGAACTCGCCACATTGACTAAGCTGTAGCAGCATGCCTGTCCGACTTCCTCCTGCTACCTAACGCACATTAGGCCATCACGGTACTTTATGACGAGAGCATGAATGACTATGCGCGGCCATCCCTGTCGGCGGATAGGTCGATATTAGCAACTTTGATGGCAGTGCTCCGACCTAAAGTCGACCGGGTCCATCTCGTCACTACGTCATGTCTCTGCAGATAAAACAGTGGCCTGAGTCATTGCAGGTGACGTGAGAAGGATATCTATATATTTTCTCAAAACCATAATGGACTAGATAAAGCCGGTATGCGCCGGTGTTATCTGTCTAGCGCATGACATCTTCCGTGCCCACCTGGTGAGCGTGTTGTGCTTCCGGTGTATGTCAATGATTAAGTTAGGGAATTGTTGGCCCCGAATACACCTTTAACGGAAGATTTGGCGAATAGATGCCGTTTCACGGACGATTTCAAGTCCTCTGCAAAGAGACCATGACTAACAAACAATCTCTTCTGTATATGTTTGGCATGCTGTAACGTACGGAAAGAGTTATACCATCAAAGGACCAAATGCAAAGAGCATCGTATTAAGTTGCTCTTCAAATACATTTTTGGCTGATGCCAGATACTTGCTGCCGGATGGCGCTTTGAGACCGGCGTTTGGTCTGCGGTGATGACATCAGCGATGTCGCCATACTTTCCATAGGGCCCTCTGAGAGCACTATATGTGCCGTGATCATGCGCCTCCTATGTATTATTAGAACGAGGATAAGACTGGACTTGTGCTGGAATAAGAGAATCAACCAAGTAGGCTCTTAAACTTGCAAAAAAGAAAGAAAAAACTCGACTTTAAGAAGAAACAGAGGACGAGTACTTAATCAGTTACTTCCGCTCTCTGAATAAAGCTTATGCTATAAATACATAGAGGCGGCTTGTCTACTCTTGTCTATTGCTATCTGAAACTATATACATACTAAATAGCTGTAAGTATTTCTAATAGTTAGAACCAAGAACTATTGTGATTGCCATGGCTGCTATTCTATTCTACAAGCTAGTCGCTGTTAGTACTCTATCACGTTTCCCGAACAACACAAGTTGCTGCTACTTACGCTTTACGAATGATAATGTATACAATCAACACCTCTTCCCTATTTTGGTTAGTGCTTGCAACTTTCAATGGAATACGTCTAAGAGTAACCATACCTCACAAGTAGGACAAGTCCTCGTCTCCGTTGATTTAACCATTCCAGGTCCAAAAAATCCAAAAGATGGAGTTTCAACAATCACCTGAACTTTTCCGGATCCACCACATTTATGGCACGTTTTTTGCACCTGCTCTGTATTGTTTGCCGGGTCTCTGTTACAGTAACCTCCGTTGCCCCTTTTGTTACGACGAGTTCTGTATACGAACTATAGAGTGTTATTTGAAAGCCGAAAAAGGTTGGGTCTGAGAACCTCTCACGTAGTAAAGGGACAGTGTAAGATAGCATATGCGTACCTAGAGTAGCCTGAATTGATACGGGAAGCAGGCGATAGAGGCAGGACAATAGCAATAAATGTTGTCGGTAGAGCTTTCAAGCAACACAAATCTTGTAAGCGTATTGTTCCAGATAGAGTAGATATCCTAAGAAGATCCTTAGCTAGGAGAAAGGAAGGAAGGAAGATGGAAGAGGGACGAGCAGTTGCCTTCTAAGACAAAGTTTCAAGCTAGAATGCTTGATCTTGTTGACTTGAATCTCAAAGTTCAACCTCCACAATTTTCTCGACCAGCTGAGCAGGCAATGCAGCCCAACCAAATGCCACCCGATCGTGGGGCTTGCACTGCCCGCCGATCACAAACGGTATCCATTCTAAAGGGTTTGAGGCTGTAAACCGTAACGATCGACTCTTGCAAACAAGCTGAAATGTGTTCGTTCAATTGACACGAATGCATTTTGCAGTTCAGCTTGCAAACCCTAGACCGTATATGGGAAGCATACTACTTAAGTATTGCTTTCTACAACAATCTTGTATATCTTCAGCCTGCAACAGGTTAGGTTAGGTTACCACTAATGCTAACACACACCGCTGCGGATGTAGCCGGCTGGCGCGTATCATTCTTTTACAATTCTGAGTTTATCTCATCAGAGATCGCTTATGCACTACTTTGGCATTGCCGTCTTTGTTGCAAGTGTATATTAAGAAAACCTATTGGAAATAATAGGCTGTCATAGGCTGCTCCAAGTCAACAACCTATAATCTCTTGTAAAGGTCAGGAGATCACATCGAAGACAACAAGTTGCAGCCCAATAACGGCTTGCAGTCGCATCTCTTAGTTGCAAGCATTAAAAGCATCGCGCTTGATATACATCTTCCTAAACGAGAACATATTTTAAGACAACCCATGTTTATACTTCCCCTCGTCCTTCCCTGCTAGATAAACTAAACGAATCTGTCTCGAATCGTCTTCATCATATCCTCAACCTCTGGGTGGTCCTCTGTTGTCGGCACACAATTTTGCACGCAGTATGCTAACAAAATGCGCTCATAGCGATTTCGAAAGATGTGCAACACTGCGAGGGTGTCCCAGGAATCTACTTGCTGTGCCGACCGCTCAGGCCGAAAGGGTATGGGTAGCGATGCAGGCGGCTGAACTAGGAAATAGTGGAACTGCTAGAGCTGACTCTCCGACAGCTGAAAAGGAGCCTTTGGCCACCTGTAGGGTGAATGAATGACACTGACAACAGAGGGTTAGCCGGTTGGTAGATAAAAGGGAGACAAAGCTAGAGACCTGATATCATCTTCGCTGCGGTCAAAGACAACAACGCCGTCAAATATCTGTGACTCGGCCTAGTATCCGGCAACGTCTGCAATACCCTACGGCTAATTCTCCAAGTCGAGATAGGCGTTGTGAAAAAACACGGTAGGGAGAGGCTTTGAGACAAGCACGGACTGCTTTAATTTCCAGCTTTAGCAGCCTTTATGGCGCCCGCCATCGATCTTTAGAAAAAGACGAACGGCAACATGATGGCACGTGCAAGCAACAAGCTCAAGAAGTCGTAAGTCAATCGTAGTGTTCTGATATGCCTGTGCAGCCTTGATGCCATCGTCGTATGCTAGCATTCGCCCTCTGCATAGAAGGTGTCTGGGCGATCCACAAACGTCCGTATCGAGTAGGAATCCCCTTAAATCAATGGTGGCTTGAAACTCATGCATTTCCACGCTTCGTGGCAAAGCTCATGATTGGCACAACTGTGCCAAGTCTTCGACGTCGGCGTACCGTCGACAAAACGTTATGCATTGCCATATGGAATGCACCATCATACTGTCTTAAGACCTCCGGGAGATAGCTTTATGTGCTTGGTAGAGCTGCGAGATCGATGTGTGTGGAAAAGGAGCTGGAAATAAGAATGGAGCCTCTCTAAGCGAATACCACAAAGACGAGACACAGTACGGCAAAATGTCCATATTAACACCGTGCGCACGTTGTAAAAAGGGTGCGAGGGGCAAACTTCTCAACACTCACAGTCCCAGTGCGCTATGAAAGGAGGCTGCTTGCTAATTATACTGTACAAATCCGTAAATCAACATAACCACTCCAGCGTGGAGGGCCAAAAAACGTACAGCAGCGGGTATTCGCTGGTCGTCACCGACCCAACTACTAATCCGCCGATTACTGGTTTAACTAGGGGAGAGCGGACGAGATCCCGTGCTTTCCAGGATCTATGGCCGTACGTGGAATATGTCACAGTCAACAAGCATTATAATATAGAATAGGAGGCTAGCGAGTGAGGCATGCAGTTGAGCAGCTGGCTTACTTGTAGCATATAGAATCTACATATGTACAATGTGTTTCACATCTAAAACTAACAGAAGAAAATTGGTATCACCATCTAATAGTACACGATAGAATAGAACAGATCAAGATCAGGCCGTAGCGACAGCTGCAGCTGCCGCAGCTGCCGCAGCTGCCACGCCATTCTTGGTAGACACGGCCAAGGCCAGCAGGTTGTCCTGGCCCAGCTTGTTCTGGGGGAACCGGCTGTTGAACCCGATGATGTTGCGAGCGGTCTCGAATGTCTGAAGGGAGACGGTCTGCTTCTGCGTCGAGACAAACCAGCTGACGCCCTCGGAGCAGGGAGGCGTGGTCAGGGATCCTTTGTAGCTGCACGGCTGTCAGTGCGGGTGTTCTGTGGTCAGGTATGCAGAGCAAGAGAGGTGCCAGACGTACGACTGAAGAGAGCCAGCCTGGATGCTGTCGATCAGCCCGGACATGGCGAGCGGCCCGATCTTGGCCTTGGTGCCGGGCGTCGAGACGTTTCCGGCTGCGGCAAAGACGGTGTCGACGAGGCTGGTGCCGCCTGTAGCGGCGCCCAAGGTCGAGGTATTTTTGGCACTGGCAGCGGCATTCGTTGTCGTTGTGGTCTTCTCGGCCGTGGCAGCCCCCCCGGTGAGTCCGAGGGCGCTGAGGATGGCGTCGATGACCGACTGGGATGCAGCGGTGCCACTGGGCGTGGCGGTGCTGTCGACGCGCGTGACCAAGGTATCTCGTGCGTGCCGGCGCTCTGCAGTCGAGGCTGCCGAGGCGGCCGATGTCACGTTGCCAGGCCCGTTGGCCGTATCGAGATAGACGCCAAGAACGGCAATTTCGCCGACAGCTGATTCAAAGACCATGTGCATCTCCACTAATTCCCCAGTCCGCTTAGCGAATGGAACAGGGGCGGCAAAAGGGGTGGAGGCTTACTGGCAAACGATCGACCATCATCGAGGTGCTCGCTCGGGAGGTGATAGTGGAACTGCTTCAGCGAAAAGGCTGTCCCGTTGACGGTCATGCCGGCAGCCGCCTCAGCCGGCACGACCACCTCGACGGTCGTCCCCAGGTTCTCGATCTCGGTCTCGGCAATGTCGGGCACAACCAGACTGACACTGGCCGCCGTTAACAGGCTGAATTGATCGGCCGTCATGTCGATGGGACTCTGGTTTCGGCCGGTAGCACAGGCGACGTTGGCCACCGGATCCAGCGACAGCCAGTTCAGCGGACCCTGCATCATACCGTCAGAGATCTGTGCAGCAGGTCGACAAGATCAGTCTGCCGTCTGTACTCACAATGGCGCCGGTGTAGCCAAACTTGTTCACCGGAACGGAGCCGTCCTCGTCTTGACGGGCATGGAGATGGGTGCCATATGCACAGGACGCATGCACCCGCACAGCGGAGCAGCAGAGAGTCAGGAAGACAAAGGAAAGAGCAGACATGGTGTGCTAGAGAAAGAGGAGAAGGAAAATGGGGAAGAAAATGACGGAGAAAAAGTCTGCGTCCAGCGCCGAGAAGAAGAGAATATATAGGCTGAAACGAAGCGAAAGCACAGGAGGCGCATTCAAATTAGGAACCTGGCTGGTGGGAGATGAGAACGAGAGCTGGCCTCGTGTCTATAAATACAGAGCGCGCTTGGCCATCATTCTCGTCGCGAGATCGCACGAGGGTGGCTAAGCCGGTGATGCCTCGTTAGGGGCTCTTGGCTCGACACAGCTGCTACACAAACAGGAGCCGGATGGAGAGAGCTGATTTGGTGAACCCGGCCAAGGCGAGACGCAAGAGGCCACGGCACGGGGCGGCCAAGAAACGGAGTGCCTCAGCCTGGGGTAGTCAACCGCTTGGCTGCTGACCTGACCGGATCTGACAGGGCCAAGCTAGAGCTATGTCGTAGGCAGCTAGGCTGGCCTTGGCTGGAGGTGGCTGTGGCGGCTGGGCAGACAGATTGGGCGGCCACAACACAACGGACCCCCTGATCATCTTGGCGGGTATCAGCGATAAGATCAACGGAGTCGGACGGGCTGCCGCAAGGAGACGCCTCCCTAGGCTGTCCGGCCACGATGCCAACTGTGCAGGATATGTCGTATTTTTTTGTGGGAGGGGAGCCAGCCAGCAATACGTCGTACACGGTAGATTAAAAATAAAAAAGGCGGGGACGATGAAACGGGCTTGGCTCGTGTCAGAGCCCGCTGTCCGGTTTATTTTCTTTTCGTCCTTTTTCGTCTTTTCTTTCGTCTCTTTTTTCGCCTTTTTTCCTCGCAACGGCGTCGGCGCCCAGGCCCGGGATGCTACCCTGCTTCGCACTGTCTCCCCTCGTAATGACAGCAGGGCCGCGCTACCACGAGCTAGGATGCCAGTGTTTGGGCAGAGATGCCGCAAGTGGTCCACGATACAAACACACCTGACCATCTGGTCCGAGGCGCACGACGACAACCGTCGGCGACCTACCCTATTCAGGCCAGCCGATCTCCATGCTAACACGGCCGGTCCCCCGGAATAAGCGTAAAACAGAGGTAGCCCTAAAAAAGACAGCTACATAGTAAGATTTCCACCAGTTCGGGGCTGGCCGTTTTTGATCAACGTTGGGTTGTAATGGTCGCACGCGCTAGTCCGCATGCGGATTTTGTGCCCCGCACTTGAGAATCCGGAAACTTTGTTTTCCTCTGCCGAATCTCGAAATCTTCCTCAGACAGGCTCGATTTGTTGGAAAAATAGACCGGTACGAGGCAGGCATGACGTTGCCTTGGCCGGCAGCGTGCTCCGGACGTGCACGTGCAGAGCCTTGGAGAAGATGACACGCAGGCAGTAGGCATGGTGAACAAAAAAAATCGATTAGTGTTGGGCGCTCTGCAGCTATGCCCAGTGTCTGGAGGTGTCCCTCTTTAATTAAGTATGCTATCTATTCGCCGCCCAAGAAAACAACAGAAACTCCCCCAATCCTAAAAGCACAAGCCAATCCTAGAATGTAATCCCGTTCCTTCTGAGACCATACCATGCTATAACACCGGATAGTCCCTTTTTCCTGTTCTTTAAGCGCCTGTAATTCGCATTGTGCCTTCTCTGGGGCCCAAGTTAGCATGAGCCGTATTGCCGTCCCGTTGGGCTGCACCTACAATCCGTAGTAAGGGAAGAAAGAGAGCGGAGCGCCTTTTCCTGCCCAAATATGCCAGAGAACAAAAGAGACGGATATTAGAGCTGTGGCATCCGTTAGTCTGTGGCCGGCCATCCGGGCAGAGAGCGCGCACATACACATTCTGTAACTGTAGAATATAACACGATCACCCGGTGAGCCGATATCGGTCACTTCTTGGGCGTCGGGGGCTTCTGTGTGCCGGTGGTATCGTAGCCAGTGCGACTCATGGTGATGGTAAGACGGGGAAGGAGGGAGGGTGGTAGTGGTCGTCAGGCAGTGAGGTAGTCGTTAGGCTGTTCGGATGTACCGTTATTCTGATTCGGCTTGTTTGTGCTGTGCTGTTCTGTTCTGTTGCTGTCTGGATGATGTCTGACCGGTCGGCGTGGATGATGGATGGACTTCTGCGGTATCGTGGTCAATGTGTCTTATATAAGATGGAAGCTGTGTGGTATGGCTCGAGGAGTCGGTCTGGAGCGAGTATGGCGAAGTGTTGAAAAGCAACGGTGACAGAGAACTGTCATTGTGACCGGGCCGAAAGGTGACGTTCTCTGCAAAGTCGTGACTGCAGAGGATTAAAAAAACACACCCCGGACCAGAAAGAATGTTGTGCGAGAGAATTTAAAAAGAATTTAAAAAAGAACAAGGACGGCCTGACAACAAGAGAAAAAAAAAGTACGAGGACTCCCCAAGCGCTAGCTCTCGCCGGGCCGATCCTATTGGCAATTCACCTTTGTAAAGGCGGTATCCAGAAAGCGCTGCGGCCTACTGGATCTGGTGGAGCCCGCGTGGCAGCGGTGCTGCCCGATACAACGCAAAGGCAGGCGAGACAGTCGAAAGGTGCGCTGACTATTTTTCGCTGACCATTCTGTGGGAGGGCTTGGTCCAGCCCTCACAGCCTTTGTGGCAGTCCATTGGCCAGACGGCGCTGGCAATGGTCCAGCGAGGCCAGAGAGGACAAATGAGCCAAACCGAGGGGGGGGGGGAAGAGACACGTGGTGTGCAGGTCGAAATAGCCCTGCCACCGCTATAGCTGTGCGTGCGTGCTGTCAGAAAAGCAAGGGGTGTGAGGAGAGCGGTGAAGTCAATGTCGGTGACGGAGCTTCCCTTTCCCTGCCGGGACAAGGGCGCGACATGTGCTTTTGTTCGCCTTCCTTGCCGTGGTGGCAAAGTCTGGGTGGTCTTCCTGCCGTCTCCGGTCCTTCCATCTCCTTTCCATCGCCTTCTTTTTCTCCTCACGCTCTGGCCACGCCGTATTCAGTTCCAGGGGCGCCCCACGGTGACCGACTATGCAAAGCTCGACAGCTGGACAAGCCGCCAACCTGTACACCCACCTGCACGCCCTCGCACACACACACACGCCCACACCCACATCCACACCCACACGCTCGCGTCCACACACACACACACCACAGGATCCACGCGCACTGCACACATCCCATACCACACATCCGCCCACGCACACTCCCAGGCGCTGCGCCTGCATGCGCTAACCCGGCACACAATTCTGGACCGGTGTGTCGAGCTGCTGCATGAAGCCGGCCCAGAACTCGGCGTTGCCGACTGGATCCAGATCGCTATAAACCGACCCCTGCAGCTCGGTCACCAGGGACCTGTCCGGCTCACCGGCTGCCGGGGCGGCCAGACAGCTGGCCGGTGTCGCTGGCACCTCAGCTGGTCGCTCCAGCCCTGTCCGCCGTCCACTGAAGCCATCGAGGATGTCGTCTGCTTCGCGAGCGAGTCGCCGCAGCTCTGCCACTTCAGCATCCAGGCTCAGGCCCAGGCCTAGGCCTATGCCCGCGCCACACATGGCGAGCGCCTCGAGCGTCGGGTCGATGGCGCGGCGGGCCAGCGTCGACGGTGGACAGACCGGATAGGAAGCCGTGAAGCCGATCACGACAAGGACGGCATCGTGCAGCCAGCGGGCGACGTTGGCAGAGGCGGTGGCGGCCTGCAGACAAGCGGTGTGGGCCAGGGCCTGCCGCGCAATATAGCCGATTGTGACAGCGTGGCGGACGGCAGCGATAGGCAAGCTGTCAGCCGTTGGCGTGTTGGTCATGGGCGCTGGCGAGAAGGCGATAAAGGGCTGAAATAGCAGAACAATGGCCGCATGGAAGCGTAGCTCGAGCATCAGTCGCTGGCGGTGTAGCTAGAGCGGTGTAGCTGGATCACGATGCGGACAGAGATCGAGCGGGCTAGCCGTCGAGGTCGTGTCAAAGGGCCGGGCACGGTCGTGGTCCGGAAGCCGACTGCGCGGAGTCTGCAGCCGATAAGGCACGGCGCCGGCCCAGGCGTAGAGCGCCGACGTGCGTGAGACAAGGAAGCGGGCAGCAGCCTCGCGGATGTTGGGGTCGGTGTGGAGGCTGCTGCTGCTGCTGCTGCTGGTGACCGAAGCCACGTGCTGGCGGAACAGGTGCTCGCAGTGCCGGTAGAAGTCGGCATGATTGGTGCCGACAAGGTGGATGAGGCGTGTGCATTGGTCATGGTAGGTCAGCCAGGTGGTACTGTGGGGAGACTCCCCCTCGAGGCCCTCCTGGGCCTCCAGACCCCCCAGACACTCCCACCCCAGATCCTCCTGCCTGTTCTGGCTGTTCTGACGGCCATCGTCGTCGTCGTCTTTCGTCTCGTCCTCCACTGCCGGCGACATGACGTAGATAGCACCCAACAGTCGGGCCAGACGAGGTGAAGAAGTCGGGCGACAGAGCAGAACAGTGTCCTGATCCCAACCCATGCTCGTGACCATGCCCAGGCCCAGCCCCAGGCCCAAGACCAGCATCGGATGACCGAGTCGGACGCTGAGGTCGGCATCCATGGCGGTGAGCGAGGCCCACAGGCGGCCGGCCAGCACCTGCAGCAGCTCAGTCGCCGAGTAAGACACGTCATCTTGATCGACGGCAACGGAGACATACGAGCAGTGCATGCCCAACGAGACGGCCGTCCGGAGAGCTGCTGCGACGTGGCTGTGGGCCGAGCTGGGCAGGCCGCAGTTGTCGAGATATTGGGCGCCTAGGAGTCCACACTGCACGGTGGTGAGACTGGGGGGTCTCGGCCAGCTCCTCACACAGCCAGCGGCTGCGGACAAAATAGGCATATCCAGGTGGGATCGGCTCTGAACTGGCCCCGTCCTGGCTTCCGGTTCGTCCCGGACGAACGGCCGTGTAGGCGGAGCTGAATTGCATGCACAGCGCCAGGACGATGTCAACGAGGGCAGATGCCCTGCGCACAGACCGCTCGCCTGCCCCGGCATCCACCCACAGAGAGTCGCAGTGTGTGCGGAAGTCGCTGCTGCCAGAGCCACCAGAGGTCGAGGTCCTCCTGCGCGTGCGGCATCTCCGGGGGAGGCAAGCCGGCGAGCGTAGCACTCGGGCGGCACAATGACCGCAGATGGCTGGCCACGTCGGGCTGCTGGCGGCGGAGTATGGTGTTGGGAAAGGCGTAGAGTCGGTTGCGGAAGTAGGTCATGGATGATGGGCCGTAGTAGACGTCGCCGACACGCAGGCCTTTCCAGAGAGGAGTGAGAGGCACGAGAGGAGCAGTCGGACTGAGCTGGCCGGTTGTTCCAGCCACCTCGACGATAAGCCCAGTCTTCGGTGTGTGCGTCTGCACAACCTGTGAAGCTCGTCCGCGCCGGTCAGAGGCTGTGATCATACAGATTCGGCCCTTGTGCTGGCAGTTGTGGCAGGGCAGCTGGGAGTCGCACTTGGCCCGGGTCAGGCGACAGAAATGACAGGCACGCCGAACTTGGGCGCGTCGAGCCGTTCTGCTGCGCGGCGTGGATGCTGGCAACGGCGGCTGGCTGTAGAAAGATGAGAACATGAGGAGACTGGAGTTTGACGAGAGGGGAAAGGGGGACTCTTGGGAGGAGTAGATTGATGCTGTGACTTTGCACGCTACTGGTTGCTGGTAACTGGCGATGTTATTTGTCATCCGGAGTCTATCCGGAGTTTACCCGATTTGGAACTCCTGATTTCCACATTGAAGCCAAGACTCCGTCCAACCTCCTTGGGAGCTGGACGTGAAGGCAGAATTGTACAATGAGAGAATGATGGGGGATATATAAATCGTAGTTTCTCGGAGTTGCTTAGCGAGGGCGGAGGTCGGTAGACGACAGAGCCACGAGCAACAAGCGACAATTTATGATGCAGTCCACGACAGCAGATCGTAGCCATGTCGACTCGGTACGAACGACCGTCGAAGAAACCCTGGTCACCTGTGATGCTGGCTCAGAGCTGTGGTCTTCCGTGGCGTTTGAGCACCTGTGAGTCGTGGGTGCAGGAAAGGGGTAAGTCGTGTCGTAACCTTTTCGATTGGTCAACTTCATTTCTGACAAGACCTAGACCCAAACTGCTTCCGCTATCGCCTCGTATGTCGCAGCGGCCATCAATGTAATTTCGCGAGCGTTCCATCATTGAAGGCGCCCATCGCGCACGCTGCTGCACAAAGATGCCGGCATGGTTGGCTGTGGCACGATGCTGTTCGTCGTCGGTCGGCCGGGTAGCAGATGCACCACCTTCTCGATGCCTTCGCAGGAATGCACGAAGAGTTTGCAAGTACGCGTGGCCGGTTGACATACGGAGGGCAGCCTGAAAGGCTCACGCGACGTTCTGGGGTAGGCAGTGATCCATCGTTCCTTCCTTTCATGCTATCGAGCCGACCTGACTGTTAGCCGAGGAGGACGCGCACCTTCCACGAGAGACATTGCGGTAGGAACGCGGTCGCGTCTTGTCCGAACACGTCTGTCAGCTGACAAAAACGCAACTTTGCCATACGCGTGACCTCGGGTCCGTCCAGGTCTGTATCTGTCGTCGAAGCGGCGGTCGAGGCGCTGGCCTGCTGCTTTGGGCTGAGCCACGTGCTTCACACGGTCTTTGGCAGCGAGGTTGTGCGTGGCCTCAGCTGTGGTGAGCGAAGACGTGCCTTGCTGGCCGAAGCAGAGTGCGTGTTTTGTTTCCCGTGATGTCGCACTCCTGCATCGCTCCACACCGAATCACACCTACTAACGCAACTGCCCATGTCCTCCGATCTAGCCTTGTCTGTCTGGACAGCCCGACCAACGGCCCGGACGGATCCACAGCCATCGACGTAATGCGTATGCTGCAGGCCTAATGCATATCCGTCGTCGTGCCACTGCTGTCAGCCCCTACTAGACTCTTTGACGCGGTGCTGATGGTGCGCCAGGGCAGATCTCGCTCAGAGACCGACCATTCCCAGAATCATCTAGGCGGCAGATAGCTTCGTGCAGCAGAAGAACGTGCAACACAGGTCTGACGGCGTGCTGCACAACTAGAAAGTCACGTGCCGAGAGCCAGGAGCACGTGAAGCGGTGCTGGCAGCTTTGGACCTTGGAGACATTGCGGACGAGCTGGTTGGTGTCCCGGACCTGGAGAAACGCAAGCGGGTGACAGTAGGCGTAGTGCACCGTGGTACCTATGCCCGTCGGCTTTTGTCGCTGCTGCTGTGACCATCGAGATACTGGATGCCCTGCTCAGCGATTTGCTCTACTGTGTGCTTTATTTCTATCCGGCTTTTGGGACCCAATATTATGCAGAGCCTCGTCGCTACTACGACAGTGCACATCCCAGAACCTTGCCGCATATGATGCAAGCGGAAAATCCTGACGGTTTGTCCAAGATAGCGTAGGGTGTAGCAAATATGTGAGACAAACTGAGGTAATTTCTGCGTGAGCTTGTGGCATTTCTATGCGGAATTCCACATCCACCGTATCCGATTTCAAATACTCTTGGACAGAGAAATGTGCAATTCGTATGGTAGTGTCATTGCCCTTCACATGGTGATCCAGATCAATAAGCCCAGGACAAATGCGAAGAATGCCATCCTCACCGAACTCGCCGGAAAGTCGAGCTGCTGGATCGAGTCGCATATCTCCGTCGATGTCCACCGCCATGGCATCAAAAAGCTCCCTTAAAATTAACGGCCGTTCGGCACAACAAAGAAAGACCAGAATCCGTCTTGCATCTCTAACATAGTCCTTGTCTATATTTTTTAGGATTCTTTCGTAGGTCTGTTCCAGGGTTCGAGGCAAAGACTCCAGTAGTCTGTCGAGATGGCGTTTGCTGTTCACCCCTAACTCCAATGCTCGAAACTGGCACTCGGCCCAGCGAAACCTAGCAAGTCAGAAAATCCCTACTCCGTGGTCTGTTTGGAGTCTATGACTTGGGAACCCACATTCCGTTTGCTTTCTCTGCAAGCGCCTTCTCAATCTGGCCATGGTATGGCCTCCATTTTTGCATCTTTCGGCTGTTCTTCAAATAGCCAGATACAAACAATCGAATATCCTTATCGACGTCTTGACCCCTTAACGATATTATGCTATCCGGAGAGAGGATACTTGCTCGCTTCTGACCAGTTGCAGCAATCTATGTGTCCTCGAGGTCATTTTGGATGTTGTCAATACTCTTCTGCTGGAGCGTCTGCAGTGCCAAAGACAAATGGGAAACGGCCTCGTCGATGCTTTCCTCTAGCTTTCGCAGTGTGCTCTGGCGGAAAGGATACGCAGCCTTCCGCGCAACGGTCCTAGCTTTGGCAGAAATGGTATCTGCAGGCTTCCTGGTAAGCTTCTGAGCTTCTTCTCGGAGCTCGTTGATGAATTCTTCGTAGTCTTCGACTGAGTTTTCGATGTTCTTCAGCACGTTCTTCTCATCGTTGCGAAATTTGCGATCAGTAAGACTACGGAAGGTCTCTAATACCCCACAGAGCTTATCGAGCCGCTTAATAATGTCTTCGATGTCGGCTTTTTGGTTCTTGTATGCCGAGTAGAAGTCGACAAGAGATTGCGTCACCTAGATGCCAAGCGAGATGAGGCCCGCGACACTCGCGACTAGACCATGTTCAGTCATTGTAGAGCGATGTGACTTTCTAGTACTTTGGAATGGAAATGAATTCGACAGGGAGTGTTACTCGGAGTAATAATCGAAGTTCGATACTCGTTGGGTGAAAAGAGAAAATCGGTCCGAAGCGACAGTCTGTCGGCATATGCAATCCTTTTCAGCTGTTTCCAATGTCTGCTCCTCCTTCCCCCCTCTTCGGCCGCGCCTTGGCATCTGCCTTGCATCTTATGAGTATTCCGCGAGCCTATCAGACAAGAAGTATAAAATCCTCCTGGTTGGCCATATCAGTTACAGCAGCTGTACTTGCTAGCCCTAACCTGTCCGCTTCGCGCCTGTCTATTTCGCAGCTCCTTAGTGCGATTGATGCATGTTAGACATATTGTCAGTTTTCAAGTAGAACAAGACGTTTGATGAATGAAGTATGTGCCTGTACACGATCTGGGGAGCCGTCAGTTGCGTGTATATGTCGGATTGCATACACTCTGCAGCAAAAAAACAGAAAAGAAAGAATAACAGTTGGGCCTGTACGATTCCGAGAAGAAAAAGTCGATTCCTTCACCTTCACTTGAATAATAACATGGAGTCCACCCAGGTCTGACCAGCGCTCCAGAACAACGGTGCAAATGTACTTATTTATTGTAATCATACACTCGAATGCGTACAAGACGCAAGCTGGCGTCTTGGGCCTCTCGCCTGCTGCCTGCAGAACATAGATGGCCGCCAGCCGTGCTCTATGTATCCATGCGCTATGCATCGCGAGGAGAACCAAGAGAAATGCGGCGTAACACAAACACAAGAATAAGCACGAGCTCTCCCCTTCAAACACTCCTGCTACAGCTGCCACTCCCTATTTACATCATAAAGCCACCCAGTGTCTGACTGTGGTCCGGAACACCAACCGTTGGCTTATTCCAGCCCCGAGGACTCTATCCATTCGCTTCTGCAGCTGCGGCTGCCTCTTCCTCGTCCAGTTCGGCCATCAGCATGGCCTCAAGATCGTCCTCATCGACATCCATGCGGGCTGGCGTTGCGCCTGGCTTTCCGACAACGAGTGCCGTTGCCGTCTTCGCCATGCTCTCATGGCTGTTGTTCTCCCCTGATGTCTGTGTTTCAAGCTGTCGCAGCGGATGGCCGTTGCTTGCCTCCGAAGCAGGCGTGGCCACTGCCCGCAGCTTTGATGTGCTGCGGCTCCGGACGCCGCCGAGTCTCTGCCGCTTGGCTGCCAAAGTGCGACCACGCGATACTGACCTCTCAATTTCACCGTCGGGCTCCTCGCTCATCTTTCGCTTCGACAAAGACGGGACGCTGTCATAGCCTCTTCCTTCGTCGCCGTTCTCATCTCCATCTTCGCTGTCGTTGTTGCTGTCATATTCTCCGTAATCATTCCGGTTTTCGCCCTCGCCGTCATCGTCGTCCGCTTCGGCAAGGAACATCTCGAGCTCGTCGTCCGCAGAGCCCCAGTCAAACTGCCCCAGCTCGGCAATCGGACTGTTGTCGTCCTCATCGTCTTCGTCATCTGGTCCGTCATCTTCTCTACCACCACCGTCACCTGCACTGCCATCCCCACCCAGCTTCGCAATCACAATCCTGGGCTTTCGGTTGCCATTCCCTCGTTCGCTCTCTTGGTCGGACAGCGTCTCAGAGTCTGTTGCCTCGCTTAGCGGGCCTGCTGCGCCGGCTCGGTCTCGATCTGCCGGGTGCACATTTACCTGCAAAGTAGCACAGTCAGTATACATCGTCAAATCTGCATTTCAAAGACAACGGCGGACATGTGCAACTGTACCAGGTATGGCGTTTCATCTACCCAGGCCCACTGGCTGAACGAGTCGGCAAGCCAGTGCTGGTTGACGATCTTGATGCTCGGTATCCGCGCAGCTTGGCGCACCTTTTGTGTCCGCGGCCGGTCGCTGCTAATAACTAGGTGCGTCACTTTCCTAGAAATCTGCTTCTGAAGTCGGGCGCCAAAGCTCATGCTCTGTAGGCCCAGTTCAGACCGCTCCACCTCAAGACCAAGAGGCACGAGACCTGACAAGACGATCGTGGCGCCGTGCAACACCCTGTCCTTGAGTCCATCCAAAACCTTGCCAACATCAGGCACTGCTGCGATGCTGGAGTCCTCATTTCCGTTATGGAGTGCGGACCGACTGCTGTTTTGGGTTGACAAGCTCCGCTTGGAGTCGTATGCCTCGTAAAAGCTATGGTGCAACCGCTCCAGATGTTTCTCCAGATGCAAGAGTTCGTTATCGTCGTCATAGAGCACACAGTGCCGCGGTCGAGACTTGGAAGCCTTGTCCTTTTCTTCGGCGACCTGCGACGCTGTCACCGCAGCAGCCGCCGCGGCAGCAGCAGCTTCGTCCTCCTTATCGAGTTGCTCCTGCATGTGTAGAAGGGGCCGGTCTTTGATCTGTTGTTCAATGGTGCGTTCCTGTTGTTCGGCCTGCTTCTGGAAGATCGCAGAGGTAGCGTCATCGCCATCCACAAGTAGCATCTTGCCTACACCATTGATCTCGGGGGCCTTGCGAATACCATCTGCACCATCAGCGACACCGGATGCAGAAACCGCTGCTGCTGCTGCGGACGGGGCAGAAGACGCGATGGCCTGATTAGCATCAGATATGACCGTGTCCGAAGCGGGGTCAGATGGTGCCGCACTGCCGCTTGGAACTGTAGCGTCATCTATAGCAGCAACTGCCGTAGACGCGATGACAGCAGTGCCATCAACGCCATCGGCAGCAGAATCCGAAATGTCGCTGCGCTGAGGCAGAAAGCTGGAGTTGATATCGCCGGTTCCTTTAAAAAAGTCGTAAGGGTTCACCTTGATGAGGTTGTGACGATTGTATGGCCAGACATCAGCGCGGTCGTCGATGATGACAGCCATGTTGGTGCTGACAGGAAACAGACGCTGCAGCGATTTAGCAATGATATTGCCGTTCTCGTCGCGGCTGATGACGCGGTTTCCAAAGAGTTTCTGGTTCGGATCGACAATCTGCGCAATGTTGGTTGCGTACGTGCGCGTGCCCATGGTGTACACGTGCAGCTCATACATGGTCGAGATCTTCTCGAGAAACTCGGTGAGGTGAGGCCGCATCTTGATGTAGTACCAGCAGCCCCTGGCCAGGCCCTGGAAGCCCTCTTCCAGCTGGAAGCGGCGGACGTCCTTTAGGGCCTCGTAGTTGGGATTGGATGGATCCTGCTGCCACTCGCCGATGGTGGGATCGATGCAGGCGTGGATGATGGTCTGGTCCAGATCGACGACGAGACTCAGCTTGCGCTGACTCAACAGGCGCTGCTGCAGCTCATTTTCGGCACGCGTAGCTGCTACCCGGCTGACCGTCAGGCTAGTCTGGTCGTGGGTCATGTTGATGGGGGCACGGTCGGTGTCGCGCTGCTCGCTGGCCCAGTTGACCTCGTTCATGTCCTTGCCACAGAGTGCGCAGAGACCCTGGAATTGGATCTCGTGGGTGCAGGCCTCCTCCACCGTGGCGCAGGGACGGTCGCGCGAAACGACGTCGCCAACACGAACCTGCCATGACAGAAGCTTGCCGTCCTCGGGGGCGTTCCAGTCGGTAATGTTCTTCAGGGTCTTGGTCTGCAGTTGGAGCGTCTCCCGGTCGTTGGGAAGCTCCATGGTATACTCAAAAGAATACTGCAAAATAGGCTCCTGTCTCCGAATCGAGTCACCGGGATTCTTGTAAAGCCTGGTGATGGTAATCGGATACTTGAGACGGGCCCCGAGGCCGAGGACCTTCTCGCCCTTCTTGCCTCCGGACATTTTGGACGGAAAATGGTATTTGAAGCGCGCACAGCTGGAAAGGCGTGTATGGGGGGTCGGACGAAGAAGGATCGGAATGGGTGCACGGGGGTACTACCTTGGGCCGGTGCAGCTCAAGAATTTGTCGGGGTAAAAGAAGGGGGGCGGATATGGGTGTGGAGGACAATGCCTCAGCACCGAAAGAGGAGTGGTGCCTGCTGGATCATAAGCCATATTAGTATAAGGAGAAGAATGGTTAAAAATCCATGCTATTAATGGGCCATTTGAAAGACAAGATCTGCCTGATATGATGTCGACGCAAGGAGCAAGGCGGGAAAGGTTGAAGCAAAGAATAACGAAATTGGGTGGACCAGAAATGTCCGTTTGCGCCGAACTTCCGACGGCGACAAAGGGCCAATTCCGTTCAAAGAGACCCGGACAATGCAGAAGGGAAGGAGTCCATCGAGAAAACCAGAGCAGGGACGGCATCCATCATAAGTGTCATAGTGAAGAAAGGGAACTATCGGACGTGGCATGGCCACGGAGCTGTCTCATGAGAGACGTGTTGCACCCACCTCAGAGTACCTGCCTCCTGGTCGGCGGAAGGAAGGCGAAGGAAGCCACGACGCGTGTGACGATCAAAGACAAAGACGGATGGAAAAAGGTCGAAAAAAGGGAGAAATCTGTGCGGACGGCCGGCCCATCGCACCTGCTCTAATCGAGGTGGCTTTCTATGGGTAGAAATGTCTGGGGCGACTCTCGACAGATCTGACGCGGTGCGCGATGGTGGTGTAGTGCGAATGCTGCTCGGGGAAATAAACCAGGCGATGCAGTTGCAAAGATCGAAGAGAGGGATGGCGACTGTTGTCGACAAGGTTGCGCGTTCCGATTCGCACGTGATGTGGTATGTGGTTTAAGGAGGCAAGAGCGCAAAGATCGCAACTTCCGTTTGCGAGAAGCGTAGAAGAAACAAAGGGAATGAACTGCGATGCTGAACGGAAGTACCTAGAGCGAGCTAAATGCGCACGGGCCACAGAGATGCAAGACTAGTGTGCACCCCAGAACGGTCAGAATATACAGTGCGAATACGGTGTGATGGTACACAGGCTGCAGAGTCAGGACGGGAAATATGCAGGAATGAGTCTTATGAGGGAAAATGGCAAGTATGATGGATGGACAAGTATCGTACAGATTACGGCCGGGCTCGGAACAGAATACAAGATATAAAGGCAATGACGACACGGCAGTGCGTGACTTTAGCGACCCGTGACGGCTGATAAAGGTATGCAGGACTCACCCCACTGTATGTGGCCACAAGTGACGAGATGGGCCAGAGGCTGGAAGCTGGGAGTCTGGAGCAGTGGTATGACGCAGAGGAGCTTGAGTGGCAAGAAGCGATCAAGTGGAGAGATGGATAGGGGAGAATATTTGGGGAGCGGAGGCGAATGGAGCGTAAACTTGGTGACAGCGAATGCACAAGTTTACCTGTTCAGCCACATTCACGTCCATTCTCACTGCAATGGGGAGGGGGACAGAACATCTATTTGTAGGCATGTTTCTGCATTGCGGGGCAAGTGTGGCCGTCAGACACGTGATAGCCACACCGGCCTTCACGCTAGCACTGGCGAACATGATTACTCCGTGCCCATTCTTCAGCCTTGTCGTTTCTCTCGTATGAGATCGGCGGACACAGGCATGACACCTAGCTCTAGGTGGGGTTTGTTTTTGTGTCCAGGAGACTGGCTTATAACTGAACGGCGATGTAATTTTGTGCAAAGTTAAGCTTACCGCACCACTAGCAAATATGCATTATTGTAAATTCTGCACCTTAGCAACTAATTCGCAATCGTCATTTGTAACGACTTGACAGAAACTCCGACCGTTTTGAATGCTTCTTACGCCAGATACAATTTCTGCCATATGTGCCGTTGAGTCAAGATATCCACCATAAAAGGAAAGTATACTTAAAAGTGCACTTCCCTCATAAAAGCTCATAGACACAATCAACTTTCGCTTGTAACTCTACAAAAGATTATGTGCAAATTACAGTGCTTACGTAGCAATCTGTCTTTCTTGGCCATTTCGTGTGCGGCTTGATATTTCTGCTTTGCAAGTATTATGTTCTATTTGTGTCTGCAAGAGATTCTGTGGCATCTTTATGCCGATGCTTAGGCCGAAAAGGCCCACTGTGATCGGTGTAAGATATGACGCTGCCTTAGCAATGTTGGGAGTCTTTTTTAACTCTGCCTATAGGGATAAGGTTTGCAGAGCGGCAGCTAGGCGTACCGTAGCAGAGGAACGGGTGCGCCTATTAAGATTCCAAAATGGGAGGCACCTCCTATGCGGAGCTAGAAGACCGCCCACATCTGGGTCTGCCCTAACCGTCCCGCAGGGTCAACGTGTGCGTAATCAGATGGCCTTTTTGTTACATGATGCTATCCGTTATTGCTTTCGGAGTCAAAACTGGGCCGGCTTTTTTGGCGTAGAACGCAGGTGAAAATTCATCATAGGCTCGCTTGCGAGTTCGAGACTGTGTTCGAGAAGAGAAGCTGCTGGGGGGGGGCATACGCAATGTCTATTACTATTGTATGCTGTATGAGTAAATTCAACTAAAAGTAGACAAACTAGTTCTTATATCACAAAATGTAATTCTGGCGAAAGCTAACGGAACGCTTGTATGGAACTCCTTATAGATTGTCGCATCAGAGTCATGACGTTCGTACCAACAGAACATAAAAGACACAATTTTTTCTTTCAAAATTTCCTGTTTTTTGCAGAGGCCTGCTCATACCCGTGCATGCCTGTGCTGCTCCTGTCAGGTTCCTGTGTTTATCCTGCTGTAACTTGCTTAGTGCTCCACACACATCAACCTAATAATTGCGAAAAGCCCCCAAGACCATTCCCAATGATGCTGTCTTTTATTGTATTTTGCTGTAGAATTTCTTCTATGTGCACTATCATACACTGGACATTGGACGGTATAACAAATCGTAGGCGCCCAAGTAAGCCTATCGAAGTCTTCTCCCACCCTTTCCTACGGAATCCACAATACCTATATTCTGCGTGGCAGAATATAGCCCTGCAGCCACTATATGTGAAATTGATAAGAGGCGGTGAGAGCGAGCTCTAGGTGAAGACCTCCGTAAGCGTTGTGGAAGAGTACGAAGTAATACTCCGTACCTTCGAGCCATGCCGGCGTACATTAAAACCCTACTAAATAAGTGGGTCTAGGAACATTGCGCCACACAGTACTCCGTACACGTACATTTCCTTCGAGTCAAGCTGTACTCGTACTGGCCTCCACATGTACCCTTTCGATACTATAAGCCATTGCTAATCCTAGAGCCACGTCACCAAAGGTTGCCCCATAATACTGGTGCGCAAGGCTGACCATCCGACATGTGAGCAGCCATTGTGCAGTCATCAGCTACGGTGCTACGATTTAGGCAAGAAAACACCACCTTCATGTAGGCGAGTCGACTGCGCAACTGATACGAATAACCTGCAAAAAAACCCAAGCCGATCACTTAGAAAATAGTGAACAAAATGGCATCGGAAGAAAAATTCGACTACGGGCCACGCCTGGTGGGCCGCAAGATACGGCTCATTCGTGCCAAGCAGGGACAAGGGCTGACGCAAGCAATATTGGAAGTCACCTTGACGGAACAAAATCTGGATACGGCGCATTTCGAAGCGTTATCCTACGTCTGGGGTGATCAAACAGCGAAGCATCTAATCTCATGCAATGATCATCCCATGTACATCGGGCTGAGTCTTTTCGAGGTTTTGTCCGAGCGAGCTCGTCGGGGGTTCACTGATCTTATATGGGTTGATGCCTTGTGCATCAATCAAGACGATGACAAGGAGAAAACTTCCCAGGTTCAGATGATGCGTGACATCTATAACAAGGCCCGGAAGGTGATTGTCTGGCTCGGACCCGGAGACCCAAGAACCGACAAGTTTGGGATAGCACACGCCAAAACACTCTATTTCAAACGAGAGATGGGAGCAAACAAATTGTATCATGCAACCTACAAATTTGATACATTCTACCACGGATCTGGTGGCCACCCTCCCCGTTCTAAACTCTGGAATGCACTGTTCAGAATCCTCGGCCACTCCTGGTTCAGCCGGATATGGGTGGTTCAGGAACTGTTAGTATCGCAGAACTCTGTCTTTTGGAGGGGGAAAGGAACGATTGGTACACGTGTAATCATTTGGGTGATTATGCTGGTTGCTCGCCACAAAAACCTTTACGAGGCATTCGATATACTGATGGGGAGCCCTGAAACATCATTGTTCTTTGCTAGAAGTGTTGCTTCAGGTTACATATGGTACAACGAATCAGGCCCACGCTCAATTTACGACACTGTTTCATACTTCAACGGAATGAAATCAACCGACCCGCGAGACCGGTTTTTTGCACTTGCTGGTATATCATCTGGACTAGATCCGGCGTTTGTGAACTATGAAAAATCACATACGGACATTGCATGTCTAGTTGGAAAAATGGCTTTACTGGGCTTTCCGGTCTACAATGTTGCATCACACGACGGCGAAGAGAGACTGGAGTTAGACAAGTTCTCCGTTGGATCTTGTTCTTCACATAAGGCCCTCGTCGAGTGGTTAACATTTCATTCAAATCCACAAAATCACAGTCTCTCCATACCCTCGTGGGTCCCGGACCTGCTTTCACCACATAGCCCTGGTCTTATCTTGTCTGGATTTTACAATACCAACTGGTTGATTCAAACGAGAAATGTGTCGCATCCCGAAGTAAAGCTGAAGAAAGACGAGTTTATCACATGGTCTGGACCTTTACATGGCGAATTGTCGCCCATACCAGTACCCGATGTGAGTTGAATTCCAACCTGAATCCCTTCGGGCAATTTGTGCTCAAATACATGTCCGTTAGGAAATCCATATAATGGGCGCCATATTTGATAGTGTTGAAACATTGGCGTCTAATCGTCCCCGGGTACCAAAAGGGAGAGAGTTAGAGCATTTAAGACAAAGCGATTGTCGAACTTTCACCCGTAACGATTTTACTGCTGCATTCGATTCGGCGGCTCGGTATGAAACTAAGATGATCACTTGGCTGTCAGAAATTAGGCTTTTGATGGACCCGACATTAGAGGCCACAGACAGTATTGTTTCTGGATCACAACAGTCTTTTTCTTCCTTCTGGAGACTCCTAGTCTACAACCGTGGTGAGCTAGAATCAGGTATTTCTGCTGGCAAGGCTCCAGATGATGGGCTTGGTGCCAGTTTTGGGTACTGGTACCTCCAAAAGAAGCTCTATGCGAAACGTGACTTGCAGGAATGGGCTTGTTTTTATACGCTGCTAGAATATCTTTCAGCACCATTTGAGAAGGCTGAAAGACGTGTCAGAGGCGCACGTCGCTTTTTTGTTTCTGGGCAAGGCAGGTCAGGGTGGGTGCCATTTCGCACTGAAATTGGTGACCAAGTCTGTGTGTTCCGTGGCTTGAGGACGCCACTAATCGTGAGAAAGTGCAGTAAGCGCTGGGAGATCATAGGACCTTGCTATGTCCATGATATGATGGATGGCGAAATCTGGGATATTAAGGGCGTGGATTGGGATTTCATGTCCTTTATATGAATGAGGTATATATATCTTCTGCAATTATGCTATTTATTGCTTTACGTTTCTAAATAGGAAAGGCTGTCACATTCGCTGATATTACACAACGATTACCCTACAGTGCTCTTTTTCAGGTTCACAAATTAATAAAATAAGACGTTTGAAAACTGCCAGTTAAAAAGATAACTTTTACAACCAAGCACTATATACAGCTTCTCACCATAGGCAGGAAATCACAATATAAAAGGCCGTAATAACCAGATGTCTATCCATACATTTACCAGCACTTTTGTTATCTATACGATAGTCACAAAGGACAAGACTAACGTAGAACCATTAAAGATAGCAGGGCACGTACTTGATTAATCACGCACGACTAAAAAACCATACAGGAAAAGAACGAGTACATATTATAAAAGGTATAAAGATTATGAAAAAGCCTAGTAGAAGGTGACTAGCATATCTCGCTGGGTAGATTAAAGAAGCACGCCCGCTCTCTCGAGCTCTTGGCAGGGTTTAGAAGTAATAGAATATTTTTTGGTATCACGATATTTTGAGGGCAAATAGATTAAACCGGTTAACCACACATAGGCGACACACGTGATCCTCCCAACTCCCAAAGTTCCAGCGCACAGCCACAGATGAGACAAGGTACAGAAAAAGCACGGGTTGATAGATTGCCCGGTCCTGATATCGTGTGAGAAAAGACGGTTACGACAGCTGAAGCCGTCTGCTACTGGTGCAAAAACTCTGTAACATCCGAACCGTACGAGACCCACAAGTCACGCGGCTCTTACATATCTTCATGCTCTTGGTGCATTTGACGACAGCTATCACTGTTTGTGGTGCACTGTGTCAGGATCTTTGTCAGGAGGTGCTACAACCAACTCTTGACTGTGAACCACCCATGAATCAGAGAATTCGAGCGGAAATCACAGCGAAGGAGCCAGCTTTTTAATTTAGCAGCCCCAGTAGCTTTTAATCTCGCCCTTCACCAATGCATAGTTGCGTTTCGCAGTTGCCTGAAGAGATAACGGACTTTCATTGCGTGCCGATCAATATATAACTTCGTATCTTCATAAGTTTCAATCTTCTTGTTACCTGTTGTATCATCGATTCCCTAGCTCGTGTGAATGAAAGAATGTCTTATCGATCCAGCGCTGGGCTGGTGGCAGCGGCGAGTGGAAGAGATGGCCGCGGCGTTGGCGCACAAATGTGGCGTAAAGGGCGGCAGCGGTGTACACGGCTACGATGCTGACGAGGACAGGCCAGTGGAATTTGTCGGGGCGCGGGAAGACCATGGTGATGACGTAGGAGAGCACCTCAAAGAGGTTCTGAAAGGCGGCCTCGGCCGTGGAAAAGGATCCGCGATGGTCGACGTCGACCTCTTCCTGCACAATGTTCTGGGCACAGAGGTCAAAGCTCCAGAGGCCAACGCGACTGACGGCCACGCCCAAGGCCAGTCCAGTGGCTGCCAGAAGAGGGCTGCTGACGCTGATACTTCTGATGGCCGGGGAATAGTCCTCGCCGATCCCGCCGCGGGTCAGAAACCAGGCGACGCCGGCCGTCAGCCAGATGGACTGCCACGAGAGGCTCCAGATGCCGGCGCGGACATCGCCGATGCGTGCGACCAGCAGTGGGGCGGCCCAGGTGGCACTGAGCTCGAGCACGGTGCTGGCAGTGCGGACGAGGCCGACGGTACTGGCGGTGTAGCCAACAGACAGCAGGTACGTTACCATCTGGCCGGAGAAGCTGAGGACGGTGAGATAGAGCACGGCCAGCGAGATGGACGGCAGCACGGCCGGGTGATGCAGGTAAAAGGGAAGGGACGAGAAGGGCAGCAGCTGGCGCAGGCCCGTTTGGATGGCTGCAAGGGCAACTTGCGACGAAGAGGACGTGGAGGTGGTTGTCGTCAAGCTGGAGGCGTCGTTGTCGACTGCTGAGTCAGCAGCAAAATCAGCGGCATGTCGCCGACGCAGATCGGGGACGCGGTAGTAGAGCTAGTCAGAGTCAGAGGAGAGAACGAGGTGATGAGAAGGAAAACGGAAAGCAATATGATTTCGGCGGCTCGTGCAAGAGGTCTTACCATGGCAATGCAGTAGTACTCCAGCAGGACGGAAACGGTGTTGACGGCCAGTGTGACGACAATGGCAGCGGTCACGGAGACGGCGGAGACGAGAGAAATGGCCAGTGGGCCGGCGAGCTTGCAGAAAAGGTCGATGCGACGCATACGGGCGTTGAGGAGACGGCGGCCAGGCTCGTCGCCGCGGGTCAGCACGACGATCCAGTCGCGCTCGACGGCGACGAGGTTCATGATGGCGCAGAGCTTCTCGACGCAGGCGGTGACGACGAGGGGTATGAGGAGATAGGACGATGGCGAGGAGGAAGAGATCAAGGAAGCGCTGCCAGAACGATTGGCCCGCAGCAAAAGCCAGAAGAGACCACAGCTGGCGATGACGGCGACGCGCTGACCAACGATGGAAGCACGCACCACTGCGAGACGGTCGCCACGGTCAATGGCGGTGCCGACGGCCTCGGAAAAGACGACGGCAGAGAGGCCTCGCGCGACAGCATAGGTGGATACCGGGCGCAGAGTTCCCGGGAAGGCGGCGGCCAGGAAGAGCACGGCGGCAAACTCAAACATGCGCGAGTTCCAGGTCGACAGGAAATGCGATACGTAGAGCCGTCCGGTCAGGGCAGTCGTAAGCGGAGTCGGAGGAAGTGCGGTACCCCGAGCATCGTCGCCGAGCAGTCGTTGGACATCATCTGGGTCGTCCGAGCCGTCTTGATCGTCTAGATCGATTGATCCAGGCAATGACCACGGCGACGAGTCGTCGGCGATGCCATATTCACCCCTGGGGCCGTGTGGCTTACCTGACGTCCCCCTGGAAGAAACGACGTCTGTATCTATTTCCATGGTATTTTCTCGGGTTTCTCGCAGCAACAGACGGCAGCACCGTTGTGCTGTCTGTTGGTCTGAACGAACAACGGTGAGCTTTCCGACATCGGCGTATGCGATCCTGTACTGAGTGTGGTCACGTGCGCTTTGTTTGCGCTTTACGACGGCAGCATCAACAGTGACCACATTTCTGTCTATGGATAAAATATATGCATATTGTGTCTTCTTCCATAATATGTCGTTGTCGTATACTCGTCTACTCCATCTACACTCCTGCAGTCACCCCTAACTGAAATGCCTCCCACACGGCTAGACTGACGGCTGGATACGACATGATGCGGTCGTGCAGGCCGTGTCGCAGAACATGCTGTGTGAGCATGCCCTTCCCGGTGCGCCGCGTGACGGTCCAGCCGCCCTGCTCTCCCAGACGTGTCTGCGCCTGCTCCTTTTCCCGCTCTAGGTCGTCGTAGCCAATGCCCAGCGGCGTGCTCGCGTTGACCGCATGCCAGTAGACCGTCTGGCTGTGCGTCCAAGGGATGCCGTAGTCGTCCTTGGCGTGCAGGATGGTGATGTGATAGCGCTGTCGTCGGATGTCGTCGTTGGGACTTGTCGGCATGGCTTCGCAGAGACGCACAAAGTCGGCAATCCTGTCGCTCGTCGGCCACTTGGCTCGAACGAGAGTATGGAGGTAGGCCAGCAGACGGGGCACATACTGGGCGACATCAGCAAAGGGCGCAACGAGGACCAGGCCGGAGAACAGGAGGGCCTCCTGCTCCGCCAGCCTCTGCACCAGCGACACCGCCACGGCCGTCCCCAGAGACTGCCCGAACACGACGATGCGCGACGGCGATATTCCAGCCACGTGTACGGCCCAGTCGACCAGTGCCTGCGCGTCGGTCTGCAGGCCGGCCTCGGAGGGCGTGCCCGAGCTCGTGCCAAAGCCGCGATAGTCGATGGCGACGACGTGGATCCGGTCGGGTGCCGCTGCCGAAAGGGCCCGGTAGCTGGGAGGGCGCCAGCCCGAGGCCAGTGTTCCTGCTGCGCCGTGGAAGTAGAGCACGAGGAGTGCGTCGGGGTCGTCGCGCAACAGTTTGAAGCTAAGCCGGATCGTCATATCTGCGATCGCGACCCCGGACGATTCCCTGACCAGTTCTGCCGCATGACGTCGATATATGCCGAGCGGGAGGATGTGCCATGAATGCAGCGACTCGCCGTCGGAGCTGCTGATGTGGAAGGGCGTCACTTGGTTGTGGAGGAAGCCCCATTGCTCGGGAATGTTGACGTCCTGAAACCAGGTCATGCGCACCTTGTTAAGGTACACCACCTGATCTTGGACCACAGGCATGGTGAGGGCACATAGAAAGATGCAGTAGAGGCTGAGAGATCCAGCCACGGCGTAAAGCGAAGACTGGAGGACGGAGATGGCCTTCATCGCGGAAGCATCTGCGCAATTGGCAGCAATTTAGGAAGAAGCGACGACAAATAAAGCAGCATCGAGTGCGGGAAAAATGCAGGATAATCCAAAGAGCAGAGCTGAAGAAGAGAAGGACAGAAAAACAGTTCAGTCTATAGTAATCACAAGCCGAGAGACAACCAGGCGCTTAACGTTGTATGTTAGGCGGCCACACAGAACTGATTGGCACATTCTGAGGTGCATGAGTGGAGACGGACGGAACTCGCCCCTGTCTGCTAGACATTAGTGCACGTTGACCGCCTGCAGCTGTTGGTGTTGCAAGTCGCTATCGGCCGGGCCGCTCCAGGTCGCGTTTGCCTAGCCTCCGCAGGTGTCCGGAATCATGAAGGGGTACTGGAAACCTATGGCGACAACCAACACGACAAGCCTGACAGGAGGCTAATCTACTTCATGATACTTCCGCCAAACCATGTAGGTGAGACGAATGGCCATGTCAAACAACACCACAGCAACCAATGTCGCTGCTGCTGCTCTTCGTCCTCTCTCTTTTCCTCTCTGATGCAAGATGTATCCAGACAGCTGCTTCTTGTGACAGAGGCCATCAACTCTCTAAATCGTCCTGGGACCGCACAGCCGGTTGGGTTGACTCGCCCAACGTCCGCGGTACTTGGGACATTCTCTGGACCAGTCTTTTCATTACCTTTATGTAAGTACATCCTACTCTGCCCCACCATTCCCGCTCCAAGGACAGCTTTGCCGTCCTTTTTCGCCGTCGCCTCTTCTGGATGTGTCTGACTACGATTGTGCTCTAGTTTGTGCTGCAACTGCTTTTGTTACTGTAAATTTCAGCATATATTCCACATATGTAATAATATCATGTACAGCCAAGTAAAAAGACCCCCATACGACGAGCATGATAATAGCAAACGAACACTTTAACGTAGCCAGATTTTAGTTGCCTATCTATTTAGATGGAGAACAATAGGATCAAGCTTCTGATCAAGACAATCCATCCACCACCAAGATCACCCTTAAAGAATCGTACATCCTATGTCCGGACTGTCCTGGCGCGGGGGCCTGTTCAACAACTCCGAGACTGGATGCAAATCTTCCCAATATATATGGTTCATAATCCCAGCATTGAAGCTTTGAAACTGCTCCACCATCACTTGTAGGCATTCCTCGTTTTCTTCGAACAGAGCCAAGGTCACGAGTCCAGCTCTTATAAGCTTGCTCCACTCGCGATCTGTCTCGTACGCGCGAACATAGAGCGGATTTCGCAAGGCCTTCAACTTATCTTCGATCTTCATAAACTGCATCAAGTACACTGTAGTTACCCAGATGTAGTTTACCGCAGACAATGGCTCGTGTTCGCCGCATATATCGTTGTAGAGGTCAATCTTAACAAGCTCAAGAAGTTCCAGGCCGTGTAACCGTAATCCATTGATGTGTTTCCGGTCCTCGGCCTCTTTTTTCTTGAACCTGGCGTCGGAAAACAGCTTGTAGCCACTATTTTTTGTGAGAGACTCTAGCGACTTCGCTATTGGCTGTTGGTCCTTTACAAGACGGAGCATTTCAGCACCCATCGCGATAATGTCCTCGTCTTGTACAGTTGGAACTTTCGCCTTCAGTTTGACTATCATATCCGTATCGGGAAGTCGCTTCTTGCCAGTCACCAGATCGATGAAGAACTTGGTCTGCAGTATGCGTGCCGAACCCAGAAGCGATTGAGGATGGAGGTCGTTGTCCGGTATGCGGTCCAAGTCCCAGCCAGCTTCACGGTAGAGCAGCAAATTGGATTTTTTGTTGAAAAACTTGTTTGCACCAACTTCCATGAGGGAATGAACGCCCGTGGCTTGGGTCGCAGCTCTTCGACCTGGCTGTCGATGACTGCGTGACACGCCTCGTTCATTGGTATAATTGGCCAGCGCACGGCCGAAATCCGACTCTGGCACTTTCCCGTCGACGAAGAAGGAGTCGCGAAAAAAGTTCTGGAGGTTCTGGAACAGCCCGACGGGTCTCGTGATATAGCCCTTTTTCACAAGCATATTATGAAGATGAACAATCAGAACAGGCTCAGGCATGGCGTCCCATAACATCATAGATGAACGGTACGTCAGCTCAAGTCCTTCCATAAGGTCGACTCCGCAGAGAAAAGGAGAAAACTCCCAAAGTCCGTTGGAATTAGAGTTGAAGAACCTCGATGGTGGGATGCCGTTCAGGCCGTACATGTACTTGCTCTCGCCAAGCCAATTGATGAAGTCGTCCTGTATGTCTTTGGCAATTTTGAATGTTCCGGACACCACGTCCAGCACATCGTTGTGGGCGAGAACTTGTTTGAGGACAGATATAGAATTCAAAAATCCCGACATTTCCCGTTCATTGTGCCTGTCTAGGAATAGGTCGACGTCCCTGCGAGGTCGAAATTGTCTGTCTGGAGGTTCAATAACATGCCCCCAAAGGACGTTTAGCGACCAGCCCCGCGAGACGGTGAAGGCATCGATAATGCATTGCAGCTGGAACACGTGGTGAGGAAGGATTTTCTTCTTGATATCAGTGGCAGGCTTTTGCATGGCCAGGGACGTGACGAAGGCTGCGAAGTCGTTGATCCCGAAAATGACTCGGTGCTCGTTTTTGAGTACAGCGAACGTATCAGATTGCTAACTCAATACGCTATCAAATACTCCTGACACGAACTCGAATAGTTTTCATCCACCGTGCTTAACGGCGCATTACAGGTTCCGTCACTATCCTGTATTCTGTGCAGTAAATAAGCCATGCTATTGGGCAGGATTATATAAAGCTAACGAAAGGTTATAGTAACAAAGCTACAGCTACACTTTGCTATGGAAACTGAAAGTAAATATCCAAGCATTGTAGCTGTATCCGCGGAGTTTAAGAAACAAAGCAACAACCTATACACAAATATAGTATGGGCCGTCACCTGTGATGGAGAACAAAGAACGCGAAACTCCCATATAAATTGCCAAGAGATGGAATATCGCTCTAGAGAGGGGTCCCTCCTTCATTTCGTGTCCAGTTAACCGACGTAGCTGACAACGACATCACCTCCAGAGAGGGAGGCGGAGGTCAGGACTTTGCCGCTCTGACGGATGTCAATGAGAGTGGCACCGTCGGGTCCCACAGTTCCATCGCTCCCGATCGCCGTAGCATCTGTAAAGGTCACCGTACCGAAGTTGGCAAAGGGAACCAGACCACCATCCTCTTCAAAGTCTTCCACAATCCACTCGGCATTCAGTTCCTCTAGAGTGTTGGACTCGCTGCTGAAAGAGTGCGTGACCGACTTTCCGGTGCTAGCGTTCTTGATGACAGCCTTGCCAGAAGATGTGCTCGAAGCAGTTACGCTGCGAAGAAAACGCTTAGCTCAGGAGTTAATCAATTTGACCTAGAGAATGTATGCATACGTGACAGTGATCGTGTCGCCGGCCGAAATGGAAAAGCCAGAGAAGGTGTAGGCGTAGTCCGGGTACCATTCGTACCAGGCATCGTACGACGCCTCGCCGTCCTCGATATAGAAGTCTATGCCTGTCTGGAGGATAGAGTTGGACGCTGTGTCGCCATCAATGCCAACCCATGCAGAGGCGGCGTACTGAGTAGAGGACGAGCCGCCGGTGGGCGCCTTGGGCGTGGGAACGACAAACGTGCCAGTCACAGACTTGTAGCCAGTGCTGATCAAGACGGCGCCAGACCAGTTGGAGCTGTAGTCAACATCGGCTGTGCCGTTGGTGGCGGCATCTTCGTCAATGTCCAGTCCATCGGCTGCAATCAGCGGCTGGCCAAAGCCCGTACGGGAAACGCTGCCGGGAGCACGCTGAGCCAGTCTGGCCCGGCGCCTTTCTGTAAAGCGGGCGCCGAGAGCCGCATTGGCAAAGAGAAGAGCGCCTGCAACGTTAAGGAGCTTCATAGTGGTGAAATGCAAGTGTACTTGGACTGAAGGTGGTGAGAATCTATGTCGGTGTTGAGTCTTTGGAGCTTTGAGTCTTGCTGCCAGGAGACAACATCACAGAAGACACTTCGGTCTTTTATACCTGCGGCCAGTCGAATCAGTCTTCTCCTGAAGCAGCTTCCATACAAGGCAGGTCGCAACATGGTTGTAAGCACAAGACTGTCGCTCTGAACTAGTATCGACAATGGCAGTTTCAAACTAGTCCTTGTAGCATTCTCAGCCAGCGTAGAAGTCGTGCCATTTGCAAAGTAGAACCTATATTGTGTTCACAAATACGCCATATGTATTTGTGGGAACTGCGGTTCCGTTTGCACTGCAATATCTTTGCAGCTGCCTCATAGGGAATTGTCGAGATCAACAGCGCCAATTTCGCAATCTGCGTATCCACAACGGGAGTCGCCGTAGCAAGCGCCGCAAAGATCTACGTTTTGTAAGGCCTACTGCCTGTGGCGACTGTCACTGTATCCTTTGCTATATCTAACGTGTGTTCCTGGCTTTGAAGATGTTCCTGGCTCTGAAGGTGGCTCTGGCTTTGAAGGTGGCTCTGGCTTTGGAGGCTAGAAGAAAGGCTTGCGTGTAAATTGAACGGTGTTATCTCCACTGTCTGATTTCTACTGGTTTAGACAGCTCTTATCACTATCTGCTAACACCACCAGCTTTAAAGATACTACTCCGGGAGGCCACGGGCGGGATCAGGAACATTGGAAACTGCTGCGTAGGATTGCTACTGGAAACAAAATAGGCAGGTCGAAACGGCTCTCGCATCGCATCGCATGGAATTCGGCATTGGTCAACAAATGGCAAGCCATGACACCCCCCCAAATGCACGGCTCACATGTCCTTTTCATTAATTTGCCGAGGGCCGCCAGAACAGTATAGATGATATACTACAATACTCCTGAGTACGATACGGCTGCCACATGTGATAAATTAGGCTATAAGCGGCAAGAAGAAACGACGATAGACAGCGTGCAATTCGCACTTCAGCTCTGAGATGCAGGCAAGAAAGATATGATCTACGCGGTCTGTGCACACAACCTCTTTAGTCAGGAAAGGGACGGTCATTTTCGCATGGATAGCTGGAAAATCGGCATGACTACAAGCGAGAGTTGAGGCTGTACTTGTGTTGGTGGTTTTTTGACAGGAACATTGTCAGCCTTTTTACTTCTGCAAAAAGCGTGCCTAGTATCATGAGCACATCTGGCAGTTTTCCCTCATGCAAACGGCGCACCAAGTGTCTGCCCCATGCCAAGCGCCTTAGTGTTCCTGCTCCTGACTTTGGATTGCGGCAGCCACATGACTAGGACCAATTCTGTACCTGTGACATGCTTACAAGTCACTAGGGTCACACCTGATACCACGGATCGTGTGAGCATACTTCTCAGAGATCTTTTAGTCTCAGCCTATTAATCTTAGATACGAACGAGACATTTTATACGCAGTAGCTACTACAGGCCGTCAATCACACGTAATTTCAGGAGCTCGTTTTCATCCAGTCGGGCGGACACAGCAATCCTCTGTGACAAGGTCCCTACGCAGATCGAGACAACTGGCGGCCGCTATATGTACACATGTGGTCACCGATTATAACACGGAAATAACGCTACGTCTAAAATAGGCAAAACGCGGCGGCTAACACTACCAGAAAACGAAAAGCACAGCAAGTTGCTATACACAAGCAATTCCTCTATGGCAGCCTATTTCACTGGCCTCCTTCCTCTTGCGCCTCTTCTGCCGCTTCTCCCTCTCCTCCTAATTAGGTTTCCTCTTAGCCACAAATGTGGCGTCGGCGGCCCTACTACCCTGCGAAAGCCTGCCCGCCCTAGCCTGCCTAATCCTTACCTTTGTTTTTGCCTTACCGGCGCTACTGCCTTTCGAGTGGTATGTGCGGCTTTATTACGGGCTGCTTACGTTGCCTACATTAGCTACACTGTGTGCGATATCTGTTTTTAACGGGTGATATAGGCCTGTCCGAGGATCAAGTCCATAGTGTATACTACAGAAAATAAACGGTGCACCTTGAAAACAGGAGAGTTGAGCTCCTACATAAAGCACTACTCAACTAAACGTCTTCCAGGCATGGCGCATAAAATACGTGGCGAGATTGTGCGCGATCACATCATAACCGGGCAGTAGCTGGTTTCCAAACAGCATCATGCGTCCCCTTTCGCGATTCATGGTCCAGATCATGTTTGGCTGCCCCTCAAATGAAACAGTACCTTTAGGAATTCCTGAATCGGGAAGAGTATCGTCCTCCTCCAGTAACACACCGGCCACTGTCCAATTGACCGCCGGTGGCGGTGACAACGACCAGGAAATCTTGTGGGACACGCCTTCTTCCAGGGGGAGCAAGAAGCCATAGTTGGTGGTCTCTGCCAGCAGTGCCTGATGTGCCTGGCTTCCAGGTGACAGCTGTGGCCTGAACAGCATATCGCGATGCTCCTGGCGCCGGAGCAGCTTGCACTCGGGCGATAAGATGTCTCCAAAGAGTCTAGCGACGTCGGACATGCTGCAAGTCATTCCCTGTGTGCTCTCGTCGCTGGCCACAAGGTGGGCCTTTCCAGACTCTATGTCGAGCTCGCGCTCCACCATCTGAAGGCGGCGTTCCCAGACCTCGGGCACTTGGGCTGGCAGGTAGGTCGAATGGGCCATGCCGAGGGCCCCAAAGATGTTCTCGTTAGCATACTCCACAAACCGATCCTTGCCGCCGAGACGCTCAACAAGCAGCTGGACATAGTAAATACTCCAGCCGTAGTCGAAGCCCTCGCCAGGCTCAAAGAAGAGATGAGTAGATCGATTCTTGACAAGGTAATGGGCGTCTTCGGGAAACTCCAGTCGGGGTACCCGGTCATCGTTGCCAAATCGCTCTTTGTATGTGTCGCACGTGCCCATGCCGCTCGTGTTGAGTAGCAGGTCGCGCAGTGTGACATCACGAGTGGGTCGACGAAGTGCAATTCGCTTTCCTTTTCGTTCTTCTTTATTTTCGCCGTCGCTGTCACCGTTCTTGACATCCTGGCTTTGCTCAGCGAGCAAGCACTTGTCTATCTCAGGAAGGTACCTGCTGATAGGCTCATCGAGAGTCAGAACGTCGCGCTCGACCAGCTGTAAGGCCGCGATATTGGTGACAAACTTCCCCGCCGAAGTGAGAGACATGGTGCAATCCGGATCTAACGGCGGTGAGTTCTCGTCCAGAAACTGGCGTCCAGCAGCATGTCGGTACAAGATGTTTCCTGTTCATTTGTCAGCTTCACTGATGTCCCGCTCCTGGCATCCTCACATAGTTCTAAAACGAACTAACCCTCTCTTACCCTTGTTGTCAACGACCATAGCAACTGCCCCGAGCAAGTTGTCATTGCTACGCTTGGTTGCCTTGGAGAGTTCGGCTTCAAATGCCTCCATCACGCCCTTATTAGTGCGGGGGCGAGGGAGAATGTGATTTCCGCGTTAGATTGACGTATTGTACAAGGAGAGGAGAAATGTTTGGAGTAGGACAAAAAGACCATTGCCTGACTTCTCCATTTCGAAGCGCATCATATAACAGAAAATCAAATTTCTTACGTAATACCCAAGAATGCAACCAGAAAAGTAAAACAAAAGAAGGGTTCTTGATTCATATTATCCACCTGTAACAGCGTAACTGAACAGCGATAATATATGGACATCTGCAACAAGCATACCCAACTCTCTGCTACCAGCCTCTCCCCAATTGATATATCGTGACCACGAGCGATGCTATTCGCCTTATGGGATAGTATATAAAGCTGTCATGTTAGCAAATCCATCAAGTTCTACATCCAGTGCTACCAAACGACTGGCATAAAGAATTATCCACGTACATATAAATTATTCCTCACGCTTGCCATAGGCCTGAGCATTACGGTTGGAGCCACTACCTTGGGGGCTGGATTCTTCGCGCTTCCCATAAGCCTGAGCATTGCGGTTTGAACCACTTCCCTGGGTACTCTCCTCTTCACGCTTCCCATAAGCTTGGGCATTGCGGTTGGAGCCACTGCCTTGGGGAGTAGCTTCTTCGCGCTTCCCATAAGCCTGAGCATTACGGTTGGAGCCACTTCCCTGGGTACTCTCCTCTTCACGCTTTCCATAGGCCTGAGCGTTGCGATTTTCACCGCTTCCTTGGGGGCTCGATACCTCGCGGGCTTCAAAGGCGGTGGCACCATCAAGCAGTGCATCCCGTTTGTCGGCTGGGATGAGTCCAGCAAGAGCCATGGTAGCAAAAGCAGAAGCGAGATAGGTAGAGACACGCATTGTATCGTGTTGTTTGACTGGTAGAGGTAAGTTGTTTTGGAGTGAAGCTGGATTGGAACGTGCGGTTAAAGTTAGGCTGCTGATGATAAAAGTAATATTGGAACACACACAATCTGGCAGAGCAGCATGACCGTTTTGTACACGATCTTCTTTTGGGCTGTAATTTTCCTGTGAACATCTCCGACAGCACGTTATTCTCAGATTTTTCGATGTTGTGCTGTATTGCGTAAGAAAACCGACTATGCCGGTAAGAATTGAGCTCACGTAATAAAATAATTAGAGGGCCTAACCTGTCAGATTTCCACGTCATGTTGCAGCCACGTGGGGTATCGTCGGACAGAATGGTAAAATACAGTCAGCGAGAAACGGGGCACGTCATCTGCAGTTTGCAATCATTGGGGTTTTCGGTCAAGTTCTGAATGCGGAGCTGGAATTGGAAGACACCTTCGGGCCCTTGTGGCTTCTTTTTCGAATTGGTGACCAGAATAGGGCAAAGGCACTTGAACAAATCTATGTCATTACAATGGATAGGATATCTTTGGACGTTTCGCACCATTACACGTGCGACGAAGATCATCTTCTGTCTGCCAACAATTGTATGCAAAGCGACGATGATGAGCAACCTAGGAAGAGGCAGTATCGGCCTTATCTTCGATGTGCATCAAGATTGCGCCAAATGATGATGGTGCTGCCATGGATGTTGTCTACCATTCTTCTTGTCTGTCTGGTAGTAGCAGTCAACAGGACTTCACAGGAATGCGGCGATAATATGTTCTGGAGGGAGCTGGAGTTCGGTATGTTTTTTTCCATAATATTCTGCTTTGCCCTTCAGCCACTTTTGTTGAGTCTCATGCCTTCTCGTCATCGAGAGTCTCTGACATTCTGCATCGCAGACACGGTAAAAAAGGACGTCCCAGCAGTCCTCCAAACTCACCAATTCCAGTCTGGCCTTGCATACAACGAAACACACCATCTGTATATTCCAGCTACCGATCCAGCATATGTCGGGCCACCATCACCACAAATGGACACTGCTTGGAAAAATATAGTGTCGCGTAAGTCCAAACCGGAGAATTTTTAGTATCCTTTGAACACGTTAGAACTAATGTCCGGCAATGAGGACATTCAAGCTGTAAATATCTTTGTGACACCGGAAGAAAGCTCATACTTTCCTCGAGACCGTCTCCATGTTGATGTCGAGACAGGCTTACATACGGCCCAGTAAGCATTTTAAGCGTGCATTGTATTCAAATGCTAAAGCATAGATCATTCTTGGACAAGGATGCCGGGTTTACTAACAAGAGATAATAGAGTTACAATGACGCATGATCTACACTGCCTGGTAAGCTTCCATGTAGCAAGTTTGAGTTTGTTATATGGTGTTTAATTAGATATCACAAGACAGAACATGCTACGAAAATCTGGTTATCCAAAATACTACCCTGAACTGGAAAGCCCGAACCTCCGCGGTCATTTAGGTATGGCGTCATCGATGCTTGAGATAATGCGGAAGTCTCTGACAATTCCCCTAGATCACTGCATAGACAGTCTGCGGGAGAGTATCATGTGCACGGGAGACATGACTCTCATTCCTGTCGTATGGTCAGCAAACAGGAACTGGATCATGCCGAATTTCAAAGCATTTCATACCTGTCGTGACTTTAATGCGTTAAGCAGGTGGGCCCAAAGTCGCAATGCTGAGGGTCCAGACAAATTCGTGGAAACATCAGAAAGGTACAAAAAGACGGGCAGTTTTTGAAAAGGAAATTGGAGCTTGTATGGTGCACTGTTTCGTGCATTTTATGGGGGGGACATATAGAACGGAAAACATATTCCATTTTAGCTTGCGAGGAAAGGGTGCGGGAAAACCCATCAGATTAAAGCTGAGCCAAGCACTTGTTTCTCATGTTAGTATATACAAAATTGTTGTCCCCTTTCTGGCTTTCTGTCTAGTAAGACATGTGAAGCAAATAAATTGAACACAAATTTTGTTGCTGTCCGGCATCATCAATATTGTCATCAGGTTCTCTGGTAGGGATGCAAGGATGGATACATGTTTTACTTCGTGAAATTAAACGGAAGCGCAGAGAGTTATGGCCGAGACGCAGTATTGTCGTTCTATGACCCTAATCTGGTCGCCATAAGACCTATATTCTTACATAATGCAATGCCGCTTTTATCCAAAGAAAACTTCAGGGCTATTCAGGCTCGGCTCAGGCTCGGCTCAGGTTCAGCTCACCTTTTTACTCACTCCTGCTCACCCTAAAATCCCTACATTGTCGTGCTAGACTTTGAGACCTAAAACTAGTCCTAATAGACAGAGCAACAAGGGCATAGAACAGGGCTCTTAAATTGACTGCAACCCTTTTTATAATCAATACCGTTATTCTTATAAAGGTTAAAGGAGGTTATACGTGGCGGTTATATAACGAGATGCACTATAAGGAGCAGGAGGCTAAATAGGGTCTAGTGTGGGCGAAAGAGTGTTGTGTACGGAGTACGGAGGTCCCTACCAAAAGTTCGTTCTCACCGCTTTTCTATAACTGCGGCAATACATAGTGCAGAGTGTAAATCATACGGAGAAAGCTATTAGCGATGATACGCTAGAGCTTAGTGGATATTATCGCTAATATAATTCATTTACTAATATTTTTACAGGGTGCTTAGCACATAGAAATACGCTAACACTGCTGTAGTAAATACAGTAGCAATACATTACTAGCACTATACCCACCTTCTTATTTTGCCAAAGCGGTGAGAAAGAACTTTTGGTAGGGACCTCCGTACTAAGGAAGAAATAAATACATCGCGACCCTTCTAAGGATCCGTATTAATACTAGTGCCAGGCCCCGCTTTTGTGCCTTCTGATCAATCACAGGCCCGTACGGCCAAGTGGGGCGGAAGGGCTACAGTATGGCGGATTCTAATGCTTGACAATCCTCTATCGCTTGTTTACAAACCCTCTTTATAATACGGGTTTTTTATTGTTAGGGGTAATAGGGAATTGTGATGGCCCGCTAGTTATGCATATAAGGGTTAAGACAGATTATTATTACTCGCCTCCTTAGGGGCATGCGACGGAGTAGATCGGGGGCATCCAACGTCTTGCGTGTGAAAAAAAGATATATGCACAGTGTAGCGCCAGACCCATCTATTTAGTTTTGTTTTTTGAACGTCGGCATAGCTCGGGAAGACTCCCAGAACAATGAACAGAGGCTCACTTAGTAGGCGCCCATAGTTTGACAATAATACCGTGAGCCATTGTTACAGCCAGTCGTAATAGTCTCCTAGCCTGACCTATCACCTGGTCCGTTCCCCTCGCTTGAGAGGACCCTTGCCGCAGTCCTGGTGCAGCAGCTTGGCCATGATGAGCTGCTCGTGGAAGCCGGTGGTGTTGGCAAGCTCGGAAACGGAGTAGCAGCGGACGCGCCGCCGCAGAAAATCGCTCCACTCCCACTGGCGCACGAGCATGCTCTTGCGGATCAGCAGCACGAACGCGGCGGCGGCCCATGTGTAGTTAGCCAGGTCGAACGGGTAGACACCCGTGATGCGCTGGCCGACGGAAAAGCCGACGGCAAGGCCGCCGCCGGCGATGAGGAGCGCCGCGGCGGTGACGCTCCAGACGTACCAGCTGCAGCCGACCGTCACGGAATTCTCGTCGAATACCCAGGAGTCCATTTCGGCGGCGCACTGGTCGAGGCGGCGCTGGATCTCGTCGTAGCCTGGGAGGGCTAGGTCTTGTTGGTCGTTTGGGGCCACGTCCATGGAGTCCTTCTGTTTTTGCAAGGCCCAGGCGCGCTCTCCACGCCAAGTGACTTTATCGGTACATTTATCGGCGATGCGGAAGCGAACACTCGGTCTATCCTGATGTCGGCCAGTGGAAAGGTGCTTATCATCGACGACAAGGCGTTGATGGAAATACTGGACCAAAATATGAAACAGCAAAATATGAAGGCCACGCCCAAGGCCAAGGATGTGGCTGCGGAGGTGTTGCACCGCAGCCGGATGCGGCCCAATTTTGGCAACGGTGGAGAATGTGGACAATCTGTTGAGCAAGGCAGAAGCAGCATACCGTGCACGACGAGCGGCAGAAGCAAAGGCACTGACCTCCATCTTCAAGGGCCCTCCCGGTACCGGCAAGACGCACGCAGCCCGCATCCTGGGCCAGATTGTCTATGACATGGGGTTTTTGTCGATGCCCGATGTCATTGACATGTCCGCCACCGATCTGGTCGGCATGTACCAGGGTCACACCGGACCCAAGGTGATTGAGCTCTTTGGCCGGACCTTGGGTAAGGTGCTCTTCATCGACGAGGCCTACCGTCTTGGAACGAAGGCGAAGTCGGGTGGCTCGTCGTCCTACCAGGAGGAGGCGGTAGGCGAGATCGTCGACTGCCTCACCAAGCCGCGCTACGCCCGCAAGCTCATTGTCGTCCTGGCGGGCTCCCGACGCGACATGGAACTCTTGCTCCCCACCAACGCGGGCCTACGCAGCCGGTTCGCAACCGAGGTGTCGTTTCCCGCGCTGGGCGGGCAGCAGTGCTACGCCTACCTGCGAACGTGTCTACGGCGGCAGGACGTGGACATTGGTGACCACGACACGGCGATGGATGAGGAGCGCGAGACAGTGATGCGGCTGTTCCACAAGCTGGGCATGACGTACGGGTGGGCGAATGCACGGGACGTCGAGACGCTGGCGCAGTCGATTGTCACGCACGTCTATGAGGACCCAGAGAAGGCTCTGCAGAAGCAGGAGGAGCATCACGAAAGCGACAGCTCCAGTCAAGGCTTAGATTCCGACAGGGCCACCTTTGCGATGTTGACCAAGGACGTGATTGGATTCATGAAGACCCTGTTGAAGCAACGGATTCGGGGCGGGGGGGACAATTAATGTAAATCGAATTTCTAGGTAGCAGGGGCATATCAGAGACGTGTTAGGCAATACTTTTTTTCATGCAGTAAAGCTGAGTACTTTTCCCTTTTGAATAAACATCTGGTGCATATACCAGATATCCTGGATAGGCCGATCTAAGTACTCATCCTCTCGACTCTATAAAAACATTCATTCCTCGGCCTTCGTTTTTTACAGAAAATAAGTAAAGCACATGAAGCTCCATTGTCCCCACATGGCATCAGACACTTCCACGTCAGGTGCCAGAAGAGTGCCGAGCGAGAGGTTATCGTGAATTGACGCGAGATCATCCACGTCGTTGCGACGGCGACCGCTGTAGTCATTCAGCCGCGCCGCCGTGACCTGGTGTTGCCAGATCCACCAAATGCGGTCGAGCTGCGCCAAGTGGAGGAAATAGAGCACATCGTTGGGCGCCGTGTACTGGGCCATGTCGCCCTGTATCCAGTTGGGGACAGCAACAACTGGCCCTACACTCTCCTTCTGCATGGCCTCGGAAAAGCTCGCATAGTCGGGCAGGGCGATGATGTCCGAGATGACGGACGGGGAAACAAGGGCGCCGACTTGACGGCCATCACGATCTCCTGGGTCAAAGCGACGGGAGACACAATGGGGAGAAGGGGCGATGCCGTAGCCGGCAATGTAGTCAAAGGCGGCCATGTGGTTGGCAAAGTTGCCATCGGTCACGCAATAGGCGCCATGGGAGCCGTTGGCCAACCTGGACTGCGAATTGCCATCACCGCCAAACCCGGGAAGATCGTTCAACAGGGGAGAGTGTGCCAGAGCGTCACTGTGGGTGGTTAGCCTTGTCTTTGTTCCCTTTTGAGACTGTTCTCAAGTTTTCATCATTCCTGCTTCCAAAATCTCTAACGTACGAGTCTTGGGTCCAGTCCCAAAACCTAGCAAAATGGTTAGTATGTTTTTCAGTGACAGAAGAAGACAAGATAGGTAATACAATTGAGATTGGAAAGAAGAAATGTAAAAAAAATTTGAGAAAAAAAAGAAAAACATACGGAATACCCCCCGGGTAGCTGCAAGTATTTTTGAGCTCCCTCTCAAAGGACCAGAGGAGGTAACGATGCCACGGAAAGAAAGAGGCCACTCCGGCAGCTACACCGTGGTCAGCATTCTGTCTCTTTCTGCGCCGACCACCGTGATGTGGAAGACTCACTGCGCATGCCAATCTGGCCGCTGACAAAAGCAAAGTCTTCAAAAAGACTGCCAGTCGGTCGCGTCTTGGACGGTTTGTGCTTCAGGCACTTGACGGCCTGGACGAACTGCCGCTTCTCGATGCGGGACATCTTTCGCCACTCACGGCGCAGCGTTAGGTCCTTGTCCGGACAGTACCGCTCGCCAAACTCGTTCTCCTGGTAGATGAACTTGTCGAAGCCGCTGCCAAAGGCGGCATTGGCAGACGTTTTTCCTGCGGCACCGTTGTTGCTTGAGCCACGCCACAAGTGCCAACCGTCATGGGCAACATAACCCAACAGCACACCACAGGCGAGGAAGGCCAGACAGAGAAGAACAAACAGAGGCCGGAGGCAGTACTTCCTCTTTGATGGACGCGCTTTTACCGTCGGCTCCCGGCCGTCTTCCTCGCCGTCCACATCGGCATTTTCCTTATCAAGAAGCCGATTCTCCTCGCGCTCAAAGCTGCTGCTGCTCCTGTCCCTCATCATACTCTTTCTTTGATCCCTGACCAATGCAGCATACTTGACGCCGGGCAGACGCCAACTGCGCCAATTCAGTGCAGAAGCCATTCTGTTGCTGTGCCCTGCGTTATTGTCACTTTCTTGGTGAGGCGCGCCATTTCACTACAACGCCATAGAAGTCTGGTTTACGTATTATATCATCCGTCTCTGTCTTCCCCGTCCTCTCTTACTGTCTCTTACTTTCCCTCTTACTCGTTCGTTCTCTTACGCCCACTGTCTTACTCTTGCTGCCTTACTACACCCAACTTTGCCCCGCGATTGCGCGAACGCCATCAAGTCTCCCCCTTACGTGAGATTCCGTTTCCTTGCGCTGGCCCGTGTCTTGATTACCTATTTTACGTTTTTGCATGCCTTAATAAGTATAATCACCTACATGTACGTGACACGGTTGACGCTAAAATCTCATTGACTGGTTCACTAATGTCCCTGTCATCAATACGAGTTTGAAAAGTCGCCCCGCTCAGCTCACCGTCAAATCCAAGCTCACCCGTTTATATCCGCCCCGTTACTCAACAGCAGCAGAACCATGGATGCCGATCCAGATGCCACAGCTAGATGCAACGGCAGTGTGCCCTGTGCATCAGGCTCGTTGAGGGCGGCCCGGATACCCGCCCGGCCCACATCTGACGCAACTCCTTTAGGAGTATGAGTAAGTCCAGAGCTGGAGTCCGAACAGGATCCCGGACCGGGGTTGGAGCTGTGCTCTGCAAGATCCTCGCTACCCATGGCGTCCAACACGATCTGCACAGCGGCCTCGCAGCCCGTGGCCACGGCCGTGAACAGCACCGAGCGGCCAGATTTGTCGAGTGTCCGGGGATTGGCTCCGGTCGCTCGAGCTCGCAATAGCAGTCGCAGCGTTGTTTCTGCTTCCTTGGCCGCTTCACTGCCATGATTGCCACTGCCGCCATCGCCACTATCGCCACTGCTGCCTCCACCGTCGCTGTCGCTGCTCCCATCAGCACTACTGCAACCGCTGCTGCTGCTGCGTCTGGCTGCCTTTGCTGTGGCGATCACTGCCAGATGCAGCGGTGTCCGGCCGTCCTCATCCATTGGCCCCGCATCTGCACCACGGCCCAGCAGCAGCTTCACCATGCAGGTGTTGCCATGGCTGGCAGCGATGTGCAGCGCTCTCCGACGGCTGTGTCGACTCTCCGACTCTGGAGCTGCGGCACACGGCCGAGGTATGCCTGGCTTCTTTTGGCTAGCAGCACCCATTGTCAGGCCGTCCATCTGATGACGACCTGTTGATGTCGATGTCAATGTCGATGTTAATTTTGTCGCTGCTGCTGCGCCGTCAGACGCTGGCGATGCATCCAGGATGCTGAACTCGTCCGCTTGTATAGATCTAAACGTCAGATCTGGTCCAGATGCGGGCTCGTAAGACTCCTGGCCGTGGTGGCCAAATGTGAATGAGGACATCGTCGTGTGGCTGCCATGTTGCACATAATCGCCTAAGACATCTCCAGCACCACCAACATGACCATCACCAAGGCTTTGACTTAGGCTGTGATTTAAGCTCGGCTCTAGGGATGTCTGGAAGAGCCCGGTGGTCGGTGTTGCCGAGCTCAGAGAAGGCGTTCCTGCCGGACCATCATTGAAGAAGAGGTCGTCTCCCGGCACGTCATCAAACTGCGTCCAAGGACCGCCGCCAGATGACGATGACTTGGCCACGGCCGCCTCCAGCGCCTGGATGCGCTCTTTCTGGGCACGGCCTAGAGAGTGGATGGTCAGCCAGAAGTACAGAGGACGGAGGAACAGATGGCAGACACTTGTCTACGTACGATACACCTGTTGTGCAATGCGGTTCTGCTCTCGCTTCCGCGCTAGCCTTTCCTGTTCGGAAACGAGGCTGTTGCTGTGCCGTCTGCTGTGCTGAGGCCGCGCCGTTGCCATGAGGTCGTCCAGCTCTCCTCGTATCTCTCTCTCTGTCTCCTTCTTATTATGTGTTTCTGCGAGTAACCCAAAGCTCATCGATTTACTACATTGTCCTGCAAACGAGAAGAGCTGCAGCCAGCATTATATTGTCTCACGTGCAAAGCAACGCGATTACTACTGCTTACCAGTGTCAGCAGCGTGAAGCCCCTCAGTCCCCGCGTGAAACCAGTTTTAAACGAGTGTACGAGGTACAGCTTAGAATTCTCCTGATCGGGGATGTCATTCGGTCGCGGTACGAATCCGAGGTTCGCATTTTACTTCTACAAAAGTCGGGCTATCGTCATGCATTCCCTGCACCCCTGATTATTCGCATGAGTCCGGCTTACAAGTGCAGTTGTAGGAGGAGCTTTTTCAACTTGTACAAGTACTGTACTATCCTACGTAATTACTTGTTTACATCATATCTTTCGCCGCATCCGCCATGTCCGTGCTCCCCTTGGCACATTCCAAATTCTTTCCCCCCCCGCTCGCGTCTTGTCGATTCTGCCGTCTCGCTGTCGAAGCCAGAATTCCCTCCTATTTGCTACTCTTTGTGCCTGCACGATCGTAGCATCCGGCAAAGCCGACCTCAACCGTGTTTGGCTCCTGGCGCCAGTCACGGCCAGCAATTACAGCCCAGTCGGTCATGGCCACCAGATAATTCGCGCAGTGGAACGTGTGCTCCTCGTTCGCGGTGATCGCATCAATGTACCGCCAGTTCTGCGTAAAGGCGCGGTACTGTCGCTTCCACATCTCTCCACAGTGCACAATGTGGTCGCGCTGGCTGGTCCAGTACACATCGTAGTCGCCCATTTCCTCAAGTGTCGTCAGCTGTGTCGTCTTATTCTTCTCCAGATATCCCATCCACGAGGTGCCCTCGTCCATGTAGGACTTGGTGCTGGTCTCGTCGAAGCAGGACTTGTGCACGTAGTGGTTGGCCAGGATGTCATACACGCATCCCCGGCTCCGCGCTTCCTCTGTTGATGTACCGCAGCCAATGAACTGCGTGTTTGAGAAGATGTTGTGCTTGTCGCTCATGTCGTAGGGCTCCACGGACACCGTGAGCGGGTTGAGGCCAGCACTGCCTCCTGCTCTCGTTCCAGTCAGTAGGCCGGACTGCCATATCAGAAACAAGCCACCCCAGAACGCGGTCGTGAGGATAGACACAAGAACAGAGGCTGCCCAAGGGGATGATGATATTCTGGAGCCATGCGTTGCCTTTATCAGCTGGTCCCAATCAGCTTTGCTGTGGTCGAAGCTGCCATCCGAGCGGGCACTTTCTTCATCCAAGATCTCGTGTAGCGTTTCGTCATAGTCCTCCTCAAAGGGAGCATCGCCACCTTTGTGCTTTTCGTTCATTCTGAGCTTTGTTTCCTACTGTTTACAATGTTTCTAAACAAATTGGATAGAGAGAGAATTCGAATCTTTCTTTTGCTTTCATAATGTTTACATCTGTTATTTTCTCCGCTTCATTCTTCCATACTTCTTAGTACATATTGCAGGAAAACGTCATGTTTTTTCGTATGTCATACACTTTCGTTCTACCCCAAGCAATTGCGATATAAATGTATGACTAAGCCGTATTACTGTCGTCATTTTCCAGACCTCACGTAATATTGTACAGGCAGTGTTCTGTGTTGAATGAGGTATGTCTTCGCGCCGTACGATTTGACTAATTTGGCGCTATTATGCTGTACTCCGTAAAGCAGGAGCCAGATGACCGGGCACTCACATAATGAGTCCCCTTGGAGACAGGATGAGGAAAAGTAAGCGGTTGGATACAGAGAGTGATATGCTATCATCTGAAAGTAAGAACGTACTCCGTGCTGTAGGGAATCAGTGTCCAACTTACTTTGTCAGACGTCGAAGAAACAAACATGGATTGCATTGACGACAACAATTTGGACATTGACCTCGACGTTGCTGAAGCTGGGCTTTACAACCCGATAGCATGGCAGCCAGCTGTCCACTTAAGCACAACACGCTTAATTCTCTTGTCGATGGGTTTTGTTGGGTATGTGACAGGTAGCTGACTCTACAGCATAAACTGCCCTTTCTTCGCACACGTTCTACTGCGTTGTTGATACTTCGAAGAATTGTTCATTGACGAAAATGAGCAACCTAGATTGCAGATTGTTTTCTCACTCATATTCTCTAACGGATCTGTAAGTCTTGCTCGAGCTTCCTCCGTTCCAACGTGATAGATTCCGAGCATGTACTGATGTGAGGGACAAGGCTTTCCTCCGGAGCCTGCACCTAAATGACTCGGTCATCGCACTGATCTGGCTAGGAGGACCTGTGTGCGGCGCCGTTCTGCAGCCGTACTTTGGCTTGTGCAGTGAGCACTGTCGCTCGTCATGGGGACGTCGACGTCCCTATATCGCCGGAGGTGCTGCAGCCGTTGTTATATCTCTGCTCGGTCTCGCGTATGCAGACGCAGTCGCTTCCCGGTCACCTACGACCACTACTGGAGCTCAGGTTATGGCCATCTTTGCCATGACCATCCTCAATGCCGCTATCCAGCCGCTACAGGGCGGCCTACGTGCACTTCTAGTGGACATCTCGCCGCCACATCAGCTGGCAACGGCTAATGCCTGGGCGAGCCGTCTGACCAGCATGGCCAACGTCCTTGATTACCTGGCTGGATTTCTAGATCTAAGTGGGCCGTCTTCTCCACTTGGGGACTCGCAATTTCGGGTGCATTGCCAGTTCTCGGCCGCTGTGCTCGTTGCCAGCGTCACACTAACTTGTGTGGCTGTGCGCGAGGATCCGAATACAGAGGCGGACACTGGATCAGAATCTAAAAGAACACTGAAAGAGGTTGTGTCACAGTTAGGTTACCTCTGTGCATGCTTCCATCGCCTGCCCAAAAAGGCACAGCGCATTTGCTGTATCCAATTCTTCTCCTGGCTGGCCTGGGCCCCTTTTTTATATTACATATCTCTGTACGTTCGAGCTTGCTTTCTTCTTTGGTTCTTTCTATTTTTTAAAACTTGTTTTGGTGTCTGTCTCCAATTATCCACTAATGCTTTCTACAGCTATATTGGAGATACGTGTAAATCCTTCGATTGGTGCCCTCTGACGACGCAAACATAACTAATCTATGGTCGATACAGATCAGCGCCAGTCTCGGAAACCGGACACGAACAAGTTCAGCAATAGGTATCTCGTTGAAGAGGGCACACGCATGGGATCCCTTGGATTACTGCTATTTTCTGTAACAGCACTGGTCACTGGGTCAATTCTTCCAATGGTTCTCTTGAGAGAACAGGAATCACATAAAGCCTGCAGCGGGTTAAGAAGGGAGGAAGACGAGGAGCAACCTCTTCAGAAGTCAATGCGAGATCCAGACGCTCGCATCCAGCGCATCTGGATGTGGGCACTTGTGCTTTACGTCACATGTATCCTCTCGAACATTATAGTGACTTCGCTGTGGGGGACCTATGCTCTTGTCGGTTTCTGTGGCATCAGCTGGGCCGTCACCATCTGGGCCCCCTTTTCCTTGATTAGCATGGCGATCCGGGATAATGATACAGAGGAAGAAGAAGAGGAGGCTGGAAAGGAGGACTCTGCAGATTCTCTTCATGTCTGTGTCGAAAATAAGCCCATCGAACGCCGGCCTGGTATTGCTATGGCCTTGCATAACACGGCAAATTCTGCTCCGCAGATCGTGGCCGTTGTGATTAGCAGTATCGTATTCCGTGTGTGCAGTGACAACGACCATTTTGACGGGAAAGATGGCGGTATTGCATGGTCACTACGCATCACGGCATTTTCTGCTGTCGTTGCGGCCATGATTGCAAAAAAGGGGTCACAGTAGACAGTATGTAGTTATGATGGCAAAATTCACTTAGAAAACCTGTGCTGCTATGGAACTGCTTCATTATGCCCGGACAGAAGTTTCCGATGACCACCGCTGACTGCACAGATTCTCCAGCCGACCGCATGCTTCGTAGGTACTAATTCTGCCCTTTATGCATTTAGTGGTTTCTGTGCATACGCGTTACCGCCGTGATAGTACGCGTGTATTTTCAGGCCACACATCTCTCGCCGTATATGGGCCGCGTAGACAGTTATCTCCTCTGACGTCCAACCTAGCTCTGTGGCCATTGCGCTTATCAATCCGTCGACATCATTGACGATCGAGATACGGATATACTGGCCGACCTCGTGCATAATTGGGTCGTCTTGCCACTCGGAAACCGGGACCTATATTTATAACATTTATTAGCAAGACACGCATGGAAAAGCAACTGCTAAAATAGTCTACCTTGTATCGCCTTTCTGTAATATTAACAAACCCTGCATCTATAAGGGCCCGGTGCTGTAGGCCCTCCATAATCGGATTAAAGGAAGCGTAAACGCCTCGTTTGCGGCTGGCCTCTTGGAAGAGGGGCCCCCACTGGGACAACGCTGTCTTGTTGGTGACGGTGCCATCGTCTGAGTACATGGTACCGTCAAAGTCAAGGGATTCGATGTAGCCGCCAGGCTTAAGGGCTCGGTACGCCTGCTTGAACAGCTGCGTCCAATCCCGTACACAACCACAAAGAAATCGAAGGTGCACAAAGTCGACCGAGTTCTCCTCAAACGTCCACGGCTCGGAAAAGTCGTCGGTTTGACTTAAATGTAATTAGCACGATGCTATCACGAAACGGGAAAATTTAGAAGATAGAAATAAACCCTTAGGGAACTAAAGAAAACGGAGTTGTATACAAATAAAGATTTGGTGGCACCCATTTCGGCTGAATGGGTGATAGGTCAATCCCGATAACCTTCGTGTTGGGGTGCTCATCTGCGAAATCGCTGTTTTTTTATTTAGTAGCAACATTCAGCATACGAAAAAGGCTTAGTGTAAAAGACGAATAAGAGCTTTGAAAGAACGGTAAGGGTACTGACATAGCCCAAATCCCGGTTCCTGTGCCAACATCAACTACCTTCTACATAGCAATACAACCCTTGTTAGTAATCAGGAATTTATTGAAGCAGTTCATAAATGAAGCCTCTGCCTGTATCACCTTAATATCCTCTGGCAAAGGCGCAAGATGGAGCTTGCCACCTAGCATTAATGTGTAGGCATGGTATCTAGTAACAGTTAATGATGTCATGCCTATACAAGGTACAGGATATATAACTAAGTCTTACGCAATATCGAGCGTGTTATTCTGGCGCTCGTCGTTAGGGCCCCTAAGCATGACAGTCAGTAATGATGCCGAAAATACTGTGCCACCCTCTGTTCTGCATACCAGTATAAGTTAGTATTACCACTATCGTGGTGGTAGGTTCTCCCGTTAAGAAAGCGATAGCTCAGGATACTGGACCTAATAGAAGCTGTGGAGCTAGCTATATCTACACCCAAAGCCGAATCGTCATCGCCCTGAGGAGAGAGTTTCAGTGCTTCGCGTTCAATTCAAGACGTCATCCTATCCGTCTTAGCAACAATTGAAGTTACCTACCTCTGGAACTACCAAATTCGTCCAAACCTCCGGTGGTTGAAGCTGGTTTAGGGGAACCGCAGCAGGAATAGTACCAGGTGAAGTATCAGAAGCAGTAGTAGGTTCAGCAGGAGGAGTTTCCGTTGCTCCGACTTCAAGAGTTACAGAAGCCTCTATAGTTGTTGTGGCCTCTTCTTCCTCCTTCTCCTCAATCACATTGGGTTCGGTCATATCGAGTATGGAAGACAGTCAAGAAATAGAACCAAGCGATGAGAACATAAGCAAATGCACGGCCGAATACTTCAAAAAGATGAGATGGAAAGGGACAGTCAGATATCTGGTTCAGGAAGGCCCCTCCCCGCCTTTTATCAGAATCAGGATACGTGCAAACTTTGCCTCCTATCATGTGAGTCGATATATCACAGATGCAAGATACGTCTTGGGACAGGGTATAACCCGATGAGTTCGCGGTAAGATTTTAGTATAGGCGGAACGCTTTCCTGTTGCTTCATGCAGCACTTCGCTACATAAGATATAACAAGCCGCTCTGCATACAGTGCTAGCGAGAGTGGCATTTGTGTTGATAACGGAAGGTGGTATCGAACAATCCGGCCTTTGCTCCGTACTGTGGATTTCCCCGAGGTCACCTGACTTGACCTCGGCCGCCGAAATTACTAGATAAGACGAAGCCCTGATCTGCGCGCATACTGCGCACAGTCTGGTCTTCAATCAGTCAACCACCGAACGAAATATCATCACTAGATCTTCTGAAGGCCTTAGAGCTTACTACGATACGTGCAACTGGTCCGGACGAATATCCCACAAGGATTACCGTACGGGTCTTACACTGGTGATCACGCAGAACGTGCGTGACAGACTAGTGGTGCACGGAGTAGAAGCCACAGTACATAGCCGTCTTTAGTACTTGTACACGTACGATAGGAGCTTAAAACGTGGCTCAATATATATTTAATGCGAGTAGCGGGCATAATTATGAATGGGATCTACTATTACAATATGCAAATTATCTTGGTCTCCGTTCTTACTTGGTAATCCATGCGGGACTCTACTCGTAAATTGGGTCTATCGTAGTCCGTAAATCGTACTGTCAAATAGAGGCGAAAGGTTTTATGCATATCTTGTACTCCGTACTCCGTACCTAATATTTTACAAGTACGGAGTAGACCGGCATTGAATACCTGTTTGGGCTTAGTCTTATCTAGTACTAGCCTGCTGCGGCAGCAACGCAGGTGCCTTCGGATACACTGATGATACTATCTTACATAAAATGAATATGTGTACTCCGTACGGAGTACAGGGCGTTAAAACTATTGCATAGTACACCATATGGCGATTGCTATTTGTTATAAGGGTGCCCGTGTACAGAGCACAGCGAGTCTAATACGGGAATCACTACATTTACGGAGTACTCCGTACTGTCGAATGAACCAGACCAGAGTGGGAGGGGGGTGCGCGATAATGCAGTACTGTGTGGCGCAGGGGCTATTTAGTACGTGTTTTGACGCACGTCTGCATACCTCAGAAGTACCTAACTAGAACAATACATTCATGCTCACTGGGCACCCATAATTTGACACGTACGGAGTACAAAAGCAGAGAAAAGCTACACCGCCTTTGGCCCCCCTTTTGTTTCGTTACCACCTAAATGTAAGATACCATTTAAATCAAACCAAAAAAAAATGTCTTTACCAGCGTCTTTCAGAGGCGAACGCAGAAGTCCGTGCTACAGGCCATCCCGAAAGACGAATACGAGGCGCCGGTAACACTAGTACCGGCACCACGGCAGCGGCGACCCAGGGCCCAGCTAGCATACATAGTAGTAACAGCACCAGTATTTGACAGGTGGGCAATCATGCAAATTGTTACACAGTACGCGACTTCAAGGCCACCGACGCTGCTTACGTGGCTGAGAGGCAGGGGGTGCAGGAGAGGTAGGAGGAGAGCCGCCGATCGGACGAGCAGGATAGGGAAGAGGGGCGTCAGACGAGTAGAGGAGCTGGTACTCCGTACTCCGTACGGAGTACGGAGTACGGTGATTTGCTATAGGATCTCTTTCCTATTACTTTGTTTTCTGTGCCTTGGAATCTTGCTATATAAGCGGGCCTTGTTACCGTGTTCTTTAGTACAGGTGTGTATCTTACAAATAGCAATCACCCAAAGTTGGTAGTGCAGCAATATAGCAATAATGCCCTCTGAAGCATGATGTGTCGAGGTTGGCCTGAGCGAGAATAACTTTTGGCGAAAATGGTCTACTCGTGCGGAATAAGATACTATTAACTCCGTACAATATGCTAAACGTGAAGAACAATTAAACAAGATGGAACCATCTCCAAAGGCTAACTCTGTTATAACCAATCATATCCATTAAACCTACGGAGTACGACGCTACATTTTCTCGTATTTCGTATCTCACAGGAACAGCCTCAAACCTGTACGAAGTAAGATGCGGAGTACTCCGTACAAGGAGGCTTGATAACACCTAACTGCACGCTAACCTCCACCCAAACGAGAATTCCGTCTACCCGTTCTTATTAACCACAGGGCTGCCTAGCATAATAATAAAGATACCGGAGTAAACTGAACAGTGGGACAGACTCAATAAATTACCGTCAATTTTCTATAAGCATGCATTTTTCTATTACCTACGGAGTACGAAGTAAGATACGGGGTACGGATATATAAACCTTTTGCTCCCATTAACTTGTTCGTACGTCGCACTCCGTAATTGTAATTGCCATAGCGCATCAATGTTACACGGACTACCTGAGACAAAAGATTAGCCTATCGATCTTCCGCTTAATTTTGGGGAGCTGCGTTTTCAAACGTTATGCCAGGGACATCGGATCTGATCCTGCCGGCAGGTAAGATACTTCGTACATACTCCGTAGTATACTCCGAATTGCACTGCAAAGAAGACCAAAACTAAGAAACAACGGGGTCTCTCCCTTGTTACGGTACTTTGACAGATCCCGTGCACCGATTTAATACGTACTACCGCACTAAATAAGAATTATCTGGTTTCGATGGCGTCGTTGTCTTGTGCGTCAGCATCAACGTCAAAGTGGCGTTCGAAGTGCGCCGGATTTGCGTATATTACATAGTCCTCTGTGACGTACGTGCGCGTAACACTGTCACTCTGCTGAGTTATATTACTCCGCAGATCGTGGCACACCGCTAAAGTTCAGCTGTGTGGTGCTGCCGCTGAGTTCTGGAGGTTTCCAGATCAAGACCAGTTCGGTATTCCTACCGAGACAAGTTGGCGGACTAGTATCACAGCCTGTAGGTAGTTAATGCCTAATTCTTGATAATTTGTGATATAGCTTACTTCGTCGGCTGGCTGGTCCTTTATAGTATTGGGCGAAGGTCAAAGTACGAAATACACCGCCAAGCTCTACTGATTCATACGGAGTAATATTACATCCCCACTGAACTCACCGACCTTGGCGAATGGTACCCATAAGTTTTACCCCATACGAAGTGCGCTTGAGCAAATTACTCCTGCGATGTCGTATGCCGTAGAGAAGTTATATATAAGCCCGTATCTCCATGTCCTCGGAGGAGTAGGCAGGCGAAACTAAGACGGTGCTGTCGCAGTTACAACAGTACTAGTACAATGGCTCGAATTACGACTGCGGCGTTAATCTCACTCTCAGCCCTGGCCGTCGTTTCCGCCGACAGTTGCTCCAACATTGAAAAGACAGCACCGAGTATCGGCGTGGCCTCCGCTTATGACATCTCGTACGCCACAGTCTCGAATGATTACTGGTCCACTTCTTGTGCTGCTCTCAAGCCGGCATGTGTCGTTTTCCCGTCTTCATCACTTGAAGTTGCAGCCATTATCAACATCTTGAATGGAAACAGCGATAATTTCGCTGTCAAGTCCGGAGGCCATAATGCGAACAATCATTTTTCCAGCACTAAAGGCGGTCCGTTGATCTCAACTAAGAACTTGAATCATGTGCTTCTCGATAACGAGACCGGTATTGTTCAGATAGGCCCAGGCCTTCGCTGGGACGAGGTTGCCGACGAATTGAACGGCTCGGGGTGGTGCGTCGTTGGTGGACGCATCGGTAATGTCGGAGTTGGAGGCTTCATGCTTGGGGGAGGACTTTCCTTCATGTCACAGGAATACGGATGGGCTGCTTCATCAGTCCTGGAATATGAGATCGTTCTGGCCAACGGCACCATCACCACAGCTTCTGTGGATAATAACCCGGATCTGTTCAAGGCCCTTAAAGGTGGTGGCAACAACTTTGGCATCGTTACGTCTTATACTGTGCAGGCATACCAGCAAGGCTACGTCTATGGTGGCGTCCTTTCCTTTGTGCATTCGACGGAAACAGATACGAAGCTTCTCAGGGCCATCCGAGACTTCACCAAGTACAACACCGATAGCAAAGCCGCCATCATTCCTACTGCTGAGCGCGTCCTGGCGAGGCGCGGTTGATATCTGGGTCATCTTCGTGTTTTACAATGGCCCGAAACCGCCGCATCATGTCTTTAAGAATTTCACCGACATAGGTCCCATTACCGACACCTGCAAGACGAGAACCTTTTCAGAGTTCGTGACCAACAACAACTGGGCGGTCCTCAAGGACACTGTTTACAATATTGGCACGGAAACCATCCCGCTACCAGCAGATGATAACATCAACGTTCTAGAGGCAGTCCATGCGCACTGGCGCAACGTCACCGACTCTGTCCTTCTTGTGGGTGGCCTAATCACCAACATTGCCTACCAGCCACTTCCACGGCGCATCGCCCAGATCGCCCAGGACAGGGGTGGTGACCTGCTGGATTTTGATGTGAACTCGGATTTTGTTATCCTCGAGATTAGCAACAGTTTTTTGTTGCAGTCAGATTATGATATGATGGACATCACCCTCCAGGCGGCCTACAATGGAGTCCGTCAAATGGTTCTCGCCTGGCAGGAGGACGGCACATTGGACAAGGAGTTGTACATTCCGTTGTTTTCGAATGATGCATTTTTTCGACAGGACTATTATGGGAGATTACGTCCCAAGAATGCCGAGCTAGCAACGTCTTTGGCAACCAAACTGGACCCTAATGGTCTCTTCAGGAATAGGACTGGTGGCTTTAAGCCGTAGAACTGCAATTTATGAAGTCACAACTTCGCCAGCCACTTCTCCGCGATAGTTTATTTCACGAGTGGGTTTTCAAGGCTTCGTCTCGGACTTTCTAGCCAATTAGAAAAAATTAACGGGAAGTATATTTCGCTGCGGAATGAATTTCTTGCCGAGTGGACTTATTTTCCCATTGTCGTTAACATGGACCTCTTCAGCCTAAGACGCCGTGAACGGACCTTTCAAATGTTGGGGGCAGATAAAGTTTATCACTGACCCCCAGGACCGTTGGCGGTGCTACACACGAGGGAAATACTACGTGCTCTTCCTGATTGCAAGAGTAGGGGTAGCAAGAAGGTCCATTGATGAAAATATATCAAGACGCATGTCGGAGCCGTGGTATGAAATTGCTAGCCAAAGGCTGTCGACAGCTTGTGATCCACTTGATGAAGCCTTCCTTTACCCTGTAAATATACAACTTTGTCGAATACTGCATAATCCTTGTAAGATCCCCCCCCCCCTTTCTGATTGGACAAAACCTTGTATGGAGCTAAGGTGACTTGAGGTCAAAATAGCCAAATTCGCCAGGTTATCTGAAAAAAAGACCATGCCAATTGGCCCTAGACCAGGCCTGGGAGTTTTCCCCGCAGAAGCATTGGCACCCAGATATTCCTGTAGAGTTTGAAATTCCGTAAGGGCATGAGGATCTGTACGGAGTACAAATAATCGAAAGGCATGCGTTAAAGGGGATTGTGCAGAGGTACATAGTATGTTGCAGTACTTCCACACTGTGGCGCAGACCTGCCTATTTGCTGGCACTGTTATGCAGGTCGGTATTCCTCAGAGGTACATATTCTATTCTAGCCGCTTACGTCGCTTAACAATATATAAAAGCAGATAAATACGCCGACAATACCTTTAGGAGACCACATACTGTGATCAAATCAGCCAGGTCACTGTAGACATTTCGACAGAAAAGTATCTCACGGACATGTCTTCATGAAAATCCTCACACTACATCGTTGACGTTACTAGTGGGTAACACGTAGAACCACTTCAGATCTTCTTCAAACTCGTTCATGGCCCCATGTTCAGGAACTACCACGCTTCCTTTTCTATACAGGGCTTCCTTCCCGTCAATCTTTACAATGCCCTGGCCTTCTGGGACCCCTTGGGACGTAATATATCTCGACCTGCTCGTGGCAATGATCGTAGAGGTGTCCTGTTAAGGGAGGATAGTACTGTATTGAACTGGTGCGTATTGTTGGAAATGAAAGGAGCGAGGATCATGTTACACTTCCTGTTGGTCAGAAGCCGGAGGTGGCCGGAAGTCTCAAAAGGATGGCATGCGACGAAAGAAAGACGCTGACAGAAGAATCGACTCATTTGGCGGCAGGGTGGAATCTCGAGTTCGTTCAGTGAAGTCATGCGAGAAGGGATGGTAGGTAGTACAAAGCCTGACTTCGAGCTAGGTATGCGTAATACGTCTTTCTTAAAACGTTGAGTCCATGGCAACAATTCCAAATTAGTATTGCGGTTGTAGGATAAGAGAATAATAGAGCAAAATTGTAACGAGATTCCTATTTAAGATAAACGTAATAACAATAATGATACGGAAAGAGTGCGTTCAAGCATCACGTCGCTCTGGCAGCTGCCTTACTACCTTTTCTCTCCGCGATTATCCACGTCGCCGCACCCCGGACTCAGCAGCTGCAGTTTCTCCGCAACACAAGCTTGCAACAACTCGCTTTAGACTAAAGCGTGTGATCGCTTAAGTCACAAAATTTGCACATAAAGACGTCCATAGATTTGAAGCTAAAAGTTTCTGTTTCCGCCTGCAGAATAGGCGCTATCCTACACTGCCGCACAGCCAGCCGCATACCTCCCGCTCACAGCAACGTAGCGATCTGCCGGACGGAGTCGCGGACGGTGTCATCAATGGACGTGAACTTGATGCCGAGAGCCGCCTTGGCCTTGGATGTGTCGTAGATGTACGTCGGCTCGGTGCGGCCGGCACCAGGGGTGCCCACAGGGACGTTATCGCGCAGGTCCGGGAAGGAATCGCGTATGACGTCAGCGGCGGTCTGGTAGGAAAACTTGGAGGCGATGAGGAATCGCTGGTTGACGATTGCGGGATCTGCAGCCTTGGCACCATCGTAGGCTCGCAGCACGGCCGTAGCTAGGTCACGCACATCGATGAAGCCGGCAAAGTCGGTGGGCGGGACCTCGCCTCCGGCCAGCGAGCCATCGACGAGGTGGGCCAGCAGCTTCATGGACTCGTTGAGCTGCCCCGGCTTCTTGATTCCCATACCGGCCAGGTTGACGTAGGGTCCAAAGACCCAGGGCGGAGTCATCGTCGTCAGCGCAAAATCGGCACCCGGCTGCCCGGCGTGCTCCTTCTGCCAGGCCCATTGGGCCTTCTCAGCTAGAGCCTTGGACGCGCAGTACGCCGAAACGACATCGGTCGTTTTGGCCGCGTCCCAGCTCATCGGGTTCCAGTCCGCTTCGGTGTAGTGGTAACCCGGCCGCAGGCCGTAGCTCATGTCGACGACAGACGCAAACGACGACACGCTGATCACGCTGCGCACCTTGCCGTTTCCGTACTGCCGCACTGCCTCAAGTATGGCCACGGCACCGTCGCGTGCCGGCTCCAGCAGGTCCTTGGCGTTGTCCTCCACGTCCAGCCTGAAGGGCGAGGCCGTGTGGATGACGCCCGTGATGTCGGCATTGCGAAAGCTAGTCTCATAATTTTCCACCGCCGTCATATCTGGCACAATAGCGTACGTCAGCTTAGCATCTGCACCAGTCGCATGCTGTGGGAAGACTGCTAGCAGCTTCTGGCCAGACGCCTCGGACCGGACGGTTCCGTGCACCGCATAGCCACGCTCTAGGGCCTGCTGGATCATGTGGCCGGCCACATAGCTGTTGGCGCCCGTGATGAGAAGGACGTCAGTCATGATGAAAAGGGGTGTTGAGATTTGGCTAAGTATGAAGGCTGTAGAGGCTGGGAAGTGAAAGGTCTGGATGTCTTTGGAATCTTTTTCTATCCGTTTCGTCCTTTATATACAAGAACGGAGTACGGAGTAGCCCCACCCGTCTGCCATGGCCATCGGCCATCGGCGTTAGCACAGCTACATAGCTAAAGCCGGCGATTACTGATATCGCCCCCTCGAGAAAAGCTCCAATTTAGAGAGGCTTCCATCTCTGCGCCTCCTTGGTTTGTTTCGGTTGTGATACTCGCCCCATTGACAAATAGGAAGAGCCCGCATGGACTCACACGGGTCTACAATGTTGCCTTGTTTGCTTCTGTGCTGGTGAGAAAGCAGATATATTCTGGACCATTGGCCAAAAATAATTCGCCAAGAATTTACCCCACTATTATGACTGAATGGGCAAAGAAAACTGTGCCTCCGCCGTAGCGGTGACCCAGCTGTCCATCTCACGACAGATTTACGTGGTCACATAGGTAAACGTTCGGTAACGAAATATGAAACCCGAAATATGGACCTGGCTAGGAGACGGGCCGACAACGGCTAGATAGCCCGGTTACGGAGTAGATTGTCGCTTACTGACTACGCTTTCTTTGATATACCCGCTTGCACCCATTGATTGGCCTGGTCCGGAAAGGTCTCCTTAGACGGACGTCTGACGGCCGATTGGCGGCTAATTGTGTCTCAAGAGAGGGATCGGTCATTGGCAGTGACGTGACAGTCTTTGAGGTATTTCAATGGCACAGCACGGTTTTGTCTCTCTCCGTCAAGAGGCACCTTTCCGGATACCATAGTTAGAGTCACACAACGAGTCTTCGTGGACCAGTGACAGCTTTAAGATCCCAATTTATACGAAGCTTATTATTTCTTCATTGCGGTCTATTAGGAACGGCCACCGAGGAAACATTATACAACACTCTGAAAGCTTTGCTTTTTTGTTTATTTTCTTTGCATGTTTCAGACATCGGACTACGACGATAGATTTTGTCAAGCTTGCCCTAGCTTTTTTATCACATTAATATTATCGGCTATGTAGGACAACTGGCATTCCATAACTGTGCTCACGTTAGTTAAGCAACCGCAGAAATCAAACTTATTATGAGTACTGTATGACACGGCCAGTGTGAGGGCATGCGTCGTGTGCTTTACAGGTCAAAAGATAGACTCGGTCTCGGTCACATCCAAAGGCACTGGCTTCGGTGCGTACATAAAGTGTGTTACGTAAGCGAGTGCAGAGCTGTGCCACAGTCAGCTCCCCAAAAAGTAGGAAGTAGAGCTATTTTGTTCGTGCTTATCCTGCACAAATCTCTGGTTAGCACAAGGGTCTGGGGTGGGGAGAATAGTGTGAAGCTCTAGAATGGAGCGCACTGTGATCGTTCTGACTAATGCCAGCAACGCGGCCTCTCATTGGTCAGACATATACAAGTGGGGACTAGCCCCAGTGAAATCTCTGCACCAGTGAAGGCGCGCCATGTACCCTCTCCTAGCTAGTTACAACACGCAGATCATCAGCCATATCGTTAAGACCCCATACAGTGCACCGCTACCCCTGCCATAAGCATCAGTTGTGACAAATAGATGAAACGGACAAAAAGAAAGAATGCTGTCACCAGAGAGGCTCGAACTCTCGACCTCAGGATTATGAGACCTACGCGCTAGCCAACTGCGCCATGGTGACTAGTTCTTCTCGAAGTTGAGGGAAAATATGACCCACTCGGCCCTATCCAGAAGGTGCCTCGATCGCACTTGGTATCTTACTGTGCATCTTGTTTTCTCCTTCGACATTATCGCTGGCTGCAAAATGCGTTGTCACTCAAAGTGCGGTAATGTCCGTGATAGACGACTGCAATCCAGTCGTGAAACCCGTGTAAATAGGCCGTAGGAGCTTGGGCGTCTCGGCACAGCGAACACCGTTACCGGTTACATAAAGATACAAACAAAAATTCTCCCGCATATATGTGACGGCACCTGCATGTGCAACCACAATGCTGGGTTTGCACACTGAGCATGTGGAGTATAAAGACGCCAAATAAAGCGGCTGTAAATTTCAGCCTTTTTGAGTAGAGGTGAAAGCTTTACAGTGTTTAATTAATAATGAGACATGTCGGGTCCTCCAGAAGGCCTGGCTTCCGAGTTACTACGTTCTGCCTAAATTTCACGATTCAGGTTGTACGGCACACCTTTGTGAGAGCTGACACGCACTACTACGAGCATAATATGATAGAAGAAGCAAATCGGCTGGAGTCATATCTCATCGACTGCCCGGTGCCCTCTTTGCCATGCAATGCAATATAGAGTAGCACAAACGCCTATGCCGATGATTTCCGCAATTCGTCCTGCCAGTATCATTGAAACTGCGGTAGCTAAGAAATGCAATACGTTGTGCTCAAAACAATAACTTGTCTTATGGTATAAGTAACGTATTGCGATACACCGGATCCACCCTGAACTATAGCACATTCTTGTTCGCCCGGAAGATCACAGTACGTAGAACTTATCCTGTCAGGGAAAGATACATCACCGAAAAAATTTGGCAAGGTCCTATTTGGTCGAGGCTTTCAGTCTTGGGATTGGCACATATGGGACAATCACTCGCCTTGCCGTAAGCAGATAGCTGTAAAATTTGGCTTGCTGAACTGAGAAGAGGTACATTTATAAACAGAATAACCTGCCGAAGGTGGAACTAGTTAAAGGCAACGGCATGTGCATGTAAGATACAAGGTTGACAGTCTATGGGGGGGTGGGGTCGCTGAGAGGAAGCAGAATCAGGATTGCCGGAGCGGAGCACGTCAATATTCTTTCCGCTAGTGGCACTATTTATAAATATATATAGAAGAGCGGTGACGTATAGGTCATGGGATGCATTTGGTGTTGGTCTACAGGCACTATCTTAGTCTGGCCGAGACGATTGCCACAAACTGCAAGCTGACAGCAGTCCTTCTGCGAAACATATTGGGTACTTTATGTCGGCAAGAACACGATGATACACATCTGGCCCAAGTGGAGTGCCATCTGTTATCTTTGCTCTTCCCGGAGAGTATGTCCGAAAGTATCCGCAACTGCAACAACAGGCAACATTCGTGGAGGCGTTCATAAGGCAGCCAGTCCATTTAAAGAACAGGGGCGTGTACGTATGCATGATTCGTCACACGTATATGGGGCTTTGACAAGCATGGCCGGCAAATAAGGCCATCACTACGACGCAAGAGGAATGAAGGCGAGGCGAAGATCGTGAAACCCAGTGGCAAATCATGGGGCTTTACGTCCGCGACAGCGTTCGTAGATCGACGAAAGAATATACGCCCACCAAATAAAGAGATGAGAGCATCGAGATAGATTTCAGCGAGAAAGGTAGCGGATGAGAGAGCCGGAGGTAAACAGCCAACAGCCAACATTGAGTCATGGGGCGGGTTCGGGATGACACTGAATGGCAGAGGTATGAAGACGTGCGCAACTGGATACGAGACGATGTGAGGGCGGAGGTGGTGCTCCTCAAATTGGGCAAGGCCAACCCGGAATCAGGAAATTACGAGGGAGAACTTATGGGGCAAGAGATTAGTGACTATAGGGTGAGAAAGAAGATGGGGAAATTGTCCGATGCGGCCTGTTGTGTGGGAGGTAGCCCACTGATTCGATCCTACCTACGAACAGGCATGCCTGGAAGCGTGACAAAGCCAACATTGAAGAAGCAATAGGCGCATGCGAGACATCATCAACGCCGAACACGACTCCAGACGAGAGGGACAGCACAGACGAGAGGAGATGCCAAGCCGGAAGCAAAGGGAATATCAGATGCGCCACGCTCAGTGGGGGTGACCAGAACAGCGGCGGTGATAGAACCAACCGCCCGAAACTGATGCTAGCCTGGCGATCGGAAGGGCTGGCCACTTGGTAAACAAGAGATTCCGGGTGTCATGCATTTAAGTCTGGCCATGTGGTTTCGCAATTCGACCGTGTGTGGGTTGGGAAACAGTGTGTGAGCGCTAGACTGAAATACGAGTTGAGACATCCATGTGGCTTCTTTTGTTTTTCCCAATATGGAGTACTGAGCTGGAGTTTTGCCTTGGCAGTCATGTGGGAAGTGAAATCTTCATCAAGGAAACAAAAGAACTACGTCGTAGAGACCAAGCTCTCCTGCATGTTTCAGCGCACGACCGCCTGCCAGAGCAGGGCAGCATAGAAGCCCCGCTCCGATGTGCAGAAGGGCAATAGGCGAATAAGACGAGAAAGACCAGTGAGACGGAGGGGGGGTCGCAAGCTGCGAGATGCGGGTCTGCCGCTGTTCCCGTCGCATGCATGCATGCAACCGTGAACTACGTACGTCGTGCTTATGCACAAGCAAAAGAAGCGAGAGACGGGGGTAAACAGAAGGCTAAACAGTGGCCAAACCAAAGACCAGCAACCGCCTGTATCCCTCACTCACACGGTCGGTTTCTTGCTCTCTCATCGCAGGCTTGCGCAGATCATCAGCTGGGTCCACACCGAGGCGGCGCGGGGCGGCGGGCGGCGCGAATGGCTAGGCGATAATGGTCCGCACAAAGGAGAGCACAAAGAAGAAGGGAAGCCGGTGACCGTTACATCATTAACAGCCCTTGTACTGAATCTGGCGGTCTCGAAAAGCGGCCAAAGAACGAGGGATAGTAAACGAGGCGAATGCGAAAGGCGGACCGGGCAGAGAAGCAGGGGGGAGGGAACGAGAAGGCGTAAACAAGGGGATGTAGAGGGTGGAGAGAGACACGAAAGAATTCGCGAGAGATGGTGTGGTCGTGTCGGTGCTGGTGATGGAGATGGAGGGGGGTATTTGGCGTTGCAGATCAAGGCAGTTTGCAACAGCAACAGCAGCAACAACAGCAAGAAGAACGGGTGAGGGCGGGCAGTCTCGGGCAGGAACGGAACAGAGATGGAGCGCCGTCGAGGAAGCCGCTATGCAGAAAAGGCCGCTATGCAGAAAAGGACAGCAAACGGGACAGAGGGTAATAATCAGTGCTTCCTCACGGGGCAAAAAGAAGCAAAGAGGGAGAGATTGCAGATCGGCGCCAGCTAGTGCAACGATGGTCAATGCTTGCCAGCTAGCGGTGATGGTGGTGGTCGTCTACGGCACTCGTGCAGTGTAAGTGGCGTTGACGGCAGTGCATTATAGTAGGCACCAGGCAGCAACAGGCTGGTAGGCTGTGGACAACCTGTTGTGGAGCAGGCTGTATGGCTGTTGCGTGGAGCCGTCTGGCCAATTTTGCCGACGCTCATTGCTGGCCTTGCCAAGCAGGCCTCGAAGGCTACTGGACAGGGCACGAGCCTGTGCTCCTCGGAACGGTCAGGACAACGATAGCGAGGAAAACTGCTGCGTACACGACCACTGCCTGTCACGTCACATGCAAGCACCTGTCAGTTGTAAGCTCGTCTCTACGGAGTGCTGTCTGTCGGTCCTGGCTCTCGGTCTACTCCATATTCTGTATCACTCGGACTGCAAATCCGGCTTCGTCCTCCTACCCGATCTGACCATCGATGAACGCCAATTTTCCGACTGTTCATCCATCTGTCTAGGCTGCACCCCTTCTCGTTTTACCCCCCTGTTCATGTCCACATGATTTTTTGTCGTCTCTTGTCTCTCCACCCATCCCCCCCCACTCTGTTCAGTCGCTACCTTTCCCATAATCGACAGCCTGCTCTCGCCCAATTCGCCAGCTAAGCCTCTGTCCGCTCGTACGGAGTACTTGTATACACACCCCCACCCCGGCTCGATCGGCCGTGAAACGTACTTTGCCTCCCAAAGCTACCGGCCTCATGATGCTCGTAAACGTGAACGACGCCTGGCAACACTCCGCCTTTTGGAGTGCAATGCGAAAGGGCTTATTAATTCGGCTAGTTTTCCTTCACGTCGTGACTGCTTTTCGCATATTAGCTGTCTTATATCTCGTCCCATCTGTCTGATCTCTTTCCAGAATTCTCTTACTCTCTCCTCTGCATTCCGGTCCTGTCTCTCTCAATATCGTGCCTCCTCAAACTCTCACCAATCACCATTTACTCTTTCCTGCCCATCATCTCCATATCATCCCCATAACTGCGCCCACAGTGCATATCGGTCATACATATCCACCTGTGCTTTTGAGATCCGTGCCTTCTTGCTTGTCAACATTTTTCCCACAAGAGCTGGCCACATCGTCCTTTACCAATTGCGGCAGATAGCCCATCTACCTGTGCCTATCTGCTTGCACCCGTCTACTTGAAATACAGCTGGCCGTCATCTTTCCGAGGCAAAGACGGCCTGACCGCTACATTTCCCGCCAGTCGTTCTCGTGCTCACCCCCTCGGTCCTTCTGCTCCCTGCACCTCTTATTCGTGGTTGATATCTGGCCTATCTCTCAGCTACGCCCTTAGCCCAGGTCACAACCCCTAGTAGCGTACCCCAGCGGAGCCGAACCCCTCGCACCCTCCAGAACCCCACCAAGATTGCCTCATTCCCGCCAACACCCCTGCCACCAGCCAGCCATCTAAACCAGCGATAGCCGTATGTCTTCCCGTCGTGCTCCAACATCTTCACGATATCGGCTCTGTTTGACCATAATACCTCTCGCGTGACTGGCTTGCTCCTTTTCCAACTCCCTTCCCAGCTTCTTTCTCCCTCTTTTTCGCTCTTCCACCTCCCTACCTGCTCACCACATTCTCTTCTCTTCTTCCTACCATTTGTCCCGTCATTTTCTTGCTGCTTTCGCTTGGACGGCCATCTTCTTCGCGGGCCGCTGCGTCGTCCCACTCCGCCGGCAATCCGAGCCTCCGCCAGCTGCGCTCTTGCTTAAGTGGCGTGCGAACACAATACTGCGAAGCACACTATCCGGTCCCTCCCGCTCTTATTGCTCGCTCCCGGCAAATGTACTGAAGCCCTGAGACTAGCTACAAATTTGCTGCTCATTTCTCCTACACTTGGGCCAAAAAATTGTCCTTCTTTGACTGGACAAAGCAGGCGCGACCAGACATTAGACTCTTACGAGTACCTGGTCCAGGAGCAGTGAGGGGCCCACACTAACCTGAAAGAGTCTAAGCACCACACCCCTCCTTTCCAAAGCCGAACCACCAGCGCGCGTCTTTTTGCCCTCCACTCTCTCTCCTCCCCTCTCTCCCTCTCCCCGACGACCCCTGGCTTGCAGAGGTTCTGTCGCTGTTCGCCGCCCCCCTGTGTCCACGCGAGCAAAGGCCCCTCTTGCCTGCAATCAACGGCCCAAACGACGGCAAAATAAAAAATAAAACAGGCGGAAATATTACCAAAGCAATATTATTACTTTTGAAAAAAAAAAGTCGCCCGGAAATTCGACGAAAATGCCAGCCTCGAATCTTCCAGACTTCCGTCATACGCGATCCGCCAGCCTCACCAAGATCTCTCCCCCCAACGGCCACCACCTCCAGGACCCTCTCAGTCCAATGGCTACACAGAGATTCGACGGGCCTCGAAGCCCTCCTAGTGAGTTTTCCTCCCTGCTTCAGCTCCCCATTTTCCCAGTCCCTTTTCGCTTCCCCTCTATTCCCATCAGCCAAACCAATTCTCACACCCTCTCTCTCACTCTCAGATACCGCCCATGTGCCGTGCAAGTTCTTCCGTCAGGGCGCATGTCAAGCAGGCAACTCTTGCCCCTTTAGTCATGACATCGGCGCAGCCACCGAAACGGTCTGCAAATATTTCGCAAAGGTAACTTACGTTCTTTCCGCCCGTCTCGCCGAGTTTTGGCAAAGACCGCCGCTCGACACGCCTTTCCCTACTCCCAACTGCTCTTTGTACCTATCACCTCCAAAGGTCCTTCTGCGTGCCGTGTTCCCGTCGTACAAAGCAGTTGACGGTGGTGGCACTGCTTTGTTTCTCTCCTTCCACTCCTCTTCGGCTGCATGGCACATTACTGACACACGTCTTTGGCCTCAGGGAAACTGCAAATTTGGTCCTAAGTGTGCCAACATCCACGTCCTTCCCGATGGCCGCCGCGTCAACTACGGCAAAAATGGCGTCACCATCGGCGCCGCTCCCCTTGGCCTGGGCAACCGCATCAACCCGGCCGCATATCTCCAATCTTCCAACAGCGCCTTGACAAACTCGTTTCTACACGCCAATGCCGGGACCGCCCAATCCTCGTACCCCGCCAACCCCCCCTTTTCTACCGGTGCTGCCGGTGAAGACCGGTTCCACTCCCAGTCGAACCCGCTAGGCCGTCAGCCCAGCATGGATGGCGGTCTGCCCACCATCGACACCACTTATCCGTCGAATCCTGCGTCAGCTTACGGCTCTCCACCAGGCGCTGGCCTTGCCGGCCTCGAGGACCCCAGAGCAGGATTGGGTCTGTCGCCTGTGAACGTCAAGGTGCTTTCTGTTTTGGACGCACCGCTGCCGGCTTCATTTGACTCCAACGGTATATCTCACGCGGCTCGTTACGGCCCATGGCCTGCGTCAGTGCCTTCAAAGTTCGGTCTCGAATCGCCAACTCCCTCTCTGCACAACGCAAAAGACGACCGCACATCTGAGACCTTAAAATTGCTCCACACATCTGCGTTCGGCAGCAGTGACCATCTCTCCGCTGGTCTACTTCCGCCCGATCATAGCATGGGAAGCAGTCCGACTGCCCTGGGCGCTCACGAGGAGTTCTTCGGAAAGCGCGCTATGCACTCCAGCTCGCTTCGCTACTCTAAACCAAGACTTTTGAGCAGCAGCGTACCCAAGGTGGACCGCGATTGGGATAACGAATTTCTTTTCTTGGAGGAAGACTATGTGCCTGGCACCCTTGCCAACGAGGTTCTTACCCCGCAAGAAAAAGCCCGCAGGGGCTCTCTGCGCTTGAACGACGGCGACGGTCTGTCCGAGACACCTGTCACCTCTAACCCAGCCTCTGCCAATGCGACAAAATTCGGCAGTCCTGTTGGCGCTGCGGCCGCAAGTCCGAGTCGATGGAGCCCGTGGTTCCAGCAGCGACAGCCGCCCCGCAGCGATGACGAGCCGGAGTCCGGTAGCCTAAGCCGGTCGATGAAGCACGCCGCTTCCGCCTTTGGGCACGTGGGCAGTCCCCTGCGCAACTCCAGCCTAGCAAGCAACGGCGATCTGGATGGGCACAACAGCGATTTTTTCTCCCGCAGCATCTCTCAATCGGCCACTGTCAACGGCAGCGAATCGCTTTCCGTTCTCACCCAGCAGCTGCAACGAACTCGACTCAGCGATGACGGAAGCAGCGCGCACAGCCTTAGACTACACCCGAACGCGGCAAGAAATCCCAGCGTCTCGTTGAACACAATAGCGGCGGCTGGTATCATCGGTCGAGATCGCAGCGATCGCGACAGAGGCTTTGAGCGCCATGTAAGCAGTGGATCTATTGGCTCGTCCGCAGCTGGTCGATTCCCGACAATTATCGACGAGGAGGATCCCGCATTCCTTTTCAGCATGGAGGAAGAGGATGAGGCTGCGTCACAGGTGCGGACCCCCAAACGGAAATCTGTTGGCCTCGTTTCTGGCAATGGCGCTGCGGGCAGCAGCCTATGGAGCTATGCTGGAATAGTGTCCGGGAAAGATGCAGCGAAAACTCATGATTCTTCAAACCCGGTCGAGTCCATTGGAGGTCGTTAGCAACTTAACGCGCAAGTCTTATTTGACTCGTCCCTCATATCGTTTTTTCGCCTACTCAATGACCCGGAAAGCGTGACGCTCGAAGTCTCATTGCGCCATTCTTTCGATTGATCAAAATATCTGAAGACGCAATACACAGACATGGGAGACACAAGGTAAAGATCTTAAAACAATTCACCAAACGTGGGACAAAAGGAAACCTCTTTCTGTTCAAGTGGAGGCCGAAGAAATTTGGATGTATCAAGGGAGAAGGCGCGTTAGTTTTCAAGGTGTATTGGTGTATGTTTTTTGCTGCATATTGCATATTGTATGTTGCTTTTGTTTTCTATTTAGCATTATCGGAGTACCCTGAGGCAGGCAAGTGCCTGCATCTATTTCTTTCCCCTCTCTTTTATTCATAGCGCCGCAGACCTTTGCCTATTCTTAATCGTCACTTGGCCATCAATATATGATTAGGATTAAGGCTGGTCGGTCGGTGTTGCCGCATGGAGTTTGGTATCGTTTTATATGTTTTGAGAGGGCGGAACTCGGGGATTTACTAGCAGGAAACCGGAAAAGCATACCGCAGGCGCATCTGGTTTCCAGGGTTGTACATTTTTTCGGCATGTTTTTCGTTGTACTCCTATGCACTTTCATTGAAACCATGTAGACCAATAAAGTGGCGACGTGCAGATGAAGTACGGAATGGAATATGCAAAATCACATCTAGAGACACCTTGAATTCCAAATGATCGCTAGATAGCAGTGAAATGGTATCCTTTGACCTACGGAGTCCCTGCTGTATTGCTGGTGGCAAAAGCTGTTGTATAACAGCCGATGCAACAGGCGTCGTTATCGTTAAATTTATATGAAGTCAACACCACGAGACGACGGAGATGACGTGAGAGCAGAGGCGATCCCCAAATGATGACAATATCGACCTTTCACAAGCATTGAGAATACCAGCAGAGCAAGGAGATATGTTGACTCCTGCGATCCAGAGCTAAACGGTGCCAGAAACGCAACGGCTGTCCGAAAATGCGGCGAAAGGGCCGTAATCTCTTCTAGTTGTGATTTATTTATGGTACAGACGGGGATTTTATATTTATTTATTGCGTATATCGCAGGAAGACAACAGAGAGAAGACGACGGTGCCTATCGGGAGAGGAAGCAGTGAAGCAACCGCTCAGTGGGCATCCGGCTGGTGCAGGATGTACTCAACGGCCTTGTCAACTGGAGGAGGGGGATAGCGAGATTAGAACGGCGTACCCAAAGCAAAGATCGAAAGGCCGGCCTGGGGCGAGGAGTGATGGGGAGCTTACCGCTGTGAATGGTGTCAGCATCCTTGTCAGGGATCTCGATGCTGAACTCCTCCTCGATCGCCATGACGACCTCAACGGTGTCGAGGCTGTCAAGGCCAAGGTCGTTGGCGAAGTGTGACGAAGCCTTGATCTGCAATGGGGAGAGATGATGTCAGAAATGCATGATAAAACTTGGGTGTAGGAAATTGAAGGTACGGGACAAAAGATGACGTACGTTGGACGCGTCGTTGACCTTGTCGAAGCCCTTGAGCAGGCTGATGATGCGGCCCTCAACCTCCTCCTTCTCCAGGCCGCCGCCTGCCGAGTACCACCGGACGGCCATGGCAGCCACAGCGGGCCGGGCTGTCGGCACCACTGCTATTCTGCGGCCGGCCAGGGCGAAACGCGCGACAGTGGCCGTCTGGACGGGGGCGGCTGCGATCGCACGGGTCACCGAAGCGGCCGCACGGGCGATGGTCGAGCGGAACATGATTGGGACGTGGGTGGTTAGGAAGGAGGATAATTCGGTCTATCAGGAAAAAAACAGCGCTTCCTTGTTAGCCGGCGGTCCCACTAAGGTCTGGGAGGTATATCTGCCCATTGAGGGAACAGATTGCTTTGGCAAAAAGCCAAAAGGCAGCAGGAAAGACGGACCAAGCACAGAGGTGGCCGGGCCAGTTCGTCGGTCGTTCGAGAGGGGGGTGCCGAAGCGGGCGCGTTGGTTGAGATCGAGATTCGGTGGGGGGCGGAGGAGGAGAATGGCGGGAGAGGAGGCACAAAATAAGGGTCGAGAGAAAAAATTGGCCAGCAAGCCAGAGAGGAAAACCCGAAAGCTTGCGCTCAATTCCTGGGGGCGGGCTGGCCAATGGGCGTGCTTGTGATTTTTAGCTCCGAGCTGAGCCGAGTCACGTGGAATATGAAAATGGGCGGGCGGATAGCGTTTGCATGAGGGTGAAGAAACGGACTAGTCAGTCTGTTGAGCCTACGGTTTGCGTGCAGAGGCACGAAGGGACTGACACGCAGCCGTCACGGACGTGCATTTTCTGCGAGCAAATGGATTTCATCAAAAGTGTTTTGTATGTTTCCTTTTACACACAACGTCGTCTACAGCTTCTCTTTCTCTCATGCTCCCGTACTCTCCCAGCCCGACCCCATTACACCACCGTTGTTTTACCATGCTGTCCGCTTGACTGCGTGGCACCACGGTTGTGGGATCTGCCGTTGCGCGTCTTCGACCGAGAATATGTACCATTACCGGTAGGGCGAGTCTGCACGGATGGCAGCGGCCAGCTCCGGCTCCCACTTGTCTCCGTTGGACAGGAGCTTCTCTGGGAGTTTGTCAGCAACAGTCTACACGCGGGAAGAAGGAAAAAGGAAGGAAAAGACATGACGTACCCTTGTTGTAGAGCAGTTCTTCGCGGGTCTCAGTGGCATATTCGGCGTTGGGCGACTCGACGATGGCGTCAACCGGACAGGACTCCTGGCAGAAGCCGCAGTAGATGCACTTGGTCATGTCAATGTCATAACGGCTGGTGCGACGCGAGCCGTCGGCGCGCTCCTCAGCCTCAATCGTGATAGCCTGGGCTGGGCAGATAGCCTCGCACAGCTTGCAGGCGATACAGCGCTCCTCGCCGGACGGATAGCGGCGGAGGGCGTGCTCGCCACGGAACCGCGGCGAGATCGGGCCCTTCTCAAAGGGATAGTAGATGGTGTAGGGCGGCCGGAAAAACTGCTCCAGCAGCACGTACATGCCGCGCAGCATCTCCAGCAGCATAAAGTACTTGCCGATTTTGTCGAACGTGCCCACGCTCTCCTGGTCCCATTCCGGCCGCGGCTGGATGCGGAAGCCCTTGGGCGGCGGGCCAGCCGGCGTGGCGTAAGTCCGTCGTGACGACTGCGCAAACAGCGCCGCCGCCGCTATCCGGCCACTGGCAGACGAGGTGCCCGTCCGAGCAGCCGCCGCCGCCACGAGAGCAGCCGCAGGCGATCCGGGCAGGATCCGGGCGGCCCGCGCCATCGACGAGGCGCGCACTATCTGTGCAGAGAGCATCGTCTGTGTAGTTTGCTGCGTGCTTATGGGGGGGTGGATGGATGGGTGGTCGTGGCTGTACTCTGTTCGGTCCGGTCGTCGGTCCAGAGGAGGCAATCAAAACACTCAAAAGTGAAGTACCTCCTTGCCGTCACCAGGATTGATCGTTCAGGACAGGACAAAAAAACGAATCAATGCCAGAGTGCAAGGCCCGGGCAACTGGACTGCCCCAATTGGGAAGACAAGTCGATGGCGGCAGGTGGGCCGGTCAATTGGGTGAAGGGGGGGGGGGGGGGGGGCGTTGGACTGGCGTTACGTCTTGAGCTTGCTTCCGGGACAGAGCAGAAAAACCGACAAACGTTTTCGGATCGGGATTTTGGGGGTGGATGACTTCGTGTACCGTGTGATTGGCCGGGGAGCTCCACATATAAGTCACGTGTGGCGGGAATATCCCACAAGACAAAATTGCTAGCATAAGCAAAACGCTTCATATACTTGCTTCTAATCTGTGCCAACTCTCCAAATTTCGCTTTCATAAATCGTGTCTCGTGTTCCGGCTGTGGCTCGCATGCCACGCCCTAGAAGCTCTTGTCCCACGACACCCACCACATACCTATATTTGCGGCTACTATCAGGTCGAGCATCTTGAAGCCCTCGTTGTAGATGATGAGCTTGCCCAGCTTGGCCCGTTTGCCACGGTTGCCACCACCGGCCGGCTCGCGACCCATCGCGACAGCTAGGGTCTCGTCGTCGTCGTCTTCGTAGTCATCGGCGTCGCCGTCGTCCGACGAGGTCGACTGTCGGTGGTACCTCCAGCCGTACAAGTCTGGTCGGCTGCTACCGCTGCCGTCCTCAGCTTTGCCGCCCCGGAGCACGTCGCTGTTCGGCAAGTTAAACCGTAGCTCGCTGACCGGTGCAGCCCCGGTAATGACATCAGTAAAGGACCCCCCCGTAGCCCGGCCTCCGGCAGCGTTGACAGCTGCCGTCGTCATGCTCTGCCCGTCACGGATGTTCTGCGCGAGAACCAGCGGGTTGAATCCAGCCGAGCGGCCGCCGCCACCACCGCCCTCTCCACCGCCACTGCCTCCGCCGTCGTTGTGCAAGTAGTGACGACACTTGAGGCTGCGACCGCCGTTTCCGGTGCGGAACTCACATTGGCCGCCCCACGGGCTGGCGAATACGTAGCCGCGCGGCTTGAGGCCCGGGCCCGGTCGAGTAATCAGCGGCTGTGGTACGTCCACTGTGGCCGTATTGCTGGTGGGCATGTGGCTCACGGGGCGCTGCCGTTTCTGCTGCTGTTGCTGCTGTTGCTGCTGCTGCTGCGGTTCGGCGTCGCCGTCGAGCCCAGTTGTGTCTGAGGAAGACCGGTCGTGGCGGCGGAAGGCGTTGCGCAGGTTTGCCGTCCAGCTCTTGCCGTAGGACATGACGACCTGGCGCGAAAACCCGCTCTCGTCTCTGGGCTCGGGCCTGCCCTCGCGAGCCAAGTCCTGCAGGACTGCGGCCATGTCGCGTGGCGCAGTCTCGGCGTTGCGGCGCCGGGGGAAACCGCGAAATTTGGCATAGCCCGACGAGTCTAGACGGATGCTGATCGTGGCCTGTGGCTGCTGTTGCTGCTGCTGCTGTTGTTGGGTTTGGTCGCGGGCAGCGACGCTGGCATCGAGGCTATCCGGTGACCCAAAGCTACTTGCGGGCGGGTCTATCACCTGCAGCGAAGAGATCTTGCCGATGTTCCACTGATGATTGCTGGACGGGTCGCGGCGGATGAGGGTGAGCTGGAAAGGAACAAAGACCGGCGAGCGTGGAGACAGTGGAGAGAGCGGTCGCTGCTGCTTCTGGGTATCTATCGTCGTCTGGGAAGAGTAGGAGGCGAGGCTGGTGTTGGAGGTCGCAGTTATGAGGCCGATGGGGCGGGCGTCCTGCGGGTTGCTATTGCCATTGCCGACAGTACGTGGGCCCACGGGTTTCCGCGAGATGGACGGACGTGGTCTCAGCTGAACAGCTGGCGATGGGGAAGGTTGTGCGACTTCGACAGCGGTGACAATCTCGGGGGCCTTGACAGCCTCGAACTGGTGGTCCTCGTCCAGACGAAAACCGGGAGGGACCCAAGGCTGGCGGGGAGGCCGAGGTGGTTGCAGGGGCGGCACGTCTTGCGACGGAGCTGGTCGAGGAGGTAGTGGCGGCGGCTGTGGCTCATACAGGGATTGACTCGTGGACTGGCTGGGTGTTGGACTAGCTGGTACAGTCTCGTTCGTTTCTGGCCCTGGCAGCGGTGATAGAGGTGCATCGTCACGAGGTAGCTTTGCGGGCAGCGGCTTGCGGTGAATGGAGCTAGTGCGTGGCTGGTCGAAACTGGATCGCGGCGAGAAATTGCTAGCTTCACGGCCGGAGGAGGTCGACGAGACGAGGAGGCTGTCGCTGGGCAGATCGAGGTGAATGTAGTAAAGTGCGTTGGCGATATCTTCGGCCGTGACGTTTTTTCGCTGGGGCTTAAGGGTGGAGAGGATGACGTCTGACGAGGTTAGCAAGAAGGCCGATGGCAGATAGACAGTCAGGGCGAGTCAGGGCGAGTAGATTGTACCTCGAGTGCCCGGGACACGGGATATGTAGAGAGTGAGCGGCTCGCGCAGCCGTTCGGTGGGATTGTGAGGATACTGCGGCGGATTGGCGGCGAGCTCGTTGAGCTCCGACAGAGACGTCGCAGCCACGGCCGGTGTTGTGCTCATCGTGAGAGGGGACACGGAGAGAAGACAGATGGGGGACAGATGGGGACGTGTGTGCAGGTGGTGCAGCAGCCAGTTGTCTGACGGCGGCGATCAGATGAAGATCAAGGCAGCGGGACGGCCAAACAAAGCTTCGACGGCATAGCGAGGAGCTACTCTTGACGATGCAGGGCCACGTTGTCTTTTTTTTTGTCAGTGCTACTCTCTTCGTTGCTGCGGATAGACACCGTCTGTTGGGACACGAACGAGCTCTTGGCGAGAGCTTCCCGGCCGGTTGGGCAAGCTGAACCTTGATGTTTATTTTGATTTTGTCCATTTTCCACCATTTATTTTAGGATATCTCTATTTTAGTGCCTGGATGTCCGTAGCGGCAAAGTGCGTCGTCAGTCTGCAGGCTGTGGTGCGGGGCAGTGCAGAGGGGAAGGCCGGCCGCGCTAGTTGCCCAAGACCCGAATTTCCAGCAGTCGACGTCCTATGGCTTTCGGCGGCCTCTCATGCAGGAGGAACCTCACCAGGTCTCTAGCAAGCAGAGCAGGTGGTCAAACGATCTGGACGTCCGATAAGAGGCCCGTATGCAGTGGGACCGGAAACAAGAGGCCTTTTTGGCCGTGCCGTGATGGCTGTTCTGTCTGCTTCTCTGCTTCTGCCAAGGCTGAGTACTCCGTACCACGTCTCGCTCTGCTCCCAAAAAGCGCGTGCCTGTGATTGCAGCTTTTGCGTGTGGGCCCACCGTTAGCTATCCATTCGCCACGCCGTTTATGCGTTGCGCTGCGGCCGGACAGCGATCAAGTCCCAGATCCGGATGACGAGCAGACCAGCCTCAATTACTGGGCCGACATTAACGCTGTGACCGTGCATCCACACCTCCGGCCTCGCCATACGAGGCTCGCCTTCATGCACAAGCAGCGATGCGTTTCCCAGGTTGTGTCCACTCAGCATCTTGCGCCCATGCATCTGTCATGCCGCCCTCTCCCCACACACAGTTCTGGGCAATCCCGGTCCATTCTCTGCGGCTTGGATGTGGCCAGCCATGCATCGACGGGCCGCATGTTGTTGCCGCTCATGCGAGCACGAGGTATAGATCCGCCTGCTGCTCGTATATCAGGCCACGCTCGACCTGAGGTGGATTCTGCATCTACGTACTCTGGGCTCGAGCTTTTCAACAATATCTTCGACTTGACAGCTGCTTACGACGCGCAAGTACGCACACACACCCACACACACACACACATACGCCGGCATCATGTCTTCAAGACGCAACCCTCGCCAGGTAAAGTCGGCCAAGCGCTGGCTGAAGAGCCGACCCGCCAGAGATGTCAACTACCACGTGCACTCCCTCCGCTCATTGCGGTCACTCGAATCCGACGGATGTCACCCACACGCCCGCGCGGCAGAAGCCCTGCTGCGCATCGTCGCAGCCTGTCTGGCCAGCGTTGTCGTCAGCACCTGCGCCGTCACACAACTGCTAGTGCGTGTCACGAGCCCGCTGACCACCACCAACAGTCGCCTCGATCTCGGCCTCAGCTGGGTCATTGGTGTCCCGGTGGGCGGCCTGACCGCAGCCTGGCAGTTGAGCCGTCTTTTCTGGCTGCTGCTGGAGCCGTCTAAGAATAGCCGCCACCAAAGCCACCGGCCAGCTCTTCTGTTGGCAGCCGACGTCCTCGTGGAGATAGTTCTCTGCTTGGGCGCGGCCATCTGCGCAATCCTGGCTGGCTTCCAAGCCGCACGACATCTGTCGTTCAATCGGACGCACAAGGCAATCAGCTCTGCAAGTGCAAGGACGCATTACCACGATGTCGGTCCGGAAATAGCGCTGACTGCCCTTCTGGGACTCTTAATGTACGTATTTTCGGGCCGCCCGTCATATTGCCAAATCTTGACATGTACTGACTCAACAGGCTGTCAAGCTTCGGCATCCTGGGCCTGGTGCTGTCTGAGGCCTGTCGGTGGCGACGGAGCTCCAGTACTGACAGCAGCAGCTCAAGTGTGATCGAGATAATCCCACGAAGATGATATAATGAAAAAAAAAAACACTCAATCTGTAATCGCTGCAGCCTTTGATTTGTTACTGCAATGACAAGGCAGGCGCGTCCTGTCCGCCGTCTGACATTAGACTTGCGTGAGATACTGCAAAAGCATGGCAGAAGCAACTTCGTCACCCAGCCTGCGCTCGTTTCCCCTCTCAGCTATTGCCTGTCTCCCCCACAACCAATGCAAATTCCTCCTGAGTGTATGAATAGACGGTCTCAGCCATGCCCTTGGCCCTATACGAAACAGCCTGCTTGTTCCGCGCGATTGCTTCGCCGTTCCAATTGAGGCGGTACGCACCGCTGGCAATGGTGCCGTCGGCACCGGCCACGGCCGTCTTCAGGCGGATCTTGCTATCACTGTCGCTGCCGGTGCCTCTGGGGGGGTAGTACGCTGACGAGGCCATGAACAGCACGCGCTGGCCGCACTCGGCTTGCGGCACGGAGAAGAAGCTGAGCAGCGGCGCGACCAGGCGCCACAGTATCTTGACCCATCGCGGCAGCGGGCTCTTGTTGGCCAGGTCCGTCACCACATACCCGGGGTAGTAGTGCGCGAGGGCGATGCGGCCAGGATAGCGGGAGACGAGTGCCTCCATGTAAAAGGTGGTGAAGGAGGCGTTCTGGCCACCCCGCACTAGAATTCCCTGGTTCTCTGGCTTCCGGAGACTGAGGTCCGACTCGACGATGGCGCCCTCCAGCTTGGGGTTGAAGACAGACACGACGTGGCCCGGAGGATTGTCGTCCGTGTCATTAACCACATCGTCTTCCTGCACTGACAACAGAAGCGGCAGCAACTGGTCGACGACGCGCATGCGGCCGTAGTAGAAGAGTGAAGACGCAAAGTCGATGCCCTCGGCCGTTTGATGCTGGCTGAGTGACAAAACGCCCTGTGTGGCCACCAGCAAGTCGATGCGTGGCGCGTGACCCTCCTTTCGTGAAACAGCGCTTTCAGCCGCCGTGATGGTCTCACATACGTGATCCACGTCTGCCAGCAGGCTCAGATCTGCCGCCTTTACGAACTCATACTGTCCGTTGGCGTAAGCGGTACGGCAGTCGGCACTCAGCGTCTCGGCGGCCGTTTGGGACCGGCCAACAATGTACACTCGCAGACCGCGCGTGGTTTTGGCCTTGCCGAAGACGGTGGCAATACCCACCACAGCGTACGCACCTATGCCGGCAGTTCCACCTGTGAAGACGGCAACATACGGCCGGGAGCCGTTGCGGGCGAGATCCTGGTTGGCGGCCTCGACGACAGATAGCGCGACCATTGTAGTGTATGGCTGATGGTGATGATGATGGACGACGGCGTTCTCGAGGTCTGGATACAGAGTCGCGTTCTCGCAAATGACGTGGTGTGGCGTCACTTTCCGATATACGAGATACTGGTCTACTCTTGTACATCCCCTTGGGCCATCAACTTGGCCAGAATTTCAAGCAAAGCTCGAACAGTCTTGTGCGGGGTTTTATCTTTCACCGTTGGCTCCAGTCATGGCCCAACACAACCGATTAGTGTTAGTGAGCCGACTCGGCCACCAGCTGCAGTTTACATGGAATTCTAGAACTATGTCCAGATAGCGGGGATGGCTTTAACGGTCTTGGGAGTCACAAGTTGTCCCTACTTCCTGGTGCAGTACAGGGCTTGGATGGCATGGTTTAGAAGCTAATCGACAATGCAGCCTGTATTTTATCTGTCCTTTGTTTTCGTATCCTGTGCACATGGCCTTTAGTAAGATACATACTTGTTGTCATTCATGTTTCGATGGCTTCAGTCCGCGTTATTGGCACCGTTGTCCCCTCAGTCGCTTTACTTTATGATTCACTCAAACTTTGCGCTATGAACAGCACCCCTCTGTATTATCTAGCTGCGCCCGCCCTCACTCCGATGGTGGTGTTCCTGGAAAGCGCACAGCTCCTTCTGGGATTGGAACGACAGCCTTGTCTGCATATATGTGCTGGGCCGCGGTCCAGTCGAGCCCTGACACGATGACACCACCCTTGACACTGACCGTCGGCGCACCCGTGCCGTCGGCCTCGATGGCCTGGTGCAGCAGCCGTGACCCGCAGGTGGTGCAAAAGTAGCAGCCCATGTCGCGACCACTGCGGTATCTCTCGCCTGGTCGGCGGTACACGCTGACCTTGGTCCGCACTGCAGGCTCCAGGGGGAGAATGCCCTGCACCGGGAAGATGGCCGACGTGCCGTAGGCCGAGCTGCTCTGGTGCCGGCACTCATCGCAGTGGCAGTGGTACACAGCCAGTGGCGCAGCCGTGGGCAGGCGAAAGGTGACAGTTTTGCACTGGCAAGCGATATCCATGGCTGAAAAGGGCAGTCAAGAATGTAGACGACGAAGCTGCTTTGGCTGCCTGTCTAGTCGACAAAATATATGTGGGGCATAAATACAGTGCTTAAAATACGGAGTAACTCCTTCACATACTGTCAACTTGCTCGGCCTCTTTTCACATGACGTATCCAGCAAAACGCAGCGACGTTTTACGTTCTTTATGCTGGGGAATGTCATCCTGTCGTGTATTGACGAGCGCATTTTCGTTTTAAGAAATAAATTTTCAGAAACAGCTACTGTGTATTACAGTGAGGAAACACTTAGACGATCCAAACAGTGGCCTAAAATCCCGATGCTCAAAAAGCATTACAGCGCCCTCTAGTTTGAAGGCTTAAAACAACTGTCTTCAAAAGACCTGCGCTGGCCACGACGATTGTCAAGGACTGCCCACCAACTGCAACCGGTTGATCACAGACATCTTTGGTGCGCATAGACCGTTCCATGATGCTCCGTAGTGAGGGTTTGGCAGTATCTGTTTTTTTGGCTTTTTCGTCCCGAAAATAAGTGAACTTCAGGTTGGAAGCGCAAACCTATGGTTTTTGCGGAATAAGCTGCTCGGGGTACCATAACGATGCAAATCCCCATATTCGTAGCTAAGCAGCATTACCGATCGCGGTAAAACGGACACGCCTGAAGATCAACGAGATGAAATTAATCGGGTCAAGCCCGGTAACCGCATTGGGGGCAGTTGCGGAGTAGGCATAATAAGTGTCAGCTGTCAATCTCGGGAAAGGTGAGTCAAACAAGTCGGCCGAGATGTCGGTGATAAGCTCCACAAAGGTAGCTGTTACGGCCGTCCTTGAGGCCTCTCGTACGGGCAGTAATGCCATAGCGGAGTAAGACAAAGAAATGTTTCTTTCATTATCCAGCCTTCCCGACTTTTTAACAGAATGTCCAAGTCTTCGCAGTCGCTCAAAGAAACTAGGGGGGGTTGACCGACGGTCATAGTCCATTTGCATGTCCTTCTTACTCCTGCTGACGGCTTTGATGGTTTTCTTCACGAACTTTCGTCCATGTTTACCGCTTCCCAAATACGCAAGAGTCGTGGCAAACATCCCGATTGCTATCGACGTGTTGCGTGCCATTGGTTCTCGTAGGTCGTCTGGGGCGCCGTCGATAGTGGCCAGGATAACAGCTTCGATGGCCTTCTCCATGGCCTCCAACCGGGCAGATTGTAGACCTGAAGTCTTGGTGTCTCTGTCTTTCTTAAGTAGCGTGCCGGTCGGTTTGTACGGGGGTGGCTGATCCTGGTCCTCTCCCTCGTGTTTCTCGGCAGGCGTGCTGTCCGCGTTTATCTTACGAGCGCTTTCTTTCTTGCTCTTCAACGTGGTTTTCAGCCCCCGAGTGGGCTTGGAAGTGGAGGCCATTTTTCTTTGCAAGTATACTTTTAGAAGGAGGATTTGATTTGGGTAAAAGTTTTTTTTGCTCTAGAAAGGTAAGAGAAGATATCGTTTTTGGAAGCTTGACGGCGGATTGGTCTCGTCCTTAAATGTTTCGTCCTGTGAGCAAGGAACTATAGGGCAACAGGCCGAACAGTCATGGACGATGGACGATCATAAGCTACGCGGGGCAGCAATACGCAATGCTTCTCGCTTCACATATTCTCCTCACAGAGTTCATGATGTCATGTAAAGTAAGCTACGAAACCAAAGACACTGGCGGATGGACGCACATGTTGTTTGTTGCGGCAGACCAAAAGCCACTAATACAAGCTGGCCGCAAGAAGAAGCGAAGCCTATGATTACGCCAAGCAGGAGTGGAGAAGGGATATGGTTAAAGGGATGTTATATATAGAGATGTTGTACGGCGTACAAACTATATAGTTGGCTCGCTTTACGCCGTTGGTGGCCGTATGGGACTTCGCTGTTTAGACTCGTAGAACTAATGCGTCTTTCCTCTGAAGACAGTGTTTACAAAATTAGAATATATACTCCCACGGAATTCCCATCAGAAGCTTTTGACTTCTAGATGCAGACGCTTTCATCAAGAATTACTAGAGCTGAAATCTAACTCTTAGTAGAGAACTTGCAGCGCAGGAGGGAACAGTCAGCACAGCAGCAACAAAATCTGCGGGAAGAGCAGTACTGATCTTTTCAGCACGTGACAGAAACGGTTCCACTTTATCTTTTTTTTATCTTGTATTCCGTAGTCCGTACATTTACAGAAACTAAAATACACCATTGTCGAGCCTCGGTTACCTCTACATCACCACACAGGAGTTATCAAAGTTGCATATATAACAAGATAGGGCAAACAAACAGCAAACAAACGCGGGGAGCGATATTTCATCCACGCAGAACGCGAAGTACAAAAAGGAAAGAAATATTTAGCACGCGTCAGCTTTGCGACAGGTCTTTGCCGGATATTATCCCAGACGATATACTTTTAGGATGCAAGCGACTTGGTGATGATGTATTTTCCCAAGTCTGGCAGTATGATGCAGAGACTGTGATTAAATTCTGCGGACCGGGCGCACCTGGAGAAGTAGCTGCTATGCGTCTAGTGCGCGAAAAAAACATCCATTCCCGTTCCACAGGTTCTCAAATTTATCGAAAAGCCTAAGAATGAAGTCGGCATTATATATATGGAATATATTGATGGGGAGTCGCTTGATCAAGCGTGGCCATTGTTCAATAAAGCGCAAAGACAGAACATCATTACCCAACTCCGAGGATACCTGGACGAGCTGCGTTTGCTTGACAGTGATTTTATCGGCTCCGTGGATGGCTCGGCTTGCAACGACCAAATCTTTGCGAACAGAGCGTTTGAGTATGGACCATGCAACAATGAGGCAGAGTTCCGCGCTGATATCGCCAAATCACTTCTTGCATTTAAAAGAGACCCAATCTGGACTGGAATGGTCATCAGTTTTGTCGAGGCTAAGCCTAAACATGACCAGATTTTACTTACACATGGCGATCTAGTTCCAAAAAATATACTAGTAAAGGACGGAAAGATTGTAGGCATTGTGGATTGGGAGATGGCGGGTTTCTACCCTCCTTATTGGAAATATGTTAAGAGCCACTTATATGCCGACTCTGACCACCCGTGGATGGAAGAACAGGTTCTGGATAATATCCTGGATCCGCATATTTTAGAACTAGGCTTGCTTCTACACACACGTACCGTGTATATGTACTGATATTCGGAAAAGTCATACAAAATTATGTGCCAATCTACTTTCAGTACTCATTTTCGATTTGGTGGGCCGAATGTTCGGAGCTGTTCGTAATTTACGACGAACTGAATCCACGTACGTGATTAATTTGCTTTTCCAGTCTGAAATCTACAGCGTAGTTGCCCCTCTTTCCAACGGGGTCTGAAAATGCATTGGCCGTCCGATGTGTCCCGTTGTATTTTACCCCGCCATGACGGCCAAAACAGATGCCCCGCAGCATGTCCCCGCACTTTCCAAAAGCCTGTGACCGGCAAGTGTAGCTGCCATCCGGTTTCTGACGAGATCGCAGACCTGGCCGTCGAAGACAAGCCGGAGCAGTCAGACACGATGCCATCGACAACCAATAACCAGTACCCGGTGCCCGACCGGGCCGGTGAGCCGGTCAGGCAATATGTTACTGGCTAACCCTTCCTGAATTGCCTGATAGGCGCTGTTCTGTAGGGCTAAACGCCGAAAACGGCCCTGAAAACGTCGTCTGTGGTCCGCGTCCGATAAGGCAAGAATGTCGCTCCCATCATTTGATAGCACCTTCCGCTTTAGTAAGAGGAAGGGAAGGAGGGAAAAGGGAGTTCGTATTCAGGCTTTTGGAACGGTGAATCAAAAAACGAGACAAAAATCCGAGACAGTATACGAATTCGCCCACCCCCATCACTCTCATCACCATGGTCTCGCAGGCCCCCAATCGTGGCAGCGGCCCAGGGCTCGCGGGCGACGTGCTGCTTATTTTCATGCCGACGCCAGACGCCGGCTACTCGTGGCCAGATGCCGGCTGGATTGCGGCAACGGAGGCGCGCTACCCCGGCTTGCAAGTGCGATGGCTGCCACAAAAGGACCCGGCGACGGGCAAACCGCGCACGCCCGAGGAGCTACCGGCAGAGGTGTGGGAGGGAGTGACGCTGCTGTGTTCATCCTGGGCGCCGCCAGCACGGTTAATTCCCCATGTGCGCTTCATTCAGGCACCATCTGCGGGCGCGGACCGCTGGCTGCTTCATGAGGCCTACAAAGACCCACGAGTGACGCTCTGCACGGGGAACGGGACGCACGCGTAAGTGGGGAGAGAGGACGAGCGAGAGACAAAGACAAGACAAGATGCTAACGGCTCAGAACACAAATCGCCGAGTGGGTTATAGGGGTGTGGCTGATGTGGCGACACCGCTTCCTGGCCTTTGCGGAGCACATGAAGACGGGCAGCGGCTTTGAGAAGCAGGATGCGCACGATGTGTTGGAGTCGACGGGCTCGCGAGTGTGCGTACAGGCCGACGGTGATATGCAGCCCTTGCAAGCGTTCTATTGCTAATACTGCTAGGGGCATTCTCGGCTACGGCGCTATCGGCAGGCAGGTAGCACGGCTGTGCACAGGTCTCGGCATGGAAGTGTATGCGTACACGCGAACAGAGCGAGCAACGGCGGAAGCACGACGCGACGAGAGCTTCCGGGTACCGAACACAGGCGACCCGGCCGGCGAGCTGCCAGCGCGCTGGTTCCACGGCAGCGATGCAGCGGCATTGAACGGGTTTCTGGCGCAGGACTTGGACCTGCTGGTCGTCGCCGCGCCGCTGACAGCTGTCACCACTGGGCTTTTGAACACCGAGCAGTTTGCTGTACTGGGCCACCGGCCGGCCTCTACGTACGTCGTCAACGTTGCGCGGGGACCCGTCGTCGACACGGCGGCCCTGATGACGGCACTCGAGAGCGGCCAGATTGCTGGAGCAGCCCTCGACGTCACCGATCCCGAGCCGCTTCCGGCTGACCACGCGCTCTGGAAGGCACCTAACGTGTTCATCACGCCGCACGTCAGCTGGCAGAGCCAGAAGCGCTGGGGCCGGGCGCTGGAGATGCTAGAGCTTAACCTCCAACGTATGGCCGCAGGCGAGCCGCTGGTCAACGTGGTCAACAAGGAGCACAACTACTAGGGCGGCAGGGTGGGAGGTGGGGGATGTACTTCGTACTCCGTACTTAAAGGATGAAAAATCAGCCGTAGATACGGAGGTATTACTGGAACGATTTGAACGAATCCCCACTGACATGGGCAAATGTTTAATCCGCATCCACATGGCCTAACCAGGCCGTCAGACGCATCGACATAGGAGCAACATGCGCTATATTCCGTACACAACAGTCTAAGCCGTCAAGAAGCTGCAACCAGTCGCACAATGGAAGACGGAATCATTCAGCAGATCATGAAGTCGGGCAAGCGCGAGGGCGCGTACTACGAGACCGTGCCGACGACGATCCCTCCCGAGACCCGTCGGCTATTCGAAGAGTACGTTGGGACGGCAGCGGATGACGTGATTCCGTACCTGGCCGAGTTTGTGTGTTTGCCCCACGCCTATTCTGTTGCTGCCTCTGCTTCTGTGGCCTTCTTCTAATGGGCCCAGCGTGACCGCCTCTGGGACGTGTATCCATGGCCGTGTGTGGGCCAGTTCAAGTTCGTCTCGCTCACGCTGTACCGGCAGCCGTCGTACGGCCGGATCTGCGACATTGTCCGCCGCGGCGGCCGCTTCCTGGACATTGGATGTGCAGCCGGCCAGGACCTGCGGTACCTGATGCTAGATGCAGCCGCGGGCCAGACGGATGGGGCCGGAAACCCGCTGACGCCGTCTGCGCTGTCGGCCAACTCGTTTGGCCTCGACCGCATGGCCGGTTACATCGAGACGGCCTACGACTTCTTCCGCGACCGTGACCGGCTGCAGACGCGCTTCATCGTGGCCGACCTGTTCGACCGTCGAGCGGACGGCCCGGTCGAGCCGTTGTTGCGCGGATCCGTCGACGTGCTGCACGCTGGCATGATCGTGCACGTCTGGGACCTTCCGGGCCAGCACAGGGCCTGCGAGCGCATCGTCGAGCTGCTGGCGCCGCGGCCTGGCGTCATCGCTGTCGGCAACAACGTGGCCCGCCTCGAGGGCAAGGCCGGCGACTACATCGGCCCCGAGGGCACCATCATGTACAAGCACGACGCAGCCAGCTTCCGCGCCATGTGGGCAGAAGTGGGCGTCCGCACCGGCACCCGCTGGGAGGTCCGCACCCACAATGACCCCGTCGTCGGTCTCAACGGCGAGACCGCCCACTGGATCGACCCCGACACCAGCCGGCTGTACTGGGAGGTGGAGCGGCTGTAGGGCGCCTGCTTGCTGCGTGTAGTATAGTATTTTCGGTGTGGGTCTATAGTAACTACTACTTCCAGGCTTTCGTTCGTTACTCCAACGGCTGGAAGGCCAACTTGCAGCACATGTCGCGCGGTCGCGACGTCAGCAACTGATCCGCCATGTCCATGCTGTAGTGCATGTCGTCGGCCAGCGTGGTACGGTAGCGGGAGTAGACGGCGTGCAGCAGCGCGCGCATCTCCACCATGGCGACGCTGTTTGTGTCAGTGAGGAGAACAAACGCACAGAGCTCGGACAGGCTTACTTCTTGCCAATGCACATGCGTGGGCCTGCGCTAAAGGCAAACATGTGGCGGTTGCGGGCGGCCGCGCCGTCGGCAGCGAGCCATCGTTCGGGCAGAAACACGTCGGGTTCGGGAAACACGTCGTCATGGAGCCGGTGCAGCGTAAAGGACTGGGAGCTGACCACAGTGCCGCCCGGCAGCTGGTAGCCGTCCACGGTACAGCCACCCGCAGGGACGTAGCGCGGCAGAGGAAGTGTCCCCGGTGCCCACAGCCGCAGAGCCTCGCTGATGACGGCATCGAGGTAGGGCAACGTATGCAGGGAGCTGTTTCTGTCCGTCTTTTCATGTTCACCTCTTGCAGCCTGCAACTCAGCCGTCATCCGAGCCATGCGCGCTGCATTGTGTGGCCGCGACAGCTCGTGCATTAAGAAGCACAGCGTGTCACCTGTCGTGTCGATGCCCGCTCCGATGTGGTCCAGACACTCGGCCACCTTCTCGGACATGGCCAGCTCGTCGTCTCCGTACGTCTGCAGCCGCGACCCCAGCGTGATGGCCGACAGGTCGCGCTGCCGCATACAGCCCCACGCATACTCGCTGATCCGGCTGCCTGTCTTGAGGCTGGCCCGGCTCAGCCTCGCGTGCAGTGCCGCCAGGCGCGGAAAGTAGTGCTGTAAGACGAGGGCTGGGGAATGTCAGCATGCACGTGATTCAACCCGGCATCATCCTCACCACACTCACTCCGTCGGCTGTCATGATACGACAGCTTCTGCACCATCTGGCCGTCCGCGCCACCCTCGAGCGAGCGCGTGCCGTGGGGGTCAAAGCACACGGCCGTCACGCAGTCGAGAGCGTAGCAGTGGAGGTAACACTGGCACGTCAGCACGTCAGTCCGTCGAGACAACTAGCTCGGAGCTCTGGCTTACATAGACGTCGGCGCTGGCTGTCTTGGTGCACTGCTGCACGAACACGTCGGCACGCTCACTGATGAGGTTGAGCATCGGCTGCCTAAGCACACTCGTGTTGGAGTAGCGGTCGGCAAACCGCTTCTTCTTCTCCTTGTGCTCGTCCTTGTCCAGAGCCGTGAACAGATTTCTCGATTAGTCAGCATGCAGCCCCCGGTTCTCCTCCAGTCCGTCGCACCCCCAAACACGCACCTCTTCCCGCCCTGCTCGAAGAGCGTGTAGAGCTCTGTTTTGGCGAGGCCACCACCGGTTACATAAATGTCGCGCATGGCTGTTGCGGACCCAAAGGACGCTTCTCTAGGGGCCACCCGCACGACCGGTCCGTAACGGAGGTGCAGCCCATGGATCCACAGCCGCTTGTTGCCACCGTACTCGTGGTAGATCAACACGAGGCCGGTCAGGTTTGTGTACCAGGGCCCCGGAAGCCGGCTCATAGACGCAAATGCCAATCGGTACATCAACCAGCTGACCAGAAGGAGCGCCACAAGACCGCCAGTGGCCGTCGAAGCAACCCCGTTCGCCAGACCAGACACATCCACAAAGCAATCCATGGCCCGAGAGAGAAGTCTAGCAGACACGTTGTGCTGCTCAAATGCGCACAGCACAAAACGCGCCTTTTAATGGGACAGTGGCCGCCTGTCTTCTGACTCGTACGATACGGCGAGCCGGGATCTTTACCTGATGGCTGTCGGGGTCATCCGCAATAGGGAAACTGCACGCGTTATTTAAGCATGTCCTCGCAGCAGGTGAGCTATTGTGATAAGGGCTTGGCGAGATGGGCGTACATGTGACAAAAGTAATCAAAAAATCGAAAGCTCCTCTGGACACTAGCACGAGAAGGGTAAGTTTAAGAGATGCTGGGGACCCAGACACGGCTTATCTCCCGTAGCTAAACCTTATCGATGCAACTGGGCCCTTCATTCGGCAGAGCTGTTACTCATATCTCGAACAAATGTCACAGTGGAAAGTATGCCATGGCCCTTTGGCTATAACGCGTGTCTAGCATATCCAGTCTGTCTGCGGGGTCCTGTTGATTAAGCTATATTTAAGGAGAGCGTTCGCCTGTCTAGAATGTAGCCTTGTGTAGTTGTGTATCTTGTTTGACCATTCCTCATCGTCAGCACACCCACACCCACACACAAGATGGTGCACGAGGAGAAGCTGTCCTCTGGCAGTGGCAGCGACGAGCCGCTTGCCAAGGCGGTCAACGGTTTGAGCTCAGCGGCCCTAGACGGGGAGAAAGGCGACCTAGGCGACGGCCTAGCCGGCCAGCCGATGCGGTTGGACCCCTACGGCATCCCGCTGCAGCCTACGCCAACAGAAGACAGACGTGACCCGCTTAACTGGTCGCGGACGCAAAAGTATACGATCCTCTTCATCGTCTGCTACGCCACCTTCCTGGCCGTCTACATGACCGGCACGTCGATCGAGGCCTTCTTCCTGCTCGAGACACAGTTTGACGCCACCTACTCGCAGGTCAACTGGACCTTTGCCATTCCCTCTCTCGGTCTCGCCGTCGGCCCGCTGTTGTTCAATTCCCTCGCCGACAGCCACGGCCGCCGGCTGGTGCTGCTCGTCTGCACCGCTATTGCCATCCTCGCCAGCGGCTGCACCACCATCCGCGGCCTCAGCTACGGTGGCTACATGTTCTTCCGCTTCCTCCAGGGCATCGGTGGTGGTCCTCCCGTCGCCATTGGCTTCAGCATCATCCGCGACTTTTCCTGGGAGCACGAGCGCGGCTTCAACGTCGGCATCTGGGTCATGGCTCTCGACATTGGCGGCGTGCTCGGTGCCCTCGTCGGCGGCTTCACCGCCACCACCGGCACTTACTGGGCCAACTACCACGTCGCCATCGCCTATGCTGTCCTCCTTCTCCTCGAGATTTTCTGCCTGCCCGAGACCCTGTACCCTCGCGACCAGATTGTCGAGATGACCGATCGCGGCGAGGACATCAGCCTTCTGAAGTGCACAAAGGACCTCAAGCCATGGGTGCGTCCGTTTTCCTCCTCTCTAGGTATATATACCTCTATACTCACGTTTCTAACACCTGTAGTCTGTTGCAATGATTTCAGGCGTCCCACATCCTCGACCGCAGCAGGCCGTCATCCGCTTCGTCAAGTCCTGGGCTCATCCCAGACTCCTGCTGGCCCTGCTTCCCTACGTCTTTCTAGAGTACTGGTGGTAAGGCTGACTATCCCTAAACTCTCATTCCCAGGCACGCTGTATCGCTGACGTATTTACAGGATCTGCTCGTACCTCACTATGCTGCCGGCAGCCTACGAGAACTACAGTACTCAAATTCAGGGCGTTCTATTCGTCGGCCTGATGCTTGGCACCATACTGGCTGAGCTGCTAGTCTCTGGCCGGCTCAGCGACATCCTCACTTCACGCATGGCCCGGCGCAACAACAACGTGCGCACGCCCGAGATGCGCATCTACCTAGGCTACCCCGGCGCCGTGTTGGCTGCTGTCGGCTGTATTATATGGGGCATATCTATCGACCGCAACTGGCACTGGATCACGGGACAGGTTGCGTTTGTGCTGTGTGAGTGCTGCCTGCCGTGTTCCTCTGACCTCTTGCGCTCCTGCTAACAACCGTAGACTCTGCTGGCCTGCAATTGGGCAACTCGGCCGTTTCTACGTACTTGTTCGATTGCTACCCCAATAATGTCGTCGAGATGATGACATTCTACTGTGTTGTTCTTAATGTGATTTCGTCCCCAGAACGCAGCCGCGTTGTTCCTCGATTCTGACGTATACTGTGGCAGCTCTCAGCTTTCATCGAACCATGGATCATCAACTACTGGGTCGATTCTGTCGGTGAGTCAACTATGACTGCTTCGTGATAAGATGCTGCACCGTCCCTCTATCCATAGCTAACATATTGTCTACAGGGTATACATGGTGCTTTGTCACTCAGGGCCTGATCACGCTCCTGCTAATCCCGGCATACGCCCTGCTGCAATGGTTTGGACCGCGACTGGAAAAGGATATGATATTTGATTAGAAAGGGTCGCGTCTTTTGTATACATCAGATACGAAGTAAGATACGAAGTGATGCCTCGAGATAGATATCTTCTCAGACAATTACGGAGTGACGTACTCCGTATTTCCGCCTTTCCGGTTCCGCCGACCATAGCGGGTCGGTGCTGTTCAGCCGGCTCTAGGCCACTGCAAGCGATAAGGGAAGGGCGGAATAATAGGGGGATAAAAGGGAATACTCCGTACTCCGTACTCGTACGTGAAGCGGTGTGAGACCGGTGCTCGTATTGTACTCCGTACTTCTGCGGAGCACGACGGTACAAGCCGGCTTGTCACGTGTGTGATACTTGCATTGGCCACGGACGTGTTGGTTTTTTGGAGATCTGTGTCGTACTGTGTGTATTTGCTCCCGAGTAAATGTAAAATTACTGTCCGGTCTGATGACCGTTTGCTAAACGCTTTCCACATCCCTTGCCTCACTGATTTAACGTCATCGTTGACTTCCAGATACCGGGCACATGGATTGATGCGCAACTCAAAAATTCGTCTGTCATGATTTTGCTTACCAGAGATCCGACTTTGTCATTCAAGCTGCTCCATTTGGTTCTTGGTGCCCCAATTCGTCTTCGCAGCTACTACCGGGCCCATCACCATGTCTGCTTCATCTAATCCAAGGCGCCGATGCTGGTTGTGGAAATTGATCCATTGGCAAGCAAGCATACGAAAGAAGGTGGAGTTGGTACAAAATATGGCTTCAACCCGGAAGAACGTCGATAAAGACCCCTCTCCGCGATACGAACATATTGATAAGGCCCCTGCTCGGCCCGCAGCTTGCATGGCACTCAATCTCGGGAGTGCAACGACTATCTCTATGGGTGCGTTGCCTTATACGGATGGTCTCGATCCAAATGTAAACATTATCGGGCTGACCCTCGACACAATCCTCCCACTGCTGCTTCCACCGCCATACCCTCGTTGTGGGTTTCGCAAATCAACTGACCGTCTTTTGGATGCGGTTGATAGCGTCAAGCTTGTCGTGACGGCCAAGTACCCAGACGATAGTTGCCTTGATACTGCATCTAATCTATGGTCAACCGAGAACTTGGCCGGAATGATGCAGAGGCTCGACGCCACCGTCACTGCCACAAAGGCCTGCGTTGCTGCCCTCTCAGACTGTTCATGCACTCTAGTGCGGATACTAAACCAAGAGAAGAGAGATGTGCAGAACTCTCAGTGCTTACTGGCTGCATATGCCTGTAGTATCGTGGCCAACCTCGCGCACCAATCGGCGCAGGAGTCAATCACTGCGGCTGTTGGGTTAGCGAATGCATCTGCTGCATGTATGTCGCCTAGCGATTTTACTATTTTGGCGGAAGCCATCAGCTCCTCCAGAAGCCTTGCCAGAATTCTCAAGCGGGCCTGCAAAGACACCTACGAGGCTACCAGCATTGCCTATCTACAAAATATTCGACATTGCTTGCAGGAAGCAGGCGTTATGCTGAAAACCCACAAGTTGCGATTTTCAATCAAACAAATGATGTCCGTCTCTGTGTCTATTAGATACGACCTTCCGAAAATTTCTATCGCTGCCGTAGACAGAGACGTTACTGGTGCTTCGGTCGCTGTTTCTGTCGCTCAGTCTGCCTTATCAGCAGCTTCTGGGAGTCGGCGCGTTTTCGTTATCGCTGCAGCGGTGGAACCCACTGGCCAAGGATCTGCTATGGCATCCACAGAAGCGCCTGCAGAGGATCTGGAAGCCTCGACAAATGCTGGCAACGGCCTAAAAGTGGTCGTCTGCTTGGGTCGCAGTAATGCCCGTGGAATCTCTGCGTTTGGCGGTGGCGTAGAGGCTCTTAATTTGGTCCGTGCCGTCTTTGCGGCAATCCGGAAATACGGTTTGTGACGAAGATGGGATAGAATGAGAGTGTGCCGGCCAGCATTCGGAAATCCGAGTGAGCGAGAAAACGCACTATGCATCTCGTCGTACCTTGGTGGCATCTTGTTTACGAAAGGAACCTACATTGCAATGATACCCATGTACTCTGTGGGTTTTATCTTTTCGTTATCAAGACGTTGTTCTAAAACTGTTAATACCAAGTACGGAGTACTATGTGGACCTTCAACTTGGTGAAACCCCCTTTTCTACTCCGTAACTTCCTAACCGTTGTGAGATACATATGCATTGCTACATCGTAAGTATCCATAGCCGAGGGCCAATAGCCAACTCGTGGTCTAGGCCGTACTCTGTACGGAGTACTCGTGTACGAGCCCTTGCTCCGTACAGTTTTGATCAAGCCCTTGCAGGCACGTTATGCACCTTTACGAAGTACGGATAACGCCTTGGAGCATCTGGCAGATCGACAGCTTGATATGTATTTTACGGCGTAAAGGCGGCATGATACATCCGTACTTCCGCCCCAACGAAAGCATTTGTAATCGGATTGCGTGCTGGAATTAACGCCATATCGCTAATTAAAACCGAGAAGCCACTTCCTGCCTCTACGGAGTCGGAGCTACGGAATAACTTCTGCACATCTAACTGGCCTAATTCGGTATTTGGTGTTAGCCAAACGCGGTAGCTTTGCTCGTAGCCCCGATTTTGCAATGCTTCGGAGCCTTGTTCGGCAGCTTCAAAACGGCTGTAGAGACAGCAACTGTACGCCGGAGAATGTCAGCCACAGAAACTCCCACATTTGACCTCTTGGGACTAGTACCGTGTAATCAAGATGCCAATAAAGATCCAGTCTTCCCAATCTAGGTGGAGCAAAGACGACAATCCATCAATGCGGAAATACGGATGATGTGGATATTCAGAAGTGCGTAGTACTGTTTGGAAAGCTATACGTACTACGGTGAGCCGCGAGTCGATATATATGAAAAGGCTTGCTTGCTACTGAACCGTTTGGTACACTTGGCTTGCTTGTCCCTATCACAAGGCAACCAAAGCAGCTGGGCAAACGGCAGCCAGACGACGAACGACCATGGCCTACACAAACAGCGTGCTCGACGCGCCGAGTGACACAGACATTGAGTTCACCATCCAGCAGGATGGCAGTCTGCAAGAAGACACTGCCCGCAAAAGCCTGACTCTGACGTTCCAAAACTTGACCGTCAATGTCAAGGCTGCAGAAGAGGCTCTCGGCGCGACGCTGCTGTCCTACGTCGATCCTCGCCAGCTGCTTGTTCCATTTATGAAAGACAAAACTCCCAGCAGGGTAATTGATTGTATCCTTTGCCGTTCTCAGTCTGGACGAGGGCTAACATGGCCGCTGCAGAGCATTCTTCGTAACGTGAACGGGCAGATCTCTCCCGGTGAAATGGTAAGCCGTAGTTGGATGCTGGGCCCTCTATCTAGTTAGCACGACGGCTTACAGGATTTTGCCTAATGCAGCTTCTCGTTCTTGGTCGTCCTGGCTCTGGCTGCACGTCGCTTCTCCGTGTGCTGTCGAACCACCGCGAGTCCTTTGACTCGGTCGAGGGCCATACGTGGTACGGAAGCATGGACCACAATGAAGCCCGCAAATATCGTCAACAGATCATGATGAACACAGAAGGTTAGTCTGCTCCACCCGCCTTGTGTCTTTTTTTTGTTTTTTGCTGATCTGTGTGGCTTCTCAGACGATGTCCATTTCCCCACCCTCACTGTCGACGAGACTATCAGTTTTGCAGTCAAGAACAGGACGCCCCGCGAGCGAGAAGATCATGTCAAAGACAAGCGCCAGTTTCTCAGCCACACCAAAGAGGGCGTTCTCGGTGCTCTAGGAATCAGCCACACCGCAAACACTAAGGTTGGCAACGAGTTTATTCGCGGCGTATCAGGAGGAGAGAGGAAGCGGGTGTCCCTGGCCGAAGTGCTAGCCGGACAGGTGAGAACTTAACTTCTTAATGGCAATATCTCCGCCTGCTGGGAACCGCCAATGCTGACTGATTTCTCCCTTTTCAGAGCCCTGTACAGTTCTGGGACCAGCCGACCCGTGGTCTCGACTCGAAGACCGCCTTGGAGTTTATTGAGTTCCTTAGGGCCGAAGCAGATCAGCGGAGGAAGACTATTGTCGTGACTACCTACCAGGCCAGCAACGGCATCTTTGACAAGTTCGACAAGGTCCTCGTCTTGGCCAGCGGCTGTGTTATCTACTACGGCCCACTCAACCAGTCTCGCCGCTACTTTGAGGCGCTAGGTTTTGTCTGTGCAAAGGGCGCCAACACGGCCGACTTCCTTACGTCTGTCACCGTGCTTACGGAACGCATTATCGCAGCCGGATTCGAAGGCAAGGTCCCGAGCACGGCCTATGAATTCGAGGAGGCATACCAAAACAGCCAGATACACCGAGTTATGCAGGACATCCAAAAACCGATACACTCTCTCGAAAAGGAAGTAGATCATCTCAAAGAGGCCGTCCGGCGAGAGAAGAAGGCTCGGTACTACGACAAGAACAGAAGCGTGTACACGTCAGGTCTCGTTAGTCAGGTTCTCAACTGCACGGTTCGGTACGCATAGCCAAAGAGGGTTGGGGCAAAATATAAACAATATCGCTGACACTTTCACAGACAATTTCAGATCATGATGGGGGATCGGCTTTCCCTCAACGTCAAGGTTTTATCTGCAATGGTCCAGGCTTTGGTCTGTGGCAGTCTCTTTTACAACCTCTCCGACACCAGTAAATCAACGTTCTTGCGCCCTGGTGTTCTATTCTTTGCTGTTCTCTACTTTCTGATGGAGGCCATGTCGGAAACCACTGCCTCCTTCACGGGCCGCCCTATCCTCGCTCGCCATAAGCGCTTTGGCTTCTATCGTCCAACGGCTTTCTGCATTGCCGATGCCCTCACCGATATTCCTGTTGTGATGCTTCAGATTACGTTATTTGCAATGATCATCTACTTCATGTCCGGTCTCCAGATGGATGCAGGGAAATTCTTCACGTATTGGGTCATCGTCAATGCGAGCACCCTGACCTTCACTCAGCTCTTCCGGATGGTGGGCGCATTGTGCACCAACTTTGGTACGGCTTCGCAGCTGACCGGCGTCCTCTCCACCATTTGTTTTGTTTACGGAGGTATGTCTTATCCTCTGATGTGCCTCTGAATAAACGAATATGGTTCTAATTGCGAGTTTAGGGTATTTGATTCCGTTCGAGAAAATGCACCCTTGGTTCCGTTGGATATTCTATCTCAACCCCGGAGCCTACGCATTTGAATCGCTCATGGGAAACGAGTATGGTGGCTTGAAGCTCAAGTGTGTGGCTCCTCAGATGGTTCCGTTTGGAATCATGTACGACAACTTGGGAAGTTCTTTCCACGGATGCACGGTTGCTGGAAGTGATGCCGACGGCATAATTGACGGCCTGGTGTACATCAGAGAGCAGTACTCGTACTCCGAGGGCCACATTTGGCGTGGCTTTGGTGTTCTCATTGGTCTCTGGATCACTTTCATCGCCGTCACAGCTCTCGGATTTGAATTTCGGAACGGTCACAACGGCTCGTCTGTTCTTCTCTACAAACGCACCATCTTGGACAAATCTCGGCCGAAGGACGTCGAAGAAGCAGTTACAACTGTAGAAAAGACATATTCTGCCCCTCCATCACAAGCAGTCAAGCAGTCTGTGTTTTGCTGGCATGATCTGGACTACTTTGTTCAGTACGAGGGCGCTCAGAAGCAGCTTTTGAACAAGATCTTCGGCTATGTCCAGCCCGGAAACCTCGTCGCCCTGATGGGTTGCTCTGGTGCTGGGAAGACAACGTGAGCACATAATATCCCGATGCAAAATGCAATACACGTTTCTAACAACCTTTAGCCTTCTGGACGTATTGGCCCAACGGAAGGATTTCGGGACAATTAACGGGTCTATTCTGATTGACGGGAAGCCTCAAGGCTTGAGCTTCCAGCGCATGACCGGATATTGCGAGCAGATGGATGTTCACGAAGACACATCCACTGTCAAGGAAGCCCTTGTCTTCTCTGCTCTCCTCCGCCAGCCTCGCGAAGTGCCCATCAGTGAAAAACTGGCCTATGTCGAATACATAATCGACCTGCTAGAGCTGCGCAACTTTTGTGACGCTCTCATCGGCGGTATGCACGAGCAATTCTCTGGTCCAGTTTAGCTTTTGCCTGGCAATGTTTTGCTAATACCAATCACAGTGCCTGGTGCTGGCCTCAGTATTGAACAGCGAAAGCGTGTGACCCTCGGTGTCGAGCTTGTAGCCAAGCCGACCTTGTTGTTCTTGGACGAGCCAACCTCTGGGCTTGATGGTCAATCTGCCTACAACATCATCCGTTTCCTTCGCCGTCTTGTCGAGGGTGGCCAGGCTGTTTTGTGCACCATTCACCAACCTTCGGCCGTCTTATTTGAAGCCTTTGACGCCCTTCTACTTTTGGCCAAGGGGGGTAGAATGGCCTACTTCGGAGAGAGTTAGTTGCCTCGAACTCACTGCCCTATTCCGAGCTGTACATGATGTCTAACGAACTCACAGCTGGAAAAGACTCTTCCGTTGTTCTGGACTACTTCGCACGAAACGGAGCACCTGCTGGCGCTGATGTTAATCCTGCCGACCACATTGTTGAAGTCATCCAAGGGAAAGGCAAGGATGATGTAGACTGGGTTGCTACTTGGAGCGAGTCTGCAGAACGGAAAGAGGCACTCAACACCCTCAATTCACTTGTTGCGCGATTTGATGCCACCGCAACATCTGAAAACGATACAAGGGAGTTCGCTTCGACAAAATGGTACCAGTTTACTCTCGTTTTAGAAAGGCTTATGAACCAACTTTGGAGGTCACCTGTAAGTTTTTTTAATGTCTGAGTGCTTTTCGGCCGACTAATATTTTCGCGACAAGGACTACATCTGGAACAAAATCGTACTACACGTATTTGCTGCCTTGTTCGGAGGGTTTACGTTCTGGAACATCGGAAACGGCACATTCGACTTGCAGTTGCGCCTGTTTGCGATTTTCAACTTGATCTTCGTGGCTCCCGGATGTATCAATCAAATGCAGCCATTTTTCTTGCACAACCGTGACCTGTTTGAGACTCGAGAGAAGAAGGTGAGCCTGTCCTTCTTTTCAAAGCTCCTTTTGAATACCGAGCTAACTGGGTTAGTCTAAAACGTACCACTGGCTGGCCTTCATCGGCGCTCAGATTGTGTCTGAGATCCCGTACCTTGTTATCTGCGCTACTGCGTACTTTGGTTGCTGGTATTTTACTGTGGGATTCCCAGTGACAGCAAAGACCTCCGGTCACATTTACTTACAGATGATTCGTATGGTTTCCTCTTATGCAAGCAATTTCGAAGAAGCCCTTACTAATTGTCGTCAGTCTACGAGTTTTTGTATACTTCCATTGGCCAGGCCATTGCAGCCTATGCTCCGAATGTGTACTTTGCCGCCATCACGAACCCTCTTCTCATTGGCTGTGGTCTCATCTCCTTCTGCGGTATTGTTGTACCTTACGCATCCATGCAGACCTTTTGGAAATACTGGATCTACTACCTCGACCCTTTCAATTATCTCATGGGTGGGCTCCTTGCACCAGTGTTGTGGGACGTCAATGTTAAGTGCGGCAAAAAGGAGTTGACGACTTTCAATCCGCCAAGTGGACAGACCTGTGGCCAATACATGGCTGATTTCCTGCAGTCCAACGCCGGCTATGTCAACAACGCCAGTGCTACTTCCAACTGCGAATACTGCCCATACCAAACTGGGGCTGATTACGCCAAAACGTTCAACTTGCGCAAAGAATATTACGGGTGGAGAGATGTAAGAACTACGCTGCTTATTCCTATGACTTTACATCCTGTTGACATTTATCTTTTAGACTGGCATCACTGCTCTCTTCTGCCTTTCTTCGTATGCTCTTGTCATCATCATGATGAAGCTGCGGAGTAAAAAGACTAAGAGTGCACGCTCGGAGTAGTTATCAGTCTTCTATGGGAGTTTAGGTCATGCGGCCAGACTTTTGGCGTCTGGCTGTTGGGGAGTCGGAGTTGATAATTCGTGCGCCTTGAAAGGGCAGTCTGTTTAATAGATAGAATGGGGCCTCTTAATTCGTGCGCCTACAACAGGTGCAGTCTAGCTACTCTTTTATGTTATTTGTTTTCGATTAGACAATAACAATGCTTATCATGACCATTTTTGGTCAATCATAACGAGACGCTTCTACCGTATCATACGCTTCATTGTTTTGCACCGTGTGGTAGTAAATCATTTGAGCGCGACTCGTATCGGACTTGACAACAAAACCTATGCTGCGAACTATCAAAGGTTTCGCAGAAGTTGGGATCTCTGCCGTCAGAGGAAACTTGCTCCCTTGCATGCGTTAATTGGCCTTTGAAATTCGCATCCATAGGCCTTCCCTAGGTCGTAGCTGACCTGATGGGTTGACCACTTCAACCTTATCATTCCTGAGAGGCTCAATGTTGTACTGGGTTACCAATGCCAGGATTACCGTCTTGAAGTTGAGCATTGCGAAAGCCTTGCCTATGCACGAGCGTGGACCATGACCGAAAGCTGCCCAGGCATACGTGTTTTCGCTGGCACCACCAGAGATCCGGCCCCAGCGGTCAGGATCAAACTGACTGGCATCTTCGCCCCATATGGAAGGGTTATGTTGGATAACAGCGGGAACGGGCATCACGATGGTGCCTTTGGGAATAAGCTGGCCGGCAATAACGACATCTTCAATGGCCTCTCGTGGAATTCCGGAAACTGTGGGTCAACGAAGTCAGTGGACTGAGCACGGAATAGCGAAAAAAATCCTTACCGGGACAATAGACTCGCACGACCTCGCGCAGGAAGTAGTCCAAGTAGTGTAAGTGCTCGATGTCAGCAAAGTCAAGTGACGAGTCGCGCTGATACAGCGGCTCTGCCTCCGCGCGCAGTTTTTCTACGACGTGTGGATTCTGGCTAAGTGCAAGTGTTGCCCAAGTGAGTGCGCTCGCCGTGGTCTCGTGTCCTGTAGCCATGACATTGAGCACCTGCATACGATGGATTTGTGAGCATGTGAAGCGGGTGGCAGACGTCATTCTGCTTGCAAGATAACATACCTGCTCTACCAGATCTTCCTTGGACCACGCATCCTTTTTTGAGTTGTATTTTTCCTCAATCATGTACGTGAGGAGATCCGTCCTGTTGCTGGACTGTCGGAATTCCGCCAACTTTTGGATGCGTTCCTCAACCATGTCTGTCAGTATCGCCCGCAGCCGTGCACTTGCTGAGAGAAATGCAATGTTCTCAGGGAAGGGAAGCCAGCGAATCGGCAAAACGAGGTTCACGGCGGCAAGTGTCATTCCAAGTGGCGAGAGATCAAACATTTTCTGGTAGCAGGTCAAGAACTCGGTCTTTCCCTCCAAATTTGCCAAGTCGATCCCTAGGCAAAATATGCCGATGACGTCCAGGGTGATCTTAAGAGTATAGCTCCTTTACTAATACGAAACCGGCGCGGTCAGATACAAACATGAATGCCCTTCGGATTCGGTATACATACTTTCAACCAGTCCTCCGTTGGCAGAGCAAAGACTTCCAATCTCGTTGGCTAGTCTCTGTGCCTTGTCACTGAAGATGGGAAGATATGCCTTGATATTGGCAACAGTAAACAACCCTGGGGCCGTTAGATTTTGAACTAGGGCATAGGATAGGAGGATTCTCACCGCCGAGCGCTTTTCGCTGTGCTATGTGTTCAGTGCCTTCGGCAAAGACAAGGCCGACACCAATGATATCTCCTATCAAGCGACGAAATGGCTTCGTCCGTACGAAGGAGTAACATTTAGTATGCAACACCTCTCTGTATGGCTCGAGGCTATTGATGAGGACAGCATCCGCGTTTCCAACCTCAAAATAACGTATGAATGGCTCGTGTGGCCATTGGTTCATCCAACTCTTGTAGGGCTCCTCGGGAGACCCGGAACGGAACTGGTTCAGCTGATGTCCTATGAGAAAATGGTGGTCCTAAGCAGGTGGTATTGCTGTCAGTAATGGCCGGGGATGATCATAAGAAGCAGCATGAGTAGGTTACCTTGGGCCCCGGAAGCCTGCGAAGTGGTGAGGCGTAGTAAGGATAGACAAAAAATATGTACACAAGACGAACGGACGGAGGAATACAAGAAGGCCAGCGATATATGCCAAACGTGGAAGGGAAAAATAAGGTGCAAGTGCAAGTTGTACCTGCTGCCACACAGGAGTGGTCGCATCTGTCGTTTTCATTTTCGTAATATGTTAACTACGGATTAGTGACATATAATATGATCAATATGAGCCTGAGAGGGTGAAGGCCACTTGAATGACAAGTGACTTTCTGCCTCAGATCTCTGGGAGCTTCTCTTTATGTATCCCGCAAGGCTCTACCCATTTGCTATACCATGCTCCGTCTTATCGGCTCTTTGTTCTTCTTTTTATCCCTGCAGTGATATTGCCTGCCTCGCTTATGTGGACAGACGAGGTGCAACAGGAGGACTGTATGCCGTTGGTGATACGGATATAAGCAGGGTGAGAGATACTTCAATGTCGGTTATCGAATATAGCCCCCTCCCTAGCATCATTTGAGAAGGGTAGAGTCTTAGCAGTTGCCAGTGAAATTGGGAAAGAACACACATTTGCAAAAAAAATAAAGTGGCCGTAAGAAAAGCGCGTTAATAATCTGTATGAAAACGCATCAGATGGTATTGGAAGCCAATGAGGCCCTTAAGCATCTTTCCGTCGGCGAGAAAAATGACAGGATATCCTTTGCTCATGATAAGTGTTGCACGCTCCGCGGTAGATACGAGAACCCGGCGATGACAAGGCTTTGCGATGGTGTATCAGACGGTGCACCTTATCTGGGAGAGGACAAAACATATTCTGAATCCTGGTAAATCAGCTCTATTGCTTTGTGGACGGTTTTGATAACCCCATTTTCGGCTTTTATTTCAGATCCCCACACCCCACAGAATTGCTCTGTACCCTATGCGAGATCTCCAGATGCTGCCAATATGGCGTTCCCACGATCGTGGGGCCAACTGTGGCCTGATGTTAAGGGTTACATACGACGTGTACTACTCCGTATTGTGAGCTGTTCCGGGAGACTTACGTCAGGGACCTTCCCTGGCACAGGCCAGAGCAAAGTTGCAATGGTTCCTGAATCTGAAGAAGTAGTCGCTCTCACAGGCCGGCACATTCTCTGAGGCCTCCCTAGAAGAGCCACAAGCACATCAGTAACTGTGTCTATAAGGTGCCCGTTTGTTCAAGAATCGGGTGGATTAGGGTTCCTTGGGTATCCCTCGTTCTAAGCCGGCCGGAAGCGGCGTCATTACAATCATTAAAAACCAAGCTGCTCTTTTATCAATCCTGCCCGGGGTATTCAAGGCCTCTCTCCAGATCTGTGGTCTCACTCCGCACCGAGGCCTTTCCGCCGCTGAGGTCGCCACTGCGAGCGAGGTCACGCAGGCTCACGTGGCCGGACTTGTCGCCTGTGATGCGCTCCGTACTCTCGGTGGCGTCCAGGCCGTGCAGCGACCGGTACTGGCTGTGCCTCTGCGTACTCCTATCTTCGGCTGTCGTGCCGGTGGGATGGGCGGACGCGTTCTGGCTCCGCTTTCTCGAGACGCTCCAGGCATCGAGTGAGAAAATTTTGCGCAGCAAGGTCCAGCTAAAGGGAATGTTGGCGACCATGATGGCCGTGCTGGCCTCACCGTTGTACCAGATGAGAAAGACGTAGCTGTTCGTCTCGGTGAAGTTGTAGTACCGGTTGAGGATGGCGACGAGAACGACAGCAAGGCCGAGGCCGAAGACGAAGCAGAGGACGACCTTGCGCTGCATCGGCAAGTTTGTGCGCGCGATCAGTGGCACGGGGATCAGCAGCATAAGGAGGTCGGACGAGACGTGAAAGGCGGTCATGGTGATCATGTGGTGGCGGTACGTCTTGCACTGCGGCTGGTCATCGGGCACTGGCACCTCCCAGTATGCGTGAAAGGGACGGCACCAGACGCCAAAGTAGAGGATCTGCACGACGACGTAGCCGACGGCGCAGTAGACGGCTACAATCCGGACGGCGTAGCTCTCGCCAAGGCCGGCACTGCAGGAGAAGGGGGATGACGATTAGCCGGCTGAGGGCAGTAAAGACGGCGCGAAGCAACAGACGACGGCGCACACTCACGTCAGACGGCCGTACAGCAGGAGCAGACAGGCTTTGACCAGCCAGACAGTAGTCATCATGCACTCTTCCAGGACGATGAGCAGCTTGCTGCCAATCCTGGCATTGGCCTTTTCCTGCGCCGACCAAGTGGCGATCTCGCTGTCGTCGGCATAGTTGCTGCCGTACACCGCCACTTTGTTTGACGACACGACGACTCCGGTAAAGGTGAGCTGGGGTAGGACTGTCAGCGACGAACGGGCGCACGGCCACGGCCAGGTAAGGGCAAGAGAGGAGCTCGCACCACGCATAGCATCATCAGGTAGTCGTCCAGCTGGAATTTTCGAAAACTACCAAAGAGCATACGGCGCGAGGCCATGCGCCAGAGGACGATGAAAATGGCGAAGCCGTACAGAGTCCATGAGCCGACAACGAGCCCGGGGGCTTGTGCACTCATGATTGATTGCCGGGTGGTGCGGCTGTGTCAAAGCACGCGACCGTGGACGTTTGTCGCAAGCGCAGAAAAGGCCGTTGCGGCGGCGCTCGTCTTTCAGGCCTGTTTTTTGAACCGGCTTCTACATATTCATATACGGCTACCCACAAGCACACATACGAAGTACGTGCACACACCCCCTAGCCGGGGAATCAGTGCAAATCAGAACCAGGAATCAGAACCGGCATAGTGCGGCGTGGACGGAGGGAGATAAGGGCCAGGTCTGAGGGCCAATCCGAGGCGTCTCCCACTATCTGTTTAATAGTAGTATCTGTTTAGCAGCGGCACAAACTTCTGCCTTGCCCCTCCTCCCCTGGGCTGAGAATGCATTCTACGGCACACTCGTACGGAGTACTCGTACATTCGGAGTGGGCCTATCTCCTATGCTCACTTCTCATTCGCGAATTTCAAAAGGCCTGTGGTCAAGCCTAAGTTGTAAGCCGGCGCGCCCCAGCTTACTCCATTGCTTCGAGCTATTCGTGGGAGCGGCTGTCGTGGGGGTGGCTACAACCCCTTTCATGAGCATTGAAAAACAGGCTGGGGGACAGAGCGGTTCTACTCCGTACGGGCTAGCCGGGCTTGGTAATCTGCGGAAGGATTTGACATGCTTCAAGGCATTTCGTTCTCATCGTTCACGCTGTATGAAGTATCTCGCCTCGTACGGAGTGGACGTATTCCACAGGTCGCGCCCTGTCGGCGGCTTGTCGAAATTCCTGCGAGAACTGCGAAGTATCTTACTATGGAGTATGCACTGGTAAGTAGGTACGGAGTACGGAGTACTCCGTAGTGGTAGCAGCACTAAGGACAAGATCTCCACACAAATGGTCAACCTGTGCCGTTGTGACTCCACACGCAGTCGTGTCGTAAGGATACATCGCGCATCCCTGCGGTCAGGTACAGCCTACTCCGTATGGAGCCAGAATGGTAGTAGTAAGACGACATATGAGGTATGGCGTTATCTGTCTCTGCCATGTACGAGTCCGCCGTACTCTGGACGCGCACAACTGTTTGAAATCCTCGACGCTGCCCTCTGCGGAACAGCCAGTGCCACGTACTACTACATGCATACGGAGTAGCACGGAGTAGCACGGAGTAGCACGGAGTAGTACGGAGTATGTGCTCCTCAACTGTTAGGGCCACCAGCACGAGCCGACTTCCCTAGCCAGCCGCGCAACACTATGTAATTAGGGCGGCATATACTCCGTACAGAGCATATTAGTATGGGGCCGGCCAGAGGCTTATCCTCGCTAAAAAACGGGAGTGCCAGGCGGCCAACAGAACGTGCGCCCAGGAGTAGCTCTCGTTATGCCCGTCTTTACGGAGGTCCCTACCAAAAGTCGTGCCCACCCCCTTCGATGTAAAATCGGCAGTATACAGTTTGATTTTCTGTGTGCACGGAGAACAAATTTAGCGATAGACTGATAACAATTAGCTTATAGTCTCACTAAGAATTACTGCATATAAGGAAATTACAGCATGACACGTGCTAATAGTTTAGCGAAAATATACAGTACAAGGAACACTTTATATACTGTAAAATTATGTCTTTATTAGGAAAAGCGGTGACACAGGATGGGCATGACTTTCGGTAGGGACCTCCGTAATTTCTTATCAACCCTCCCCCCTTGCGCCACCTGCATACCGACTGCAAGCACATGTTTAGCTCGACGCAATCTTGCTCCCTTGCTCCCTTGCTTCCTTGCAGTGTTAAATACTACATATGGACATGGGCCCACAATTGCTTTGTACATGTGCATTCGCTTACGAGTGCGGAGTACGGAGTACAAGATCCTCGAGTCCGGTCACGTGATGAACGCAATCTTGCGGCAATTTGCCAAAATAAGATACCAAATTGCAGCCCACAGTCCGGGTTCCATTCAACTTCCGCATCTTCCACCTGCAGGGCACGTACGGAGTACCTTCTCCTGATAAGACGCGACGATGAGCCTGGCAGTTTCAAAATCTGTTCTTATTACAGGGTAAGAAAACGTGGCTCCCCACTTGACGAGAGCTTCCTGGTGCTGACCCCAGGCCAGATGCTCACCGGGCGGCATTGGTAATGCTCTGGCGCGGGAGTTTCATGCCCGAGGTAAGAAAGAGTACAGCGGCGAGTACGGAGTACAGAGGTCTCATACTCCGTTGCAGTAGAGCGCACGTGCCTCGGCCTTTTCCTCTGTGCACGTAGCCCCCCGATTCTGCGAAATTGCCAGCTCACGCCCAAGAAGGATGTCGGGTTATTGCGACGGCTCGTCGGCCAGATGCTCTATCGGACCTGGCCGTCCTCGGCCTCGAGACCATCCTTCTGGATGTCGACAGTGAGGAGAGCATCAAGGCTGCTGCCGAAGAGGTGGAGCGCATCACCAATGGCAAGCTCGATATTCTGGTGAACAACGCGTGAGCAAGCAATCTCTCTATCCCACCCCCTTTTTCCCTTTTCTTTGCCCTTCCCTCGCTGACAGTCCAGAGGCATCACCTACCCAGTTCCCCTATCCGACGTGGCGCTGCCGCGACTGCGCAGCCTCTTCGAGACCAACGTGTTCGCCGTTGTCGCCCTGACCAACGCGCTGCTACCGCAGCTGATCGCCGGACGCGGACTCGTCGTCAACATCTCGTCCGCAGCCGAGGGCCTCGCATTCCCGTTCAAGGGTGCCTATGCCATGACCAAGGCTGCACTGGCCTCGTACAGCCGCACGCTGTCGGTCGAACTGGCCGAACTGGGCGTGCGTGTGCTCAATGTCACCACCGCCTTTGTGCAGTCACAGCTGGGCAAGCGCGCACCACCGGAGCCCTGGCCGGCCGACAGCCTGTTTGACAGCATGCGCCAGGTCGGCCAGCGCGCCGGCAGCGGCACACGCATGTTGCCCGCCGACTATGCCCGCCGCGTTGTCGCCGAGGCCCTGCGCGGGCCCGGCTGGGAATTCGGCCCTTGGCGCTTCTTCGGCACCCGCGAGACCATCATGCTCGGTACCCTCAGCACGCCCATGTGGCTGCTCGGCTTTCTCGGCAGCAACTGGGCCCGTTTTGCCATGTTGCGCATGTGGAAGTTCCGCGTGCTGCGCGAGGCTTTGTTGAAGGACAAGTCTGTTTGAGCGTCTACTACGGAGTATTTGTTCGAGTAAAACGCTGATTCCCATAATCAGAATTGCGAGCGCTTGAGCTATGCTGTCACCCTCACACCTTTGCCATCCAGCCGCTCTCATGCTGCCTGCTCAGCACCATCTTCGCTGCAAAGATGAAGCAGGTTCCGACGAGCAGCGTCACGCCCGTGAACACCTGGGCGCCCGTGTATGACCCCCCCTTTGACGAGATGATGGCCCCGGCAATGGGCGACCCCGTCAGCGTGGCAAAGCTGTTGATCGTAAAAACCATGCCCATGCGCACGCCTGACTTGCTCAGGTCGGTCGTCAGGCTAGTTAGGCCGGCCGGGAACAAGGACTGGACGCCGCCGGCAAAGATGCCATACACAGCCGCCCAGGCATAGAGGCCGCCCTGGCTATCCACCGCGGTCCAGCACAGGGCTATGATGCCGCAGAGGGCACCGACGATGAGAAACAAGTTGAGGACGCCGTAGCGGTCTGCAATGTAGTTGGGAAGCACCCGGCCGATGATGCCGACACCGTTCACGACGAGGAGCAGGCCGAGCGAGGCTGTGTAGCTCAGGCCGATCACGTCACGGCTAAACGAGGCGACGTAGAAGTAGACAACATAGACCCCCCATAAGCACTGGGCTGTCAGCATATGGGGAGGTGAAAGGGAAGTGGCATAAAACCAAGCACTCACACAGAAAGTGCCTGCCGCATAAAAGGTATACTGCAGCTCGCGGAAGGCAGCCCACTCGACAATCTTATCGTCGCGACGGGGTGGCAGCCGCGGGACGATACCGAGACTGGCTGCCACCATGGTGGCAAACTGGATGAAGCCAATGACCCGCATGGTCCACGGGAAGCCCAGCCGCGGCAGCAGCTGGCGGACGATGCTGGGGTAGACAAGGCCGCCTGTGGCGCTTCCACAAGCGGCGAGGCCAATGGCTAGCCCGCGCTTGGAGCTGAAGTACGTGCTCAGCACAGCCAGGCAGGGACAGAAGATGCAGCCGTTGCCGAGCCCGGTAGCCACGCCCTGTGACAAAAAAAAGTGCCAGTATTGCGTCCCTTGCGCGGTCGTGAAGGCACCGAGTGCGAGCAGTGCGATGCCGACCGTCACAACCAAACGAAAATAGCCCGCATCAGTCAGCCGGCCGGTGAAGGTGCCGATGAAGAAGAGGAGGAAAATCTGGAACGACCCGATCCAAGAGATGTCTGACGGGGCGCGATGCAGAGCGTTCGTGTAGTATGTCTGGAATGTGCCAAACGAATTGATCACGCCCCTTGTTCTCGAGTCAGAAGAGAGGGAAGCCGGACGGCTGTGACTTCAGGAGAATGGCATACCAAGTGTTCATAATTGCAACGTGCACACAGATACCTAGCAACATGTCAGCCATGTCGACGCAGACCGGAGTCGCACCATAGACACAATTCACACACACGTTTTCCATGCTCTCCAGCCACCGTCGGGGGGTGGGCTAGGATGGGACGTCCTCGAGCTAGCTCTGCTCAACACCCGGCCAAGGACGCCGGCAGGAGATGTCTCGTCTGTGGCGCCAGCTTCGCCGTCTTCCCGTGTCACGCTGTCAAACTTCTTTGCCGAGTCATACGAGCTCGATGGGGAGAAGAAAACGGCTTTCTCGGCATCGACGCTGACGTCTGGCCACTGCTGGCTCATGCTTGCGGTGCCCTTTCGCTTTATCGGCAAAAGTTCGTGGGCGTCTCGAACGATGCGTCGGAAGCAAAGATGGAAAAAGTCACCGCTGGATCGATTGGTGAAGGAACAGTAATTAGCGAAGCAGCCGGCACAGAAAACACCTAGCAACGGGTCGGGTCGGCTATTCTTTCATTCACGGCCGGTCTTGGAAAATCGTCATCTGCATGGCCCGGAAATGATACCCCTGTTCGCAAGCCTTTGCGGGGTCGCCTGTTTAATTCCGTCGCTTAAATCACAGCTACGCTCGATCACGACTCTGCCGAAGTCGGAAATGTATTCCGTGAGGGGCATGCTTTAATACAAATATTTTCTCCTCTCTGATAACATGCACCGTTCCTATCTTTGCGCATATGCTCATCGACTTCCATTTCTTCTCCTTTTCAGTCGCGCAACAATTGTAACAATCTCACATAATAAAACATCAGTCCACCGCATTATATATCCGGGGTGATACCGGAAAAAAGACAGATTTGTAGAGCCGCGATTGTCGCTCATTTACATGTAGGCGACACAAAGATCATCCGCCCACCATCTGTGGCATTGGCTGGAAGTTGTCAGCAGCTCGACTGTGAAGGCCGTCAAGTTTGTAAAAACCAAGGAATCAATGGAGACCGCCGATAATGCACAGCCTGCTGTTTTCACACAAGGCTCGATAACAAAGACCTCCGTAGCCACCACAAGCTCACCGACACTATTTTTTGTGCCGCTCTCATCCGCAGAGTGTAAGCCGGTAATCTTGAAACGGCAAAATTCATTGGTTATGTCACAGCCCAAATTCCATGAGACCAAGCTGAATGCCGCACTCGTGCTGGGCACATAAATTTTTGCAAGGTTGGCTTCTCCTTCTGCAGAGCTGCTTCCGCAAATTGGTGACTGGTATTGCAGTATCCCCGGCATCGACGAAGGGACATATTTCATCATAGTGTACGAGACTTGCTGAAACCCATCGCTAAAGTGAAATCCAAGGTACGATGTGATTTTGTTTTGGATCACTGGAGTGATGTGATTTGGGCCAGTCTTGACAGTGAAATCATCAAACTAATAGGAACAAAAAGAATCAGAAACAGACTTCATTTTGAATCAAGTTGCTTCTTGAAAACTCACATCGAGAACGGGACTTATTGCTAGCACTGCAACAGTGTTCTCTTGATATTGATCTCGGCCGACTCGCTGGTGTCTGTTACGGGATACACCAATGGTATTCAGCAGCCGGTTTCTGCTGCTGGGAAGAGATGATGAGACCGAGATGGTGACTGTCGTTGTCTCTATGAAGGTCGTCACGGGTATAATAGATCTTCTGCGCAGCGCGGCTTCAGGTGTGATAATAGCAGTAGAAAATACAGAGGCAGTTTTCGTCAAAGTGGCAATCATGAAGGTGGAGTTGAAGATAGCTGTCGGAGCAAATGGGCTTCCGCTCCCTGCAATCGACGACTGGGCAGTCACGTTCTGCAAAGGATTAGATGGCCAAGAAGAACTTGGGTGTAAGACTCCACTACCGCTTGCGGAAGTCAAATTAAGGCCAGCTCCAGTGGCGGTTGGACCAGTGGAATATGAAGCATTCCAAGAAAGAATTGGGCCCACACTTATCGGCTGCGACATAGTTGCACTGTTGCTGGCAGTTGCTTGAGTAGGGGAGAGCGAAGTAAGGCTCGAAGAAGGAACGGGGAAAGACAAAGCACTAGGAACTGTTGAAGCACTTGCAACGACCGAAGAATTATTGAACGTGTGCGTTGCAGATGGCTTAGGTCGGACTGTTATGAGAGTTACGACCTGAGAAGAGCGACCCGGACCTCCGGGAAGAGTGTATGACAATGTAACAATACCGCCTGGAGGTGTTCGGTTTGTTGTGGTTATGTTGGGTGCGGCGGTTGGTCCGATATTAGCAGTGATGGTTACTTTTGTTGTTAACGTGTACGTCATGGTGACCGGAGAACCAGCAGCCGTGGCTGAAATCAAACGCGACGTAGATATGTCGACGGTCGGATCTGACTTGTAGCTTGCAACCGGGCGTGTGTGGGACTGCGAGTCCGATACCTTTGGGTAACTAGGCAAAGTCATTGTGAAGCTTGCAGTCGTCATTTTTGCGGCAGTTGCTTCTGTGCATGACGACTGCCATTGAGTCACAGTTGATACTTTCGAGTCTTCCGATGCCCACGAGAAAATCACTGGCCCTGGCTTGGAAACAATTGTTGTATGGTGGTGCCCTGGCAGTACGAGGGTGAAGCTTGCTGTAGTCATAGGCTTCGGTATCGCTTTTGTTTCTTTTCTCGGCACACTGCTCTCAACAGCCCGTGCAGCACCTCTGGGAGTATGAACCCCCCCTGTAGAAAGAATTGTACCATTTCCTGACAACTGAGATGCTATCTTAGATGATAGCACCGAAATTGTGCCTAAAGGGGGCACAACCGTAGCACTGTCCAGTGAAGAGAAGTTGAACGACTGAGACGTGGCCGCAGAAGGCACTGTCAGAGAAATCGTAAAAGTCTCAATCACAACAGTGTATGCAGGCGTGTGTAGAGTCGGGGTGCTCATTTTGACCCTGTCAGCAGATAGCACAGTGCTGTCAAGGGCCGTATTTGATCTGGAAAAGACATGGTGTTAGTGCTGTCTAATCTCAGAGATGCCTGTCACGAGGAACAAAGATTTGCAAACCTCGATAGTAGAGAGTTGACGATGGGCAGTAAGCCCATTGCTGCTATGACAGAAACCCTCATTTTGACAAGGGGCACGGGGGCTCTGAACGAAGGTAGCGATTGTAGAAACAGACACAAGCTGATGCCGCGATATGTTGTGAGAAGAAATTAGAACATAAGGAGCGTTCTAGAAAAGACAATGAGAAGAGATTAATTTTCAGTAAATTCACGAGCACGAGGAATGTAACAAGTTGAAGAAGGGGACAGAAAAGAGTTGGAGAGGAGAAAAAACTCTGGGTAGAAGTAAGGAAATGGGTCGTATTCTACAAGTTTCTCTAGTGTCGCGTCCGGACGCGACTTCCGCCAACATGGGGGTAAGACTTGATTTTCAAAGGAGGAAGGAAGTTGTGAAGGAAACCGATAAGTGGAAGGAACGCGAGATGTTGACGCGCAGCGCGACAGAATGGCGTGCGGGAGGTAGGGAATTTGGCGATTTCTATCCAAATCAGGAAAGAGCTACCCAGGTCAGAATGTAAGTGTACACTTGCATATCCATCCGGCTGTCATCTGTTTAGTGCAAGAAGGGCTTGGCGGAAGAACAGATCGTAAGTGAATTTATAAATTTGCGAAGCTGCTTCTAGATATGAGATTGAGAATGCAGGCGTTGTCTTGTCATGATGATTGACATGATAAGTAAACGGTAGACGAGAACAAGATGAGAACAAGACGAAAAAACGACGAAGAATAAACAAAAAACGCCGAACTTCCTAGCTACACAAAGTTGTCCTCATAGTGGACGGCAGCTGCCGTCTCACTCCCAGGGACAGACGTGCTCTGGACGGCTTCTGCAAAATTCGCGGCTTGAACTGTCGGAGCAGAGGTGTCGGAGGCGACAAAGCTGGGGACCCGCTTCTCCATTTCGGCCACCCAAAGGGCAGCGGCGGCGGCACTTGTCAGCAGGAAGAAGAAGGAGAAGATAGGAATCAGCTCGAGGATCATGGCGACGGAGCCGAACCAGGTGTAGTCCCAAATGCGGGTACGGATTTCGCGCTGGCGCTCCTTACGGGTGAGGCCGCGCAGCTTGTACCAGCGGTACTGTGAGAGTTTGCCGAGGCGGGTGCCGGTGATGAGGATGAAGGCAGGCGTGCCAACATAGGGGATAAGGTTGAGGGGCAGACAGACGGCCAGCTCCGCGATCTGGACTATGCTCCAGGGCTGGTAAGCAGCCGAGGCGGTAGGTTGGCCGAGCATGCGGACGGGATTGGGCGCATCCGGGGTGAGCAGTCGCTGTGGAGCCACCAGGCCGATGCAGCCCTGGTCGATAAGGGTGGCCTGCAAACCTATCTGTGAGCGGGATGCGAAACACTGAAGCCGAAAGGGAAAACAGGAAACCTCACATCAAACACGTCTACCCGGCACTCGTCGACAAAGAAGCCCTCAAAGAGACCCTGGATTATGACCAGACCCTCACCCAGGACGAGCACGATGGCATTGAACCAGGCACCCCAGCCGTGGAAGATGGCGAGGAACGCAAACTGCGGAAGAAAGGCAAAGGCAAACAGGAGGAGATAAACCAGAAAGGAGATGATGGAGAGGGGCAGCAGACGCCCAATGAACAGCGGATAGAAGAACGGTCGGCGCACAAAATAGTAGATGCCATAGAGTGGAAAATGCGCGGCATGAACAGCCCGATGCAGACGGCTTCCCAGCCGTTCAAATGGCTCTGGAACACCAGCATTCATTGTCGGTACGTCGGCCATTGCGCGAGTTGCAGAGCAAAGGCTTGATGAGATGCGTTGGGAAGTGATGTGCGGCGAACAGGCCGACCTAAAGACGTAAGATAGAATGATTGGTGGAGCGATGACGGCATAGCTACAGCATATCTTACAGTGCAGTGGGCTAGGCAGCAAAATTTAGACTTGGACTAAGATGGCCTGCAGCACGGCTTGACCACTGGTGACAGACGGTAGTTGCCGACTGCTCGCTACGTATAAAAAAATAGGTATTCAAGACGTGTTTTGATTGAAATCTCGGCATTTTGAACACCCGTCTCCGCCATACCCAAAGTAGGTTCTTTTCTTATTGCTTGTATGCGAGAATGCATCGTGTGCAAACCCTAAAGCATGTCCGAAAAGGCGTTGGCACGCATCCTTCTAGTTGAACACCACCGTCTTCGTCCCATTTAAGAACACCTTGCGTTCAGCGTACCATTTCACGGCCGCCGCCAGCACCTGGCTCTCCACGTTGGAGCCCTCGTCGACCAGGGCTTTCGGGCTCATGCTGTGGTCGACACGAGCCACGCGCTGCTCAATGATGGGTCCTTCGTCCAGGTCGGCAGTGACAAAGTGGGCGGTGGCGCCGATAATCTTGACGCCGCGCTCGTATGCCTGGTGGTACGGTTTGGCACCCTTGAAGCTGGGCAGGAAGCTATGGTGGATATTGATGATACGGCCGCTCATGACCTGGCACAGCTTAGGCGACAACACCTGCATGTAGCGCGCCAGCACAACGAGCTCAATGTTGTGCTCCGTAATCAGTTCCAGGATGCGCTCCTCCTGTGCCGCCTTGCTGTCCTTGGTCACCGGCAGATGCGCAAAATCGATACCGTACGAGCGCACGAGGTCCGCAAACTCGCCGTGATTCGACACCACCAGTGGCACTTCCACGTGCAGCTGGCCGGTCCGCATGCGAAAAAGCAGGTCGTTGAGGCAATGGCCGATCTTGGACACCATGATCAATACCCGCACCTTGCGCGCCACCGATCGGATGTCGTACGTCATGGAAAAGTCGCGCGCCAGCTGCGCGAACGGTTCATCCAGGGCTGCCGTCGAATCCACCTCCGAGGGCCCAAAGTGCACCCGCATAAAGAAGGTCTCCGACGCCCGGTCACTGAACTGCTGCAGGTCTAGCACGTTGAGCTTCTGCGCGGCCAGAATGCCCGTGACAGCGTGCACGATGCCCGGTCGGTCCGGGCATGATAGTGTGAGAATGTGTGTGTTGGACATGGTAGCAGGCGGCGCTGTGAAGAACGTGTTGAACGTGTACGTTTCGAAGAAAAGAGTCACTTTAAAATTTGCATCTCCATGAAGGACGAAAGTCGGCATCTTTAGTGGGGCGCACGCTAGGAAGCAAAGAAGCTAAAAATGCATATAATAACCCGCATTGGGCTTCCATTGCGCTGACTAATCCACCAATGACCGCTGTGGTTTGACGCTGCAAAATACGCCTTTGAAGAGGGCGTGGCTGCCATTCCGGCTGCAGAAATTGAGAGACCCAAAGGATGACACCAATCATCGGCCGAGGTTTCCGATCACACTGCCCATCATGACGGCAACCTCCCGGTCCCAAACGGCCGCCTTGCCGCTGCCGCCGGCCCTGTTACTTGCGGCCGTGTTCCCAGCCGGCAGCACACCTCGGAGGACGCACTCCCGTATGGCCTCGCCTACGCTATTCCTGTTCGTGCGCAGCGTCCGCGCCGACACGCCGCCCCGGTTCATAATGTCCTGCACCCGTGCCGACAGATTGCTAGCTAGCGTCCGCCAAAAATATGAGGCCAATGAGCCGGTCTCAAGCCGAGCCAAAAGCGGATGCAGCAGGTTGGCATTGTCTGCGACAGCCGCGGATGTGGCCGGGATCGTTAGGAGCGCTCGCAACGGATGTGGTGGCACTGGAGTAGATTTGAGCAGGCCCTCCAGGGTGACGACGTTTTGGCAGCGTGCGCTGACCTCGCCAAGCGTACGTTCCAGCGACGGCAGCGCTGCCAGCGAGCGAGCCAGGCCACTGATACTGCTCTGCAGCGCAGCACGCAGGTAGGACTCCAACGCATGCAGCATCGTCGCCGGCGACCACGTCTCGTTCCGGGCCAGCGCCGTCGGCGAGACCAGATACAGGGCCGTCAGTGCTGACACGGTGCGTGCTTTGGCCTCCTCTGACTGTGCAAAGGTCAGCGAGCCACCTGTTGAGCCCAGCGAAAACTCGCGGATAATCCGCTCGGCCGTCTCCTGGACAGACGTCTGGACGGGCCCCACGACAGAGGCTTGCAGAGTGCGGATGGCGTTGACCTTGTCCAGGCCGTAGCCCTCCTCGCTCGGCGCCTTCTGCTGCAGGATCTCCCGCAGAGACAGAATTGTGTGTGCACAGCGCACCAGCGCTTGGTGGCTGTCGTCTGTTCTCCTCGAAGCATCGCCTGCCGCGAGTTCTGCATGCTGCACCTCCAGCTGTCGGCCAAGCTGCAGGCAGCGGCCAACTGATCGACCGAGCCGCAAGGTGTCCCACAACCGCACAACCACCCGGCGGACCTCGTCCGCCTCGGCATGTTTCTGGATTACCTCTTTCTCCAGTCGCTTGTAACTATCTTGAAGTGACTGCACCTGTGGCTCGAGCTCGCCGAGCACGCGGGTGCTCTTCTCTGTCTGCTCTTTCGTGTGCGCGAGCAGAGGAATGGCGGAGCGGGCAGTGAGGAGGTCGATGTGTGAGTCGATTTCTTGAATGTCAAACAGCACCCTAGACAACGGCGTGGACAGGTCTAGCGGCGTGTCGTTCGGATCATTGGTAGAATGGACGAGCGTGTTCGCAAAAGCACATGGGTCGAAGCTGGGTGCCAGGAACGTTTCGTAATCGATGTACGAGGGCTGCTCCTCGCCAGTCGTTTCGGCCATCATCTGCTCGGCGGGTTGGAAATCACGCCGAGAGCTAGTTCGCGATGGGATACGGGCGGATCACCACATCGCATTGCATTAATCTTCGACTTTTCCCGGCTGTGGACTTCGGGGCGAGCTCAGACCGCCAGCTAATCACGTGGAGCTCGTAAATGTGGGCCCTTGCGACATAAATACGGGCGCAAATCTTACATGGGATGTACCAGGAAACAGAGGTGACGTGTTTTGAATTTGGGGCAATGTGACTTGACAAGCAAATAGGCACGTGACACTTCATCCGAGGACAACGGTTGCTGACAGATGTCTACCGAGCCGGCTTTTATGAAACCGCTGGAATGCCGCTCGCAGTAGCAGGACGACAGCAGCAACCCCGACGACTGTGTAGGGGGGGCCGTCTACGGAATTTTTTACATAGAGATATAACCCCGAGCAATGCCATGCGAGTCTACAGGATTGTAACCCCGAGCATCTGTGGGCTCTCATTGCTTGTTTGGGCTGTCTTAATACCCGGCCCTTCCGCCCTTTGAGCGATTAACCAAACATAGTAAGAAAACACCGGAGCTTCGGGGCAACCAGACGCGACCCAAGCAAAGCCCCAAATTTTTTTTTGCCCGCCACTGGTGGTCGCTTCCAACCCAAAACACGAGAGCGAGCCGATAAAGCATGGCGTAAGCCGGATCAGGGAGATTTATTGTGACCGCTCCATTTCTGGCCCCATTTTCCTAGTTTCGCGATCCCCTTTGTATTCCCTCTTCTTTCGAGGCGTCCTTCCTTTTCTCTTTTCTCCCTTCCTCCTCTCCTCTTGGTGGATTGCCTGGTATTCTAGCTTTCGGACGGCGTTATCAGCCACGAACCCCTTCGCCAAGTCTGCAGCCAGCCTTATCCTCTTCTTGGCATTGTCGACAGGACTTGTTTTCTGTCGCAGTCTAGAAGATCTTGGCATCCTGTCAAGCGGCATCCTCCTGCATTGGGTTTCATCCTTGAATTGCTGCCTGCTCCCATTCATTTGTCTGGAGCATCGCTGCTGTTTCTCCGGCTCTACGCTGACCCACCGCTTCCGACTAGAGTCCCAGGCCTTTATTTTCCTTCCCACCTTTTCCTCTTCCCTCTTCCTCTACTAGTTGCTCTCGCTGCCTTGCAAGGTCGGCAACCGCCATCATGCCTATCATCGACGCGCGCGACATCCTGTCGTTTCAAGGCGGTGACAACGCCACGGACACGGTCATTGGTGGCATCCACTTCAACTTAACCACGCTCGACCATTTCAATTACACGCTGTACAGCAATGGCACCCTCTCCAACCGCTCCAAGTGCTTCCTGACGTTTGAGCCACACACGCCGAAGCTCCTTTATCAGAACGGCACCTTCATCAATACTACTTCGTGCTACAGTCCTGTCAACGAAATCGGTACTCGCTCCAAGATTGGCATCGCTTTTGCCTGTATGTTTGGTGTCCTGCTTGTCTTGAACTTGGTCTGCGTCAGCAAGCATGGAAGCATGTTTCTGCCTGCCGAAAAGCGTTTCTGGCCCATTGGCCGACGCTGGCAGTGGTACTGGGGCTGCCTCACGTGCGCCATGGCTCTCGTGTCGCTTTTCACAAACGTCGACGTCGACCGTTACTACCTCACCGAGCTACCCATCGTCCTGACCTCATTCTTCTGGTACCTGCTTGAGATGTGCACCATGGGTGTCGTCTGGGAAGCTCTTCGTCACTGGGGCAGCTGGATGGAACGCCAGTACATCGATCCCAACCCGTTTGTTCTTCCTGAGAGCGAATGGCGCTACAACTTTGAGTTGCTCATCCCCATTGTTTTTTACTTTTTTGTGTGGATGAACTTCTTCATGGTTGTGCCGCGCAGTTGGGGTCATATCGAGCTGCAGCGCTCGCCGGAACAGACGGCGCAGTACGCCAGCCCCGATGCGACCGACGCTCGCTTCAAGGTCGGCTCATTCTTCTTGGTGGCGGCTTGGTGTGTCATGATCGTTTCTCTCCGCCACTCCATCCGGAACTACATGCCCCGCAACCGTGGCTTCTTCAACCAGGCTGCCGGCGTCATTTCCTCCACCCCGTTGCGCTTTCTGCTTCTGCTACCCCTCTGTCTCGGCATGATTGCATACCAGATCTTGTGCTCCTTCAAGTTCGAGTACTCGGTCCTGAACGCGAAGGGCAATCATGTGGCCATCTACGTTGGCGGATACTTGCCGACTCTGCTCATCCTTATCATTCAAGTTTTGTATGGATGGATATCACCGAATGAGGACCGCGAGCTGATCCGTCAGAGACGTGTTCGTGGCCAAGAGATGGACCGCGAGCTAGGCCTGGTCCACAAGCCGGCCTGGTGGCGCCCTGCCAACTTCAACGAGAGCATGCGCGACCGCATTGCTCGCAATGTGGGTGAGATTGGCGGCAATCGCAAGCTCCTAAACGAGAATGCACAGAATGCCGGTGGGGTTGAATTGGACCCGTTCTCTGACCGCCCTCGCCGCGGCTCTCTGACGTCCATCCGCACCTCTGCATCTGGGGCTCCGTCATTTTCCGCTTATGGCGGCAAGTCTGACCGCCGCAGGCACGAGCGCACCATGCAAGTAGTAGCCAGCATGCTGTTCCCCAGCGCCGAACCTGCCATTGACCGGCGTGCGGAGCTGATGATGGATGGCCCGCCGCCTCCGTATCCCGATGGTTCGCGTGCTGGCCGATCGTCTAATCTCACCCGCAGCAACAGCACAAACACGATGAACTCGGTCTCGGCTGAGCCGCAGAAGGTGCGCAGCATGCTGGATCTTTAATCTGGCTCGCACTGTTCTGCGGCCGTCTGATGGACAAGCTACTGGTTGCTTCTTTCGTGGATATGATAGCACAACTGTCAGACGGATGCTAGCGGATCTGTGGACACCGGTGCTTGTCGTTCGGACGATTTGGGTGTGAATGTGAATGATAATGTGGATGCAGACGCAACCCCGGGTTTCTGTTTTTCTTCTTCCGTTTGTTCTAGAATTGTAACATGAAACCGGACGGGCGTCCATGTTGATGGTGGGATATGCAACGCACATGAGAAACTGTAATTAATTTGACGACGAACTTGGGGTATATTTTCCAGCTACAATTTGACCCTACCTTTCTGGCTTCTATTGTGGGGGGTTCACAATTAATACTACATATAAAACGCTGTTTGCACGCACAGGCGCGTATGGCAAGAAAAATCTTAGATTCGTGTCATGATAAAAGAGATATTATATAAAATGACAGTGAGAGTACACCACCGGGTATCAGTGCCCTGAAAACATCCATAATCTATTTCCCGGTATTGCATCAAAACAGAGTCCATCCGTTCTTCTGTTTCCGTGTCATAATCTGGAAGATTATGAATACGCACGAGTCGTTTGCTTCCTGCGAATGCCCCCCCGGGTCGAAACAATGGGTAAAGCAGAACAGAACAAAACGGCGCGTCAGCGAAACCCCCCCTCCCAAAAAAAACACCCCGAAACCAAAACCGTCAGCATTAGATCCCAACGGCCCCTAGCCAAGCAAAGCGGCCAAAAAGCAAGTCGAGCGAATTGGTTGTTGCGCAGACATGCCCAAATGTCCTTACAACGATATGTATCCAGACTCCCAGAGAAATGTGCAACGAACCGAATAAACAGATGGAGGAGGGAAGACGCAATACAGCTGTTTGCAGTATCCCTAATGATTTCCACACATCCGTATATGCCTACCGTACTCTTAGTATCTCGACCGCCAATGTTCATCGAGTTCCACAGAGCCTAGCAATAACAAAGCAAAACGGCACGTAGATAAGCAGGAAAAGAAAAAAGAAGTCATTTGTATCCTGCACGCAGATCTAAATGATAGAACGTGATATGACATGGAGAGGAAAGAAAGCCGAGAAATAACTGCAAAGGGAGCGCCCTCCCCCCAACCCCCCCAAAAAAAAAAGTCGTAACGGTCGTAAAGAAGTGGGGAAGCATGGGGCAATGCAGGCGAGAGTGCGACGTGGAGTCGTGCGATTTGATCTAAGTAGGCTTGTGAAGTCTATTTTAGCAGCACAGGCGCAAAGGGCCAGGTCTGCAGGACGGTGAAGTTCAGAAAGGCCGATTCCGGGGCGATCTCAGTAGGCGGCAGCGGTAGAGACTTCACTAGTGGCAACTGCCACCAGCGCCTCGAGGCGCCTTAGCGAGTTAGGTGGGTCTTGTTCTTGCTGTTGTTGTTGGGAGTATCGCTGAGGTTCGGAAGGTTGAGGTGCTGCCTGTTGCCGGTGTTCATGGACAGTCTGCGGTACACGTGCAGGGAAGCCTTGAAAGCCGCTTGCTAAATTGGGGTGCACCATACGGTCGACACGTGGGCCAGATGCACGCTCGGATTCAAAATTCGCAGTGGCCGGTGGAGGGCCCTGGTACCAGCCCTGGCGCTTTTGGTGACGTGGCGTGGTGATGTTGAAGGATGGTGCTGACACAGTATGGTAGTGTCCTCTGCTGTATCCGACAGGCGTCGGGTCAGGAGCACCGTAGCGTGAGGGCGCAGTCCGAATATCATCTTCGAACCGGACGCTCGGCTGAAGCTGCCGTTGGTGGGTGTTTCTATCAGACTGTTCGGCCTGTGCCACCGCGGTGCGACTGGCCTCACTAGCCCAAGCACTAGCCCCGTCGCGTGGCGACGTGCTCGACGCAATCTCCAACCTTGTCAAATTGCGATGTAGAGGCACATCCCACTGGCTATTCACCGGTGCCCGGCGGTCATCCTGGCCAGGTTCCATATGATTTCGCAAGATGGATGTTGGCCGGCCAGCAACAAGGCCGTTGTTCAAGTCGATTGCCATAGGCGTTGGCGCCCTGCGGGGCGGTGAACCGGGGCGATGCCGAGGAAGGGGGTCGAAAGACTCGATGCCTGGCAGGCGCAGGTTTGTTTGTTGGGCTGCCGGGTTGGCAAGCGGAACGGATGCAGTCGGTGGAGTCTGGTACTGTGAAGACGAAACGACACGGCTTAAATGGCTGCTACCGGAGCCGTTATTGATCGCATTGTACTCTCGCGTGTCAGGGTGCCAGGTCCGGCGACGCCAGGCATCGTCGGAAACGGTGGACGTGGAGTCCCGTCTTGACCAGGTAGACGTTGTCGACGTTGTCGGTGACGCCAGAACACTGCCAGCATTAGGGGGAGAGAAAAGACCGCCGTTGGAAGCATTCATACATCCTGGGCTGAACAGCGGACGGCCAAACGTTGTGTTCTGGGGAGACAAGAAGGGGTCTGTAGTCGAGGACGGGACGCTTAGACGCCGGCCGGGGGTTCGCACGCCAGAGACATACATGCTCTGAGCGCGGCTGTGCGACGGCGACGGCGAGACGATGGCCTGACCCTGGCCCCAACGCGGACTGCCCGGACCGTTGGAAAAGGTAGCAGAGGGTGGGCTGGCATAATCAGTAGGGGTGAGAGGCCGATACTGATTGTCGTGTGCACCTGAACGATATGGGGCCACACGGGGGTCCGCCATTACGAGCGGGGGTGGTCGTCGGCGCAGGTCGTCACGTGGTGAGAAGACAGACGAGGCAACGGAACTGACGCTGGTTATGCTGGACGTGGACAGCGACTTGGAGTGGCCACGGGTGGGCGTGCCCATGGCGCCGGTGGTGGACGTTCTTGCCCGGCCGGAAGTAGCGCGGACGCGGTCTGTGCGAATTTGCCGCTGAAAGCGAGTACCAGTTGCGGCAAGAGAGTCCATCGGAATGTCCTCGTTGACGTGGACTGTCTGGGCATGTTGGCGTAGGTTGTCTAGGCGGGAAAAGCGCCTCGAGCAGTGGCACTGGAATGGTCGTTCTCCAGTGTGTTTTCTGATTCAAATTAGTAAATACGCTTTCGCGGACAGGACAAGCAGATAGCAGGTTGAGTAAGAAAGCGAGGGGGAGGCCTACCGTATGTGTCGAGCAAGATGCTCACTTCTCGTGAAGCTGAGATTGCAGGGGGGATAGTCGGTGCAGTAGAAGCGCAGCGACTTCTTCTTCTTGTTTGCCTTGCCATCGGCGGCGATGCTCTCTTCGTCGGATAGGCCGGCAGCGTCGTCACCATGGCCCATCTCGCCATCAGAGTCATCGATGTTCATGTCGGACGGATCGCGCGATTTCCTGACGCCATGGGTTTTTTCTCCGTAGGAGTGCAGCAACTTGTCGTTCGGAGAGTCGGCAGTCTGCGGTGGCTCGGAAAAATCGGAGAAAGAGGAAGGGAGCGGTTTTTGAGCCGCGAGAGCATTGCCAGCAAACGTCTCGTTGGTCGGGGTCGATGTGTCGTCCATGGGTGGGCGGTAGGATGGGGAGGCATGCTGCTAGGCTCGGTAGTGATCGCCAGAGCGCCGCGGGCAAACGGGGAAATCAGAAACGTGGACGCCACCAGGACGCTGACGGCGGGTCGGGTCGGTTGCAATCAGTGTACGAAATTGGGATTGATACTGGATTCGCCGGGCGGTTCACATGCAGCTATCATACTAGATGACGTTCTTGCAGTGAGAAGATGGGATGCGAGGTGAGGTTGAAGGGGGGAAAGAGGGGGAGAGGGGAAAAAAAGGGGGGGGGGGAGAGAAAAGAAGACAGCCAGGGGATGGCCGTGCCAGCAGAATAGGGCACTAACACACTATATTATGTAGGAGTTCCGGCAAGGCTGAGCTGAGGGGCGGATAAGATACGCAGTCCAGGAGTGAGATAGCTAGCGGGGCTGGCAGAGCGCCTGTAAAGACGGAGCGTGCAGTGGATGAATAGTAGCGACGAGGGGTGGCAGCAGAGAGGCGAGGAGGGGCGTGTGCGTGTGTCTGGTGGTGATTTGCGAGAGTGAGAGATAGGATAAGAAGATAGCTATCATTTGACAGTGTTTTTGTTCCTTCGTGGTCGGCCTTCTCGTCTCCTCTCCTCTAGTTTGGCTGCTAATGATGCTGCTGAAACTGGCTGGCGATGGCTAGCAATAATTTCAGTTCTGGGCGGGTGTCTGCTTCAAGGCGGTGATGCCGTCGAAGGGTGTATGCTGTGCGGCGAGCCGTCGAGAAGCCTGATGAGAGATGCTGAGTCGGGGCTCCGCGAGAGACGGACAAATGGGAAGAAGAAGATGGTAAAGATGGTGGGGATTGAGACAGAGGCGGCAGAGGGCAGAAATGGGAGGGAAATCGACAGGGAAGGCGCAAGCAGCTTGGACTGGCCAGAGTGCGCTGACCAGGTAGATATGCACGGGACGACTGGGTGGATGAGTATTGCTTCGTACTCCGTACCTGCGCTAGAAAGGCAGGAGCCCAGGGCCGGCAGGAGGGGTGGGGTTGAAGGTCAATTCTCGGTCGGCCCGGCACACACGCCCACAAGAAATGGCACACAGCAGCAGGCACCACAGCGATGCAAGCGAGCGGTTCTGTCTGGCATGCGACTGCCGAGTTCTTCTGTAGTTTTGATGTCCGCTTTCTTTTTCTGGACGCTGGCCTGGGTCGCAGTCTAGGTTCTGTTTCATCCGCTGGTCCTGTTCTGCTCTGGTCCTGCTCTTCTGCAGCCGCCCAATCCTTCCTGCCCAAAGCTGCTGCTATCGCCTTTGCCTCGTGCTGCGCATCCGTGTCTGCTGCTCTTTCCCATGACGTTAGCTTAGGTGGCTAGCGGGTGGCAATGTCCGAGAGCCATGGGGCAAGGAAAGGCAGCACTCGCACAGCTGCTGCTTGCTGCTTATTGGGGCCCTCCCACGACGCTAGGGCCATCTTGGCACGATCTAGGGAGGATGAGCGGAGTACCTTTTTCGCCCGTTCTTTTGTTCTGTCGCTTGCTTCGGCCAAACCCTGTCTGCTTTTTCCGTGCGCTGCCCTACTTGTTTCCGTCCTCCGCCTTTGTCTGCTGTCTGCCCTGGCCTGGCCTGGCGTGCCCTGGGGTTCTGAACGGACAAAGAGCACAAGCAGCGGGCCAGTCAGCCAAGAGGGCCAGGCACAGAAAGGGGGTTGCAGCTCACTCAGACTGTCCTTGTCGCAACTCAGCACCTTGTTCTACACACAGCCGGCGGAAGAGCCGTTCTGGAATGGAACTCTTCGCTGTCTGAGGGCACAAAAGAAGCACGGGCAACGCACGGTCCTTGTGCAGTAGCCTATTCCGGGAGCACCAGCGCTGTGTAATCGCTCTACGACGTAAAATAGTGCTCGTAGTCCGGCACTGACTGAAATAAAATACAGGGCGCAAAAGCATACCACCGGCCGGGCAAAGTGAACTTTACAAATACATGAGAAGATGCAAACACGGAATATCGTGCTCGCAATTCATCGTGTGTACGGAGTACTCCGTACTCGTACAGAGTGAGGTATCGGTAATCGGGCGCGGAGAGGCCAGTGGCAACGTAAGGGGTTGGTAGTTGGGCGAGGAGTCCAGGAGGGTGTGATGGGAAAGCAGACGTCAGCAGAGAAAAAGGTTATTGTGGAACAGCACCGTCGGGGAAACGCAACCAATAAGCCGAATGCGGATTTTAAAACAGGGCCAGGGGGCACCCATGATTCATAGAGAAGAGGTTGGGAGGAGAACAGGCAGAAAGCCTGTTCAAGTACTCCGTACTGCGTACTCGTATGCATCCAACCTAAATCAAGCCAGGAAAGGAAAAAGAAAAACTACGGGCAAAATATAAAGGCGAGAAAAATCCGTACAAATGCGGTGCTTCACAAAGCAAGGAGGCTTGCAGTGGGGCCATCTAGGACATGTGCCTTTTGTTACTCGGAGGAGGAAGGAGGGGCAAAGTCCCCCGCCACTAATCATGTAAGCTGCAGGCGCACCTGGGCAAATGGCTGTCGATCTGGGCGAGGTACGAGTATTATGGAAAGACGCCTTCTGGTTCGTACCTGCCGCACAACAACGAGGTCCCGCTCCCTGGAGGTGCGTCATTGCTGGCAGGACCACTACATGCTGTGCTGGCGCTCTGGCGCTCTGTCCTGCTGACCCAACTGCCCGCCGTTGTGTGCCACCGCACACGTTCCTGGCAGCCAGCACAGCGGAGGGTCAGCCTTGCTGCCATTGGCTGCGGTGGCCTCTACTCGCTTGCCGCCCCGGCGGGTCACCACGTAAGAATTATTCTATTGAACATTAATAGATGAAATCGTGGCCACTGCTCTGGCGGTCTGCACGCCCGCTGTCGCAACTGTCGCATGCCGTCGCCTCTGCTCTCATGCAACGCCGCCCGTCTGCGCTTTTGTGCGCCGGAGGATTCTCAGCTTTGGACAAGCGCTGAACAAAAGAGGCGCGACGCTCTGCTGCGCGCACCCCATCTGCCAGCCGTCCCCAGCAGCGACGCGCAGATCAGGTACGGTGCATTATGCCGAAATCGACGACCATCAGGTACCGGAATAGGCGGTCAGCACGCTATGACTGCCTCCCCTGGATAATTTTCTGCCCTTTTTTCTCCACGCTCTAGGCTACGCCAAACTGCGAATAGTAAGCATTCGCTTCATGTCACGCTCAATGCTACGCCATGCCCGTGATCGCTTGTGCGTCTTAAACCTGAAGTTGTAGTCTGGGCCGCAAATCTCATGTTCAAGAAGGACGCAAATAGGTCTGCGCGTCCACCGTTCGTCCTTCAGTGCCAACTCGGTCTCTGCTTAGCAACTACTCAAGGTACGGTCCAGCTTGCAGACGTCCTAAGATCGAGATACCATGCTTTTGCCTCTGGAGCAAAGAGTTAGTCGCACCGTGCCCATATTCCTCAGGCCATTGAGCCTCTGCTGTTACTCGTAGCTGAAACTTTAACCTACGCTACGTTACTCGTAGCTGAAGGCCACCACAAAGACAGCCCAAAATGTGGTTCCCCTACACTCTACGCGTCAGCGCCTGCAACGAGTTTCAGGTGAATTGCAACTACTCTGAACCCGACATTAGCATCCAGATGATTCGCCCAGTGTATCAAACACTCTGACCCAGCTCACGGTACGTGTAGACACAAGTACTTTCGGCGCTTTACGTATTTAGCTATCCAAGCTACCCCGTATGTTCATGATGCCGTTACACTCAGACCTGTTTACCCTCATATCTGCTCACACGATGTGCCATCCTTCGCAAAGGTCATCCTCGTGACACTAGGCAAAGTTGAGCTTATTCCTTACTGTAGCTTCCTGACAGCGCAAATATTGGAGAGGTGCCGTCGAATTGATTCAACGTAAGGTCGTTTGTGTCCTCGTTAACCACCGCAAATCGTCTGCACTGTTATCAACCTCTCTGTTAGTCCAGCCAATACTGGGGAGACTCGAGTTCCAACCACTGGATTACGGCAAACACTCTTTCACGTCTCTCCCCGAATAGCTCTGTAGAAGACCTAGTCACTTTTGCTAGAAATGCATCGTTCCCATTCGACCAAGCCTACAGCAGCAATGCACCTTCTGTAGTATAATTCACCACAACTAACAACCTTAATTTTTTTTTGCTTTGCATTTGGCCCACTGACGCCTCGGTCACAAAGCCATGTGTTGTTGTTGTTGTTGTTTATTCCGCTATTATCTAATTTATTATACAAATTTCGATAACGAAGTCAATCCTGACTATATCGGCCTGGAAAAAACTATATAGCTAATGTGAAGGGTAGGTAAGGACAAAGCCATGGGTGCTTAGTGGTGATTCCTATACTGGCGCTTTGGCCGCTTGGACTACCAAGCTATTTCCCGGCAAGTTCTGGGCATGCCATGCATCCGGTGCTCCTGCCCTAGCCATATTAAAATTCTGGTAGTTCAAGGCCCAATTCAGCAGGTAATACCCCAGAAGTGCAATCGTTACTTGGCAGGTGCATGGCATGAGTCGGCGTATTTGTCATGAAACGGGCCTCAAACGAGGTAGAAGTCCTCAAGGCCAGCTTCGTTTCAAAAGACTTGGCTTACGCAGATGCCTTTGCATCGTAGCTTCTCTTGTGCGATTGTGTACGAACTTCCAACTTTGGTATGGCTAATGTTTGTCAGCATCATCACAAATGCTATTGACACATGGCAGGACTTTTCTAAAAAACAGTACGTACAACTTTCTTTCTGGTGTGCGATGCCTTGGAGGGTTATGGCATTCAAAATTTCGGCCAGACATGGCACAACTGATGTCCGGGCCAATACGGCAAACCTTGCATAGTGGTTCAAACCCAATCTTTCCAAATTGTACGCATATCTTGTATTGAATGCATGCCTTTACAGTTTTTTTTGGTTCCCTGACATTGATTATGCTGCACATTATGGTGTTACAAAATATATGGCTACGTCGCCTAAAAAGATGCCTTAGCGACTGGTTGCCCAAATTCTTACAATGTCTCTAGCCCCTTGTATACCGGCAGGAGCGTCAGCAACGCCGCGATACGCAATGGTTCTGGATTCCATGCAACGAGCCACCGTCATACTGGCAGACAGGCGCTGTACCAGCAACCGAGCCTGCGCAGCCTGCGATAAACAGCAGGCTACTTACGCTGGCATACTTCCAACGCTAATGTAACAATTTAGATTTAAGGGCAAGTAAGACCGTGAGAAGCCTTGTCAAGCTGACAGACGGGTGGAGTTACTTAAGTAAAGGATTCTTTAGGTTACTGGGTAGGCTTTATTTCTTTTCTGTCTTCCTCCTTCAAATTGGAATTAGAAAAGCTGACAATAGGAGGGAATTCATTCAATGGTCCTCTGCGTCAGTGCCTAGTCCTGATCGGCTAGGCGGGCCTTGAACTCTTTCAGAGACGCTCCCGTATTTGCTGTCAAGGACGGACAGTATTGCTGGGGCTTTGTAGCTCAAGAGTACTTTTCTGGTGAGCAAACCAAAAAAGGTTTAAAGTCGTACGCTGGGTCATGAGCTTTGCAGCTCGACTATACTTGATATGAATTATGTATTGCATGTAAAGTCAATCCATCACCTTCAAAATTTTGTCTTATTTGATGTGTCGACTTGGTGAGTTCTTGATATCATCTAAAACGAGAGAGATGATTGTCTCTCTCTGCCCTGACGTGGCACTATTCAGTATCACTTTCAACATGGGCATTGATTTACAATTACATTAGGTGACAGTTGCGGGTTCTAATTCGAGTTAACACCTTCGAGGACCACCTCTACGATGATGTTGAAGCTGGAGTAGGCATAATAACCAGCTCTTAAGTGCTGAGAAGCACTCGGAGTTGGCATGATCCATGCTTGGAAGTCCTGACATCCAGCCTGCCTGCCTTGCTGAGTTTCTGCGACACTTCCATATCTAGCTGGGCTGTTGGCTGGTTGTTCGGCTGTCGCCCCCTCCCCTCCTCCCCCCTTACCCACAAAAAACACGTCTGATCCGGAAATCTGTAATAGAACGGGTGTACTGTGCTTGGCCGAGGCGTTGGTGTCTCGTTAGCGTCCGGATGAGCCCGATATCTGCATTGCGTGACCAAAACTCGCTGCTTATCAGCCTTCGGGCTATGCATACCTTGTTGGCAGATGCCTAAGATCGGGTAGAGCGCTTCGTGCAATATATACGATGACAAGAACCCACCTGACCTTGTTTTCTTATACGTCTTTGCCCTAAAGGAAGGTACGATTTGCGTCGAGAGTTTAGCAGACCACTAAATCCCACATTGTTGAGCAATGACACCACCACGCCGGCTTCTTTTAGGCATCGTTGTCCCCTCGTCCAACACCACACTGGAGCCCTCACACATCAGATGGTAGAAACCCTCTGTGACGATGATCTAGATGTGACTGTACACTTTTCACATTTTTGCGTCACCAAGATTGCGCTCTCGGAGGACTCGAACGCCCAGTTCACGCAAAGTGCGATGCTCGAGGCCGCACAGCTATTAGCGGATGCTCATGTAGACATTATTGGACGGAGTGGTACGTCAGCGACATGGCTTGGATTCTCCACGGACGACGCACTCTGTGCCACCATAGAGAGTGTTACCGGAATTCCGGCAATGACCTCTATCATCGCCTCGAATGAACTGCTCAAGCGTCGATCAATCTTCACGGATGTTGGTCTGGTCAGCCCCTATACTGCTGATGTGAAATGGCCATCAAGGCAAGCTATCGGGGAATCGGCATTGAGATTTCAGACGAACGGACTTGCTGTGCCGGTCTTTTCGTAAACATCGATTAGCACCGTGCAGGAAATACAGCTTGACGCCATGGTTGCTCAAGTAGTCAGAAATGGGGCAACGACGGTCCTTGTGGTGCGCACCATCTTACGTGCTGCCCAGCGGGCAAAATACTGGGAGTCGTCGCATGGGATACAGGTCCTGGACTCGGTCGCTACAGTGGTTTTCCGAATGATGCAGAAACTCGGCATCAGCACCAACTCAGCCTTTCTGGATCGCTAGAGTAGCGTCTTCTCTGGGAATTAAGAGGGGGAGTGAAACACTACTCATATTGGACAGAAACTTGATAGGGACTTAATCACTGCAAATAATTTATACAGGCACTGAACCACTTTGTACACAATCATCTTATGTATAGCATCGACACTTCTGCCTCTAAAGAGTAAAGATTGAATATCAACTCTTCCTCATCTTTATGTTCTGGAAAAAGACGGAGGTTTTTGACACTGTCAATCCGGCTAGTACAAAAATCATATTCTTTCGTGTGGAAACTAATTGCTACCCCCTTTCAATATGTTTGGACGCGAAGTGACATTTTTTCCTTCGTACTTCGTCCAAATTGCTATATCGCTTCATTTGCTGCGTCTTACTACTAGTCAAATCTGTAGCACATGTTCATGAGAGCTTTGCACAGCTTGTATCTTTGAATCACTGATTTTACATTGCTCTTGGCTGTTTGGCTTTTCTTCTTGACTAATTTAATATCTCTAAAAGAAACATGGGACAACATAGAGACCACATAGAAAACCATACGCCTGCATTTCATAACGACATAGCTAACCCGCTTAGGGAAACCTGGACACGACTTTGCAAAGTCCCACGAAGAAACCGATGTTCTTATACAACCGAAAAAGTGCAATCCAATCGTCACACCGTTATATTAAGCTTAAAAATTTATGCTGAACCATTTCTTCCACTTCACCCAGGTTGAAGGCATTTCGGTCTCCGGGCCGCGAAAGATGCGGCCAGGGTGCACGATTTTGTACAGCACGAGTGCAACAAACATTGTCAATGAATCTAAGCAATAATGGAAAGCTTCATGGTTAGGGAAACTGCTGTCGATGCCGCTCGAGTACTCAACGATACGAAACAAGATGCGACTCTGGGGCGAAAAATAGATAGTGCTAGCTAGGGACACAGCTGAAAAAGTCATCGAAACGGGGGAACTTGACAATGATGAGCACCATAGCCAAGAACTGGGTGAAAATAAGACGCATAGTGAGCTCTGCTTGTCGCCAGTGGCCCACATGACAGTGAACAACTTGATGCTAAAGCTGCCACAGACGAGGATACACAACAACTGGGTGCCAACGCCAACCATGTAGATGTGAAGGCCCTTGAAAATGTCATACTGGCTGACGTTGCTTCCTGTCGCCTGTGCTGCTCCGTAGACCTGGATGATGAAGGCGATGATGTCAAACACGATAAAAACAGTACTAAACCAGACGGCCCCCAGGCCCCAAAACTTACGGTCCGCCGTTTGGTTCCATACGAGCTGGCCGAAGACTATGTACGTCGTAGGTAAAGGCGTTGGTCCCCAGTGGGGTCACCAGGATGAGAACAAACCAGGACGCGTACATGCCAAAGCTGGCAGGTGCCTCAATTCTGGCAGTACGGAAGATGTACGACAGAACCTGCCACACTCCGGACATGACTATGACCCAGCAGTAGGTTTTCTGGAAGCGAATGACCTGGGCGAGATCGGCGGCCGTGGTGAGAATGAAGAGGGTGAGAAAGATGGCAGATGCGCCGATATTAGGACAGAAGTTCCACATCGTGTCCGGGCTTAAAGAGAGGTACACTCCAGTTCGAGGGGTAGTACCGAGAGACCATACGTAGTGTATGCCAGGCTGCTGCTATTGTCGTTTCAGGACTACAAGAATGACAGCAGCAGCAGCAACAACATCTGATATATATAACTTACGAGAGCAAAATGTTACTGAATTTGGGCTTGCAGATGTCCGTACGAGCCGTGCCATTATAGATGCCAGCCCAAAATGGCGCAGCATTGCAGTCGCGAATAGCATTACTGGCTTAAAACTAGCGACCCATCTCGATTTGCCTGTTGGTGAGACCGCTGATTGGCCTCGATGCCAAGACGCCCACCATTGGCTTGCTCGTAAGGGCATCGGTCCCACATACGGATCAGCCGGTCCATCCATTGCCCGATTTTCGTGCCACCCCCTTATATATAATACAGACGCGCGGGACAGCTCGTATGGGCGTCCTCCCTGCACCGTCTCTGCTATAATCGTCTGTGCACCATGACTAGAGTAAAGCCTGGAGAGCGCAAGCGGGCAAGAGCCCCCAAAGTGCGCTCAGGATGTCGAACATGCAAGTAAGTCAGCAATATGGTGTCAAACCAGAGAACAGCCCTTTCTGACAGACGCCGCAGAAGTTCGTAAGGACCTCCTTAAGGCCCCGTCAGTAGTATTCTCTATAACGGCAATCGTATAGCTCGTAAAGTAAAGTGTGACGAGGCCCAGCCGGCATGTATTCGATGTGAGAGTCCCCTGTCTTCCTGGGAAGCTATGTGTTGGCAGGCTGGCAAGCTGACCTGACAGGCACCTCGACCGGACGGTTCTGCGACGGCTTCGACTTTGTGCCGGAGGGGGCCTCGGCTGTCCAGAGCCCATCCACGGCCCTGACATATGCGTCGTCTCCGTTTGCCGACCCACTTGAAGCACGCTCTCTGCAGTACTTTGCCGAGCGCACCATCGGCGAGTTAGAGACATTTTTTCCGGACTCGCTCTGGAGCAGCCACGTGCTGCAACTGGCATTATCTCAGGAGGGCATACGACATGCACTAATGTCGCTTGCCGCCCATCACGAACGCTTTGCCAACCCTTGTGCCGCCGGCGAGCCCGAGTTTGCCTTTAAGCAGCACAGCCTCGCCGTGCGGTCCCTATTGGCTGAAGACGACCCCTCGACGGCAACAGAAACGCACCTGGTATCGTGCCTGATATTTCTCTGTATCGAGGCACTCCAGAACGAGTACCGATCTGCCATCCGGCTGTTTAAGCATGGTGTCAGCATGGTCAAGGAGCTGCGCCGACGGGCTGACGCGGCCGAAATGATGCAGTCTGGAGCCAATCCGATTTCGGACGGTATTGTCTCCACAATCGAGGCGTTCATCAACCGATTTGCCGTTCAGGCTGCGCTGGTATGTATTTCGCTCGGCTCTGCGAATCATATGCGGATGCGGATGCTGATGCTGACACTGATGGAAAGCTCGCCGGAGATGTGGACCCCAGTCTGGTTGTCGGTGATCATCCTAGCTATGACAGCGTCGTCGCTGATTCGGCTTCGTTTGCATCTATGTCAGAGGCGCGGCAAATGATTCTCGATATAGCCGTCGACATTATCGCGCAGCCTCCTGGTAGCGGCAGTAGCGAGGAGATGGCATTGGTACATGTGACGTACAACCGCTGGTGTGAGAAATTCGACAAGCTTGTTAGTGAGCGCTCCAACTCGCTGCCTGCCAAAGGCATCGCGCTCTTGGAACTGCACAAACGGTATCTGGGCATTCATCTTGCCGCTCCTGACATCACCATCGAAGACCCTCCTAGGTGGGACGAAGACACGGCTGCATACGAAGAGCTGATGACGTTTGCCGAGACAGCCGTGGGTCCAGATATCAGTGTGGAAGGACCGACGACGACAACGGCTACGACAAATGGGATGCCAAAGTTTCACATGGACCTTGGAGTTCTTCCAATTTTGTTCTCCACGGTGCTGCGGTGCCGTGATGCGGGAGTTCGGCGGCGGGCGATCTCATTGATGAAATCCAAAAGACTGCAAGAGGGAATCTGGCCAAGTACTACAACCTCTCAGGTGGCCGAGAGAATCGTGTCGCTTGAACAGAGTGGCGATGATTCCGGCCCGCTACAGAGAGTGCAGTCCGTCGCCATAGCGTTTGGCTCGGAGCAGAAGGTCGTGACTATAAGGTATGGGTTGAGAAACTCTGTATTCGAAGAGGTGCTTGGCTGGTGAATTGAAGAGCGCATGTATGTTTCACACAATCAGGAAATATTAAGGCCTGTGATCTCTATTTAATTTAAACGAGAACGCCCGGCTCACTTCAAAACAGCTGCCAATGTTTTCTGCTACTTAGGCGGCTCCAATCCCGCTGTCGCTTCCCTCCAAAGGATAGGCCGTGGTTTGTTTTAAGTCGTGCTTTAGCTGGCCGTGACCGTGCTTCTTGCAGTACGCTTCGGTCTGCTCGTAGTCGATCAGTAGCTCGCCATTCTTGCCGTAGCGCCGTGGTTCCTCTTGGGCGACGCGTACGACGGTGAGGATGCCACGTAAGCCGTGAACTTTGTGAAAGATGGCATCCATCTCCTCAAGAGAGCGATAGGCGGTCTCGGGGTAGAAGAAGTAGACACATGGGACAATAAAGGCATTGATGACGGCGAAAATGATGTAGGTCTTGTAGCCGATGCTCGAGAAGGCGACGGGAGTGACCATGACAACCATGAAGTTGAATATCCAGTTGCCTGAGGTCGAAAGTGCATTGGCTGGAGCGCGGATGCGCAGAGGCACCACCTCGGCTGGGTATAGCCAGGTCATAGCTAGCCAGCCGATGGCAAAAAATGTGTTAAAGACGAAGAGGAAGACGACGGCCACAATGGCGGCGGCCGTGTTGGTAGCCGAGATGGAGTTGGCGCCAGCGAGGACGGCCATGGTGATGGCCTGGCCGGTGGCACCGAAAAGCATCAGCTTGCGGCGGCCAACACGCTCGACGAGGAAGACGGCAGGCCAAGAGGCGAGAAAGTACTCGGTGCCATTGAGGGCGGCCAGCAGACGTGAGAGAAAAGAGCCCATGCCAAGACTGGTATAGATAACAGGGGCGTAGTAGGTGATGAGGTTGATTCCGGAGATTTGCTGGAAGACCTGATTGGCATAGGCAAGGATTGTGCGGTGCAGGTTGCGGTCGCGGTTGGCGGAAAAAAGGTCCTTGAACGAGCCGCTGGCCATCTCGCGGACGGTATCGCGGATCTCTGCCAGCTCGGCATGCAGCGCGTGGTCTTCGACGCCGCAGTCGGCCAGAGCGGCCAGAACATCGCGCGCCTCGTCCTCGCGGCCCTTGAGGACCAGCCAGCGCGGCGACTCCGGCAAATACGGGATGAAAGTGAGAATCAGCAGGCAGAAGACGATCTGGAAGGCCAGGGGGAAGCGCCAGGCCACAGAACCGGGCGCGAATGAGAAGCCGAGGTCGATCCAGTACGAGATCATGATGCCGCCCGACACCAAAGCGCCCTCGATCATGACAAGCTTTCCACGCTTGTGTGCGCGCGACGTCTCTGACTGCCACGTCGGCACTGTCGACGTGTTGCAGCCGTTGCCCATACCGGTGATGATCCGGCCGATGATCAGGTGCTCGATCGTCAAGGCGGATGCCTGCAGCGCTGCACCAATAACCATGACGGCTGTGCCCAGCATGATCATCCGCTTGCGGCCTAGTGGGTTGCTGATGAAGATGGTGATGATCGAGCCCAGGAAGCAGCCGAGGTTGTACGAGGCCACGGAGATGCCCTGGTACGTCGACCGGCGCGACGACTCCGTCCCGCTGGCCGCTGCCGGATTGATAATGGGGAATTGGTTCAGAAAAATATCCAGTGTCAGGATGCCGCCCATAACACCCTGGTCTGCTCTGAGTCAGCGGACTGTTGCGAGGGCACACCACAGAAGCAGCTCTTACCGTAGCCGAACAGCATAAAGTCACACCCGGCAATGATGCCGATGGCATAGTTCAGCGCTTGACCACGGAGGCCAAGATACGATCTCTTAGTCATGATGGAAGTGGCGGGTGAGAAACAAGAGATCACGGATCTCAGAACGTGGCCATGGAGACGGATTGAGGCACGACTGAGAAGCTGGCCTCGGGGCGCCATATATACTTTGCCATTTTTTTGTTTACCTCGGTTTACACAGAAACAGCGGTTCCTCTCTGCTCTTTGGCCAACTGAAAAATAATAGAAATAGCGAACAGGGTCGATACTAAGCAAATAGAATAATACATTTAGGCAAGACGTACGGAGTATAACCGACTATGACGTCATAGGCATACTGAGCGTGTGGTTTGCGGGGATCAAAGTGGCCGCTAATTTGCCGCCTTGCCGAGAGTGGCAGCCCAGTTGACGATCACACAATTTCACTTTGCCGTTCCTGGACATGCTCGGCCGGTTTTTTTATGTGGGGAAGCCGAGCGCTTGGCTAATTTACACTGTATTCGCACAGGCTTCAGAATTGTACGATAAGACGCCATTGTTGATACGGAAAAGCAGACGGCAGAGCTATTGCCGGACTCCAACGGGACGGGCGATGCCATCGAAACCGTGGCTTTTGCTGGCTAGCTTTGCATGAGTGTGTACCATAGATAAAGCGCGCCGAAACCCAATTCGACAGTCACAGCTCGACGTCCAGCCTCGTCGTGTCCAACGACAGCCTTTGAAACCAGCAGACATCAGGCGGCCATATCCTCCCCGCCTCTCTCTTCTGTTCGGCAAAAATCTCGGGCCTACTCATCCTAACTATTCGACCAGTTGTGGGGCCTAAAATGCGGCTTCACTTGTGCGAATGCACGCCGGCACGACTACGTCGTACGCCGTATAAGCAGATTTCCAGATCTTGATTTAAAGTGGCCCTGGCCCTATTCAGAGTATCCACCACCTCATTATCTCTCCGCCTCGCTGCCTCTCCGTCTGACCTACCAAGGAGATCAGCACACTGACACTTGACAGGCCATGCAGATTCACAACATGCTAGCACGGCTTCCGGTGACTGCTATAATACATATATCCGCCTACATCTAGCAAGAAACGCTCTTAGGCTCTACCTGATGCGCCGGTTCCGTCTATTAGCAGGCTGCAGCCTCCGCTGAGCCCACTCACATCTCGGTGGAACTATTTAGGTTGACTTTATTTTAGTCGTCGAAACTGTCTGCACGACTCGTATACAAAGAAGGAGGTAAAGCAATGCATCACATATATGTAGCCCCTGCCTCTACTATAGCATTTTCACCTGGCCCTCCAGATGACTAACCACAGTATCATCTTGCCGCCTATCTGCGAACTAATATGGTTGGCTTCCGCGTTGTAAATAGCGCCTTTCCAGCACCTTCTAGTAGGCGACTTACGGAGTACGGGTACCATACAGCGAATTTGACAGAAATATGAATCCCGTACAAATAGCAGCCATCCTATTTCCCAAGTTTGCGCGGTGCAGTATAGAGATGGGCGCTTTTATTGACAATTGCTAAAAACCCCCTTTTAGCTGATCGGACTAACTTTGAATCAAAAGGTCTCAAGACATTTTATAAAATATCTTTCGTCTTTACCGCCGCTATCCTAATGACACAACCAATAGAAAAAGACCAGCCCCTTTGCCTGTTTATTGATTCTGATACAGGTTGTAAATTCAAAGGGACTTTCTGCCGAAGCGACTTAGGAGTTGCGGCAGTGAGAGGCCGTGTTGCACGTGACCCTGTGGGTCACGTGCAAAGTTTTCACTCTCGCAGTACAGCCTGCACTAGCTTCTAGTGCATGAATATACATGCACCTTTCCACAAAGCATCGATGCATAGCGAACCATACGATGGTACTATTCCGGGTCTGGACTGCGTCCATAGCATCGAAGGATCCTAAGGCGAAATAAATTATATGAGCGCAGTGAAGCGGCAAGCATGGCTCAGTCGCGGGCGGGTTCACTATCCCCGCATCGACGCTCTCTATGTCCCAAATCTCAGAATAAATATACCGATGCCCATCCCGGCGCAGGCAATCCTTTTGCGAAGAGATGCTTGGCCCTGTCGTGTCGATGCTTCGATGGTCGTCATGGATAATTCGACTGCTGCGCCTGCACCTAGACTAGGCAGTGTGGTCAGTGGTGGAGGATTGCGTCCTGCTGATTTAATTAATTATTTTTATTTATACGTTCTAACGTCGCTGCGGAGTATGAGGCACCTATAATTTAACAGTATCCACACAATAGCTTTTACAGAGTGTCGGAGAAGTTTCTCCCTGCCCTTTGCACCACACTTCGGCTTCCAGTTAGACTCTAAGTTGGAGAAGATGCCTTAGGTAAGACGGAAGCTTCGGAAAGTTACAAAAGCACTTAGGCCCTGATTCACGCATGCTGGCCCAGCTGTATGATCAGTCCAGAGTGGAGATTGTCAAGTGTGGATGATTACCTAGGTTTTAGTACCGATTCGCACCCTGGTAGAAGTACCTTTTCATTCTGATACTTCTTTTCGTTACCGCCTTCGTCGCTGATGTTTTTGTAGCGATAAGCTGCGTTTGCACGGGAAGACAGTAATTTGGTTTGCTTACGTAGTGAATCTGGAGATTTTAGTTTAAAATAATAACAAAAGTCTATTATTATAGAAAGTAAGAGACGGCTTGCTAGTAGTTATGCTAATAAGCTAGTACTTGCGTTGCTTGTATTGCTTATATTATTAGTATTATTAGTATTATTACCCTTACTTCTTATACGTATAGTTATACTAGATATTCCTGCTTTAAAGATACCTTTACTACTCTTTTGCAGCTTTGTAGAGGTATATTTTATATTTTTTAACGCAGTTAAGCCTTACTTTTCGCTGCCGTTGCGCTTTTTAAATATAGATTTGTTGTCGTTGCTAGTGCCTTCTTTATCGCCGCTGCTACTGTTATCGTTTATTTTTAATAATGATAATAATTAGTATTTAACGTAAGAAGTACTTTGCTCTGTTAATAATAACGATTAGTCTTTTTTTATACTTTTAACGGCTAAAAGCACTTAATATGAACTAGATAATATTATACTTAATAATAAAGTAGTAATTTAGATAGTAGTAGTAATAACAATGCTAGCTTATAGTTATAAGCTTTTTAAAAGCGCGAAACGTTTATAATATAGTATAGATATTATAGTAAACATTATAGACCTTTTTTTAGAGCATAAAAGAGTAGGCCTATTTTAATAGTTTAATAATTCTTTATATAAGCTAGCTTAAGAAAAAGTAGTTAAAGAAGCTTTATAATGCTAGCCTGCTTACAAGTAGATAGTAAAAAATATAGTAACAAAATATAATACTAAAAAAAGCAGTACTGCCTTTAGAAAACTTTTTATAATTAATTAAAAGTTAGTTATAACTTTATTACAAGTTTATTAAAGATAAGCAATAAAGAAAAGTAAGAGGATTTTTATACTACTAATTAAAGAGGTTAAGGTTATAACTAGCTTTAAAAGTCTTTACTTAGTAACGTACTTATATACTAAGAAGGTTTTAAAAGAGAGGTAGTAATAAGTAGTATGATTACTATAGTTAATAAATATTTTAAATAAATTCTAGTTTAGTAAAAGCATACTAACGCCTTAGTTAACCCTAACCTAGAAAAAGAAAGAGGGCTGCTACTATAAAGAATTTATTTAATTTAAACGTTACATTTTTCTACTTATTAAGGTAATTAATTTAATATTTAAAAAAGCTGCGATTAAGTAATAGCAATAATAGCAAGCTTATAATAGTTACTAAGCAAATTAAATGCATAGCTACTATATATACCTTAATACTAGGCAGCCTTATAGTTAAAAAGGCTATTAGTATATTTTATAAGCTTTTTAGTAATAGGTTAATAAAGTAAAATATTTAGTAGTGTTTGTTAAAGCTAGAAAACCTAATAAAAGTGCTAGTTTAGAATATAGTTAGATTATAGGTAAAGAATATATTAAAATATAAAAACAGAGGTGCAATAGTTATAGTATATTGTTTTATAATTGTTTTTAACACTTTTAATACTTTTAAATAATTTTAGTAATGCTTTTAATAATAATTTTAGTGGTGTAATTATTACTATACCGCTAACTATATTAAGTTATTACTAAAATGTTACTAAAATTATACTAAAACTAGTACTAAAACTATTATTAAAACTAATAATAAAATTTATCTATTAGCTTTCTTTTACTACTAGCTAACCTATATTGTCTTAAACGTAAATTATAGCTAATAACGCTAGCCTAAGTGTATAGTATACTAGGGTAGCTACTATATTAATATTGCAAGTCTCTTATACTAAGAAGTCAGATCGAACTATGCGTTGCGCAGCATGCCTTAAGTAGCTACTATCTTGCTAATAAATTAAATTAAACTTAGCGTAAGATAGTCTTAGACTAGAGTGCCTTAAGCAGGCTACCTAGACTACTAAGAAGTTTAATCAGACTATATAATGCAATAATATAGTAGTAGCCTTTATAGCAGCATTATAAATAGGTCACGCTAGGCAGCATAAGTCTAGAGGTATAGGGCTCTCTTAAAGGACTTAGATTAGGTTACTTGACAACGGTTAAGGATAAACAAAGGGATTATAAAGTGCGATAAGGGTGCTTAATTGTTTTTCTTTAAAGGATGCTTTAAATCCAATTAAAGTGCTTATATACAGTAATGCGCAATATAATAAGCAGACCACGCTATAAGGCAGAACAACGTGCTTTTACACTATATAACATAAAGGTTAAAAACTAAAGAATAAAAGCGGAGTGCGTAGATACAATAATGCTATATTACTACACGCTACGTTTTGTGTAGATTTATATTAATTATAAGCGGCGCGCGCCTTTAGCGCTATTTAAGTACTAAATCTAGTATTTACTAAGTCTTTTGCCTTTTTTTAAGTAAAATAAAGTTATGCAGCCTTATTATAGTATATATAATTTTAATTTAATCTTAAAGACTATATTTAAGTATAGAGTATTGAATAACTTAAAACTTTCTTTTTACTATGCTAAAAACTCTTTTTACTACTAAATCAAGTAAAGCGTACTAAATGTTATACCTTTCCTTCTTATTTGCTTAAGCCTTTAATTTTAAAGCCTAGTCTTAAAGATAATATAACGTATGCAAAATGGGCGTAATAATACCTAGTTTGCTAGGAAATCCAGCATTTGCAATATAATATTAGTAATAGGGTATAATAAAGCCTCTTGCAATAGTATAGTAATATAAAAAAGCATTGTTTATTAAGCTTTTTGCCTTTACTAAAACAAAGCTAAAGCTTTTATTAAATCTAACTACTGCGAATACGTTTTAAGTAATGTTTTTGTTTTTATTATAGTATTATAGTTAACTTTTTAATCTAATAAGAGCTAAGATATATATGCTATTAATTGCTCTTATATATCTATTTTATCCAGTTTACTAATTGCTTAATTTTAAATAAGCGCATTAAGCTAGTTGTTTATAGGCTGCTATATAACCTCTTTATACAGCAAAACAATCATTAAAAGGAGCTTTTACACAACTCTACTAATAGTGCTTTAGCTTATATAAAACTTTATTATAGCGTTTTATTAAGCTTTATTATAGGCTATTATTTAAATATAAATTAATACTTAGTATACTAATAATATATACTTAAGCTAATAAAGGTTATAGTATCTATTTAACTAGTATATAAGCTTTTAAAAGGTACGTTTACGCATACAAAAACCTTACTTAAAGTCCTAGTCTAATATCGTTAATATAAAAGCAGTAATGCCTTAGCCTTCTTTAAAAGGCACGCTAATGCTGTAAATAGTTAGTACTAACGATTGCAGTATTATTAGCCGTAATGCTTGCTGTATAGCATAGCTTAAAAGCAAAGTTAACAGCTATAAAAGAAGGTAAACCGCTAGCCTGCTTATTTAAGAGGGGACTTAGTCTCCTGCGTACTTCTAGTCTTCTGCCATTTTACTTTAACTGCTTGCTTGCTTATTAACGATAATATGTTAGCTTTATAGATTTTTACGTTATTAACCAGCCTCTTTTTCTGCCGTCTACGTATAGAGTACCTTAGTACCAAGGTACGTATCTTACTACTGTTTAAATTCCCATTTGCGGTGCATTAATTTATATGCGGCTTGGCAGGCTTAAAGAGGTATAGTCTATGTTTTTCTCTACTCTAGACTGATTAAACAGCTGGGCTAGCATGCGTGAATTAGGGCCTAAAGGCTAACGCAGGTATACTTTGTAATTATTGCCAAGATCTACCAAACATATGCACTTATGGTCGTAGTGTGGGCCTACTTTGGATTTAGAACAGCTAATAACCCACACATTATAGTCTTTATAGGCGCCGTCCTTATGCAACAGCTGTTACATCGATTAGTGTAGCAGTGGCAGCCGGGGTGTTGAGTAGACAAAGGGGTTAACTGACCAAATCGTATTTTATAGTTAGATAGTTAGTGTAGGATTATCGAACAAAGTGTAGGTAATTATGCTAAGAACGCTTTAATTTTTACTGTTTAGCCGACAAGTGTAAGGGATAGGAGTAATGTAAAGTAAGAATAAGATGCAATTGATTGCGTTTAAAATGTTAAAACTTTAGAATCATTATTACTAGTTAGTACCGACCCTTACAATTAGGCAACGAATACTTCCTTATATCCTAGAGTGTATGCTAAGCATGCTCACAAATACAAGTTTAAGCCTAGGTACTAGTTAGGTTAACGTTAAAAGTTTGTTTAGGATAAAAGAGAACTTCCTACTATTCGTAATAAGTATAGGCAATCTAGACGGCGTCTAGAAGGCTAATAGCGGCCAACGGCTAAGTCCGCTACCCCCCCTTCCAACCACCCCCCCCCCCCTTGTAACCAATAATCACTCAGTCTACGCACATCTTTTATTTAGTCTTCTTAGACTTTATTACTAGCTATATAATGAAAAACGTGCATAAATCTGTTTATAGACTCTGCCTACATCTCCCTAGCTGTGTTTTCCGGTTAAATCTCTCCTATAACGCGCTCTTTAACTGCTATAACCTCTTAAATTCGTATAAATCGCTTATTCGGCGTAGGCTTTACTTTATAGCGCTTTCTAACCTATTACGCTAATTTTAATGCCTTTAGCTTGTTAATTCGCTGCTTTTTAAAGGCTATTATAGTTGTTTTTAAATTATTTATATAGCTAGCTTTATAAAGAAGGTGCTGCGTAAACTTATTTAAATTACTTTCTTTCTTTACTAATGTAATCTGCTATAGCATGTCTATAACGCCGCCCTAGGAAGGGGACCGACGCAGGCCACGCGCAAGCCGTACGCAGTATGCGCACAGCGTATTAGATGCACATCGTGGACTAGAAGCGGTGCTTGTGGCGCAGGCTGCGTGGCGCAGTCTGCGTACAGGCCACAGCACGTGCTAGCGCACGGGCCAAGTAGAAACGGGGTCGCGCCTGCCCTGCGCACTTGGTGCGCTAGAGGTGCGCCTACGATAAAAGAGCGCCTCCCGCACTCCCTTAGAGTGTAAAAGGCAATAATTAGCTATTGAATATACGGCTGCTTCCTCCTGTTAAGAAGATACCTCCTTGCTTGCCTGACTTACCTGGCCTACCTAAGTACACCTTTAACAATTCCTTTTTCGTTTACTATTAGGCTACCTAAGTTAAGAGGCAGAAGGAGTAATAGCACCTTAAAAGACTACGAAGCAAACGTTGCACGCACGTAGTGCGTAGGAAGAGAGCAGCTCTAGGGCGACAGTTAAGAACCCTCTTAACCCTATTGTTAAAGAAGTAGAGAATAAAGACTCTAATATCTTAAAGGAGGATTATAAGCAACTAGATAACGATAATGCAGGCAAAGGCCCCTTAGGGCAGACTATTAGGCCTACTATAGACTAGATAGTAGCAGACCTTATTGCTAAAAATAATCGACTGTATAAAGCAAAGCGCTTAAAGCAGCGAATAGTAGACTTATAGCAATAGCTCTTAGATATAGGAGCAACCTAAGCAAAAGGTAAGCGTACCCGCAGCAAGGACTTTAACAAAGACAGCCTTTGCAGTTAAGATATTATCTTAAAAAGCGGCATCGAACCGCCCTTTAAGACACTTAGTAGCTTCTAAGAGCGCGCTACCTAGCTACAGGCTAGGAAGCGACACTTTTATCTAGCCTTTAATAAGTTTAAAAGCGCTAGTTACTAGATTAATTATATGCTTAAATATATAAAGCAGTTATGCTGCACTATATAACCATGGCAACTAGCGTATTCGGGTCTGCTTTTTTTTAAATTGAATAGCCTCTGCTAATTGCTCCTCTATATCGTCTTCGTCTATATTTTTTTTTTTTGCGAATTCGTGGTGATTTATTGAAGTTATTGTGGCTAGCACCACCTATGGTGGTGCGCGTTGAAAAACGCGCGCCCTGGGTGGGGCGGGGCACGAGTAATTATTCATCTGTTACAAATTCGCACCGCTTTCCCCCACTGCAAATAATTATCCTTCGCCATTGTTGATGCTGGTCTCTAGCCAACATACGTTCGTCCCGCAATAGAATCCCTAGCCAGCGGCCGTTTCGACTTCCCAAGTCCACAGACCCTCCCACTGCGTTGTAGTCGCGCCCGCACAGCCAAATGTATGTCTTGTCTTCCGTCGTGTCTTTGTACAGTGTTAGATTGTCGTTTGGAAATGAAACGTCCAGTGTCGACTACAGAGTAGCCGTGGCCAATGGTGCCGGGATAGTATTAGGACCCGTGATATACGGCGGTTTAGTGCTCGAGGCCGTGCTTGATGGGCGTAAGTCAGAAATTCGGGAACACATGAATGGGCAGCGCCCTACCTGGATGCGGACGTGGGAAAGGACGTAGGCATTGACGCAGATGCGGTCGTATTTGTTGTGATAATTAGGGACGCCGTCGAAGATAAGGGCGTTGCTGCTGCTACAGATGAGTTGCCTGGATGCTGCAGACTAGCGCCAAGGCCTGCGCCTACTATGTAGCGCCACAGCCAAAATAACTACGCCAGACACCACGCCTACGAGAATCCAGAACACGCGCTTCGGTAGACCACACATCTAGGAGCCCTTGCTCCCGGCGCCTCCGCCTTAACCGGAGTCATGGTGAGGAGCGTTTGTATACCCCGGATACGACGAGTTACTCGTACCTGTACCAGCTCCACCTAGGCCGGTGTGGTAAGCCGGTGGTAAATTCCCTGCAGAAGCCCCTTGTCCCGTTTTTCCTCATGTCTTGTAATCGTGCCACGCCCCATTATAATTCAAGGCCCACTTAAAAAGTGCACCTATTATTGAAATAGGTAGGGCCGCGAATAGTACCCTATCCACCTCGTGCAATTAACCGTGCAACGCCCCACCTGGTAATTGGAACACGCAGAACGTGCACTAACTTTAATTTTGTAGGTAGGTTGACTAAGGCTAGACTGCGTGCGCGGTGCACGCGCAGATTAAAGCTTAGTCCTATCTACTAAATTCGAGCAGAGGTTAGGTGACCTTGGGAAATTCATATGTAGACACTCTGCAGGGCTAGGCTTACGCATTAGGTTGCATTAAGACCTACTTAAAGGGCAGCAAATAAAGTGGCCGGTACCATAGAACCAGACATATAACGATACAAGTAGAAAATTACATTATCTATACTTCTGCACAAGTTCCACTAAGTACGAGCTTTCTTCGTATTTTTAGCATCTCGTATATATAACCTGACGTGGTCAAGATTTTTTATACTTGTCTAGATAGGTACATCGGTACTAGAGCCTTTGGTATCGGCAGATGGCTGGAGGACTCGAGAGGGATATATAAGGTCCTCTCTCTTCCGCCTTTGTTTATGGCAATCTTTCAATCCTCCAAGTTACTTTTCAATCAGTTTTGTTTATCCAACTATAACTACCTTTTCTACTTTAAATCCAAAGAAATCCGTATAAACGGCCACGGAACCTACCGCACTTGAACAACAAAAAAAAACACGCACAATGACAACAGGGACCGTCAAGTCGTTTAATGAGGCTAAGGGCTTCGGCTTCATCACGGCCAGCGATGGCAGCGGCGATTACTATGCTCAATTCGCTTCCATTGTGACCCACGGGTTTAAGACGCTGAAAGTTGGTGAACACGTGAATTTCGTGCCCAGCACCGGCCCTCACGGCCGTGAGGCCAAGAACATCCGCATCATTTCCTAAGTCCCTTGGGCACGACGACGTCTTTGCCGGCAACAATTCAGGCCTCGTCGTGTATTGGGCACGCTACCGCATGCGTATACAGGACGTTCTTTCTACAGAAACTCTGGCAACCGTGGGGAGAAGCGACACGCTAGTTAACGTCTTCCAAAACAATCTTGCACTAGGGTTGGGTAATGCTGCGTTACGATTATAAGCCCGAGACGGACAGTACTACGAACTAGATACATAAGAGACTTTAGTACTAGATAGATTACCGTCTTAATTTCTAACGAAACATACGCGGATCCTGCCCTATTTAAGACCTTTTATGCTTGTTTAGATAGTTTGATTTAATTTGTGTCTTTAGTTGTTTGTATCAAGCATTAGAATCCGCCACACTATAGACCTTCCGCCCTACTTGGCCGTATAGGCCTATAATTAGTTAGAAGGCACAAAAGCAGGGCCTAACACTAGTACTAATACAAACCCCTAAAAGGGTTGTAATGATCTATTTCTTCCTTAGTACACAACACTCTCTGCCTATACTAGAACCTATTTAGCCTCCTACTCCTTATAGTGCATTACGTTATATAACTGCTACATATAGTAACGCTAGCCTAGGTGCATAGTGCACTAGGGCAGCTACTATATCGATATCTTAGGTCTCCTATACTAAGGAGTTAGATCGAGCTGCGCGGTACGCGGCGTGCCTTAAGCAGCCACAGCCTTGCTAATAAATTAGATTAAACTCGGTGCTAGGCAGTCCTAAGCTAGAGTGCCTTAGGCAGGCTACCTAAGCTGCTAAGGAGTCTAATTAAGCTGCGCAATGCGATAACATAGTAGTAGCGCCTATAGCAGCGCTATAGTTAGGTTGCGCTAGGCTGTATAAGTTTAAAGGTATAGGGCTCTCTTAGAAGACTTAAACTAGGCTGCTTAGCAAAGGTTAGAGACGAATAAAAGGATTATAAAGTAGAATAAGGTGCTTAATTGCTTTTATTTAAAGGATGCTTTAACTTTAATTAGAGTGCTTATATATAGTAATGCGCGATGCGATAAGTAAACTGCGCTATAGGGAGGAATAATGTGCTTTTATGCTATATAACGTAAAGGTTAAAAACTAAAGAATAAAAGCAAAGTGCGTAGATATAATAATGCTATATTATATGCTTACTAAACATTTATATTAAAGGTATATAAGGATAGTTTAATTAGTAAAAGCCGTTTTTATCTTAGTAAGGAATATAGCTAACTATATAAATAGTATATAACTTTTTATAATTGAAAGTAATTACTATATAAGATAATTTAATTAAAATATAATAATAAAGATAAAGTACTACCTTTTTAAGCATTTTAGTTAAGTAGTTTAATTATAGTATATAAAGATAATTTAAAAGTAAGGTAAAAGAGTAAATAATAAATATAAATAATAGTTAAAAGTAAAAAAGAAATAATAATTTAAAAGGCTTTAATTAAAATAAAAAACTATACTATACTTTCTAAACTTTTTCTTTACTTAAATTTATTTTATTTTATTTATTATTAGATTCTTTTAGCTTTTACTAGCTAGGGTAGTTAGTTAGCTAAAGTATAAGCTTTCTTACTAGCTTACTATCTAGGCTAATATAGCCAGTATAGTAAAGAGTAGTATAGTATAAGTAATATAGTATAATTTTATATTAGTATGCTTTAAAAGTAAAAAGAGTACGCGGTAAGTCTTTTAAGTTAAACTACTTAGTTTAAATTACTATTCTAGCTTTTTATTTAGTTTACGCTTATCTTACTATACTAGTTTTCTCTTTTACTATCTTTTTTACGCTTTTTATTATTATAGCTATTAATGAAGCCTTTAATCTAGCTTTTTTAGTAGGTGCTTTTATTATTTTAGTTGATAGCTTTACTTAAGTAAAGGCTTATAAAATAAAAAGCTTTTTTAAAACTTAGGCTAGTTATACTTTAGCTAGCTATGCTACTAGTTTAGCTATAAGGGCTGTTTTTTTGTAACGCCGCCCCAGGAAGGGGACCGACGCAGGCTACGCGCAAGCCGTACGCAGTATGCGCACAGCGTATTAGATGCACATCGTGAACTAGAAGCGGTGCTGGTGGCGCAGGCTGCGTGGCGCAGTCTGCGCACAGGCCACAGCACGTGCTAGCGCACGGGCCAAGTAGAAACGGGGTCGCGCCTGTCCTGCGCACTTGGTGCGCCAGAGGTGCGCCTACGATAAAGAGTGCCTCCCGCACTCCCTTAGAGTGCAGAAGGCAAGAATTAGCTATTGAATATACGGCTGCTTCCTCCTGTTAAGAAGATACCTCCTTGCCTGCCTGACTTACCTGGCCTACCCAAGTACACCTTTAACATTTTTTGATTTTTTTAAAAAGGTAACTTTATTTAAGAAGCTCTTTTTAGATTAAGTATAACTATTAAGTTGCTTCTTAAGCAGTTAATCAGCGTAAAAGAGCAGCGCTATAAGGTCTTATTTTAACTACTATAGCTAGTAAGCGTTTTGGCTAGTTAAAAAGGTATTGTTTAATCTTTAGTTATCTTATAACTTTAAAATTTAGCCTTATCATTTAATCTAGCTTATTTTAGTAAGTATAAACATTCTTTATAATGCTTTTATAAAGGCATTATCTTCTTAATCTAGTTTAAGCGTAAAAATTAGTTCTAGTATAGCTTTTTTAGTAATAAATATAGTTATACTTACTAGGACATTAGCTGCTTACTACTTAATACTTTTTACTATTACTTTCTTTTTACCTTTACTAAAAATGTTTTAAAGGTTAGTGAATAGCTTAGTTTAAAGCTACTTTAGTAGCACTTGAATTTAAACCTAGTCTTATTAATAAAAAAGCGTTATGGGCCTATAACTTATATAAGCTAACTATTTTATTAACTAAAGATAAAGAGTTTTATATATTAATATAAATCTTTATAGCTATTTGCTAAATAAGCCTTAACTATAAAGATATTATCTTAAGTTATAAGAGATTAAGGGTTTTAAGCATTATTATTAACACTATCTAATAAGCCTAGTTATTTGCTATCATAGTTTATAAGACAGAAGTAAAAATAAGCTAACACTTATATTATAATATAGAGTCGTTTGCTATTTGCTTAATATAGCTAGATTTAAGGCATTATAAATTAAACATCTTTACTATAAATAATAATCTTGCTTTGCTAGACCTTAGCTAGCAACTACTATTTTATATATAACTATTTGCTAAGGTGTCTAATACTATTAAGGTAAAGAAACTACCTTTAATAGTAAATGTAAAGCAAATAATTAAATTAAAAGATAGTATAAAGGTGCTATATAGCTTACTATACCTACTATCTCTTACTTAGTAAAATGAGCTTTACTACTTTATTAGTAAGTTATTAGATAAAAAGCAGATTGCTTATAGTAATAGTCTAGCTAAAGCCGTAGTAACTTTTATCTTAAATAAGAATAATACTTTATATATATACGTTAACTACTAAGGTTTAAACTAAGTAACTAAGAAATACTACCACTTTTTGTTGTTAATTAATAAGCTATTTAATTGCCTAGATAGTATAAACGTGTCTTTAAACTAAAATATAAGAAGGTATACTATAGGATTTAAGTAAAGGCCTTTAATTAGTAAAAGACTACTTTTTAAATAAAATATAAACTCTTTAAGTTTTATATTATACTTTTTTAAAATAACTAACGTGCTAGCTACCTTTTAGATATATATCTATTACGCACTAGTAAGACTAGTAGGTATAGTTTATAAGGTATATTTAAGTAATATCTTAGTTTACTCTTAAACTGAAAATAAGTATAAAAAGCAGATATAGTTAGTCTTTAAGCGGCTATAAGTTATAAAGCTATATACAAACCTATTAAAGTATAGATTCTTTAAAAAGAAAATTAACTTAAAGTAAGTTAAAGTAATTTCAAAGCAAAAGGCCTTTAAGTGTATAAAGAATATGTAATTCTTTTTAAGATTTATAAACTTTTACTACGGTTTTTTCTCTTTCTACTCTTATACTATATAAGCGTAGAGTAGTTGCTATATAGCTGTTTATCTTAAGTAAAAAGGTAAAGTCTACGTTTAAAGCGTTAAAGATAGCCTTTATAATAGTAATAATTCTTTACTATTATAATAATATAAAACCTATATAAGTAGAAATAAATGCGTTAGGCTACGCTATTCTTAGCATTATCTCTTAGTTAGTAGATAGTAAGTAGTAAATAGTTGCTTGCTACTTATAAAAGCTAATAAACTATAAGATATAATAAAAAGTAGAATAGTAAAAGCTTTTAACTATTATTAAAAGACTTAAAGTACTAGCGTTACTATTTAAAACGTTGAAAGGACTTATTTATAGTTTTACCTAAATATTAAATACTAAAAGGCGTTGTTAAGGCATTAGTAAAGAATCTTTAAAACTAAAATACTACATAAGTATTCTACTTTTTAACGGTTAACTTTAAAAGTAAGCATTGCTTAAAAGTAACTAAACTATATAAAAGGCAATATTATATATAATAATATGCTTCTTTTATATTTTATTAGGCTATAGGTTACAAACTAGTTACTAAGTCTTTTAAAGCTAAGAGCCTTATTACTATTAGTATAAAAGGTATAGACTAATACTAGTTAAGAATAGCTATTATAACCTTAGGGTTTTTTTAAACTATATAATACTAATTATAAAGCTTAAGGCCAAGACTAATTATTAAATACATTATCTATAAAAGCTAGGTAAAGTTAAAAGAATAATACTTACTATTTTCTAGATAGTAATACCTTATTTTATAAAGATTATATTATTATTGTATTAGTAAATAAGCTATAAGTAAGGTTAATTAGCTTATACTATAAATCTTTTATAGTAAGCTATATAAAAGTTTATGAAACTATAAAACGTTTTAGTAAGAAATACTACTAGCTAAATCTAGCTATAAACGTTTACGCATTTATTACTAAATAATAATTATATATAAGTAATAAGGTCTTTTGGTATAAGCTATATTAATACTTTTAGT